CCACTTGCCCCCCACAGACGAGTGCCAGCACAAATACGGCAATGCCAACGTGTGGAAGGCGTGCTGCCAGGTCTTCGACTATCTCAATCTCGCTGCTGTGCGTGCTTGCTCTCCGCTCGCTGGCGGCCTGGCCATTGCGCATGCTCGTCTGACATGGCGCGTCCCTCGCGCGCGCGCAGATCATCGACGGCCGCGTCCTCTGCGTGCACGGCGGCCTCTCGCCCGACGTGCGCACGCTCGACCAGATCCGCATCATTGCGCGCGCCCAGGAGGTGCCGCACGAAGGCGCCTTCTGCGACTTGATGTGGAGCGACCCGGACGACATTGAGACGTGGAATGTCAGCCCGCGCGGCGCGGGCTGGCTCTTTGGCGCGACGGTCACCAAGGAGGTGAGTTTGAGAGAGAGTGGAGAGATGGAGGTGGTGACAGAGGCTGACCTCTACTGCTGCGCGTAGTTCAACCAGATCAACGGCCTCGACCTGATAGCGCGGGCGCATCAACTCGTGCAAGAAGGCTAGTGAGTTATGGGCTCTGCTCCTTCCTTTGCCTGCTCTCCCCCCACATACTGACGGGCTTTTCCCCCTTGTGTGCGCGCACCACACCCAGCAAACTGATGCACGACAATGCCATCGTGACGGTGTGGTCGGCGCCCAACTACTGCTATCGTTGCGGCAACGTGGCCTCCATCTTCCGCGTCGACGACCTGCTGGCGCCCGGGCGCGCCGCGCAGCTGCTGCCCGACGAGGAGCACGGCGCAGAGGCCAACGGCGGCGGCGGCGTCGGAAGGGATCACTTTCGCATCTTCGAGGCGGGTGAGTTGGAGTTGCCGCGCGGCGCCGCGCGCGCCCCCGATGGCGATGCCGAGCCCCCCTTGCTGACTGCGCTTTCCTCGCCCCCCCCGGCAGTGCCCGATCAAGATCGCACAACACCAGCACGCATGAACCTCACGTCTGCGCAATATTTCCTCTAGCGAGCCTCTCTCACAACACACACATCCAGCCGCGGGCCGTGCATTGCTGCCACTTTCATCTCGTCATCCTTCGTTTGCCTCGTGTCACGGCTGCTGCGCACAGTGAAGCTCTGTGTGTCTAGAGGCCAGTCCACGCCAGCACAACATCGCACGACTCGCTGCCGGACTTGCCATACAGGCCGCACACGGGCATCGGCGTCAATGCTGGCGGAGACGGACGCGAGCCTGCAGAGCAAGAGAGCAGCCCGTTCACTGCCGCTTGCACTGCCGAGAGAGGCACAATCAGCCGAGAGAGAGAGCATAGCAGGCTGGGAGCCGCTCACCTTCGCTCCAGGCGATGTCGGCGCGATAGAGAACGCGCACCGAGGGTGCGGCGGTAAAGACTTTTGGCAGAGCACTGTCCTTTGGAATGAGGGCATACTTGCTCGTGGCCGGCGTAAGGTTCATGAACGCGAGGCCAAAGGATGCCGTTCCACCGCGGGCCGAGATGTAGCAGTAGGTCACGTCGAGGCCGCTGAGCAACCTGATGGAGCCTGCTCGTGTGCGACATCAGCTCCTCTCACAATGTGAAGAGAGACGGCAGGAGCTCACCTCCCCCACGGACTGGCCCTGGCTCCTCCTCGTCATCGTCGTCGTCATCGTAGCCGAATTTATCGGCGTCCTCGTCGGGAGCAGCGTCATGCGATCTGGTCCCGTCGTGGCCGGTCAGCTGCCACTCTACGCACGCTCCTCGTGGCAGTGCCTTGTGCGGGAGAAATGCGAAGACTGTTGGCATCTGGTCTACAGCGAAGTCTGCGCCCAGCCACTGCGCATTCCAGCTCGGCTCATGCTCCTCGTCATTCTCATCGCCTCGCACGAAGGGGTCTTGCTCTTGCCATGCGTCGCGTGCCGCTTCCAGTCGTCTGCCGGCCTGAGCCTCTGCGCCAGGAGCAGGACTCTCAAGCCAGCAAATGCAGCCCTCGATCCAGCCACGCTGCGTGGCGGCTCTCATCTCCAACGCTACGTGGAAGACACGGCGTGCGTGTTGAAGCGAGAGGGCAATTTGTGTTGCCTCATCATCGGCCAGCTCGAGAGTCGTGGGCACGAGGCCGATTTGGCCCGCGATGAAGATGCGTCCGTCGGCCTGGCGTCGGCCATGGAGTCAGCTTGACGAGGTGAAGCAGCAGCAGCAGCAGAGATGCATGGGCTCACTTTGACGGCCTGACTGTACGGTCCGATATTTGCAGCCGCCCAGTAACTCCGTCCCTGGACGTGCGTCACTCTGCGCTCCCTATTCGGTTTCCCCTGCGGGACTCCATCCGCATAGCGCACTCCATCATCCATCGCCACCGCATCGATCGTGACGCGCGCGCCTCCCGGCACGTCGTCCAGGGCAATGCACGCGCGGCTCGGCGGATCGCTGCCGAAGAGACGGGCGTAGAGGGCGTTGAGGGGCGCAAAGTCGGCCTGCGAGGCGAGGGAGAGGTTGAGGTGTGCCAGATGCGCGAGGGAGAGGTGATGCGCTGCTAGTGCATCTAAAGATGACCGCAATGTCAACGCGTAGCGAAAGAGGCCCCCGGGGGGAGGGGGCATGCCATGGACGCACCGGAAAGACGAGCAAAGGCGGAGCAGACTTCCTCTTCGAACGACAGGGAGCCAGAAGCCGAGCCGCAGCAGCTGGCAGTGACGTTGCCCACTGCCACCCACGCGCCTCGCTGCGCCACCGTCATGCCGCTCGGCGCTGTGGCTGAGTCGGGAGCTGCCTGGCTCAACTGCACGTTCTCGGGCACTGAGCTCTCGAGAGCTATGGAGACGCCGAAGCAAGCAATGAGCAGCTTAGAGGGGCTATGCTGAGGCGAAGAACGCATGACTTACCGGCTGCGGCAGCGGCACGAGTGCTCTCTCCAAGCCAGTCCAGCATGGGCGGCACTTTGACGTCCGCCAGCGTCGTGGCGCCCGCCTCCTTGTCCTCCAGATGTGCGCGCTTGACACGCAGGTAGGAGACGCTGGCAAAGCTGCTGTCTGCATGCAGCACCGTCTCCACTTCGTCCCTTCACATGCGCACTTGTGAGCTGGGGGAGCGAAAGTAGGGTAGACAAGGCGAAAGGCCCGCGGGGGTTTACGCTTACAGGATGATGCGTTTCTTGAAGAGCGGACAGTCGAGTGTCAGTGTCTCGTACTCGCCGCCCTCGCCGCAGATATGGCTGCCGTAGCGATCGTTCTGTGCGTGTGCCTCAATGGTCAACTCCTGTTTTCCTCTCGCCACCAGGGCCTGGCGGGACTCACCAGCCTCTCCAGCGTCGGGCGTACCTGCGCCAACGTCTTGCCCAGATGTCTCTCATCCAGGCCAATGCCCGCCACCTTGATGAGCACGGCGCGCACATCCGCCTCGCACATCTCCCGCAGCAGCTCGCGCTGGTCGCGCTGCCACAGGTACGCCAGCGGCAAGAGGCGCATGCCGCTGCGCAGGCACACGTGCTCGACGCGCACGCGCTGGTAGTTGCTCAGAATCGCCCCGACCGAGACGGCCTCTGCGTCGGGATGCGCGCGCTTGACTTGCTGCAGCAGCAGCAGCAGGTCCTCCGTCTCGTCTGCTGCGCCTTCGCTCGAGGAGCCGCTCGCAGAGGGCAGGCGAGAGCCGTACGAGGAAGACTGGTTCAGCGCACTGCCGGCGATGACGTGGCGGTAGAGCGGCACGTCGAGTGCCTGCGCCACGAGATGCACCGCATCGTGCCCGACGGTCTGATACATGTACGAATCGAGCTCATCTTGCGAGTCATCGCGCAGTCAGCAAAGAGATGGGCGCAGCGCCGCGCAGCTGTGCACCCACGCACCCTTGCCGGCGGGCGGCGCGAGCGTGGCGACGGCGACGAGGGTGTGGCCCTGCTTGGCGGCATGGCAGAGGTTGTAGCAGCTGTCCTTGCCGCCGGAGAGGAGGCCGACGACCTTCATGCCGCCTGCTTGCTTGCTTGCCGCCGCACGTGTCTTGAGGGGCTGGAGGTGGTGGAGAAGAGGCCGCACGGCCGCCGAGCGGCGCGTGCCTCGGCTCCTCGAAAATGATCCGCGGGCTTTGCGCGCCTTCTCCTGGCGCTGCGCTGACTCGGCTCTACACTCTCCGATTTCCGCCCTGCCAACCCCCTGGCCAGCCCAAGGACCCACTCAGCCGCGCCATGGCGTGCACTGCCGCAGCGCCTTTGCGTGCTGAGGGACATCTCCGGCCACTCTGCACTGGCGGATCCGAGCGCTGCAACTGCCGCGCGGCTGGCAAGCGCGCGAGGGACGACGTCACTCAGGGGAGCGCTCAACAACGCAGCAGCAGCGCACCGCGTGGTACACGCGCCGGCGCCAAGCCACTACCGCAGCCGCGCAAGCGCCCATCTGGCATCGAGTGGGACGACCGCATGGACCGCAGCGGGAGGCACGCTAGCACGGCACAGCATGCAGATCTGGCAGCGCATCGCAGGCGCACTTGGCCGCACGTGCGGGGTGCGGCAGCCCCCCGCGAGGAGACACGAGGGAGCGCCCCCATGACGCCGCGCGCGATCTGCGTGCCTGCATCTGAGCGTCCAGTCGAGGCTCGAGCACGGCACCGCCAGCTGTGCTCTGTGGGTGTGCACCGCTGCGCTGCAGAGGCGAGTCAGAGTGAAGCAGCGCTCGCAGAGAAAGGCATATAAGGACACCCTCTCGGCCCGTCCCTTGCTCCACGCCCTCACCCGACTCTCGACGCTCGCGCAGCAGCCCAGCGGCCCCAAGCAACCGCACCAGCCTCTGCCTCTCCAACACCGCCTGCCTCAAGCCATGGCCGCCGCCGCCACGCGCACGGGGGCCGCGCCGCCCACGTCGACGGCGGCGTGCAACCGCGGCACGATCCAGCGGCTGCTCAACTCGACGTACATGCCCTCCGACTTCGCCTGCGGCCACTGCGGGCCCTCGCCCGCCGTCATCCAGGGCGCCTGCTGCGCCGGCGAGCTCTTCAACGGCACGCTCCTCGCGCCCGCCGCGCTCGCCGGCCTGACGTTCTGCACGCCCGCCGCCAACATCTCGCGCGGCTCGGCCTTCGCCGCGTGCGTGTACGGCGCGCAGGGCAGCCAGGAAAGCCTGCCCGGCTACTCGTCGGCCTTCTGTGCGCCGCGCGTCGAGGGCGACTCGGCCGACGTCGACCCCTTCGCCTCGTCGATGGTCAGCAGCGACAATGACGCGAACAACGAGGACATGCCCACGAACTCGAGCGTCACCGCGCCCATCATCATCAACGGCTCGACGTGCAACGCGACGACGATCACCCGGCTGCTCGCCTCCTCCTACGCGCCCTCCGACTTCCTCTGCGGCTTCTGCGGTCCCACTCCCGCGGCCGTCGGGCCGGCCTGCTGCGCCTCTGAGCTGTACAACGGCACGCTCGTCGCGCCCAGCGAGCTGTACGGCCTCAGCTACTGCGCCGCCACCAACGCCACGCGCACGCAGCCGGCGTCGTGGGCCGACTGCGTGCGCGGCGTGCAGCAGGACCTGCCCGCCACGGCCTACTTCTGCGCGCCGCGCGGCTCCAGCGATCCGTTTGCCTCGACGACCGGCGGCAGCAACAGCAACAGCAATGGCTCGGCTCCGTTCGGCTCGACGAACAAGCCCGATGCCGCCGCCGCCTCGGCCCGGCCGGCGCTCAAGAACTTCTTCGCCGTCGCCGTCGTGGGCGCGCTGCTCGCCTCGTCCCTCTCCCTCTAGGTGCCTCGCTTTTGCTCCGCTCCACACTCTCGCGCACTCGCAAGGCAAAGGCTGACGCTGGGACTGTGTTTCTATTATGTACGAACAGACAAGCGAGGGGGGAACGGGACGAGCGAGTGACAAGAGAGAGAGAGAGAGGACGAAGGGAAGGGCTCGGTGCGCGGACACGAGGCGCGGAAGAGGCGAGGAGCTTTTGATGGGGGCGGGCATGTGCGCATGGTGAACGGGAAAGGGACGGTGGCGAAGCTGGCCGGGCTCTCGAAGAGCCAGGCAGCAGCTGCTTACCAGCGACCACCGCCGCCGCCGCCACCGTATGCGTTGGCGCCACTGCCGCCGTAGCCGCCACGGCCACCTCCGCCACCACGGCCGCCGCGGAAGCCGCCGCCGCGTCCGCCGCCGCCACGGCCGCCGTACGAGGCCATCTCCTCCACCTCCGCTGTGATCAATCACATCTCTGCGTCAGCCAGCCTGCCCGGGGGAAGCTTCCGTCTCCGTGGTGTGTGCCAACTCACGAGGAATCTCCTGCTTGGCCTCGCGCAGAATGCCGACGAGATCGCGCGCCGACTTGGCGTCGTTGGTCGTGAAGAAGGTGATGGCGGTGCCCTTCGCGCCGGCGCGGCCCGTGCGGCCAATCTGGTGCACGTAGTCCTCCGTGTTCGTCGGGAAGTCGTAGTTCAGAACTGTGGGGCGCGCGAGAGAGGCAGCGTGAGTGGTTGGAGGCGTGGAAGAGCCAAGAGAGACACTCACCGTAGCCGATGTCCTTGACGTCTGTTAGGGAGAGAGATCAGTAGCACAGGCGCGGCGGAGATGGAGAGGCGACGGCGAGCGAGCGTGGACGACGGCGAATCGGACGCGAGGCGCGGCGGCGAAGAGGTGCAACAACGATTGCATTGCGAGGAGGTGGCAAATGCAATCGTCGAGCAGAGAGATGAGGGAGAAGGGGAGAAAAGGGGCAGATGGTGAGCAGCCGGGCCAGAGGCAACGAGAAGGGAGAGAGAGGGAGTGGGGGGGAAAGAGAGAGGGCGAGGCATCGCGCACGGCGCAGCTGCACAAGTCCTCGAAGCACCCCACAGGGGCCGAGCGGACATGCGACAGCTGCGCCTTGCGAGGGAGACACCCCGCCCTGCTTCTTTTTGGATGTGCGAGAGGGAGGAGAGAGCCAGCGACGAGGCCCGCACGCAAAGGTCGGCGTGCGAGCCTGGTGGATGGGCAGATTGCGTTAGACAGACGCGCATGCGCGAGCGAGCGCGACACGCTGCCAATCCGAGAGGGATGGGCAAGCGTGTGCGCGATCGCTTGGCGCGTCGCAGGCGGAGGGCAGGCAGATGCACCTTCGTGAAGGAGCTCTGCCGGCCGGCGTTGCCCACGACGCGCCAGAAGGGAGGAAAGGGGCGCTCTGGCGCGGGCGGACCACGATGCAACGAGATGTCGCCGTGAGGCGACTGAATCTCGCCTGGTGGTGGTGGGTGCACCCGCGCGTTGCTTCCGCTTGTGGAAGAGTAAGATCTAGGCGCAGTCGGCGATCGGCGGGCCCACGGCGCTCGTTGCGAACGACCGTGGCGCCAATCGGCTGCTGGCGGCGTACGCACATGGGGCAGAGCGCAGTGTCTCTTGCGCGTGCGCGAAAGGTCGGCGCACTGGCAAGAGACGGGCGCGCTGCCACTTGTGCGGGGAGCGCAGGCAGCTGCTGCGACGAGCAGCAGCGGCCGGCGCTCGTGGCCTAGACCTTACTCACCTCCCGGCTTGCTCGACGCCTCGGGGGAAGGCGCCAGCAAGCTCTGCGCGTAGGACTCTGTCTCGCTCTCGAGCACAACCAAAAACGAAGCCAAAGAGGGGGAGGCGACGAAGGAGAAAGAGGAAGAGGGAGAGGAGGCGGAGCAGCTACGTACCGAGACCGCGACTTGCGACTGCCGTGGCGACCATGATGGGGCTGCGGCCGCTCTTGAACTCGGCGAGCACCCAGTCGCGCTCCTGCTGCTGCTTGTCGCCGTGGATGGCGAGCGCGGGCCAGCCGTCTTGGCGCAGGTACTTTGTGAGGTCGTCGGCGACGCGCTTCGTGCCGGTGAAGATGAGCACCTTTGCATTCTCCTGCGAAATGTGGTCGAGGTGCTTGATGAGACGGCCGCGCTTCTCAAAGTCGGTGCACACCTCGATGACCTGCTTGACGTTGTGGTTGGCCGCGAGCTCGATGGAGCCGATGTTGACCTGGATGAAGTTGTTGAGGAAGTCGTTGGCGAGACGCTGCACCTCCTTGGGCCACGTGGCGGAGAACATGCACGTCTGCTTGTCGGGGCGGATCTGGCTGAGAATCTTGCGGATCTGCGGCTCGAAGCCCATGTCGAGCATGCGGTCCGCCTCGTCCATGACGAGGTAGGTGACGCGGCGCAGGTTCAGCTTGCCCGCCTCGAGCATGTCGATCAGCCGGCCGGGCGTCGCAATGACAATCTCGGCGCCGCGCTGCAGGTCGCGGATCTGCGGGCCCTTGGGCACGCCGCCGTACACGGCGCAGTTGCGGATGCGCGACGAGCCGCCGAAGCGCGCGCACTCCTGCTGGATCTGCACGGCCAGCTCGCGCGTCGGCGCGAGAATCAGCGCAATCGGGCCGTCGCCGGGCGCGAGCAGCGCCTGACTGTGGGAAGGGGAAAGGGAGTGTCAGCAGAGCGGCGGCAGAGCAAGTCGCCTAAGCGCATCTGTGCACGCACGCGTTGATGTGCACCATGGCGGGCAGGGCAAAGCCGATCGTCTTGCCGGAGCCCGTCTCGGCGATGGCGACAATGTCGCGGCCCTGCAGCGCCACGGGCCACGCCTGCGCCTGGATGGCCGACGGCTCGGTGAAGCCCATCTTGCGGATCTCGGACATGATGTAGTCGGGGAAGCCGGCCTCGTCGAACGACTGCACCGGCTTGGGGATGTTCTGGCCCTGGATCGACATCTGCTTGGCCGTGCGGAACTCCTGCACCTCGCGGTCCGAGCGCGCCGTCACGCGCTTGTCCTCGCTGCGAAATGTGTGCGTCAGCAGGATTGTGAGGCACGCACACACACACACACACACGCTGCCGCGACTCACACGTAGAAGTTCTTCTCGAAGTGCGAGAGCGTGCCGGCAGTCCAGTCGATCTTGTTCAGACCGGCACCGAGCGCGCCCATGCGGTCGCCGCCGCCGAAGCCGCCGCCCGCGCCGCCGCCGTAGCCGCCGCCGCCGTAGCCACCGGCGCCTGCAAAAGGAATGAGAAGGGATGAGCACAGGCACGACGCTGGCATGCGAGCACAGGCACAACACTCACCGCCGCCGTAGCCACCGCCACCGTAGCCGCCGGCTCCGCCGCCGTAGCCGCCCGCGCCGCCGCCGCCGTAGCCGCCGCTGTAGCCGCCAGAGTAGCCGTAGCTGTGGGGTCAGCCATCGGTGCGCGCGAGCGGAGAGAGGTGGTCGCAGAGATGTACGTGCGGAGAGCGAAGAGCGGGTTCGGAGCGACATCGACGAGGGATGATGCAGTTGATGCGCGGAGAGGAGATGCGAGATGGGAATGAGAGGGTGGGGAGCATACTCGTCAGAGCGCAGGCCTCGACATGAACAGAGCAGAGGCGGAAGAACAAGCGACACGCCGCAAGAGGGAAGCGAAGAAGGGAAAGCGCAAGAGGGGCGCAGCGCACTGCACGCGGTTGCGATGGCAGAAGGGAAGAGGAGCCGCGGCCACTCACCCGCCCGAGGCGCCGCCGTAGCCGCCGCCGCCGCCGCCGTAGCCGTAGGACATGCTGATGCTTTGTGTGTGAGAGGTGACGAGGGTGAGAGTCAGGTGTGCGTCAAGGACGAGTCGTGGATGAGCCGGGAAAAGGGGGGTGTGGGTGAGGAGGGGACAAGGTGCAGCGCTGGACTTTCACCAACATGGCGCGCCGCGCGTCGCGCGGCCGAGCCTGGAGCGCTGCTGCGCTGCTGATGCCGGCGTCGCGCGGCGGACGCTCTGCGACGACGGCGCCGGCGCAGCGCGGCAGCGACCTCATCAGCGGCCGCGCCGCAGAGACAGGCGACGTGCCCGCCCTCAGGTCCTGTCCGGCCGCCCCGCTGCCGCCACCGGCGAAAATTCGGCCTCGGCCGAGCGGCTGCCCTGCTCCCACGGGTGGCGGCCGGCGCATCACGTGCGCCAGCCCCTCGCTGTCTCCCGCCGCGCCGCGCTCGCGTGAGCTCGCCGCCGCCAGAAGCAGCTCGAAGGACTTGCCTTGCAAGGGCAGACGGGGGCGAGAAGGGCTCAAGCAGCTTGTCACCGTCCTCTTGGACATGCCGAGGCCGCTGAGCAACGTGTGTCGCTATCAGGCAGCGTCTTCGAGGCGCTCGCACGCCATGAGCGGGCTGGAGGCGCGACGCGGCGGCGCGCGCGGCGCGCCGTCCTCGTCCGCGAGGCTATCTATGGGGCATAAGCGGCTCTTCGCAGCCGCTTGTTGTTTGTGCGAGAGGTGGCAGTGGCACATGCCATCGCATTGGTGGCCACGACAAGACAGCATGGCGGGGCCTGTGTCCTCTCAGCGTGCTGGCGATCCTGTGCTGCATCTGATGGCGCGGCGCGCGGAGTCGGGCTCGGCGGAGCTGCAGGCGCGGCGCAGCGCAGCGAGAACGTCGCCGCTGGCGTGCATCGCGCGCTCGAGCGCGGCCACAGAGCCATCGGCCGCTGCGCTGGCGTCGCCGAGCTCGAGTCGCCTGCGCTGCACGGCTTCTTCTCACCCACCAGCCCCGCATCTCGCGCCGCCGTCCCTCCTGTCCCTTTGCCTCTCTCTCTCTCTCGCTCTCTCGCTCGCGCTCTCGTCTGTCCTGTTCCTGGCTGCCCGACTCGACTCGTCCGTCCCGTGCCCCGTGCTCCTCTCACCGCTGCTGCGCTGTCCCGCGCCCCAGCTCCCCTTCCCTCCCCACATGTCCGCACCCACCTCTGCCGCGCCGCCCACGGCGCCACGCCGCGGCGGCTATGCCCGTCGCGGCGCGGCGCCTCGCTCTGCGGCCGCACAAGCCCCCGCCGCGGCCTCGGCCGCGCAGCCCGACGACACGGAGGAGGTGCGCGCGCTGCGGCACAAGTACGGCGACAAGCTGGCGCTGCTGCGCGAGCTCTTCGCCGAGTGGACCGACGAGGACCTGCTCTTTGCGCTGCAGGAGAGTGCCGGCGAGCTCGAGCTGGCCGTCGGCCGGATCAGCGAGGGTGAGTGCGGCGGGCGGCGGTGGGCGCAGCGTGGGCGGCAAGGCGCACCGTGGGCGCAGTCGGCGCAGCAGGCGCAGCATGCACGCAACTGCGGCGACCGTGGCCCACCAGGCTGCGTGCGACAACGCGCTGCCACGCTGCTGCTGCGCACACGTCGCTGACTCTTCCCCCCAGGCCACGCCGAGCAGTTCTCGTCGGTCAAGTCCAAGAAGCAGACCAAGAAGGAGGCCGTCGGCTCCGGCGTCGCCAGCCCCGCGCCGGCACCGGCCCTCACGGGTGCGCCGGCCGTGCGTGGTGCGCTGCGTGGTGCGCCGCGCGGTGCCGGTGAGTGATCGCAGCGACATGCTGCCCTTGCCTGCTCCGTGCTGACCTCTTGTCCTCCAGCCGCAGTGCGTGGAGCTCGTGGAGGCGCTCGCGGCGGCATGCGCGGTGGTCTGGGCGGCCGTGGCGGCGGCATTGCGCCGCAGGCAAACGGCCACATTGCACCGGCGGCCGCAGCGAGCGTGGCGCCGACGACGACGCAGCCGACGAGCACGGGCACGAGCTGGGCACAGGCCATTGCTGCGGCACAGAAGAAGCCGGCCGCTGCCGCTCCCGCCGCTGAGGCCTCCAACGAGGCAGGCTCCTCGGCGGCTGCGGCGGACGCCGCTGCATCGGCACCCGGCGGCTGGGGCGACGACACCGAGGGTCTGTCGTCGAGCGCAGCGCCCGCAAAGCAGGCCGAGAAGGCCGCGCCGGCTGAGGAGGCCGCTGCGCCCGCCAAGAGCGAGGCGCCGGCAGTCAAGATGCCGGCTGCGGCAAGTGCAGCGCCCGCAACGAGGACTTGGGCACAGATCGCTCGGTGAGTCCGCACTGCGCCAGCTGCCCAGTGCGGGCATGCATCTGACTGGCGCTTCTGCTGCAGGCCCGCCGAGAAGCCAAAGCCAGCACCCGCGCCGGCGCCGGTCGCCGCGCCTGCTGCGCCCGCCGCCTCTGCGCCCGCGCCAGAGGTGCAAGAGTCTGTGGAGCAGGCCAGCTGGTCGATCGAGGAGCCGGCAAAGCAGGAGGAGGCTGCTCCCGCTGCCGAGGCCTCCGTGCCGGAGCCCGAGCCTGCCGCCGAGGAGCCTGCAGCTCAGGCTCCTGCGCCCGAGCCGGCGGCCGAGGAGCCCGCGTCCGTCGCTGCGTCCGAGTCCGCCGAGCCCGCCGCTGCTGCGCCCTCTGCGCCTGCCGCGACTGCCGAGTCGGCGGCCTCTGCCGTGCCGGCGCACCTCGGCGGAGCGGCCGCGTCGTCGAAGCAGCCGTCGTTCGGCCGCTCGGGCTTCAGCCAGCGCGCCGTGCAGCGCTCCAAGCAGGAGCAGGCCGTCGTGATGCCGGGCGACCGCTCCAACCTCGACAGCCTCGGCATGCAGTTTGGCAACATCAACTTCCTCGGCGGCGAGGACGAGGCCAACGGCGCCGACACGTCCATCGAGGCTGCCGCACCCGCCGCTGAGCCTACGCCCGCCGCAGCGGCGCCCGAGCCGACGCCTGCACCCGCTGCTGCGCCTCAGTCGCCGCCGCAGGCCAGCATTGCGCAGCAGGCCTCGTCGTCGCCCGTTGCGCAGCGCACGCAGCAGCCGCAGGCACAGCCGCAGCAGCACCAGCAGCAGGCCGCCGACCGCTTCGGTGCGCCGCAGCAGGCTGCCGCTGCCCCGCAGGCGCCGTCGCAGCCGCAGCAGGCGCCGCAGGATGCGTTTGGCCAGCATCAGGCGTACGGAGGCTTCAAGTCGGACGCCTTCTCCTCGCCGGCGCACGGCTTCGCGCAGCAGGCTCAGCAGCAGCACGCCTACGGCCAGTCTGCACAGCAGCAGGCTCAGCCGCAGCAGCAGCACGACCAGTACAGCGCCTTCAACGCCGCCTCGCAGCAGGCACAGCCGCAGCAGCAGCAGGGCGGCAACCAGTTCCAGGACTACGGCATGTACGGCGGCCTCGATGCGCAGCGCCTGGCCTCCTTCTACGGCGGCTACGACCAGCAGTCGGCCAACAGCGCGTTTGGCGCGCGTGCCGGCGAGGACCGCTCGCAGCAGCAGCAGCAGCAGCAGCAGCAGCAGCAGAGCTCGGCGCCCTCGGAGCAGGGCGCGCAGCAGGCGCAGCCGCAGTCGCAGCAGGCACCCACGGGCCCTGCGGGCCTGCAGCAGCAGCAGGCGCCGGCGCCGGCGCAGCAGCAGCAGTTCCCCGGCGTCATGCCGTACTACTATCCGCACCACTACTACCTGCCCAACCAGTTCCAGCACTACGCGCAGCCCACGGCGGGCTACCAGTACCTCTACGGCGCACAGCCGCAGCAGCAGCAGGCGCAGCAGCAGCACGCGAGCAAGCCCGGCACTCCGGCCAGCATGCAGTCGCCGTACTCGGGCCCGGAGAGCGCCTACGGCTCGCAGGCACAGTACGGCCAGTCGCCGGCTCCGTCGAACCTCGGCGGCGCAGCGGCCTCGTACGATGCGCAGGGCTTCGGCCAGCAGCGCGGCGCCATCCCCGGCATGCCCAACCTTGGCGGCGCCAACTCGGCCGCGGCGTCCGACTACTCGAAGATCTACGGCGGCGCCTCTGCCGGCGGCATCCCGGGCCTCGGCGGCTTCCTGGGCCAGGGCGCCGGCAGCGGCGCTCCGCCTTCGCAGCCGGCTGCCTCCAACGGCGCAAGCAACGGCGCCAGCGGCACGCCGCAGCAGCAAAAGGCCACTGCCGGCGGGCAGCAGCAGGCGCAGCAGGCGCAGGGCGGCATGGACGCCTACCGCGGCTACGACTCTTCCAAGTCGGCCTCGGCGCAGCAGGGCGCCGGCGCTGCGGGCTCGCAGCAGCAGGGTGCAGCTCAAGGCCGCCAGGGCGCGCCGCACCAGCAGGGCGCGCAGCATGCGACGCCGCAGCAGCAGCACATGCAGCAGGCGCAGGCGCACCAGCAGCAGCACCAGCAGCAGCACCAGCAGCAGCAGCAGTACTACCAGCAGCAGCAGTACGGCGCCTACGGCCACCAGCCGAGCGCCTCGGCCTCGTACGGCGCCTACCCCGCCTACGGCAGCCGGCAGTACTGGGGCCAGTGAGCGCTGCTCGCATGCTCTTGGCCTAAGCTAGGATCGTCGGCGTGCCCCGAGTGTGCGACTTGCCTCGTGCGGACGATCCAAGCCAGCCCCATCTGTCATGACTGCTCCCCCCTGCAGCCCGCGGGGCGATGAATGAAACTCCCACCCCTTCTTGACAGCCAACGCTCGGTCCTTGTGTTTGTGTCGCGTGTGTTCGCGCGTGTGACGGTGTGATGGATGGAGCTGCCTGTGTGTCGAGTCTGGGTTGCTCCGGGATGCTCGGCCGGCGTGCGTCTGTCTGCCTCTGCCTGCTCGCAAGTCAAGGAAGAGGCCGAGCTTGGCTTGCGCGACGCACGAACTGGCCCTCGTGCCTCACCGTGCAAGTCTTGCAGTATAGCCGCTCGCCGGCATGGCTATTCGATGTCGCTCTGTGGTCTGCTCCCTGCAGTTGCCGTAGAGCGAGCTCAGCATGGGGGTTGGATGACAAGAAGTTTTAGTCTGTGAGCGAGGCTGAATGTCGAAAGCAGCCACGGCTGGCCGGCCAACGCGTCGCGTCGAGAGCGCCGCTCGAGCCGAGCGCGCCCTCTCTGCGCCAGTTTTGGACGAGCGCCGCCGCTGTCGACGCTGCGCGACGCATGCATGTGTAAGCTTGATTGTGAGGCAAAAGGCTTGATTCTCAGCTCGGCCGAAAGCAGCCAGGAGACGGGACGGCTGCGTCGGCACCCTGAAGGAAGGGCAGCCGCGAGGACGCGGCGACGCCGACGGGCGTGGGAACAGGCGGCGCGCAGCACGAGAGCAGTGTCTCCGCGCCGCTCTGCCATCGGGTCGAGCGCGCCCGCCAGAGCCCTCACAGCCTGAGCTGGCCCTCGGCGCAGCCAGCACAGCGCCACAGCTGCTCTCGTCTCCCATCTTCATCGTCGCCCCCCCTTGCCTGCACGGCGGCTCCAGCGTGCCTGTCCCACCTGGCGCGCGCCTGGCGCAAGCCAGCTCGTCTCGCTTCCGCCGCACTCCTGCCGTGTCGTGCGCCGCTCTGGCGCACCGATCCACCTCACGCCCAGGCAGCCGGCACAGCGCCTTGGCGCTGAGCGCGCGCCACGATGGACGCGCTCGTCGAGCACCTGCTCGCCGACATTGCCGTCGAGGGCGAGCGTGGTGAGTGCCGCCCCTCGGCCCGTACCTTGAAGCCCGGATGCGCGCCTCCACCCTCTGCATGGGCACTGCGCAGGCTGGCGCGACTGTTCGACTCCCGCTCGGGACGGGGAAGGGGCACATTTGCACTGCGCTCAGGGGGCTGCGAAGGAGGAGTGGCGGCGCGTCCAGCGCGGCGCAAGTGCCGTGGCACTCCCCATGGACCGTGCCAGCGCTCGCAAGGGCACCGCAAAGGCTAGCCATGCACACCACAGCTGACACTCGCGTGTGTGTGCCTTTGCAGGCATGCCGCTGCCGGCGCTCGAGGCATCGCTGCGCTCGTTCGAGGAGGCGCGCGCGGCCGCCGCGGCGCGGCCCGCCCAGATGGTCGACGAGGCATACACCAACTACGTCTGGCGCCAGCTGCGGCAGCGGCGCGACGTGTGCGTCGGTGCGGCCGTCGAGCCGGAGCAGCAGGCGCTCAAGATGCTGGCCAGCGGTAAGCTGCACGAGGGCATGATGGACGTCAAGCTCTCGGCTGCCGTGGCGCCCGCCGCGGCTGCTGCGCCGCCGCCGCCGCCGCCGCCGCCGCCGAAGGGCAAAAAGGCACCGCGCCCGCCGGCCATCATCGGCACGGTCGATGTGGATGACAAGGGCACGACGCTCGACATTGCCGAGCTCAAGACGCAGCACGGCGACGCGCTGCGCTTCACGCTCGACCGCAAGTCGCTGTACACACGCCTTTGGGGCTCGGTGCGTGCTTCTTTGCACTTGGGCAACGATGCAGGGCAACTGACGCTCGGCGCCGCACAGGACGACTGCCCGCCGCTCACCTGGGCCGTCGTGCAGCTGACGATGCGTGCGCGCGAGGAAGGCATCACCTTCCAGGAGGTCGGCAAGCTCATCCACGGCGGCCAGGCGGTGATGGACAGCAAGACGGTGTTCCATCACTTCAAGAAGCCGCTGCAGAAGGAGACTGTGCTCAAGTACTCTACGCTCATACAGGTGAAGAAGGACCGCCCCGCTGCTGGCTCGGCAATGGTGGCCGCCGCTGGCTCGGCAGTGGTGGCGAGCCGCTTCAAGGAGCAGTGTGCGGCGTATCTCGCTGCGACACAGGGCACGACCATGGCGGCACCGCGTGCGACGCGCACAAGCAACGAGGGCGAAGATGAGGATGCACAGGCGGCAGACGAGGAGGACACGGAGACGACAGACGTCGTGGCGCTGCTGGCTGCCGAGCCGTACAAGCTGGGCAAGCACGAGCGAGAGCGCCTCGAGGCTGAGCTGGAGGAGGAAGCCGAGGACGAGCCAGAGGAAGACGCCGATGTGAAAGGCAACATCGTGGCTCGAGCGCAAGCACCCGTGGTGAAGGTGGAACACGACGTCGAGGGCGTCATGGGCTACGCGCCCCTCCCGCCGGCGCTCACCAAGCTCCTCCTCACGCGCCTCGACCTGCTGCGCCGGCGCATCGCGCGTCTCTGCGAAGTCTCTACGGGCGGCCTGCTGCTGCGCGCCCGCCTGACAGAGCGTCTGGTAAGAGCTTACTCCCGTGCGATTTGAGCTTGGCTTGTTGTGCTGACGGTCTGCGTGTACAACCAGGGCCTGCGCGGCAGGCCCAGCCGTCGTGCCGCCGGCGCAGCGTGGCGCGTGCTGGTCAGCAGAGGCCTGCTCGAGCTCGTCAATGCCCACATCAAGAAGAAGGACGCGGAGTCGACTGCCTCAGTGGACGTGGAGCTGTGCCTGCGCCTCACGCCCGCCGGCGAAGCATGGCTGGCCGACGAGCGCCGCGGCGCAGACGAACGCGCCAACGAGCAGGTCGCCAAGCGCCTCGCTGCCGAGCTCGAGCGCCACCGCATGCGCTCCATTGCCGTCGAAGTGCCGTTTGAGCGCCAGATGCTCGAGGTGATCTGTGCTGCAGGCACGCGCGGCACGACGCTGCTGGTGCGTCTTTCGTCCGCAGGAGGCCTCTTGATGCCCTAGCTGACTCTCTTTCGAACTGCAGGAGCTCAAGAAGCACTTTGGCACAGACTCGCCGGCGAAGCAGCGTTCACTTGCTGCGCTGCTGCTGCAGATGCAGGTGTCGGGCCGCGCGTCGGCGTACGACGACACGACGCTCATCGCCGCCACGGACCAGGGCAGCGGGCGGACCAAGGAGCTGCGCTACTGGTCGCGTCCGGCGCATCTTGCGCTGATGCGGTCGAATGCGCTCTTCGATGATGAGACGCAGGCGAAGTTCGTCGAGCCACAGGCGCTGCATGACTTCACGAATGCCACGCCGGTGCAGGAGTGGACGGACGTCGAGGAACGCATCGCAGCCGTTCGCGTCATACAGCGCGCCAACCTCGGCAGCGTAGCCCAGCACCGCCCGGCCTCGGAGAAGAAGTCGAAGAAGGCGCGCGTCAACCCCATCGACCCAGTCACTGGCGTCGCGAAGCGTGGCCGGCCGCGCAAGACGCCCGCGGAGAAGGCGTCGACGTCGCGCGGCAGCGCGGAGAAGCAGGCCAAGAAGGACGCCACGGCCGCGGCCAAGGCGGCAAAGAAGGAGCCCAAGAAGCTAGGACGCCCAAAGAAGGTGCCGGACCCGAACGTGCCGCCGCCGGAGCCGAAGAAGAAAGGCAGGCCGCGCAAGCCGGACTCGGAGCTGTCGAAGGCCGCACTGGCGAGACGCAAGCGGCAGGAGAAGGCGGATGCTGCCGCTGCTGCTGCTGGGCAGGCGCCTGAGGACGAGCAGGCCGAAGAGGAGGAGGAGGCGGACTCTACGATGGCGGCTCAGGCTGGACCGTCGTCTGCTGGACCCTCGCGCGAGGCAGCGCCCGTCGAGCAGCCTGCGGCACCCGCTGCCGCCGACGTGCCTGACGAGGAACAGGCTGGTGATGCCGCCGAGGCGCCGCCGCCGCCAGCCAAGCGCACCTCACGCGCACGTACGAAGGAGGAGCCGCAGGAGCGCAGCAGCAAGCGAGCTCGCCGCTCCAAGCTGGCGCCGGCCGAGGAGGAGGCGGCGGCGGCGGCGGTGGCCAACGACCCTGTGCCGCAGATCGCGAGCACAAGCGGTGCTCGCGATGTTGAGATGCCGCCGGTCGAGGCACCGGCTCAGCCCGTCGACGGGCCGTCTCAGTCTGCCGAGGCTGCTGCGAGCACCGACGAAGGCGCACCAGTGCCGTCCGACGAAGCGTCTGCCGATGCGGAGCTGCCAGCCTCTGCTGCGGACGCGCCTGCGACTCCGGCGCGGCGAAACGGCACGGCCAAAGCGCGCAAGAGCCAGTCAGCTGCCCCGGGTGAGTGCGCCGCGAGACGACCTCGTGCTGTGGCTGACCTCTCCGCAGCCAATTTCGCCAAGCGCCGCCGCGCTCTGCTGCTCGCCACGTTCCTGGAGCAGCACAAGTTCATCTCGGCCATTCGCGCCGCTGGCGTGCTGCGCAACTTCCTCATCGAGCGCGGCGATGACGACTTCACGATGTTCGACGACACCAAGACGCGGCGCTCGACGTTTCAGTACCTCGAGGAGCGCGGCACGGCGAAGAGCGTGACGCTGGCGATCAAGCAGGAAGGCGTCGACAGCCCCCAACAGAAGGTCTACTACCACGCAAGCACGTCCGATGACGAACTGGCCGCGTACGCGAAGGAGTTCTTGCGCAAGGGCCTCGGCGCTCCCGCGCAGCAGCACGCGCTCGACGAGGACGTCGACGAGATCGACCGTCCGGCGGGCATGCCGAGGCGCCAGCGCCAGGTCGACCCGTTCCACAACGTCGACAACGAAGATCTGCTGCGCGATCCGCAGTACCGCAAGCAATTCGACGACGAGGTGACGTGCAGCCAGCCGCAGGGCTACCTTTCCGGCGGCATGGCGCGCCTGAAGCAGCTGCACCTGGCCGTGATGGGCATCTTCGAGGCGGACAACAGCGTCGCGGACGGCGACGAGATCGACGCCGCGCTCGTCTCGCACGCCGAGGGCGTCATCGATGTGGAGCAGCTGCGCCTGGCCTCGCTGCCGGTCAGAGAACTGCTCAAGCTCGTGCCTTCCGAGCCGAGCCCGCAGCTGACCGCAGTGGCCGAATCTGCGGACGAGAAGGCCCGCACGGCCGCACAGCTCGGCGGCGAGATCGAGGAGTGGGCGCGCCGCGACTCCAGCCGCAAGGCCTTCGATGCGCTGCTGCGCGATCTCCAGCTGCTCGATCTTGCGCAGCCGGTGCGCATGCACAAGGACAAAGCGGTTGCGCTGCCTGCCGGCGAGCAGCCAGAGTCGAAGCTGTGGCAGTTCCACCGCAGCGATCGCCGCCTGGTCGGCTTCGTCAAGGCGACGTCCGCGCCGCAGCTGCTCCCCAGTCCCAAGCCGCTCAGCACCGTCATAGAGGCACGCCGCTTCTGGACGCTCATCAGAGGCGCCCCCGAGGTGGTGGCGGAGAACGCCGACGCTGACGCTGACGATGCTGACCCCGAGATCGTGGAGCTTGCGCGACGCATGCGCAAGAATCACGCCTGGTCGCGCAACTATCAGCTCTCGCCGCTGCAGACGCGCTTCCTCGCGCGCTTCGACGCAGAGATGGTCGCCGAGCAGATGCCGGAGCAGCGTCTGCGCAACATCGCCGAGGTTGCCCGCGTGCCGCTACATGTCGCAGTGGAGTGGTACAGCAAGAAGGCCGGCATGCAGCCGCTCGACGAGTCGCACCCGCTCTTCGATGCGCGCAGCAGCAAGCGCGCAAAGACCGGACCCGACGGCACCGTCGTTGCCGCCGTCAAGAAGAGCCGTGCCATGCTCACCAAGCAGCGCGATGAGCGACGCGAGCGCACCGAGCAGTGGGATGCGAAAGTCGCACAATGTCTCGCCGCCGCGGGTGTGCCGCCCGACGACCCGCAGCACGAGCTGCTCACGCTTACGCTGTACACATCGAGCATGCACGGCTCGTGGATCAAGGGCACGGGCGACGTGCAGCTCGACTCGCTTGCGCAGATCATCGACGCCGCCCGAGAGGCGCCGGTCACCGTCAAGGGCGAAGGTGCGGCGAGACGCCAGTCGGAGGCACAGGCGAAGGCTGCGCGCAAGCGCGCCGCACGTGCCATGCGTCAGGCAGAGGCAAAGGCGGCCAGGGAGAGAGCTGGCGGCAGTGAGTCGCCTGCGAGCGGTCTGCGGTGCTGCACTAGGCTGACGATGTGCAGAGCGCAAGCGCGTCGTTCGCTCGAATGTCGCCTGGACGCCTGCGCGCGACGATGACCTGCGCGACGCGGTGGCAGTCATCCGCGTGCGCGACGTCGAGCGTGGCAATAAGCCCAATGGGCGCCAGCAGATGACGGCGCTGCAGCAGCTCTTCCCCGGGCACCAGATGCAGAACATCTCGACCCGCCTGCGCTTCCTGGCCAAGATGGTCGGCGAAGAGGCTTACATGGACGAGCTGCAGAACCAGTGGGCGTTGGTGTATCAGCGCCTGCGCGCCGATGGCGTCCTCAAAGACCAGGACTCGAGCAGCGCCGATGCGTTCGACTTGCCGCAGCACGTCCGGCTGCTGCAGGCCACAGTCAACAAGGCGAACGTGTATAGCAACATTGAGGCGCGCGAAGCGGAGGCGCTCCCGATCGACACGGCGCCGCTGCGCGAGGAGATGCGCGAAGGCGAGCGTCTGCCCGAGGATCTGCCGGAGACAGTCTGGGACGCCGCCACGACACATGACATCGCCGCCAGCGCGGTCGTCCGCGCGCGCTTCATCAAGGGGCAGCCCTTCACGCTGCGCCGAGCAGGCCCTGAGACGAAGCCAATCAGTGCGGCCGAGGGCGTGGCACGCGCCATCGTGCGCATGCATCTCGACATGGACGAGGACGACAAGAAGGGCCTGGTCGCCGGCATGGAGAGCATGGCGGTAGAGCTTGGCGGCAGCATCGACAAGGCGATCGAGGACCTCACCAAGGCGAAGCAGATCCGCCTCGAGCGCGCGCCGACGGACGATGCAGACCTGTCCAACATGCGTGCGCGCCGGCCCGGCTCGAACTACGTCTGGTGCGCCGAGGCCAGCGCGACGAATGCATTTGGCGAGCTCGACCTTGCGGCCGTGGCGCGTGCGCAAGCAGAAGCCGAGCGCAAGCCGCTCACGGAAGTGCGCCCGGACGTCGACGACAACGAGGCGGCCGCGCTGGTGATGCTGCTCAGCGAGCACCGCATTGCGCCGGCGGCGCTCGACATGAAGCAGCTGCGCATGGCGACGCGCGGACTCTTCAACGCAAAGCGGCTGAGTGAGTGCCGGCTGGGCTGAGAGCCTGTGCGCGCGCTGACCTCTCCGCAGGCGATGAAGAGCTCGAGCTGCTCCTGCCGCTGGCGCCCGTCGTCAAGCCGGAGCCCGACGAGCTCATGTCCGAGTCCGTGGAGCCGCCGGAGCACGCCGTGCTGGCGTGGTGCGCCGACGGCGAGGAGGACTGGGAGGACGTGAGCCAGCGCATCGCACAGGCCTGGACCGCCGCGGCGCGCACGTCCCGCCGTGATGGCACGCTCGTGGAGCGTCTGGCGAGCTTGCTCAAAAGCGCCGGCGAGGCGGGCGCGACGCGCGAAGCCGTCGAGGTGAGTAGGGAGAACGTGGAGATGCTCAGCGTGTGCTTACGGATGCCGTCGTCACATCAGGCGGCCTTTGCAGACGCCTCACAGGCTCAACTGCAGCGCGTCATGCGTGTGCCGCTGCACGCTGAGCCTCCGCTGGCCTTCCTGGCCGGCTACAACGAGGCGCGTCTGGTGCACGCGCAGTACCTGCAAGCGTGGACGGTGCGTGCGCTGAGCGCCGAGGCAGCCGTGGTGACGCCCGAGCCGGAGGCCGAGAAGTTGGTGCCCGGGCGCCGCAGGCGCAAGAAGGCCACGCCGCAGCCGACGGACGTGCCGACCGAGGAGGCGGCGCGCCTCGCCGCCGCCGCCACGGCCGCCCTGCGGGCGCGCGCCCGCACGCTCGGGCCGCGCTTCTTCCCGCGCGTCTGGCTCGACCTGCGTGGGCAGCGCTCCGCCAAGGGCCGCTGGCAGCAGGGCGTGCGCAGTGTCGTGACGACGGTGCTTGAGCGCCCTGGTGTGCCTGTGGTGAGTGTCTCTTCTTGCCGAGGTGTGTGTGCACCACGCGCTGACCGCGTCTGGGCGCCCCCACACAAAAGTCACACCTCGTCAGTCTCTTTGCGCAAGCCTCGCGCACCGGCCTGGCATACGACCGTCTCGAGGTCGCCGAACTGCTGGGCGCCGCATGCGCCACGGGCGTGCTGGCGCAGCACCTCGTGCGCGCCGACGGCCTGCGCAGCAGCGACGCGCTCGGCGCGGCGGCGCCCGAGGAGCTCTTCTGCGCGCCGCACGAAGAGCTCTGCCTCTTCCCCACGGGCCGCGACTGGAGTCTGTGCGCCGCTGCTGGCCTGCAGTGATTGCGTGGCGCCGCCACACAGCGACGGCCGATTTACCCCCCAAACGACGAGTCACCATTTACCCTCCGCCCTGACCCTGTATCACCTTGACGAGCGTTTCTTTCCTTCCACTCCTGTATTCCACGCGTCACCCTCCATCCTCTTCTTGAAGCGACACGATATGCATTGCGCCTGCGCACCCCTCGGGGTTGGTGCTAGCCCGTGTGCGCCACGACGTCCGTGCTCAGCTTGCCTCCCTTGAGCGAGTGTCGCAGCTGTTCGGGCAGCGCCACTTCGCGCATCTCGCCCTCTTGCGCGCCCGCGTCGGCGCGCGGCACCGACACGTTGATGGCGCTGCACTTGCTCGTCACAATGTCGGCGTCGAGCCCGGCGGCGCTCAGGTACACCTGGCCCGAGTCGCACGAGTCGAGCAGTATCGTCGGCGTGCGCCCCGTGATCTGCACGGCAAACGAGGGCGAGGCGGTGATTTCGAGGGCCGAGACGAGCGTGTCGAGCAGCAGCGACGTCTTGTGGCAGGAGACTGTCGCCCGAGCGTCGCCGCCTCGTCAGTCAGCAAGGAGGCAGGCAAGAGAGAGGGGAGCGACGACGCACCCATCGACACGGCATTGACCTTGCCGCGCACCTGCACGACACAGTTGCGGCAGCCAAACAGCGTCACCGTCTGGTTGATCTCGGTGTGCTCGACGATGAGGTCGCTTCGGTCCTCCTGGTGTTCCTGTTTAAAGCGGGGACAGCAGCGGGAAGAGGGGGAGGGGGGGGGGGCAGGGGAGGAGAGGGGGTTCAGCATGGGCCCCCTTCCCCACCCAGTGGAGTTGCCAGATGCGGGCTCTCAGGCATGCAAAACTGCACCACACAAACACAACGCACAATGGCCCACTTGTTGCCCTCCAGCTCCATCTTCGGCGCCTTCTTGGCCTTGACGGCCGGCGCTGATGCGCCGGCAGGGCTCGCTGCGCTCTTGGCCGGCACCGGAGCTGGGGGGTTGTGATGGGTGGTGACGGTTAGCCACCCACTTTCCATCGCCCTCCCCCCACTCGCGCGACACGGGGGGCCAAGACTCACCACTGCCGCGCAGCGCCGGGTTCTTGTGCGTCATCTCGCTCTTGTCGACCTTCTTGAGGCCGGCCGTGATGCCCTCGCCCTGCTGCAGCTGCGAGAAGAGCGCCTCCATGCCGCCCGCCGCCGCGGGCGCGGCCGCTGCGCCAGCAGCAGCGGCCGCAGCCGGCGGCGGTGGCGGCGGCGGCGGCGGTGCGCCGCCTGCAGCTGTGCCGGGCCCGGCGGCGGTGCCCGATGCAGCAAAGGCAGATGCTTCGCCGCCCTGTGTGTGAGAAGCGCAAGATCTCAGTTCACCCGGACGCCGGCATTCCATCCGCTGGCTCCCCGCCCTTCTTTCCTTGCACACACACACACACACACACACACACACACTCACCCGAGGATTCCAGCTCAGGCCCGTCGTGTGGTGCTCCTTGACGTACGCGGCCAGTGCGTCGAGGAGGGCAATGTAGGCGCGCGCCCAGCTGGCCGGCGTCTTGTCGGCGGCGTCGCGCGCCTCCTTGAGCACGCGGTTGGTGTAGAACTGCGCCGACTCCTTCATCGACGTGACGTAGGGCGCCGGCTTGGGCTCCTGCGATTTTGACAAACATAGGTCAGAGAGAGGAAAGAGAGAGAGAGAGAGAGGGGGGGGCGGGAAGGAGCAGGGGCCCGTGCGCCCTCCTCAACGTCGCAGCACGCACCACGGCGACCCAGCCCGCCGCACCCGCGCCCTCGGCGACGGCCGAGAGCAGGGGGAAGGCGTCCTTCTGCGAGCGGTTCTTGTCGCGCAGCTCTCCCGCGGCCAGCAGCGGCGTCTGCAGCGGCGCGAGCAGCTTGACAAACTCGGGGCCCGGACCCGTGGCGGGCGACGAGCCGGCGGGCTTGCGCGACGCGGCGGCGAGGGCGACGAGATGGCGCTGGGCGGCAAAGGCGGCGACGATGTGCTTTGCCTGTGTTGTGTGTGAGAAGGGGCCCAAGCAGAGGCAGGATGCGCCAAGCGAGCAAGACGCACCTGCTCGGCCACGACGCCGCCGATGCGGCTGCTCAGCTGCGCGTACTCGGCCACCTTGGGCTGCACACTCTCGTCCCACGCCTCGAGCTGCGGCGGCAGCTCTGCGGGCGCTGGCGGTGCTGCGGGCGGCGCAGGCGGCGCCGGCGGAGCAGGCGGTGCAGGCGGCGCTGTGGGGACGGAGGCGGCGGCAGGCGGCAGCGGCGGCGGCGCGCTGCTGCTCTGCGCGGCGGCCTGCTGCGCCAGCGCCATGTCCTCGAGGCGGCTCGTGGCGGCCTCGAGGCGCTTGAGCAGCGTGCCGAGGTTGCCGATGCCCGACGTGGCGAGGGCGGTGTTGGGCATGCTTGTTGCTGGATGGGGTGGATGGGAGGAGGGAACAACAGGCTCAGGGGCTCGAGGCGCGCCTTGACGCGGCCGTGCCAGCTCAACCAACGCCCGTGCGCGCTCGCGACTCCGGCGCAGCGGCGCGCGCTTGCCGAGCTGCTTGGCGTGGCTGTGCCTTCCCGCTGCGCGCCCCACGCCGGCGTCTTCGGCAATCTGGCCTCCTCCACTCGCTCGTCCGTCGTTTCCTCGGCGCAAGTCTGGCGACACTTGCCTTCATCCCACAACACCCAGCAAAGCAAATGACGTCCCACCTGCCCCTCCTCGACGTGGCGAGCATCTACTCTGCGGCGCGCCAGCCGCGCGAGGCGCAGCGCTGGCACGCCCTCACGCAGCGCTTCGAGGCCGAGTATGGCGCGCCGCCGCACTTTGTCGCGCGCGCGCCGGGGCGCGTCAACATCATCGGTGCGTAGTGGGCTTGCAGGGGAGAGACCAACCTCTGTGGCGCTGACACTGTCACACTTGCAGGCGAGCACATCGACCACATGGGCTTCGCCGTGCTGCCCGCCGCGCTGGAGATGGACATTCTGATGCTGGTGCGCGTCACGCGTGCGCCCGACGGCGAGGCGCCGCCGCCGACGCTGCGCGTCGAGCTGCGCAACACGGCGCCGCGCTTCGAGGCGGCCAGCTTCGAGTGCGCCGTGGCAGACCTGCAGGGCGTCGAGCTGCAGCATGAGGGCGCCGCACGCTGGGCCAACTATTGGAAGGTCGCGCTCAGGGTGAGTTGTCTTGCGCGCGTGCCGGAGGGGGGGCGAGGCAGACCTGGCAGTATCTGGCCAGACAGCATAGCATGGCAGAAGTGGGCTCACATGGCGTGTGTCATCGCTAGGGCCTGCACCCGCACCTGCCCGCCTCGGTGCTCGACTCCGCCTCGCGGCCCACAAAGCTCGAGGTGCTCGTCGACGGCACGATTCCGCCCGAGTCGTCGCTCAGCAGCAGTGCGGCCATGACGGTGTGCAGCAGCATGGTGGTGCTCGAGGCGTTTGGCGCGCGCGCACTCATCGGCCGCGAGGAGATGGCGGATGTGGCCATTGAGAGTGGTGCGTGATTCCCCCCCCCCCCCTCTCCAACCCATGCCCCCGGTCTCTGCTGACAAAGAGAGAGCCAGAGCGCCTGGTCGGCGTCGCCTCGGGCGGCATGGACCAAGCGGCGTCCATCTTCGGCGTGCCATCGCACGCGCTGCACATTTCCTTCTTCCCCAAGCTGGCCATCCGCGCGCTGCGCCTCCCCGACTCGACGCCCAAGCACACCCTGCTCATTGCCAACACGCTCGTCGTCTCGGACAAGAAGGTCTCGGGCCCCGTGCAGTACAACCTGCGCGTCGTCGAGCTCTGGATGGCCGCGCGCGTGCTGGCCAAGCAGCTCGGCCTGCCGCGCGACGCGAGCACAAAGACGCTGCGCAAGCTCATGCACGTGTACTTTGAGAAGCACCCGCTGGAGGAGGACGAGGCCGCGCAAGAGCTGGGCGAAGAGGCGGCGCAGATCAAGAAGCTCGGCCAGCTGGCAGAGCAACTCCTGCCAAGCCACGACGTGACGCGCGCAGAGGTGGAGCAGCTGACGGGCTTTGAGGGCGAGGCGTTTGAGCAGGAGTTCCTCTCTGCCTTCCCGAGTGAGTTGTGAAGCCCCCCCCCCCCCCCCGGGGGGCGAAAAGGGGGGGGGGGGGGGGGGGGGGACATGCCCACACACCGATCCGCACTTTGACTCACCTCCCTTCCGTCTCGCAACACCAGTCCGCGCCGACAAGTTCCGCCTGCAAGCGCGCACGCGCCACGTCTTTGCCGAGGCGTATCGCGTGCACGAGTTTGCCGCGCTGGCCGCGCGCGCACACGAGGGCGTGTACGCGGAGCTGGGCGCGCTGATGAATGCCTCGCAGGCGTCGCTGATGCTCGACTACGAGAACGGCTGCGCCGAGATTCTCGACGTGGTGCGTCTGGCGCGCGAGGCGGGCGCCGAGGGCTCGCGCGCAACGGGCGCCGGATGGGGAGGCAGCACGGTGCATCTGGTGCGCGAGGACCGCGTGGACAAGGTGCTCGAGGCGCTCCGCACGCACTTCTACAAGAAGCGCTGGCCCGAGCTCGGCGAGGAAGAGCTCGAACAGAGCCTCCTCGTCAGCGACCCGGCGTCGGGCGCGGGCCTGATGCTGCTGGACTGAGCGAGGTACCGCAAACGTGCATCCGCATCCCGCAATGGCAATCGCAGCTAAGACCAAGGTCGTGGCACTGCTCGAGAAGTGAAGCGCTATGCATCCCGAAGGCCGGCAAGGGGCCAGATCGGAGGCAGTCACGCAGGGCTTTTCATTGAGCTGCAGCTGAGCACGCAGACGCCCGCCGAGCCTTCTCCTCGCGGGCGCAGCTCTGGCATCCCTTCCATGGCTTCGAAGCCGTCGCCCCCCAGCCCAGTTGGCAGGCAGCATCAAGCAGCGGCCGTCTCTGCACCTTGGAGATTGCCCTGTCTCTCTCTCTGCTGCGCTGCCATGCCTCTGGCGTGCGCGGGTGAGCAAGCTGCACTTCGTCCCGTGCTGGCTGGCAGCAGCTGCCTCGGCAGTTCTCGCAAGTGCCCGATGGGAAATGGGCGCGCGCTCCACGCGCTCCACTGTCCGCCCGCGCTCGCGAGTAGCACGAGGCCAGCCAAGGCCCAGTCAGAGTGGCAGCAGCCAAAAGGTCTCCTCTGCTCGTCCTCTGCCCAATGCACCTCACGCCGCCATGCTGGGTGTTCAGTGATGGCGATTAGCGGAACATGCACCTCTCTCTCTCCCCTTCCTTCTCCTCTGGCCTGAGCGCTGCGCGTGCTGCCTACTGGCCGATGGCAATCTGGTGCTGCTTCAGCGCCGGCGCGCGCGGCTTGGGCGTCGAGGGCGAGCCGGGCTTCTTCGACGGCTCGGCGTCGCAGCCGCCCGGGTTGAGACGGTTGCGCGGCCAGTCCTAAGGCGAAGAAGAGGGCAACGGGTCAGCACTGGTCACTCCTGCCACACATGCACGCCAGCAGCGCACCTGCTCGTAGCCGCCCTCGGGCTGCGTGTTGCCCCACAGCGTCAGGTTGGCGTTCGTGTAGGCGGGCATGTGGCGCTCAATGTACGCGCTCGTCGGGAAGTCCGGCGGGTCGCAGCCGACGTTGATCTGGCCTTTGGGCTGGTACACTCGCACTGCCGAGGGAATGTCAGCAGGTGCCGCATCGGACGTCAACGAGCGGCACGCACCCCAGTCGACGGACATGACGGCGGGCCAGAGATCCGCCAGGCCCTCCCAGTCGACGGTGCCGAAGTTGCTCGACATGCCGAGGTTGAGGATGATGTACATGGGCTCCTGCGGCACGGGCCGGTCCGAGATGCCCGACTGCGGGTCCGCCTCCAGGGCAGCGGCGTTGAGGCGCCAGGCCTTCTCGCCGCCCGAGACCCACTCGATGTAGCCGCCGTGTCCGGCCTGATACTCGAAGCCGTACTCGGCAAAGGAGCCGTCGCCGCCGTACTGCATGGCGCCCTGCGGCGTCGCCGTGACGGCACTGAGCGCCTGCTGCGTCACCTCGCCCGTGTAGCCGTTGTGCTTCGTGCTCTTCTGGTAGAAGGAGAAGGCCGGCCCACTGGCGTTGCTCGGCGTGTAGAGCAGGTTGAAGGGCGCAGCCTGCGCCGACTGCGACACCGTCATCTTGCCGTTCTCCACCTGGCTCTCGAAGACGTCAATCTCGGGCGCCGAGCGTCCCTGCCACGTGCCGTCGGGCAGCTTCGGGCCGGGATGGTCGTCGTCGGGACATGTGCACGCCGAGAGACGCTGCCCCGTGAGGAAGGAGAGTGCGTTGGTGCCGTGCTTGCGGTTGAAGACAGTGTCGCCGCCCGTCAGCGCCGCGACGGGCGTCGAGTTGGTGTAGGTCTGGTTCTGCAGCGTGCCCACGTCACATGCTGTGCAGCATCGTCAGCTGTGCTCACATCCTGCGTGCCGCGCCGTCGCTGACTCACTGTCGTACGTGTAAGGCCAGTTGCCCTCGAGCGAAGCGCCGTAGCCTGCTCGCCCGAGATTGCCCATCGCCCAGAACGCAGGCCACAGGCCGCCGACGTCTGCGCGGCCGGGCATGCGCACCGAGGCGGCCAGGTAGCCGCCGGTGAAGCACATCTTGTTCCAGCTCTGCAGCATGCCGCCGCGGAAGTTGAGGTTGTGCTCCGGCGTCTCGCTGAGCGTGATCTGCAGCGCGCCGTCGCTCGTCGTCACGGCGGCCGGGTCGTACCACTCGTAGTTCTGCGACGAAGGAAGTCAGACAAAGCATGTCTCGGCTGGCCTCCCGCAATGCTCACGTTCGTGCCCCAGTAGTGCAGATCGACTGCTTCCCAGAACGGGTCATCGCCCGGGTAGAAGCTGCGCCCAGCGGTCTCGAACTCGTCTGAGAAGACGAGCTCAAACTCTGTCGTGCCGTCGAGGCCGATGCGCGTCAGCGCCTCCTGCGGCGTGTCGGGGTCGATGAGCGACGTGCGCATGCCCTTGATGTCGGCCACCTGGCCACTGGCATTGGTGCCGCCCAAATTGAAGCCGCCCTTGGTCGAGATGTGCGGGCCGAGTGCGTACGAGACGACAGGATAGCCGGCAAAGAGGCCGAGCAGGCCGCAGCCGAGCACGACGAGCGTGCCGATGTTGAGCATGCCGCGCACCGACATGGCCGGGCTCTTGCCCGAGTCGATGCGCGGGTCGTGCAGCGCATCGTCGGGCTCCGGCGCGTTCTTGATGTCCGCCCAGCCGGCAGGCGTCGTGGGCAGCGTGTAGGCCGAGTGCGCCATGTTGGACGACGGCGTGGAGCGGTGCCGCACGCCACTGATGCCGCCGGCACTCATGTCGACGCTCTTCGACGAGCCGCGCAGAGAGCTGAAGCGCCCTGCGGCCCACGCGGGGTCGTCGCTGCCGCGCGGCGAGGCGTGCGCGCTGGAGAGCACCGACGCCGGCGGCGAGTTGGCCCAGCGCGGCGAGCCGAACGACGTGGGTGATTGCTGCGCGGCCGCATGCGTGTGAGATCCCGCATGCTCCAGCTGTCTCTCCTCTCCTCTTCCTGACGCACTCACCGCATACTTTGGCCGCGAGCTTATCCGCGCGCCCGGCGCCGAGCCCGTGCCCACGCCGACCCCGACGCCGGCGCCGCCGGAGCCCGGGTTGTTCGGGTTGGCATAGTGGCCCTCGCTGCTGCTGTCGGGACTCTGCGGCAGCAGGCCGTCCATGCTGGCGTTGTCGGCCGCCGAGTACGTCGAGTGGATGCTCTGCGCGGTGAAGGAGCGCTCGCCGGCGTCGTGTGACGCGGAGGACATGCTGGGCGAGAGGAGAGGCGAGAGGCGCAGTACAGGGAGCGAGGACGTGGAGACTGGTCAGGCGTGGGTCTCGCGAGAGTCAACGACCTCGGGCGTGCGGCGAGTGCGCCGAGTGGCCGTGAATAGACCCCGCACGAAAGAGGTGATTAGTGTGGAAGGTGAGAAGGCGAAACGGAGCTGCGGTGCGAGGAGGGAGAGGGAGGTGACGAGAGGTGTGAAATGCGAGAGCTGGCTTGCTAGGAGGCGAGGCGATGATGTGGCGGCGGCGCTAGGAGACAACAGAGGGACAGATTGCGGAGACGGCAGCGGCGCGACAGGGGCGGCGCCGGGCGCAGAAGGAGCGAAGAGAAGGATGCAAGAGGCCGGCCGTGCTGCGCGAGAGGCGAATGGCGCAAGAAGTCTCTGTGTGAGAGGGTCAAGAGAGGAGCCAACGAGGTGAAAGCAGCGAAGAGGACCGGGCGAGGAGGGCGGTGATGAGGAGGCGAAGATCAAGAGAGCGCCCGGCGGCGACACCAACAGCCTGCGCCCTCGGAGCCCGTGCCTTCGAGGCCAGCTTCAGGCGCAGCTGCATGCGAGCGATTCGAGCGGGCGATCCGGGCCCTCGAGGGCGGGCCTCCAGCAGCAGTGCAGCGTTGACGCTGCGGCGGCTGCGTGCAGCGTGCCGGGCCTACGTCGGCGGCGGGCGCTGTGGAGTAGCGCGAAGGAGGAGTGCCGGCCGCGCTCGCTGACACGCGCGCACAGAGAGGCTCCGTGCGTGCAGCGGCACCGCCGGCGCTGTGGCTGCAGCTTGCTTGCCTCGCTGCTGCTGCTGGGTGCGGCTGTGCCTCGCATGAGGGCTCAAGTGCCGGCGGCCCGCCGGCCGGCGAGCTTTGATGTTTGATTGTGCCGAGGCACGACGGCTGCGGCACGAGCCCCTCGGTGCTCCTCTCGCTCTCGGCTCCGGACTTGCGAGGGGCACGCGGCGGAGTCGCTGCGCTGTGCAGGTCGCCGCAGGCAGCGCGCAGGCAGCGCGCAGGAGATGACTCCACGCGCGCTCACACCGACGCCGCCGCAGCACGCCGCGCAAGGGGCACACCGTCGGGCGCCCCTCCAAGCCCGCCGAGCGAAGCAAGGACGTCGCGCGAAGCATGCTTTGCAGCTGAGCATGCTCTCACCCTCCAGCCCTCCCCCCAGCGCCTACGGGCGGCGCACGCCGTGTGCTTGTAGGGCAGGCCAGCCTCAGGGCCCCGGCGCAGGAAAGCAGATCGCCGCCCATGCTGCATGCTGCGTCTGCTGCTGCGCGCTTCCTGCCGGCGGCGCCGACGCGTGCGCCGCGCATGCATGCCTCGCCGAGCGGCGGCATGTCGTCGCACGACTCGTCCAGTGCCGCCGGCTCACGGTGTGGCTGCGGCGTGCGGAGCCCCTTGGCTTGACGGCACCGGCACCGGCGAGCAGCGAGCTTTGCTTGGGCTCCTCTGCGTGCGATGCCTCTCGCGTCTCTCCACCGATGCCGGCCTCACGTATGGTTCGGCCGCACAACCAGCAGACTCCTGCGTCCGGCCGCCGGCCTGCAGCGCTGCCGCCGCTTGCTGCTTCTTTTCCGGCACGCCGCGAGATGGCAGGGCGCTTCGCTGCGTGCGGTGCGCATCGCCTCTGCTCGACGGGCCGCTGCGGCAGGCGCTCGGCCTCTGGCGCCGTCAGCTCCGCATGCGATGGCAGCTCGCCGCAGCGGTGCCATCGCGACATCAGACCGAGGCACAGGACTGCCGAGCCTTGGACGCGCTCCGATGTCTGTAAGCCAGACAAACACGGTGCAGACGACGTGCAGCCCCCACCTCAGCGGCAGCAGGGCGCAGCTCAGCCCGCAAGTCAGAGGGCGCTGACTCGCACCCCTCTTGATGCTGCTGAACATCCGGCGAGGAAGGCATGCGCGCCGCCTTCTGGTGCGCTTCGCGTAGGAGCGCACGCACGGCGCAACGCACGCACGCGCATGTGTGGCTGAGGGCGAGCGCCTAGCGTCCTTTCAGACGGTCTCGGCCGTCTTGCCCCCTGACAGCACGTTAGCAGCCGGCCGCCGTCGTGCGTGTTGCGCAAGCGGACAGACAGCTCGACGCCCCTCTCGAGCTGCACCTCGCATTGATCCCTCAATCAAAAGCTACGGCGCAGGCGCAGCGGTCGAGACCACGCGCGTGCAAGGACGGCGCAACACGGCAGCCACAGCAACTGCACCATCGGGCAGCCTGTACATCTCGCACGTGCACGCTGCGATGACTGATGCGCACTCTCAAGCCCGCCTCAGGTACCCCCTTCAAGCATCTATTTGACCCTACGTCGCTTCATGCCTTGGTCCCTCTCCGCTTCAGCACCGCCTCGTTGAGGTCGCCCAGCAGCTTGACCGTCTCCTCCCACCCGACGCACGCATCGGTGAGCGAGACGCCCTTCTTGAGGTCGGCGAGGGTGCCGCCGGCCGGCATGCTCTGCGCGCCCGCCTCCAGATTCGACTCGAGCATGACACCCGTGATGGCGCGCTCGCCGGCCGCGAGCTGCTCGCAGACTGGTGCAGAGCGTCAGCATGGGCACAAAGCCAGGCAGGGCAAAGCGAGGCGGCTGCAGGGCACGTCGTCTTTCCAAACGATTCGCACGCTCGGCTTCTCTGCCATCTGACTCACCAGCGGCGACACCGAGCGACTGCTTCCGGTAGTCCTTCTGGCTGTTGCCATGGCTGCAGTCGACCATGATCGACGGCGTGCGGCCCTCCTTCTGCATCGTCGCTGCGCTGGCCTGCACGCTCTCGGCGTCGTAGTTCGTCTTGCCGCCGCCGCCGCGGTGCACAATGTGCAGGTCGGCATTGCCCGTCGTGCGCACAATGGCCGCCAGACCCTGCGACGTCACACCCATGAAGGCGTGCGGCTGTGCCGAAGCGCGGATCGCATCGAGCGCGACGCGCAGCGAGCCGTCCGTGCCGTTCTTGAAGCCGATCGGCATCGAGAGACCAGACACTGCAGCACGCGTCAGCGCTGGAGACAAGCTACAAGCGTCTCCCGCGGACTCACCCAGCTCGCGGTGCAGCTGGCTCTCCGTCGTGCGTGCGCCAATGGCGCCCCACGAGTACAGGTCGGACGTGTACTGCGGCGAGATCGTGTCGAGCACCTCGCACGCCAGCGGCAGGCCGAGCGACGTCAGGTTGATGAGCAGCTCGCGAGCGATCTGGGCAGGAGGGGTGTGAGCCGAGAGCTGAGGAAACATGGCTGTGCCGAGGCGCCAGGCTCTCGCAGCGTGCCTTACAGAGCAGCCCTCGGCCCGCCTCGTCTCTGCAGCAGCGACCGTGCTCCAACGTCCACTCACCTTCAGGCCGCGGTTGATCTGGAAGCTGCCGTTGATGTCGGGGTCGTTGATGAGGCCCTTCCAGCCGACGGTGGTGCGCGGCTCTGCAAGCGGCCGAGTCAGCAGATGCGCGAGCATCAGCAGCTCTGCTGCCCGCCGCCCGCCGCAGCGGCAGAATGCCTCATGCTCTTCCATCCTTGCGCCTCGTGCTGGCTCCACTCACTCTCGAAGTACGCGCGCATGATGACGACCAGGCCGGGCCACTTGGGCATCTCCTTGACGAGGCGCTCGCCGTACTCGATGGCCTCCTCGGGGTTGTGGATGCTGCAGGGGCCGACAACGACGACGAGGCGGTCGTCGCGGCCCGCAATCACGGCGCTGGCCTCGCCGCGGCCGCGCGCCACGGTGCGCCGCCCGGCCTCGCTGAGCGGCGTCTCGTGCAGCAGCAGCGCGGGCGCAATGAGGGGCTCGTAGCCGGCAACGTGCACGTCCTGCGAGTAGACGTAGGCATCGCCGTTGGACGCAGATGCGGCGGCGCCGTTGGCGGCGAGCGAGTCGACGAGCGGCGGAGCGGCGTCGGCAGTCATGGTTGGGGCAGGTGTTGGTGTGAGAAGGAAGGAAGGTCTGCGGGGCACAGCGAAGGCGCGCTGCGAACGTGACTCGCTTCCCGCGGCGGTGCCCGAGTGCCGGTCGCCGAGCCTGGACCGACCTCCTTCGCGGCGGGGGGCGAAGGCGCAGCGGCGCCCCGGGCGATTCGGCCGACGTCACTGCGCCGCGGCTGAACTGCGCGCTCTGCCAGCGCTGCCGCCTCGTTCCCACGACAGTCACGCAGCAGCAGGGAGAGGGTTGCAGGGCAGATGTGTTGCAAGAGGTACAGCAGAAGCAAATGACTCTACGTCCCGTCTCGGTAACGGTGCGACAGGGACTCAGCCCTGCACCGTACTCTGGCTCGTCCACGAGTCGCGCGTGCCGCGGTGCTCGGCGTCGCCGGTGTCCTCGACGCGCTCCAGCGCTTCGTCTTCCTCCGCGCCGTGAGCATCGTCCGCGGCAGCCGTAGCCTCCGCTTGCCGTGCGTCGGCGAGCAGACGTACTACGTCGCTGCGTGCGCATGGCTGCGAGAGGAAGTCGCTCTGCAGGGAGGGTGCGTGAGCAGGCAAGCACGAGGGGCGAGGGACGATGCACGCACCGAGGTCAGCATGTCGGCCGTGGGGCGCGACTCGGGATCCATCTCCGTGCACCACGCCAGGAACTGGCGCAGCGCTGGCGACGAGCGGTCTGGCTGCGACAGCGGCGGCAGGCCGAGCTTGGCCGTGAGCGTGATGGCCTATGGAAGGAGACGTCAGCTGATGCTCGCGCATGGGTCACTGCGGCCAACTCACGCGCAGGGCCGGAAAGTCGACGCGCGGCGGGTCGCCCTCGACCATCTCGTAGATGACCACGCCGAGCGACCACACGTCGACGCGCGCATCGTACGGCCTGGCCTTGACCACCTCTGGCGCCATCCAGTACGCCGTGCCCACGACGCTGGTGCGGCGGCTGCCCTCGCGCGGACGCGGCGCCAGCTGAGCAGCATGCGTAAAGTCGGCCAGCTTGGCGTGGCCGTCGTGGTCGAAGAGGATGTTGTCGGAGCGTACGTCGCGGTGCAGCACGTTGCGGCCGTGCAGGAACTCGAGTGCCTCGACGACATCGAGCACGATGCGGCTCATCATGGGCTCGCTCGGCTCGACGCGCTGCGCGCGCAGCGCGATCACGTCGGCGAGCGACATGGCCATGAGCTCCTGCACGATCCACACGCCTGGGTGCGGGCCCTCGGCGGTGAAGTAGACGTCGTGCAGCGCCAGCAGGTGCGCATGGGCACTCTGCTTCCACAGCGCCAGCTCCTGGTCGAGCGACTTGAGCCGGCTCGCCTGCTCCTCGTCGCTGTGCAGGCACACGACCTTGACGGCGAGCGCCGCGCCGCCACGCACTGGCACCGCGGAGAAGACGTCGCCCGAGTCGCCCTCGCCGATCATCGTCAGCTCGCCAAAGACCTTCGTCGGCGGCTCGCCGCGCAGGAAAGGTCCTGCAGGGCGGTGTCAGCCAGCGATCCAGGGGAGTGACGGGGCACGACTCACCGAGATGCCGCACGACTGGCGGCAGCGACGAATACAGGTCGGCAATGGGCGACACAGGCGCCGAGTCCTTGCGCCGGTCCTGTGGCTTGGCTGCCGCGCTTGTGTCCAGCAGAGTGCTTGCTGTCTTGGCACCCGGAGGCAGACGAGGCACGGGCGGCACATCGCTGGCCGAAGCAGTGACGATGGTAGGCAGCATCACCTCGTCCAGATCCACGCTCTGCCGGTCGCGCATCAGGCGCGCAAAGCTGGCACTGCTCTCTGCGTCGAGCGACAGGCCCTCTTCAAAGCCACTGACGCCCGAGGCATAGTGCATCGACACTGGAAAGCGACGCACGTCCTCCGAGCGTCGTGCACGGCGAGAGCCGTGTCGGCCACTGCGAGAGCTGCGCGACGAGGTGCGGCTGCCGGGCCGCGCGGCGGCGGCGGCCTCGAGCGCTCCGCGATCGGCACTCGGTGGGCCCCAGGGCGAGGCTGAGCCTGCACGCATGCCGTCGTAGCCGGCGTCCGTCTCTGGCATACTTGAGATGGACGCAGGTCGGCCGTTGCTCGAGTTGCGCTCGTCCTCGTCTTCACTTCCATCACTGTCGAAGCTGCTCGAGAGCTGCCCAGTCCCGTCCTTGACCGCAGGAGGCGGCGGCAGAGAGCGGACGCGGCCCTCATTGGGCGGCGGCGTCAGCAAGCGCGGACTGGGCTCACTGGGCGAGACGCCTGCCGAGCCCGAGCCACCACCGCGCTCATCGGACAGCCACTCGTCCAGGAAGCTAGGGCTGCCGTAGCCCGGCTCAATGCTGGCGTCGTCGCTCTGCCCTGGCCACAGGGACAGCGAGAGCTTGGGCGCAGGCGCGCGCAGCGAGCTGCTGCCACGAGGCTGCTCGCGCTCGCTGTCTGTCGACTCAAACTCGCTGAGCGGCGAGCTGGGCGGCGGCCACCTGGGTGCGCTCGGGCTGGCATCTGCAACGCGCGGCGAGTGCGAGCGCAGCTCCGGCGAGGGCTGGAAGCGCTCGCGCGAGGCAGAGCTGAGCGGCTGGACTGGCGAGTACGATCCAAGAGACGATGGCGACGGCGCTGTGTAGAAGCCGTTGGCGCTTGGCAGGATGAAGTCGGGCGTCGGCGCGCCTGGTGGCACACGCGCAGCCTTCGGCGGCAGTGGCGGACCCTCGCGTGAGCTCGAGAAAGACGTCATTGAGCCGGCGCTGGTGCGCGCTGTGGAGTCGTCGAGATGCCCTGCGGAAGAGGCAGGCACGCCGCCGGTCTGCTCTGAGCTGACGGAGCCGTGCGAGCTCTTGGAGCCGGCGCGAGGCCGCATGCGCAGCCCAGCACTGAGCGTCGTGGAGAGCAGCGCGTCGCCAGCGTGCGAGGTCGACGAGCCATCGCCGTTGCGAGACGAGGCGCGCGACTCGCTCGGCGTCGTCTTGCCGTTCGAGTGCCCGCCGCTGCCACTGCTGCCGAGCTCCTTCTCGGCCTGCAGAGCACGCGCCTCGGCGCGCTTGAAGCCGATCGAGTACGGCGAGAGCGAGTCCTTCTCGGGGTCAACGGGCGTCGAGCGCGAGGCGCTCGGATGATAGATGCGCAGCGGGGCATTGCGCCGCTCTCGCAGACCAAGGCCGGGGTTCGCTGCCTCACCCGATGCGGATGTTTCCGAAGCGCCAGCCTCGGCTGAAAGACTGCCTGTGCGAGGTCGCGGAGGCGCGGCGCTGTAGGCGGCAGCTGCTGCAGTCGCAGTGTGACCCGTGTCGGAAGAGTGAGAGGCCGGTTTGCGCAACTGCTCTCGCAGCGTCGGCGGCTTCTCGACAGCAGGAGCGCTCGGTGGCGGTGGCGTCGCACTACCAGCCGCGCTGCGCAAGCCATTTGTCGAGCCAGCAGCGCCATAGTGCATCCCGAACGGCGCACTTGCCAGGCCCGCCTTCTGCAGCGGCGCCAGCAGAGGCGACGCGGCAGGGTTGTACGGCGCCGGCGCCGTCAGTGCGCCCACACTCGGTCGTCGCTCGCCCTGCACGGCAGCCACGAGCGGCGAGCTGTTGGCGACGTACGGCCTCGACGAGCCATCTCCGGTCGTCGCCAGCAACAGGGCCGGCGAGACGCTTGGCGCCACGCTGCGCGCGCCAATGAGCGGTCCCGCGCGCGAGGCGAGCGGCGTAGGGATGGAGTGAGACTCGGTGCTGCCGCGCGTCGAAAGCAAGCTGGCGGCAGGCGAGCGTCCACGATCAATGCCAGCGGCAGCGGCAGTTGAAGTAGACCAGCTGTCGGATGCGCGACTATCGCGCGGCGTAGCGGTGGAGCCACTGCGGATGCGCGCGTCGCTGGGCCGAGCAGAAGGCAGGCCATCTGACGTGCTTGGCTTGCCGGCACTCGCGCTGGGCCGTCGTGAGCCGGCGATGAGCTGCGAGGCACGTAGCGCGCGCGGCTTGTCCGTCGAGACTTTGGACGCTGTGGAGATGAGCGCCGGCTCGTCCGCCATGAATGAGTCTTCAGGCGACTCGCCGCGCAGGCCCAAGCCACGAGTCGTGGGCGAAGAGGGCGAGCCAGACCGCGCAAACAGATCATGGCTGCCGCTGAAGGAGCGCGAGCGACGCTTGGCCGCAGCTGCAGCAGCGACGTCCTTCTTGGGGCTCACCGTCTTTGCAAGCGCAGCGCCAAGCAGGTCTGCGCTCCAGTCATCGGACTCATGCGAGATGTCCGGCAGCGTCTGGCGCTCCAGCTCCGCCTGCTGCTCCAGCCGCCGCTCGCGCGCCGCCTGAGCCTCGCGCTGCTCCTCTCGCTTGCGCGCCAGATCGCTTGCCAGCCGATCTGCCTCTGCTGGATCGGCGCGTGCCTCGTCGGCACTCATGTGGCCCTGCTCTAGCATGGCGGCCCAGCTGGCCGGCAGGCCAGTATAGCCCTGCGGCCCGACATCAACGTGCACGTTGTGCTTGACCTGCGTGGGCAGGCCGATCGCTGGATCATCGGCGTAGTGCGGCATGCTGCCTTGTCGCGGCGAGCTGTGCAGCCGCGGCGAGCGCACGGCAGAGGCAGCACTGGCGGCCCAGGAGGCCTTGGGCATGGGCGGTGGTGCCTCTCGATCTCGAGCGCGCGCCCACGACGCAGAAAGATCGGACGCTGACCTGCTCGCGGCGGCGTTCAGCCTCCGCAGACTTGCGCCTGCGCCGCGCTCCGTCTTGGCCTGCCGCGAGCTGGCCGACGTAGGCGAGGCGCCGTCAGTCGATGACAGCGGCGGCGAGGCTGCCCGCCCGGGCCCACGCAGCGCTGTGGCCTTGCCCGCCAGCTTGCGCAGGCCGGCGCCGACGCTCGAGGCGCCCTTGAGCGCCGAGCGCGAGCCAGAGCGGGCGCGCGCCTGCAGTGTCGTCTGCGATGCCGCCGCCTCGGTCGAGGCATAGAAGCCGTCGTGCGAAGTGCCGCCGCTGCCGTTGTGCTGGCTGCGCTGGCTGCTCGCGGTGCTGGGCCGCAGCGAGGCATAGGAGCCGCTGCTGCTCATGCCTATGCTGGCGCTGGCAGTGCCGTGTGCGCGCCGGCTCGACTCGGCGGATGAAGAGCCACCTTGTACGGACGCAGTGCGAAACGACGCAGCGTCGTCATCCCCGTCATCCGAGCCGGGCGGCGGCAGCGGCGGCAGCTCGCGCTCGCGGCTGCGTGCTGCGGCAGCGCTGCTAAGCGCCGGACTGGCACGAGCGGCGCTGGCCCACTGCGGACCCGGACTGCGCTGCCCGCTGCTGGAGGCATACGGACTGCGCGCCGAGTCGTACGAGGCGTAGTAGTCCTCCAGCTCCTCGTCGTAGCCGGCGTACGGCGCCGCGTGCCCGTGCGACGAGGAGGAGGCGGCGGCGTGCATGAGCGGCGAGCGCAGCGCACCGCTACTGCTGCCGGCGCTGCTGCTGGTGGCGGAGAGAAAGGAGGCAGAGCGCAGTTGTCCACCGCCGCTGCTGCTGCCGGCTGCCGGCGACGCGGGCGCCCAGAGCGAGGCGGGCGAGTGGCCGGGCAGCGGACTGCGCGGCGCGGCGCCGCTGCCCGCCGCGCGCGAGGCGTGCTCGGAGAGCATGTGCGGGACGCACGCCTGCGCTCTGCCGGCGCGGTGCTATGGGAGAGGCAGCACGGGGACGAGAGAGGGTGCGAAGCGGAGAGGGCGCGGGGGGTGCTGCGTCGGACGGCGCAGAGGGTGGCGCGGGCCGGCGGCGAAATAGCGTAACGAGCGTGAGGCGAGGCGGTCGGAGCGAATGCAGTGGTGAGCTACGGCGACTTGGCTCGTCGCAGGTGCTGCGAGGGAGGAGACCGGAGACGCGGAGACGGAGGAGCTGACGAGACCAACAGACGGAGCGCGAAGGCAAGAGCAGAGCGAGGCAAGCGGCGACTCGCGCTTGCCTCCTCTGCATGCCCCCGTGGGAGCAGCGCGCGCGAGATTGCCTCCGCCTGCGCCAGAATCGCGACGCTGACGGCGTGCCTGCCTGTGCGGCGCGGGCGCAGCGGCGGCGCAGCAGCGGTGCGCCGTTAGGTTGGCCTGCCTCTGCCTCTGCGCTGCGCACGCTCCGCCGCCGCATCAGCTCCTGTCTCTGCCCTCCACTCCACCCCCATCGCCGCTCCTTCTCACGCCGCACGCAGGCCCGCGCCATGCTCGCCTCTCTGCGCCGGCACTCGGCCGCCGGCAGCATGCGTCTGGCCGCGCTGCTGCCGCTGCTCTGTGCGCTGCTACTCTGCACCGCGCTGCCGGGCCTCCACGTCGGTGCCAGTGCGCAGCCGCAGCAGCATGCCTTCCTGCCCGCCTCGCTCGCCGCACCTCTCACTGCCGACGACGCCCCGCACGGCGCCGGCGCCAACCTGCTCGACCTGCTCTCCGCCTCGCGCAACCACACGCTCTTCGTGCGCATGCTGCAGCGCACGCGTCTCGTGCCCACCATCAACCGCCTCATGCTGCTCGACGACGGCAGCGGCCTCACCATCTTTGCGCCGACCGACGCCGCCGTGCTGCGCCAGCGCGACGCGGAGCGCGAGCTACGCATGCGTGCTGCGCAGGGCGCTGCGTTCAGAGATGACGACGGCTTCGAGATGCGGAGCCCTGCGTGGCCGTACCCGCGCCAGGCGCGCAGCGTGTGGGAGTGGGCCGTCGAGCTGGCCGCTCAGCCCGAGATGGCGCCGGCTGAAGCTGCAGCACTCAGCGTGCCAGTCTGGACCGATGCTCGGCGCGAGGAGCAGTGGCACACGCTGGACAATGTGCACGCACTGCTGCGCACGCAGCTGCTGTATCACATGCTCAACTACACGCTGCCGTACGACGTCTTGGCACTCGGCGCCGGCGGGCGACCTCTGCCGCCAGTGGGGCACGCAGACATGCTCACGACGCTCCACCGCCCCTCGAGACGCACGCTGCACACGCCCACGCGTCCCGGACCGGTGCCGCCGCCGCCGAGCTCGCCGCCGCACCCGGGCGCCGAAGAGGACGAGGGCGGCCTGCTGGGCGGCCATGGCCAGCGTCTGCGCTTGGCGCAGCGTGAGCAGAAGGACGGCGCGCCGCAGGTCTGGATCGGCACGGACTCGCGAGGCCAGGGCGGCGCGCAGGCGGTGCGCTTCGACACCAGCTCGCACAGCGGCACGCTTGTCTGGCTTGACGGCGTGCTCTCGCTGCCGCCGGATCTTGGTGCGTGTAACGCCGCTCTCGCCATCGGCTGTCACTGACACGCTGCTGCAGAGACGGTGCTGCAGACACACCCTGCGCTCGGACATCTGGCCAATCTGAGCTCCGCCTCGCTGCTGAGCACGCTCTGCGAGACAGCGCACACGACGTTCTTCCTCCCAGAAGCGGGCGCCTTTGATGCGCTCAGCAGTCTGGAGCGCAGCTTCCTGCGCGGGCCGTGGGAGCTGGCCGTGCAGGACCGCGTCAAGCTGATTGGCTGGCACATGAGTGGCCTCGGCGTGGGAGAGGGACGCATCGGTTATGCTGAGCGGCTGAGAGAGGCGGGCGTGAACAGTGAGTGCAGCCCGAGACGCGCCTGTGCTGCCGGTGCTGAGCATGTTGCAGTCACGACCACGCTGGGCGGCGAAGTGCCCGTCTCGACGCTCGACAACGGCACCGTCGTCATCAACCACTCCCGCATCGTCGAGGAGGACATTCTCGTCGAGAATGGCGTGGTCCACATCGTCTCCGACCTGCTGCTCCCCGGCGGCTCCTTTGGCATGACGATTGAGAAGACGCTGCTGGCGCTCAATGCCAGCCGCTTCGTGGCGCTCATGCACTCTGCCGGCCTGTCTGCCTACATCGACGAGGACCCGCGCGACCCGGATCACGACGCGACCAACGCCTCGTGGACGTTCATGGTGCCTCGCGACGACGTGCTCGACGAGTGGCTGGCACAGCAGGATGCGCAGCGCGCCTACCACGCCAACACGTGGCGTCTTCCCGGCATTGATGCGCTCGACAAGTCTGGCCCACTGAACGGCACGCGTCTGCTCGAACTCATGCGGTACCACGTGGCGCCGAGCAAGCTGACGCCCGCCAAGCTGAGCGACGGCATGCTCATCGAGACGGAGCTGCGCGACGCCAAGCTCAAGGATGCCCGGCAGCGCCTTGCGGTGGCCGTGGCGGAGCGCAAGGGCTCGGAGAGCGCACATCAGGGCAACGGAGATGTGGCGTTTGGCGATGCAAACGTCATTGCGGAGCCCGTCGAGGTGGGCGGCAGCGTCATCTATCTCATCTCCCAGCTCCTCTCGCCGCCGCTCAACCCGATCCAGACCGCCGTCTCGTCGCTCAGCCTCTCCACTTTCGTCGCCACCGTGTTCAGCGCCGAGCTGGACAAGGCGATCAAGAGCGCGCCGGGCATCAGCTACCTCGTGCCGCACAACGATGCGTTCGAGGCACTCGGCCTCGCCATGCCCTACCTGCTGCTGCCGCGCGAAGAATCGCGCGCCGAGCTGCGCTCCGTCGTCGAGTACCACGCGCTGGATCGCATCGTCTATCTCGCCGACTTTGCCAAGGGCTCCACGCGCTACCCCACGCTCGAGGGCAGCTCCATCTGGGCCGGCCGCTCGGAGAATGGCACCATCGAGGTGCGCCGCGGCCTCGAGGGCCGCAATGCGCGCGTCCTGCGCGGCGACCTCCTCACGAGCACGGGCGTGCTGCATGAGATTGACCAGGTCGAGCTGCCGCCGACGCTCGACCTGACGAGCGACAAGCTGATGCGCGGCGCAAAGGCGGGCACGATGCGCAGCCTCATCATGGCCTCGGGCTACGGCTGGATCTTGAACGGCACGGCGCCCGACTCGCCGGAGAAGGCAGCACAGCTCGAGTCGGCCATCTCCGTGCGCGGCGAGAAGGGCAACCACGGCCGCCGCGGACAGAAGAAGCGCCATCGCAAGCGCGACAATCTCTTTGCTGATGGGCATCAGTCGTACATCATCCTCTGCCCGACGGATGCGGCCTTCGCGCACGTCAATCTCTCCTACTACCTCAACTCGCCCGACGCGCTCAACGAGCTCGTGCAGCTGCACATTCTGCCGTCGCCGGCCGATGAGACGCTGGCGGGCGGCACGGCACTGCGTCTGCCGCTGGCGCTGCGCGACGCCGGCAGCTTTGCCTCGCTGCTCGACCGCAGTCTCGGGGGCCTCAGCCGCTTTGGCCGCATCAGCTTCCGACGCGACAAGAAGGGCGTGCGGCGCGGCGATGAGGGAGAGCCGGGCAGCGGAGACGACGACGATGCGCCGCTGGCCGGCTGGCTCGTGGGCATCGAGGGCACGCGCGGCACGGACGGCAAGCGGCACTCTGCGCGCGTGCTGGGCTTCGGCCGCGAGAGTCTCTCCATCTCGCGAGACGACGCCGTGCGCGCTACAGGTGAAGGCTGGACGCTGCGCAAGAGCGGCCATCGCCTGCCCACACCCATCGAGGGCGACGATGCGTGGAACTCGCGCAGCGTCGGCGGCATCCTGACCATTGACGCTGTGCTGCAGCCGTACGTGCCGAGCTGGTTCTACCGCTGTGAGTCAAGAGCTGTCGTCTCTTTGCCCACTCTTTGCTGACACCCGCGGCAGGGGGCTGGATCGTGCTTGTCGTGCTCATGGTGCTTGTCATTCTCACTGGGATGGGCTACGCGCTGTGGCGCTGGTGGCACGCCGACGGCCGCATGTGAGTGCTGCAGAGTCTGCTGCTGACGGCCTTGCTGACGCGTCTCTGCGCCGCTCCAGCCGCCTGCCCGATGCGCTCGAGGGCGAGGAGGACTAGTCGCCTCTCACGTCTCCACGTCTCCACGCCACGCTGCAGGCCGTGACAAGCAAATGTACTTGTATTCAGATCGAGCAAGAGTGACGAAGAGGTATAGGCGGATGGGTAAAAGGCGAAGGCGGGCAGAGTACAGCGAGGGCGCGCCGGCGTGCCTGCGCGAGTGGACGTAAAAAGGGATGGCGAGTTGGCCTCATGAACGGTATAAGAGTAGCGATGGAGAGGACATGTGTGGCATAAGGGAGCAGAGCGTCGCAGAAGGGGCTGTCGTCTACCAGGCCTTCTCGTCGGCCTCGTGCTTGCCGAGGCGGCGCTTGGCATTGAGGGCCTTGAAGCGCACGCCGAGCCAGGCGCTCTGCACGCAGCGGCGCAGCGCGTGGCTGCGCTTCTCGGCGTCGGCAGCGACGTGCTCAGACGAGGCCTTGACATCGCTGTCCGAGGCGTCGGCGTTGGTGTCGAGGGGCGTGCGCGTGCGGATGAGCCGCTCGGGTGCGCCGCTGGAGATGATCGTGGAGAGCATGGGGCGGCCGTTGGACGAGAGCCGGCTGGGCGTCGGGAGTGCGGGGCGCGACGAGTGGCTGTGGCTCGAGCTGCCGCTGTCCGACGAGCTGGGCGCCATGTGCGGCGCGCTCAGGCCGTCGTGCGGCGGCGGAGCGGACTCGGCGCGGCGAGAGCGAGGCGCAGAGCGGGAACGGTGGCCGAGCGGCGCGGCAGAGAAGGCGCGGCGCGTCGACTTGCGCTCCTCATGCCTGGTCGGCTGCGCCTCGGCGGTGGCCTGCGGCTCCTCGGAGTGTGTCGAGGTGGCACGGCGACGCTCGACGTCGACGATGCCAGTGAAGCCGCCGGCCCAGTTGTCGAGTGCCGTCGTCTCCTGCTGCGCCGCCTTGCGGCTGCCGCGGCGAGCGCAGCCACCGCTCGATGCAAGAGTCGGCGACGAGGGAGCGTCGAGCGAGAGCAGGCTGCGTCCGGTGCGGCTGCATGTTGAGTCGCGCGACGTGGGGCGCCGCGGCGTGCGGCTGCAGTTGGCAGACAGCAGCAGCGGCGTGCCCGGCGTGAAGGGCGAGGCGGAGCCGCTCGTCGTGCAGCCCAGGTCGGCCGTGGCGTACGATGCACGGCGAGACGAGGCTCGCCGCGTGGTGCTCAGCGACGGCGGGCGCGAGCTGTAGTCGTCGTCGTGCTGGGCCGATGAGCTGGCGGAGAGGCGCCGGCGGTAGAGCGCGTCGGCGGCCGCGTCCTCGGCGTCGCTGTCGCTGTCGCTGCTGCTGTCGCTCGCAGCCGCAGCGCCGAGGCGCGGCGTCGTGGGCAGCGAGGTGTTGCCGCCGAGGCGCGGACTGCTGCGCGGGCTCGGGTGCGCGGCGAGGAGCGCACTGCGGCGGCGCGGCGTGCCGCTGCGGCTGCTGCCCGCTGCCGCGGCTGTGGATGACGACGACGACGACGAGGCCTGGCCGATGCGAGCGTGCAGCGCCCGCAGGCTCTCGGCGTAGCTGGGGTCGTGCAGCTCGCCGTCGTCGCTGCTGGCGAGTGCGGCGCCGCGGATGGCGGTTGCGAAATGAGCGGCGCCGCCGCAGCTGCTGCCGCTGGCGGTGCTGCCGCCGGGCGAGAGAAAGGCGGGCGTGTGTGCGAGCATCATGGCTCGGCGTGTGCGGGAGGTGTCGCGAGAGGAGATGGTGAGTGGGGCGCCGGAGCGGCTCGGTGCGCAGCGCCGGCTGGCTTATGAGGCGGGCCCGGCTGCTGCTGATGCTGCCTCGGGTGATCGGCATGCGCCGAAGCACGGCGCTGCGAGTCGAGCCGCGCGGCATTCTTACTGCCCGGACGGAGGAGAAGGCGCCGAGGCGACATGCGAGCCGCGACTTGCTCTCTGCCGCGGCACAGCTGCTGCGCCGGCGCGGCAGCAGAGCGAGTCAGAGAGTAAGAGTAGAGCGCGCGCGGCACGTTGAGCCGCCTCTCCGCCGCTCGCCCTCTGCTCCGCAGCCGCCCAGACCCACCCCCCTTCGTCTCGCGGAGTTGCGCGCTTCAGGCACACCCTCCGCACGGCGTTGATTAAGCTGCCTCGACGCTTGCCCGCAAGCATCCGGCTGCTCGCAGCTTCGAGCCCTGCCTCCCTCGTATGACTCGGGCGGCCCGGCCAGCCGCCGCCGCGCAGCACCGGCTGTCACCTTTGCCGGCGCATGAGGGGTCAGCCGCGCATTGCTCAGCAGCAGGCAGAGTCACGCGCCAAGGGGGGTGGGCCCGTGTCGAGCCGCCGCTTCCGAGGGCCAGCAAGATGGCGCCAGTCCGCAAAATTAAAGCGAAGGCATCGAAGGCAGATCGCCCGTGAGAGGCGAGCTTACGGCCGGGCCGTCGCGCTCTCATGACGCGCAGCAGCCTCGTGTTTCTTCACACGCACGCCGCGCGCCACATCGCTTCGGCTCCGAAGTCCCGCCCCGGCGCCTGCGCCGACGTGCCCAAGTCCCGCCGCGGCGACAGCCCAGGTGCAGCCGCAGCGTGGCGGAGGACAGGCCACGGCAGCACCCTGCCGCGGCTGCGGCCGCTCATTTCCGGCTGCTCTCATCCCCCTCTCTCTCACGCACTTCCATCGGAGCGCCAGCAAGCCGTCGGTTGACGCTCTCCGTGCAGCAGACTGCAGAGGCAGACGCTTGCGGGGCCCGATGGATGCAGCAGAGGCAGGGAGCAACGGCCCGGTAATCTCGCTGCGCTGTCTTGCTGAGTTGCGTGCCTCTGCTGGGCGCGTTGCTGGCGGCTGGGCGATGCTCGCTCGACGCGTCGACGCTCGCGCAAGATCGGACCTCGCGCGGCGTGGTCTCTGCTAGCCGCGGCGAGCAAGAGAAGGCGCTGCTGCGGTGCTGATGCTGCGGCCTGCGAGCTCGGCGCCGGCTCCGGCGCCGATGCACGCTGCGCCTCCCACTCCCGTGCGCTGCGCTGCTGCCTGCGGCCCTGCCGCGCTGCACCGAAGCCGGCAGCGGGGCGCGCTCGGTCGGGTGGCTGCATCTTGCGGCGGCTGAGTACGAGGCATCGGAGGACTCTCCGAGCCCAGCCCTCGAGCGAGGCCCTGGCTGCCGGAGTCCGGGCGCAGTTCGAAAATCGTGATGGCTGCGAGAGCGCGGCGCGCACGGCTGAGCGCCATCCGGGCAGAGCAGGGGAGGAAATATGACCCGCCTTTCCTCAACCCATTCCGCGAGCTCTCATCGTGAGCCAATGAGCTCGCGACGTCGTGACGGGCCAGATGTGAGCTTGTCGAGTTGGACCCTCATCCAAGCGTGAGAAGCTCAGGAAAAGGTGGAGCACGCTGCAATAATAGGATGAGTGTGTGGGAGGCGCGGACGGTTGCGGCCGCCAAAGCCGCCCGCGCAGCCCGCACGCTCGCTCACGCGCATTTTGCTGCTTGGCGCGCGAGGCTGCCTTGGCGCCGGCGACCGCGTTGCCAAGAAGCACACACGCACGCTTTCCTTGGGCCATCTCTGGCACAGCCGCATCACCCTGCGAGCACACACCGACGACGACCGAAAAGAACAACTCGCTCGATCTGCTTCCGCAGCCGCGGCTGCGCTTCGATGCAGCGAGCGTCGACGATGCGAGCAATGCGCGTCGCCGGCGGTGGCGAGTGCGGCCGCGGCGTCTCTCACTGGCGTCTCTCGATGTTGCCTAGGCAGCACCCGATATGCAGCAGCTCGCTGCTCCTGGTCCTTGCTGCGTGTGACACGAGATGCCCCACGTCATCCGGGGTCGTGCGAACTTGGCGCAATGCGCTCCATCTGACAGGCTCGTGCTCGTTCGACAGGCATCGGCGAAACCAGGCCAGACCCTGAGCATGAAGCGACCCTCGTGCGCGATGCGCTTAGCGTGTGCGCCCTCCACCTCGTCCAGAGTTTCCACGCCTGCGAGGCCCTTCTTCGCACGACGCATGACTCCTGGATCTCGCTCGCTCGACGGAGGCACAGAAATTCCATTTCATGACCATGTGAGGCCCACGCAACGAGGCCCGGCCAGCTCCGAGCCCATCCATCCGCCACACGTGACGCTCCAGCTCAGGCACCGACAACAAGCTGGCCCTGGCCCTGCAGGTAGCGCGCCAGCTCGCGGTACAGCGTCTTCTGGTCCTCGACCGTCAGGTGCGTCACGACCGTCTGCAGCACGCTGCCGACGGTGACGTGGTGCTCGCGGATGAGCGAGCTGTAGTAGACGTAGGAGAAGAGACCCATGAGGAACTGGCAGTCGAAGCGGTCCGTCAGGCCGCCGTGGCCGGGAATGCTCTGTGCGTGAAGAGCGGGTCAGTGGGGCGTCGGCGAGACAGCACGCGTGCGAACGCACGTCACCGAAGTCCTTGATCTGGAGTAGCGCAAGTATCAGCACACGCGTACCGCCAGCCCTGCGCCAGCACTCACGTTGAAGGCGCGCTTGAAGCCAGAGGCAAAGAAGCCGCCAAACGGCGCGACGAGACTGGCAAACGCGGCCATGACGAGCGCGTGCCACTGGAAGGGCGTGTAGGGCAGCGCGTCGATGCGGCCGCCAACGAGACCGCCGAACGCCGACGTCAGGGCATCGCCGACGGCCGTGGGCAGCGCGTAGGCGTGCCACTGGAAGACCGTGTTGGGCTCGCACTGCACCTGGCTGTACGCGTTCATGCCCAGCGACACGGCCGGGCAGATCTGAGCAGGGAGTGAGCACAAGACCCACATGTGCGAAGCAGGGCGGCTCACCATGTAGTTGTAGCGCTGGAAGATCGTCGCCCAGAGGTAGGCAAATACCTCGGTGACGAGGAACGCGCCGGCAAAGCCCTCGACGGTCTTCTTGGGCGAGAGCGAGATGAGCGGCGTGCGGCCGAAGAGCATGCCGCAGATGTAGGCGAACACGTCGTTGCAGATGACGAGCGACGCCGGCACGAAGAACCAGATCATGCCCTCGAGGATGTTGTTGACGATAAAGTGCGAGCTGTACACGGTGAGCAGCAGGCTCATGTGCACCCACGAGAAAAGGCCGATCTGGTGCTTCAGGTTCGTCCGCTTGAGCCCGAGCACAAAGCCCAGGAAGCCGATGATGTAGAGCATGAAGGAGAGGAAGCGGTGGTGCCGCGCGAAAGGGATGAAGTAGGCATCGACGAAGACGATGTGCTTGAAGTAGTAGATGAGCGACTCGCCGTAGAGGAAGTAGTTCGACACGGCGAAGAAGTACCTGGCACGCGCGCGTCAGCCAAAGGGGGAAAGGGGCGCACAGGTGCGGCACTTACCAGCTGAGCGTCTTGCTCCAGATGTCCTCGCGGCGCCGCTCCAGGCCCGCGTCCTCGTCCTCATCGTCGCTCGGCGCCGCGCTCGTGTCGCGGCTCGGCACCTGGTACGGGCCCTTCTTGGGTGCGCCGCCCGTGACGCTGGGCCGGCCGGGAATGTTGAAGAGCGCCGTGACCTCGCGGTACACGAGCACCTGGATGACAAGCACCAGCAGGATGACATAGGGGTGGCCCATGGTGAGGAGGCCTGTGCGCGTGTGTGAGTCTTGAGACAAGCGCAGGACTCATCTGCTACGCACCGAGGAAGCCGCCGATCATGAGCAGCGTGAAGAGCGTGCGCTCCCAGACCTTCTTCCAGTAGGCCTTGCGTGCCTCCTCCTCCTCACTCGAGCTGCTCGTGCTCTCCTTTGGCGGCGCAACGGGCGCCGAGCGCGACGCAGCAGACGCAGACGGCACGGCCAAGCGGTCCTGCTGCTGCGGTGCGGCGGCGGCCGGTGCGGCGGCGGCCGGTGCGGCGGCGGCGCGCTTGCTCTGCGTCTGCGTCTCCTTGATCACGCTCTCTGGCGGCGAGACGTCCGTCTCTTCTGGTGCCGCGGCCTCGGCAACCTGGATGGCCGGCGCAGCGGGCGCGCGGCTTGCGGCAGCCGGCTGCGCGCGCGCGGGAGTGACCGGCGGCTCGGCGGCCGGCGCCGGTGCCGCAGCAGCGGGCGCCGGCGAGCCCGGCGGCGCAGGGCTGACAGAGCCGCTGCGCTTGGCGGCCTTCTTTGCCTCGCGCGCCTCCTTTGCCGCCTTCTTTGCGGCGGTGCGCGTCATCGGCGTGGAGGGCTTCTCAGGCTCGGCGGACACGGGTGCCGGCGCCTCGTCGGCGCTCGACTCGGCCTCGGGCTCCGTGTCGGAGCCGGGCCGCAGGGCGTCGAATGCGCCGCGCGAGGCGAAGCGCGAAGAGGTGCGGGGCGGCATGGCTTGTGAGGCGCGACGGAGGATGATGGAGGCGAGAAGGTCGGAAGGACGCACGGCGCCCGGCACTCGCGGCGTGCGCCCGTGCCGCCGCATTCAGCTGCACACACGGCGACGTGCGCCGGCTGCAGGCACGCGGCGAGTGAGCGTCATCGCGCGGCGCGCGGATGCGGCGAGGCGCTCTCGCACGGCAGCAGGTGCCGTTCCTCCTCTGTCTGCGAGTTGCCTCTGCTCTCCTCGGTCGAGCTCTGTCCTTGATTAGACACTTTTGAGCTCAAAATCTGCATGGTGCACTCAGCCGTATACTGGGCGACAAGTGAGCTATAACTTTGGCGCAGCAAGCAGTGGCAGCTAGCAGTAGGAGACGGAGTAGCGACGTGCACGGGTCCGCAGCGCGGGACTCGGCCAAGGATGCATGGGCGAGCGGCCGCCTCTGCTCACGTTTCTTGCATGCCACCACCACATCAAGGCGCTGCAAGCTCGGCACAAACGAGCGGAGATGGGCGACGCGCCCTTTGTGCCGTCGTTTGGCTCGTTCCAGGCGCCGCCATCGCTCGGCGAGCCGTCGCGCTCGCGGCACGAGACGGAAGAGGAGCGCCGCGAGCGAAAGCGCGCGAAGCACGAGCGCGAGCGGGACAAGGAGCGCCGGCGGGAGCGCGAGAGGGAGAGGGAGAAGGAGCGCGAGCGGGAGAGGGAGAAGGAGCGCGAGCGGGAGAGAGGCCGCACGCATGCGTCAGGCTCTCGCTCCGGCAGAGATGCAGAGCGCAGAGGAGACGTCACCCACCGTCCTCATAACGAGCGCGAGCACGAGCGGCCACGCTCGCGTGAGCGCATTGAAGCACGCCGAGCGGATCGGCACGAGCCGTCGAGCAACAAGTCGCACGGCCGCGACAGAGGGCACACCGAGCCTTCGCAGAAATCAGTCGCTGGGCTGAGCAACAGTACACAGGCGAGTCAGCGCAAGAGGCCCGATCGCGAGCCATTGAAGGCACCCGCTGCGGTAGCGAGCAGCTCGCGTCGAGAAGCAAGACAGCCGCGGGCCAAGAACGCGCAGCCGATCGTGACAGCCCCAGCTGCGCACGCGGCGCTCGATGTTTGCTTCATCGACACATCAGGAGACCCCATTGCTGCGCTCTACGGCGGCCCAGAGCCAAGCAAGGTGCCCAAGTATCGGCGATGTGGAGGTGCGTGTCGACATGCCAGCCAGCGCCTGTGCTCTTCTGACTTCTCATCCTTGCAGCTGGCTCTGTGCTTGGGCTCCCTCGCTCGCTGCGCATCACGTTTGCCAGTGCTCGGCGCGATGGCAAAGAGCTCGAGCTCGCGCCGAACGGCCAGAGGGTGAGTGGGCTGTGCAGTGACACGCCGATCTCTCTGACCCTGGGTATTTCTTTGCAGAGAGTCCGCTACACGGATGAGTCACAAGCCTGGCAGGCACACGCACAAGCCAGACGTCGTCTGGTGCCGTCCTGCGATGCGCCCGAAGTCCCCGGCGACTTTGTGCGCATCCGCTCGGCCCCGCGCGACGACGCCGAGAGTTCCGACGAAGCCGGCCCTTCGTATCGTGCGCTCGGCAAGGCGCCGCGCCTTTCGCGCTCCCGCTCACGCTCTCGGTCGCGCACACACGAGTCGAGCGACAGCGACGACAGTGAGGCCTCGCTCGGCGAGGATCCGACTTCATCGTTGCGCTCTCGCGTCGCGGCTCTCGACTTGCGCGTCCGCGCTGATCCGGCGGACGGAGAGGCATGGCTTCAGCTTGCAGAGGCGCAGGGCGACTTGGCCTGGTCCGTCGGCTCAGAAGCAGACGCAGAGGCAGTCATGACGAGCAAGCAAGCCAGCAAGAGCGGGACATCGGCACGACAAAGGCGACGCGCAGCTCGAGATGCGCAGATGAGCGTGCTTGCTCGTGCTCTTCGCGCTGTGCCACACGATATCGAGCTTGCAGTAGCGCACCTGCTTCTCGGCGCCACCGTGTGGCCGCGCGAGCAGTGCGAGAAAGAGTGGCGTGCTCTGCTGGCTCGGCGCACCAGTGCCGAGTGGGCTTCGCGCCTCTGGAAGGGATACGTGGCGTGGCGAGGCACGCTCAGCGAGGCGCTTGCCGACATGCTGCAGGTGCTCGCAGAGGGCCTGTATGAACTGCGAGTGATGTCATTCGCCGCACAGAGCGCCATCGGTAAGTGACTCTGATGAAGAGCTGCGTCATGCGTTGACACGGCTGTCTCTTAGATCGTCAGACTCTCGAGCTTGGCCTCGTCCATCTTTGGGCGCACGCTGCACACTTGCTCGCAGACGCTGGCTTCCAGGAGCGCGCCTTTGCACTGGTTCAAGCGCAACTCGAGCTCACCTTCTGCGCCCCGGAAGAGTTCGAAACGCACCGCCTCGATGCGTCGAGCTACGCGAGTGCTCTAGAAAGCTTGGAAGCCTTTTGGGACGACGAGCTATCGCGCATTGGCGAAGAGGGTGCAGCAGGATGGAGGATGCATGCTCAAGGAAATGCTGCCGCCGACCCTCCGCCTTCAACCGCACCTCCTGTTGCCGTCGCTCAGCCAAGCGTCGATGCAGGAGGAGCAGCAAGGTGGCTCGCCGCGGATCGACAGCGAGCCTCGATGCGCCGTCGACCTGCGCGCACGGCAGATACGCCCATTGCCGAGGCCGGCGAGGAAGAGGTCGATCCGTTCGCGCTCATCTTCTTCTCTGACCTGCGCGATTTGCTCGCTGCGCCAATCAGTATGCCGACCGTCCAAGCCGCGCTCCTCGACGCGGCACTTGTCTTCCTCGGTCTGCCTGCCGGCATGGCCGTCGCTGGAATGGCGAGCGAACACGTCAGCACTCCTGCTCGCAGTCACCATCGGCTCGTCGCGGACGCCAACTTCGCCGCTCGCTTCTGGCCGCCAAGCCTCAACGGCACAGCTGCGCCTCGTGCGCTGACGTATGAAGTCGTGGGAGGCGAAGTCATGCAACCGCAGAGGCAGAGCCGGCTCGGCGATCCATTCGCCGCTCCCGTCAAGCTCTGTCCGCCGCGCGTCGACGAGCTCTTTCCGTCGCTGCGGTCGGAGACGTGGGCGCGCTGGTTTGGGCTGGTGGATGCCGGAGATATGCTCGCTGCTGATGTCGAGGCCGCCAGGTATGTCAGACCCTGCAACCGAGGGTGCTACTCGCTGAATCGCTGCCCTTAGCTTCATCCTGGACGACTTGCCGCCCGGCGTCGGCGGTGTGCCGCGGACACTGGCTCGCTTTGCGCTGGAAGAGGCAGCACGCGGCCACAAAGCGTGCGTGTGGTGGTTGCGAGCGCTGGCAGTCCCCTGTACTGACAGAGTCTGACCCGCAGCGCAAAGGCCCTGGCTCGTGGCGAGCTTAGTGTGGACCGCGACAATCTCCTGCTCTGGCGGGCCTTTGCACGTCTGGAGCAGAACTGCGGCAAGGTCGATGCTGCACGGCTAGTCTACCGCAGCGCACTTGCACAAGCTGCATCAAAAGCTGCTGCTCCGTCCGGCTGCGAAGCGCCAGCGCTGTGGGCCGCCTGGGCAGAGCTCGAGTGGGAAGCAGGACGTGCACGCGCCGCTGTCACTGTGCTGCTCGCGGGTGCAGACGCCGAGCTGCAAGGCGCACCAGACGACGCCAGCCTCGACGCTGTCCTCGACACCTCGACGGAACTGCAGGACGCCTCAGACTTCCGGATCGCATCAGCACGCCGGACGTTCGAGACGCTGCTGCGAGCCGGCAGCGAGACACAGTCGATTCTGGCCAGCGTGGCGTCATGCGCCGCACTCCTCGAGTACCTGGCTGGCGACGGCTTTGAATCGGCGTGTGCACTCTTCGAGCTCGCGCTTGCGGTGCTGGGCGACACCGATGAGCTCGACTCGACCGTGGAGCGCTCGCCTGCGCTCGAGGGCATCTACCTGGCGCAGGCACGCTTCATGTGGCGGCACGTCGCCTCGGGCTCCTCCTTCCGCCCTGCGCAGATCCGCGCCGCGCTGACACGAGCAGTGCATTGCTTTCCCGGCAACACCGTCTTCGTCGTGCTGCTCGCCGCACACGAGATGCGCTCCAAGGCCGAGAACCACGTGCGACGCACGCTCGAGCGTGCCGTGCTGCTGCGCAATACGGCACTGCGCGCCCACTCGCACGAGGCCGAGGCAGAGACGGCATGGCTGCTGGCGATCTACTGCGAGCTCAATCTCAACACCTACACGTTCAACGAGCACGCCGTGCGAGCGCTCTTTGAGCGCGCTCTGGCGGACGATGCGCCCAGCACGCGAGCCTCGCCGCTGCTCTGGCGGCTCTTTGTCGAGTTCGAGGTGCGCATCGCTCGTTCACGCGTCCCGCTGGATCAAGACGACCACATGTCCGACTCGGACGAGGAAGCTTACCGTGAGGCGCGGCGAAGGCGACGTGATGCTCAAGGCCGTCTGCGCAAGGCGCTCGAGCGCGCCAAGGGCGTTGCTTATCGTGCTGTGCGAGCGAGTCCATACCAGCGAGGTGAGCACCATCGGGACTAGCGCGGTACACAGCCGCTGATCCTTCCGGCCTGGCCCAGAGCTGTACCTCGTCTTCTTCGACGCGCCGCTGCGCGAGGCCATGTCGTCCGCCGAGCTGCTGGACATCGGCCGGCTGATAGGGGAGCGCCAGCTGCGCTCGCATGTCCCGCTCGAGGACTACCTTTCCGCCAGCGACGGAGCCGAGGCAGCCGATGCTGCGCCCGCAGCGCTCGACGCAGACACAGCAGACATGCTCGAGCGCCGACGTCTCATGCCGTACTAGTTCACACGTGAGGCAGACGAGGTCCTGCATTGGGGGCAGAGTGGAACAAAGAGTACAAGAGCATGCAACAGCCATGAGAACGTCTAGCGTGTGGTGTGGCGTGTGTGTGTCGATCCGATGCGCGAGCCACAGGCTCAGCGGCAGCGGAAGCGAGACATGCTCGGCGCTTGAGGCCAGCGCGGGCGACGACGAGCTTGCCCAGACTCGCTGGGGCGCGTACGACGCGGAGAAGGGTCAGAGTCTAATGGGAGCGGGGACAGGGCAGAGCAGGAAGCGCATCTAGCGCGTCCGAGCGGTGTGAGGGGATGCCACGGCGCTGTGGGGAAAAAAGGAGTGGAGAGGGATCGAGCTTGAAGTGCGAACCGAGTTGGGAGGAGGGCAGCAGCGCGGCGCGGCGAGCGAGGAGGGTGACTAGGAAGATGGGGGACCAGACGTGACGAGAGGGTGGTGGTGAGTGCTGGAGGGTAGATGCGAACGATGACAGTGGAGCAGCAATGAGCGGCCACGCGTTTGTCGGCGCAGGGTTGCGGGGGCGCGGCCAAGCAGGAGCAGAGCTTAGTTGCGGATGACCTGGCGGAGAAGAATGAGCGACATGGAGACAGACGACGAGCAAGGCGACTCACCCGAATGCGCAGGTTCGACAGCACACCGTCGTCGAGGCTACCAAGAGCAGAGAAGAGACCGCGGGTCATGTCGACCTTTGTGCCGGGCGCGCGCTCGTCAGTCTCTGATGCCGAGCCGCGCCACGACGGCGTGCCCTCGCAGCACCACTCACCTGGTTCTTGGCGCAGCCGGCACACGTGTCGCGCACGACGGCACTGACCATCTTGCGGTTGCCGCGGTGGATGTGGAGCGTGTCGCCGCACTTCATGCCGCTCGACGTGGGCACGGCGACGACGTAGTCGCTCGACTTGGGCGCCTTGCCGCCGCACGAGGGCGCGTCCAGCTGGCCGCCGCCGTACCAGGTCTGCACATGCTGCATCAGCACGTGTGCCTCGCCGCTTGTCATCGCACGTGCGACTCACCGCCTTCATGCCCGTCAGCAGCCACGAGCCGCGCTTCTCGAGATCCACGAGCTGCGCCTCCTCAGCGCGCACCTGCATGTTGTTGCGGTGCACCATCTTCTGCTCGTGGCTGCGCGAGTGCAGCACGGCATCGGCGCCCTCGGGCGCCACGCCGCCGGCGGAGGCCACGGCGGCGAGCAGCGCGGCCGAGGCGAGGAAGAGAGAGAAGCGCATGGTCGGAGAGGCGCGCGTGGGTGTGTGCGATGAGAGGGTCCTCAAGAGGACGTGCGCGCACGAGAGAGACGAAGACAGTGAGCGTGAGAGAGAGCTGTAGGTGGAGCTTGAGGAGTGAGTGAGAGCGAGAGAGGGAGAGTCGTGGTGGAGAGGCAAGCTTGTCGAGCTCCGCCTGTCGAGGACATGCGCCGCTGGGAGCAGACTGAAGACGGCGGCGGATCCTTCGGTGCAGCTGCGGGCAGGCCGCGAGAGGCACACTCGGACTCCACCACGCGCCGTGGCTGCGCCGACGCGCGCAGCAGCTGCCCTGCCGCCGCTTGCCCGCCGGCAGGCCTGCAGCACCGCCGGCGGCATCTTGCGGCGGGCGCACCTACACTGCTCGCCTGCCTCACAGGCGCCCCACGCGGTACTCCGCGACTCGAGGCATCCCCCTCCTCTTGCGCCGCGCGCCGCACCCTCTTTTCCGATGCCGCCCCTCGCGCCATGTCACTGGTGACAGCGCGGGCGCAGGAGCAGTCTCGGCACCCCTGCGCCCTCGGCGCTGCTTCAGCCCTCGCCCGCGCCCACGCTCGACGCTCCTCTCTCCCGCTGCGCCTCGGACACTCCGCTGCGTTGTCCGCCCTTCCCTTCCCCTCATGCGCACGCGTGGACGTGATTGATCGCCCTCCTCGGGGCGTGGCAGCATCAGACGAGCGAGAGGGCGCCAGTGCCGGCGCAGTGGCAGGGCCAAACCCTCTGCTGCGGCCGCGGGAGCTCCGAGACGGAACAGCCGCAGTCCCCGAGGCATCCTCGCCGCGACGCCGGCGACAAAGCGGTGCAGCTTGCGTGCTGCTGCTGCGGCGGCTCGTCGCGGCGGATGTGCCGCAGCCGCATGCCGCGTAGCGTCAGGCACAGCCATGGGCGGCAGGCCGCCGGCCCAGAACGGCAGGTTGCCTAGCGCGACAGACGCTGCAGGTGTAGCGCGGCGACCGCATCGAAATAGCGGCCGCTGCCGCACCGAGACCGGGTGCGGCCGCGATCGTCCTTTGCGCATCGTCGAGAGGCCGCCGTCACACACCCTCTTTTTGCGTGCAGCGAGGGCATCGCGAAGACGTCGAGCTCGCAGAGTCATGGGAGCGAGTGCCACGCTGCCGCAGCGGTCAGCGCCACGGCAAGCTGTGGCATGCGAGAACAACACGCTTTCGCGGCCCGCCGTGCGGCGCTGCGATTCCGCGGCGGCGACAAGCGAAGGCGCGCGGCTGTGCTGTGTTCGAGGACATTCGGCTGTCGGCACGCGGGGGCCGTGCGCCGCGAGCTGGCAGCCGCTCCCCGCTCCAAGTCCCCGCACAGCCCGCTTTGGTCTCCACGACCATCTCTCCGCCTGGGCACTCGCACCCTCCGCCATGACGGCACCCTCGTCGCTGAGCATCAATCTGCCGCCGAGCTTCGGCGGCTCCTTCTGGAGCGTGCCGTACCGCCGCGGCGTGCAGGCGCTCTACACGGCGCTGCAGCGCGGCCTCGACGAGGATGCGGCACTGCTGGCGCACGTCGAGCACCGCGTGGCGCTCGAGTATGCGCACGCCGAGGCGCTCGCCGCCCCGACGCCCGAGCCGAACCTTTCGGCGCCGCTCTTCAAGGCCGCGCGAGCGCAGCCGGCGCCGCCGACCGGCATCGCGGCGTCGCTGAGGCTGCTGGAGCACGAGGCGACAACGGCGCAGAGCCAGGCGTTCGGCAAGGTCGCCTCGACGCTCGACAAGACGATTCTCGTGCCGTTTGGCAAGTGGAGCGATGATCATGAGCGCCGCGTGCGCAACAGCTGGGAGCACGTCGATGCCATCGTCGAGTCGCACGAGACGCAGCAGGCAGAGGTGAGCCGCGAGGGTCTGAGAGGTGAGAGACGGCGCTGATAGCCTCGCGCAGGTGGAGCGCCAGCGCATGGCGTACGAGCAAAAGTGTCGTGTCGCAGACGAGGCAGAGGAGGACGCACGCTTTGCCGGCGGCGAGGTGGCCTCGCCCTCGCCGTCGAGCCTCGCCTTCAAGCCGCCGGCGTCGCCCGATGCGTCCGAGAAGCAGCCATCCTCGCCGCCGCCGCCGCAGCAGCTTGACCCCGAGCGCCTGAAGCGCCGCGAGACGCTGCGCAACCAGATGTTCGGCTCGCGCCGGGCTGCGCCGCGCAACAAGCCCAGCTCGGCAGACGACCGTTACACGACGCTGCCGCTCTCGCCTCGCGCTGCCCCGGCAGACCTGCCGCAGAGCTCTGACGAGGGCTTCGGCGTGCGCAGCGTCAGCGCCGGCTCGTCTTCGGGCAGCAACAGCAACAGCACCAGCGCAAACATGCAGCGCAGCAGCAGCAGCATCACCTCGACGCTGAGCGCCGCACTCTCGCGCGCCGCCGAGGCACCGGCACTGGCGACGCTGCGCGGTGCGCTTGGCGGCCTCAACGACCCGCGCCATGTCCGGCTGCGCCGCGACGCCGAGCACGCAGAGGAGTCGTACCGCACCGCCGTGCGTGCGCTTGACCGCGCGCGTCTCGGCGTGGAGGAGACGCTCATGGTGCATTTTGGCTATGCCGAGCGCTGGGAGAACGAGCGCGTGCGCGCTGTGCGCAGTGGTGCGTGCCAGTGATGCAGCCATGCCTTGCCTTTACTGACATCTCGTGCAGTTATCGCCGCGTTCAATGTCGCCTTTGTGCCGCTGCTGCCGATTCTCGACTCCTCGCTGATGCGCGAGCGCAAGCTGGACATTCTGCCCGGCCGCGAGATTTCGCACCTGCTGCGCCTGCACGCCACGGGTCCTTACCAGCCGCAGCCGGCCGTATTTGCGCCGTACTACAACGGCGAGTCGACGTCGTTGGCCGGCGCCGGCATTGCATTCTTCGGCATGAACCTCGAGGCCTTCCGGGCGGCCGAGACGCTTGCACACGAGGACGGCGACGAGTCGGACGAGCACTTGCGTCCCGGCGCCGGCAAGAAGGGCGCGTTGCCTGCACTCCCCCTCGCGCTCTCTGCGCTGCTCGCTGCACTTGAGCGCGCTTACGACGACCCGGCTCGCTGGCCTGCGCCCGAAGCCAAGGAGGGCGAGGCGAAGGCAGGCACGCGCGAGGCCACACTGCACGCGCATCAGGAGAAGCGCAAGGCGTGGATCTACGACGTGCCGCTCTCGGCGTCGCATGCATGTCGCGAGGCACTCATCACGCACGTTACTACGAGTCAGAATCCCGGTGCCGAGGCGGGCGCTGGCCTCGACACGCTGCTGCAGCGCTTCGACGCACCCACGCTAGCTGCCACCGTCAAGCTCTGGGCGCTGGAGCTGGCCGACTCGCTCGTGCCGCGCGAGCTGTGGGAGCCCGTCAACAGCACGTATGCGGCGGCTGCGGCGCAGGAACGCGATGCAGCCGCAGATGAGGCATCGAAGGCAGAGCCGGCCAAGGAGGGCGACGAGCCGAAGCTCGACAAGGGCAAGGGCCGCGTGGGCATTGCGCCGGCGCTCGAGGAGAAGATCCGCAAGGGCGTGCTGGAGGACCTGGGCGTGGTGCTCATGCGCCTCAGCCACCACCGCCTGCACCTCGTGTGCCTGGATGCGATCGTCAGCCACCTCGCTACGTGAGTCGACAGAGGATGAGAAGCCCGATGCTGCGGCTGACCCCTCGCACAGGCTCATTAAGAAGACGCCAACCGACGAGCCGGAGCCGGTGTTCCTCAACAAGCTGGGCCTGGCAGTTGGTCGCGGTGAGTGCTACGATGTCGCATGCCAGTGCGCTGCTCACCTCTTGCACAGCTCTGATCCGTCCGCCGCGCGAGACGCCCGCCACGATGTCCTCTCGCGCGCCGACGCTGCTCGCCATGGATCTCGTCGCGCACTATGCCGAGCTCTTCCCGCCGCTGCTGCGCAAGGCACAAGAAGGCGAGGCCGTGCTGGCGCAGCAGCGTCGCATCCCGATCCGCAAGCGCACCAAGCCCATCGATGTGCGCCCCACGCGGCGCAACATGAATATCGTCGGCCCTCGTGCTCCGATGCCCAGCGCGCCGGCGCAGAGCGAGCCGCAGCAGAGCGGCCTGCTGCCGACGTCCGCTGGCGCCAGCGAGAGCACGCAGTTCGCCGCCAGTCCCACGAGCACCGAGGCGCCACTGCCTCCCGTGCCCGACAAGCCGCGAGTTGAGACCTCCGTTCCACGCTCCGACGCCGTCGAGGCACCCACGCCGCTGTCGGAGCGAGTGCTGGGTGCGCCGCCGGCGGTGCAAGAGCCAACAGCAGACGAGAGCAGTCTGCAGCCTGCCGCGGCAGCGGGCGCCAACATCGAGCGTCCGGCCTCTGCCACGAGCGGCGGCGGCAGCACATACGGCACGCCTCCCTCGTCCGAGGCCGGCGCCATCACCGAGGCGTCCTCTGCGCCTCGCGAGCGCGGCAGCAGCACTTCGAGCTCGACGGGCACTGCCACGCCCGCTGCTGCTGCTCCCGCCGCATCGCAGCCGTCCCTGCCCAGCTCAACGTCGAATGTGGCGCGCCTGAGCCGGCAGTTCGGCAGCATGGGCTCAGGCACGGGCGCCTCGACGGGACGACGGCCCGGCGGTGCCAGACCGCTGGGCGCGCGAGCTCCAGGCGCGAAGCGCGACGAGGCGCCCGCCAGCTAGCCGATGCGGCTTGCTGCGGCTGCGCGAGAGAGAGATGCTGGTCGTCTTGCTCTCTCGTGTGGCTCGATACGAGGCGATGTTGAACGCGGACCTGTCACGCTTCTTACCCACCCTGCTGGCCAGCCTTGATTGCCATGAGTTGCGATGTGCGCAGACGCCTGCGGCGGTGCTGTGTGTAGAGCTCTGAATAGCGGAGACGTGCTGCGCCACCGAGCACGGCGGGCTGGAGACAAGATCCGCGGCCGCTGTGCTCCGCAGCGCAAAGGTCCGTCCATGGACCCTCTTTGTCGTGCGCCGTTTCCCCTTCGGCTTCGCAGCAAAGGCGCAGGACACCACTGGCGACATCGCCGAGCCCCGCGCGACTCCGCCGCTGGGTCACGCCAGTGTCGCAGTGTCGCAGGTGCTGCGACCGCGAGGTCGGCCGCCTCGGGATGGGAGCGGGGAGGACACGCATGACAGCTGTCCCGCTCGGACATCGAGAGGCGTCCCAACTGACTGCAGGAGAGATCGCCAAGAGCCGTCTGGGCCGCGCGCACAGCCTGCAGGCCTGTGCCGGCCGTGATGCTCGATTCTTATTGACGCCCGACAAGCTGCGCGAGACGCGAGAGGCGCACAAGGCTGATGTGTGCTGCTCAAGGGCATGTAGCAGCGGCGGCAGGCCAGCAGTGCGGCGATCTCGCTTGTGCACGCCACCCTTGAACAGCCGACACCGGACTTGAGCGCATCTCTCCTCTCTTTCGAGCGCCGCCCAAATCAAGTCAGAGTGCAGCAGCTGCCGCAGAATCTCGCGTGCGCGGCCCCCTGAGAGCCCTGCTGCCGTGCCGGGCGCTGCGATCTTTCTCTAGACACGGACGTCCGGCTTCGCTGCATGCCGAGCCCGCAGCATCTCCGTTGTCGATGCGTGATGCGTGGCAGCGTGATGGACGAACGGCGTTCTTTCCGCGGCGCTGCCCGCTTGGCCCTGCGCTGCGCGGCGTGGCAGGCACGCAGCGGCAGGCGCTGCTCGTCCATCGTGCTGGCTGCCGCAGCGGTGCGGGCGCTGCCTCTGCACGTCGGCGCGCATGAACGCTGTGCGCCTCTCTCTGCCGCGCAGGTCCGAGGCGCGCATGCTGTGCAGCGCCACCACACGGGCGAGGTGCCGGCAGGTCCGTGGCGCGGCTGCAGTTGCCTTCTGTGGTGCGTCTTGGCGCAGATGCGGCAGATGCGGCGCGGCAGCAGATGGACGGCGAGAGATGGCGCTGCGCCGCCGGACCCCTGTTGGTTCGGCAGCCGTTGGCGCGCGCAGGTGCAGCTCCTCCCATGCCATCTCGTCGCCGCTCCTCGCCCGCGGCTGGACCCGCATGCGTCGCGCTGCGGCTCTGCTGCTGCTCCTGTTTTCGGGGACGACGAACGACGGGATCAGGGCCGAGTGCTGCGGTGCTGGATCGAGCGGCTCGGGGCCGGCCTCCTGAGGTGCGCGCGTGGGAAGGTGCTCAGGAGGCGGTGCTTGGATCTGAAGGCTCTGCGCCCGCCGTGCTCGCGCCTGCTGCTGCGCTCTGCTGCTGCCGCGCGCCGCTGGCTGGCAGTTCGCTGGCCGCGGCGCCTATATCCCCTTGCCTCCCGCCCACCTCCATCCCGTCTCTCTCCCCTTCCCGCCTCAGGCTCGCTCGCTTCACGCAGCACCCCCACACGCCTCGTCAGGCATCCACTCCGCCATGCAGCTCCTGCCGCTCTCCCTCGCCGCACTCTCGGCCGCCGCCTTTGCCACGGCGCACGCCGACGGCTCCGCCTCCGGCTCGCCGCACGCGCGCGCCGCCGAGCTGGCCGCGCGCCTCGGCGGCGGCGCCCACACGCACGCCCACGGCAAGCGCGCCTGCCAGGCCGGCATCGAGCACCTGCGGCCGCGCGACCACGAGCTGCGCGCGCGCCAGCTGCCGAGCGTCTCGGGCAACGGCCTGCCGTACCCGACGCCGGGCGAGGTGCCCAACCCGTCCACGCTGCCGCAGGCGTGGCGCGACGCCTACGAGGCGGCCAAGGCGCGCGGCGAGATCCCCGACATCCGCCGCAGCATCCTCAACAACGTCACCAGCGCCGTCGACTACCCGGCGTCGCAGGACATGTCGCAGGTCTGCTCCTGGACGACGCAGAAGTGCTTCAACAACGACCTCGTCACGGCGCCGTACGGCGCCATTGCCTGGGGCATCGACGACGGCCCCACGCCCGACGGCACCACGCCGCTCATCGAGGTCATGAAGAGCAAGAACATCGTCGCGACGCACTTCCTCATCGGCAGTGCCATCGCGTGGAACTGGCCGGTGATGCAGCAGCTCGCCGCCGTCACGCCGCAGCCGCAGTGAGTAGCATCGCACGAGTGGCTCCTGCGCTGCGCTGCGCTGCGCTGCGCTGCGCTGCGCTGACAACTTGCATCCGCACAGCTTCGGCACGCACAGCTGGTCGCACCAGCTGCAGACGAGCAACAGCGACCTCGAGATCCTCGGCGACCTGTGAGTGGATGTATGTCCTGGCCTCTGTGACAGCGCTGATGCGGCGCCTCTGCAGCGGATGGGCCAGCCAGATTGTGCTCGACGCCACGGGCAAGGTGCCCATGTACTTCCGCCCGCCGGAGGGCGACGTCGACAACCGCGTGCGCGCCATTGCCAAGGTGCTCGGCCTGCAGGTGTGTACTAGATCAGCATGGTCGTACCACACACCGGCTCACATGTGACCCCGCAGATCGGCATGTGGAGTGAGGACCACGACTTTGACGACTGGTGCCTGCGGCAGGGCACGGGCACGGCGCGCGAGATCACCTCGTGCGTGCAGACGGCGCCGGATCTCGAGACGGTGACGCGCAACCAGGTGCAGAGCGTCACGGGCAACAACATCACGGGCGCCATCACGCTGCAGCACGAGACGACGGACCAGGCCGTCAAGGCCTTCTCGTCGCTCTACGATGCCGCGGCGGCCAACACGCCCAAGTGGCGCATCGCCGGTGCGCTGCCGGAGCTGTGGCAGCCCGCGCTGCCGTGGTACAACAACCAGTACGGGCCCGACTCGCCCACGACGCAGACGACGAGCGTGCTGCCCACCAAGCAGTTCATCACGGTGCGCGACGGCACGCAGCTGCAGCAGGACCTGGGCGACTGGGCGTCCGAGGCCAACGGCGGCGCTCCGTCCAGCTCCAGCTCGTCTCGCTCCGGCTCGTCGTCGAGCACGCGCTCGGGCTCGTCGGCCGCAGCCACGACTCGCTCCAGCACCTCGAACGGCACGGCTGCCGCCCAGTCCGACACGCGCGCCTCGGGCAGCGCCGCGGCCTCGTCGCCTGCCGTCGCGCTGCTGCTGTCGGCCGTCGGCACCGCCGCCCTCCTCCTCGCTGCCCTCTAATCGTCCGTTGCACACTCCCTCTACCCTTGCTCCCGTTGTGCACGCTGCAGACGCGGATGCCCACCTTCATGTCGTCTCTGCCTCTCGCCTCAGCCACCCACCCACATCATCTCATGACCCCTTCACATACTTGTCTCGCGCCTCTTTCACATTTCGAGTCGCGCCACGCTGCGCAGGACGCTCTCTCTCTTTCGATAGACAATAAATAGCCTCCGGCAGAAGCATGTGTGAGGGCGACGCAAGCCTGACCCAGAACGGCAGATCGAGCCACGTTCCTACGCCAGGTGAGCAGACGCCAAAGGGCCCAGGCCGTGACTGCGCGCGCAGCTGCGGCTCCGCGTGCGAGGCCAAGACCATATAACGGCCGCAGCGGCAAACAAGAATTGAGTGCGAGCCGGAGCCGCACTGCAAAGGGGCTCATCAAGGCCGGAGCCGCGTCACCGCCAAAGGTCTGCTCAGACGGATGTGGGGACAAGGTGATGCTAGCCGCTCTGCCGCGGGTACTTTTGACATGGCGGGCGGCGCGTGCCGCGGCGCCGCCGGCAACCTGGCGCTGGCGCTGCTGTGCCTCGGCGCGCCCAAGGGGCGTGCGTGCGCCACAGGAGCGTGGCCCTCGCAACAACTCGCCGCAGCCTGCCCTGGAGGCTGCGCCGCGGCTGTGGCTGCGTGCGGCAAGCTGCTCATCGAGGCAGATCCTGCGCTGCGGCCCGAGGGTAGTGCTCGAGGCGGACGAAGCCCCTCTGCACTGCTAGCCGAGGCAGAGAAGAGCACCGTCGCAGAGGAGGAATGCTCTCAGCCCAGCCGTACAAAAGGCGGCAGCCGGGTCGTCTTGTCCGCCGCTCCTCATTCCAAAATCACAGCACCTCGCACTATACACCACACACCTACCTCTCGCCATGTCGACCAGCATGGAAAAGTCCGTCAGCTCGCACTCGGAGCAGCACCGCTCCGTGCTCGCCTGGGAGGGGCTCACGTACACCGTCAAGGACCACAAGACGGGCGCCGCCAAGCATCTCGTCAACGACGTCAGCGGCCGCGTGCAGGGCGGCGAGCTGCTCGCCGTCATGGGTCCGTCGGGCGCCGGCAAGAGCACGTTCCTCGACCTCATCGCCTCGCGCAAGACGGCCACGAGCGGCAGCATCACGCTCGACGGCTCGGCCCTCTACCGCATCGGCCGCGACGCCGCGTACGTCGAGCAGGAGGACGCGCTGCTCGGCGTGCTCACCATCCGCGAGACGCTCAGCTACTCTGCGCGCCTGACGCTGCCGCGTGGCACAGACCGCCCAGCAATCCGCCGGCGCGTCGAGGAGACGATCGTCGGGCTTGGCCTGGCGCACGTGGCCGACAACATCATCGGCACGCCGATCCAGCGCGGCATCAGCGGCGGCCAGAAGCGCCGCGTCACCATCGGCAATGCGCTCGTGAGTCGTCCGCGCATCCTCTTCCTCGACGAGCCGACGAGCGGCCTCGACTCGGCTACTGCGTTTGAGGTCATGGCCGTGATCCGCCAGCTGGCCGTCGAGCACGGCATTGCAATCGTCGCGAGCATCCACTCGCCGAACTGGGCCACCAGTGAGTAGAGAGATGTCGAAGAAAGGCCACTGCGGCAGAGCTTACGCTGACGTCTCCTTCCCTTCTCTACAGTCTCGCTCTTTGATCGTGTCCTGCTGCTCGCCGCTGGCCAGACGATGTACGACGGGCCCGTCACCTCGATCCGCTCCTACTTCACGCAGCGCGGCCAGGCGTGCGACGAGAACACGAACCCGGCGGACCACATGCTCTCCGTCGTCAGCTCCGACTTTGGCTTCACCTCTGCGCTCGAGGATGGCCTGTGCCCCGGGAACGTTGCAGCCTGGGCTGCCGAATGGAGTCGCCAGACCGACGTGCCTCGCACCCCCGGCGCGCCGGCCGTGCCGTCCACCACGGCCAGCGCCGACAAGCCACGCAGCCTCGCAAGCAAGACGTGGGTGCTGACGGAGCGCAACTTCCTCAACTACTCGCGCAACATTCTCGCGTACGGCGTGCGTGTGGGCATGTACATCGGAATGGCGGTGCTGATCGCGCTCGTCTGGATGGTGAGCGGAGACGCGAGTGCTTCGCTACGGCAGTGCTGACTCGGCTTCGCAGAACATGAAGCAGGTTGACGACCGCATCAACGACCGTCTCTCGATCCACTTCTTCATGCCGGCTTTCCTCGGCTTCATGGCCGTCGCCGGCATCCCGGCTCTGCTCGAGGAGCGCTCGGTGATGCTGCGCGAGCGGCGCAACAACCAGTACACGTCGGGCGCCTTTGTCATCGCCAACACGCTCGTCACGCTGCCGTTTCTCTTTCTCATCACGCTGCTCTTCTCGGTCATCGTGTACTGGAGCATCGGCCTCAACGACTCGGGCGCCGGCGTCTTCTTCCGCTTCGTCGCCTATCTCTACCTTGCGCTGCTCTGCGCCGAGTTCCAGGCGCTGCTCATCGCAGCCGTGGTGCCCATCTTCGTCGCTGCACTGGCGCTCGGTGCCTTTGCCAACGGCCTCTGGATGGCGACGCAGGGCTACTTTGCGCGCCGCCTGCCCAGCTGGTGAGTCAGAGAGTCACCCGCCATGCACTGCCCTCAGCTCGCTCACGCCTCGTGTCCAGGCTGTACTACAGCCTGCACTTCGCCGGCAACTGGCAGACGTTCGCCTTCCAGAACCTCGTCAAGAACGACCTCGACGGCCTCGTGTTCCCCTGCGCTGGCTCGCTCGCCGACGCAACCTGCCAGTGCTCCTTTCCCTCGAGCCTCATCGCGCAGGGCCAGTGCGCCGTGGCGGGCAGCGACGTGACGCGCTACCTCGGCTTCGACGGCGTGTCGACGACGCTGTATGCGTTCCTCCTGCTCATCATCGCCGTGGTGTTCCGCCTGCTCTTCTGGGCGGCCATTGCGGCGCGCAAGTAGGCTTCCGCGACACATGCTGTGCATATACCCACCACTGAGGCTCATGGCTCGACAAGCACACTCTCTGTCCGTTGTGCTGCCCGCCGAGTGGCGTGAGCTGCAGCTGCAAGGAAGCTTGGCTTTTGGGCCCTTGGCATAAGGGTGTGCCCGAAGCCTTCTGGCGTGTCGCAGCAAGGTGGACTGCAAAGTGACCTTGTGTGACACTCGCTGGAACGCACCTGAAGCCGCATGGCGCCCCGCATGGTCATGGCTGAAGAGGTGTCGTGTCTGGAGACGAGAGACCATGCGACAAGCTCTTGACAAGCTCGGCAGCGTGGCAGGCCGCAGTTTCTTGCTGCTCGGCGCAACGCATGCGTACGCACCTCACAGTCGGCGGAAGGAGCGCACCGCTGCACCCTGCACAAGCGTGGGAGCTGCCGCCGCAGCCAGCGGGCACAGCAAGTGCAGAGCGGCACAGGCCGCAGCCAAATGGCAGTGCCGGCTGCATGCTGTCGTTCGGGTGGGAATGCCGCAGCAGAGCGCCGTGCAGACGGCGAAACCAGCCTCAGCATGCGCATGAGGCGCTGCAGCGGGCAGGTGAAGGAAGTGCGAGCTCTGCAGCTGGCGGTAGCGCGGCGCATGCCTGCATCGGCCGCACCGCCGATGCGGCCGGCACCCGATCCGCGGCGCCAGCCTTAGCCGCAGAGCGTACGTGGAGCGACCCCGCTCGGCCGCTGCGGCAAGACTCCTCTGCGCAGAGCTCATCTCTTCGCCCCAGCAGGCAGCAGCACAAAGCTCATCTTCTGGCGGGTCTCCAATTCTTATGCACGAGCAGGGTTGAGCGCCTCGAGAGGCCTGCCGTCTGACGGAGCGTGGGCGCGCGGCAGTTTTGCCGAGGCACAAGTCACCGCGCGCTGCGCCGCGGCGGCCAAGACCTCTCGTGGCGGTACCTGCAGCTGCGTTTTGGCAGGGCCAACTCCGGCGCAGGGAGCGTGCAGCGCAGGCAGGCCGCGAGAGGGAGTGCCGCAGCACGGCGGCGGCAGTAAGAGTGGGGCGCGTCTGCGAGCCGGGCCGGCGAGGCCGAGGCAGATGCAGCAGCAGCCGGTGGGCGTGCCGTGCGTCACGATGCACTCTGCGGCGGCGGCGGCAGGAGAGGAGCCTCGCGCGCCGCGATGCGACCCTCGTCTGCCCGGCCCATCACGCCGGCCACGAGAGGAGCTCTGGCCAAAGAGCAGCGGCATACGAGGAGCGCTGCATCCGCGCTGCTGCTGCTGCCACGCCCGAAGCCTCCTTCCTGGGCGGGAGAGGGGCGCTGGGCCAAGGCCGCAGCATCCGCGACGTTGCGCCGCTGGAATCAAGACGCTGCCCCGGCCGCGCCCCGCCTCCGTCCCGACCCCACCAACCCCAGCAAGCAGCCGCAGCCGCAGCCAGCATGTCTGCGCGCTCGTCGATCCAGGGCCCGCGCTCGCGCGCCGCCTCGCCGCAGCCGTCGCTCGTGGCGGCCGAAGACCTGCACGTCGAGCACGTCGAGCTGCCGGCGCGCCGCGCCAGCGTCGAGGCGCGCCACGGCCCCGCGCCCGTCGAGGGCATGCATCCCGTGCACCCCAGCCAGCCCGTGCCGCGCGGCACGCGCATCGTGCGCGACAAGAACAGCGGCCAGCACTACGCCCAGCCGCCCGAGGGCGTCAAGGGCTTCTCACTCTCGCGCGCAAAGAACGCCCCGCGCCTGGCGCAGCGCGACTGGCATGTGAGTGGAGGTGTGCGCTGCAGCGGGGAGGGCCCGGTGGAGCAGCGACGGCGGAGGCGGTGAAGTGCTGCAGAGCGGAGGATAAGATGGCGAGAGAGTGAGATGGCGAAGATGGAGCGGCGGGGCAAGCGGCGGGCCGAGCGGCAAAGGCTCGCAGTGCTGGGCGATCGTAAAGGAAGACGGCCTCGACACGCTGGCCGCACATACCTTGCTCACACGTTCTGAACAGGGCCCCAGTGTCGGCCTGGCGCACTCGTTTGCCAGCCCTTCGAAGCCCAGCAGCATCGCCGGCGGCGAGGCGCACGGACGCGCCTCGCGCGAGTCGGCTCGCGGCGGCGGCGCACCGATGGATGCGCAGATGGGCCAGCTGGTGGAGCAGCTGCGCACGATTGTGCGCGACGAGGTGCAGTCTGCGAACCGCGGCCACGCCGCACACGTCGAGCGCGTCGCCGATGCGGCTGCCGAACAGGCCGAGAAGCTGGCGCAGATTGAGGCTTCGGGCGGCCTGGCGCCGCCGGCGCCCGACAGCGACTCGACGTCCGTCAGCAAGGATGCGCAGCGCTACGAGAGCGAGAAGTCGCGCAGCAACCCGCAGGACGTCGAGCTTGCCGTCAGCGGCGACGACGAGGATGACGACGACGACGAGGACTTTGAATTCCCCAACCGCCTCGCGAAGCTGCGCTGGCACATGCGCGAATACCTGGCCGAGTTCCTCGGCACGGCCATCCTCACGCTCATCGGCAACGGCGTCAACGTCCAGGTCACCGTCTCGGCGCTCCTCGACCCGAGCCAGCCAAAGGGCAACTACCTGTCCATCTCATTTGGCTGGGGCGTGGCTGTGATGCTCGGAGTGTACGCAAGCGGTGAGTGCCCTCGGAGGCTGTCAGACGTCAGCAGCTGATAGCTTCTTGACAGGCGGCATTTCGGGCGGCTTGATCAACCCGTCTCTGACGCTGGCGCTGGCGACGTGGCGCGGCTTCCCGTGGAAGAAGGTGCCCGGCTACATCTTGGCGCAGATGCTCGGAGGTACGGCAGGTGCCCTGCTGTGCTACGGCCTCTACGCAACGCCCATCCGTCTTGCGGATCCCAACCAGACTGAGACTACCGCAGCGTTGTTCACGACGTGAGTGCGCGGTCGGCGAGACGCGTCTTTCGGCAGACCTCTGACGCGTCCCCCTGCGTGCAGCTATCCGGCCGAGTTCTTGCGCACGGGCGGCGCTCAGCTCTTCAGCTTCTACAACGAGGTCCTCGCTACCGCCATGCTGCTCATCATCGTCGTCGCCATCGGCGACTCGAACAACACGCCGCCTGTCGAAGGCATGGCGCCGGTCATCCTGATGTGGCGAGTACATGTGCCCTCTCCTCTGCCATTCGCCCTTGCTTACTCTTGCCCTTCCTACCAGGCTCGTCTGGGCACTTGTACGTCGATGCTCGTCGTCGTCATCTCGTCGCCGTCACTGACACGCCTTTTCGCGATGCAGGGAGCTACCCTCGGCTGGCAGACTGCGTGAGTCATTCCGGAGCGCCTCTCCACCATCCTAAGCGCTAAAATAAGGCAAAAAACAGCTATGCGGTCAACCCAGCGCGCGACTGGGGACCTCGTATTGCGCTCTCCATTGTCGGCTATCGTGGTCTGTGGTCATTCGGTGAGTCCTGGGGTCTTCGGGGACGTTTTGGAGATGTTTTCGGCTCACGACGCCTCCGACAGGCAACTACTATGCGCTCTGGACGCCGATGCTTGCCACTGGTGAGTGCTACAGCTCCCTCATCGCCCTCAAAGCTAACTTTTGTTCATAGTCGTCGGCGCGCAGCTCGGCTGCTTCATCTACGACCTGCTCGTGTACACGGGCGACGAGTCGCCGCTCAACAGTCCGCGCCTCACGTTTGGCAAGTACGGCAACGTGCGCTTCCGGCCCAAGTCAAAGAAGAAGCTGCCGGCCGCCATCGACAAGTAGGCTGCTCGCTCGCAGTAGCATTCGTGCTGCACGACACGGCCCTGCCTGGCGGGTGTCGCGCTCGACGCTCGCGCGCGACACGCCTGCCGCGGCCGTCTCTCTCTGCTCCCTCACCGCGCTCTCCTGCGTCACGTCTCGCTCCGCTGTACCACTTCACTGCTTCATTCCTCATCCCGGGTCCTCCACCAGCATTCTCCGCTGAATCACGATGTCATTCTGATGCTTGCGAGACCGAGGGCAGGAAGGTCAGGCCTGCCGCTGTGCCTTGTGATGAAGCCGCGGCAGCGAGTGCAAAGTGCCTCTCTCAAAGATCACCCGCCTGCAGCCGAAGGAAGGAGCGCACACGCGGGCGGCCTGCCCGGGTGCCGAGACACCTCTGAGGCGCACGCATGCAGGACGCGTGCCTGTCGCGCGGAAAGGTACTTGGCCGCCTTGCTCAGGGGTGGGGGGGGGGGGGGGGGGGGGGGGGGGGGGGGGGGGCGCGCCTTGAGCGCGCAGCAGGCAGCATCTGAGCTGAGACAGGCAGGCCGGCAGAGGACTTGTTCTGCTGCCAGCAGCAGCCGCGGCATCGGCAGGCTGACGTCGACTCAGCTTGGCGCTCATAAGGCCCACACTGCAGGCTGCGAGCTCGCAACACGCTCCCTTCCCTCCCTCCACATCCTTCCTAGCTCGTTCCCGCTCTCTTCGAAGCCGCACACGCCTTTTCCTGCCGCTGGCCTGGGCTTGATCTCGCTCTTCTTGGTCTCAAGCCTTTGCAGTGCTCAGCATGGACGCGCAAGAGCTCGACGCGCTCGCCGCTGCCGGCCGTGCCGCGCTCGAGAAGACCGCGCGCGAGAGGTCGGACGGACACGGCCGCGGCGAGGGGAGCGAGACCGATGACGATGGGTTCCCTTCGTTCATACCGGCCGACGCGCAGCGCCCTCAGATGCCGATCGCCGAGATGCACCTGAGCGTTGAAGCGATGATTCTCATCAAATGGCTCGAGGACGGCGACTTCCCGCCGACTCTCCTGGTGCGTAACGCCGCTGAAGGCGCTGTGATCCACAAGTAAACATGCTGTTCTTGCTCTGCGGGCTGGCGCGCCTCAGCGACAGGTCTGCAGCGTATCATGGCTAATGGCTCATAGCGTTCTCGCGTGCAGTCATTCCTTTACAATGCGCCGTACTTCTTCTCCCCCAGCGCCAAGGTCCCACACCTGCCCGGCGACTTCGGTCGTCAGCTTCAGCTTGGTGAGCAACGGGGGAAACGTCAGCTGCGGGAGCGACCGTTGACTGATCCCGTTTCTCTCACAGAGGTAGACGGCTACATTCCTCGCGAGAAGGACGCGAGAATGGACCGGCTCGTCGCTCTCTGCCTCCTGCTCGCCGGGCGCGAAGAGGACCGTCTCACGACGTCCAACTGGCGCAACCAGCGCTACACTCCTTCTCGCTGGGATGCCTCGGGCATTCCAACGCACGTGCGTGACGCTCTGCGTCTCGCAGAAGGCAATCTCGACGCACACGATCGTCACTGGCCGGGCCACGTGTGGGGCGAAGAGCGTGAGCTCGATGCTCCGCTGTGGAAGCAATTCACGCAGGAGCTCGTCAACATGGTGCTGCGCTCCTTTCTCTTCATCCGCAAGCACGCTGAAGATGACACTCACTACGGTGCTCACCACACCGAGCTGCTGCGCGCCCAATACCCTTGGCCGCCGCGGGAGAGCAGCATTGCCGTCGAGCATGCAAGCATGCTTGGCACACTGCATCCCCTCTACGTCACGCCGGTGCCGCTCGCCAAGCCTCTTGCCAACACCCTCAAGGAGCGCGCGACTCAACTGAAAGAGCGTATGAACAGCGGCGAGATCTCGCGCAAGGACGCCATCGGCTTTCTCGTCCATCTGCATGGTTCGCCGCTCGACATCAAGCCGGTCAGAGCAGCAGACGACGAAGGCTCGCCTGAAGAGCGCGCTCAGAAGCGCCAAGCGACGCTGGCGGAGCTGCGCGACTTCTCGGAGACATCGAAGCAGAAGCTGCGCACGCACACGTTCGACCTCACGTCTTGGAGGAGGCCCTTCGACCACTAGTCGACATCTCGGGCGCGGAGCATGCCGATGCGAGCCAGCGCAGACGCAGCGTCAAGTGCTTCTCATGATCGCTCGGGCGCCTTCGCCAGCTCCTCTACTCCTCCTTTTTCCTTCTGTCACCCACCTCGTCACCGTACAGATCCTGTCGCGTACTGCTCCATCCTCCACGTCACACTCCTGGCCCCTGGTCCTCGCGATCCGGCGCTGTCTTGACCCTTGCCGGTGCCCTCGCTCACTTCGTCGTGCAAGTACAACCTCCACCATGCTCGCAATCTGTCCTGATCGTTCTCCCTGGCGCATGACAAAGCCCCGCAGTCGCCGTAGGTACAGCGTACTAAGAGCAAAGAAGAAGGCTCGTGCAGCGCGGACGACGATGGACGGGGCCCGACATTCACATTAAAAGCACGGCAGCTGCTTGTGCTGCTCAGAGTAAGAGATCGGACCGACAGATTCCTTCATCTTGAAACGGCTCGCCGCGACGGAGCCCGAGGAAAGGTGCGACGAGACGTCGCGAGCTGAGGGCGTTCTGGAACGACGGGCTTGCGCGGCTGGCGGTGCTGCCGCGGGTTGCGCCTGCACCGCCACACGACGGCGGCAGCAGCAGCCCGGCGGCGCGCCAAGAGCGCAGCCCGCTGCCGCTGTTGCCGCAGCTGGCGGCAGCCGCTCAGCGTGGCCCGGACTCAGCAGCAAGAGCCCGATGTGCTGAGCATGCGGCGATGAGCGCAGCACGGCCAAATGGAAGGCTCAGCCCAGCCAGCAAGTGTGGGGTGCGCCGGCCGAGGTGCAAGCTGTGCTGGCGGGGAGAAGGGAGGCAGGGGCAGCCTGGAGCTCCACACCTGCACGCGGCGCGCACAGACGCTGCATCATGCCGCACCTCGCTGCGACGTGGCAAAGAGCAAGCGGCAGCAGCAGCATCTGCCCCAGCTTCCACCACCACCCGCACCTCAGCTTGCATCTTTTCTCCTCACTCTTCCTCCATCCTCAGGCAGACGGTGCAGCACACATCGTCCGCATCCGCTCGTCGCCGCCGTCCACCCCACCGGCGCTCTCGCCCTCACTCCTCAGACTCCTCACGCTGCCGGCTCTCTCGCTCCAGCTCGCGGGCGCGCCATGAAGCGCTTCTTCGCCAAAAAGGATGCTCTGACTCCGTGGCGAGACGATGCACAGCAGCAGCAGCAGCCCGAGTACCTCGCTGGCCAGCTGCCGCCGCCCGCCGACATCCCGCATGGGCAGCCGCAGGCACACGAGGCGCCCGGCCTGCCGCGCTTCGACAGTGCCGAGCGGCGGCGTCTCGCCACGCAGCACCCGCCTCATGGCAGCCGCGCCATGCCGGCAGACTTCGAGACGCCGCTGTATGGCGCCGCTGCGCCTTACCCTGTGTACGGCGAGGAGCACAGCGAGCCGCCGCAGCACCACTTTCACGCCCTCGCCGCCCGCACGCACGGCCGCGGCGCCTCGCAGGCATTGCCGCCGGGCGCACCGATGGGCCCGCCGATCCCGGTGCGGCGCCGGGCCAGCGGCTCAGAAGGCAGCAGCCTAGGCCGGCGAGAAGGGATGCGCGAGCGGCGCAAGATGCAGGAGCAGCAGGCGTATGCGCCAGAGCAGCAGGCGTATGCGCCAGATGCGGCCGAGGCCGCGCCGCCGCCGCAGCCTGGGCTCGGCAGATGGCGCAGCCTGCGCGACAATCGCAGCGGCGACGCAGGGGCGCCACCACGGCCGCAGGCGAATGCGTACCCTTCCTACGGGCCCGACGACGGCGAGCTGGAGATGTTCGAGGCGCAGGGCGGCGAGCGTCGCTCCAAGAGCAGAGAGCCGCCCGGCGGCGTGGCGAGTCCAGTGCTGGCGGTCGAGAAGCCGCGCTTCAAGCTGTTCGGCAAGAACAAGGGCGTCAAGGAGAAAGCGGAGAAGGGCGAAGCGCCGCCGCAAGGCAGCAGCTATGCCGCGACGCCAGATTCGCATGACAGCACAGACGCGGCCTGGTTCGACATGCGCGGCAAGGGCCCGCAGAAGGGCGAGGGCGCCATTGCGAACAAGATTGGTGAGTGCAGCACCCGACGTCGACGCGCTCGCCAGGCGCTGAACTTCTGCGCTCAAAGGCTGGCTGTGCGGCACGCCGATGAGCTCGTGGGACTGGGCGTACCTCTTGCAGCTGGCCGACACGATCTCGCACTCCGAGGCCTCGGCGCGCGAGGCGGCCAAGGCACTCAAGAAGGAGCTCAAGCACGCCGATGCGGAGCCGCGCAAGCGCGCCATCAAGGTGTGGGCCGTGCTGACGCTCAACGGCTCGGATCGCTTCAAGATGCAGATCGTCGAGAAGAGCTTCTTGAAGACGATTGAGGAGATCCTCGCGAGCACAAAGACGCCGTATGCCATCAAGGAGGTGCTCATGGACACTTACGGCATGCTCGCGTTTGAGGTGCGTTGCCTTGCCCTTGCGTCATGTGTCTGTGCTGACGACCCCTCGCGCAGTTCCAAGACGACGACGATCTGCACGCACTGACCAAGTCCTACAACAAGATCCGCCCGTCGGACCGCCCGCTCAACGTGAGTGCGCTGCGCTGGACACGCTCGGGTTGCCGCTGACGCCTCTCTCGCAGGGCACTCCCCTTGACCCGACGCACGAGATCTTTTCGCCTGTGCCGACCGCGCCCGCAGCGGCTCTGGCATACACCAGGGCGCAGCGCTCGCGCCGGCCGCACGATGCGTTTGCAGACGCCAAGGCCAGCGCGCGCAAGGGTGTGCTGCCAGTCGACGAGGACATGCGGCGCCTGCACGAGGAGTGCGTCGTGGCGCGCTCGAGCGCGCAGATGCTCTTCGAGACGCTCGCCGAGACGGGCATGGAGAGCTCGCTGCTGTCGGTGCGTGCAGATCGTGCCTGGCTCCTTCACTGTCGCTCACGTCCGGCTTTCGCAGGAGTTTGCAAACAAGACACAGACGCACCTCGATTTCCTCGCCTCGCAGATCCCGTGGGCTACCGCTCAGGCCGATCGCTCGCGCGAGACGCTGCGGGAGGAACGGGCACGCGCCGCGGCCGAGGGCGCGACGCTCACACACGTGCAAGAGACCAAGGAAGAGGTGCTACTGGCCGACTTGCTCGACGCGCACGAGCGCCTCGTCGAGGCGCGCAGCATGCTTGAGCAGGCACATGCTAGACAGTTCGAGGAGGAGGACGAGGAGCAGAGGGCGATCGAGCGCAGCCGCGCTGAGGTCAGATTCGACCGCTCAGTACGTCGTATGCGCTTTGCATCTCAGGATAGAGCTCATCGCTCCCTCTTCTCCAGACGCTCCAGCAAGATCCGAGCACGGGAGAGTTCTACTCTCTTGAGGCGCCGCCGCCGAGAGCAAACTGGTCGCAGGAAGCCGGCGGCTCTGGCCGGTCACGGCCCGAGTCACCCTCATCGTTCGCGCGCGGAGCGCTGCCCACGCCGGCAGGAGGACGGCCACCTCCGGCAGGCGCAGGTGGTGCCATTCCTGCCTCCTTGCTGGCCGGTGGCCGCGGCCCCAGCCCAGCGAATTTGCACTCGCGCGAGCTGTCGGTCTCGAGCAAGGCCTCGTCGCAGGGCCTTGCCGCGTCAGCCGCAACCTCCACGGGACCACCATCCGAAGCGAATCGGCCGGCCTCGTCACTGAGCCAGGCTGCAGCTGGTGCAGCACCGCAGGCATCTCCGCTCGGCGGGCGTCCTCTACCGACTCCGGGCATGCCAGCAGCGATGAACGGGTCAGGCACGCTGCCTGTTATGAACCCGCAGCAGCCTCAGCATTCCCCATCTGCCTCACTGGCCTCGGCGCTGAGCAAGCCAGTGCCGCCGCTGCTGCACGTTACGTCGTCGGCGACGCCGCAGCCCTTGCCATCTGCGGGCAAGGACGACGACGGCGACAGCATCATCATGACGCCCGTGCGGCCCTCGGCAAAGGCGCTCGGCAAGCGCCGGCAGGTCTCGAGCAGTGAGGCCGACCCCTCCATCAATGGCGCTGCGCTGGCGCGCGCCACGCAGCAGCTCAGCATGCAGGACGACGCCAACGACATGACGGCATCGCTGCCCGACCTGCGCGTGCGTCCGCCGCCGCTGGTGCCGGACGAGCGTGCAGTCACGCGTGGCCCCTCGCCGGTCGCGCCGTCGCCGTGGGACGACGACGCTGCGGCATTCGACACGACCGCCACGCCTCCGCCGCTGCCGCCGCACCCGGTTGTGAAGCCGCCGCTGCCGCCACGAAACTGATGACCTGAATCTCACGCACAACATACGACGCACCACGCTGCGCCCAGGCAATGCGAATGCGTCTATTAGCGTCTTGTCCTTCTATGCCCCGACCCAGAGGCGCGCGCTCTCGAACATGCGCAGCCACGGGCCGCGCCCGTTCCATGTCTGTGCAGCCGCCGCCGGCTTCCAGCTCATGCTCTCGAGTGAGACGCCACGCTCGGGGTCTGTGAGGGGGGCGTGAGCGCTTAATCTGGTCGAGCTTGGAACCGCACTCACGTGGCATCAGCGCGAGGACCCGTCCGTTGGCCGTGGACACAGCCGTGATGCCATTCGGCGAGCCGTTCGGGTTGATCGGGTAGCGCGTCGAGCCCTGGCCCTTGGGTGCGCCATCCTCGACGTAGCGCATGGCGACGAGGCCGTCGGCCTCGCACTGCTGCAGCTCGGCGTCGGAGCGGAACGACGCGCGGCCCTCGCCGTGCGCAATGATGGCGGGCAGGCGGCTGCCGGCCATGTCGCGCAGGAAGACGCTCTTGGACGTCGCCTCGCTCTCGCTCACCTCGACCATGCTCAGGCGGCCCTCGAAGCGCGAGCTCTCGTTGGCCTTGAACAGCGGCCACGCCTCGGCGCCCGGGATGAGGCCGGCCTGGCCCAGCTGCGCGAAGAGCTGGCAGCCGTTGCACACGCCGAGGGCGAAGGTGTCCTCGCGCTGGAAGAAGGCGCCAAGCTGCTGCCGTGCGCGCGGGTTGAGGAGACACGACTTGGCCCAGCCGCTGCCAGCGCCGAGCACGTCGCCGAACGAGAAGCCACCGCACGCAGCCAGGCCGACGAAGCCCTCGAGAGAGACGCGGCCGCTGACGAGATCGGACATGTGCACGTCGATGGCGCTGAAGCCCGACGCGTGGAAGGCGTACGCCATCTCGACCTGTCCGTTGACACCCTGCTCGCGCAGGATGGCGACCTTTGGCCGCGTGGCCAGCGGGCGCTCAGGCGACGGCGCCAGCGCACCAAGCACGTCGGCGCCGGGCAGGTACTTGAGATCATACGAGAGCGCCGCCGGGCCGCGCACGCTGTCGGAGATGAGCCAGTACTCCGAGTTGGCACACTGCGGGTTGTCGCGCAGCGCTTGCATGCGCCACGACGTCTCGGCCCAGGCGCGCTGCAGCAGCGCGCGCGACTCGCGGTACACGGGCTGCGAGTGCGAGATAATGCGGATCTCCTGGTCGTTCGGGTTGAAGTTGACGTTGCCGATGACGCGCAGGGCGTTGGAGGGCACGCCGGCGGCCGTCAGCACAGCCGAGACGGCCTTGATGTCCGAGGTGCGGACCTGCATCAGCGCGCCGAGCTCCTCGTTGAACAGGCTGGCAATCGGGTCGGTGCCCTCCGAGTCGAGCGCATCGAGGTACAGCTCGGCACCAACGTGGCCGGCGTAGCACATCTCGAGGAACGCAGCGATCAGACCGCCGTCGCTGCGGTCGTGGTAGGCAAGCACGAGGCCGCCCTCGGTGCGCTTCTGCACCTGTAGCGCCTTGAGCGTGGCACACGCCTCGAAGAAGCTCTTCAGCAGAGCAGCGTCCTCGACGTCCGGCGCCTCGTCGCCGAGCTGGCCGAAGACCTGCGCCAGAGCAGAGCCGCCCATGCGCCGCTTGCCGCCGGCCAGGTCGACGAAGATCAGTGCCGTCTCGCCGACGTCGGTGCGCAGCTGTGGCGTCCATGTGCGCGAGATGTCGTCGACGGGCGCAAAGGCAGTGATCGTGACGCTCATCGGCGCCGTCACCTCCTTGCGCTCGCCCGCGTCCTCCCAGCCCATCTTCATCGACATCGAGTCCTTGCCGACGGGGATCGCCAGGCCAAGCTTAGGGCAGAGGTCCAGGCCGATCGCCTGCACCGCCTCGTAGAGCCGCGCGCCCTCGTCGCTGTGGCTGGCAGCGCACATCCAGTTGGCGCTCAGCTTGATGCGTTCCAGCGCCGGGATGCTGGCGGCAGCCAGGTTGGTGAGCGCCTCGGCGACGGCCATGCGTGCCGACGCCGCAGGTTTGAGCAGCGCCAGCGGCGTGCGCTCGCCCGAAGCCATCGCCTCGCCGGCCAGGGCATCTGCGAATCCGTAAGACGTGCGCGTGACAGCCACGTCTGCGACCGGCACCTGCCACGGGCCGACCATCTGGTCGCGTGCGACGAGACCCGTGATGGACCGGTCACCGATGGTGATCAGGAAGGACTTGGAACCCACGGTCGGCAGGTGCTGCACGCGGTCAATGGCCTGCTCCAGCACGGACGTCGGGTTGGCGTCGGCGCCGAGATAGCTCAGGAGCGTCGTGTCGAACCTGACGCGCGGCGGCGCGCCGCGCTTGCTCTCGCGCGCAATCTTCGGCGGCTTGCCGAAGAGCGTCGACATGGGCAGGTCGATCGGCGTGCCGCCGAGCAGCCGGTCGGTGACGACAAGGCGCTCCTCCTCCGTCGCGTAGCCCACGACGGAGAAGGGGCAGCGCTCGCGCTGCGCAATGGCCGTGAAGCGCTCGAGGTGTGCCGGCGAGACGGCAAGCACGTAGCGCTCCTGGCTCTCGTTGCACCAGATCTCCATGGGGCTCATGCTCGGGTCGTCGACGAGCACATCGCGGATCTCGAAGCGCGCACCGCGGCCCGAGTCGTGCACCAGCTCCGGCAGTGCGTTGCTGATGCCGCCGGCGCCGACGTCGTGAATGCTCGAGATCGGGTTGCCGCTGGCGCTCGGCCATTCAGCATCGGCAGCGCCGAGCGCAATGCATGCGTCAATGACGCTCTGGCAGCGGCGCTGCATCTCCGGGTTCTCGCGCTGCACGCTCGCAAAGTCGAGCGCCGCGCGGTTGGCGCTGGACGCCATCGACGACGCAGCGCCGCCGCCGAGGCCGATGAGCATGCCGGGCCCGCCGAGCACGATGATCGCGCTGCCGACCTCAATGTTGCGCTTCATTGCGTGCTGCGGGCGCACGTTGCCGAGGCCGCCGGCCAGCATGATGGGCTTGTGGTAGCCGCGCACCTCCGTCGCACCCTCAGCGCCTTCGACCTGCAGCAGCCGCGTGAGCGCCCAATCGCGACACGTCCACAGACTCGACTCACCGGCACGCGCTGGCACCACGTCCGCCAGAAGCCGCCCAGGCCGGGCCGGCCGAACTCATTGTTGAAGTTGGCGCTGCCCAGCGGTGCGTCGCGCATGATCTCGTATGCGCTGGCGACGTGTCCCGGCTTGCCCACGTCGAGCTCCCACGGCTGGCGTGCATCGCCCTCGAGCAGCACGTCAGACGTCATGAAGCCGACGAGGCCCGCCTTGGGCTTCGAGCCCTGGCCCACGGCGCCCTCGTCGCGGATCTCGCCGCCGGATCCCGTCGCGGCGCCCGGATACGGGCTGACGGCCGTCGGGTGGTTGTGCGTCTCGACCTTGATCAGGATCGGCATCGGCTCACGCTGCGTAGAGTACGCGGTGAGCGTGCCGGCGCTGCCAAAGTCGGCCGGCGTGGCGGCGAAGCGGTCGCCGTCGCTGCCCTCGAGCACGGCAGCGTTGTCCGAGTAGGCGCTGATTGTGTGCTCGGGGTGCAGCTTGTGCGTGTTGCGGATCATGCCGAAGAGCGTGTTGGGCATCTTCTCGCCGTCGATCGTCCAATCGGCGTTGAAGATCTTGTGCCGGCAGTGCTCCGAGTTGACCTGCGCGAACATGAAGAGCTCGACGTCGGTTGGGTCGCGGCCGAGCGCCTTGGCTGCGCCGGCCTCACCGCCGCCAGCGACGAAGGCCTTGATCAGGTAGCCGATCTCATCGGGAGCCAGCGCCAGGCCCAGCTCCTCGTTGGCGCGCACAAGGCGCTCGCGCGCGACGGCCGGGTCAGCGGAGCCCGAGGCATCGAGCAGCTGCACCGTCTGCAGCGGCGCTGGCTCGGCGCGGTGGAAGAGCGATGCGGCGCTGGGCAGCTGCACCGAGAGCATCTGCGTCATGCGGTCGTGCAGCTTGTCCTGCACGGCGGCGATCTGCTCGGGCGCCAGTGCGGCACCGGAGCTGGTGCGCACCACGTACGCCTGGCCGCGCTCGAGGCGTGCAACGTGCTCGGAGAGCGTGCACATGCGCGCGATCTCGGTCGCCTTGGACGACCACGGGCTGATGCTGCCGGCACGCGGCGCGACGAAGAGCACCGTCTGGCCAGCGGTGGGCGCGGCGCCCGAGAGCGCTGCCGCGAGCGCCTCGCGGGTGCCCGACAGCGAGACATCGTCGCCGTACGCCAGCAGGCTGTCGAGCACGACGCGCTCGGCCGACGACTTGTCCGCCAGGCTGGCGAGCGCGTCGGCAGACACGGGCGAGACGAAGTGCAGGAAGAGGCTGTCGATCGACGCGACGTCGGCGACGAGGCCCTGCAGCGCAGCCAGCAGCTGGTCGCGCTTCGGCGCGGGGACCGGCGACGCGCCGAGGAAGGTGAGCATGGCGTCGGCGCCGTGCGGCGGCGGCGGGGCTGCCATGGCGAGCAGCGAGTGGGCGCGGTGAGGGTGGGGTGGGCAGAAAGGAAGGAGCGCGGCGCGGCGCTCGCCGAGCGCGTGGACCCGCCGCCTCAGATGCAGCGAGTCACTTTTTTGGCGCCTTCGTGCGCGTGCTCCCACGCTCCGCATCTGCCCGCACGTGGCGCCGGCCTCGAGATCACCGCTTAGGCCTGCTTCCTGCTTGCTGCTGCTCTGGCACGGCATCATCTCGCTCCACTCAAAGGTGGCATCACAAGCACGCAGCGCCATGCAATACAGTCTATTCTATAGCTCGTCGTGCGCGGCGTGCGTCGCGTTGCGCCCATCGCGCACAGCAGGCCGCCCGAAGATCTTCTCAAACGCTGCGCAGGCAAGCGTGAGCTGCAGCACGCCGCACGCAGCATCCTCAACACTCACCGGTCTGCAGGTCCCCGTCGATCTCGTCGGGCATGACGACGACATACTCGACGAACAAGTCGCCGTGCCCGCTGCCATCGCGCCGCGGCATGCCCTGCCCCCTGACCGTCTGCACCCAGCCGGGCTGCGTGACGCCGGTGCGGCGCAGCGGCAGCACATGGTCAAAGTGCGCCAGCGCATGCTCGAAGCCCAGCAGCGCGTCGCCGAGCGAGATGGCGTGCGTCGTGTAGAGGTGCGTGTCTCGCCGCCGGAAGGTGCCCTTCGACGGCACGGACCTGGCGCGTCCACTGTCAGCGCGCCGTGCCTGTCGCTCTCGCTGTCCTCAATGCTGCTGCTTGACGACATCACTCACTTGACTCTGAAGACCACATCACCCGCCTCGTGGTCCGGGCTCTCGTCCGCCTCGCCCTCAAACACAATCTCCTCGCCCTCCTGCGCGCCCGGCGAAATCTCCACCTCGAGCTCGACGGTCTCAGCGACGACCTTATTGCCGTGGCAGCGGTCGCACTTGTGCTTGATGACGCGGCCCTGGCCCCGGCACTTGTCACACTGCATCTGAGGGTGCATCGGCGGCTCAGCGCGCGGCCACGCGGTCTGCCTCCGCGCCGCTGCCCACTCACCTGTGCCCGCGTCACGAAGCCGGGCGCAATCTGCTGCTGCACAATGCGGATGCCCTGTCCGCTGCACGCTTCGCACGAGTGGATGTCGCCCTTGTTGCGTGCGCCGCTCCCGTCGCAGCCCGGGCAGATGATGCTGCGCTGGTGCTGGATGGTGACCGTGCGCCCCTTGTACATGTCCGCCAGGTCGACCTCGAGGTTGTACTGCTTGCCCGGCCCGCGCGGCACGCCCTGTGGCCCGCCGAAGCCATGTCCGCCGAAGAAGTTCCGGAAGACGTTCATCGGATCGTGGTGCCCGCCGCCGCTGCCCGCCTGCTGCTGGTGCCGCTTCACGCCGTCCTCGCCGTAGCGGTCGTAGATCTTGCGCTGCTCCGGGTCCGACAGCACCTGGTAGGCGTCCGAGAGCTGCACGAACTGTGGCCGCGTGTGTGAGCATGCCGCATGTGTGCGCTTGCAGCTCAGCCACGCACCTCGTCCGACTTGTCCGGGTGCTTGTCGGGGTGCAGCTTCTGCGCCAGTTTCTGCGCGACGCCGTGTCAGCAGGTGCAGCGCCGGCGCCACCCACGCCGCACGCACGCGATATGCCTTCTTGATGGTGCGGTCGTCGGCGCGGCGGTCGATGCCCATGACGGCGTAGTAGTCCTTGGCCGCCTGCACCGCCGCCACAGCGCACGCCAGCAGCGCGACGAGGAGCAGCAGCAGGTTGGGGCGGCGCCGTGGCCGTGCGGGCCGGGCGACGGCTGCGCTGCGCATGGCTTGTGGCACGAGTGATGTACAGGTGCTGAAGCAAGCGGCACGAACTGCCTGTGTGCAGTGGTGGATCACGGGAAGGATGTGCAGGTCAGGAGCGCAGCCGGCATCGGGCCAGGCTCCACGTCGGCGGCCGAGTCGTGTGCTTCTCGCCGCCCGTGCGGCGGCGTGCTTGACGCGCTTCGGCCGACTGCGCCGACGCGCGCGTTGCTCTCGCGCTCACGTCTGAGGCCTGCCTCCTTCTCCCTCCACCTCGATCCGCAACAAGGTCAAGCCACTTCAAGTCGCACAAAGAGCGCAGCCACTCGCTGGCCGAGGCACTGCTGGCACCATGCACGCTCTGTCGCTCGCCGGGCCGTCGCGCAGCCCGCCAGAGCCGGCGCTGGAGGATGTGACGGAGCAGCTGCGTCGGGCATGCCGCAGTGAGCCGCAGCTGGGACGGCCGAGCCGCTCTGCCGTGCTGACTCTCTGTTGTCGCAGCACTGCCGCAAGGACAGCTGGCGCATGTCGATGGCTTTGCGCTCTTCGACACACTGAGCGCCATCGAGCTGCTCGATCCGCGCATGGACTCGGGCGTGCTCGCCGTGCCGCCGCACATGCTCGCCGCCTGCGACAGGCTGACGCCAGAAGAGGCGGCGCATACGCCGGCATTCGACCCAAACGCTCGCCTGTCCGTCCAGGACATGTGTTGGCTCATGGACCGCACGCTTGCAACAGAGGTCCGTCTTGGCTATGAATGCGAGCGTTGGTGTGCATGCTCACTCCTCCTCGGCAGGTCGCATGGCATTCGGGTGCTCCACTCTCCGCATCCGTTCACACGTGCCTGTACATCCACGAGGTCCTTGACCTGTTCAACGGCGGCCCAGATGCAGCTGTGCTGGACGACGACCTGCTCGAGCACGTGCTGCAGCCGTACCTCGTCGCGCTGCTCAAGAGCGTCAGCCTGGCGTGGGACGAGCTGGTGGGCGGCAATCTCACCGACGTGAGTCTACTGCCTCGTTCTTGCTCGAGTATGCAGCTGCTGATTTGCTCTACGGCAGGGCGAAGACTTTAGCGGAGACAAGGCGGGCATCTCGCTTTGCGAGGGCCTGACTGTCGCCTCAGCATTGCGGGGGCTGGACGCCGCAATGGCGTGGGTTCAGGCAGCCGAGCCTGCGCAGCTACGGCCAAAGGATGCTGCGTCGTTGATGAGGCGCCTGGAGCTTCGCAAGGTACGTCTCGCGACTGTGCGCCTCTCAGCTTGCGTGCTGACGCCGCGACGCAGCACCTTTTGTCGACCTTTGCTCTGCTCGCACTCGCAAACTCAGGCCGCAACCTGCGCGCTGCCCAGATGCTCGCCAAGCCTGCCAGCGCATACACCTCGGAGCGCGCGCTTGCAGACCTGCCTGTAGCGCTGTCGGAGCTGCGAGATGCACTGGCAGCTCTGTCGCCGGACGCAGACACGACGGGCACATGCCTCTCGGATCCTGCGCTCGCCAAAGCGCCGTCACCAATAGCGCGAGCAGGGTTTGACGTGCACTTTGCGCGACGTCTAGCTTCGTCAGGCCAAGGCGACCCGGGCATGCCCCCGCCGCGCCCCGTCGAGCTGCCGGAGCCGAGCAAGACTGTCGAGTTCATGCACTCGCTCGCTGACGGCGTCGAGAAGGCGTGCGACATGATCGATGGCGCCCAGTGGTCGATGTGGCGGGTGCGTAAGCTCCCGCACCGGCACTGAGCCTCCACTGACAGCTGTCGCGCAGGGCGTCTTCGTCTCTCGTGCCGTTACGTTTCAGCAAAGGCCTGAGTGTGCCTTCGTCCGCTCGCTCTTGCAGGTGAGGCGCGAGTGGCCGCTGCCTTTCGAGAGCCACGCTGACCTGCCGGCAGTCCGTCGGCTGCAGCTTCAGTCAGGTCGCGTTCGGTCGCTATCCACTGCCGTTCCTTCCCGCCAGTCTGCTCGAGACAGTCGGCGCCATCTCTCTCCGATCCATCGCCAGCCAGATGGCCAAGCTCGCCGCTGCGTCCGACGAACCACGGCCTGGACCACGAGCGCCGCCGCTGCCGCCAGACAGCCCGCTCGGTGCACACTTGGCACTCGAGTCGTTCATGCAGCGCCTGGCCGGCCAGACCGTCAACTACTTCAGCTGCCTCGCGCAGAACCGCTCGCGCGGCAAGCGGAAGCTGGCGGGCGCGTATGCGGAGTGGGTCAAGCTGGCCGAGGAGGTGAGCAGCAACTGAGGCCGAATTGTGAGGGACATGCTGACAGGACCTCAGGCACAAGAGCTCGGCCGGCATCTGTCTCGACTGCTCCCCGTGAGTCGTGCACATGGAGCCTGCACTGTGCTGCTCTGACGTCGACCTCAGTCCGGCACGTTGCATCCCGACGTCATCTTCGCCTGCGTGCAGCACGTCATCCTCGACATCATGATGCACATCACCATGTCCGGCCTCGAGCTAGAGCTGTATGCGCCGCACGAGCTCGTCTACGTGTACTGGATGGCGGCGAGTATTGCGCATGAGCAGGGCTCGGTGCTCAAGAGTCTGAGCGACGATGTCAAGTCGCGGCGAGATGCCGCCGGCGTCGATGGTCAGTCGTGGAGTGGGCAGCCACATTCGTGCGACGCTGACTCTCTGCTGGCTCAGATGCGCGAGCTCCCTTCGACGCCACGCTCGACTACCTGCGGCGCGAGACTCAGAAGGCGCAGGCCGTCGGCGAAGCTTCTCTCGCGACTATGCTGGTGGGTCGGGCCCTGCCAGCCTCGTCTCGCCCGTGCTCACACAACGCTCTGCAGCTATACCCGACTCTCACGCCAACGCGTCAGCGTCCCTGGCCGCTCGTCGCATGTCCAGCAGACGATGCATCCCTGCTGGCCGGCCCCGCGCCTCCATCCATCGCCGACGCCGCCGCCACAAGCGAGGCGCAAGAGGCCATGTCGTGGGCCTGCTTTGCGCGGCGCTTCAAGTGGCTCGGCGTGCGTGGCCGGCCTGCTTCCGGCGAGCAGATTACAATGCTGTACGAGGATTGGGCGCGCGAGATGGACGCGTGGGCTGAGAAAGACGTGAGTGTCGGCAACATGATGCCGCCGAGCCGCACCTGACGCCCGCGCCGCCCGCAGGATGCCGAGATGCTAAGTGCAGCCTGCAAGAGCTTGGAGGCGGCGAGCACGGCGGCCGCCTCGCTGCGTGACGAGGAGATCGACGACGAGGTGGAGCGACAGCTTGCTGTCGGTCTGGCAGAGGTGCTGCAAGCGAATGCAGCCGCAGCCGCAGCCGCAGGGGCCCACTCGGAGTTCTCGAGCGCCGGCACGCCGGGCCAGTGGTCTTGGCAAGCCAGCGGACATCCCTGGTTCGCGCGTCTCTGCCGAACAACACCTGCATGAGCCTGTCCGCATCCACTCCTGTCCCCGCACTCCAGATACCCGGCGCGACGCCCACGCCCACGCGCTTGCTGTCGGATATGCCATGTCACATTGCTGTGCCCCCTCATCTCGTGATATCGCCCCCTCTAGACTCGCCGGTGGTCCGTCATGACCCGCACGATGCAGCCCGTGCCGGCGACCTCGGTCAGCTGCGAGAGGAGACCAGTCAGTGGGGACTCGGCGTGGCGAGGCAGATGGCCGAGCGGCTGAAGCTCTGCGTCGGTCAATTGCGGGGGACGCGTGGAGGCCGTGTGTGCGACGCCGATCGCCCCACACGGAGCCACACACCGCACGTTCCGAGCTCAAGGGAGCGGAGATTGCACCACTGGTCTGCTCGCCTGCGTCTGCTCCGCACCGCACAGCCACTCACCTTCTCATGCCAGCCGAGCAGCACGGCACTGGCGCCGAGCTCGGGGCTGCCGAGGCCCTTGTAGATGTACTTCATCAGCGTGTCCTGCTCGTCGATGCTGAGATTCCGCACGAGGCCGGCAATGTCCGACGACTTTGTCGAGTTGAGAATGTCGAGCAGCGCGCCGAGCGTCGTGGACTTGCCAGCCAGGGTCAGCTGCGACGCTGCGAGACATGCGGCACACGCAGGCGACTCACTGTTGCGTCGGCTGCCTGGGCGCCGTACGGAGCGTCCGCCAGCACGGCTGCCAGTGCGCCCTTCGCGTCGCCCCTGTGGCAGCATCAGCAGCCGCAGCGGCGGGCATCCTCGCCTGCCGCGACTCACCGCTGGATCAGGCCGCGCACCTCGGTGCTCTTGGCCTTGGCGTCGGCGAGGATCTGCGCGGGCGGGCGCGCGTCGGGCTCGACGAGGTCGCTCTCGAGCAGCGCCTCGTCGTCGTACTGGTCGACGTCGATCTTGCGGAAGTCGATCATGGTGCAGGCGAGGGGATGTGGAGGGTGGGATGGGCGGGGTGAGGCGCGGGGACGACGGATGGATGCATGGGCCACCCTAGCGGTGCCCGTCACGTGCGGCAGCATTGGCGGAGTCGCGCCGCGGCGCCAACATCGCCCGCCCGCCGAACGCCGGCCCGCCAGGGCTGCTCTCGCGGCGTGCGCTTCTTCCTGCTCGGTGGCGCGCCAGCCAAATTCTGCCGCGTTCCTTCGCTGGCGAGCGCCCGTGCATTGCATGACGAGTGCCGCTGCGTGCCCTTCTCCCTCCCACCACCACCACCACCCCATCACACACACACACACACACACACCATGTCCTCCATCGGCAAGATCTACGGCACCTCGTACGCGCCCAAGTGCGCGCGCGTGCTCGCCGCCGCCAAGTACAACGGCCTCGAGATTGAGCTCGTCAAGACGAGCGCCATGGACGGCGACAACAAGAAGCCCGAGTTCCTCAAGAAGTTCCCCATGGTGCGTGGCCGTGCGATGGCGCAGTGATGTGCCAGCCTCACACCTTGGCGCAGGGCAAGCTCCCCACGTTCGAGGGCAGCGACAACTTCCAGCTCTCCGAGGGCCGTGCCATCGCCCGCTACGGTGAGTGCCTCCTGCGTGGTCGGCCCCGGCGCAGCACAGCACAGCACGTTGCCCTCTCGCGGAGAGATGAGAAGTACTTCTTTACAGTTATCCCTGGCCTAATCATCCATGTCGAAGCCTATCTGCACAATGCGCTGACCGGTGGAGAGGGACGCGTGCTGTGCTGCGCCGCAGATGACCGTCGCCATGACTTGTTTGCATGCTCACACCACACCCTCAGTTGCCGGCCTCTCCGACAACGCCAAGCTGCTCGGCACGGACGCCAAGACCGGCGCGCTCGTTGAGCAGTGGGTCTCGTGGGGCGACGACGAGGTGTGGAACCCCACCATCGCCGTGTACCTGCTCTGCAAGAACATCACGCCCTACAACAAGGCCGCCGAGACGAAGAACTGGGACGCGCTCAAGCGCAGCCTGCAGTACCTCGAGCAGTACCTGCACACGCGCACCTTCCTCGCCGGCCACCGCGTGACGCTGGCCGACCTGACCGTCGTGTCCAACCTCGTCTTCCTCTTCAAGAACGTCGCCGGCCCCGAGTTCCGCGCCTCGTACCCGAACAGCGTGCGCTACTTCAACACCGTCGTCAACCAGGCGCAGGTCAAGGACCTCTTCGAGGCCGCGTCCGAGGACGTGCTCGCCGCCGAGAACATCAAGTTCACGCCGCCCAAGAAGGAGGCCGCGCCCAAGCCCGCCGCCGCCGCTGCGCCGGCCCCGGCCGCCAAGAAGGCGCCCAAGCCGGCCGCCAAGGACGACGACGACGACGAGCCGTCGGCGCCCGCCGAGCCCAAGGCCGCGCACCCGTGCGCCAGCCTGCCGCCGACGAAGATGAACCTCGACGAGGCCAAGCGCATGTACTCGAACAAGGACACCAAGGGCGAGGACTCGTTCCTCGAGTGGTTCCACGCCAACTACGACCCCGAGGGCTACTCGCTGTGGCGCTGCGACTTCAAGTACCCCGAGGAGCTGACCAAGGTGTTCATGAGCGCCAACCAGATCGGCGGCTTCTTCACGCGCCTCGAGGCGTCGCGCAAGTACGTGCTCGGCGCCGGCGCCGTGTTCGGCGAGGACAACAACTCGGCCATCGCCATGGCCTTCATCGTGCGCGGCCAGAGCGCCGAGGACACGCTCGGCGTCGCGCCCGACTTTGAGTCGTACAGCGCCACCAAGCTCGACCTCAGCAAGCCCGAGGACAAGAAGTTCTTCGAGGACACGCTTGCCTGGGAGGGCAGCATCAAGGGCCCCAAGGGCGACGAGCTCAAGGTGGGTGTGATGGAGAGGTGTGACGCGGCGTGTGCTGACTTCCTCCCTCTCGCAGCTCAACGACAACGCCGCCAAGTTCATGAAGTAAACGTGCTCGCGCACGCTTCCATCTCATGTCCTCTCGCAATGTCACATGTCTCCTATGTCATCTCTCTTGCATATCCGCCGACCCCAGGACTGCGCCTCGCAGTGCCCGCGTGTTGCGTCCGACTCCGCCGCAGCACCTTGCGTCGCATTGCGCTGTCCCACGCCGGCTGCGCCGGTCCGTCGCCCTCCGTCCGGCGCGACGGTGCATCGGTCATGCATGCTCGGCCTCTCGCTCTGAGAAGCGATGCTCTGGAGCAGCTCGCCTTCTGGTCGAGCAAGTCTGAGATGTGCCTCGATCGAGGGCTTTGCGATCCTGCAGCGACGCTGTGCTGCGCTGTGATGACTACATCGCCTGCAGCTGAGCAGGTCTGCCTCACTACTTTGGAGCCGGCGGCCGAGGCCCGGGCGAGGAGGAGATGAGCACTCTTACTCTTGCTTCGCTTCATCCGCGTCGATGGTCTGGCCATCTTCGCTTTTACGAGGCTTGGCGCACTGCGTCTCGTTTGCTCCCACCGCGGCCGATGCCACATGCCATTCCCATCTGCCGTGCGTGCTCCTACACCTCGAAACATCTCGCGAAGGTCACGCGGACGTTCGCGGGCTGTGCAAGCGCGAGAGCCTCTCGCGCGGCGCCAAGCCCCGGCGGGTCGGCGCTGCACCGCTGCGGCCGCATGCGCCGCTTCGGCGCTCCGGCGCTTCAAGTCCCCGCATCCGTCCTCGGGCCTCGGAGATTCGGCGCCCTTGATGAACCCAGATCTGCCCGCGGTGCGCCAGAAGCGTCGTCTGTCAGCGCTTCTGCTAGGCCCTGCAGGCTGCGTCTGACTTGGCCGCTCGCATTCAACCACGCGAGGGCGCAGCTTGGCCGTGCGGGCTAAGGCCTGCGAATTTCGAAACAGCAGGCAGAGCCAGAGGTGCGCTTCGCCTTCGCGCCCATCTTGTCGCCGGCCGCTCGTGGGGCAAAGCAGAAGAAAGCAGTGCAGAGGAGAAACTCGAAGTCGTCAAGCTCCTCTGCTGCGGCTCCAGGCTCAAGCTTCGGAGCGAGGGGCCTCCAGGAACACAGCGACGAGCTCGAGGGGCGTGCTTTCTACGCCCTAGCGCCTGAAGCTCGGTGTCCGAGCAGCCTCCTGCGCGCTGCTCCTGGTCTGCATTCTGGCCTGATCTCCCTCTTGAGCGTACGCTTCATTCCTGCGCCGACCTTCTAGCTCCAGGGCGAGAGAAGCACTCGTTGCAGATGGTGATGAGCCGCCTCCTGACACCTCGCTCAGGTGCAGACGCAGATGTCTTCGGTACCGCTGCGGCTGCGTGATCGATGGGCGCTGGCGCTGCGCTGCAGATGCCGCAACGTCACCCACGCCCGCTGCGCGCTGGCCGGCGGCCGTACGCAAGCGCCGGCGCAGCAGCACCGCCTCCCTCCGCCTCGGCCTCGGCGAGGGCGGCGCAGCGCCGTGGCAGCACAGCAAGAGAGGCGCGGCGCGGCGAGAGAGACACCGCACGCGGCGTGCGCCCGCGAGCTTGCTGCGCCCGCGCACCGCCCGCACCGCCCGCCGCCTCCACGCCCACGCCGCCGAGCACGGCGCACCGCATGCTGCGCCTCCTGTATGCGAGAGTGAGCTCATCGCTGGCCCCTTTCTGCTGGTGTTGCCAAGACGGGAGCCAGCGCCGGCGGCTGTGCGGTGCGGTGCGGCGGCGGGCGCGCGCGGCGCCGTCGAGAGCGAAGTTGCCGCGGCGTCCTGGCCTCGCAGCGGGGCGTCGCATCTCCGCGGTGCCGTGCCTCGCCTCGTCTCTTGCTCCTCTCGCCTCGCGTCGCCCTCGCCTGGCCCTCTCCTCGCCGGCCAAGGGGCGTGCCTCCTGCCTCCTGACCCGACTGCGCCCGCAAGCGCAGCGTGCAGAGCAGGCGACCCTGAGAGGCGGCTCCTCGTCTCCTGATCGCCAGCACCAACAGCGGCAGCCCATCTTCCTTGCCCTCCTCCATCATCGCCATCCACAGCCGCTACCTCACCCTCTTGCTCGCCCTCGAACTGCGCTCCTCGGCACCTCGCATACTGCTGCTCCCTCGCGCCGCACATCTCGCACCTCTTCGAGCCCATGTCCAAGCGCAGCTTCGCCCATCTGCTCGACTCCCACCCGCCGGCCGCGCCGCACTGTGCAGCAGCCCGACGCTCCAATCCTCTCTCATCTCCCCTACGTCCACGCAGCAGCAGCGGCCGCTGCAAGTCTGCGCATCCCGCGGCGTCCGTCTTCTGGCCGGCGCCGCCCGCTGCCTGCAGCAGCAGCAGCAGCGGCAGCGACGACAGCGACGACAGCTCCTGCACGGCCGCCAGCCTCGCCAGCATGACGAGCGGCGCCAGTAGCAGTAGCAGCAGCGTTGGCGATGCGTCACCCACGCACGACGAACAGCGCGGCGTGGCGGCCAAGGTGCGCCGCAGACAGGCCCTTGGCGGCAGCCGCAGCGAGCGTGCCGCCTTTGCCGGCCTGCTCGACGCAGAGCATGCGCGGCAGCAGCAGCAGCCGCAAGTGCAGATCGAGCAGCAGGCGGACACCGCACAGCAGTACGTCCTCGCGGCCGAACAGTCGCCTCGGACGGCCGTCACAGCGACGGCGCGCGACTGGCACAGCTGGGCGCAGAGCGCCGTGCTCTCCGCGTCGCCAGACCGCGAGAGCGCGCTCGGCAGCGGCAGTAGCGGCACCAGCAGCACGCGTCCGTCACTCTCGCCGACGCGCCACCTGGCCCAGCTCTCGCTCGACCGCGATGCGCTGCGCTCTCCAGGCGGCGACGGCAGCAGTGCGGGGCCGAGCCTGCGCGACTCGCCTCTCACGGCTCCTGCAGGCGGGAGCATGCTGAAGCAGCGCATGGCGAGCAAGCGGCCCAAGGGCCTCAACCTTGGCCTTCTCAACAGCACCGCCGGCAGCGGGCCGCGCACTGCCATTCCCGTGCAGTCCGACGCCGACGACACCGACGGCGCCAGCACGAGTGCCAGCGCCTCCGGTTCTGGCTCCGGCTCGGGCTCTGGCTCGTCGGGCAGCAGCGCGTCGACGCAGGCCACCTCCTCCACCGGGCCGCTGCACGCCTTTGCACCCATGCAGCCGCCCATGACAGCAGGCGGGCCGCCGCGACGCCCGATGCTCGCTCGTCTCGACACGTCCGAGCGCGTCAAGACCCTCAGCGCTGCGCCTGCGCCGCCGCCGCCAGTGCCGCGCATCTCTGGCGCCGCAGCAGCGGGCTCTGCAGCCTCTGGGTCTAGTCCACGCCTGCGTCTCGAGACGCGCCTCACAGCCGACGGCTCGCGCTCGCCTGTGCCGCTGCGCTCAGCGACTGCCGATGCAGCGCTGCGGCGCAACATCTGGGACTCGGGCCACGATGCCGGAGCCGCCGAGATTGCGCGAGGTCTCTCGCCCGGGCCACCGTCTGCGATGCCTGATGGCCTCTTCCCGCCCATCGACAGCGAGCGCGAGCCGTTCCGTCGTGGCTCGGAGCCGCCGCCGGCAGACGTGCACAGCAGGCACAGCAGTCCGCTTACTGCCGACGATGTGCCGCTGCCGCCGGAGCCGGCGACGCCAGCGACGGCGCGCTCCCTCTCGCTCTCCGCCGGCACAGCCATTTCGTCCGACTTTCACATCTCCGAGATCCTGCCTGGCTTTCTCTACCTGGGCCCCGACATCGGCACGCCCTCCGAAGCCGAGCATCTTTCGCGCCTCGGCGTGCGCCGCGTGCTCAACTGCGCCGCCGAGATTGAGGAGGGCGGCGGCAAGCACCTGAACCTGCACCGCGGCGCGTTTGGCATTGCCAAGTACCGCAAGCTGCCGATCTGGGACCACGTCGAGGCGCGCGGCGTGCAGCGCTACGTGGAAGAGGCATGTGCCTTCCTCGACGATGCGCGGCTGCACTCGTCGCCGACCTACGTGCACTGCAAGGCGGGCAAGTCGCGCAGCGTGCTCATCGTCATGGCCTACCTCATCCACCACCTGCACTGGCCGCTGCGCCGCTCCTACGCCCACGTCGTCGAGCGCCGCCGCGACGTGAGCCCCAACATTGGCTTCGTCGCCGAGCTGATGCGCTTCGAGGAGAAGTGCCTTGGACACGGCAAGACGCGCGGCAACATGCGCGCTAGCATCGCGCCTGATGAGAGCGACGCTGCGGCTCCAGCAACGGGCGCAGACGAAGACGACATGCGCACCGCCATGCCTGCCGCCGGGCAAGGCCGACGAGGCAGCCACGTACCCGACGCCACGCCGCGTGCGCCCGGCGGCGGCGTCTCGCGGCGCGAGCGCGATCCGCACGCACGCGACTCGATGCCGGCGTTTCCGCAAACCATGTCGCATGGGCAGCTGCCTCGCTCTTCGCTTGCGTCTTCCGGCGTCGACGCATCGTCGGCTGCAGGGCCAGGCGCCGCCGCGGCGACCGCGCAGGAGGACGACGCCGCGGCCGACGAGGGGCCCGTCTTTGCGCCTGAGCTGCGCGGCGACGACGGCCGCTATCGTGCTCAGCGCCCGCCTGCTCGCGCCGACTCGCTGGCGCCCAACCGACGTGCTACACTCGCGGCGCTCGGCAGCGAGCACGCGGCGGCGTTCCCGCGAGCCAGCACTGCCGACGAGGCATGACACCTAGCCAGCATTACCGATGCATCATACCAAGACAGGCTGCCTCCAGTCTTTGTGCGCCACCCCCTCACTCGTTTCGTCTCTCGCGTCGCCCTTATACGCGTCACCGCCTTAGCTTGCAAGCAATGCATTCTTCGACTGCCATCCCAGCTGCGTGTGTCTGTGTTCAATGTGCCGGCAGAGGGACAAGCCCTCGGCGTCCAAGACCCATGCGCCAGAGAGCAGGCATGCTGCATGCACACGGGCTCAGCTGCGGACGTCCGGCAGAGCACGCGGCGCCGACAGACGCAGGCACACCGCCCTTGACGGTGAGGTCAGAGGACGGCGGCCTGCGCTGCAGATGGCAGCCGCGGCGAGTTGCTCTTCGGTAGGCTATCAGCCGGCCGCGCCATGGAAGGGCGCAGCTGGTTATGAAGCACCGGTGGAGTGTGTGTGGAGACAGACGGAGTGAGAGGGAACGGAGTGCATTGCTGGACGGGCGGTGGATGTGGAGCGGAGGAAAGGTGCAAGCACAGCGGCGCCCCTTCAGAAGGGCAGAGCGGCGCGGGAGCACGTGACCGGGCAGCACCTCGGTGCACGGCTTCGGGACATGACTCCGCCGCGCAGCGCGCCTCGCAGCTGCTCCTCCTCCCCCTCATCCCTCACCCCTCGCCATGCCCGAGTACATCTCGCCGCGCCCGCAGGCCGCTGCCGGCACGTCGGCTGCCGGCGCCGCCACCTCGGCACTGCCGCAGGATGGCCTTGTCGCCGCCGCCAGCGTGCCCGCGCGCGGCAAGACGGTGCTCATCGACAACTACGACTCCTTCACCTACAACGTCGTTGAGGTGGGTGGAAGAGGGTCAGTGCAGCGGTGCAGGCCGGCTGATGCCTCCACTCCGCGCAGTTCCTCTCCAACCTCGGCGCCGATCTTGTCGTGTTCCGCAACGACAAGGTGACGCTCGAGGAGATCGAGGCGCTGCAGCCGGTGAACATTGTCATCTCGCCCGGGCCGGGCCACCCGCTGCACGACTCGGGCATCTCCATTCCCGCCATCAAGCACTTTGCCGGGCGCGTGCCGATCCTCGGCGTGTGCATGGGCCTGCAGTGCATCTACGCGGCCTACACGGGCGTCGTCGAGTTTGCCGGCGAGATCCTGCACGGCAAGACGAGCCCGATTGCGCACGACGGGCGCGGCCTCTACGCCGGCCTGCCGCCGCAGGGCGTCGTCGGCACGCGCTACCACAGCCTGGCGGCGCAGCTGCCGAGCCTGCCGCGCGAGCTCGTCGTGACGAGCAAGACGGAGAGTGGCGTCGTCATGGGCATCCGCCACACGCGCCTCACCCTCGAGGCCGTGCAGTACCACCCCGAGAGCATCCTCAGCGTCGGCGGCAAGCAGATGCTCGCCAACTTTCTGCGCCTCAGCGGCGGTACCTGGGCCGAGAACCCGCAGGCTGGCATCGACGCCGCGCTCAGCGAGCAGGCCGAGAGCACCAAGGAGCCCGTCATGGCCATGACGCCGGCCGGTGCTGCGGCAGCTGCGGGCGCAGCGGCAGCAACGGGCGCTGCAGGTGCAGCAGCCGGAGCACAGCTGGCATTGGATGCCCGCCCCGCGCCGGCGCCCGCGTCGAATGGTGCAGCATCAGTCGGCGCCGGCGCTGTGGGCACGATCCTGGAGCGCATCCACGTGCAGCGGCTCAAGGACATCGCCGCTGCCAAGGCCGTGCCGGGCGCCTCTGCGCGCGACCTCGCCACGGCGCTCGACATGCACCTGGCGCCGCCGCTCATCGACTTTGCTGCGCGCCTCACTGCCAATGCCGCACGCGGCCTGCCCGGCGTGATGGCCGAGATGAAGCGTGCCAGCCCGAGCAAGGGCGACATTGACCCCAACGCGCACGCCGGCGCACAGGCGCTGGCCTACGCGCGCGGCGGCGCCAGTGTCATCAGCGTGCTCACTGAGCCAACTTGGTTCAAGGGCACGCTCAATGATCTGTCGCTGGCGCGGCGTGCTGTCGATGGCATGCCGAACCGGCCCGCCATCCTGCGCAAGGACTTCATCGTCGACGTGTACCAGGTGGCTGAGGCGCGCCTGGCCGGTGCCGACACGCTGCTGCTCATCGTCGCCATGCTCTCCGACGAGCAGCTGCGCGTGCTGTATGACGCCAGCAAGGCCCTGGGCATGGAGCCGCTGGTGGAGGTGAACAACCCCGAGGAGATGGCGCGCGCGATTCGCCTCGGCGCAAAGGTCGTCGGCGTCAACAACCGCAACCTGCACGACTTTGTCGTCGACATGGGCACCACGAGCCGCCTTGCCGACGCGGCGCGCGAGGCTGGCATCCTGCTCTGCGCCCTCAGCGGCATCACGGGCCGCGCCGACGTGGAGAAGTACGTCAGCGAGGGTGTCGATGCCGTGCTGGTCGGCGAGGCCCTCATGCGCGCAGACGACAAGCGCGCCTTCATCCACGGCCTGCTTGGCATTGCGCCGGAGCAGGCGGCGGTCGCCTCGAACGGCAGCGCAGCACTGGCGCAAGCGAACGGCACGCTCGTCAAGATCTGCGGCCTCTCCACTGTCGACGCCGCCGTGGCTGCGGCCAAGGCCGGCGCTGACATGCTGGGCATGATCCTGGCGCCCGGCACCAAGCGCACCGTCTCGCTCGAGCAGGCCTCCGAGATTATCAGCAGCGTTCGGGCGCTGCGCGGTAGCTCGGAGCGCGCCACGTCGAAGCGTGCGGCCTCGGACTCGGTGGTCGGCAACGAGGACTGGTTCGAGTACCACGCCGGCGAGCTGCGGGCGCACCCGCACCGGCCGCTGATGGTCGGCGTCTTCCGTGACCAGCCGCTGGCCGAGGTGCTGGCGACGGCGACGGCGCTGCAGCTCGACGTTGTGCAGCTGCACGGGCGCATCGAGAGCGTCGAGTGGGCGCGGCTACTGCCTGGCATGCGCGTCTTCCGCGTCTTCCACGTCGGGCCCGACGCGCAGCCCGGCAGCGGCGCCCTGCGCGAGGTCTCACGGCCTGGCTACCACCACCTCGCTGCGCTCGACACGGCCGGCGCCGGCAAGAGCGGCGACGGCGGCACTGGCGCCAGCTTCGACTGGGATGTCGCCGTCACCGTCTCGCGGCGAGACGCCGCAGCGGCACGCGTGCCGGGCGCCCAGCCACGCACGCAGCCCATCATGCTGGCGGGCGGCCTCGACGCCTCGAACGTGGCGCAGGCCATCGCGCAGGTGCAGCCGCTGTGCGTCGACACCAGCTCGGGCGTCGAGACGGACGGCAAGAAGGACATTGCCAAGATCAATGCCTTCATCGCCGCCGCGCGGGGACAGACACCGACGCCCGCCGCATGAGGGTGAGGGAGACACTAATTAATGCCGTACTAGACCGTGTCTGAATGCGGGTGACAGCGAGCATGGAGTGTTGTACAAGTGTGGAGGGGGCAGGGCGACGCTGGGCGATCAGAGCATCTTGGACATGTAGGGCCCGTCGAGCGTGTAGCCCAGGCGGGCGTAGCTGGAGGACAAGGCTCGTCAGCGCGGCAGCGAGGCGACAGGACCTGTTCGTCACTCACTAGTCTCGCGTGCCAACGCCGCTGATGACGGCCAGCTTGACGCTGCCGTGCTCGTCGCTGCAGCAGGAAGTGCGGTGGTCAGCACATGCTGCATCTGACGTCAGGGCGTGCTCTGCTCACCGCGCTATCCGAGCTGCCTCTTCCATGAGCAGCGTGCCGAAGCCTTGGTGCTACGGGGGCGCATCGGTGTGAGCACGTGGCTTGTGATCTGCATCGCGACACGCATCGCACCTGGAACTTCGTCGGGTCGCGGCTGTGGATGGGTACAGCGCTGCCGTACGTGTGCAGCTCGCGCACGATGCTTGTGGGGCCAGCACTGAGCAGCTCGGGCCGGTACGTGCCCGCCGCAGAGCACTTCCGCAGGCGCAGCAGAGCCTGTGGACAACAGGTCAGCGTCTGCAGTCTCGATGATGCGCGAAAACACTCACGACCAGCACGTCCTTCTCCGGGTCTTCATACGCCAGGAATGTCTCCCAGCCGCCGCTCGCCGCGTAGTCGCGCCGAATCAGCTCGATGTCGGTGGGCCGGACCTTGTCCTTGATCTCGTGGATGCCCTGGAGAGATGCGTGAGCAAGAGAGAGAGGTAGAAATGACTGCAGGCACGCACCACTTCGCGACTCCGCACGTCGCGGCACTCGAGGCCGAGGTCGCGCACGCGGTCGTCCGCCAGCTGGTGCAGATTGCCATTCTCGACGCCGCTGTGAGAACAGATCAGCCTCTGGAACAGTTGTGAGAGCACTGCTGTCGCACGCACGAAGAGACGATGGGCATCGGGATGTCGCGCTGCACGCTGCAAGCGAAAGACAGGCATCAGCAGCGAGGTAGCATGCAGACCACACACCGGCTCACCGGTACACGCGCGTCCATGGCGGCACGAGAGCAAGGATGCGTGCGGACAACTCAATCAGGTAGCTTGCCGGATAGGACTTATATCGTCCAGTCCGCCACAGCTCGTACAGTCCCGTGCCGCGGATGACGAGCGTCGGATAGAGCTTGAGGCCGTCTGAGCGGTACGCGGGATTCTCGAAGTACTCGACGAACTGAGCCATGTCGCGCTCGGCCGGCACCTGTAAGAGTATGACTGAGCAGCGCAGCAGCGCGGCAGCATGAGCCGCAGGAACGCACGTTCGGCAGATTCGGCATCATGTGCGCCACAACCTTGTAGCCGGCGTCCTTTGCCAGATGGAATGTCTCGCAAGTCGCCTTCACTGTGTGCCCGCGGTTCGTATCGCGAGCTACGTCCTCGTACACCGACTGCACGCCGATCTCGAGGCGCGTGCAGCCGTAGCGCAGCAGCTGAGAGATGTGTGGCCGCAGACAATAGTCGGGTCGCGTCTCGCTGTCGGGTGCAGAGCATGAGCGAGCCATCAAGCATGTGCCAGCGGTCCCACTCGCATCGTGATGCCGATGCACTTGGTGTTCGACCGCTCCGAGAAGCTAAGCAGCAGCACATTAGCTCCACTCCACGCTACATTACCTGCACACCAGCACTCACCGTACCGCCTCGTCGACGTTCTTGCCCGTGAAGCCACTAAGCGAGTTGTGCAGCTGTGCCACGAACTCGTCGCGGTAGTCCTGCGGCAAGGACATGAAGGTGCCGCCCATGATGATGAACTCGACCTTGTCCGTCGAGTGGCCGAGCTCGCGCAGCTGCGTGATGCGCGAGCGCGACTGCTCGAAGGGATCGTAGCGGGCTCGAATGGCACGCATCGACGTGGGCTGACAGAGCAGAGGTCAGCCGTGTCCCACCTCGTGCTCTTCCCAGTGCGGCACGCTCTCGCTCCCGATTCCTCGCCTCGGCTCCCGACTCACCTCGTAGCCCGTGTAGCTCTGCGTCGAGTACTCAAAGTCCGAGTCGGGCCCGCCGGGGCAGTAGACGCAGACGTTGCCCGTGAGGCTGATGTGCGGGCAGCGGTGCGGCTTGCTCATCACCGCCACGACGGCGATGCCGCTGGCGCTGCGCACAGGCTTGGCGCGCATCAAGGGTGCCAGGCGGGCGCGGTGCGAGTCTGGCATGGCCGCCAGCAGCTCCGTGAGGCGCGGCGTGCCGGCGAAGCGGTGCTTGCGGCAGGCCGCCTTGCGGGCAGCGTCGACGTTGAGCGGCTGCCCGGCCTCGTATGCCGCCACCAGCGCGGCAGCCGCGTCGGCGCACACGGCGACGAGCGTGGCGCCCGACGAGCTCGACGCCAGCTTGCCGTTCTTGCCGCGCAGCGGCTTGGCGGCCGGCGGTGCCTCGGTCATGGTCTGTGCTGCCATGGCGTGAAGCGGCGGGTCGTGGTGTGGAGTGAAGGAGCAAGAGCAGCAGCAGCCAGAATTCAGGCGCGCGTCTTTCGCACGAGAGCGTCGCGCCGTGCACAGACGTCCTCCCGGCCTCGCTGCCTCCTTCCATTCCACGACTCCCTCTCCTCATCACCTGCGCAGCATGTCGGCCGACGCCTCTGCCTCGTCATCGACGCCCGCGGCCGCGCAGCTCAAGACGACACGCTCCGGCATTCCGCAGGCGCCGTTCATCGTGCGTGGCGCGCCTTTAGCCGCTGTGCTGTGTGCGCTGGACTGACACGCACACGCTCAGTCCGACGTCGTGGCACACCTGGGCGGCGCAGACGAAGATGCAGGGCCGCACCTGGAGAAGTTTGCAGAGGCCATGCAGTGAGTGCCGCCGGTGTTCGATCCGAGCCGCGAGCTGCCTGGCTGAGACTGGCGAGCGCAGGAAGTACAAGGTGATGGAGGAGAAGACGTTCCGCAAGCGCGAGGCGCTCGAGGAGAAGATCCCCGACATCCGCAAGACGCTGCAGATGGTGCAGTACCTCAAGTCAAAAAAGGTGCGCGCGCCTCGTGTTGCTGAGAAGAAGCCCTGCGTCTGTCCCTGGCTGGCTCTCGCCGTACGAGCATCGCCTTGCGAGAGAGAGAGGCGTGGGCAGGCTGGCTGACCGGCCTGGTCCCTGCAGGAAGCCGAGGAGTCTGTCAACACGCAATTCGAGCTGAACGAGACGCTGTATGCGCACGCCGAGATCGAGCCGCTGGACTCGGTAAACCTCTGGCTCGGAGTGAGCACAACGTGCTGCGTGTCTGCCGATCTGTGACTGACTCGCTGCTGCAGGCCAACGTGATGCTGTCGTACCCATTAGACGAGGCGCTCGAGCTGCTGCAGCGCAACCTCGACGGTGCTCAGTCCAGTCTCGAAAACGTTATGGACGATCTCGACTTCCTGCGCGACCAGATCACAACGATGGAGGTGCGTGTGCCTCGCTCACAGCCCAGGCGTCTGCCTACTGACCGCTTGTAAGCAGGTCAATACGGCGAGGGTGCACAACTGGGACGTCAAGCGGCGGCGCGAGATGTGAGCGCTCCAGCTTCAACAGTTCGAGTCAGCGCTGACGTCGTCACTCCCGCCAGCCGGGAACAACAAGAGAAGGAGGGCTACGAGAAGGAGTGAGGGGCGCGCGTTGCACAGTCACACACAATGCTACTGCTTTTGCAGACCATGGTATTGCTAGGAGCCGAATGCGCGCTCGGCGCGGGAGACAGATCGCAGCGCTGGGCGTTGCCGGGGTAGCGCTCTACCTTGCGCGGAAAAAGTCTTCGGGGCTGCTGCCGGCGTGTGAGGCGGCCTCGTGCGAGTCGTGCCGCGGCTGCCCCTGGCCGGGCGGCACCTGCGGGCCGTCGAAGATGCCAAACGTGTCGGAGAGCGTCTCGGGGTGGAAGTCGATGCCCAGCTCGCTCGCCAGGGCATGTGCTTGGCGGTCTGGCGAGGCGTGCGTGCGTCAGCGGTGCGAGACCGATGGCATAGCCCATGCTGCGACTCACATCCGATGGCCCAGCGCTGCCCATACTTGCAGAGGCTGCGGATGATGAGGTCGATCTCCGAGCGCGCCAGCTCCTGCGGCCGCCGATCGCTCGTGGCGAGCGAGCGCATGTAGCGCCGGATGATGTTCTTGCCCGTCAAGCTGAGCAGGAAGGTGTGAGAAATGACGCAGACGCGGCGCTCAGCTGCACTCACGAGATGGCGTAGGTGAACATCGCAGGGAACAGAGCGAGGTCTTCGCCGTTCATCGCCAGGAACTGTGCATGAGACGCATGAGCACACGCAGACGCCCAGACGCGCACGTTGGCGGACTCACACGCAGGATGCCCAGCACGCCGCTGCACGCTGCGCTGCACAGCGTGAAGCTCTCGTTGCGCGTGTTGACCATGGGGTCGTGCAGCAGCAGCGTGGCCAGGTGCGGCAACGCGTGGGCCGTGACGAGGGCCACGTCGACGTGCCCGTCCGCCTTGAGCGCCGCGTATGAGGCCAGCTGCGGCGGTATGGACATGCTGTACGAGCCAATGCTGTTGCTGAGCTGGTGGAAGTCTGAAGTCATCAGGTCCTCCTCGGTCGGCGAGACGGGCAGACGCGCCAGCAGACAGCCACTGCGCCAGAAGTGTCGTCAGCGCTGAGTGAGGGAGCGAGTACACGACCAGATGCTCACGCGCGCGAGACGAGCAGGAAGCCCTTGATCAGCAGCGAGAGCGAGTCGACGTGCTGCGTCGTCAGGAGCGCGGGCGACTGCAGCGTCTGCCGTTGCGAGTAGTCGACGCCGGAGAGGTCCGAGTTGACCCACTTGTCTGAGGGTACCACGGGCAGGTCGCAGCTGACGTCTTCCTCGACGAGGCTGCCCGGCCACAGCGTCGTCGCGGCGGCGCTGCCGTCGGTGATGAAGACGAGGTACGTGGCGCGGCGCCGCTCCTCCTCGTCGATCCAGTCGACCGGCGGGGCACTCATGCTGAGCCGCGTGACGTCAATCGGCCGGCCGTTGCTGCGAGGCGTGTGCCGCTTCTCAGAGCGGTTCATGCCTAGGGCGGCCACCAGCCGTGTACAGTGTGCTGACAGCATCCAGGCGTCGAGCAGCTCGCCACATGCATACCTGCGGCAGGCTGATCAGCGACGCAGCGAGGGACGAACACACGACACACTCACTTCTTGTTGCACAGCAGCGTCGCGGCGCGCATGATGTCGTACTACGGACGTCGTCAGCAGCTTGTGATGCCCGGAACATGCGAGAGCACGCACCAGGTTGCCGCCCTCCCACGTGCCGTGAGTGATGTGATGCTGAGCGCGCTGCGTGTGATACGCGGCGCTGCCAGGCGAGCCCTGGTGCCGGTCGTACGTGCCCTCGGCCAGGCGCTGAGCAAGCGGCAGGTACTTGTTCGTCGTCGTGGCAAGCGCATTGACGACGAGCTGGGCCGCCCGCTGCGTCGAGTTCTCTTCGTTGCGCTTGCTCGCGACTGGGTCAAGCTCAGGCCGGATCGTGTACGCCTGAAGGACCCTTAGAGCGTGCGCTTCGCGCTGGGCAGAGCGAGACTCACCAGAGCGAACATGGCGTGCAGAATAGCGGGGTTCGGGTAGCGTGGGTTTGTCGGCCCGAGCGACATGGCCAGCATGAAGCGCGCCGGGTGGAAGATGTGCAGGTAGCTGAACTTCTCGAAGAAGACGCCAACGCTGTGATGTCGAGTCAGCGCCGCTCGCCGTCAGAGCAGCGACCAGCCCACTCACAGCTCGTTCACCGTCTGCGGCGGCGGGAAGTCCGAGGGCCAGCCAGACCACACGAGCTCGAGCATCGGGTCTGCGTCGCCAGCGTTACCGCCAGTCGACGCACGCGCGCCGCGGCTGCTGCCGTTCTCGCCCAGCAGGTTGTCCATGATCGAGTGGTGCTCGCCGCCGCGATTGCCCGCGTGCTGCGGCAGCGGGTGGGGGTACACGCCCGTACCAGCCACGTTGGCGGGCACGTGGATGCCGATGTTCGGCAGGCTCTCCACAAAGTCCTCCAGGCTCGGGTCCAGCGCAATGCGTCCGTGCGCGGCATCAACATCGAAGCCTGGGCTGGAGTTCGTCCGCGTGAAGCCGCCGTCGCCGGCACGCATCGTCGTTGCGAGGATCTCGGCGATCGAGAGCTCATCGGAGGTGGCGCCTTGGTAGCGCGAGCCGTTCTGCGGCGGCATGGCTTGCTGCTGACCGTTGCCGTCGGGCAGACGGGACGACGAGGAGCTTGCCTGCTGCTGCTCGAGCTGGGCGCGAAGCTCGGCTGGCGGAGCCGAGGCATCAGTAGACGCTCAGCACGTTCTCCGTGGCTCAGCGCCAGCACTCACCGACCTCGCGCGCCAGGCGCATGTTCTCCTTCTCCGTCTCGTCGCCCGGCTGCACGCTGGCCTTCTTGCGGCTGCCCGACGCATTGCCGCCGCCCGAGCTGCTGGCGCGCTTCTTCTGCGTCTTGGGCTCGAGGCTGATGTACTGGCACGGCGACTCGATCGAGTCAACCTCGGCCTGCGAGTGGCCCTTTGCGAGCATGCTCTTCTTCTTGACTGCCCACGCCCGCCCGCACTGCCCGCATACGGGGCGCGCGCCGTCGCACTTGAGCTTGCGGTCGCGGCACGCGCCGCACGCGCGGTTGCGCCCGAGATGCTTGGCGAACGGCGTGTTGTGCTGCTGCGGCGTGGGCACCTGCCGCGGCGAGGCGCTGTACGAGGTGTCGGCTGCGGCGTCGGCCGAGGCGGGCGTGTCGACGGCCATGCTGGACGACGTGTCGTGCTGCAGCGCCATGCCGATGGCGGCAGCGTCGAGCATGTCGGCCGCGGCGCCCATGTGGTGCGCCGCCGCCGCCTCGTCCTTGTACGCAAACGCGCCCGAGCCGGCGCCGTCGTCGACGTAGACGGAGCCGTCGGCGTCGTGCGGCGCGTCGGCGGCCTGGTGTGCGGTCGCCGCGGCGTCGTCGTACGCCGGCGGGGCGCCCACGACGGCCTCGCTGCTGCCGTCGTCGTCGGCGGGCCGCGGCGGCGAGAGGTGACGGTGCCACGGCTCCATTGTGGCACGGACCAGGCGATGCTAGAGCGGCGGATGGGCGACGAGGAGCGCGAGCTGCCGGCGGATGGCAGGCGGCGGCGAGGGGACGTGCTGGCGGGACGCGAGCGCCCCGCGGCGGCGTGCCTCGATCTCGAGCGCGTCGCGGCGAGCCGCTTCCGGGTGCCGTCTCCCTTCTCCCGCCGGCGGCACGTGATGCGGCGCTGCTGCTCCACCTAGGAGCCGTGGGACAACTTGGGCTAGAAGATCAGCCTTCGACTTGAGCTCGTCCGAGCTGCTTGGCGTCACACGACATGCCTCTCAGCCCTCCTCGCCTGCCATGACGCCGAGCGACGACGACGTGCGCGCCGCCGCAGCCCCGCTGCTGAGCGCCTCGCCGCGCCCGGGCCAGGCACGCCTGCTCGCCGCGCTGCTCTCGGCGCACCCCGACTGGGCGCTCGATGAGGCGCGCCTGGCCGAGCTGCTGCCGCCGCCGGCCAGCGCCGACGCCGACGACGATGACGACGACGGCTCAGACGACGGCCAGGCGCCGGCGGCGGGCGAGGGGAAGAAGAAGAAAAAGAAGAAGAAGCCCAAGAAGTCCAAGGCGGCGCGCGCCCGCGACGCCGCCGTGCCCGTGTCGCACATCGACGCCTCCGTCGAGCTGCCGGCGGGCGTGCGTGCCCACTACTTCGACGCCGTCAAAGGCAAGGGCCTCGTGGCGGACCGCGCGTTCGCCGAGGGCGACGTCGTGTGGGTCGAGGACGCGTGGGTCGCGGCACCGCCGGCCATCGCGCTCGCAGACGTGTGGCAGGGCGAGCTGTGCGGCCAGTGCTTCCTGCCCATTGAGGGTGCCAGACTGGCGGTGCGGTGTGGTGGGAGCTGCAAGATTCGGTTCTGCAACCGAGTGTAAGTGTTGCATACATTGGCTCAAATGAGCACACATGCTGGTTGAGTCCGAGCTCACGCTCGCACCCGCAGATGCGAGCAGCGAGGGCAGAGCACGCACCACCGCATGCTGTGCGTCCGGCAGAACCCGACTTCCAAGGTGCGTCTGTCGCGTCTGCACAGTCTTGGCTAGCCTCTGACTCTGCGTCTCTAGGCGTTCCTCGACTACCTCGGCCAGCACAAGTGGCTGTCGCTGCACTCCGTTGCACGAGCTTTGGCGCGCGTGCTGCTCACGCACTCTTCGACGCCTCCACCTTCGGTGCGGCACGGCTTCGGGCCAGCAACAGCGCGGCCATCGACGATGCGCGGCATGGCGGCGCCGGCAGCGACGCTGGAAGAGACGCTCGAGCACCTCGACGCCTTTGCCAGCGTGTCGGAGATGCAGCGCCGCTCGCGCAACCCGGCGTGGGACCTCGAGCGCAGCGGCTTCGAGAGCGCCATGCGTGAGGGCCTGCGCCTGCTGCGTCTGGCCATCGATCCGTGGGACGAGAGCGTGAAGGACAAGGGCAACAAGGGTGTGGTGCGGCAGTTCCCGGAGAAGGTCGCGCGCGACTTGTTCAGCTGGGAGGGCTTCCTGCGGTGAGTAGCTCTTCCGCTTGCCTCTCCTGCCTGTGGCTGACCCGTTGAACAGGCATCTGGGACGGGCGAATCTGAACACCGAGGCGCAGGGCGGCATGTACCTCGTGCATTCGATGCTGAACCATGCCTGCGACCCGAACCTGCGCGTCAGGTGCGTCTCGCGCGCAGATCACTTCGAAGCCGCTGCTGACGCCTCTCGCGCAGCCATCCGCCGCTGCGCTCCATCCGGCAGGCGACGAAGGTCGGCGTGCTGGCCACGCGAGCCATCGCGCCGGGCGAGGAGCTCTTCATCTCGTACCAGTCGCCCGAGCTGTCGCTGGCGCGGCGGCGGCTGCTGCTGTGGCGCGAGTACCTGTGGGGGCCGTGCACCTGCACGCGCTGCCTCGCCGACCTGGAGCAGCTGTCGCCGGCGGCGCGCCGCGAGCACGAGGCGGCCGGCGGCTGGAAGCACGACGAGCACGAGGCGCAGGAGGTGCAGCGCCGCCGCGAGCATGCGCAGCGTCTCGACGCCCTCGAGGAGGAGCGCCGGCAGAAGCTGCTGAGCGAGGGCAAGGACCCCGAGCGCAACCTTGACGGCCTCGAGGACGAGATCCGCACGCGCCTGGGCTTCTAGAAGGAGCGCCGCCCGTGCGTGCCTAGTAAATAGAGTGTCACAGTCATCTGCAGCCGCTGTGCGAAGATTGTGATCGCCACTGCTAGGCTGTGTGCTGCTATGCGTCTGCTAGGGAGCCTTTCGCGAGGCTACTCAGGTGAGGGCAGGTCGCGTGCCAGGTGCATCAGGGCAGTCGCGCCCGTAGCGCTGCCGCGCCGCGCACGAGCGCCTTCTTCTGGCGTGGCGCGCCAGCAGCTCCACCTCGATGTGCGGGTGAGCGGCGTCTTTCCTCTCCACCCAACCCCTGCTCGATATACACAGCACACCATGTCTGCCGACGCCGCCACCACGCCCGCCGCTGCGGCACCCAAGGAGGAGTCCTTCGCCGACTCCATCCTCACCAAGGTGCGCCGCCCGCCGCGGCTGCATGCGCCTGCCGCGTGCTGACCAGGCGCTTCCGCACTCTCTCGCCTGCAGTACAAGACGGCTGGTGAGATTGCCGCCTCGGCGCTCGCCGAGGTCGTCAAGAAGGCCGTCGAGGGCGCCACGCTGCTCAGCCTCTGCCAGGCCGGCGACGCCGCCGTCGAGGCCGGCACGGCGGGCGTGTACAAGAGCGACAAGAAGATGGCCAAGGGTGAGTGCCGCGCTGGGCGGGCTGGAGGCAGAGAGGGCGGCGCAGGTGTGCCAGGAGGCATAGCTCAAACCTGCTGGTGCGCTGTCAGCCATGCCAACTGTCTCTTGTGCTCTGCTGCGCGACAGTCTAGAGGTTGGCGGCCTGCTCCGTGCGCCTCTCAGTGGGCTGCCGCTCACGCATCTCGCCAGGCTCCGCTTTCCCCACCACCATCTCGATCAACAACGTCATCTGCAACTGGGCGCCGCTGCCCTCTGACGCCGAGTCGTCCAAGACGCTCGCCACGGGCGATGTCGTCAAGATCCAGCTCGGCGCCCAGCTCGACGGCTACCCGGCCGTCGCTGCCGAGACGATCGTCGTCGGCGCCGACGCCTCGAAGCCGGTCACCGGCAAGACGGCCGACGCTATCCGCGCCGCCTGGGTCGGCGCTGAGGTCGCGCTGCGGAGCATGAAGGTCGGCGCCACCAACACGGAGGTGTCGAAGAAGGTGGAGGACGCAATTAAGGAGCTCGGTGAGTGAAGTGCGCTTAGTAAAGAGAGGGGGGGGGGGAGGGGAGGGCATGGGATTCTCGGCCGAAGGCTTGCTCGTGCGGCTTTGCCTTCGAGCAACGAGCTCTTGAAGGAGGTCGGGGCAGGCAAGTGACCTCAAGGTGACGGTCTGCATGGCGGTCTTATGTATCCTGCGGGCAGAGCCAGAGCCGGGCCACTGCGCCCGCCTCGCTGTCCTGAACGCTCTTCAGGGGCGGGGGCCACGCCACCTCTTTCCGCGCCATGCTGACTGCCTCCCGCAGGCTGCCGCGCCGTCGAGGGCATGCAGACGAACCAGTTCGAGAAGGACGTCATTGACGGCAAGAAGAAGGTCGTGCTCGCCCCGGAGCCGAGCAGCCGGCCCGACACGATCAAGCTGGAGGAGAACGAGGTGTACGGCGTGGACATCACCGTCACGACGTCCAAGGAGGGCAAGGTGAGCGAGGCGTGTGCTCTCTTGCGGCGACCCGGCTCACCCTCTGCGTCCCCCTCAGCCGAAGGTCGATGACGCTCGCACGACGATGTGAGGCTTGTTCAGCCCAGCTCCACGCGCACGGTGCTTACACGCAGCCCTCTAGCTACAAGAAGACAGGCAGCACGTACCTCCTGAAGATGGCCACGTCGCGCAAGGTCTTCTCCGACGTGCAGAAGAAGGCTGGGTGGGTGCCTGTCCTTAGCTCCTGGCACGCTGCGGTGCTCATGGTGCCCCTCTCCCAGTGCCTTCCCGTTCAACCTGCGCATCGTCGAGGACGAGAAGCGCGCACGCATGGGTGTGCAGGAGTGCGTCAGCCACAACTTGGTGAGTCGTGCGCACGCAAGCCGGGCCGGAGCACCACTGATGAGAGATTGCCGCTCCTACAGCTCACGCCGTTCGAGGCGCTCGCCGACAAGGAGGGTGAGTGTGCACGGACCAGTGCAGGCCGCATGTATGCTGACGCGGCACCCTGCCCGTCCAGAGTCCGCCGTCGTTGCGCAGGTCTTGTGAGTTGGCGCCGCTTGCAGCCGCTGCTGTATGTGTGCCGGGCGCGCTGACATTCCTTTGTGCAGCCTCACGCTCGCAACGAACTCGAAGGGTGCGATCCGCCTCACGCCGGCGCCGCGGTGGTACAATGGCTCGGGCGATGTCGTGAAGCCGGACGCAGAGGTCGGGTGCGTTGCGCGTAGCAGCCGCGGCTCAACCTGCTTCCCCACTGACGCACGCTCTTGATACGGCAGGGAGGCCACCAAGGCCCTGCTGGCATCCGCAGTGCGCCAGACCAAGACCAAGGCCAAGAAGGCCAAGGCGGCCGACGTCCCGGCTGCCTGAGCGCAAGTCTCTGCTCTTGCTCGGCTCCGAGGGCATCCGAGGGCCACCGAGCCGGCAGACACGCCTGCGCTGTCTTGCTTGGCCGTGCCCGTAGCCCACGAGCAGTCGAGCGCAACGCTGCAGCTGCCGGTCCGTGCTCGGTCGTGTGGCCACCTGCCGGCCTGCGTCTGCCAAAATGAAAACACTCCGAACCGCATCAGCGTCGCATTGGGACGTGAAGGAGAGAGAGAGCAGCAAGGACGGGTTGACGATCAGCGCAAGAGGCAGCCTGCTGAGCACGAGGATCAGGATTCCATGCAGGGCCCGTCCCCTCCGGCTTGCCTCAGGTACGGCGATATGCCCGTTGCTGCCGATACCGTTCCTGCGGCGAAGGAGAAGCAGACGGGCAGCCTTCTCTCCACCTCGCACGGCTCGCAGCACCAGCACCAGATGCGGGCGCTGCGGCAGGCGGCGGCGGCGCCTGCAGCTGTCTGCGGCGCGGCCGGCCGCGTACTCCGAGCTTCGGCGCCGCTGGAGAGTCTTGCCCAACAATTATCCGAGGGCCGGCGGCAGCGCAGTCGTTTTGTCAATGCCCTGGCTGCGCTGCTGCACTGCGGCGCTGCTGCCGTCTGTGCTGGTCTTGAGATGCGCGGCTGCCCGTGAGCGCGCTGCCGACGCCGGATCGCTCGGCGTGCCTCGTCACGCCGGCGTCGGCGGAGCACGAAGCTCGGCGCGCATCGCGTGAGGGCCGCTGTGCGCGCCTTGTGTTGCGCATCCTTGCGTCCCTGTACTTGCATGGCAGCAAAGAAGGCGCCAGGGTCGCGCTGAGCGATGCGCAAGCTGCTGCTGATGCGATGACTGTCTGCTGCAGCGAGCGCAAAGCACAGCGCTGTGTGTGTGCGTGCTGCCGAGGTGCCCACGGGGACGGACGCGTGCGCCGCATGCAGCGCGAGACGCACACACGCGACACATGCCGCAAGCCACGGCGTCTGCCGCGCCCGCCGCCGCTGCTCGGCACAGGCCTGGCCGCTGTCTCATCCAGCGAGCGCCGGCAGGCCGCGCGCCTACGTCGGGCCGCTCGCGCACCGACCTCTGCCGCTCTGTGGCGGAGCGGGCGTGTGCGTGCGAATGCTCCACACACGCAGCAGCCGGGCGCTGCTGTGGTACTCGGAGGGTGCGGCGCCACCCAAGGGTCCCCCTGGCGCCGCGCAAGTCGCAGCGCGCCGCCGCCGCATGCGCTGCGTGCTGCCTCAGCTTGCCGCCGTGCCTCCGAGCCCCGACCAGGCCCCGCCTCGACGGCGCAGCACTTCCCCCTTCTCGCCGGCGCCCGCCGGAACCATCAAGTGTGCCGTCTGCCTTTGCTCCGGACTTTGGAAGCGCACGGCACGGCGGCACGGCGGCGAGTGGGACAGAACGCACATCGGGGCCACGTCGCGCCGCGGCTGCTCGTCGTGCTCCTCCTCCGCACCTGCTGCTGCAGGCTGCTAGCTGCGGTCCTGCACACGCCAGCTCCGACCTCCGCCCCGCCGGCAACTCCAGGGGATCTTGCGCCGCTCCGAGCCGTGGCCAGCTGCCAGGCGCGCCGCTGTGGCGATCTCTGCTGGACGTGCGCACAGCGATGCGCGGCGGCGCGTACCGCTATAGGCAGCCGACAGACGTGCGTCCTCTTCGACATCTGCCAATCGTACAGCCATCTTTCCCACCACGTCCTCTCGCTTCATCTCACCGCCTCTGCCCCGCCCGCTGCGCACCATGTCGTCCGCCATGTCGGCCGCCCCGGAAGGAGGCGTCATCGGCGCGCTGCTGGCGAGCCTGACGCCGATTCTGCGCAGCCTGCTCTCCACGGGCCTGACGTGAGTGGCCTGCGTGTCACGGCTCGGCCACTCCGTGCTGACGCCAGCAACAGGCTGGGCGCATGCATGGGTGCCCTCTGCTGGGAGTTCTGCCTGCGGCTGCCCGACGAGACGCGCTATCTCTTCTGGCCCGACACGAAGCGCCTCTTGCGCAAGCGCCAGCTGCCGTCGATTCCGTCGGTGCTGCTCTTCTGGTCGCGCATCATCGGAGCCGTGAGCGTGTGCGCGACCATTGCCAGCCCATCGGCGCAGGGCCATAAGACGTGCTCTACATTGCTCTACCTGCACGGCAGCGTCGGTGTTGCCGGGTGAGTGCGAGCCGGGGCGAGGGCATGCGGAAAGGCTGCTGACAGCTGCCATGGTTTTGGGTTTCGCTCACAGCACGTTGACTTCGTAAGTAGCCCCACTTAGGTCTGAGGCGAGCTTCACTGACGCCTGTTTCGCCGCGCAGCACCATGATCTTCGTCGTCCGCACGATGGCCGTGTCGCCGGGTAAGCGCTGGCTGCATCTCTTCCTCTTCCTCAATGCGCTAGGGTGAGTGCGGCAGTGGTGCAGCACAGATCCGACTGCGGCTGACGCCCACTCGTTCTCAGCCTCTCGGCCTTCTGTGCCCTGGTCACGACGCATCTGCGGCCGACGCCGCCCTTCCCCGGCGTAGCGACGTGCTCAGGCGTGGTGAACAGCTTCCGACACGCCTGGGTGCTCTACGTCTGGCTGCTCGCCTTCGACCTCTTCGTCGCCGGCATTACGCTGCACTGCATCGGCAACCTGGAGTGGCGGCATCCGACGCGCCTGCCGGCCAACATCAAGGCACGCCTGGCAACCATGTCAGGGGTGAACCGCAAGTTCTTCTTTGGCGCCTTCCTCGCCGCGCTCGTCTCGGCTGCCCTCAACGTCAGCCAGGCCGTGTACGTCAACATGCAGATTGCCGCCGGCGTGAGTAGCCCGTCTCTTTACTCCCTGCATCCTCCATGCTAACACTCCGCCGCGTGCAGAACTACACACTCACAACGGCACTGCTGCCGCTGCACGCCATCGGCACCTGTGTCATTGCGCCGCGCATGATCTCGAGTCTGAAGCTGCACCAGGCCAAGAAGGGCTACGCCACGCTCGAGAGTGCGGCGCGCGGCAGTCGGCACTCCTCGGGCCGCTCGCACGACGCCGGCGTCGCGGGCGCGCCCGACTTCCAGCTGGGCAACGGACGCTTCCTCACCAAGGCCTTCGACAACCTCGAGTCGGGGCAGGGCAGCCCGGACAGCATCACCAAGTCGCTCGGCAGCGGCGACGTGCAGATGGCCACGGCACTGCACGCCGCGCCCGTGCTGACGCGCCTGGCGCCGCCGCGGCACGACGAGCTCGAGAGCATCAGCGTCGTCGGCTCGCCGACGGAGATCCAGGAGACGCGCTCGTCGTTCAGCACGGCGCGCGACGGCAACGCCCTCGGCCTCGCCCGGCCACCGGCGGCCGCGCCGCAGACGACCGACGTGCGCCAGACGCTGACACGCGGCCTGACGGGCCGCTCGGTGTCGTCGGACAAGTCGTAGTCCGAGGTCGGCGCGCTGCCTGCGGCGTGCGCCTGCCGCTGCCCCTGCTCATATCTTGCTCTGCCTGCTGTGCCTGCCTGTGCCCCTGTACTCTACCACCATCCGTCACGTTATGTTGTGCAGCACACGTCTCTGCATTGTGAGCCGCCGCCGCGGTGTGCTGATGTTGCTGTGGTGGTGGGAAGCAAGAGATCGGGCGGAGCGTGGCACGAGAAAGGGTTCGCGGCCAGCAGCAGCACAGCCGCAAAGCACGCTCACGCAGGCGCAGGCACGCCGCGAGTCGCAGCCGCGCGAACTCCTGACGCCTGGAAGCCGCGCGCTCCGAGCTCGCTGCTGCACTAGACTGCTCGGGCCAGCGGCTGCCTTGCTTCCCGTCCACCCGCTCCGCCCGCTCTCGCCGTGTTCCGCACCTTTACGACCCAGCACATCCACGACGCACGACTCACGCCGCCACGCCTCGCGCCCTTGCCTCGTCCTTGCGCCGCCGGCGCGCACCGCACTCTGCGCCCGCCTGCCTCCACGCCTTCGACACCGCTGAGGCGGCGCTGCACCCGGCGCTATGTCGGCCTTTCCTGCCTTTGAGCGCGCGCAGGCCGGCCTCAGCAGCCGCAACCTCGCCGCTGCAGCGAGCAGCAGCAGCGGCCGGCCGCTCTCGAGCTTCGACCCGGGCCCGTCGGGCGGCAGCATGAGCACGCCCGTGCCCGTCCTCGCCCTCGACGGCGACGCAGCCGGCATCCCGCCGACGCCCGAGGCCAAGGTGCCGAAGATCTCGAAGCGCACCAACGCGCGCCTGCAGCTCGCCGCCGCGCTCATCGAGGCGGACAACGAGGAGATCGAGGCGCGGGCGCAGGCCGCCGCCGCCGCCATCGCCGGGCAGCAGCACGACCCCAACTCGCCGCACCCTGCGCCGCCGCCGCAGCCGAAGCTGGCGAGCCAGAGCGCCATCTTTGCGCCGTACCGCGAGGATGCTGGCAGCCTGCCGCCCGTCGTGCGGGCGCGCGCCGGCAGTGCCGCTAGCCGCCTGAGCCGGCCAAGCCTGGCGACCGGCGACGAGCCGCGCGGCAGCATCGACTTTCTCGGCGTGCGCCTACCGACGGAGAAGAAGTACGGCTACTCGCAGGGCGCACCCAGCAGCACGGGCTACTCGCATAGCCGCGCGGGTAGCATTGCCGGCACGACGCGCCTCAGCCGTTCGGGCAGCCTCATGAGCGCTACGGGCGCCCTTCGGCCCGGCGATGCCGTTTGGGACGGCCCGGGCGAGCGGCCGCGCAGCTCCATGAGCCACAGCCGGCGCGGCAGCCTCGGTGCCATGGCTGCCGATGCCGCGACCGACGACGCACTGAGCGAAGCCGGCTCGGACGAGGCGCTGAGCGACTGGGGTGTCGAGAAGTTCCTCTCCACCGACGCGCGCACCCGCATCACGGGGCGGCGCAGCAGAGCCAACAGCTCGCTCGGGCACGGGGCCGGCGGCGACCGCCCGCGCTCGGTGCTGAGCACCACGTCCGATGCGCCGCGTGCCACGTCGGACATTGGCACATCTGCCACGCAGAGCGGCCAGCCAGGCGCGGCCGCGGGCGCCAACGCCGAGCTGCTGGCGCGCATCAAGCTGTACCGCGAGCGCCAGGAGAATCTGCCGCCGAGTCAGTGGGACGGGCCTGGTCCCGCAGCCGATGCCAGCGCCGTGGCAGCGCATCTCAGCACGCCGCAGGGCAAGGCTGCGGCAGACCGGCCCGTCAGCACGCAGGCGTCGCCACCGCGCCGGCGAGCCTCGAGCTCCTCGACGCCTGGCGCACTGTTCAGCACGCCATCGCCGCGCATGACCCTGAACCAGGGCCTCGGCGGGCTCGGCTTGGACGACGAGGCGGCGAAGGCGGCGGCTAAGAAGGAGGAGGGCGTGCGGCAGGGCCTCGTTGCGCACGAGCGCAGCGCCACGGTCGATGCGGCGCCCGAGCACGCCACGATCATGCAGCGGCGCGAGAGCTCGATGGGCATCCTCGGCGACAGCTGGTCGGAGCAGGGCAGCGACTACGAGGCCGCGCCCGAGGCCGACGAGGAGATCGTTGCGCGCCTGGCGCAGGCTGCCGGCGTGCGCATCTCGCCGCCGAGCTCGCCCGGCCCGTCGAGTGCCGCACCAGTCCCGCAGCCTCTTGCGCCCGCGTTCCAGCCTTCTGCTGCTGCTCCACGTCCGGCGCCTGCAACTCCTGCGGAGGCGTTCCACGATGGCTCAACGACCGGCCATGACTTTGAGCCTCAGAGCGAGGACCAGGACATGGCCGGCGTCGGCTCATTCTCGCGCAGTCATTCGCGTCGCAACTCGCTCATGGCTAGCGCCTTTCTGTCGAACGACGAGCGGCCAGCGGGGACGATGTCGCCCGTGCTCGGACCCAGCCAGATCCTCAAGCCTGGTGACGTCGTGTCGGGCGGCTCGTACTCGCGGCCCGGCACGCCAGGCGGCATCGGCAGTCCTGCTCGACGGATGTCTGGCTTTGCTACGCCGATCCTCGGCGTCGGCGCTGTGTTGGCGGAAGACCCATTCCGCCACCTGCCGCAAGGGCCCTCTCCATACCCTGCCAGTCCGGCAAACAGGCTCATGGACCTCGGCGCCGATCCGTACGCCGCGGCCGCGCAGATGCGCCACCGTCATGGAGAGTCCATGGCTGGCATCGGCGCCGGCATGATGTCGCCGAGCCTGTCCTTTGCCAGTCCCAGCTCGGGCTTCGGCCAGGTGACGGCGCCGCAGCGCAAGAGCATGCCCATGGACAGCCTCTCCACCAAGCAGCTGCAGGCGCTCGCGCGCGGCGGAGCCTTTCCGGAGTATTACGGCATCATTGATGCCTCGGGCCCGCCGAGTCCGGCTCTGGCCGGCTTCGATGAGGCTGAGCTGCTTGATGCCGCCGGTCTCGATCCACTCGCGGCCGCGCAGCCCCACGAGGAACCGACAGAAGGCGAGGATGGAACGCCGGCGGCGCAGCAGCCTGCGACGGAGCCGTCCATGCCCAAGACGTCACGCTTCTCGGCCATCTTCGGCACCAACGCCAGCCTCGCTGATGCAGCAGAGGCGCTGCGCGATGCTGGCGAGCCGGACCTCTCGTCGGTGCGCTGGGGCTGGCGCAAGCGTGGAGCGCAGGCCATGCAGGACGGCGGCGGCGAGAACGAGACCGGCCAAGAGAAGCGCGCGAAGAGCCGCGGCCTCCTCACCACGGTGCTGCCCTTCAAGAGCAGCGCCGCCGCCAACGACGGCTCAGCGGCTGACCCACACGGCGCGCCCGGCGGCGAGCTCTTCGCCAAGCTGCAGAAGGCTGCGCAGGAGCAAGACGACGTCGACGACTCGCTGATCAGCCCGCCGTCCAAGGGTCCGCTGCGGCCTCGCGGCCTCTCGGAGCGTCTTCCCGGCACGCTGACTATGCCTGCGCCCCTGCAAGGCTCGCGACTGGCTCCGCGCATGCGTCTCACGCCGCCGCCAGACCAGGTGCTGCGCGAGAACGTCGCAGCGGCCAACGCAAAGCGTCAGAGCCAGCTGCACGTGCCGGAAGGCTTCGTGCTGCACAATCGCGGCCTGCCCGCCATGCGGCAGCTGCAAGTCGGCGGAGCCGCTGGCCCGCGGCCGCTCTTCATGGCGCCGCAAGGCGACAAGAAGCACGACGCAGTGGTGTCTGCCTTCCTCAACTCTGCGGAAGGACGCCGCCTCATCAACATCCCGGCTGCTGCGCCTGCAGGCATCGGTCGGCGAGCCGCCGCGCCTACGACGGCCCTTTTCCGCAACCAGCTTGTGCAGCACGACGACGAACGCGAGGGCTGGGGCTGGGAAGCCACGGCGTCTCAGGCTCCCGAGGACGAGGCGGCCGCTCTTGACATGAAGAAGAAGAGCAAGGGTGCCGCCAAGCGTGCCGAGAAGAAGGCGGCGAAGCTGAAGCGCAAGCGCAAGGCTGCCCGCGCCGAGCGCAGGCGCAAGCGCGAGGCCGCCAAGCAGAATGGCACCTCTTACGAGGCCGTCGCCGAGGAAGAGAGTCCCGACGAGGATCTAGACCTTAGCGAGGACTCGTCCAGCGAGGCGTCGGACACTGATTCAGACGACGCCAGCGACGCCAGCTGGAACACCGAGGACGAGAAGCGCTGGATCGACAACCAAAAGCCGGCAGGCAAGCTCTTCGGCAAGAGCCTGCTCGACGTCGCGGCGGAGAAGAAGCACATCAACGTCTCCAAGAACCGGTGAGCAGTTCGCTGTTGAATGAGGGACGAGCAGGTTGCTGACCCGCTCGTCGCAGCTACTATGGCCAGACTGAGATCGAAGAGATGAACCAGGCCGACGCACAGAGCGCGATGCTGGGCGACGGTCAGTCCATCGCGCCGAGTGCTGCCGCGCGGTCCTTTCGCGACAACCCGCTCGGCTACAACGACACGCGCGAGCGCATGCAGGCTGCCTTTGGCACCGACCACATCTGGGCGCGCGAGATGGCCAAGCGGCGCGAAGAGGAGGCGCGCGAGGCCGAGGAGCGCGAGGTGCGGCGTCTGGCCGAGGAGGAGTACCAGAAGGCCGAGGCCGAGCGCAAGCTGCGCAAGATGCGCGGCAAGAAGGGCAAGCAGGCTCGCGCTGCGGCGGCCGCTGCAAAGGCGGCCGAGGAGGCGAACAAGACGCCTCGTGGCGATGCGCTGCAGTTGCCAGAGGAGAGAGCAGACGGCGATGCCTCGCCGCCGCGCTCTCGCACGCCCATTCAGGCTCCCCAGATCGCCCTCGACCTGCCTACAGATGACGCGGGCAACGACGGCGCCTCATCGCGGCGCAGTGGGCGGCCCAGCGAGACTGCTGCCGAGTGGTTCGCGCGCTCCGACGATGAGGAGAGCTCGGACGGTTCCAGTTTGGAGGACGAGGCAGAGCGTCGCCGCCAGGCGCTGCAGCGCGCGCGCCAGTCGATGGCGCTGGACCCGTCGACCGTGCCAGTGCTCTCGATCGACTCGACACAGGACGGCGACAGCGACTCGAGCGAGGACAACGTGCCGCTCTCGCAGCTGCGCAAGAAAGCGCCGCCGAGCTTTGCTGCTGGTCTCACAATTGGCGGGAACCAGTCCTCGGACGAAGAGGTGCCGCTTGCGGCCATCGTGGCCAAGCGCAAGGCACGCGAGTCGAAGATGGGCACTCTTGATCTCGACTTTGGCGGCTCGCCGCGCGCTCCGCCAGCGCCTGCCCCTGCGCTCGAGCCCGAGTCCGACTCGTCCGATGATGCCCCGCTGGGTCTGCGGCACGCGAACGGCGCTGCGGCACTGGCCGCCATTGCAGCGCAGAAGGCAGCGCGGCGCGAGGCCAGCGGCGCAGATGCTTCTGAGAGCGACAATGACTCAGACGACGCGCCACTCGGCGCCATGCACCCGCAAGCTGCCATCATCGCCGAGCAGCGCGCCGTCATCGAGCGCCTGCAGGCGGAGAATGCGCAGGCCAAGGCGCAGATGATGGGCGGTATGCCCTCGTTCGGGCCATACGGCCAGCCGGCGGGCTTCGACCCGCGCATGTCGTTCATGCCGGGCATGGGCGACCCGCGCATGAGCATGATGAACCTCGGCATGCCGATGAACGGCGGCATGCCCGCGACCGCTTCTGCCGCCAACCTTATGTCCTACGACAGCGCCGCGCCGCACGCCTCGCCGATGATGCACCAGGGCGCCGCAATGGGCTCGCCGGCGATGGTCTCTGCACCGTCGATGACGCCGCTCGCGCCGCCCATCATGGGCGACCCGAAGAGCTCGTCGATCGACCGCTGGCGCAGCGAGGTGGCGCCGCGCGCACCTGGCTCCTCGGGACCCACGTCAAAGGAGGGCTCCGAGGCGCTTGTATGACCGTCTCTCCCATTTGCCCCGGATCCACACATCAGACACCTGCTTCACCATCAACGACCGCACGAAACAATACATTAGACAGTCAGCTAGCGGAGGTACAGCGTCCAGAAGCCAGGCGTGCCCTGCATCGGCAGTGTCAGCGCTGGAGGGCCGAGAGAGACGAGTGGCTCACCTCTGTAGGCGGCCGGTGGCGCGCCGGTATGCCCAGCAGCTCGTTGACGAGGCCGTGCACCTCGAGATTGCGAAAGGGCGGTATCCGCTGTGCAGAGCGGCGGAAGGACGGACCGTGGGCAGCGAAGATGGCCTGCATGTCGGGATGGCGTGCGTCGTAGCCGTGGTTGCTAGGTGCGCCTGGATGAGCATCGCGGCAGCGTGGAACGCACGACGTCAGGACTCACCCGCGCGGGCTGTAGACGCCGTCGCTGAACGTCGCCATCTCGGCGGCCGTCGTGATGCTCCAGCCGACGTCCGGCACCATCCACAGCGGCGCGACGCGCTCGCGCATGACGTGCTCGTCCGGCGCCGTCCAGTTCCACTGCTGCGCGAGCGGCTCGGCGTCGAGCAGCTGGAAGCTGCTGGCCTTTGCCAGCTTGCGCAAGCGGTCCCGGGCCGCAGTCTGTGCGCTGGCGCTCTTGAAGCGCAGCCCGGCCGAGGGCCATCCGTCGCGCGTGAGGATCTCGCCATACAGCTCTGCCCCCAGCGCCTCGTCGAGATAGATTAGACGCTTTGAGGACGTCTGGGTCATGCCGTGATCGGACACAACGACGACGTCGACGAGCTCGCTGGCGTTGCGCGCAGCGATGCTGCGAAGCAGTGCAGCGATGAAGTCGTCAACGGCGCGCAGGGCCGCGGCGACTGACGGGTCCGAGGGGTCTGGCCCGGCGCCGTGCGCTGCAGCATCGACGTCTGGGACGTATGCTACAGACTGAGCGTCAGCATCGTGCAAGGGTGAAGAGATGCCGTGCAGCTCACCGCAGATCAGGCTCGGCCGCTCGTCGACGCTGCCCATGTCCAGCCAGCGCTCGATGGTACGCAGGCGGTCGGCCGTGCTCCAGCCCTTGACGTACCGCTGGAAGTGGCGCGGCCGCTCGCCGTGCGACGTGATCGGCGGGCCAGGCCAGGCCAGCACCGCGCTGCTCTGGCCTGCGCGCTCGGCGACGCTCCACAGCGGCTCGGCGCCCCACCAGCTGCCGTTCCAGGAGCGCGCCGGGTCCTGGTAGAAGAACGCCTCGCTGCTTTTGTCGCGCAAGATGCGGTGGAAGTCGTTGGCGACGATGCCGTGCCGGCCGGGCGAGACGCCCGTGAGCAGGCTCCAGTGGTTCGGAAAGGTGAGCGACGGCGAGACGGGGCGCATGCTCTCGGCCACGAGGGCGGGCGCCTGCGACAGGTGCGGCAGCAGCTCGGGCGTCAGGTACGCCGGCCGCACGCCGTCGAGCGAGACGAGGATGACGGAGCGGCGCCACGGGTGGGTGCCGTTGCTGAGCGGCGTCGAGGCCGCAGGCGCGAACACGAGCTGCTGCGCCCACACCATGCTCGTGGCCAGCGCCGCGGCGGCAGCAGCGAGCAGCAGCACGCCGATGCGCACGCGTGGCCAGCCAGACCGTCCTTGCGGCGTCGTTGCGCTGTTCATCTTGACCAGCTACTTGCAGCGCTGCCAGCCGCCCGCGTGGACCTTGAGGGGTGTGGTGGGCGCAATGAAGAACGGGCGCCGGCCAACGCGGCCGGCCCAAGACGCCGTGGGAGAGGGCAAAAAGGAAGAGCAAAAAGCATGCCCGCGCCGAGAATTGAACTCGGCTCTTCGACTGCCTGTAATCAGGTTCAACTAAATTATGAGGTCAATATGCTAACCACTACAACACGCAGGCGCAGATGTCGGGCAAGCCAGCCTAAGCAGATATCAACCCTCAGACGATGAGAGCGGTTTCCGCCCGTCTCTGTAGTCTCTTGACAAGGCGAGTGCCCAACGCTTCCGCCCTGGCTGCGTCGATCGTCTGCCAGAGCGCAGGCAATTGCACTGAGCAAGGCTTAGGCACTCATGAGTCGCGCAACATAGGGTATTCATTGCAGTATCGCAGAGCAAGCGCAGCACCAATTGTCCATCCAAGCCAAGCGGCGCGCCTCTACAGCTTGCTCTTGCCCGGCGTGCCCTCCTTGTCGTCGTCGTCGACAGGCTGCGCCAAGGGCCCCATGCGCGGACGCACGCGGCGCTTGCGGATGGCCAGCGGGCCCTCGAAGGCCGTGCGGATGAGCGCTGCGTCGCTCGGCTGGTTCGGCGCTGCAGGCGGGAGGGCTCAGTGGATGAGACTGCGCACGCTGTCGCATGGCTTACCTCGCAGCACGAAGGACGGCTCTTGGCCGTATGCCAGCCACGCGGCGTGGATCAGAATGTCACTGAGGCCAAGTCGAGTCAGCAGCAGCTTTGGGCTGGCGCAGCCGCTCTGGGCTTGACGCACCTGGTGAGCCCGCGAATTGGGTTGCTGCGGTGCCAAAAGTCATGTCTGCGTATCCGCTCGCCGAACCAGCTGATGTCGCGGCAGTGATGCCAGTCCGAGGGGCCCGAGACCTCGCTGGCGCTGAGCATGTCGTCCTCGCTCGGCATGGCTGGCAGGCGCAGCGACGGCCGCAGCGCTACGGGCGGCACATGGTAGAGGAAGGCGCGCAGAGGCACAGAGAAGAGAGAGGAGACTTCGCGCGGGTTCAGGTTTGGCTGAGAGAAGGGCGCATGAGTAAGCTGTGAGGAGATCCATCGCGGAGACAACGCACCTGCTGCGTCGGATCTGTGAGCAGCACCACGACGGGCGTCACGACGAGCTCGTTGGCGGAGAGAAAGGCGCGCAGCTCGCACAGCTTCGGCGAGGCTGCGGGGTTGATCGGCAGGCCGGTCTGCGCAGAAATGATGAGCTATCGACTCGGCCATGCATACGTCCGGCCCGATACCAACCTCTTCCCATGCTTCGCGGCGCTGAGGGACGAGAAGGCTTGTCAGCTCGCTACACTGCTACGGCGGGAGCGCCTCCTGAACGGCCGCGACGAATGGGAGCGCCCGGGGCTGCACACGACGCCGCACGCGCCCGTCAATTCCTGTTTCTCTCCTGCTAGCACTCACTGCACACGCCTCCATGTCTGCGTCGCCGAGCTCGAAGCGGCCGCCGGGGATGGCCGTGTCGCCGCCGTGGCTGCGCAGGCCGAGGGCGCGCTGGGAGAGGACGACGTGCAGGTCGCTGGCCCACACCACATCAGCCTCGCAGTTCGCTCTCTGCGGCTGCTCGTACCACTCACCCTCGCCGCCCGCCGAACAGACCCAGCAGCACGGCTGCGCGCCGATACGCCGGCACGGCGCCGGGACACGGCTCGGGCACAGGCACATGGGCGCGCAGACGCGCCAGCGCCGCGAGCGACTCGGCCGTCAGCGGCGCCAGCTGCGGGCTGTCGCGCGACGTGTCAGCGTCGAGGAGAGACAAGGTGCGTGCGACGCACAGCGGCATGATGGACGAGGCGGGATGATGTGGTGGGAGGGAGAGAAGCAACGGCATGTGGAGCCGGCACTCGGGCGAGGGGAATGCGGGGCGCGGTGGGCGCGTGGGAGCAGCTCACAGGCGCAACCTCAGCGGCCGCCTCTGCTCTTCTTTCGCTTGCTCTCGTCCTCACTTCCATCGCGCAGCCATGTGGCGCACGCAGCCACCGCAGCAGGCGCACGAGGTAAGCGCCACCGCACAGCCATCCACACAAGCACGCCGCTTCCGCCCTCTCCACAGGCCTCTCTGAAGCGGCCGCGCGGCAGCAGTGTCGGCAGCGCCTCCAGCAGCGCCTCGTCGCGCCTCGAGACGCCGTCGCGCTCGCCGTCGCCCGAGCGGCCGCGCGCCTCGGTCGACACGCAGCTCGGCGCACGCAATGCCGGATATGCCATGCTGCTGCGCATGGGCTGGGTCGCCGGGCAGGGCCTGGGCGCCGCGGGCGACGGGCGCATTGAGCCCGTGCCGCTGAGCGAGAAGCGCGGCGCGGACCTGGCCGGCATCGGTGAGGCGCAAGCATACTCCTGCGGGCGGCAGTGGCTGAGGCTCTTGTCTCTGCGTCAGGCAAGCTGTCGCTTGATATTCGGAACGTCGAGGCATCGACGAGCTCGCGCCGCGAATTGCCCTCGGAGCGCATGTCGCGCGAGACCGAGGCGCAGCGCTCCGCACGACTGGTGAGTGCTGCGCCTCTCCTGGCCATCGCACCAGCTCATTGCTTGCTGCACCTTCAAGGATGAGGCAGCACGGCAGGCGACTCAGCGCCATGATGCCGAAGAGGCGCGCGCCGCGTTCCGCTGCGAGCTGTGCAACAAGGGCTACTCCAAGCCGAGTGCCTATGAGACACACCTGACGAGCTACGACCACCACCATCGCAAGGTGAGCTCTTCCGTGTCCTTGATGCTCGCTGTGCTTGCGGCTGACGCCCTTCCGTGCCGCAGCGATTGAAAGAGTTGGCGGCGACGGAGAAGGCGCGAGGCGGCGGCGGCACGGAGCGGGCGGCGAACCGCAGAGCCAAGGAGGCGGCAAGGGAGGCCAAGGAGCTCGCCAGGCTCACGGGCGGCTCTGTCAAGGCGGCGCCCTCACTACTCGCTGCTGCCGGAAGCAGCACTCTGCCTGCGACGACCAGCGCAGGCAGCAGTGGCGGCTGGAAGCGCACCCTTGCGGCTGCTCCCGCTGCTCCTGTTGCTGCTCTTGTCGAACAACCGGCGCCCGCACCTGCAGCCCGCAGCGTAGGCGCCTTCCGCTCGGCAGGCTTCGGACGGCTCGACACGAGTGAAGCACCTGCCGCGACTTCGTCTGTGCCGAGCTCTGGGAGCACGTCACAAAGCGCCCCAATCGGTTTTGCGCCGCTCAGTGGGAGCAGCGCCGCATCCTCTTCGCGGTTCGCAGCTGTATCTGGCACCTCAAGCAGCAGGCCAGCAGGCTTCGCGCCCGTGGCCACGACGAGCCAGCGGAGTGGCGGTTTCAAACCTCTGGGCTTCGCGCGCGTCGAGCCCCTCACTGGCAGAGCAGGCTCAGACGGCTTTCGGCCCCTTGCGACAAGGCCTGCCACCACTGAGCCGGCAGCACCCGCGCGGCCGCCGTCTGAGCCTTCACTTAGCGCACCTCCGCCGCCAGGGCCGCCGCCGCCACCACCACCGTCCGCTGAGCCCATGTACGGTGCTCCACCGCCGCCGCCGCCGGACGACGAGCCGATGGACGATGGCCCACCTCCTCCGCCGCCGCCGCCGCCTGAAGATGATGCACCTCCTCCGCCGCCGCCGTGAGGTTGCGCTGCGTATGCCTCGCCAGCAAGCGTCGCGCAGGGCTGCAAATGTCGGGTCATACCGAGAGGACAATGCATAAGCAGTGCACCAAACTTTCTGAGCGTGACGAGAGTGAAGTGCCCTTGTGCAGCGGTTGGGCGCGGGAGCGAGCGGTGGCCGCACGGCTCGGCAGGCGCGGAAGAGGCGGCCCGGCAAGCGTCGCAGCCGGCGTTTCGCGCAGCGGCTTGGCCGGCCCGCTGCGGCTGCAGCCGCAGCTTGGCCTGAGCGCGCCTTCCCCACACTCCGCGCACCGCCGCTTCTTCCTCCACCTCCATCACCCTCTCATCCGCCCTCACCAGCGCACCATGTCGAACATCCCGTACGTCGCACCGCATCAGCAGCTGGCACACGTGCACTGACGGCGCATAAATGCAGCACCAAGGCCAAGGCCCTGCAGCTGCAGCGGCCCGCCAGCAAGGAGAAGGGCGCGCGCAACGAGGCCAAGCTGCTCGACGTCGACGTGCCCAAGGAGCAGCAGGGCTGCGTGCTCGTCAAGGTGCGTGTGCAGCGGCGGAGAGAAGGCCTGTACTGGAAGGCGGCGACGCTTGCGAGTGACGAGGAGGTGCAGCGCGCGCCAGCGATGAGAGCAGCGTCCGGTGGTGCTGTTGTTGCGGGTCCGAGTCGCATCTGCCAAGCTGCTCAGTTGTGCAGCGCCAGGGCCGCAGCGTCTCATGCTCATGCCACTCTGGCCGCCAGATTCATGCCGCCGGCTTCAACCGTCGTGACGAGTGGAGCATGCTGGGCGCCTACCCGGGTGAGCAGCGCGCCGCCCTGCCTCCGCGCCTCTCGGCTCACGCCGCCTTGGCCAGGCCTCACCTATGAGAACAGCACGTTTGGCTGCGACGGCGCCGGCACCATCGTGCGCGGCAGTTCCTCCTTCAAGCCGTCGCACCCGCAGGGCCTCGTGCTGCTGAACCCGACGCGCGGCTGGGCCTCCGACGCCGCCGGTCCTGAGGCCGAGGTGCCCGGCTCCAAGGAGAGCAAGGCGACCAACGAGTTTGGCGGGCGCGGCTTCGGCCTGCTGGGCGCCACCAAGCCGACGGGCGGCGTGGGCTGCTTCGCCGAGTACGTGCAGGTCGCGGCGGACCAGGTGGTCAATGTGCCGGCGCACCTGGATGCGCTGCAGGCTGCCTGCCTGCCGTGTGGAGGCGTGACGGCGTACAGGTGAGTCGTGGAAAGGGCACGACACGGCACGCTCAATCGCTTGCTGTCGCTCACGCTGGATGCGGTTGCAGAGCACTCTTCACCAAGGCTCAGCTGGCGCGCGGCCAGACGCTGCTCATCACGGGCATCGGCGGCGGCGTGGCGCTGCTGGCTCTGCAGCTCGCCGTGGCGGCAGGCGCTCGTGTCTTCGTCACCGGCGGCAGCGACGCCAAGGTGGCGCGGGCCGTCGAGCTGGGAGCGGTGGGCGGCGCCGTGTACAAGGACGCCAAGTGGCCCGAAACGATCCGCAAGCTGCTGGCCGAGAAGTGCGCCGAGCGCCCGTACCTCGACGCCATCGTCGACAGCGCCGGCGGCGAGGTGCCGGCGCAGGCGGCAAAGGCCGGTCTCAAGGCCGGCGGCAAGATTGTCTGCTTCGGCATGACGGCCAGCCCCAAGATGACGGTGACGATGCGCGAGGTGCTGCGCAACGTCGACATCTGTGGTGCGTGCTGCCTGGCGGCGTGCATACCTATCTACTCACACCGGCCCGGCAGGCTCGACGATGGGCAGCGCCGCCGAGTTTCGCGCCATGGTCGAGTTCGTCGGCAAGCACAAGATCGAGCCCATCGTCGACACGGTGCTCGAGGGCCTCGAGAATGCACACAAGGGCTTCGCACTGCTCGCCGACGCCGACAAGCGCTCCGGCGGCAAGGTCGTCGTCAGCGTGGCAAAGGCACAGGCGAAGCTGTGAGGGCCAGCATGCGAGTTCTACGACCTGATGCACACATGTGATTGTACCATTCGCTCAGAGACGTGACGGCCGTGACAGAGAGAAGCGGGGTAGCCAGCAGCGATAGAAATGTGCGCAGGGCGCTTTCGTCGAGACGGGCCCAGCGGGCAGGAGAAGGAAGCACGTGCATGGCCGCTCAAACGGCGTAGCGGAACGCTGGACAGGGGCGAGTCGGGCGTCAGCAGTCGTCCGATGCGTGTGCATCTGGCAGCGCGGCCGGGCACTGACCAGGGTGCTTGTCGCCGAGCAGCAGGATCTCGGCCTTGCTCAGGTGCGAGAGGCCCCAGCGAGCCTTCTCCTCCTGCAGGCAAGACTCCGTCAGCTTCGCTCACACAGGCAGCTCGCGATCAGCGCACCTCGTCGTCGGCCTTGAGCGGGTCCGCAGAGGAGCCGTCGGGCTTGGCGTAGCAGAGCGCGTCGCGCCGCTTGTTCTCGCGGTAGTTGGCGATGCCGAGCACCGTGGCACACGCCATGGCGAGCACGGTGAAGGCAAGGTTGATCGAGTGGCCCTTGATGTAGCGCGGCGCATCGGTGAGCGGGTAGACGTTCGAGGAGACGAGGCCGGCAGAGTTGCCGAAGCTAAAGAAGAGACCCATCGCCGCAGCACGCTTCACCGCGCCGCCGACGTTGTTGCCGATCCAAGTGATGGAGAGAGCAATGCAAGGCGACACGCCGCCGACGGCAAAGAAGAAGCCGGCGTACTTGGCTCCCGGCGGCACCGACTCGACGATGAAGAGGATGTAGCCGAGGAGCGTGAGAGACATGCACGCCACGATGGGCACGCTGCGCACGAGGTGGCGGTCCGAGTAGAAGGCGCAGGCCATCGTCGTGATGAAGCCCACGACGTACGGCGGCACGGAGAGCAGGTTGCTCGACGTGCGTCCGAACGCGCCCAGCCCGCTGATGAGCTGCGGAATGAAGATGGCGAGACTGTACAGCGGATTCGCCACCGAGAGGTACATGATCGACATGACCCACACGCGCCAGTCGGTGAACGCCGAGCGCACCTGGCTCCACGTGAAGGGGATCTGCCGAGGCGAGAGATCAGCGCGTGCTCACTGCCATGTCACCAGGCAGACTCACATCGGCAGACGTGACGCCCTGCGACTTGGCCAGCACGTGGTTCCAGCGCGCCTTGGAGAGGGGCTCGAACATGCGCTTCTCGGCGGCGGGGAAGTCGAGCAGCATCCAGAAGCCGGGGATGGCGCACACGAGCGTGAGGATGCCTTCGATGATGAAGATCCAGCGCCACTGCTCGCCCTCGTACGGGCCCGCGGGCATGTGGATCTGCGCCAGGCCGTAGGCGAGCAGGCCGCCAAAGGCTCCGGCGAGCGTGGCGCCACTGAGCAGAAGGGCTCAGCCATGCGCGCTTCTGGCGCAGCACCCGGTGCTCACCTGAAGAAGATGCCGACACGTGTGCCGAGCTGGGCGCGCGAGTACCAGCAGGAGAGCATGTAGTTGAGCAGCGGGAAGAGGGGGCCCTCGAAGAGGCCGAGCAGCGCACGCGTGGCGATGAGGTCGGCCGACGTCTTGACGAGGCCCATGCCGATGAGCACGAGCGACCAGGCAATCATGATGATCGGAATGGCGCGGCGCACGCCGAGGCGCTTGAAGACGAGCAGCGCCGGAATCTCAGACGCCACGTAGAAGACGAAGAAGATGGAGAGCGCAATGGCGTAGCGGTTGCCGCGCACAATGCCGAGGTCGCGGCGCAGGCCCAGCCCGGCGGCCTGGCCGATGTTGACGCGGTCGAGGAAGGAGAGCAGGCTGGTGCGTGTGAGCTGCTGTCCGGTGCACGCAGACGAGCGGCCACACTCACTAGAGCAGCGTCACGTACGGCATCACGCGCTGGCCGCGGCTGTCAGCGAAGCACCGCAGCGCTGCTGCCTCATTCCACGCACCTTGTCGAGGCGCCGCAGCAGCACGCGGCGCTCGTCGTCGCTGACGTGCAGCTCGCCGGCGGTGAAGGTGTGCTGCGACTCGACGCCGCCCGGCTCGCTGGCCGCCAGCACGGCGGCGGGCGCAAAGCGGCGCTCCTTCTCCTCGTGGCCCGAGGCCGAGTCGCGCTTCTCGTCGCTGGGCCGCTCGCTGCCGAGCACGGCGGGTGCGGGCTGTGCGTGCGACATGGCTGATGTGGTGGTGGTGCGCAGGCAGGAGCGGCGATGCGGAGCAGTGGGCAAGGTGCGTCGGTGCGGCTCCTCGGGTGCAGCTTTAAGGCGCCTCGTCGGCCTCTTTGCGCCTCCCGCGCACCGGCACGCGCGCAGAGGCGGGCAAAGACGGCAAAAGATCAGAGGCTCCGCCGCCGCTTGGCCGCTCCCCTCTCGCGCTCCTTCGCGATGCGGGGAAGATCGTCCGCGGCCGCACATCGCCCCTGTCGAGGCCCCTCGGTGCCTGAGCCGCTGTCAGCTGCTTCTCCTTGCTGTCGCAGCAGGCGGGTTCTCCTGCCTCTGCGGCATCGGCTGCCTGAGCGAGGCAGCCGCAGCTGCAGACGAGCTGGACGATACCTCAGCTTCAGAGCTGCTCCCGCGCTCACCACGCGGCACGCGCCCGACTTGGCCGCTGCAGGCACCCTCGGGCGGAGCGGGCGAGGCATGAGAGCAGCACGGGAGAACCGCGGCAGGGGTCCGACTCGGGCCGCGCGCCGCAGCAGAGAGCAGCAAAGAGGCCGCGGGAGCAGCCCAGCAGCCGCCCCAGCCATCCCTCGACTCGCCAAGGCGCCGCTTGCCACGCCCGCCCCTCTCGCTGCCGCCGCACCCGTTCAGGCACGGCCTCGTCGCCGCACAGCGAGCAAGCCGCGGCAGAAGGGCCATGCCGCAGGTGCGGAGAGGGCGATGCAGGAACAGCGCTGCCGCAGCCCCTGATCCTGCAGCTGCACTTCCGAGCGCGAGGCGGCCCGGACTCGCCTCCGGGCCGTCCGTCTTGCCTGCCCCGCATTTGTTCGCAGCTGGAGCTGCATCTGCGCAGCGTCTGTGCGGCTGTCTGGCGTTGCGAGACGGACGTGAGCCCGGACGGCGCTTGCTGCTGCGCCCCCCATCCCCGCACTTGACGCCTCCCGGCTTCATTCCGGCCCGACCGCCGCTCAGCGTCCCAGAGCTGCAGCTCCTCGACAATCGGCTGGAAGTCATCAGAGTGCAAAGTCGACGCAGTTGCTGCTTTGTCCGATGTGTCTGTCACTCCTGCCCTGATCCTCTGACAGCCACAGCGCCGCTCAGCGCCAGCGCTGCAGCACGCAGCATCAGGGCAGCGTCGCAAGGACGCAGCGGCACCAGCACGGCAGCGTGGCGCGAGAAGAAGATGCCTGCGCGGCCTCTAAGGCGGTCGTGATGGCAGCAGCGTCTGTGTCGCCTGTGCCGGGTGAAAGGAGTGGGCGAGGATGTCTGCGCTGGCTGTAGATGATGACTGAGGCAGGCTGTGAGAAGTAGATGCGAGTGGTGCTGCCTCGCACTCAACAAGAGCGGCCGTGTGACAATGCCCTTGCTTTCCCTGAGGACTGCCATGCGCAGTGGTGACGCTGGCAACAAAGCCCTAGTTCGGCTCATCCGCTGAAGGCTGTGCCTTCGGCGCCGATCGGCAGCTGCGGTGGAGAGAGAAATGCCCCGGTCAAGGGCAGAGCTGGAGACGCTCGAGGCGCGTTGAAGCTGGGCCGCCAAACGCGCTAGCGCTGCGCGCGCCGCCGCCTTCCTCCACCCAACACCATCACCTCGCCTCGCCCCGGCGCCGCTGCCTCTCGCGCCTCGTGTCCGCCGCCGCGCCTGCTCAGCTGCCCAGGGTGCTGCCGGCTTGCTGCATCTCCGGCCAGCGCGTCGCCTCTCCTGCTCCAGTGCCAGCGTGGCCCGCTGCCTCCGCCCGCCCACGCCGCAGCGATGTTCGACTTTCTGCGCTCCGAGCGGCCGCGCGCCAGCAGCTCCAAGGAGAGCTCGCCGCTCGACGCTCTGCCGCCGCAGCTGCACGCCAAGGTCGACGACGCCATGGCGCAGCTGCACGACGCCGTGCCCACCTCCGTGCGCGATGCCGCAGCCGAGACGTCGCAGCGCGCCGAGCAGGCCGGGAAGCGCTTCCTCGCCTCGCCCCTCTCAACGGCACTCCTCAGCGCTGCCGTGACGGCGGGCAGTCTGGCCATGTACTGGCGCTACTTTCGCCGCATCCGCACAGCCGACCACATCACGCCCGGCACGCTGCGCTGGCGCAAGACGCTCGTGGGACGGTGTACGAGGTGAGAGGGCCTGTGCGCAGGGATGCTGGAGCAGTGGCAGCTCGTGGGGCATGCGCAGAGCTCGCGAGCCGTGCTGCCAAGAGCGCTGCATGAGCGTGCTGCGGCGCCAGCTGCTCCTGCCGCTCTTTCTCTTGTGGCAGCACTGACGCTCCGCCCTGCAGCGTCGGCGACGCAGACGGCTTCCGCATGTACCACCAGATGCCGTTTCCCTTCCGCCTGCTCTCGCCCGTGCCCAAGCCGGCGAAGAGCACCGAGACGCTCTCGGTGCGCCTCGCGGGTGCCGATGCGCCCGAAAGCGCACACTTTGGCAAGGAGGCGCAGCCCTTCTCGAAGGAGGCGCGCGCTGAGCTCGTGCGGCTATGCCTTGATCGGACAGTGTGGTGCAGGGTGAGCATTGCGCTTGTGGACTCGCGGCCCGTGCTGAGACAGACGCTGCACAGGTTGCACACGTGGACCAGTACAAGCGGCTGGTGAGTGGCTCGGCCTCGGTCAGCACCCAGCGCAGAGGCTCACAGCTCATCGTAGGTGGCCACGCCGTACGTCTGGCTGCCGCCGTACATCCTCGGGCGCACCAACGTGTCGCACCGCCTCGTCTGGCTCGGCCTGGCGACGGTGTACACGCAGAGCGGCGCCGCGTACGCCGAGGCCTCGTGGCTGCGGCGCCTGCTGATGCGCGGCGACAAGGCGACGTGGGGCCTGCGCTCGCTGCAGAAGGCCGAGGACAAGGCAAAGTGAGTGCTGATGAGGCAGGTGCGGCGCGCACCGGCGCACCAGAGCTCAGCGAGCTGATGACGGCACACGCGCAGACGCGCACGGAGAGGCATGTGGAGCCTGGGCTCCAAGCTCGAGAGCCCGGCCGACTACAAGCGACGGATCAAGGCGGAGAGATCAAGCTAATACAAGCGACTCTGTAATGCTGCTGCTTCCGGTGACGACGCGCATGGCCATTCATGTGTGTGTGAGGGGGTGTGCAACGAGTGTGTGAGGTACATAGCCCGCGTCGGCAGCTGGCAGGAGGGAGCGCGCAGCGGAGGAGGTGACGGCGAATGGTGAGGCCAGGAACGTTGCGCTTCAGCTCGAAGGGAGACGCGAAAGGGCGCCGCGATGAAGAGAGAGGGGTGAATGGCGAGCGACAGAGAGGCCTGCTGACAGGGCCCCGCAAGGCGGCGGCCCGGCGCGGCGAGGAATGTGAGGGTGACGCGGAGAGAGAGAGGGAACGCATGTGACACGCGGCGACTACGCAGTGGTGGTGACAACGAGCTCGACGTCGGTGCCCGACTGGCGGCCCAGCTCAAAGGCCATCTGCACGTCCTCGTCGTCGTGCATGAGGATCTTGTCGCCGTCCTCGTCGATGTAGCGCACGCGCAGTGCCACGCCGTCGAGCTTGCGGCCGCTGATGACGCGCACCTTCTTCGTCACCTTCTCCAGCAGGCCGACGAGGTTGATCGACGCCAGCACGACGACCACGAAGCGGTCCTCGCCGAAGCGCACCGAGAGCTTGACGGCGTTGGAGTTCGAGTAGCGCTGCGCCTGTTGCGTCGGCGTCGAGTTGGCCGTCGAGCGCGTCGAGGCGGGCGCGTGCGTGATCGGCGAGCTGGCGGCCGTCGAGCCGCGCAGCGAGCCGAGCGAGTGCGTCGAATCGAGCGTGGATGTGCTGGACGAGCTGAAGCGCTTGTCGGAGCCGAGATGTGGCTGTCGATGCATGCCGTGCTCTCCGTTGCCGTGGTTGACCAAATGTGCTGGGTACGGCGCTCGCGGCACCGGCGGCGGCATCTCGTTGACGGCGTTTGGATTGAACGCCATCGGGTTACTCGCCGACCGGTTGCGCAGATGCTGCCCGGCATCAGACTGCGCCCGGCCCATGGCCGACGAGTCTGCGCGCGCACGGCCCGTGATGTCGTCTGGCATGTCGGGATCCGTGGGCGAGGTCGAGTCGCCGTGCCGCGGCGGGCGCGGATAGCCGCTGCTCGTGTGCGGCGCAGGATAGCCCGGCTGCCGCAGCTGGCGGCTGCTCGACGCCTTGCGCAGCTGGTGCTCGTGCTCGCGCTGCCGCTGCTCCATCGCTTGCGCCGAGCCGTTGGCGTGCGACGGCCGCGGCAGCGGCGGCGCCATGGCGGGCGAGTTGGAGCGCCACTGCGTCATCAGCGAGCTGTCCTGGTCCTCCGTCCGAGCGCGCGGCCGCGAGCCCTCTCCCTGCTGGTACGGCGGCTCCCGCTGCTCCGCCGGCGTGGAATATCGGCCACCCAGCGGCGTCATGCGCCCGCCAGTCGAGTGGCCGTTGAGAGACATGCCCTCGGCCATGTCCCGCACACCCTCGATCTGGTCGCTGTCCATGTCGTCGCTCTCGAGGCGCGTGCGGTGGCTCATCTGGCTGTCGGTGCGCAGGAACGGGAACGACGGCGCGATCTCGGAGAGCGGCGTCTGCGGGAAGTGCGACGAGTTGCCCGTGTTGCGGCGCCCGTGCAGTCCAGCCATGTTGGCCGGCGACATGGCGCCAGACTGGCTGAAGTGCGCCGCGACGTGCTGCCGGCGGATGTTGACCTCGTCGATGAGCTTGTTCACCGCGAGCTGCCACTGCTTGAGCTGCTCCTCGTTCTTGCAGCGCAGGCTGAACGACTCTTGGTCGACGTCGCCGCGCCACCAGACCTGCAGCGCGTGCGAGCCGCCGGGCTGTCCCATGACCGCTGGAGCCGAGGCGTCAGCGCTGCGGGCCAGCGTCGTCCCAAGCAGCAAGCACTCACAAGCCGTCTTGTTGTGCGCCTTGGCGTGCGTCACGTTGTTGATGAAGATGCGGCCCTTGAGCTGCAGGCTCGTCTTTGGCTTCTTGCCGGGCGGCGTCTGCGCGGCCGTTGTCTTCTGCTTGAGCAGGCTGTTGCTCTTCGAGTTCTTCTTGGGCTGGTTCGGTAGAATCTCCTTGCAGCAGAGCAGGATCTTCTCGAACAGGTACACGTGGTACTCGCGCTCCGTGTCGCTCTTGGCGACGAGGAACACGTCGGAGAGCAGCAGCGGGCCAAACGTGTTGATGTTGTGCCCCTTCCAGTCCTCGACGCGCAGCTCGAGCTCGCGCACGATTTGGATGTTCTCCTGCAGGCGCCGCGTCTCGTTGACCTTGTCGGTGATGCGGCGGATGACGTGGATGCCGTCGACGAGCTCCTGGTAGTAGGGCGCGTCGGGCGACGTCTTCTTCTGCAGCTGCTCGAGCAGCAGCGGGTATTTGCAGATGCGCTGCACCGGCTTGATCAGGAATGTCGGCAGCTCGTACGACGGGTCGAGGTAGCACCCCTCAGCAGCCGGCAGCCCACGCAGCCGCTGTAGCGCGTGTGTCAGCATGTGCAGAGCAGCAGGCGCAACGGCAGCACGCACTGTGATGTTGTGTGCCTCGGCAGTGATGATGTCCAGCGCCTGCGCGTAGTTTGCGCAGAACGGCTCGTACACCGAGAAGTCGCTCTCCTGCGAGAGGGACGCATCGCGTGAGCTGCTGTGCGAGTGCAAGAGGCGCCCGCACCACGCACCATCGTCTGGAACACATGACCAAAGTGCTGCTCATCAGCAGGCCGCCGCGCGTTTTCCTCCACACAGATCAAGAAGCGCCGATTGACATCCACCAACGTGTTGAGGTTGCCGAACAGCGCGTGGATCGTGTCGGGCGGCAGGATGTCGTGCTGGCCCAGCGCGCGCGCATAGTTCTGCATCACCTCCAGGTCCTGCACGTACTTGCGCTCCGTGTCGAGCAGCTCGCGCACAATCCACGCCCGGTCGTCGCTCGGCTTCTCCAGCACGTCGGCAGAGGCCGAAGGCGCGTGCGCCGGCGCCGTCAGCAGGCCGCGCGCCTCGAAGATGTCGAGCAGCTTCGAGATCGTGCGCACCACCTGTCACGCGTGTCAGCAAACGCGGCGCATACAAGCCACGGAGCAGCGCACCTTGACGAAGCCGTTGGTATCGTTCAAGTACAGCTGCGAGACAGTGAAGCAGTCATCCGGGTCCCACTGCAGCTCGTTCTGCAGCGCAATGATGAACTTGGCCACCTGCTTCTTGCACTCGTTTGCGTTGCTGCGGTTCGCGTCCGGATTGATCGTGAGCGCCGTGTTGGGCTTCAGGTGGTTGAAGAGCGCGCAGAGCGGCGCGCCGAGGCGGAAGAGCTGCCACAGCTGCGTCACAGGGTCGAAGCTCGAGATCGGCCGGCTGGCCGCGGGCTCGCTCGCCGAGGGCGACGGCGTGGCGGGCGTGCTGGGCGTCGAGAGCGCCTCGGAGAGGTAGTTCTCGCCAAAGCCCTGCACGCACCACAGGCGGTCGCGCAGTGCCAAGCACGCCTGGTACAGGCTGCTGCCCGCCACGGCCGGCTTGTTGCCAATCGTGTTGGCCGCCTGCGGCGCGCCGTTCATCAGCAGCGAGCCGCCGGGCCCGGACATGAGGCTGGCGCCGATGCCGCCGTCTGCGCTGCTCGGGCCGCCTGCTGCGCCAAAGGAGGGCCGGCTGGGCCCGGCGCTGCCCGGCGTGCCGTTGCGTGCATACGAGGGCGCAACCGGGTCGCCGTAGGACGTCATGCTGGGCACGCCTGAGGGAGAGAGCATGTCGGTGTCGGTGAAGGCCGCAAGCGCTCCGCTGCTCTGTTTGCGTGTGGGTCTGAACGCCGAGGCAGTCGTCACGGCCATGCTCTGAGGCCGAGACGTGCCGCAAGGCAAGCAGTCCGCCGTGTGCGGACGCTGGTCGCTGGCAGCACTTGCGGGCGACGAGCGGCGTGTGCACGCAGCAGCGAGCTAGAGGTCCCGGACCGGCAGGTGCAGAGCTAGGAGCCGGCGCGGAGCTGTGTCAGCCGCGCACTGCCTCTTGAGGCGAGAGGCGCAGACGAGGAGCGCCGGTGCCGCTGGCGCGGGCGCGCAGAGGGGCTCGAGCGCGGGTGCAGAGGCCGGCTGCAGCAGGCGCACGCGCGGGGTGCGGACAAGGGGATCGCAGGCGCGCGAGGCTGCGCTGGAAGGCAGCACGAGCGCAGGCGCTGCGGCGGAGAGACGAAGACGGAGAGGGCGAGAAAGTGAGGGACGAGCCGGAGAGAGATGGCGCTCAGCGCTCGTGGAGAGAAGGGCTCGGCGCTGCGGTGCCGGAGCGTGGGCGCGAGAGACAGGCGCGGCCGGAGCGCAGCTCGACGCGCAACACGACACGCACGGCGCACGCACACACACGCGAGGCAGCAGCGGCGCGGGCGCAATATGACACAGCGCGCCAAGAGGCTCGGAGACGGGACAGAGGCCAGCGCGGCGCCGGCGAGAGGGAGCGGAGGGTGGGGGTGCGGGTGGAAGGGGTGAGCGGGAGATGGAAGCGCGCCCTCGCCCGTCGCAACGGCGCCGGACGCTGCCGCGGCCGCTGCGTCGCTGCGTCGCTGCGTCTACACACCGACCGATGCGCGAGAGCCGGCGGCGGGCGGAGGCGGCGCCGCGGTACGGCGGCATCAGCGCAGGGGCGCGCCAGAGAGGGGCCAGCGCGGCGGGCGAGGCAGGCACGAGAGCAGCGCCGCGGAGTGCAGGCACGCTGCAGCGGCTGCTGGATGCCTCGCAAGCGCAAGGGCGGCGCAGGGCACAGCAGCAGCAGCACGGCAGCCGCCGTCTGTCACGCCTCCAAGCGTATTTTGCGGCGGCACAGCGAGATGCGAGCACGCGCCCCCCGCGGCGCATCGGCCGGCGCCGTGCCCGGGATCGATGGAGGCGGGCAGCAGCTGCAGCGCCTCGCGAGGTGCCCTCATGCGCCCGCCTCCGAGGCGCAGCTGCTGCGATGCGCTGCGTCTGCGTCTGCAGCGCGCGCTGCACCGGCTGCTGCACCGCCGCGCTCCGCCGCCAGGCTGCGCTCCCCACCCTCGAATCTGGCGCAGCGCAGCGTAGCGTAGCTCCGACAGCACCAGCGCGGCGGCCCTCTCTTCCTTTCCCTCGCAGCGGGGCAGCGCGGCTGGCTTCTTCTCTGTCGGCGCCTTTAGGAGCCACGCCAGCACTCGCAGCGGCGGAAGTGGCGCCTCAAGTGGCCGTGCTCGTCATCTATGGATCTTCACTAGCGCCGGCGGGAAGGAGCGACTGGCAGGCGCACAGCGGCAGCATCAGGCAGCGCGGCAGCGCCAGCGGCATCAGCCGCGGCTCCGCTCCTTCGGGCAGCACACTCTCGCCGTCGCCTGTCGGATGCTTCATCAGCCGGTGGCCGGCACGGGCCTGTGCCGATATAGGCACGCAAGTCGTGCTTCAGCTGCGAGTGGCCCGCTTCGGGCGACATGAAGAGGCATCAACAGCCAAAACGATGGGTGCGGGCGAATGGAAGAGGAAGAAGCAAGCATGCTTGCGCCTGCAGGCTGGGCTGAATGAGGGGCCTTGCAGCTGCAGGATGCAGGCTGCCGCAGCGGCGAAAGGTGCGGCAGCAGCAGCGGCGGCAACGCAGAGCACAGCGGCTAACAGAAGCAGCGAAGCCGAGCAGCCGGCAGAAGCAGCAGCAGACGGCAGCTCATCATCAGGGGGTGCGCTGCGCCGCGCAAGACACGACCGCGACGGCGCCATCATCGTGCGGCGCCAAACGGGGGTCCGGCGCAGCGAGCCACTCTCTGTACACGGTCGTGGTGGCTGCTGCTTGCAGAGGGGTGCAGAGCAGCGGGCGGAAGGAGGTTTGCACCTTGCTAGCGCCACGAGGAGCGGGCAGGCAGCCGAAGAACGCGAGAGGGGTCGCTGCAGGCAAGAACGCGCTCGCAAAGCCCGAGGCTGCGACGCCTCACGTCGTGCACGCCTCCCGCTCCCTCGGCCCCTTGTCCGCGGGCACGTCGCAGCATCGGGACGGTCGCCGATGCAAGGCGGTGGGCGCAGCGATGATTCAGGGCGCAGAACGTGGTGCGGCCTTCGCTCTTCCGCAACTCGCAGCCGTAGCCGGCTCGAAGTGCTGTGCCCCGCCAGCGCCAATCAGCATGGCTACCATCTGGCGTTGCCGCCGCAGAGGCGCAGTCGCCATCTCTTGCCGTCCTCTGTGAAGTCGCATTTCGCCGAGCTTCCGCAGGCCGTTGCGCTTGGGCTGGCGGCGGCGCCAGATGCTTGAGAAGCGAGGAGCCACCTCTTTCCGCGGGACAGCTCGCGTGAGAAGGCCGACGCCGACGCCGCGTGGCGCTCCAGCGGGCCTATCCCCACCCCGGGCCGGCGCCCTATCAGATGCACAGAAGGCGGCAGCAGCGCCGCTCGAGCTTGCAGAGACGCCTGCGCTTCTTCCGCGAGCGGAAGTTGACCAAGGCGGGGCGACGTGTGAGCCACGTGGCCGGCTCGAAGAGGCTGTCCCTCGCGCACGGCCTCGCTCCGCCTCGTGACGTGTGGCAGCCGGGGCTACGAGAGCATGGCTCCACAAGCCTAAGGGCAGCTTGGCGCTCCCGAAGGTCGGACTGGCACATGGACGGCGCGGCGATTGAGCATGCTGATGCTGCGGCGTGCACGGACGTGCAGGATGCAGAGGCTTGCCCAGGTGCTAAAGCACCGCATCGACGCTAGCACACGCTTGCACATGCGTCCAGGTGCACGCATCTGCGTCCGTTGCGCCGCTGTCACGGATGAAAGTGCCGGCACCTCCTTCACGTGACAGAACGGATCCTGAGAGGTTTGCAGCCAGCACCGCTCAGGTGTGCAGGTCTGAGTTAGCAGTGCGCGAGGTGAGAGCTCGACCGCACCGCCGAGTTGACCCTGGCAGACGGCTGACCGTCGCACAAGCCGCTCTCAGGGCTGCTACCTTTTCATCGCAAGAAGGTGCGTAGGGCCCCCGGACGAGTAGGAGCAGCCGCAGGCTTTGCAAGCGGCCATTTGACCTCCTGCTCGCTGCGGACGAGTGGTCGGCTCGCATGCGACATGTCCCGTCTTCAACGCGCCGTACGCCCAGCGCCTGATGCTGAGGACAGAGCTTTTGCATGCAAAATGTGAACAAGGGGCTCGCTGTGCCTGCTTAGCCAGACTAGACTTCAGCTCATCTCCCGGCTTGCGAGGAACCCAGGCAGTCGTCTGCTGTGGTTGCCCACGAGCGTCCAGGCGACAGAGGGTGAGCCAGTCCCACGCCTGCGAAGGAGTCTCGACCGCAAGCGTCCCTAGACAGCGCGCCGCTTGCGGCCGAAAGAGGTGCGAGGGCCGCCCGCCGGCGACAGCTCCTCGTGCCGCCTGCCGCGCTGCAGCCTGTGCTTCGCCAGATGAGTGCACTCCCGGAGTGCAGCACCTCCTCCTCATCGCGCAGACTCCGAGCGTGCCACGCACCAAGTCCGAGTTGGGGGTGCAAGGAGACGGAGGTGAGCTTGGCTGCTCCCCGCTGGCTGCGCTGCTGCCGCCCTCGCGCCGCGCGCCTACGTGGCGCGCGCCACGGCACGGCCCCGTGCGCGGCGCGACGTGGACCGTGCCTTGCGCCGGCGAGCAGTAGACTGCTCCAGTGCCCGGGCTTCGGCGCGGGAAGCCTTCGGCCGGGGTCCTCGCCGCCGCAAGCGCAGCCACGGGAGCAGCAGCCAAGAGCGAAGCGAAGCACCACCGCACGCCGGCCGGCGGACGTGGCAAGGCACACGGCCGCGCAGCACAGCCAGCGTGGCCGCCACCTGCTGCCAACTCCTGAGCAGCAGCTGGCCGCCTCGCCTTCCTTCTCACCACACCACCCCTCTCTCTCCGCCATGCGTTTCCCGTCCCGTTCCGCCCTGCTCGCCACGGCCGCCACGGCCGCCACCCTTGCTGGCGTCGCCTGTGCCCACGACACGTCCGACGTGATCAACCTCAGCAAGGACTCGTTCAAGAGCGTCGTCGACCCCGAGGTGCGCCGCGCGTGGTGCTCAGCCGCGGCCGCCAGCATGCTCACACTCTGCTGCAGCCGCTCATCCTCGTCGAGTTCTTCGCGCCGTGGTGTGGCCACTGCAAGGCCCTCGCGCCGCACGTGAGTGGCCGCTGTGCCGCTGCATCGCCCACGAAGCTCACATCCCTCGCCAGTACGAGGAGTCGGCCACCGCCCTGCTCAAGGAGAGCCCGCCAATCAAGATCGCCAAGGTCGACTGCACTGTCGAGGAGGACCTGTGCGCCTCGCAGGACATCCAGGGCTACCCGTGAGTGTGCGCGCTGTGAGGTGCCTGTGGCGAGGTGGGCTGCGCTGGAGTCGAGACGCGCGCTGCTCTGCGCTAGTTGCGACGGCGAGGCAGAGCGCTCTTGGTGCGCGCTGCCAGTGCTGCCGGGCAGAGTCATGCGTCTCTCTCTCGCGCCTCTCTTGCTCACGCGCTCCGCCACGCAGCACCCTCAAGGTCTTCCGCAACGGCACGCCCGCCGAGTACACGGGCCCGCGCAAGGCTGATGGCATCATCAGCTACATGAAGAAGTGAGTGTGATTCGCGCGCGCAGGCGCTGCGGATCTATGCGCGCAGCTCGCGCGCGCGCACACGCCATGCTCGAGGCAGCGTGCTGACTTGCGCGCGCGCTTCTCAGGCAGGCTCTGCCCTCGCTCTCGAAGGTGTCGGCCGCCGAGCTGGCTGACTTCAAGACGAAGGACCGCGTCGTGGCGGTCGCGTACCTGCCCGAGCAGTCGAGCCACCTCTCGACCTTCTCCAAGGTCGCCGACAAGCACCGCGACGCGTACGTGTTCGGCCACGTGGCCGACGCCGAGGCGGCCAAGGCTGCCGGCGTCACGCCGCCGGCCGTCGTGCTCTACCGCTCGTTTGACGAGCCCGAGATCAAGTACACGGGCCCGATTGACGACGAGGAGGGCCTCGAGGACTTCCTCAAGGCGCAGAGCGTGCCTCTCGTCGACGAGGTGGGCCCGGAGAACTTCATGACGTACGCCGAGGCGGGTATCCCGCTGGCCTACTACTTCACCGAGGTCAACGGCGCCAACAAGGACGCCGACCTCAAGGCAATCCGCGAGACGGCGCAGAAGTACCGCGGCAAGGTCAACTTTGTCTGGATTGACGCCGACAAGTTTGTCAACCACGCCAAGTCGCTGAACCTCGCGGGCGAGTCGTGGCCCGCCTTGTGAGTTGCGCACGCAAAGAAGGTTGCCGCGAGGTGCGAGTGCTGACTCGATCCTGCAGTGCCATCCAGGACATCCAGGGCGGCCAGAAGTTCCCGCTCGAGAAGCTCGGCTCGGACGCCGGCAAGGCCATTGCCAGCTTCGTCGAGGACTTCGTCGGCGGCAAGCTCGTCGCCTCGATCAAGTCGGAGCCCATTCAGGAGCAGACGGGCCCCGTGCACGTGCTCGTGGCCGACGAGTTCGACAAGATCGTGTACGACGACAAGAAGGACGTGCTCGTCGAGTTCTACGCGCCGTGGTGCGGCCACTGCAAGAAGCTGGCGCCCACGTGGGACACGCTCGGCGAGCGCTACGCCTCGATCAAGGACAAGATCACGATTGCCAAGATGGACGCAACGACGAACGACATTCCGCCGTCGGCCGGCTTCCAGGTGCAGAGCTTCCCGACGATCAAGTTCAAGCCCGCCGGCGGCCGCGAGTGGCTCGACTTCAACGGCGACCGCACCATCGAGGGCTTCGTCGAGTTCATCTCGCTCAACGCCAAGAACGATGTCAAGGTCGACCCCAGCGCCGTCAACAGCACGGCGGCCAAGACCGAGGCCGAGCAGCACGAGAAGCCGAAGCACGAGGAGGTGAGCAGCGCTCCGGCCCTCTGCGCGCGCAGCCCACGCTGACCCCACACCCTCTCAGCTCTAAGCAGCCTGCTTGTTGTCAAGGAAGGGAACGGCGGGAAAGGAGGCGGCTGGATGGGCTCCAGCTCGCACACGCTGCGCGCTGGCGCGTCACGAGTGGTCTGACAACGCGATCTGACTTCGCAATGCCAATCACTACACTGCGGTCTGCATGACGAGCTGTGCACATGATGAGCATTCAGGGAGGGTATACATGACTGTGGCTCTCAGGCAGGAAGCATGGACTGGCGTCGAGCAGCCGCGCGACGCTCGAGGAACTCGGAGCCGCCGAGCTTGGAGCCGCTGCCGGGCACGCCCTTGGGCGCAGCGGGCAGTGCCGCGAGGGCCGCCGCATTCTCCTTGTCGGACGCGCCGCGGCGCGAGTTGGTCGAGAGCGTCAGCTCGGACAGCTCCATGGGGCCGTCGTAGCTGCGCGCCAGGCTGCCATTGGACTGCGACAGGGACGCCGTCTCCTTGGTGACTGACGCGCGGCGAGCGCCCAGCGCAGGGCGAGACGTGGCAGCGACGCTCTGCAGGCTTGTGTTGCTGCTTGCCGACGCCAGCGGCGTGCGCTGCGGGCCTGACATGTCGGCGCGCGAGCTGCTGCGCGAGACCGGCGTCGCACTGGAGATGCTCTCGCGGCGTGCCGCACGCGCGACGCTGGCTGCAGACGGCGCGTGGACCTTGGGCGTGCCCTCGTCGACACGCGTCATCGACGAGCTGCTGGTGACGGATGACGGGCGCGAGACGGATTTCCTGCTGCTGCCCGCCTCTGGCTTGACGACGACGGAGATGCACCGTGCAGACGGCCGGGCTGTCGGCGGGCCCATGGCTCCGACTGGCGACGTGCTCGCTTGCGGCGCCACCGGATCGCTCGCGACCACGCTGGTGCTGCTGCGGGTAGCGACGCTGCGTCGCACCGGATGCTGCGCAGGGTCCGTCGTCAGGCGCCGCCGCGTGCCCTTGAACGCAGCCGGGCCGCGCTCGAGCACGGGCAAGTCGTCGCCTGACTCTGACTCTTCGGCAGCCGACTGGCTCGCCCGTGTGTGCTGCGCCTGCGATGCGGGCGTAGCACTCGAAATGCGAGGCGTGTTGCGCTTCAGCAGGCTGAGCTCTTGTTGCTTGGCAGATCTGAGAAGGCGAAGCAAGTCAGCGCAGAAGCGCAGCCGCGCGGCGAGGGTCACTCACAGGGCGATGCTATAGTTGGTGTTGTCCTCCTCGAGCCGCTCCTTGGCCTTGTTGAGCTTGCTGATGGCGAAGCTCGCGTCGGACGCCTGGCCATCGAGCACCTTGTTGCGCGCACGCAGCTCCTCCAACTCTGCCTCAAGCGCAGCCAGCCGAGCTTGCATCTCATCGGCGAGGTGCAGAGCCTCGTTCCTTGCGGCCTCGGCCTCGTTGATTCTCTCGTCGTCGCGCAGGCTCTGCGCGTGCGAGAGCTCCTGGTCTTGCTGTGACAGACGCTGCCGAGTTGCGGCGTGCGCGTGCTGCTCGTCGCGAAGGAGCTGAGCCTGCGCGCTGTCGTGCGCCTCCAGCTCGGAGATGCTGTTGAGCAGCTGCGCATACTGGTGCTCCAGCTCGGCATGCTTGGCCTTCAGCTGGCCCCGCGCACTGGTCTCGCTCTTGAGGGACGCCTCCATCTCGCGAAGCATGCGCGAAGCCTGCACAGCGTCGTCGCGTGCTCCTTGCTGCGCGGCCCGCTCGGAGCGCAGGAGTGCCTCTGTCTCGCTCAGACGAGCGTTCAGATCGGCAACTTGGCTCGTCAAAGCGCGTCTGGACTCGCGCAGCTCCTCGCTACCTTGGCTCGCCTCATCCTGAGCTGCCTCGAGTTGACGCCTGAGATCCTTGATCTCGGCGCGGTGAGAAGCGACGGTGGCAGCGATCTCTTCTTGCGTCGAGTTTCGGGCGGCGCGCTCGTGTGCTAGTGCGTCCTGCGCCTCCTCCACAGCTCGGTGTAGCTCGTCGACCTGCGTTGCCTGGCCTTGCTCTTGTTCATGCTGTTGCTCACGCAGAGAGGCGATCTCGTCGGAGAGCACTTGCACCCTCTGCTGGCTCTGCTCGCGCTCAGCTCGAAGCTGCGGCAGATCCTGCAGCTGGTGGCGGAGCTCCTCGAGGGACGCCTCGGCCTCTGTCCGCGCGAACTCGCTCTCGTCCAGACGGGTCTCCAGAGCCTCCTTCTCGTCTGCCGACTCTGCGCGAAGGCGCGTCACGCGCTCGAGTGCCGCCGTCACCTCGAAGGTCTTCGAGTTTTGCAACGCTTCGGCCGTGCGAAGCTCGATCCGGAGGTCCTCGGCGGCCTCCGCCTCGCCGCGTGCACGCTCGAGATCGAGAGCTTGCACCTTGATGGTCTCTTCGAGCTCGAAGACCCGGGCAGCTGCCGACTCGCCTTCTTGCGCGCGGCTGACAGCCTCGTTGAGCTCCTCGCGCAGCTGAGCGACAGTCGACTCCAGCTGGAACTGCTGCTCGAGAGCCTGCTCGGCGAGCCGGTGCTGCGAGTCGAGAGCCTCGCGCACACCGTCGAGCTCGCGCTTCGTCGCATCGCAGTCGTCGCGCAGAGCAGCAGCTTGGGCTTGGGCTTCCGAGAGGGCAGATGCAGCGTCACGGAGGCTGTGCAGCTCTGGCTCGGACGAGGCAGCGGCGGCGTTGGCGTCTTCGAGCTGCCGACGCACACTCTGCAGCTCAGCTTGCAGCGAGTCTCGCGCGCTGTGCAGCTGCTCTATCTTCTCGTTCTGCTGGCTGCGCTCTTGCTCGATGTCTTGACGCGTCTCGACCAGCTCCGTGCGCAGCGCCTGGCTTTTCGCCGCCTCGCGGTCCAGTGCCTCACCGAGCTGCGCTGCCTCCTCTCCGTGGATACCATCGCGCGCGACAGCAGTCTCGGCGGCGGCCAGGCGCTTCTCGAGCTCCTCGACAACGCGGGCGTGCTCCACCTCGACGCCGTAGGCGCGCACATCAGCGTCCATCTCGCATGCCTGCTGCACCTCTCTGCGAGCGGCCTCGACGGCGCTGTCTGCAGCCTCGCGCGAAATCACGTCCACGGGCTTGCTCTCCGGCTCGGACTGCCGTTGAGCGTCCCAGATGCGGTACTCGAAGTCGCGCCGCTCAGACTCGCGCAGTCGTCGCTCGTTTGCGAGCTCCTCCTTTAGCTTGTCGACGTCTTCGCTCTCCAGGCGATGCTCCTCCTGATAGAGCTGGTCCTTGAGGCGTCGCGCCAGCTCCTCCACCTCGGCCTGCCGCTTCGCACTCTGCAGACGCTCCTGCTCGAGCTGAAGGATGCGAGCCTGCGCCTCCCGCTGTGCTGCTTGCAGCTTGCGGGCGGCGCCTAGTGTCTCTGCTAGACCGCGCTCGCTGTTGATGAGCGCGGCACGGAGCTCGGATGCCTCTTGCTCGCCGCTGTAAGACCGTTGCAGGATGTTCTTAGTGCGGCTCGAGTGCACTGCGTCGAGCTCGGTGACGGCGCTGAGCAGCTGGTCCAGCGCAACGTCCGAAGCGCGCGGTCCAGCGCGTCGGCGCCCGAGCGACGGGCTTGCTGTGCTCAGCTCGTCGAGGGCTGACATGGGCGCGCTGAGTGCAGCTGCCTGCTGGCTCATGCTGTTCTCGACATTTGACTCGTCGGCAGCCGGAGATGCTGCCGGCTCGGCCAGCCTCTCGGCTTGCACGCTGGCTTGCTGCGGCTGAGGCGGTCGCCGAGCCGCGCGAGCGACCGAGGGCGAAGCCTCAGAGGAGGAAGCGTGCGATGGGCTGCTGGCGTCCTGCATCGAGCTCGATGAGGCGCTTGAAGGCCCCGCTCGAGGCTGAGTCTCCGGCGTCGCCACCGAGTGGTACGTGCGACCAGTGCCGGGCGCAGAGGTAGCCGAGGACATGTTCGGTGTCGCCCAAGCTGCACCTACAGACTGCACGCTCTCGTCGAGCTCGCGTGCTGGGCTGCGCGGAGACGGCGTGCGTGTGACGACTGAGCGCAGCGGTGAGCTCGTCGCCGGAACTGGTGATGACGAAGCCGAAGCGCGCCGGATAGTAGCGGATGCGCTGAACGAAGAGGGCTGGCGTGGGCTCGAGTACTGAGCTCCGGGGCTGCCGACCAGGCGGGCTCCACGATCGCTTGAGATGCTGGTGTTGCTCTCTGTGGGAGCCGTGGACCCCGCCGTAGAAGGACTCGATCTGCCGGGAGACGAGGTGTATGCCCGCGGACTGACAGACGCTTGCCTCGCAGGTGACTCCGCCGCACGCGAACTGGGCGTCGCGAAGCGCGAGTGCTGCACGCTGTTGTTGGAACGCGGCGAGGGCGAGTGCCCAACCGCAGGGACGCTCTGTGCCGCAATGTTGCCCTGCTTGGCGAGGTAGCTCTCGCTCAGGCTCAGCTCGCTGTCGAGAGAGCCAGATGCCGACACAGCCGACTCGGTGCTCGTCTTCGGCGCGCGCGGCGTTGCCTGCGCCAGGTCGAGACGCGCGCTGGGACTCTGCTGGCCAAACGGCAGCATGCGCTCCCACTGCGGCGCCGACGGCTGGTTGGCTAGCGCCATTGGCCCGCCGTTGATGGATTCGTCGATGAGCGCGGACATGTCGTCAAAGGACGCCAGAGCTACGGAGCCCGACGGCGGACTCAGCGAGAGGCTGATGTCTTGAGCGTTGATCGCCTCGAGGCGCATCGACGGAGGCGAGGCAGCGCGCTCAGGAACCGGTGCGGCCTCGAAATCGCCGTTCAGGGATTGCTGGCCGGCCGTCTCTGTCTCGCCTTCCTTCACATCGAACGTGTCCGCGCCCTGCGTCTCTTCGCCCTGAGTCAGCTCGTCTGGCGGCCCGTCTGCGCTGCTGAGGGAAGCGCCAAGCGACAGCTCGACTGCCTGGATGCTCTCGTTGCTCTCCTCCTCCCTGGCAACGAAGGCCATGCGCTCTAGCAGCGAGTCGCTCATGTCCGCCGACTGGCTCTCCGGCCTGACTGTGCGCGCCGGCGAGTTGCCAGTGCTGTCGGACAGCGTCGTGCTGTTGCTGATGCGGCTCTCGTCGCCGTCATCGTAGAGGCGTGAGCCGAAGCGCACACTGCTGCCGGTGCCGGGCGTGGCAGGTCGGCGCAGCAGGCCGCGACGCAGGGCATCAGAGCGCGGTGTCTGCGGCACCTGCGGCGAGCTGTGCTGCATGCTGTGCGCCGGGCGCGCAGAGAGCGGCGTCCTTGGTCCGCTGCCGGCGGCCGCTTGCCGCACTGGGCTAGGCCGGACCGGCACATTCTCTTGGTCACGCGAGGAGCCGTTCGCTGACGTGTTTCCTGCTTTGCGGAGTGGTGAGCAGCCTTCGCGTGAGTCGCCTTGGGCTGCGCCGTCCGCACTCACCAACCATCCGCTCGGTCGAAGAAGACGGCCGCGGCTTGAAGACGAACTGCTGCCGCGACAGCGAGTCTGACGTGACGTCGCGCGAGGTGCTCTGCGCGCTGCGGTCCGCGTCTGCGTCGAGCTCTGCGCTGTCGTCGCCCTCCCAGCGGCCCAGAAAGCTGTCTTCGCCGTCGCCGTCGGATGCTGGCGCAGCTCGCGGCGTGGACGGCGAGGCACGCAGCGGGCTAGACTTGTTGCTGCTATGGCTCCTAGACGCGGACGCAGGCGAGGAGGAGCGGCTCATGCTGGGCGTGCGCTGCCACGGCGAGGCGCTGTCGGACGCACGCCCGAGCGGGGGCGTGGAAGTGGAGGGCGTCTGCGGCGCAGCACTGGCTGACTCGGGAGCGACGAGCGGGTCGCTGCCGCTGCCCTCGGCTGCAGCGTTGAGCGAGGAGCTCGACCAGAGCCGGAGCATGCCGGCGCGATGAGATGAAGAGGGATGAAGGTGAGGAGCGGTGTCGGTGGGCTTGAGCCAGGAAAGCGGGTGGCTTGCGCGCTTTCCTGGACCCGGCCGGGGCACGAGGCGCGTCACCGGAGCAACACCGCCAAGCGCGCGTCAGGTCACGTGCGCGCGCGCCGGCCTAACCCTCTTCGGCCGGCGGCGCTGCTTCGGCGCAGAAGGACGCAGCGCGCCGTCTTGGTGACCACTCCTTCCTTCTCACGATCAGTCCTTCTCTCAACGCCCTCACGACCATACGCTTCTGACTTCTGCCTCCTGTCACATCCGTTCCGTGCCTCGCTGCCTGCGTGAGTGTCTCCGCCCGTGCTTCAAGACGCGCTAGTCAGGCGAGAGGAGGAATCCGGGGCCTGCTACGCTCGACCAGCCCTGCGCTGCGTCGATGCCGGTCAGGTGCCCCCGCGAAGATTACAAAATATATTCACACTGTTTGATCCGCATGCCTCTTCGGAGCGCATGCGGACGTGACTCTTATACAACGGTAGATGAGCGGTCAGACCAGGGTCTGGCGTGGTGGGATGTGCGGCAGCAGCTGTGCCGATGTGTGCTGTGTTCGAAGACCACGCGCTGACTCTCCACACGCTCTTGCTACCGCCAGCGCTCCACCGTCACCTGTACCCATCTTCACACCCGCCAAGTAGCCCAGCATGTCGAACGCGCCCGACCGCTTCGCGCTGTTCATGCTGGGGCCGGACGAGAAACGCGTCGAGATCGCCGAGGACACGCAGATTCCCAACGCGGCCACCATCACGCTGAACAAGGAGGACCACACGCTCGGCAACATGCTGCGGCAGTGAGTCGTGTTGCGAGCGTGTTCGGCACCGGCAGCGGCTGACTCCCTGTCGCAGTGCCGTGCTCGTCGTGCCCGGCGTGCTCTTCTGCGGCTACCGCGTGCCGCACCCGCTCGAGCCGCGCACGCAGATCAAGATCCAGACCGACGGCTCGCTGACGCCCGTGCAGGCGCTGCAGGCCGGCTGCGAGTCGGTCATCTCGCAGATCGGCACGGTGCGGCAGCAGCTGCGCAACGAGCTGCAGGCAAAGGAGGCCCAGGGCGCCGACCTGGCCGGCGCCGCGGGCGGTCCGCAACTCGGCGCTGGCGCATACGGCTACGGCGACGTCTACGGACAGGGCGATGCCGGCGGCTACGTCGACATCTGAGCCGACAACTCTCTCCCGCCGTGGCCGCGCTCGCTTGCTCGTCTCTGATTCCCCCTCCTCTCTGCACCCTGGCTCCGCTCTGCATTCACATCTGTATTCTACTCATCTGCTACCAATCGAGACGTGGACTTCTGCATCGGCGTAATTCAGGCGCGGTCTGTGGTGCAGAGGAGCTGCAGCGGAGCAGCGCCGTCATGCGCATCTGCGTCCGTGGCGGCGCCCCGTCCTCGGCAGCGCGGCCTTGTGCTGAGCGTCCGCCAGGGCCTCGAGCTGCGCTTCGGAGCTGGCGGGGCCTTCGTTGTCGGTGGGAGCAGACGTATCAGACTTTAGAGCTTGAGACGAGATCGCAGTCGATGGGGCTCTGCGAGGGCATGTCTCGGCGCGCAATGTGGGCCAGCAGCGCATGTGCCGCGACGGCTGTGTGCAGTCAGAATTGCAGCGTCATTCGGCGCACACAGGCGGCAAACTGCAGTACGAGGGTGTGAGCGGCTGAAGCTGGTGGACACAGCATCTGCTCGCTGACTTGACGTGAGGCCGAGGGCATGGCGCACCTCGTGGACGCTTCGCGTGGCTGTGTGCGGCGCGTGTCCGTGCGCAGCGAGGCCCGAGACGGACTCTTACTACTGGAGGCGCGGTGCGGCCTTGGCGTGCTCCACATGGCGCCCTGCCTTGGCGCCGTGTCGTGCGAGCAGCGCCTTGCCTCCCATCCACCACCATCACACCAGCCCGCAGCACTCATCGCAACCATGAGCTGGATCGACGAAAAGTCCAAGCACGCATCCAAGGAGGACGAGGCGTTCGGCGGGCAGCGCGCTGGAGGCGAGGCCGCCTTTGCGCCACCCAGCTACCCGCCGCCCGGCGGCGAGGCCTCGTCGTCGTCGGGCCGGCCTGCATCGCCGCCGCCCATGTACGGCCACGCTGCGCCGACGGGCTATGCTCCACCGAGCGGCCCGCCGCCGTCGGGCGCCTTCCAGCCGCCGCCGGGCCCGCCACCGGCAGCCGCGGCACCTGCGCCGGGCTACGAGCCCTTCGACTTCCGCGCCGCCTACTCGGCCTCGACGGGCGGCGGCAAGGGCGTGGCGCAGGCGCCGCCGTGGCACGGCGTGCCGTCGTACCTCGTCGATCCGGCCGAGAAGGGCGCGCTCACGCTGCGCACGCCGCCGCCGCCGCGCGGCAGCGTGCCGTGCCTGTGCGGCGCCGGCGGCGACAGCGGCTGTCTGTGCAGCGACGACAAGGGCCCCATGTGGCGCACGGCCAAGGAGGGCAGCAACTGGGTGCTGCAGTCGTGGCGCCGAGACCAGAATGCGTTCGGCACGGCCGTCGTGGCAGACAAGAGCCTGACGGGCAGCAAGGCGGAGGTGAAGGACGCAAAGGGCAAGAAGGTCGGCGTGACGCTGCGCTTCTCGAGCAAGCGCGACGCCGTCTTCAACGAGTGAGTGCAACTTGCTGTGCTACAGCGAGACCCATAGCTGACCCCTCTGGCCAGCCTGGACGGAAACGAGCTGTCGTGGGTCGACCGCGAGGGCCGCAAGGAGCTGCTGCGCCTCGGCGACAACGCGCTCATCGCCGTGTACCACGGCATCCCGGGGAACGGCGGCCGTGTGGATCTGACGGCCTTTGCGTGGGCCCGCATGCCGCAGCGCAACCTGCTGTGCGACCAGGCTGGCTGCACGCTCGACCCGCTCGTTGGGTTTGCCTTCCGTTGTGTTACAGTGAGGCGCGGTCGCGCGGGTGTGGCACGCAGAAGCTCACGCCTGTGCGCCTGCAGTGCACCGACTCGGGCGACGACAGCTTCGATCTCTGCGAGGCACACCTGGAGGACGGATGCATGCAGCACAATCCCAACCAGTGAGTGCCTTGCTCGCTGATGTCCAGTTATGAGGCTCACTCTCGGCACGCAGCGTCTTCGCGCGCATCCCACGCCAGTACGCCGCGCCCGACAGTGCCGTGCGCGAGACGCCGCTGCTCTTCATCCCGCAGCTGCTCGGCGAGCTGCGGCGCCTCGAGGTCGTGCTGCTCACGCTCGCCGTCGCGCTGCTGCAATAAGGGCTGTTCCATTGGCTTCGTCTCTCTCTCTCTACGCCATGACCAGGGTTGTACATCATGTCTCGCCGTTCTCTACGCATTCTACCCATTCGCCTCAGTGCCGCTCGGCCTCGTCTGCGATCGACTTGCGTGCCCGCAAGGTGGCGGCGTCGTCCTTGGCGCGCTGCTGCGTCTGCGAGTCGATGCCCGACGCCGCACGCCGGGCCGCCTCGCCGCCGCCGCCCGAGGCAAAGGCGCGCGTGAAGGAGAAGATCTTGCGGCGCCGTGCGTTGAAGTCGCTCAGCGCCTCGAAGACCATGAGGCCGCGGTTGAAGTAGAGGTAGTTCCAATACGCGCCGATCCAGTCGCGCAGCAGGCCAAAGGAGAGACCGTGCTTGCGCCGCCGTTGCCGCAGCTGCTCGCGGTCGTCCTCCCACACGGCGCGCGCACAGTAGCGCGCCGCAATGATAAACGGCCGCGCCGTGCCGTGCGTCGTGTGCAGGTTGAGGTCGAGCGAGCGCGTCAGGTCGTTGATCTTGAGCACCATCAGCATCCGCCGCGGCACGCGCCGCAGCATGTCGAGGATCGAGACGAACAGACCCTCCTTCTGCATGACGGTCTGTAGCGCGCAACGGTCAGCACGCAGACGGGCACCGCAAGAGCTACGCGTCTCACCTTACGGATGTGCTCCTGCTCCTCCTCCGTCACCTCTGCGCCGCCAGACGGCAAGTCGAGCAGGCTCGAGGCGCGCGACTTGCCCGCCACGCCGTGCGGGTTGTCCGGGTCGCTGCCCTCGAGGCCCGACTTGCCCGTGATGGCGCTCTCCAAGATGGGGTAGAGCTCGTCGGGGATGTTGGCGATGAGGCCCGCCAGCCGCCGGCGCTCCGCCTGCACCTTAGGCGTGCTGGACGAGAGCAGGCTGAGCCAGAAGCGCGCATAATTGGTGCGCAGCTGGCGGTCGATGTCGAAGGTCAGGCCAAAGTCAAGGAGCACGAGCTCAAAGTTGTACGGCGAGCGGCTGCCCTTCTGGGCCGGCCGGATGAGCACGTTGCCGGCGTGCGGGTCGCCGTGGAAGAAGCCGTGCACGTAGAGCATCTGCGCGAAGATGCGGCTGAGCTCCTGGCTCACGCGGTTCCGGTCGATGTCGTGCTCCTGCAGCCACTCGAGGTCGTCGGGCCGCCGGCCGTTGATGTACTCCATGATCATGACGCGCTTCGACACGTACTCGACCTTGGGGATGACGAGCGCCGTCTTGCGGTAGCCGGCAAAGTCAGCCGTCGCGCGTCTTGACGCGCCAGCCTCGTGCGTGAAGTCCTGCGCAGATGTGAGCATGGAGTCACGCAGCACATGCACACTCCGCTCACCAGTTCCAGCGGCAGGTTCTCGTTCATCTCCTCGGCGAGCCAGGTGAACTCGAACTGCGGGAAGACGCGCTTGACCCAGCGCACCAGCACGTTGACCGTCTAGCAAGCCACGCGTCAGCGGACACGCCGCCACTGGCGCCAGCTGCCACTCACCTTGACGTCAATCTCGCTGAAGCGCTCGACTTGCGGGTGCATCAGCTTGACGGCCTTCCACTCATCCGTCTCGCGGTCGCGCGCGCGGTGCACCTGCGCCAGACTGGCGACACCGAGCGGCTTGATGTCAAACTCGGAGAAGCACTCCTCGAACGTCTTGCCCGTCTCGGCGCGGAACATAGCCTCGAGCTCGGGCAGCGGCGTCGGCTCGTTGGCATCTTGCAGCGGCCGCAGCGTGCGCGTGTACTCCGTCGGCAGCAGCGCCAGCGCCGAGAGGTGCTGTCCGAGCTTGATGTACAGGCCGCCGTTCTCCTGCAGCGCCGCCAGCAGCCGCTGCGCCGAGCGCAGGTGGCAGTCGGCCAGCGCCTCCTGCTCGGCGTCCTTGGTGGCGTACTTGGCGTTGAGCGTGCGGCGGTAGTCCCACATGCACAGCGCTGCCGCCGTGGCAATGACAGTGCATCTGCGAGCGCACGAATGAGCAGGCAGTCGCGACGAAGCACAGGCGCGCTGTCGGCCTGCTTCACTGCCAGCTCCGGCGCTTCCACCACCGCCTGCATGGCGCTTCTGCTCCACGAGTGCCACTCACCGCTTGACGGCAACGACGGTGTAGTTGCCCGCACCCTTGCCGTTCTCCGCCTCGCGCACGCGGCGCTCCATCTCCTCGGGCGAGAGGTCGAGGCCCTTGAGCCCCGGGTGTAGGCCACGGGCAGCCCGTCCATCATCGGCGTGTGCGATGCCCGTGCCCCAGTACACGGCGCCGCCCAGCACAAGCAACACGGCGGCGGCAATGAGCCCGGTGCGCGACATGCGCCGGAACTGCGCATGTGCCTCGGCGGTGGTGCCCGGGTTGGGCACGGCGGGCTTGTCGAACGTCACCACCTCGGGCTGCTTCGTCGGCGGCGGGTACACCTTGCGGAACTTGCGCGTGTCGACGGGCTTTGGCGGCGGCGCGCCTGACGGAGCGCCAGGAGGTGAGGTCGACGCATGCCGGGGCCATGCCGGACGGGCCACGCCTGCTGCAGCGCCGGCGGCCCGGCGCGGATGCCGTGCGAGGAGCAGACTGCGCGGCGCAGATGGCGCACGCAGACTGGCGCCCAGCGGCGCGAAGCACGGGCGCAGCATTGGAGGGCCGGCCGGAGCGCAGCGGAGGAGAGGGCCTTGAGGCGAGACGAGAGGTGAGAGAGGCGACGGTGGAAGTGGAGCAGCGGCGCCTCGCCGCCGACTTCGCGCGCGCCGGCACGCTCCGCATGGTCAGCGGCGTGACACGCCGCGCGCGGCCGCGCGGCGCCGCGCCAAGCACGGGCAGCGGCCATGCATCCGGCCAAGCACGCTCACACGCCTCCACGCCGCACATCCCCGTCCAATCCATCCGGGAAGAGGGCAGCACCGGCATCGTGTCGCCGCAGCACCGCACGCCTCGCACGCAGCCAGCATGCCACACCCAAGCTGGGCAGACATCGCCGCCGCGGCCGCGCGTGAGTCGCAGCCGCGACGCTGCCCCACGCCGCAGCTCACCCCGCGGCGCCACAGCATCGCCCGCCAGCTCGTCCGGCTCCGACGGCGAGGGCAGCGGCAGCGGCAGCAGCCGCGCCAACGCCGCCGCGCGCCGGCGCCCCGCCTGGCACACGTACGACACGGACGTCACCGACTTTGGGCCTGCCAGCCTGGGCGACGAGGGCTTCGTCGTGGGCCGCTGCAGCGAGTGTGGGCGCGTCGTTGAGCGCAGCTACTGGAGCTTTCACCTCGGTGCGTGCGCAAGCATGAGAGAGCAGACGGTGGGGCGGAAGTGTGAGGGTGGTAGAGCGGAGAGTACAGCGCAGAAGGCACGGGTCTGAAGACGAAGTGGATGAGCATGGTGCTCACGGCGGTCTGACACCATGCCTGCGGCAGAGAACTGCAACCTGGCTCTCTCCATAGCGTCCGGACGCCTCTCGCCCTCGTGCATCGCACCAGTCTCGGCGAGCGGGCGGAAGCGCAAGGCGAGCGTCGGCTCTGGTACGTATGCTGTCTGGCGCTGTGACCACGGCGGCGCTGAGCTCGCGCGACAGACTCGGATGCGCCGCTCTCCAGCGGCATCCCGCTCACGGGGCCCAACGGCAAGCCGCTGTCGAAGAAGGCGCGCCGCGAGCAGGAGGTGCTGCAGCGGCGCCTGGAGCGCGAAAAGAAGAAGGAGGAGAAGAAGCTCAAGGGCGCCGGCCTGAACAAGCGCGGTGAGTGCGCGCGTCACACCATGGACTGCCAGGCAGCTCACGCTTGGCCTGCCCGTCAGCTGGACCACTCAATGTGGACAAGCAGTGCGGCGTGCCGACGGACAAGGGCCTCTGCGCACGCTCGCTGACGTGCAAGACGCACTCGATGAAGGCCAAGCGCGACGTGCCGGGGCGCTCGGCGACGTACGACGCGCTGCTGCTGGCGTACCAGAAGGCGCACAACCCCAACTTTGTCGCCAAGCTGCAGGAGAAGGAGAAGGCGCTGGCGGCGACGGCCGAGGCCAAGGCCAAGCGTCTGCGCGAGAAGTCGAAGCAGCGCAAGCGCGGCGGTGCTGCGGGCAAGGAGGCGCAGGCACTCGACGAGCGCCGCGACGACGAGGAGGAGCCGCCAGAGCAGGAAGAGGACCTCGAGGAGGAGCTCGAGGGCATCCTCGATGCACTGCGAGCTGCGGCACAGGGCGATCGCACGCGAGCGCTGCCGCTTGCCGTGCCCAGTCTGGCGGGCGCCTACACGGCACGGCGACGCAAGCTCATGCGCTGCCGCGACCTCTTCCGCGCCTCCATCATGGCCAGCCACGGCTCGTATGCGCCGGCGCTGCCGTTCGTGATGGCGTCGCAGGGCTCGGCCCCGCCGAGCGCACGCATGGCTGCAGCAAACCAGGCGGCCGCAGCGGGACAGCGCGGCATTCCGTGGGCGAATGCGTTCGTCAATGGGGGTGCCCATCCCGGACCACCGCCTGGCTGGCCCAACGGCGCTCCTCCGCGGCCTCAGCCCGCCTCGGGCCCCTAGCGCCCTCGCTCCGCTCATCATTCTAGCACCTCCATCGCGTCTCATCTCCACTTGTACAACTGCACATTCTAACGACGCGTTCGACTGCAGTCCATCGCTCCTGTCGTGCGTGTGGCCAGGACGCAGAGGCCGTGGCGAGGAGAAGGGAATACGAGTGCGAGGCGCGGGGCGCGTCGGCGCTTTCGGCCGACGGGCCACACGTGACGGCGCTGATGCAGCGCCCGTGCACGCCTCCACTGCAAACATGCCCACGCTGCTGCGCCTCCAGACTTCTCCCCGCGACACAGCTCCCATCTCCCCTCCCACCATACCCCCCCGCCAATGCCCAAGATGAGCTCCATCGCAGTCAAGGTCAAGCACAACGGCGTTGTGGTGCGTATGCCGCGCCGTCACCCGCGCTGTGACCAGCTGCTCACTCGGCCGCGCGCAGCACGACGTCTCGCTCAACCCGGCCGGCCCGGCAGCCGAGTTCAAGGACGCCATCTACCAGCTCACCGGCGTGCCCGTCGAGCGGCAGAAGGTCATGATCAAGGGCGGCATGCTCAAGGTGCGCCGGCGAGAGGAGCAGTGGCTGCCGCAGAGCTGACACGCCGGCGGCAGGACGACACGGACATGACGAAGCTCGGCGCCCGTCCGGTGAGCAATGCCTCTTGCGCTCGCCGTAGCAGGCCACTGACCTCGTACACAGGGCCAGACGTTTATGCTCATCGGCACTGCCGGCCCGCTGCCCACGGCGCCAACCGGCCCGCCGCCGAAGTTCCTCGAGGACCTCGATGACTCGGACCTGGCGCTCGCGGTGAGCTCGCTGCGCACCCGTATGCCGGCTGCATGCTCACGCGCTGCTCTGCCAGATGCGCACCAAGGCCGGCCTGAACAACCTGGGCAACACGTGCTACCTCAACTCGACGCTGCAGGTGCTGCGTGCCATTCCGGAGCTGCAAGAGTCGCTGAATAAGTGCGTGCGGTGATGGGTGCCCTCGCGACCATGGCTGACGCCGGCGCAGCTTCAAGGGCACGCTCGCAGAGGCCGACGGCGAGAAGCGGCTCACGGCTGCTCTGCGTGACCTGTACAAGGACATGTCCACCACGACCGAGGCCTTCCCGCCGCTTGCGTTCCTGACGGCGAGTGTCCGCCACCGACATGTCTGCCAGCGCCGCTCACACGGATCCTCACCAGATCTTGCGCCAAGTGGCGCCGCAATTCGCCGAGATGGCGTCGGGCGGCGACCACGGCCACGGCCCGGCGGGCTACGCGCAGCAGGACGCCGAGGAGGTGTGGGTGCGCATCATCAACGCGCTGCAGAACAGCCTCAAGGGCCTGGCGCCCGGCCAGGCAGGCGAGGCGTCGGCGCAGGGCGGCGACGCCAGCCGCTTTGTGGAGCAGTACATGACGGGCCGCATGATTGTCAAGTGAGTGGCCGGCCTAGCTTCGTGGCGGATGGATGGACAGGCATGATGGACCTGCTGGTGTAGACGCGCGCCGTTCTTTCTTGGCTGTGGCACGGCTGTGGCGTCGCGAGAGGACTAGGCATGCGACCTCGAGACCAGCTTCGGGCTTCGCGAGGCTCTGCTGGCGATGAGGGAGCTGCGGCCGCTCACAAAGAGGGCCGTGCGCAGCCTTCGTCGGACATAGCTCTGCATCGCTCGAGAGTTGCCTTCGCAGATGACCTGGTCGGCCGTGTCGCCACGCTTGCATGCTTCGTGCAGGCGGGTCACGTTGCTTGCTCGATGCGGCCTGAGTCTGGAGCATATTGTATGCTGTCGCATCACGTTGTCGGCCCAGTTGCCACGCTCGCAGAGTTCCGGCCCTCGCCATTCCGGTTATCTCTCGTCCGCCGCCGTCGATGGCGTCCTCAGCGCAAAGCTGACACCACACACAGGCGGTCAACGGCAGAGGCACCGGAAGAGGAGCCGACGTTCAGCGAGGACCGCTTCTCGGTGCTGCAGTGCAACATCTCAGGGACGACCAACGAGATGACCTCTGGCATCCTGGACGTGAGTGGGCTAGCAAGCGCCCCGACGCGCAGCTGCTGACCAGTCTTTGCAGTCTCTGAACCAGCAGTTGGAGAAGAACTCGCCGACCCTCAACCGCAGCGCAGTGTACGACGAGACGCGGCGCATCGACCGGCTGCCGGCATACCTGGCCACGCACTTTGTCCGCTTCTACTGGCGCCGCGACATCAACAAGTGTGTCTGACTGCTCGGTGCGCGTGGTGCCTGCTGACTCCTCGCCTCAAAGGAAGACGAAGATCATGCGCAAGGTCAAGTTCCCGTTCAACCTCGACGTGACGCCGTTCCTGAGCGACGACCTGAAGGGCAAGCTGTCGAAGACGCACGCCAAGGTCATTGCCATCGAGAAGGAGCGCGACGAGCGGGTCAAGATCCGCCGCAAGGCCAAGGCGAAGCGCGAGGAGGCCATGAAGAGCGACGCGAACCGGTCGGCCGACCCCAAGTCGCTCGCATCTGCGTCCACGGGCGGTGTCGAGGCGCCAGCGCCCGCCGATGCGATGGCCGTGGACACCACAGAAGAGCCAATGGCAAATGCGGCGCCGTCGAGCTCCAGCGCGCCGGGCCAGGTGTTGACGGAGGAGGAGGAGGTCAAGCTGCGCGCGCAGGAGGCCGACGAGGTGCGCGCCACGGTGCATCCCGACCTGCTCAACGACCACGGCTGCAACACGTCTGCGCTCTACGAGCTCGTCGGCATCGTCACGCACAAGGGCGCCGCTGCCGACGCGGGCCACTACATCTCCTGGGTGCGCAAGGAGCAGGAGTCGGACGTCGAGGGCGTCCAGCGCATTCTCGACGCGCCGGCTGAGCAGGAGTGGTACAAGGTGAGGCCGCCGCGCGAGGTCGTGTTGGTGCCTGCTGACTGACCGCCTGCCGCAGTTCGACGACGACCGCGTGTCCACCGTCAGCAAAGACAAGATCGCATCGCTGGACGGCGGAGGAGAGGGTGAGTACTTCGATGTGCTGCCCGAGTCCGCGTCGTTGACACGCCGTCTCTCGCTCAGACTCTGTCGCCTACATCCGTGAGTGCCAGCACCTGTAGCAGACCAACACTTCCTCTGACGACCTCCGCCCGCAGTCCTGTACCGCTCCAAGGAGATCAAGTGAGCGTCTGGTTCCGGCCTGCAAATGCAACAGCTTTGTGTGGCACCTGAGACACCTTTGTGCACGTTCGCGAGGCCTCGTTTGTGCGTGTGGCGCCGGGCGACGTTCCGACGGCAGCACGAGATCGCCATCGGCAGCCACGTACATATCGGTGCACTGCGGATGCTTCGGAGATCTGAGACGGTGCGAGCTCGGCTCCGCGGACGCGGAGTCCGTGGCCGCCCAGCAGACGGAGCCGAGCGCTGCATGCTGCTGCGGAAAGCTGCAGCGGTGTGGCTCATCGCGTGCTCGCCGCGCCGTGCGCGCGCGTGGACGCGCTTGGAGACGCGTCTGCGGGGAGCTGCACGCTGCTGCAGTCACCTCACGGTCCGCCCGCAAGCGCCACGGATGTGCCGGCTGCTCGAGGACGCCATGTCTCGCCGGCCCGGCACACTGCAGCGCTTGAGCATACGCCCGCGACCCACTCGCTCGTCCAGGGCGTGCAGCTCTGTAACTGCGGCAGGTTGTAGTTTCTTACTGGACGCTGCACCGTCTTTGCCGGGTCGACCGCTGTCAGCACGTTGGCTGCACGCCAACGGCGATCGACCGAGACGCCGGCATCGATCGTCCAGTCAGGCTCATGCTCAGTGTGATGAACAGGCGTGCGATTGCAGCGAGCGACGAGGCAGATTACTGAAGAGTGGGGGAAGACAGTACGGTACAGGTACAGAGCGATCCGGTGTGTTGTCGCTGGACAGATGCAAAAGGGACGCAGACGGGCGTAAAGGAGCGGGAGCAGAAGTGCAAGGCAGCACGGTGACACGAGAACCCGGAGAGTAAAATGAGCGGAAGCGGCAGAGAGAACGCCGAATGGAGGGGTCGAGAGAGTCATAAAGATGCGCGTGCGTGCGTGGGCGGGTCGTGCAGAGGCGTTGCTAGTCCGAGTCCAGGGGCGAATGATAGAGGTCCGGGTGGAGGCTGGGCTGCTGAAGCGAATGGGCGCTGGCTGGCTTGACGGTGCCGCCGCGAAAAGATAGAGACAAATGGAGAGAGAATGAAGCCGAGCGCTCAGTGCGTCCAAGCCGCGTCGATGGGGCCGTGGCCCGGCGACGAGTTGGTGCTGAGGCTGCCCGACGGCGTGAGGACCGCGCGGTTGGACTGCGGCCGTGCGAGCGAAATCGGGCCGCCGAGCACATCGTTGCTGACCGTGTCGCGGCGTTTGTTGGCTGCGGCGACCTTGGAGGCGGCGGCCGCGGCGGCGGAGGCAGCGGCGTGCGGGTCGTGGCGCGGCTCAGCCAGCGGCTGCGGCAGCGTGAGGGGCGACTCGAGGCCGTCGTCGCCCGTCGTGAGCGCGAGGAGCTCGGCGGAGCGGCCGCCGACGGTGCGGAAGTGCGTCTTGAGGTGCTGCGCCAGGTTGTCCGTGCGGCCGAACCACTTGCCGCACGACTCGACGGGGCAGCGGTGCGGGCGCTCCTGCGTGTGCGTGCGGTTGTGGCGCTTGAGGTGCTCCATGCGCTTGAAGCGCTTGCCGCAGTGGCACACGTGCATCTTGTCTGCCGAGCTGACGATCAGCGGCGGCGGGCCGGTGTTGCGGGCGCGGCTGCGCGGCGTGGCCGTGCGGGTGACACCGCCCTGCGATGTCGAGCCGCCGCCGATCGAGTCGCGTCTCCGACCGTCGACAATGTTGATGGGCGAGACGGACGTCGGCGAATCGAAGCTGCTCATGCTGCGCGACGCCATCATCGGCGCGCTGTAGGCAGCGTCGTACGGCGAGGGGTGTGCACCGTTGGGCGTACACGGCAGCGTGCGCTGATACGCCGCCGGCGTCATGGGCGCGTAGGCCTGGTTGCGCATGGGCGCCGACATGCCGCGGCTCATCGCCGAGCCAAGCGAGGCGGGCGAGCCGTTGTGCAGCGAGAGGTTGGCGACCAGGCCGGCTGGCGTGCCAAAGAGCTGCTGGTGGTGCTGTGCCAGCTGGCTCTTCTCCTTCTCCTCCCACATGGCCTCGAGCGAGCGGTCGTACGAGAGCGTGTCGAGGTCGTCGCGCGAAAGGCGCTGCAGCGGGTTGAACGGCGAGTCAAAGTCGCCAAAGCCGCGGAACGAGTCCTCGGGCGTGGTGCTGGACGAGTGCGACTGGCCGGGCGTCGGCTGCGACGCGACGGAGCCGGCCGAGCCGATCGACGTGCGGTTGACGGTGTGCTGCGGCGTGAGCGGCCCGGAGGCGAGGCTCAGCGACGCCGGGCGCTGGCCGTGGAACTGGCCAAGCGACGGCGGCATGGGCGTCGTGTCGTCGTCGACGTTGCTGCCGCTGGCGTGATTGCCGCCCGTGTACGCCGAGTGTCCGAGGCCGGTGACGCGTCGCTTGAGCGCCGGCGGGCCCATGCGGCCGCCCTGTTGCTGCTGCTGCTCGATGTCGTGGCCCTGCGAGAGCGAGAGGAGCACGTCGTGCTGCGAGCCGCCGAACGGCGAGCGGCCGACGAGGTGCTCGCCGAGCATCTCGTTGCTGCCGCCGACGCGTGCCGGCGTCGCGGGCGCGCCGAGCGCCAGCCCCGAGAGGCCGCCGAGCGGCAGCGGGCTCTGCGACGGCGTAAAGGCGCGCGGCGAGTTCTCGTCGAAGTGGCTCGGCGCGCCGCTGCTGGCGCCCGAGAGGCCCGACGCGTCGCTGAGGTTGGAGACGGAGGAGCGGCGCATCTGGTGCTGCATCGAGGCCATGAACTGCATCTGCTGCTGCTGTTGCGCGGCCTGCATCTGGAATTGCGGCGGCAGGTGCGCCAGGTCGCCGCCGTGGAACTCAAACGAGGGCATCGAGTGCGAGTGGGCCATGCCGATCGATGCCGGCTGCGACGTCGGGCTGACGGGCGCGTCGTAGCTCGAGAGCAGGCCGAGCGCGTTGCCCGAGAGTGCCGGGCCGGCGAAGAAGGCGGCGTCGGCGTCGAGCTGCGTCATGGAGTGGTGCTGGCGGTGGTGCGGCTGTGGCGGGAAGGCACCTTGCTGCTGCTGCTGCTGCTGCTGCTGGGGCTGAGAGTGTGCCTGCTGCTGCGGCGGCGGCGGCTGGAACTGCTGCTGGAGCTTCCACGTCTCGTGCGGCTGCGTGTGGCTGGCCTGGTGCGGGTCGTCGAGCAGGAAGGGCGTGTCGAGGAAGGGGTCCATGCTGGGCGGCGCGGCGGGTGTGGCGAGCTTATAGGCCGGAGCGACGACGACGGTGCCTCACGGACGGCTGGCCAGTGCGGCAGAGCGCGATCGGGAAGCGCGGGCGCGGGCGACAGACGAGGCGCGTCGGCACAGCGACACGACGCGACGGCAGCGGCGAGGCGAGGCGGCGGACGCGTCGATGGCGCAACAGCGGGCGGACGGCGGGCAGGCGAGGCGACGCGTAGAGCTGGCAGTAGGCGAGGTGAGGGCTGTGAGGGCGGCGTTGGGCTGCGAGGTGCAAGGGGATGGCGGGCAGGCGAGGGGCAACGAGAGGGGCAGCGGCCGGGGCACGAGGAATGCGCTGTGCGTCTTTTAGGCGGGGAGCGGCGCTGGGCGGGCGGCGCTGGGGGCGCGTCGCGCGCGGCGGCGGCACAGGTGCGGGAACAACGGCGAGGCGGCGAGGCGGCACGGCGCCGCAAGTGTGCATCTGCTGCGCCAAATGAAGCAGGTCTGCGCTTGGCGGGCGCTGCGCCAGTGGCGGCACCGGCGCAAGGCAAGGCGAGATGCACAGCGGCAAGCGATGGCGAGCGCGGCGGCGCAGCAGCAGGCAGACGAGCAGCGGCAGCGGCCGCCGCCGCAGCGCAGAAAGCCGCACGCCGCTGCTGCCGCCGCCCGAGAGGGCAAGTCTTGCCCTGCGATAGGCACGGGCAGATCGCCTCGCTGTCGGCCTCGCAGCGCACTGCAGCGGCGTGCAGCAAGCTGCAGCAGCGTGCATGCTGCGCTGCGCATCATCGCCGGGCAGCATGTCTGCAGCGCGCATGGCCGGCCGGCGGCGTGCTCTCGCGCTGCTCTCGCTCGTCCCGCATGCGCCCAGCAAGCGAGCGGCCGCTTGCTTACCCTCGCCGTGCTGCTCTCGGCGGTGCCGGCTGCGGCTGCGGAACACAACACCGCGCCACGGCGCTGGCGATGCCGGAATGGCGAGAGCGCACCGTACGATGCATGGCAGCTCGTCCATGGCCGCCGCATGCTCCGCTCGTGGGCCATCCAAAGCCCGACGCCCGCCACGCCGATGAGGTGCCGCACGGCGGCGCGACGCCGAGGCAGACCCTGCGGCGGCGCATGCGCCGGCAGCGGCGGCACTCGCAAGAGTGCAAAGTGGCAGAGGGCGTGGCAGAGTGCCGCAGAGCGCCGTGCCGTGGCGCAGTGCCGCAGCAATGCGCGACAGGCACGGCGCCCGCCTTGTGCCGCACCTGCCGCTAGAGGCAGGCAGGCGGAGATGCACACGACGATGCCCGCCCGCAGCTGCAGCGCCGAGGGCGCAGCACACGGCACACCTGCCTGTCTGGGCGAGAGCAACACCGCCGCAAGCTCCGCCGCCGGGCGCTGCGCCGGCGTCACGCCTGTCTGCCTGCTGCCAGACCGTGCCTGCGCTGGTGCGCTTGCCGCTGCCGCTGCATTTTGCCGCACGGCTCGCCTCGCCTCGCCGCGCCGCGCCGCTTTGCTGCTGCTCTCGCGGCAGTGCGGGGAGAGCCAGCAGCCAGAGCGCTCGGCCCGGAGACCGAGCACGCGGCAGGATACGCCGTGCGGCAGGCGGCGTCGAGCGGTGTGTCGCAGCGAACGGCTGCGTGCAGCTCGGGGAGCCCGCGAGGCGCCACGGCACGGCGAGCCGTGGCGACTCGCTCCTGCCGCCCCATGGGCAAAGCGTCTGCACCGCAGGCGCATGGGAACGCGCAGGATCGGCGGCGTGCTTGGTGTTGCACGGCTGAGACGGCGAGGCAGCACGCAGCGGCAGCAGCAGGTGCAGCAGCAGCAGCGCGTGGCGGCGGCCGCCGGGCTGACCGCCGGCCAGCGCTCCGCCGGGCGGAGCACGCACACCCCCAAGACGACGCTTGGGCGCTGCAAATGGCCGCAGGTTCGCACGGCTCTGAACGCAATTCGCAAAGCGCTGCCAAGAGGGCTGCCGGCGGAAGGGCGCCGCGCTGACCAAGCTCGGAGCAGCGGCGGCGGCACAAGGGCCGCTCCGGAGGCTCGTGGTGCCGCTGCGGGCGGCTGCCGCTGCGGGCGCGGGCGAGCTCGTCGCTCCGGCCGGCCCGACGCCGCAGCGATGCGAATTCGGCCAGCTGGAGCAATGTGAGGCCTCTTCGGCTCTCAGCGCTGCCCATGACGACGCCGCGAGCAGCACCTCTGCGCTCTCTGCTCGTTTGCTTGCTCGGTGGTGCTGCGGCCGGCCGCGGGCGTGCAGCGCGATTGGCGGCAAGTGAACCTTGCGGCGCAAGCCCTCGCTCGACAGGCGCCGCCGCCGCCGCCGAGCCGTGAGCGTGCGAACGCGGCGCCAGCGTGCAGCGAGCCGCAGCAGCTCCTGCGCAAGCAGCGCAAGAGAGGCGCTTGCCTCGGCGGCACTAGACTTTCGGCGTGCAGCGGGTGCCTTGATGCGTTGTCGCGCGCGTCGTCGCCTGCAGCGCAAGGCCTCTCGATGCAGCGTCGCAGTCGAGTTGGCAGCGGTGCTGCGGCTGCACGCCGCTGCACGCCTCTGCGTCCGCCTCGGGCGACGGCAAGTCCGCCAGCAGGCGGCGTAGCGCTGCGGCGTCGCGCTCGCGCATGTACAGCATCGACCGCACAGGGTCGAGTGCAGCGAGGTGCAGGCCAAGCGGCAGGCAGGCGAGGCCCGCCGCAGCATGCTGAAGGCGAGCTTGAGCTTCAGCCGGCGTGAGCCTGGCCTCGGCGAGCTGGAGCAAAGGCTCTCTCGGAGCCGCAGACGAATTGATTGGTCGTCGCCGCAGCACGCAGCACCCAGAGAGAGCGGAGCGCTGAGGCGCGCATGCGGCCCCCGAAGTCGGCAGCGACATCGCCTGGCAATCTCGCACGCAGCACCGCAGCGGCTTCTCTCGCTCGCTGGTGTCGAAGCTTGACTCTGCCTGGCCCGGACGCAACGCTGCTGCTGTGCTGCTCGCTGCGCTGGCGAGATGCACCCCAGCGCTAGGCGCCGTTTTCGAAGCGGCGCTCGCCGCACGCGTGTGACCGTTGCACGCTGCAGCGGGCGGCGCCGCAGCCGGCCGCCCGCACCCGGCGCCAGCCGCAGCGCCAGCGAAGACGCTGGCCCTCCGTGCATGGGCTCGCCCAACGGCCGCGGTGCGACCGCATGCCGAGCTGGCCGCCGCAGCTGCAGCTTGGTCTGTGCTCGACGAGGGGCCCTCGGGTGCACGCACGGGCGTTTGTTTGGTGGGTAGCATGCATGCAGGGCCCTCCGCTTGGCCTCGGGCAGAGGCAAGCCGGGATCCACCTTGCAGCTGCGGCACCCTCCAGAGGGCCGAGTATCGCCTGGCTCGGAAGAGCCCTGGGGGGCATGAGCCATGCGCACGACCACGCCCGCACACCACACAGTAGCGTGGGCCGGCTCACACGTGCTCGCGAGCGTGGCGCCAGTGCGGAACCGGCAATGGCGGCTCGCGCCTCCCTGGCGTCGGCCGTGCCCACGGCCCATGCAATCGAATGCACGGTGGCCGCTCGGAGGCCTGCACTTGCCTCGTGCGCATCTCGCCCTCGTCGTGCTCCGCTTGTGGGTTGACCGCCATCTCCACTGCATGCGGTGCTCCCGCCGCCGACGATGACGACGCGTGCGGAGGGTACGTGCCGTCTCAGCGGACGATGACGGTACGCTCGTCTCACCACGCTGGCTCAGCTGGCGGCATGAGACAGCACCTTGTCGGACGCAGCTTCTGCGACGCCGGCCACCCGGTGCGCCGCTCGTCGTTGCTCTCCAGCAATTCCCAGGATCGGTCGCATCCCGCTCGCGCACTCATGCACGCTCGTCGCCCCATCCCCGCACCCGGCGTCCTCTCCTGTGAAACGCATCGAGGCGCCGCCACCGTCGGTGCTGCAATGTGCCTGGCCTTGCACGAGCGAAGCGCGTCAGCGACGACGACGAGTTGCGCCCGCCAGCTCCGGCGGCATGAGCGACGCAAAGGCTCGGCATTCGGCTGCTGCTGCAGGGCGAACCTCGGGCGGGCGCTGCCGAGCTGCTCGCGAGCTCGTCGCATGTTCCCAGAGACGCTCCGCTCCGCCCTTGGCTGCAGGGGCGATCGTCAGCGAGCCGCGGAGCCTCGAGCGGGACGCCCGGCTGCGCTCATGCGAGGATGGGGACGGCGCTCGTGCTCCAGGACGACCCTTGCTCTCGAGGCGTGCCTGCTGCCTCGGCGAAGGGCGCATGTGAGTCGCATAGCGTGGCAACTGCATTTAGCGCATGACGAGACCGTCATGCTTCGACGACGAGATGGGAGTGCTCGGCCGGCGGCGCCGTGCCCTGCCCCGTGGTCAGCTTCGGCGAGGGCGCGCAAACCCGGCCGCCGCCATCGGATTGCCCGTGAGGCGCGATCGCAAGAAGCCGCGCGGCGTGGGCGTGCGGCGTGCGGCGTGCGGCTGACGGCGGCGGCGTCGCGCCCGAGCTCGCTTCCCGCCGATGGCGCGTACCGCAGCTTCGCATGAAGGCGCCGCGCCTGCGCCAGTGCCGCCGCGCTTCCATCTCGCCGAGGCTCCTCTCGCTGACGACGCGGGCCGAGGAAGGCCCTTCTCCGGGTCGGACCTCGAGGAGACATTCGAAACTCGCGACAAAGAAGAGAATCGTCCGCCCTCTGCAGACCCAGGAATCCCTCAGAGCTCGGCACCCTCCAGTCTCGCTCACGCTTCTCTCGGACAAATTGGCCGTGCAATTGCAGCTCCGCCGCCAGTCTTCGCGGAGGCTGTCCTGCGCCGACGACGACGCGTCGTGGACGCGCCTGGACACGTGACCGTGGCAACCCGACGGAGCAGGCTGGCCCACCACGTGTGGCCGAGGTGGCCGGCTCAGGACCCCTTGGACGTCGGCGTCGACGCCGGCAGCTCGGCATCGCCAGGGCCCCGAGCCGGCACACGGCGGCCGGGCAGCGACGAGTCCGAGTAGTCGCGCGTCGTCCAGTCCCATGTGTGCACCAGCATGCCTTCGCGCGGCTTCTCGGCGGGCGCCTCGTCATCACCGGCGGCCGTCTGCGCCACGATGGTGCGCAGCGCCGGCGCCAGCACCGAGTGGCGCGCCGCGAGCAGGTCCGACGGCGCAGGGCCGCCCTGGAAGACGCGCTCGACGCCAGAGTCGTCGAACACGGGCGGCGGGTCGGCCGAGCGCGAGATGCGCTTCAGCAGGGCCGGTCCCGACACCGTGCGGGCGGCCGTCATCGTGTGCGCTGGCCAGCGATGGGCAAGTGCGGGTGCGAGTGCTCCGCTGGGCGCAATGAGCGCAGCCGGTCGTCCGCCAGGCCGCGTCGCGGTGAAGAGGCCCGTCGACGTGACGAAGTGTGACGCCGATGGCGTGAAGGGCAGGGCGGAGGGCCGAGCGGCGACGGCCGCGAAGATGCTGTCGCTCGGCACAAAACGTCCTGGGTCTGCCAGCGCCAGCGCCAGCATGCGACGCGTGGCAGCAGCGCCGGCGTGCGCTCCGCCCGTGGGGGTGAGCAGCGTCGGCGGAGCCTGCTCGGCCACGAGTGCCCGATAGTCGGCGGCAAAAGCTCGTAGGCTGGAAGCGCGAGCGCTCGGCTCAGGGCCAATGAGCCCATCGACGGACGGCAGATCCGATATGCCTTGCTGCGTAGCAAGCGTAGAGGCGTCGTATGGTACTCTTCGGCGCCACACGTCGTTGGCGCCGTCCGGCGGGTCGTCCAGATCTGAATGTTGAGCCGTGCAGTTGGTCTTCGGAAGAGCCTCGGCCTTGTCGTCTAGCGGCGATGCCGAGCTGCGCCTGGCCTCGCCGTTCTCGAGATGATGCGATGCTTCCGACTTGGCAGAGCGATACTCGCCGTCATGTAGCACCTCGACTGCCCAGCCGTTCGACAGATCGCTAGCCGTGGAATGGGCAGTGAGGAAGTGCGCGTCTGGGAAGTGCGGCAGAAACGACGGCACGTAGTCTGGCTGCTTGCCGACTCTTCGCCGCTTGCCCGCCGACGAGCTGCCGGACGAGCTGCTCCGCGAGCGAGACGGCGTCCGCGCCTCATCTTCGTCCTCCGTGTCGGCGGCCTGCACCAGCCATGGCTCATCCTCTAGCAGCTGCAGCTGCTTCAGGTCCGTCAGAGCAGCCTTTGGCACCGAGACGTAGTGCAGCTCTTGCCGTGCCGCCGGTGCTGGCCGCCGTCCGTGGGCATTGAGCTCTGGCGAGGACGGTCAGCTCTGCCAGCGTACGTCTATACTCGTCACTCACCTGCGAGAGCGGGATCGCGGTGCGCGTCGCTCGCCGAGAGGCCTGCACCGTCCTGCACCCAGTCGGCCAGCTCCTCGACGTCCGTGCCCAGATCATCGATGGCTGCCGCGACGTCCCAGAAGGCCGGACGCGTGCGGCCCGAGTGCTGAGCGCGTGACGCGGCCGTCGAGGCGAGAAGGGCGATGTAGCGCGCCGCCACCTCGGTGAGCACGTCGAGGGCGCGCTCCGACGTGCGAGCGAGCGGCTGCGTCGAGAGGAGGCGGCGCATCGAGGAGCGCAGCGCGGCGTGGGCACGCGCCGACGACGAGCCGGCCATGGGCGCAGCGACAATGCGCGGCGCGGATGCCGGCATCGACGAAGGGCCGGCCTGTGCCGAGAGCTCGGGACGAGCCATGGCGCACGAGCAGCAGCGAGCGGTGGAGGAGCTGAAGGAGAGACAGAGGCGCCAGGTGTGGAGAGGCAAGCACGGCTCGGGCGCAGCGCGGCTGAGCCGCGGGATCGCGCATCGGGCGCTTCGGCCGAGCCGCGCCGCGCCTGGATTTTTTGAGGCGGAGCGCTGCGCCTGCACCCCGGCCCCCTCCATCCCAGCCTGCTCTCCACCCTCACACCCAGACACACGCACCATGGCGAAGCAGACGAAGCGCACGAAGAAGTTCGTCAAGAACAACGTGAGTGTACAGTGCTGTTTGCACCACGCGTCAGCCGCTCATTGCCCGCCCGCCAGCTTGATCGCACGCTCAAGACGCGCCGCGAGGGCGCAAAGAAGAAGGCCGTCATCGAGCGCTCCAAGCAGGCAAAGGCGCACAAGGCAAAGAGCGGCGCTGCGGGCCGCCAGAGTGGCGCAGATGCAGCGCTTGCCGGCTCGGCAGGCGAAGACGAGAGCGATGCCGAGTCGGACGCCGCGGGCCCGATGGGCGTAGACGAGTTCCTCGGCGGCGGCTTCGAGGCCGGCATGGGCGGCGACGAGGATGACGAGTCGGGCGATGAGGATGATGAGAGCGAGGGCGATGACCTAGAGGACATGGAGGAGCTGTCCGGTGAGTGCTTGGCATACAGCATAGCAGCAGCGCGGCGCTGAGACGCCGCGAGCAGGTGATGAGGACGAGGAGCTCGACCCGGAGGCGCACGCTGCACAGCTCAAGGCGCTGGCGGCCAAGGACCCGGAGTTCTTCAAGTACCTGCAGGAGAACGACGAGAACCTGCTGGCGTTCGGTGGCGCTTCCGATGACGAGTCTGACGAGTCGGAAGAGGAGGAGATGGCAGCGACGGCCACCAAGGCCAAGGGCAAGGCCAAGGCGCGCGACGACGTGATGGACGAGGACGAGGACAGCGGGCCGCAGCTCGTGACGCTCAAGATGCTCGCCGGCTGGCAGCGCAGCATCCTGCAGCACCACTCGCTGCGCGCCTTCCGGCGGCTGTTGCTGGCCTTCCGCGCTGCCGCGCACATGGGCAGCGAGAACTACGGCGGCGAGGCGTCGAGCTACGTCGTAAACGATGCGCAGGTGTTCAACAAGCTCATAGTCACGACGCTCAAGTACGTGCCCGTCGTGCTGGCGCACCACATCCCGTACAAGGAGACGAACAGCCGCTACAAGCTGCCGACGAACTCGCCCAAGTTCACGGCGCTGCAGCGGCCCATCCAGTCGTACTACTCCAACCTGCACCGGCTGCTGCGCACGCTGCCCGAGCCGAGTCTCGTGTACGTCGTTGTGAGCGAGAGCGCAAAGATGGTGCCCTGGCTCTTGCACAGCCGCAAGCTGGCGCGGGAACACGTCAAGGTGAGTCAAGCAAGGTGGTGTGCATGCGCGTGGCTGCTGACGCTGCGCTCGACAGCTGCTGCTGGACCAGTGGGCGACTGCGGAGGACAGAGTGCGCATCGCTGCGTTCCTGAGCATCCGGAAGATCGCCGCTGCCTCCGACGAGACGATGATGGACCTGTGCTTGAAGGTGAGCTGCGGACCTCAACACTGTGCAATGTATGCCTGCTGACGCTGTGGCTTGCAGGGCGCGTACCAGAGCTTTGTGCGGTCAACAAAGCTCACGACGGTGCACACGCTTCCGTCGATCAACTTGATGAAGAATAGCGCTTCGGAGCTGTACGGCCTCGACCTGCGGGCGAGCTACCAGCACGCGTTCGGCTTCATTCGGCAGCTGGCCATCCACCTGCGCACCGCGCTCAAGGCCAAGACTCAGGAGAGCTTCAAGAGCGTGCTCAACTGGCAGTTTGTGCACTGCGTCGACTTCTGGTGCCTTGTCCTCGGCACGACGTGCGATCAGTCGCGCGCGGCCAAGGACAGCGAGATGCAGCCTCTGATCTACCCGCTGGTGCAGGTGGCCACCGGCGTCATCAAGTGAGCGCACGCGTGCTGGCTTGCTGCTGCCTTTGCTGACGTCCCGCGCCTCAGGCTGATTCCGACGTCGCGCTACTTCCCGATGCGCCTGCACGTCATCCGCTCGCTGCTGCGGCTGATCCAGAAGACGGGCGTCTACGTACCGCTGACGGCGCCGCTGCTCGAGGTCTTCGACGCACCCGAGTTCCAGCGCAAGCCCAAGGGCTCGACGCTGGCGCCGCTGAACCTCGAGACGACGCTGCGTGCGCCGCAGGCCTACGTGCGCACGCGCGTGTATGCCGACGTCATCGCCGAGGACTCGACGCACCTGCTGCTCGAGTACCTCTCCACGCAGGCTCGCTCCATCGCCTTCCCCGAGCTCGTCGTGCCGCTGCGCACGCAGCTGCGGCGCACGCTCAAGGCCTCGACGAGCCCGAAGCTGAGCACGAGTCTCAAGGCCATCCTCGACAAGATCGCGCAGAACTCGGCCTGGATCGAGAAGCGGCGCGCCACGGTCGAGTTTGCGCCCAACGACCGCCGCGCCGTGGCGGCGTTCCTGCGGACCGAGAAGGCTGAGGCGCCGCTCGAGTCTGCATGCCGGCTGGCACGCAAGGTGCTGGCGCAGAAGCGTGCGCTGCTCGAGCAGGCGGCGCAGGAGGTGCGTGGCTGAGGCGCCGGAATGGATGCGATGTCACAGCAGACGCGGAGCGTGCGAAGGCCTAAGTTACAGAGTGTCGAACGAGGAAACGCAGGAGGGGGCTAAAGATACAGCAACGAGAGTGAGGAGCGCATTAGAGGAACGGAGACGTGCGCACAGGAATGAGGGTGGAGCAGCGGGAAGCAGCGAGCAGGTGTGTGCTGCAGGGAGCGCAGTCTAGTTGCCGGCGCCAGTGATCTCTGCCAGACTCGAGGAGGCCGTGAGGATCTGGTACGGCGGCCGCGTGTCCATCAGCGCCGACTCGATGCTCTCCGAGCGCGGCAGCGGCGGCCGGCGACTGCGCGGCGTGATGTCGGCGCATGACTCGGCGGCTCGCTGGAGAAGCAAGAGAGTGTTGGCGTTGACGGAGGCGTCGTGGCTGGGGCCGACAGGGGTAAGACGAGGTAGGTAGCCTGTGAGAGTGCGCGTGGTCAGCCAATGTCACCAGCATGCGTCCGGCGGACTCACCAAGAGTGGCACCGGGAGAGGATGGCACGGTGCTGCGCGGCGTGCCGATGGGCACGAGCGTGGAACGAGGCGTGGTGGCCTGACGGCTGCTGACGCGGCTGCGCCGGGAAGTCGCGACATCAAGGAGGTTCGGCGAGGCGACAGGCGGCCCAGCGGCGCCGCTGCGCTGCGATGCTCTTGCCACACGAGTGCTCTGCGTCTCTGCCGGTGCACTCTCCTCTCGTGTGCGCCGGCGTTCGTTGCTTGGTCGACTGAGAAGCAGTGGCCGCGGAAAGAAGGACGGCGAGCGTGGCGACGAGGCTGCCCATGCGTTGGGCTCGAGCAGGCTCGGCGACTCCTGCACCGGATGAGAGAGATGGCGCTCTCGTGCCGGCTGCAGACCCCATTCGCGGCTTGCTTGCAGCTGCGCCTGTGCTGACGCCTGGAGCTGCTGCAGCTCAAGCTCGCCGAAAGACGGGTGGGAGGAAGAGATAGCAGACCAGTCGCTGTGGACAGAGGTCCCAGTCAGCCTGGCTTCGTCGCGCCTTGGCAGTGGCTTGCGCTTTGCCGGCGATGTTCCGAGACCAGTGCTGCTCGCCCAGGACGCGAAGAGCGAAGCCGAGACCGCCTCTGGCACAAGCGTACGGCCTGCGACTGATCGATGGCCGTCCGCGCCGGACAGGCGCACCTCCCAGCTCAGCTCGAGGCGCGGCGGACCTCCGTGCTCATCATCGACGATGCGCAGCTCGAGGCCCTCTGGCGGAAGCTCGACTGAAGGAGGCACCTCTCGCTGCCCTTCAGTTCGTCCGTGGCTGCGTCGAATCGAGGCCCGCACGTCCGGTCGAGCTGCCTGTGCGCGCGCACCGGCTGCCTCGAGCGACGATGCACGGTTCTGCGGCGAGCAGTGCGCCTCGAGCTTGCGTGACGCCTGCGTGAGCAATTCTTGCAAGCTATAGACGCTGTCGCGAACGCTCTCGTCGTCACTCGCATCGCTCTCGGCGTCGCTACCTTCCACTGATGAGAGCTCATAGAGGGCAGGGCTGCGCGCGTCTTGTGCGTCCGCGACGATGACGTCCGAAGCCTCTGCCGAAGCACTTTCGGCATTGAGCACCTCGAAGCAGTACTTGCTGCCGCCAGTCTTGCGCGATGCGCCGATGGCCTCGGGCGACTCAGACAGAACAGAGATGCCGTCCAGGATGCACGCGTGGACCTGCGCCTCTGGGTTCGGCGATTGCGTCGCGGTCAGAAGAGACGTCGAGGTGTCTCTCGAGGCGGACGCGGAGGCTGGGTCGAGAGACTCAGCCTCGGAGTCGATCAGGCTGGGACACTCCGAGCTGATGCTGGTGCACGTCTCATCGAAGCTGATGCTGCCGTCATGCGAGGCGACATCGAGCGGAAAGCCTTTGCCCGGCGCTCGCGGACTGCCGCGGTACGCCGAGAGGGAGAATTGCGCCGGACGACGAAGCTTTGGCGTCAGACTTGAGTCAATCTCTAGCTCTGCCTCGAGTGACGAAAGGCCTTGCTTGGTCAGAGCGGCCGCTGGACAGTAGCGCGGGTAGCGTGCAGGTGTCACCGGCGACAGTGACGCCGTGCTTGCGCTCCCTCGCCGAGACGCCGCGGGCGAGAGCGTCGGCGCTGTTGCGATACTTGTCGCGGGAGAGGTAGGTGTTGACGGAGCAGAGACGTCGCCAGGCTCGGGCGCACTTCTGATGCGAGCAACTGGCCGTGCAGGTGTCGCCCAGGTGCTCCGTGTGTGCGGTGCATTCGACAGCCACGCAGGTGTCACATAGTGGCTCGGTGTGTGCGGTGCATTCGATAGCCAGAGATTGCGCGGATCGTCAGCTGCGAAGCCGGCAGACGGCGAGCCCCGAGCCGTCGAGTCGATCTCGTCGAGCTTCGTGGCAGAGGCCGAAGTGGCGATGCGTGCGACTGGCGCAACAGTGCGAAGCTCCGGCAGAGATGGCGATCCTCGCAGCTGCGGCGCCGCCGCGAGCTTCGCCTCGACCTGCGCAGGATGCATGGCAAACGACACACCCTCGGCAATCGGCATCGGCGCGCTGATCAGCTGCTTCGTGACGCTGCCTGCCGAGCCCACGAATGGCTGATGACTGCCGGACAGCGTGCGACCAGCTGCACCTCGTCTGCGTCCAGGGCTGGCGCCGAGGAACGCATCATCGCCGTGAGAGGCGCGCTTCCGCGAGCGCGATGTGGCACTATGAGCGTGGTGCAGCATCGACTCCATGAACGAGGAGATGACGCTGCTGCTCGACTTTCCGTCGCTAGACATGAACTCCGGGAAGACGGCCGACGTCGGCGAAGGTACGCTAGAGTCATTTGCCGAGGCGCTGCCTGAGGCTTGACGCGTGTGGGAGAACATAGGAAGTCCTCGCAGCTTGGCGAGACGGCGACCAGATCGAGCGGGCGAGAATGTCGCACTGCCGCGCAGCGAGCCTCCGTGAGGCACGCCCTCGCTCGTGGTGCGCATGCGGCGCGACCGCAGAAGAGCATCGGTGTGCTGCGCTGTCTCGAGCAGCGGAGCGAGCGACTCTTCCTTTGGCTCTTCCGGCAGTGCCTTCCACTGCAGCGATGATGCGCTGGTGTCGGCACTGACGCGAGCTGGCCACGGCTGTTGCTCGGGACTGGGCGTCGGTGCAGCCTCGGCACTTGCGCGCGGCCGTCGTACGAGAGGCGGCCGCTCGAGCTGCACGATCTCGGGCGAGGGAATGAAGAGCGGTGCCGGTACTCGTCGCGACGGCGAGACGGGCAGGCGACTGCGGATCGGCGTGGTCTGCGATGCACTACTGACCATGGCCGGGCTCTGCGCGGCCTTGAGCGGAGGTGCCGACGGCGACAGGCGACGCACGGGCACGTTGCCGTCGCGCGGGCGCAGTGCATTGCTTGCGCGAGGCGTCGCAGGGATCCGTGAGGTTACACGAGAAGGCGCCGTCTCGCCGCTGGCCGACGCTGCCACTGGCTGCGGCAGCGGCGAGGCGGCACGACTGCTGCGGCCCGATCGCGACGAGTCGCGCGACGCGGCCGAGAGCGCCGGTGATGGTGGGCCAGGTCGCAGGGTCCCTGGCGGACGGCGTAGAGCCAGCGGCGTGCTCTTGCTAGAGGTATGCAGCGGCGAGAAGGTCGCCGCCGGACTAGCGGGCACGAGCAGCGCCGAGCTGGGCGACTCAAGCCGCGCTGCCGGCGTGGTGGTGAGGCGCGGCGAGCGCGGCATGCGGCTGGCCGTCGGCGTGCGCGGCGAGAGCACCGCACGCTCGGAGCTGGGTGCCGGGAGCGGGCTGTACGCGGGCGACGAGACCATGCGGGCGCTGCGGTGCGGCGCCACGGGCGACGTAAAGGCGCAGTCGGGCGCCGCGCTGGGCCGCGAGGCAGGCATGCGCCGCAGTGGTGGCCGCACGGGGATGCGGCTGTGCGGCGACGACCCGAGGCCACTGCCGCTGCCGCCGCCGCGCGAGAGGTAGTCGTCGCTGGCGTGAGGCATGCTGACGGAGAGGGCGCGGAGGAGCGCCGAGGCCAGAAGCGGCCGGATGGTGTGCAGCAGATGGACGTGCTGCGTGGGATTGAGAGAGCGAGTCGGGTCGGGTGGCAGCTGCTCGAGTGCGAGCGACGTGGTGCGTGGTTTGTCTGGAACGGCGAGGAGGGCGAGAAGGTGGCCGAGCGAGGATCGTCGGAAGGCGCGAGGGTGCGAGATGCGAGAATGCGAGGCGTCACAGGGAGCGCCGGTGCGGCGAGCAGAGGGCGGCGAGGGCTCAGGTGCGCATGGCAGCGAGGAGGTGACACGAGAGAGAGAGCGAGAGCGAGGAGCGAAGGAGCGTGAGCAGCGCTCACACGCCGAGGCCGAGGACAGGGTGAGGAGGAGAGGAGCAAGGCGGGGTCCATCGCGCTGCGTCCGCCAGCTGCGGCTTGCGCAACGGACCTGCGATGCAGGGCCAGGCCCTGAGACGAGCACGCTGCGATGCCGCTGTAGCGGTCAGGTGCAGGGTGAGCTCACATCGTCAGTATCCCGGCCGCCAGAGCCGCGAGAAGATCGCAGCGCCGGCGCGGTGCAACGCGCACTGCGCCGGGGCGCTGCGCCCCGTCGCTATCAAGTCAGCGCTGCACGGTGCGCATGCTCAGCCCTTGTGCCGTGCCGCCGGCCTGCCCGATGAGGCATGTGCGGGTCAGGCCACCTTCGCGGCCGCGACATGGCTGCACTCTCGTGTCTACACGTGGTGCAGACGCGCGCGTACGTCCTCTTCGAGCGTCGAGCGTGGCCTTGCTTCGCGCTTGCTGCATGCTGCTGCCAGCCGGGACCTGCGTCGATGCACCGCTGCGCTACTTCGCTGCAGCGGCCGGCGTGTGTCGGAGCCCGAGGCCGAGCGAGGGGCAGGCACGGCAGGCGGCAGGCGAAGCGGCGTGCGGTACGTGTTGTCAGGGGTTGTCCGTTGGCTTCGAGACGCGTCTTGCCGCCACGACGCCGCTGCTCCCGCGCTGCTGCTGCGTAAGTCCGCAGCCGTTGCGCTGGGACGATGCAGGGGCGGCGGCAGCTCGCCGCGCTGGAGAGCGCACCTCCGCATGCCACCACCTCGACAGCTGCAGGCGATGTCGAGATTCGAGCTTGCGCTTGAGTTCTGCTTGCATGCCTCTGAGCGGAGCCGAAGAGCGGCGCTCGAGCAGCTCGCGACCGGTCAAGACAGCGGGCCTGCTGGCGCGCCTGGGAGCGGCATGAGCCATCGTTCCTCTTCGCTCTTACATCCCGAGGCTGAGCTGCAAGCTCAAGCTACTCCGCGCCTCGAGAAAGGAGCGACAGATCGGTTTGTCGTCCACAGCGTGCATACACAGCGAGACCTCACGGTGGCTCGAGGACAAGTCAGATGACGGCGGGCGCTGCGCTGCTCTCTACGCGTCCCCCAGGCGCGTGTCGCGTTTCTTCGCACGCTCACCGCCTCCCTGGAGCGGCTGGCCGCATGTCGGTTGCAACGGCTGAGATCTCACCTCATGTCAGCTCTGGCCTCCTGCATGCTCGAGCTTGCCTTTGCGGGTGCGTTGGTGCTGCGCACGTGTGTGTGAGAGAGGCACGATGTGAGCTGCGCTGCGCTGCCGTTCCCGGATGCCGCGGCCCACGCACGCGCCAGCTACCGGACGGGGTGCAGCGCTGCTGCAAGGGAGCCCTCGCGCCTGCCGCTGGCGCGGAGAAGCGCGCTCAGCAACAGCGGCTCGCCGACGGAGCCTCATGTCCCGAGCCATGAGGAGCTCACTCGACTGCTTGTGGAGTGCGGGGCACAGGACGATGGGCTGCCTCGGGACCGCGCGTGAGAGCACAGAAGGGGCAGCAGCGGCCGCGCGTCTATCTGCTGCTGCATGCTGGGCACAGGGCGTCACCGACTCATCGTGTCTCACTCTCACTGCCGTGCTCCGCTACGCCCGATGCCATGTGCCAGATGTGCTAGATTTTTAGTAGTCGGCGGAAATAGGTACACAGCGCAGATGACGCGGAGGGGGACGGGGAAAAGGTAAATGTCTGTCTTGGGGACGAATGTGTGGGGGGAGACCAGAGTGTGGAAGCGACGGCGGGAACAGATGGCGTGGAGGACGCCGACGAGGAGGAACGAGACACGGCGGCGGCGGCGCGCTTATGCGACCTGCGGGCCGGCGGCGAGCACCTCCTCCGACACGTCGGCGGCGTACTTCTCGAAGGCGCTGCTGAACATGCCGGCGAGCTTCTTGACCTCGACCTCGAAGGCCTTCTTGTCGGCCCAGGCGTTGGCGGGGTTGAGGATGCTGGCGTCGACGTTCTTGACGGCCTTGGGCACCTGCAGGTTGAACGTGTCGAACTTCTCGAACTCGGCCTGCGCGAGCGAGCCGTCGTGGATGGCGTCGACGATGGCGCGCGTGAACTTGAGCGGGCAGCGCTTGCCCGTGCCGAACTTGCCGCCGACCCAGCCGGTGTTGATGAGCCAGGCGTCGGCCTTGACCTTGCTCATGCGCTCGGCCAGCATGCTGGCGTAGCGGCGCGGGTGCAGCACGATGAAGGGCTGGCCGTAGCAGGTGCTGAACGTCGGGCTCGGCTCGACGACGCCCTCCTCGGTGCCGGGCGTCTTGCTCGTGTAGCCGGCGATGAAGTGGTACTGCGCCTGCTCGGGCGTGAGCTTCGACACGGGCGGCAGCACGCCGTAGGCGTCGCAGGTGAGCATGATGATGTTCTTCGGCGGCGTGTCGGCAATGCACGGGATCTTGGCGTTGGGGATGGCGTCGATGGGGTAGGCGCAGCGCGTGTTCTCCGTCAGGTGCGAATCGTCGTAGTCGGCGATGCGCGTGTTCTTGTCGTACGACACGTTCTCGAGGATGGAGCCGTAGCGGATGGCGTTGAAGATCTCGGGCTCCTTCTCGGCCGACAGGCCGATGCACTTGGCGTAGCAGCCGCCCTCGATGTTGAAGACACCCGTGTCGGACCAGACGTGCTCGTCGTCGCCGATGAGTCGGCGCTGCGGGTCGGCGCTGAGCGTCGTCTTGCCCGTGCCCGAGAGGCCGAAGAAGAGCGACACGTCGCCGTTGGGGCCCTCGTTGGCGCTCGAGTGCAGCGAGAGCTGGCCGAACTTGACGGGCTGCAGGTAGTGCATGACGGAGAAGATGCCCTTCTTCATCTCGCCGGCGTACTCGGTGCCGAGGATGACCATCTCGCGGCGCTTGAAGTTGATCTCGACGCTCGTCGACGACGTCATGCCCGACGTGAAGCGGTTCGCCGGGAACTGGCCGGCGTTGTAGATGATGAAGTCCGGCTCGCCGAAGTTCTTGAGCTCCTCTTGCGTGGGGCGGATGAGCATGTTGTGCATGAAGAGCGCGTGGTAGGCACGCGCGCAGATGACGCGGACCTTGATGCGGTACTTGGGGTCCCAGCCCGCGAAGCCGTCGAAGACGTAGATGTCCTCGCGCGTGTTCAGATAGTCGATGGCACGCTCGCGGTTGATCTCGAACGTGTGCTCGTCCATCTTGATGTTGACGGGGCCCCACCAGACGTCGTCCTTGGACGAGTCCTCGAAGACGATGCGCTTGTCCTTGGGCGAGCGGCCCGTCTTCTTGCCGGAGAAGTTGATGAGCGCGCCGGAGCTCGAAATGACGGCGCCCTCCTTCTTGATGGCGTCCTCGTACAGCTGCGCGACCGAGGCGTTGCGCTTCAGGTGAATCTTCTCCATGTCAAAGCCGGCCTGCAGTGGAGGGTCAGCGTCGTGTGCTGCGACTGAGCGCTCGACATGCGCACCTTGGAGAAGAGCGACAGGTCGTTGTCGCGCAGCAGCGGGTACGTGTCGTGGTGCTCGCCCTGGTCGGGGAGCTCATCGTGCTGGAGGAGCAGGGGTGAGATCGGGTTGAGAGCACGCGCGCCGACGACGAGCAGCGACTCACGTGGTTTCCGGGCGAGGCCATGGTGACGAAGTGTGGTGGTGTGAAGGTGTGTGTGTGTGTGTGTGGTGCGGCGTGTCTACTGCGAGGGTAGAGGTGGTGGAGGAGAGAGAAGAGTGAGCCGGGTGTGGGCGAGAGGAAGGGCGGGCGCGGGGCAGGAAGGCGGCGGCGGCGGCGGCGCAGGCGAGGCGAGGACCCGGCGTGGGCGCAGGGCCGGCACTCGCCGGGTGCCGCGCAGGTGGAGCAGCAGCCAGCGCTGGCGAGGCAGGCTGGCAGCGGCGGCGCTGCAGCAGCGGCACAGCGCAGGCAGGCTGGCAGAGGCCGCTCGCCCGCGCACTGGCCAGGCACCGAAGTGGCAAGGCCGACAGCTCCGGCGCTGCCCGCGCGGCGCGCGCGGCCCCGCAGCGCAAGAGCAAGCGCGCACACCCGATGCCCGAGCCGAGGTTGCCTCTGACGTCTTCGCCAGCCGCGAAGCTAGAGCGCCAAGACGCAGCAAGGGCGGCGACGATGACCTCGCCAGGCAGCAGCTCGACCTGCTCTATTGTCCTCGCTGAGGAAGCGCAGACAGCGGCCGGCGCTGCCCCGCATAGAGGCCGGGAACGCGCGCGCGGGACTCGGGACAGCGCGCGCCAGCACCACAGCGCACGGCGAGCAGCACTCACGTCTATAGGCAGCCGGTCTAGGGGTCGCAGTCGAGGTGGTGACGAGGCAGACGAGAACGAGAAAGAGGATAGAGAGTGTGCTTGCCTGAGACGCCCAGATGCGAGCCCTTATGTACCTGTGCGGTGCGGCGCTGGAAGAAGGCGGAGAGCGGGTGCGCTCGGAACGCGCCGGGCGCCAGGCGCGCGGCGCGCTCCCGGCGCACCCGAGAGCCGCCGACCTCCGCATCGGAGCGGGCGCACGGCGCGCCTCGCCCTTCCCCCGCACGGCACGCCGCGGCCGCAGCTCAGCCCCCCGGCCTCTCCGCATGACGCAGACGAGCAGAGGGTTGCAGCTGCCACGCTGCAGCTGAGCGCTGGAAGGTGCAGCTGCTGCATGCTGCCGGTCGGCCTCGGTCCGCATCGCGCATGCCGCGGCGCCCGTCGATGCGGTGCTGCTCGCTGCAGCAGCAGGCGGAGAGGTGGACCTTGGGCGCACACGGCGTGCAGGCCCTGGCCGACCTGTCGATCATCGACGTGCCCGGCTTGTGCCGTTGATGAGCCGGTACCTCATTATGCTGGCCACTCTAGGGGTAAAGGACCTGCCCGAAACAGAGAGCAGAGCATGCCGCAGGAAGCGCTGCGACAGCGGTGCAGTGCTGCCTGAAGGCATCGACCTCAGACGGCAAGCACAGCAGCTAAGATCCTTCGGAGAGCTACGCTCAGACGGAACGAGAAGGCGGGGCCGGTGCTGGAATAGTGAGCCGTACCCAGAGCGGCATCTCAGCTCACGGCCGCCGCCGTGGCGTAGAAGGGCCCTGAGCATCGGCGCATGCACCGGCAACGGTGCCGTGCAGCTTTCTTCGCGCTTCGCCCTCGGCTGCGATGCCGAGCGGCTGGAGCAGCACCCAGCGCCACAGCAGCCATCTCGCTCGAAGGCTGTGCTGCAACATCTGCTGCTGGCAGTGCTGGTGCTCTGCAGCCCCGCTCTCCGCTCCCCGGAAGGGTGCATGGTGCTGGAGCGATGCACACGGGGCAAAAGGCGCGGCTCGACGTGCAGCCGGGGGCTGGGCAAGGCTCGCGCCGCGCGGCGCGGCGCTGCGGAGGCGGCGTCCGCATACTGCTGCCGCACTCGGCGTTGCCGGCGGGGGACGTGCAGCAGGGTGCAGCATCCCTGGAGGAGCTTGAAAGGACGCAGCCCGGGGCACGCCGAGCTGCCTTTTCTCTCGTCTGGGGCTGCCAGCATGCCAGCAGCTTTCTATCTCGCCGTCGCTCTTGTGGGTTGTGGCTGCTGCTTACCCGGCCCGCGCGCCACGAGCTGTACCCCGCATTTGCCGGCGTGGGGTCGAAGACCGTCGGCTGGCAGTTTAAGCGCGAGCAGCAGCAAGCGACCAAGACACACGACAGATGTGCTGAGGAATGGTATCTCATTGTTCATCAAGCCGCATCTCGTCCGCCTAGCCGCAGAGGACATCAAGAGCTGTCGTCGCTGCTGGTGTCAGACGTGTCGCTGTCCGAGTCGGACGGCGGCGCCGGGCCCAGCCTACTGAGGGGCGCAGCTGGCGCAGCGTCGGACAAAGACGAAGACGTGTCGCTGTCGCTCGAGCTGTCGCTGGAGCTGCCAGCTTCCGCCGCCGGCTGCACAGCTGCACGACCTCGTGTCGCCGTCGACGCAGACGAGTCGCTAGAGTCGCTTGAGCCGCTCGAGCTGCGTGAGCTGCCTGAGCTGCTCGAGCCGGAGCTGGTGCTGCTCGTGGCAGCGCGCTGCTGCCTCGCTAGAACGACGCGGGGGCTTTGTCGCGCGGACGATGACTGCGAGGCAGAGCTGCTGCCCGAGGAGCTCGAGGACGAGCCGGAGGAGCTGCTGCTGCTGCCGTCGCTGGCACTTGCGTTCTTCTTGCTGCTACTCTTGTCGCCGGGACTTCTGTCGCTCTGGCTGCCACTGCTGCTTCCGCTGCCACTGGCATTGCTGATGCTGATGCTGCTGTCGCTGTCGCTGCCACGGCCTCTCATCACGACGTCGTGATCATGCGCTACAAGAGGCGCACCTGCTGGGCGCGACGCATGTGCATGGCTCACGCTCGTCGCCGGGTAGAACGGAGACGAGGTCGAGGAAGAACGGATGGAGATGGCGCTTGGCGAGCGACGACGTGCAGGCTGCGTGGTAGCGGCAGGCGCATGAGCTTGCGAGGACGAGTCGCTATCGCTATCGCTGCTGCTACTGCCGCTGCCGCTGCTGGAGGACGAGCTGCTCGTGGACGTCGAGAGCTTCGGGGCTTGGCCAGCGGACGCGCGCGAAGGAGAGACGCCGGAGGAGGAAGATGAAGAGGAGGAAGATGATGCGCCGGCAGCGGCGCGCCCTGGCGTCGGTGATGCCTTGGGCGCCGCGGAAGACTCCTGGCGTGGAGCTGATCGCGACGAGGCATCGCTCGAGCTACTGGAGTTTGGGCTCGAGCTGCTTGAGCCTGAGCTCGATCGGCTGCAAGCTCGGGCGCTGCCAGCTGCAACGCTCTGCTGCATGACGCTTGGCGCCGAGTCGTCATCACTGCTGCTGCCGCTGTCGCCACTGCCTGCACTCGAGCTTTGACTGTTGTCGCTGCGCGAGTCAAGGCTGACCTCGTCGTCGCTCTCTGACTCTGAGCTACTGCCGGAGGCTGCATCGCTGCTCTCGCTCAGTGCGTCGATGTCCATCTTGTCATCTCGGCTGCCTTCCGCCTCGCTGCTCTCCTCCTCGCTGCTGCTCGTCTCCTCCTCGTCCGAGTTGCGCATCTTCGTCTTGCCCTTGAGAGCGCGCTTGAGCTGCGAGCGCTCCTCCTCGCTGCTCGCCGGCTCTTCCTCGCTGACTTCGACCCAGCCGCCGTCCTCCTCGCCATCTTCGCCCTGCAGCCTGACGCGAATGTCCCTGCCCCACCATCTGCGCCAGTCTGCCTCCTCGGCCTCCTTGTCTCGGCGCCTGTCCTCCTCTGCGATCTGCTTCCAGCGTGCCTGATGCACCTGGTCGCGCCGCTCTCCTCTCGGCTTGACGAGGAATGGCGGGCGGTAGCGCTCTGGCACCGCGTTGCGTCCGACGAGCGGCGGAGCGATGCCGACGACTTCGTCGTGCATGTTGATGCCGACGTTGCTTCGCTGCAGGCGGCGGATTTTGGCGGCCGTCGCCTCAGCCTCTTCGATGTCGTCCTCATAGAGCGAGCTCTCGTCCGATACGACGTCCAGAGCCTGCGGACGCTTGCGCTTCTCACCGCTCTTGGCCTCGCGGAGCTCTTCGCGCATGCGCGCCGCCAGCCGTTCTCGCTCCGGCTCAGTGGGAACGTGAGCGCGGGAGAAGACATGCCGGGCCGTAAAGACCTGCTCGTCTCCGGGCGGTGCACGCGCGGCAGCGCCATCGATGTCCACGCCGGCGCTGAGCGCACGCACCTCGTCGTCCGGAAAGAGGGCGCCGAGCCAGTCGACCGGCGGGTCGGCGACCATGTTCTCGCGCGCGGCGCGCGCAAGACGCTCCTCAGGATGCACATTCAGCGTGCCATAGTGCGGCAGCGATGTGGGCAGGATGGGCGTGTGGGCAAGGAGGGCATCGTTGATGTCGGCGCCGCTGATGAGCCCAGACCGCTTCTCGCCCTCGTGAATGACGCGGCCGAGAACTGCGCGCACGAAGTCGGACACGTGTGAATGGAGGTCGAGCAGCAGCAGTGCGTTCAAGCGCGCTGGCGCCTCGGCGGTGCCGACGGTCGCGGATACTTGCGGCGGTGCGGGCACGGCAGTTTGTAGTCTGAATGGAGCCGTCAGCGGGTCTCGTTGAGCGAGATCAGACGGAAGAGCGCGCCACTCACGAGTGTAGGTGGGCGATGCGACTGACGCTGAGCAGCTCAAGATCGAGCTGCTTCAGCCGCCCGAGGACGCCTCCGGTTTGCAGCGCGTCGACGCCGATGGCCTTCCATCGCCGAGTGGCTCCTGCTTGCTGCTCAAGAGGCTGCGCAGGAGGAGCTGCAGCGGGAACAGACCTGGCCGGTCCAGCCGCGACACGAGGCGCCCGGACGGGCGCCGCTGCGCTGGATGACTCGGCACTGGCTGGCGCCTCATTTGCCGCCTGCAGGAGCTCATCGACCGCGTTTGTATCCACCTCGCTGTCGCTCTCCTCTGCCGCCTGCAGCGGCTCGATGGTGTCCAGGCGTCCCAGCCTGGCCGCCTCGACGACCGCGTCGTAGCGGGCCTTGACAGCGGGATTCTTGGAGACCGACTCGATGCCCATGAGCTTCGCCGCCTCGAGGCCGAACAGCCTGATGCGGCGCGCGATGCGGTCTGAGACGCGTCTGCGCTCGGCAGGTGTGTTGTTCTCCAGCACAATCTCGATGCCCTTGAACATGTAGCGCCCGTCCTCGTCCGTGCGGTTGTGAATCTGCCAGCCGAGCTCCTGGGCCCTCTCAAGCCCAGAGCGCTGCACGCGCATGCAGATGCGCTGCTTTACGTGCTTACGCTGGCGCAGTGGCACTTCGGAAATGTCGATGCCTTTGTAGACCTCGGGCGCCACGTGCGGCGCCAGCGGCGGCAGCGGATAGTAGAGCTTCTTGTCTTCTTCTCTGCGCCGCCTCCGGCGCGCCTTGCGGCGTTCCTCGAGTGTCGGGCGCACCTTCTTGTCGCGCATGCGCCAGTCCATCGTCTGCGTCTTTGCCAGGCCGTAGCGCTGGATGCGCGACAGGATGCGGTAGCGCACGCGCTGCCGGTCCCGCAGCGGCACGTCGGAGATGTCGATGCCGTGGAACCAGACGGGCTCGAGTCCTTGCCGCCTGCGCTCCCGAGCCTCCTGTCGCTCTGCCACCACGATGGCTCTGCGCGGCGCGGGCGCCGGTGGCGGAACGCCCTGCGCGAACGCCAGCTCCGCTTGCGACAGCGAGGCCAGCACACGCAGCGTAGCAGCATCGCGAGCGTGCGCCAGGGCAGCCTGCCCGCGACGCGCCGCAGCCAGCAGCTCGTCCTCGTCGACGCTGAGCGCTGGTCCCATCGGCACTGCAGAGCTCGATGCCACGGCGCTTGGCCGTGCGTCGGCAGCGAAGGAAGCCGTCTCGAGCTCAGAGAGGAGCTCTTCAGTCCAAACGAAGTGTCCACCTTGGCTGTCCGGCAGCGGCAGCGACAAGTCTGCCTCTAGCTGCGCCATCTCGAGCTCCCAGACGCTCTCGGCAGCTCTGCTTGCGCGCTTTTTGGACTCCTCCTTGGAGACCCATGCCACGCAGCCCGACGCTAGCGCCTCGGTCCAGAAGGCATCGAGCAGGCTGCGCATCCGGCTCTTGCTGCGCGTCGAGACCTCGTCGAATGGCTCGCGCCGCACACGAAAGCTCGGCACGGGGTGAGTCGTGGCGAAGTCGACGTACGAGTCTGGCGCGATGCTCGTGGAGAGGAGCAGCTCCTCGACGGCGTGTTGAGCGTAGACATTGACGGCACGTCCCGCAAGCTGTCCGCGCTGAGAAGCGAGCGGGGCATGCCGCAGGTAGAGGAGTACCGTCACAGTCTGCACCGCCCAGGCGACGGGACGCTGCAAGGTGCTAAGCGCACGCGAGCGCGGCGAGAGCGGCGGCTGCCCCGGAGGCCCAGCAGCTGACTCGCCTGCGCCTTCTGGCTCGGGCGCCGCGAGAGCATCGTGCGGCAGGTGTGCCATCTCACCTGCGAGCACACGGCTGAGCTGATCGTGCCGCTCCTCGAGCCTGCCGCTCATCTTCTCCTCGAGCGCGACCCACCGCTCGCTCATCTGGCGCGCCGAGGGGAACATGCGCTCGCTGCGGAAGTGACTGGGGCCAAGGGTTGCTGACAGAGTGCGCTGGCGCTCGAGCGCAATGAGCAGCGCCGCGACGTGTTTGACAGAGCGGCCCGTCTCGAGAGCGATGAGGTCGGGCCGCGCCTTGGAGTGCCGGCGCAGCGAAGGCCAGAAGGCGCCGAGCTGCTGCGTCGTCCAGGCATTGGAGTCGGCCGAGGACGCGAGCGAGTCGTCAGAGCCGAGCGACGAGGAGGCGGCTGAGGATGAGGCGCGTGGGTGCAGATGCTCGTGAAACGCTGCGGCCTCGTGTGCCAGCAGCCGTGCGTAGGGGATGAGCGACTGGTGCACGCCGGGCAGCGCACGCAGGCGCTCCTTCGGCGCGCCGAGCGCGAGAGGCACGGCAGCAGGGCCCGCCGCCTGCGCCGCATCGTCGGCGCCGGAAGACGGCATGGCGGCCTCGCTGTCGGCACCCGTCGGTGCGAGGCGCGCAGTAGAGGGAATGGATGGAGGTGGGAAGGAAGAGCCAGTCGAGAGCAGACGGGGGCGCGCGAGTGCAGCGCGCGGCGTGTTCTGTTCCCACGCGCGCTCTCTAGAAGCGCGTCGCGCGAGGTGTTGCTCTGTGGGCGCGTCCCGGCCGCCGGCCTTGCCTCTGCTCCACCTCCATCCCGCCCTTCAGCGCCGCCTTGCGCTCCATCACGACCTCGTCACAACCATCATCGCCTCGCACGTCTCCGTCTTGGACCTTCTAGAGCCATCGCCGCCGTCCGTGCAATGCACTAGAGCTGGAGCATGGCTGCGCCCTCGAGCCAGCAAGCAGAGCAACGCGCGTCGCCCAGCGCTTCTGCTGCCGCACCCGGCAGTCAGGCGGCGCTCCTGGGCGAGGCGTCTGCAGATGATGGAGAGATCGCAGTAGGGCGAGAGGCAGCTGGCATGAGTGTCGGACGACATGACGCCGGTCTCGGTGAGTCCGGCTGGGCTCTCTGCAAATTCGCGTGGGTGCTGAATTCAGCTGCTGCATCAGCCGCAGAGGACATGCACCTGGACGAGGTCCGGGGTGCTGAGCAGCTCAACGCAGATGCAAGCGCCGAGCCTGCCTCCACAGACATGCGAGTCGCCAGCACCTCGCCGCACGTGCCGCTCAAGTCCGCCAGCCAGCACGCTGGCCCGCCCGCCTCAGTAGGCGAGACGCGTCGTGAGGCGTCTGCTCGCGCGTCTTCGGCGCCGCCGCTCGAATGGACGGAAGCTCGTACACGGACGAGCCTGCCAGTGCTGGCAGAAGCTGCTGCTGCGGCTCGTCCCTCGCCCGCGCCGAGCGACTGGTCCATCGGAACTCCGCCGCCGCCCGTCGTGTCGCAGGCTGCAGCTGTCCGGCCGCTCTCGAGAGCCAGTCTGTCCTCGGAGCTTTCTGATGTCTCCGACGTCGAGCATGGGGTGCCACTGCCTGCTTGGCGTGCTGCATCGCTCGAGCCTCGCCCAAGACCAGGAGCCGATCAGCGTGCGGCTGCTCCTCCGACACCCATAGCGCCCCCGCCTCTTCCAGCGCAGCCCGACGCGCCTCGAAGGGCCTCTGCCAGCCCGCTGCGCGAGCCGTCTGGCGTGCCCCTCGAACTTGGTGCGAGCGCTGAGGCCGGGCCCTCGAGACTACCAGCGGAGGCACCAGCTGTGGCAGACCCCTCGGCGGAGCTAATTGCGGCTCTCGCGGGTTCGCCTCCTCGCCGACAACTGCGTGCACGCAAGCCGGATCAGCTCAACCCCTACACGGTCGAGCTGATGCGCTACAAGCGGCGTCTGGTGCGCAACGACTGGCAGGACGCTGTCGTCTCTCAACGAGAGGTCGGAGAGCGTCAGCGCGCCGAGCGAGACCTGGAGCGCGAGGCGGCGCGAGCACGTGCTCGCGAGGAGCCCGTCGACGAAGAGACGCGCCTGCTGCGCGAGCAGCAGAGAGAGGAGCGCCGCAAGAAGAAGGCAGAGCGCGAAGAGAAGCGCAAAGAGGCGGCCAGGCGTCGCGAGGAGCGCGCAGCCATCGAGAGTGCACGCCAGGCGGAGAGCCTGCGAGGCGCTCCTGATGCTGCGGGCCTCTTCGCGATGTACGGCGGCATCATCACGGACGACGAGGATGGCGATGCGGCGCCCGGCGACAGAGACGGGTCCAGAAACGCAGCCCGCACTTACGGGCGGAGAGGCCAGTCTGCTGCTGCTCGTGACGACGAGTCACGCTCGCCGTCCGCATCTTCGGCGTCCTCTTTTCAGGTCCGGCCGCCGCGAAAGCGCCGGCGGATGCCGTCAGGCTCTGCGGCTCTGCCAGGCAGCGATGGCGAGCAGCAGATGGCCATATCCATGTCGTCCGACCCTTCATCGTCAAGCGATGACGCTTCGTCCAGTGGTGCGCCTAGCCGAGGGCGCGGTCGATCTCACTCGGCCATGCGCGAAGGAGAGGACCGTGAGGCGTACTACGCGCGGCAGCTGCGCATGCTGCGGCGTGTGATGCCGCTGAACATGGCCAAGCGGCACATTGCCGACCTGCGCGCGATGCATCGCGGCAAGGACTACCACTCCGACGGCCACATCTCTGCGACGCCAGAGGCGGACAGCAGCAGCGACACGGACATGCTGGTGCGGCCACAGCATTCGACTCCTGCCACGAGCGTGGGACAAGCAGAGGAACGCGAGCTCGCGCCCGGTGAGGCGCGCCGCAGGATCGTCTCTCGGCAGGACGTGGACGATGCTCGCTTCGCCATCGTTGGAGACTCGCTCTCCGAAGACGACGCGCCGAGCCCTGTCACTATGTCGAGCAGCTCCAGCGAAGATGACGAGCAGACCAGCGCCTTTCAGAGCGATCTTCGATGGTGGGCTGCGCCCACTGATGCCGGACAGCCCGCGATTCGGCAGCGGGCCCATCTCGACGACGTAGACAAGCTGCTGTTGCGCACTCGATCGCATGCGCAGCCAGCGAGACGGCGCAGCGCTGCAGTGGCTCGACCCAAGACCTACACAGTCGCGGCGCGATCAACGCATGCTCCGCTGACGAAGAGCAGCCGGCCTGAGACCAGCCGCAATGCTGCTAGGGCTGTGCCGAGCGCCGCACGATCCAGGCACCGCTATGCCTCCGGCGCCGCGCCCAGAGCACAAAACCCGCCAGTCGTCAACCCTCTGCAGCAGAGGCGCTTCGATCTCCGAGATGACACGCTGCTGTTCGACTTCGAGATTCCGACGGTCCTCGCGATGCCGCCTCGGCCCGCTCGTGACCTCAATAGCGCGCCCGGCGCTCACGAGCCTGGCGCGGCAGCTCACCTGACGCCCGTGCAACGCACGCCTCAGTCGCTCATCGCCAAGTCGCCCTCCACCCTTCGTTCAGATCCAGTCGACTCGTCGCCTCTAGCGCATCATCGACAGCTAGCGAAGAGCCCGCTGCTGGGCGTGACCGGGTCGCATGCGAAGCCACGCGTCGACGGGCGAGTGGCGCTTGCCCCGCGCCCGAACGATAGCGTGCCGGAGCATCTGCGCGCACAGCAGGTCGAGGCTGAGGAATGGGCAGACTACAAGACGCTCACCCTCGACTTCGGCATCTGTCCGCTGTCGCCAGGCATCAGCTTTCACCCCGAGGGCTACATCGGCCGCGGCAGACTGCACGAGCTGCTCCATCTACGTCTGGAGCAGGCAGAGGAAGCGCCCGCAGAGATCCGCACGGTGGCGTTTGTCGACGTCGAGCTGCGACCCGAGTGGGGCTGTCAGAGGCTCTTGGATGAGCTGCCGCACGTCTTTGATGCCTTGTTTCGCGCCGTGCAGCGAGCTGTGGGACCAGACGCGGAGGACGTTGCGTCGTCTCTCAAGCGCGCAGCCAGCGCGCTCGACGATGTGCTGCGATTCCTCTGCTTGCGCATCACCCGTCTGCAGCAGCAAGAAGGTCGCGGTGAGGCCGAACATGCCCAGCGTGCAGCTCTGTCCGAGACGACTCGATTGCTAGACCGTCTCGACTCCGCGGGCCTGCGCCAAGGCTCTTCGGTGGCCGGCAACGCCGGCCTTGTGCTCTCGCTCTACTGGTTCCCGGTCGAGATCCGCTGGCGCGCTCTTGTCCTCGACGCCTGCCAGCGTGATCGAGCCGAACTGGGGCCGCTCGACGAGAGCGATGAGTTCTGCCAGGCGGGCCGTTCACTGATGCTTGCGCTGCTTGCACACGGCCTGCACCGCACCATGCACAGCGTCAAAAAGGGCAGCCGCGCCGACGCAGCGAGCGAAGGGGTCACACACATCACCGATGTCTCTGCCGAGTACTGGGTCTGCCTGCTGCACTTGACGTCACAAGACTTCGTTCAGCCCGCCTACGGCGCTGATGCGGCATTCTGGCCGTCCTTCGAAGCCGCCCACCAACACTGGCAGCAGCTCATCGGGCCCCGGCGGCCCTTGCTTGTCGCCGAAACGACGTGGTATGCCACGCTCGCACTCTGCGCCCTGTCGCAGTTCTCGCCCGCGTCGGGCGCCGTGTCTCTCAGGCCGCACCTGGCTGCCAACTGGAGCATGGTCGTGTCCAGCCTCTCTGCGCTTCGGCTGCGATATGACGACGCGGTGGAGCGGGCCATGCCCAGCGCTGCTTTGGCCAGACGCGACCAGTACATCCGCGTGGTGATGCAGCGGTGCCTCAATCTGACTTCCTTGTGGAGCTGGACACTCGCTGGCTCAGAAGCGGTGCTTGCAAAGCTCTTCAACGTCTTCGAGAGCCACAAGCTGGCGGACCTGCCGTGCGAGCGCGACCACGACTTCGCGCCCTTCTTGCGCGAGTACGACATGAGCATCCTGCTGGACGCGGCCCGGCACGAGTCGACGGCCTTCCACGTGTTCGTCAAGCTCGTCGCCTTAGCTGCGCAACAGGCACGCGATGGCTGCGCAGAGCAGCAAGATGGCGACCGCCAAGTGTCTCGCCTACTCTCGCGCATGATGCCGGTCCGGGTGATGCCCTTCTCGAAGCAGACTCCGCCGACCGCGCTGCAGCGCTCAATGCTCTTCAACCACTACACGATCGCCATGCTCTTCCTGCACCTCGTTCCTTCAGCTGCAACGCAGCGTCTGCGCCAGATCAAGAGCTTCCTCTCCTTCTCGACCGCCGACGTCGCATCGCAGCTGACGTGCATCCGCGCAATGATGTACGCTGCCGTCCTCTTCCGGCATCACGGCCTGGAGATCACGCCGATCATGGCGTGGTTCGCGAGCGCCTTCAAGAGTCTGCTGCACGATTTCGCAGAGCTCGAGAGGCGCACTGGCCCAGCCTTCAGCGGCCTGATCCTTGATCCACGTCGCCAGGCTGCTCTGAAGCAGCAGCGCCACGTTGCCAGTCTGCTCGTGGCCGCGCTCCGCTCCTTACAGCACATCATCGATCATGCGGATCTGAGCGGCAATGCGTCGACGACCGCACAAGATTACCCCGATTGCAGGCTGCTCGACAAAGGTGGGTCCAGCTCAGGTCCGCGACTCATCAGACGGCTGACCAGACCGCTGCAGCATGGACGAGCGACGTGCTGGAGACGCAGGTTGCCGTCGACCCGGCGATCGGCCACGAAGCGTTGAAGGTCGTGCACGCCTTCTTGCTCAGACGGAACGCAGCCATAACTGCTCTCACAGCACCCGCAGTCGCCCCTCCGGCTCAGCAGCCGGCGAACGACGCAGACAGCCAGGACAGCTTCGCCGATCTCTTCATGGACACGGACCTCGGCAACGCCGACCTGCTCGAGCTGCTGGACGGAGGCGCAACGAATGATCTGGCGCAGCGAGCCTCCGACGCACACGCGGCGGACAGCCTCTTCGCTGCGAGCGTCGCCAGCACCCTGCTGCCGGCCATCTTTCGCCTCGTGTCGAACATGTTTCATCCGGATCGTGCCAGCACGCAGCAAAGCGTCAGTCTCTGCATGGCGCGTCAGCCAGCGGCGGCCGGCGGAGCCCGCAGCGGCCTCGACTTGGTCTATGCACAGGCGGCGCGGCGCTGCTTTGCGGAGCTGGCCATCGACTGCTGGGCGGGCTGCGCCAACGTCCTGGTGCAGAACGGGCTGCGCGACTGGGACAGCTTCCTGAACATGGGCAACGAGTCGTGGAAGCGCATCGACGACGCGGCCGCCAAGCGCGACGTGGGCCTGCGCTTCGTGCAGAACATGCTCGTCCTCGACTCCGCCTCGTACGAGTCACACGCCGGCGACGTGCTCGCCGTCTGGTTCGGGGCGGCTGCGGCGCGGCGCCTCTCCATCCAGCACAGCTTTACGCGCACACTGCTGGCGCTCGATCGCACGCATCCTTGGTTCAGCGACAGCATCTGGCTGTCAGAGCCGCGCGAAGGACCCTCGCAACAGCTCAGCCTCGAGATCTTCGAGAGCACTCGGCAAGCAGAGCTGTCTGCAATCTTTGCCCGCATGGGCCGCGACTACGAGAGCGCGGCACCGCGAGACGCCGCACACTCCCGGCGCCGCCTTGCTGCCTTCGCGTGTCTCTCCGCGCTGCTTTCCTCGCTGCGCATCCACGCCGAGGACGGACGCGGCGCTGCCCCCGCCGAGCAGCGCGAGTACTGTGCCTTTGGCCTCGAGCTGTGCCAGGCGATGCGCGCTGGAGCTGGCCTGGCACTGCTGCGCGGCGCCGACGCCGAGCTGCGTCGGACCGCTTCGCTGCTTGACACGCTCCTTCAGTCCGCCTCATCGTCGCTTCGCCAGTAGAGGCGCTGCCGGGCTAGAATACATGTATTTGTAGTGGTCATCGTCTGTGCTGCCTCGTGTCTGAGTGTCGCTTGAAATATGCGCCCACTTCCGCCTCGGTGGGGATGGCCTCCTCGCCGAGCCACGAGGCAAGCCAGTCATGTAGGGGCCCAGCGGCACTGGAGGTGTCGCGCCCGCCGCTGGCTGCGGGCGGCGTGTGCTCGGCCAGCTCGAGACACACGATGCGCAGCGTCTTGCGGCGCGGCGTGACGTGAAGCGCGCGCATCCAAGACAGCACCCTGAAGATCTCGTCCTGAGCCGGCAGGCGCGAGGCCGGAATGCCGGAGACGGCGTCGGACGTGCGCAGCAACTGCACGAGGCGCACGTACTCGTGGAAGAGGGCGTCGTTGAAGACGATGGGCCGCTGAGAGAATTGGTGCAGGGCAACGCTGTCGTCCAGGGGTGCCTCCTTCGAAGAGTCGGCCGAGGGACCGGCCGTGAGGCGCGAGAGACGATCCCAGAGCCAGCGCTCCGCCCGGCGAAGCTGCATCTCTCGGCGCCAGAACCAGCCGCCGCCGTCTGCCTTCTCGAGTGCGCTCTCGCAGCTTGCGAGCTCCGGGTGCTGGGAGAGGAGGAGTGTGCGGAAGAGCTGCCACGCTCGCATCGGAGCAGGAACGCCGTCCCAGTGCCCGGGCTTCTCCGAGTCGGGCTCGTCAACGCTCTGGCTCAAGCTGCGATGGGCGGTGCCGCTCATTTGCGCATCGTGGGCATGGCCCAGCTCGGCATCCTTCCTTGCGGCACGCATGAGCAGCACAAGAGTCCTGCCACCTAACGACAGGCGTGCACGCCGCGCATGACCCGTGACGAGTCGCCAAACGTCCGCGCCTGAACCCAGTCGCACGGTGGCGTCGAGGAAGATGTTGAAGAGGTGTATCGACGTCTGGATGCGACCCGCGCCGCGGCTCGTGTACCTGCGCAGCGTGCGCAGAGCTCCAGAGACACGACGTGCGCGCAGCTGTGCAGCACAGAATGCTTCGAGCGCGGCGGCATCGACCGCCACCTTGCGCTCCTGCATGATGTTCCAGACCGCCTCGGCATCCTCGAAGAACGGCTGCGGCCGGAGCTCGAAGTTGCGAACGAGGACGGCGTAGAGGCCGGGTTCGTGCAGGAGGCTGGCTGGAGGCCGGATGCTGCCTGGCTTTGGCTCGCGCAGCGGGTCGAGGCCCAGTAGCTGGAGCAGATCCCAGGGCTGCACCTGCGGATCCCGCGCGCTCAGTGCTACGATAGAAAGCCAGATTCGATGATCAGCGAGCGGTGCGTCTGAGGATGGACCCGAAGGAAGCACTGCGTCGTCCTCGGTGCTCGCGAGCGGGTTCCATGCCGGGTCGGCGCCGCGCTCGAGCATGCGTTCGAGCGTCTCCCACGCTTCGCTGCTCAGCGACGTCTGCGAGAAGACCGCAAGCTTCCGTCGCGCATGCCTGGCCTGCTCCTGCTCTGAAGCATGTCGAGGCTGCCGCAGGCCTTTCACCTGCATCGCAAAGTCCTGCGCTTCGCGCATGCTGCCTGCTCTGAGCGCTGCTGACGCAGCACGCTCCAATGGCAGAGCCAAGGCGTGGTGCCGAGGTGCGAGATCCAGGGCGTCGAGCGCTTCCTTGGCCAGCGGCAGGGTGAGGAATCGCTCCGAGCGCCGCGGCAGCTTATCCTGCGCCAGCAACTGCGGCTGAACGCGGCGCGCCGCCAGCATTCTCGGAACGTGAGGCATGTCAAGCAAGACGTGTGCGACGTGGCTAGACGTGCGTGCGGGCAGGCGCTCTTGCTGCTGCGCCCAGTGCAGCACTGCACTCGCGCTGTCGCGGCAGCGCTCGTCGTTGAAGCGCGTCAGTGCAGAGGAGAGCCACAGCAGTGCATCGACGACAGACTTGAAGTACAGAGCGTGGTCTTGCGGCGTGGAAGACTTTGTGCGCGGGTGCGTCTCCATGAAGCGATCACAGTGTCGAAGAACAGCCTCGGTGAGCGGAATGGCGAGATGCGGCGAGTGCAGGTGCAGCAATGCCCGCTCTGCGAGAATGCGCAGGACACGAAGCGCAGCCTCTGAATTGGTCGAGTCCCGCAGAGACTGCGCGAGCGCCACGGCCTGGCTGACCTGCACCGGCGAGTGCGCGTGCGGGACCATGCGTGCGAGAACGAAGACAGGGCACGGCGCTTGCACCTGCGACAGCTCTTCGAGCGCGGCGGCCCAGTTGTCGCAGCAGACCGCGTTGCGCCAAGCGACGAATGTTTCTGGCGTGACGCTGTGGCGCTCCAGAATCTCGTACAGGTCTTGTACCGTCGAGGGATCGTGACCGACCAGCTCGGCGCACGAGCTCACGAGCCGATCTCGGAGAGGAGCGGCGGGCCTCGTGAAATGCATCAGAAGCGCCGAGAGACTCTTCAGCGCGCGCAGGCGGACCGTTCGGAAGGCGTACAGCCGCCGCTGTACAGGACTTGCGATCTGCTCGGGCGGCGCTGCGCACGCCGCTCTCTCGGCCTGCTCATCGGTTGGCGCGATGCACTCCGACTCGAGGTCTGGCTCTGCTTCTGTCGCAGATGCGGAGGGACGAGCGGCCGCGTCATGGGAGTCGTGTGCAGCGATGGACAGAGACGCGGTGTGCAGGTGCAGCCGAGGCGCAGGCGCCCACAGGTGCGCCGCTGTGCGAGGCCGCGCGAGGCGGTACGCAGTGAGCGTGGCAGCGGCGAGCGAGCGCAGCGGTGCGCCGAGCAGCGCAGCGGGCGCCGCCATGCTGCTGCAGCTCGAAGCGGCGGCGCTCAGATGCGCGCCTCGCGGTGCATGGGAGCCGCTGCTCGAGGACTTGCGGCGAGAGAGGGCGGCTGAGGTGCGGTGGTCGTTGTGGAGAGAAGGAGAGGCATGTGCGAGCCATCGAGTGCCGCGGACTTACGCTGCGGTCACGTGCACGCGCCTGGCCGAGCCGCCGAGGCTCTTGTGCGGCGGCGCTGCCGCTGCTCTTCCGCCGCGCCGAGGTCGCGGCGCGGTGCGCTGCCGTCTTCCTGACTCGCGTGCCACTTACTGCGCCTCGACCACCACCTTCATCCTCGGCCTGGCCCACGCACATCTCGCACGCCTCCGCAGACTCGCGCATCCTCTTGCGCAGCCCACTTTCGCGCTCGTGCGAAGCTCAGCCCTCTCGCGCGCCGTTCCTCCGCGTCTGTGCCCCTAATGTCGGCCAACGGAGACGTCGACGCCCTGGCGTCTGGCGTTGCTGCCGTGGCCATCGACACGGCCAAGCTCAACCCGCTCTCGCCCGAGGTCATCTCGCGCCAGGCGACGATCAACATCGGCACCATCGGCCACGTCGCGCACGGCAAGAGCACCGTCGTCAAGGCCATCTCGGGCGTGCAGACGGTGCGCTTCAAGACGGAGCTCGTGCGCAACATTACCATCAAGCTCGGCTACGCCAACGCAAAGGTGCGCAGCTCATGCGGGCATTGTGGAATGGCGGGCGCGGTGCAGAGGGTGCCGCGCGGCTACATCGATGGGCCTCTCCCGGCGAGGCGAGGCGGCATGGGCATCGGAGGGACGTGTAGACCGGCAGCGCACTGGAAGCACTCGTGTCTGCTGGCGACAGAGCCCTTCTCTCTGTGCCATTATACCATGTTGCAGGACGGTCGGCTGACCTGCTCGACTTTTGCGCTCTTCAGATCTTCAAGTGCTCGCGCGAGGCGTGCAAGCGGCCTGGCTGCTACCGCTCATATCCCTCGAACAAGGAGGATGAGCCGCCGTGCGAGGTGCCGGGGTGCGGAGCGAAGATGAAGCTGATTCGGTGAGTCGATGTGCACATGTCCAGAGCTCTTAGGAGGCGGAATGGAGGTGTTTGGAAGCAGTGTGGAGCTCAGATCTGACGCGCGAACGATGCAGGCACGTCTCCTTCGTCGACTGCCCGGGCCACGACATTCTCATGGCCACCATGCTGAACGGCGCCGCCGTCATGGACGCCGCGCTGCTGCTCATTGCCGCCAACGAGTCGTGCCCGCAGCCGCAGACGTCGGAGCATCTTGCTGCCGTCGAGATCATGAAGCTCAAGCACATCATCATCCTGCAAAATAAGGTGGACCTGATCCGCGAGGCGCAGGCGGAGGAGCACTGGAAGAGCATTGCGAGCTTCGTCAAGGGTGAGTGGCAGTGTCGACGCTGGGCAGCAGCAGCATCGTGCTGAGGCTCTGTGTGCAGGCACTGTTGCCGGCACTGCGCCGATTGTGCCCGTCTCTGCGCAGCTCAAGTACAACATCGACGCGGTCAACGAGTACATCGTGAAGCGCGTGCCGATCCCGATCCGCGACTTTGCCTCGTCGCCGCGCCTCATCGTCATTCGCTCGTTCGACGTGAACAAGCCGGGTGCCGAGGTCGCAGACCTCAAGGGCGGCGTGGCCGGTGGCTCGATCCTGACGGGCGTGTTGAAGCTCGGGCAGCAGATCGAGGTGCGGCCAGGCCTCATCGAGAAGGACCAGGACGGCAAGGTGCACTGCCGCCCGCTCTTCTCCACCGTCGCCACGCTCTTCGCCGAGCACAACGACCTGCAGTTCGCCGTGCCCGGCGGCCTGATCGGTGTGGGCACCAAGATCGACCCGACGCTGTGCCGTGGTGACCGGCTGGTCGGCCAGGTGCTGGGTGCCGTCGGCGAGCTGCCGGCCATCTACGTCGAGCTGGAGATCCAGTACTTCCTGCTGCGGCGGTTGCTCGGTGTCAAGACCGACGACAAGAAGCAGACCAAGGTGCAGAAGCTGGCCAAGAACGAGGTGCTCATGGTCAACATCGGCTCCACGTCGACGGGCGGCCGCGTGATGAGCGTCAAGGCGGACCTGGCCAAGATCCTGCTGACGGCGCCGGCGTGCACGGAGGTGGGCGAGAAGATTGCGCTGAGCCGACGTATCGTGAGTGGCCGCGTGGAGCCTGGCGCGGCGCAGTGGGCTGACGGCGACACGTCTGCAGGACAAGCACTGGCGTCTCGTGGGATGGGGCACTGTGCGCGCGTGAGTGCTGCTGCGGCCAGTGAGCTGCGCGCGAAGCTGACAATGACCACGCAGGGGCACGACCATCGAGGCAGAGACCTCGTAGGAGCAGCAGCATGGAAGGAGGATGGGAGCGGCCACCTAGAAGGGCATGTGGCTCGCGCCTCGGCTCGGGCGCAGCGAGCACAAAACGATGCTATTTCGACACACTCGGGGGGGCGGGGGCGCGCCGCGCGTGACGGCGACTAGATCATCTGCTTCTGCGCCGGCTGCTGGATCATGTGCTTGCTCGAGCTGGCGAAGTTGCTCTTGCGCACGGGCGCGTGCACGCCGTGCTCCTTCTGCAGGTTGCGCGCCTGGTCGTGCTTGAGGCCCTTCTTCTTGCCCTCGCGCGCATTCTCCTCGTCGCGCTGCTCGTAGCCCGCCTCGGCGTCGTGCTGCGTCTGCAGCACCGCCGGCGCATCGGCGCTGGCCGACGTGGGACGCGGGTAGTCGTCGCCCGGCGCCGTGGCGGCCGTGGCGGGCACGGGCGCCGTGAATGCCGTCGTGGGCGACTCGGGCGACGTGCTGCAGGCGGCAGCGTCAGTGGTGCTGGCCGAGAGGTGCTCTGTGACGGCATGCACCGGCGTCGCAGCGAGAGGCCGGCTGCTGGTGCCCTCCCCGACCCTGCTCTCGCACGGGTCCCGCACCGAGGCCCAGTCCACTCACCTAGCCTTGCTGCTCGACGGCGAGCGCAGCGGGTTGGCGCCGCTGTGGCTGGTGCGGCGGCCGCCCACGCGGACTGCAACGCGAGGTCAGCGGCGGGCCAGGTGATGAAGCGTGCGAGAGCGGGACTCACTGGCGATAGGGTGGCCGGCAAGCGCGCTGGGCACGGTCGACATGGTCGGCAGAGCGGTGGTGGTGGAGGTGTCGAGTGTGTGAGAGCGTTCGCCGGCGAGGCAGCGAGGCGGCGAGGCAGTGGAGGAGCAGGTGGGTGGTGCTGATGCCGGTTCGCGCGAGGCGAGGGATGGCGGTCGAGAGGCAGCGAGGGTGAGAGCGGCCGCTGCCTTATAAGGGGCGGTGCTGTGCTGCGCATGCCGGTCCGGCAGCGCACAGCAACAGAGGCAGTCACTCTCGGCTTGCGAGCCTCTTCCAGCATATGAGCACTCCCAAGGCGGAATAGAATGAAGGGCGCCAGCGGGGCTGCATCGTGTGGGGCCAGAGCAACACTCGGCATGCGGGCGGCGGGGCGCACGCGAGCATGCGTGGGAACAGCGCCCCAGCTCGACGTTAGGACGCCGGCTGCCGGCGGCACGTGCGCGCCCGGGCCGGCGCTGCTCTCGAGGCAGCCGTCTTGCAGCTTGCTGCACACTTCCATCACACGTCTCAAGGGGTCCAAGACAAGCTCGTCGCAGCCATGCCGCTGAAGCTGCGCCAGGTGCCGTCCGTGTACAGCGAGGAGGAGGTGCGCCGCTATCTGGCGCATATTGGCTTTCCCGGCCTCAGCGGCGACGGCAGTGCTGCTGCCTCAGGGGCCGCCGCCCTGCCGCCGCCGACGCTGCGCACGCTGGCGCTGCTGCAGCTGCACCACCTCACGACGATGCCGTTCGAGAACACGTCGCTGCACTACGAGCACGAGCACCAGGTGCGCATCGAGCCGCACCACTGCCTCGAGCGCTTCGTGGCGCGCAACGCCGGCGGCTACTGCATGCAGCAGAACCTCGTCTTGCTCAACGTGCTGCGCTTCCTCGGCTTCAGATGGTGCGCTGCCTTGGTGCAGGCGGCTCTGCTGCATGCTAACCTGTGCTGCTTGCAGCTTCTCCTCGGCCGGACGCGTGCTTGAACGGCCCGCAAATGAGGAGCCCAGCCTGACGGGCTTCGGCCACATGGTCGTGCTAGTTCTCTTGCCGTCGCACCTGAGCACCGACAATGGCGCGGAGGTGCTCTACCACTGCGACGTGGGCTACGGCGCCGGATGTGCTCTGCGGCCGCTGCTGCTGCGGGAAGGCCATGAGGAGCAAGGACGCGAGGGACAGGCGCATCGGCTAGTGCAGACTCTGCACCCGCAGTCGGCTCTCGAAGAGTCCGATGACGGGCCACACTGCATCCCAGACCTTGCGGCTTCGGCGCAGCACATGTGGGCGCTGCAGCACCGCACCGGCGACGGCGAGTGGCTCACGCAGTATGTGTTCATGCTGACGGAGACGCTGCCAACCGACTACGAGGTGAGCCGTTTCACCATGCCGCGCGCGTCTGGGTGCTGAACATTTCGCAGGCGATGAACACGCACACGAGCCGCTCCGAGAAGGCGATCTTCAGCCGCGTGATCATGCTGTGCTACTTCACACGCAGCTGGACGACGCCCGACGAGGACGCGCCAGCGCTCTATCCTTACCCGCCAAACACTATCGGGCTGCGTACGCTGTTCCAGCAGGGTCTCACGCTGCGGCCAGCAGCCTGCGACGGCGGCGGCGAGGAGCGCATCCAGCTCAAGTCGGAAACGGAGCGTGTCGAGCAGATCAAGAAGGCAAGTCGCTTCCTGTGCGTCGGCTGCGCGAACGCTGACACGCTGTCCCCCAGTACTTCCACCTGCTCAGCGACATCGCGACAGAAGATGCTGTGGCCGCAATCAAGGGCCGCACGCCAGAGCTGCAGCCCGCGGCGGAAGCGTAGCGAATGAAGGATGATGAATTAGAGCAGCGAAATGAGGGGAGGTGGAGCGGGCCCGCCGCAGCCGGGGCCAGCTCCAGAGTGGGGTGTCCGGGAAGTCTCAGCATCAGGCAGAGATGGAGGCGGCAGCCGCCTGCAGGTCGACCATGCCGCGCTGATCGTGCGAGAGGAGCGAGAAGATCTCGGCCTCGATGCGCAGCCGCTGCGTGCGCGCCTCGCCCGAGTCGACGCTCGAGCCGGTCCACGAGCTGACCGGCCGCGAGAGCGAGCGGGCATCAGGCCCGTTGCCGCCGGGCACGCGCGAGAACTCAAACTTGGCCGCCGAATTGTCGCGCGCGAGCGACTCGAGCATCATGGCCAGGTCGTTGTCGTTGGTGTAGACGATGCGCGTGGCGCTGGCGTCGGCGCTCGGCGTGGCCATGTCGAAGCCCAGCTGCTGCTGCGGAGGCGACGCGGCGCTGTTGAGCGGCGGGCTGTACTGCTTCTGGCGCGGCGTCGGGTGCTCGGCGGCCGCGGCGAGACTCGGCGACGGGATCGGCGGCATGTCGAAAGGATCGTGTGAGGCGTCGTCCTCTGCCGCGTCTTCTGTGTGCGCGTGAGGAACTGCGCCAGATGCGTTGCTAAGCTCGGGCAGCTTCGGCAGCGCAGGCATGGTCGAGGCATCGAACGACCAGCTCTTGCGGTGCCCGACCTTGCCGCGCGATCTGGCGAAGAAGCTACGGCTGTCGTCGTTGGTCAGGCCAGCGAAGCTGCGCACCGGTGTGCCGTTTCCTTCGGCAGGCAGCAGGTCCTCGTACGTGCTGTCGCGCGGCCGGAAGGAGAACTCGCTCGAGTCGCTGGCCTGGCGCGAGTGGCCTGCACCTCGGAACGACCCGCTGTATGCGCTCGAGCGGTCGGCCAGGCCGGCGATCACCTGCCACACGACACTGCCGTCGGCGCGCTCGGTCACCTCGATGTGGCTGCGGCCTTCGGGGTTGAGCGCAGCGCCCATGGACGCACGCGCGTGCCCGTTGCCAAACGTCGACTGGCGCGCGAACTGCGGCGTGCGCTCGTCGTCTGCGCCATCGATGTACATGTCGTACAGGCTGCCGGCGTACGAGCTCTGCGCTCTGCTCTGCCTGTTCGTCATCGGCGACGGCGGCATGAGCGCGGTCGTGTCGCCGCCAGCCGTCAACGGCGTGTCTAGAGGGACGGTCGCCGAGACCGGCGAGTCGACCGAGTCGCGGTTCTGGTGCTGCTGCCAGCCGGTCGGGAGCGGTGTAGATGCCTCCTCGCCTCCAGCAGGTCTCCGCGACTTGCGGCGCGAGGTGCTCGACATCGTGGACTGTGAAGCGAGGGTGAGTATCGCACGCGCTGTCCCAACCTCCAGACACGCACCTTTCTCCGCTCGTCAAAGACGCTCTCGCTCGTCGGAATGATGATCGTGCGCCGGATGATGGTGTCGCGCGCGGACTTGACCTTCGGCGGGCGCGCCTGCGCATTGTCTGACACCTCGGCCTGTGCCGGCGGCGCGGCCTCAGCAGGTGCAGGCGAAGAAGACTGCCAGGCGTCCTGGATCGGTGCGGGCGAGCCGAGCTTCGGGACAGGCGTAGACTCTTGCGCAGCCTCTGCCTCGGCGGTCTCAGACGAGGCAGGCTCGGCGTCGCCTGTCGCGTCGGGCTGCACGGAGATCTGCGGTGCCGGCGCGGTTTCTGGCGCGCTCGGCAGCGTCGGCGAAGACGGCATGGGCGCGAACAGCCCGGCCAGGTCGGTACTGCGCGACGGCTTGTGCATGGGCAACGGCTGAAGCGGCGAGGAAGAGGCCTCGTTGCGCGAGCCGAAAGACTCGGACTGAGGCGCACCACGGCCCGGCGACGAGACGGGCGAGTGACTTGGCGATGAGCCCGTCTGCGGCATCGACGACGGGAACGGATCCACCGTCGCGCTGTACGGACCGCTATCGCTCGGCTTGCGGTTGCGGACGCGCGAGAGGAAGCGGCTCAGGCCCTTTCCGGTGGAGCGCTCGCTCTGAGGCGTGCCGGCGGCGGACGACGCGTGTCGGGGCGGCGTGCGCGACGAACGCACGCTGCCTGGAGTGCTCTCCGCCTGGTCCAGCTGACCGCCGTGGCCGAAGGAGCTCGAGGGCCGGCGACCGTGCTGCACCGACGGCTCTGTTCGAATCGAGCCGCGGCTGTAGTCGGCCACGGCCAGCGAGCCTGGTGTGCCAAGCGGGTGCACAGGGAGGGGCGGCACGGCAGGCGATTGCGGGTACGCTGGAGTACCAGCGCGCCGCAGCAGAGTGGCGTCGGGGCGCGGCAGGGTCTGCGCGTGGTCGAGGCGTTGCGACGTCTGGATGAGCTGGGGCTGCGACACGATCTTGGCCAGGTTCTTGCCCTTGCGTCTGCTGAGCGACTTGGAGCGTGCCGGAACGACCACACGGGGCCCTGCCACGTCTGTGCCCTTGAGCGCGAGTGTGGCTGCCCGTGCGTGGCTCTCGACGTCGTCCAAAAGCGCGGCGCTGACGTGCGAGGCCTGGCCCCATACGGGCCGGTCGCCGGGGTCGGACCAGGCTGTCTGCGGCGTCTGCGGCGACTGCAGGTGGCCGTTGAGCTCAGGCGACTTGCTGTCCGCTTGCGGCTCCGTCTCGCGCTGCTGAGCAGAAAGGACGTCGTGCGACTGGCTGCGCGGCATGGCCGGCGGGCTGTCGTACGGCAGAGCCGGGCTGCCTCGGCCATAGAGCCCCTCCCACTCAGCCGTGTCCTCCTCCGGTATCGGCTGCGCCTTGACGCCAATGCCGGCGAGGCCAGGACTCGTCACTGAGGCGTCGGCTGACTGCTTGAGGGAGCTCGAGCTCGAGTTCGAGCTCATGTGCCAGTCATTGCTCGCGCGAGTGGCAGTCGCCTCGATGATCGAAGCCAGCGAGAGGGAGCCTCGGTTGCCGTCGAGCGTCGACGGGATGCCCTGGAAGTCGGAGTTGTTCAGATCCTGCAGCGACGGCAGCGTACTGACCGATGCGCGCGGCGGCGGCGAGGTCGGGCGGTGGCTCGACGTTACGTCGTACTGTACGGGAGACTTGAAGGAGCTCTGCGACGTCGAGTGGGCCATGCGCGTGTCTTCGCGGCTGCCCGAGCGCATGCGCGGGCTGTACGTCCTCTCGCCTGCGTGCTGCGACGGCGGCGTGCTTGTGATGGCCGGCGCGAACGAATCGCCGCCGAGCGTGGCAGCGCTGACCTGCCGAGAGAGGTTGGGGGTGCGCGGACTTCCGGTCCCGCTCGCTGCCTCGGCTTGCTGGCGCTGCGAGATGCTGCGCGCCCGCTCGCGAGCCTTCTCGAGCTTTGCCGTGCCGAGCACGCTCGGCGAAGACGGTGTCATGCGCGGAGAGGCGCGGCTGCCGGAGGCGTAGTTCGAGCCCGCGAGACTGCTCTGCGAGTTGGTGTGGTAGAGGCGATCGCTGGCAGTCGCTTTGCCCGGAAGCGGAGGCGCCTCTTGGAGCGCCTCAGGTGCAGAGCCGCGCGTCTGCAGCGCTGGCATGCCCAGCGAGTGGCCCTTCTGGCTGGCGGAGCGCACGAGCTGCTGCTGCAGATCTGCAAAGTCGACCATCGTGATGCCCGACTCGGCGAGCTGGTCCGCAGCTGCTGCTGGCGGCAGGTGGGAGATGGGCCGCGATGCGCTCGCCGGTGCCGCCTCCGTGTTGCGCGCCACCTTGGCCCAGACGTCATCAGGATCCTCGCGGTCGTCGTCTGACCCAGCAAGATCGCTAACGCCGCTGCGCACGCTCACAGCATCCGACGTCAGCCCTCGCTCTGCTCCTGTGCCGGCCGTACCGGGCGAGAGCAGCGAGCCGGGAGCGGCAAAAGAGCTCAGGGCCGCCGGAGAGTTGGCGAGGTAGCTCATATCGGGCGAGGATGCTCCTTGCGCGCGCTGCAGAGCAGCGCTGGCTCCTAGACGCTGCCCGTCCTGCGCAGTGCCAAGAGGCGCGCCAGCATCGGAGAGCACACCGCTTGGCTGCGCGGGCGAGTGGAAGCCCGCCGCGTAGTTCTGCATGGAGCTCGACGTGGGCGGGAAGTAGCGAGGCGAGCGAGCGGCAATGGCGTTGGCGGACAGAACTGGCGTGCTAGGGCCGGAATTGGCGCCAGAGCCGTTGGACGGGCGACGCAGGAAGTCTGAGGGCCGGCGGCCCAGCTCGCCCTGCGGCGTCATCGAGGGTGAAGCGCGGAAGCCATCGGGCGACATGGCTCTCTCGCGCGCGTCGCGCTGCAGCGAGCTGCTCGCGCTGAGCGACTCGGCCTTGGGCGAGTGCGTGTCGCGCAGGCTGCCAAAGAGCGGCCGGTCTAGACTCGGGCTGCCGTACGTCTCAGCAGTGGGCGAGGCAGGGCCGCGCTTGATCCGGCCGTTGGCCGCGTCGATGGAGACGACGCCGGCGCCGCGAGGACGCGGCGGCGAGGTGGTGAGGCTCGACGAGGAGCTGGCGTGCTGCAGAGGCGATGCGGCAGCTGCGCGGCTAGGCCACTGAGAGACGGCCTGAGGCGTCGGAGCGGCGTCGCTTGCCTGCGACAGCGTGCTCTGGCCGGAGCCCGTGGAGAGCTTCTCGGACGCCGGAGCGCGCAGCTGTGCCTCGGACGCGCCGGCCTGCGAAGGCCAGCTGCCGACTGCGCGTGGCGCCTCCGAGTCGGGCTGAGCAGCCTGACTGAGCGTCATCGAGCTGCTGCCATCGGCCACGCTGAGCTGGGCCGGGCTTGGCGGAGAGCCCGCACGCATCGTTGCGGCGCTGTCCGAGGGAGCCATAGTCGACGTGCCGGCGCCGGCGCCGCTGGGAGAGAAAGAGCTGGACGCAGCACTTGCGGCGCTCTGGTTGCGCGAGTGCCGCGAGTCGCGGCCGCCGTTCACGACAGAGCCGAGCACGTCTGAGCGCGCCGAGGCGAACGAGCGCTCGTCGCTGTCGGTAGACCGCCGAGCAGCGGACGTGCGGCCAGACATGGCATCCTGCGCCGGCGCAGAGGCTCCCACAGTGACGTCTCCGTCGTGCTGCGAGCCGGCAGACGGCGTGCGACCGCCCTGCGAGCCGTCGTCGAGCTCCTCCTCGCTCTCGCCCTCCTCCTCCTCGTCTTCGTCGAACTCGCCGTCGTCGATGCGCCCGGCCACAGTGCCGTACACCTCCTCGAGTGCGGCACTGACGCGCTTGAAGGCGTCGGGCGTGAGGTTGAGCAGCTGCGACTGGCGCTGCAGGCCGTTGCGCGCAGCGCCGGGCACCTGCAGGCCCGAGGGCGTGCCATCCGAGCCTGCGGTACCAGGCGGACGCGAGACGCGCCGAGATGCACCAGCGGAGAAGCCGCCCGGCATGGCGCCCTCATCGTCGGTCTCGCCCTCTTCTGCCTCCTCCTCGATGATGCTGGGCGCCTGCTCGGCCGGCGTGCCCCATGCCTTGCCGTTCTGCGCCGCTCTGCCCTTGTCGTAGCTGCGCAGGTACGCATTGTCGCGCTCGGAAGCTCTGCCGCTGAAGAGGCCCGCCTCGCCGCCCATGCGGTAGCTCGGCGTCTCGAGGTTGCCGAGGCTCTCCGCCAGGCTCTCGCTCACCCGGCTGGCTCCCGTGGCGCTGCTGCGGTCCGTCTGCACGGCGGCGCCCCAGCCGCCGAAGCCGTCCGTGCCGCCGAAGCCGTCCGTGCTCGCGTACGTGCTCTCCGGCGCCGGCTTGGCCGCGGGCACGGAGAAGCTGTCGATGCCGCCAAAGCCGTCTGAGATGCCCTGCGCCGCGTGCTCCTCCTCGCGCGCCTCGTCGGCCGAGTCGCGCTCCATGTGCGTCTGGCGCCGCAGCTGGTCGATGATCTCGTCCTCCTCTGCCTCGGTGAGGAAGTGGGCGCCCTGCGCGCCCTGTGCCCGTGCTCTGGCACGCTGGGCCCGCAAGTGCGCGCGCATGGCGTCGGGCGTGACCATGGTGCCGTCGGGCGCACGCAGCAGCGTGAAGCGGCGCGTCAGGTGCGGCATGATCAGCGAGGTGCTGCGAGAGATGTCAGCAGGGCGGCCACCAGCGTGGCGGCACGTCAAGGCTCACCCTGCAGAGCGGTACAAGGTCAGCGCACGCTCCTCTCGGCCTCCACGCGCCAGCACCACTCACGGTAGTCCGACTCGGGCGGCAGGGCAATGTCGCGCGGCGGGCGAGCAAACGACGCCGGCGCCGCGGGCGCCGACTGGCGCGCATCGCCCTTTGCGCCGATGGTGATGCCGCTGCGGCTGCCGCTGCTGCTGCCGTTGCTCTTGGAGCTCTGGCGGCGCCGGAAGATGGGCATGGCGGGCGAGCGGGCGCGCCTCGGCGGGCGCGGGTGGAGATGCGCAGCGACGAGAGGGGCGTGCGCCCGGCTGCGCAGGCACGGGTGGTGGGTGGCTGCGTGCTGGTGTGTGCTGGCGGTGGTGGATGGGACGGCAGATGAAGGGGCGCGGTGGATGGCGAAGAGGCGCCCGGCCGGGCACGTGGCGTGTCTGCGAAAGCGCTCCCACGCCAGGCACGCCGGCGCAGCGCAGACGAGACGCGAGACGGAAGCGCGAAGGCGCCGCCGCCGGTGCCGAGGCGGCAAGCTGGGCCCGTCTGCGGCACTACGCCAGTGTGCCCGGCCCCGCTCTCTTTCAGGCAAGCGGCAAAAGGCGGCGCCCCAAGCGCGCGCAGCTGCAGCCGCTGCCGTGCCGGTGCCGCCTCTCGCCCTCGAGCGGGTCCAGCGCCCACTTTTTAGCGCTCGCCCGCAGAACGCAGCGCTCGCAGCTCCGAGCTCACATGCATCGGCGCCCTGAGCTTAATCCGCACACCGGCATGCCACGCCCCGCCGCGCCAGCTTGACGGTCTCGAGGCTGAGCGTCGAGCTCTGCTCTTGCTTGGAAATGCGGAGAGCACAGCTGCGCGCGCCGCAACATCATCCGAGCTGCCAGCGCGGCAGCTCCATCGACGGCCCCTTGAGCGCCGCCGCCGCCAATTTGCTGTGACGGCGCCGCGGGCGGCTGAGGCGCGCTGCGGCGTTCAGCCGCTCAGGCACGTCCAGGTGACACGAACGAGCGACTGTCCCCTCGCTGAAGGCACATGTATCCTCTGAGATCCCCGACAAAGGGGTGTCTCTCGCCGACGAGAAGGGAGAGGAGGTGCGCCGGCTGCGGGTCTGCGGACGAGTTGCACGATCGCGGCGTGTGGCTTGCTTCTCGCCTGTCGCTCTCTCTCCGTCTCTCCCTGCGCTGCTGCTGTCTGTTTCAGATGGTTAGACGCCGTCTTCCTAGCGTGCTAGTGCAGTCCGACGCGATGCGTCCTTCATGGCACCAGCTTGTCAGGGCCGCTTGCTCGTCGCTGAGCGTGGGCGGAGTATGACCTTCAAGCTCGCGTCGTGAGGGAGAGGCGCACAACGTTAAGCTGTCGCAGGCAGCGTACCGTACGCCAGTTGACGAGGTGAAGCCAGACCTGAGATCGCTCTCGTCATTGTGTGCTATTCAGATGAGCGTGCTGCTCCTGCCGAAGGCGAGCAGAAGCAGCCGTGAGGGTGGTGTGGAGCATCGGTCACGTGCGCGCCCGGTGGTGGAGGCAGCGCGCGCCCCTGGGCGGTGCACACCGGCAGCACGCTCGGCCTCCCGCTTGCCTGCGCACCACCACCACCCCTCACACAGCATGCCTCTCCTTCCCTCCGCCGCCTTCGCACAGCAGCACGCCGCCGCACAAGGCGGCGCCCGCTCCACCGCGCACCGCCTTCCCACCGACGGCTCCGTCACGCAGACGCAGACGCAGCCCGAGGCGGGCCCCAGCAGCTCGCCGGCGCCCGACGCCGTGCTGCGCCTGCGCGGCAGCGACGCCAAGACGGGGCGCCGCGTGGTGTGGGAGGAGGGCACGGTGGACAATGAGCACCTGGGACGCAAGAGCAGCAAGAGTGAGTGTGTGCAAGGGCTGACGGGGTGGTGGAGATGTCGCCGTGCACAGTCCACAGCGAGGCTTGCCGCGTGGCTTCCAGCGTACCTCCGTCTGCGTGTGTGCGCACGCCTGGCCATCTTGCTCACGCCTGCCCTCAGTCTGCTGCATCTACCACAAGCCACGCGCCTTCGACGAGTCCTCTTCGTCCGGCTCCTCGTCCGGCTCCGACTCGGACTCCTCGTGCGCCTCCTCCTCCTCGGACTCATCGCTCGCGCGACGCTCAGGGCACAGCTCCGAGTCGGACGGCGGCGCAGGCGGCGCGTCGGGCGTCAATGCCAGCAAGACGCTGCGCAGCAAGAAGGGCAAGGCAAAGAAGAAGCGGCATGCGCATCATGGCCATGACGGGCCGTGCGAGCACGAAGAGGCGCAGCGCAGCTCAGCGGGCAGCGGCTCTCGCTCTCGACGCAACGGCGGAAGCAGCACCATGACGCTGCCGCCTGGCGCCGGCGCTGATGCAGAGCAGCCACCGCCAGCTCCGAACGCATACGAGCGCGGCGCGTAGGGAGTCTGTCGCAGTCAACCAAATACCCATGTCATCGCATCACCGCTGCGAAAACGAGGCCGGGTGACATGTGCATTGCAGAGCAGAACAGCAGGAGCAGAACAGCAGGAGCAGAGCGCGGAGCAGAGCAAGAGCAGGGTAGCATGGCAGTCTATGTGCAGGTCCAGGTCTAGATGTCGGATGGCCGCCCGCTGCGCGCCTCCTCGTCGCTGCTGTCGAGGCCGCCGTCCGGCTCGAGCGCGCGCGGCTGGTAGTCGCGCGCCACGGCGCCGTGCGCGGCGGCCTGGTCGGCCAGCTTCGAGCCGAGGCTGCGGTCGCCGCCGGCGTCGGGCACGAGGCGGCCCTGCAGGCGCTTGAGGAAGCCGCGCTTCGACCGAGGCGAGGCGCCATCCGCGGGCGCGCCAGCCAGCGGCGGACGCATGGCCTGCTCCACCTCGTCGTCCGACTCGCTGTCCTCGGTGTCTGCCGCGGGCGTCTTTGCAGACTGCCGCCGCAGCATGGGCAGGCGCGACGAGCTCGGCTTGCCCAGCTCCACGCCGTCCTCCTCGTCGTCGGCGGTGGGCTTCTGGAAGCGGTACGGCAGCGGCACCTCGCGCGTCGAGCGGTACTGGTCGACGTTGCCCTGCAGCGCAAAGGCGCGTCAGTGGCTGCTGCATTCTGCGGCGCGGCATCGGCTCTCACCAGGTGCTCGTTCTCCAGACGGTAGATGTTCCACTGGCAGCGGCCTGTAGAGTCATGTCAGCCAAAGGAGCCAAGCTTCGTGCTCGCAACGAACTCACGAAGCATCTCGAGCAGTGCAATCAAGAACGCCTTGAGCGTGAGCGACGCCGGCCCGCCAACGCCAGGCAGGTAGATGACCCAGGTGAAGCGCAGCATGACGTTCGTCACGATGGCGACGTAGTAGCACGGCGGCGCAAAGAGCAGCTCGTCGCGCAGCAGCGGCCAGCGGGCGCGCGGACGCAGCAGCGACCAGTCCATCGTCAGGTCCCACGCGCTCGTGGCCAGCGAGTAGAGCGTGGCGAAGAAGGCAAAGAGGATGAGCTCGCGGTTCTGGCTGCCGTGGTAGCGGTAGTTGATGTAGAACCAGTAGTAGAAGATGGCGGCGGCGTACTTGCACGCATTGGCAATGTGCAGCCAGGCCGTGCGCTTGCTGTCCTCGAAACGCCGCAGACACTGCCCGAAACGCAGGAACGCGGGCACCGACTGCAGTGCGGCCGTCCAGAACGTGCCGTTCGGCTCGCAGACGCCGGGCGTCCAGTGGTTGTGGTAGCTGCAGCCCATGAACCAGAGATTCGAAATTGGCCACGCCAGCGAGTTGAGCTCGTCGCCGAGGAAGAAGTCGCGGAACTCGACGCCGGCGATAAGGCCCGCGCCAAAGACGCGCAGGATGCTCGAGACGAACCAGCGCCGGCTGGGACGCAGGTTGACGGGCAGCGGGTCCATCATGATGAGCACAACGATGACGAGCCAGACCAGCGGCCACGTCGTCGGCGCGATCGACGACGGGAACGGGTTGACGAAGGAGACCCAGAAGAAGACGGAGAGCAGCAGCAGCAGGAACGCCGGCAGCTCGTAGTACTCCTGGTAGTCCATCGTGGTGCGCACGTCCCACTCGAAGATGAAGGTGGCATTGATGCGCGCGGCGTGCCAGATGGCCAGGTTGAAGCCAAAGAGCAGCGCAAAGAGCGAGCCGATGAAGAAGGCGCCGTACAGACGCAGCAGCTCGCGCCACGCCGGTATGTCGGTGCGCGAGCCGTTGTGCTGCTTCATCGCCTCGACGATGCCACCGACGACGGCACACAGCGTCACGCCGACATAGAAGCCGGCGCGCGCCACGCTCATGTGGTGCGAGTGGTGCTCGGGCCCGGCCGTCATGCGCAGGCGCTGCAGTGCCTTCTTGCGGTCGCCGTGCTCAAAGTAGGCCGTGTAGATCTCCTCGGTGCCCTCGATGAGCTTCTCAACACTCTCCGACGTCACCAGGAAGGAGGGCGAGACCTTGGCGTGGAACCAGGCGTCGTTGATGCCCGCGACGCCCGTGGCCTTCTCGAACTTCTTCAGCACCTTGCCGAAGCCGACGCGGTTGAGCACGCGGTAGTTCTTCAGCAGCTCGAGGCCGCGGTAGTACTCGAGCACGGCCGCCTTGAGCTTCTTGCGTGCGGCAATGTAGCGCTGCGGGTCGTGCGACATGGCGGCGGCGCGGATGGCCTCGCGCGCCTCGGCCTCGTCGTGCGAGTCGTAGTGGCCCGTCTCGAGCATGCGCTTGAGCGCGAGCGAGCGGCGCCGGTCGCCCTCGTCGCCTTCAACAGTGGGCGGGCTGTCCTCGCCTTGGGCGTGGGCAGGATCACTGTGCGGACTGCTCTTGCCTGTGGAGCTCTGCGGCTGCGCAGCCGTGCCCTCGCTCGCTTCTTGTCCACGCTTCTTGCCGCCAAGGAGCGGCACGGGCGGCAGCCTCATGCCCATGCGTGACAGCCCAGTGTTGAGCTTGACCACCGCCGGCGGCTGGCGTGCCTTGTACTCGCGCCGATGCTCAGCCAGCTCGCGCAGCTGCTGTGCCAGCAGCTCGAGCTTGGCGTGAGCCTCGCGCTCGCGCGCCTGGAAGAAGTCGTGCACGCGCTCGATCTCGACATCGAGGGCGCCAAAGAACTTCTGCTCCTCGGCGTCGAAGTTCTGCTGCACCAGCTGGTCCAGAGTGACGTGGTGTTGCCCTGCTCGAACGTGTCAGCGCGTCACCCCTCCGTCAGGAGCCGCCCACGCTCACCCTTCTTGCCGCCCTTCTTGTGCTTCTTCTTCTTCGCCTTGGGCTCGTGCGGTGCAGAAGCCTCTCCCTCGTGATCCTCAGCCGGCTGTGTCCGACTGCTCTCCGCCTGCCTGCCCTGCAGCGCGGGCCTGGGGTGCTGCTTGGCGTGCTGCCGCACGTGGCTCCGCTGCGGCCTGCGCGGCCCATCGGCCGACTGTGCCTCGAGGTCGAACGCCGCCTTCGCCTGTGCGCTCTCGCCGCTAGAGCAAGGCACGCGCGTGTCGTCGCTCTCGGCGGCCGTCAGCTCGCCGGAGTCGCGGCTCTGCTGCTCGGGCAGGCGCAGGCCGGTGCCCTTGAGGTCGATGGCCGGCAGCTTGCGCGCATCGGGCCCGCGCTCGTCGCCCGGCGTGCCGCTGTCGCCGAACGTGCCGTACTCGCCGTCGGGCGTGCGGGCGGCGACGGAGCCTCCGCTCACGCTGCGGATCACGCCGCGGCGCCGCAGGCCGCCGAGGCTGCTGTTCGTCGGTGTCGCGCGCGTGAGCGCCAGCGAGGTGCGGGCCAGATGCCGTGCGTGGACCTGCTTGACTGAGAGGACAAGTCAGCCCGGCCGCCGTGCTCGTCACCATCTACGCTGCTCACTGAGCTTCTTGAGGCCGCGGTAGTTGATGTATGCCTTGCGCCACTCCACCACGGCGTTGTCCTCGAGGTAGCGGGCACTGCCGGCGTGCGTCTGAGCACTGCTCATGCATGGCAGCGGACCTCTCTCTACTCACAACTTCATGGTGCCCGGCGCTCAGTGTCCCGCCAGAGATGCCAGGTCAGGAGGCAGTGCCGGCTCGGAACAGGGCGCCGCAGATGGGCACGCGTATATGAGGCGCTGAAGATGGCGCGCAGCGGTGGAGGCGGAGACGAGGGCTACCGGCAGGAGGAGAAAGGAGCGCGAGCCATGGCCTGGCCGCGGCGAGGGACTCCGAGGCGCTAGCTCGGACGAGCGGAGCTGTGTGGGTGCGGCGGGCGGTGACGGTGGAGACGGAGCAAGTTGGACGACGATGGGCCGCAGCGGCCACGAGCGTCAAATGCGCTGCCGCAGCGAAGTGCAACACCGGCCAAGCGCCAAGGCCGCGCGCACCGCAGCGAGGCGCGCTCCTCGGCCCGACGACGCGCCCCGAGGCACGTTGGCTTGGTCGCCAGCGCGTGCGGCAGCGGCCAGGCAGCAGCAAGATGCTTCGCCTTGCTGAGGCGATCTCGGGTGCCGTCGTCAAATTGTCAACAGCCGCAGCCGCCAGCTGACCATCTCGCAGCATCTCGCCGCGGCTACCAGAGCGGCCATGGCGTGGTTGTGCGTCGCTGCCGGGGACCCTGCATCTCAAATCTGGCGCGCGGCTACGTCGACGTTGCAAATGCGGCGGCGGGCGCTGCAAATGGCGCTGGCCGAATTTGAGGCGGGCGCAAGCCACAAGCTCGGCGACGATGAGCGTGTCGCGGGCCGTCTGGCGAACGCAGCGCCGGCGGCAGGTGCGATTTTTTGCCTCGGCCGAGGCGCGGCTGCGCTGCGCGAGCGCCGGGGCATAAGTACCCTCGCCGCCCCGCCCCCGGTGCCCTCTCGCCAGATCATCTTCGCGGGTTAGTCGCACCCGCAAGCTCGCCCTCGCCGCCGCCGTGCTCACCCTCCACTCGCCCTGCAGAATCGTCTTTATAGTCGACACCGCCGATCTTAGCGCTCAACTGAGCCACAATTTTCACCTCTGACGATGAGATCGCACGTCGCGCCTCCCTGCCAACGAGACCTTCGGGCCCTTCGTGCCCCTCCGGGCACGTCGCGCCGCCCGTCGATGACTTGCTCGCCCGACTGCGACGCTGCCCTTGTGGCTGGCCGAGCGGACGGACGAGGGGAAGCGCGGCCGGATCTGAAGAGGCTGGAGAGCTGTGTGCTGCTCTTGGCGCGACGATTGTCCGAATGCATGGTCTCCCTGCCCACTCTCTGTGTGACCTCTGTGTGATCGTCGTCTCGTGCCCCTTGACGGGTGGTGGAGGCATGGCGACGTCTCTGCTCGCTGCCCATGGGGTGCATACGCTGCGCGCTGCTGAGCGGGCTTATGCGCCGAAGAAGGTCCAGGCACGTGTCTCTCTCGCACCGCGGACCGCACGCAGGGTCCGTGACGCAGCCTTGCAGCTGTCGTCTCTGGCTGTCTCTCTGTCTGCGCGAGCACGCTGCCTCCTGGGTCGGGATGGCGGCAGCGTCCTGCAGGACGGCGCTGGTTGGCGGCGTGCGCGTCGCAGCATAGCGGTCTGCGCGACGTCTGCAAGGGCCGCTTGCCCAGGCCAACGGCACGCGGGCGCGGCTCGCGCCAGGCGCCTTGGCGGGCGCGCACCGCACGCCGCACGCCCCTGGACGGCCCCCGCCAGCACCCAGCAGCGAGCCTCAAGCTTGGTTGCAGCATCAGCACAGCTCATGCGTATCGCTGTACCGGTGCGCCTGCAGCGTGCGGAGCCCAGGTGCTGCGGCGCCACGCGCGCGCCACGGCCGTTGCTCGCAGCGTGCGCACCGCCGCGCCGTGCCTCCGCCGCGCTCGACAGCCCCCTGCACACGACGGCTGCGGCGCGCATGCGGTCTCGCCCTCGTCGCCTCGTCTCAAGGCCCAGGAGCCTGATGTGACCGGGCTGCAGCACAGCATGCTCTGCACGCCGTCTCTGCTGCACCCCACGCGCGCGCACAGGATCGGGAATGGACAGCGGTCCGCCGTCGCCCCTTCGCGGGCAGTGGGCAGCATGACATGCCTGCCTCCGAGCGCGGGCGGGGCTTGGCGAGCTCATAAGAGCCAGCACCCGTCGCCAAGTCTGCTCTCTCCACGCATTCAGTCCTCTCTGCCTCTCTCTCCGTCTTCGTCTTCTCCCTCTCTCGGTCCCGCGCTCCCACCTTCTACGCCCACACGGCACTCCACACTCCCTCACTCTCGCAAGCCATGCAGCTCTTCCGTCTCTCCCTGCTCGCCAGCCTGCTGGCTCTTGCCGCGGCCCAAGTACCGGCCGGCATGCCCGTCGACGTGCCTGCCGGTGTGCCCGCCGGCCTGCCTCGCGGCAGCAACGGCGCCGCGCGCAAGGCAGCCCTCGCCGAGCAGGCGCTGCGCCCCGCCGTTGCCGCCGCCACGCCTGCTGCGGCACTGCCGGTGCGCCGGCAAGGCCAGGGCTGGAACTGGTCCTCGGGCGGCGACGACGACGACGACGACGACAGCTCGTCGTACAACGGCAACGGCTACAACGGCAACAACAACAACAACGGCGATGACGACGACGATGATGACAACAGCAGCATGCGCTGGCGCACGTCAGTACCCTCCGCTGCCTCCCGTACATGCTTTGCCGTGCTCACCCATGCCCCTCTCACACAGTCAGGACCCAGCGACGCGCAGCCGCACTTACACCAACAAGCAGGGCTACCCAACATCGACGGGCGTGCCGCAGATCATCTACGACGACGAGGGCCACCGCTGTGAGTTGTCCGCACGGGGTGCCCTGGCCACAGCGTCGCTGACATGCTCCTCGCCGCCTCGGCAGACCGGCACGACGGCGCCCTCTCGCTCGGCTCGTCGCTCGGCCTCACGCTCGGCGCGGGTGCACTCGTCGGTGCTGCCATGCTGCTCTGAGCGGGCGAGCCAGCCGGCAACGCTCCATCTCGCGCTCTCCGCATACCCCTCATCCCTCGCACACCTGCGCCGTCTCGCTCCTCTTTCCGTCTTCGCATTCCCTTCTCGGGCTCCCCACGCATCACGCTGTATCTCTACTCTTGTCTCGGACGTCCTAATCCAGCAGCATCATCGCGTCTGGCCTGCCCGGGGGCGTGACCCGCGAGCGAAGGCGTGTCTCGAACGCATGGTAATGCTCTAGTAGATAGGTAGATAGGGGTGGGGTCTAGATCTTGATTCCTTTGGCTTCCAGCTGTGCGCGGAGCACGGTGAGCATGCTGCCAGTGCGGTCGCTGCCCTCCGCCAGACTCACCTCCGCCTTCTTGCGCTCCGCCGCCGCCAGGCGCGCCTCGAGCTCCTGCAGCTCGGACGCCTGGCTCTGCACCGCATATGCCCTGAGCGTGTGTCAGCCCCACAACTCGCCGCTGCTACAGCGACAGACACGCACTTGACCTTGACGCGCTCCTCGATCTCGCGCAACGAGTCCTCTCCCGTGAGGCCCAGCGAAGCACCCGTCGAGCTCAGGCCAGGCAGGCTGCGTGCTTTCCGTGAGCTCTTGAGAGTCTTCTCAGCGTTGCGCGCGCGTCCGAGGGCCCTCACCTCGGGCCAGTCGATGCGTCAGCTGCAGATCCGTCCTCGATCATCTCGGTGCTCGTCTGGTCGTGCCCGCCGGCCACGGCCACCTCGCCCTCGGCCTGGAAGAAGGCGGCGTCGCTGTCGACGCTTGCCGGGTCAAAGCGGTAGGCGCGCACCTCTGCGTTCTTCCATTGCTGATAGCGCAAACGCACATTAGCAATGGCACATGCCGGGAGCACGAGCACACTCACGTAGGTGCTGGGACCCTGCACGTCGCCAGTGAGGCGGCGGATGAAGTCGCCGTGCGCCACGATGAGGATCGTCTTCTCCGGACGCTCACGCACGTGCCGGCGCACCCAGCGTGCGCGCTGGTCGATGCTCTCCGGGTCGGGCGCTGGGGTGCGAGAGCCGCATGAGCAGCTGATTGCGTACGGACGAGCGAGACAGCTCACCCCAGAAGCCCTTCTTGCTCGTCCAGTCGGGCGTGAGGAGCGAGAAGTCGAAGCCCTTGAACTCGGGGTCGCGCTCGAGCTCCTCGCGTGCCGAGCCGGTGTCGCACGGGAAGTCGTTGCACTCTGCGCCGACAGGATATCAGCATCAGAGCAGAGGTGCGGCAGCAAGGGCAGGACGGTGCAAGGCACGCTATGCCAGAGCAGTGCAGGTACGCTCGGCAACCTGCAGTGCAAGTACGTGCTGCCAATCGCAGTGCGAGCCTGCTCAACCCTGCCGCACAAAGCATGCCCTACCGCCTCTCTCCGCCGCCCTTGCACATCGCGAGCACGCCCCACTCACCCTGCAGCTGCGGCATCACGACGACGTTGGCGATGCCGAGGCGCTGCACGGCGGGCGCCCAGCCGAGCAGCGTGCTCTGCAGCGTGCGGCGCAGGCCGCTGCTGAGGATGGCGTCCACCTGCTGCTGCTCCTGCTGCGTCTGCCGGGGCAGGGCGCCCGACTGCTTGCGCCCCAGGGCGGTAAGGGGCGCGTCGGGGATGCTGTAGTCGAGGTCGACCTGCCGCACCACGTGTCAGTAGCAGGCAGACCGAGGCGCGCAGGGCACGCACGTTGTGCTCGGCCTGCGAGTGGCGGCAGATGAGGACGCGCGAGTGCGGGGCCATGGCTGCGAGTGGGGTGTGGTGGTGAGGAGCCTGGACGCAGGATGGTCAAGCGTCATCGGGCAAGACGCCGCCGCGGCGCGCGCAAGGCACGTGCGCCCACAGCGAGTCAGACTCGAGTGCTCTGGCATGACCTCGAGGCAGCCCTCGCGTTGGCGCCGCCGCCCACCTCCAGAGATGTCGCACCGCTACCTCGCAACGCTCCTTTGCCCTCTTGCTCCACCTTGAAGCTGCACCGCCGGCGTGTCTGCAAGGCCGCTGTGCGGGCGGAGTGTGAAATGGCGCACAGGCCATGAGCGCGAAAGCACACACGTGACTTGTGCTGCCCCGCGACGCTGCGCTGGCGGCGGCGCCGCGCGCGCCACGTCGGCCTTCGCGCCCCCGCATGCCGCAGAATGCCGCGTTGCGCCGTCAGGGGAGGCACCGCTCCTTCTCGCCACCACCACCACCTCTCTCTGTCCAGCATGCGTTTCTCCTTTGCTCCTCTCGCCGCCCTGCTCCTGGCGCCGCTGGCGCTCGCCGCGCCCGAGGTGACGCACAAGGTCTACTTCGACATGACGCACGGCGGCCGCGACATTGGGCGCATCGTCATGGGCCTCTACGGCGCCGTCGTGCCCAAGACCGTCGAGAACTTCCGCGTGCTGGCGACGGGCGACAAGGGCTTCGGCTACGAGGGCAGCAGCTTCCACCGCGTCATCCAGAGCTTCATGTGAGTGGGCCCGCTGTGGCAGTCGCCGTGCACGGCCGCGGGTGCGCATGGCTGGCGACGCACGACCTGGCACGAAGTGCACATGCAGCCCATCGCAGCGGCATGCAGGCCGGCTGCGGCAGCGCAAGGCGGGTGATAGTACGTCGCAGACTGCTGCGCCCTGCAGCGCACAGATGTCCCGGGACAGTCTGGGCGCAGTGCTGCCATCTCCGCTCTGCAGCCGGTGGACCTCAGGCTCTGCGTTGTCCGGCCATGCACTTTGCGCGCCACGCACGCTTCTCTCCCTTGCTCACCTGCGCCACACGATGCAGGATCCAGGGCGGTGACTTCACGTCGGGCGACGGCCGCGGCGGCAAGAGCATCTACGGCGAGAAGTTTGCCGACGAGAACTTCTCGCTCAAGCACGAGGGCCCGGGCACGCTGAGCATGGTGCGTGGCGATGCGCCTGCGGCTCAGCGCTCTTTGCTGATGGCCTCCTCTTCGCAGGCCAACGCGGGCAAGGACACCAACGGCAGCCAGTTCTTCATCTGCAGTTAGTGTGACGCACACGCAAGCAGCTGGCCTTGTCTGACGCGCTCCTCGCAGCTGTCAAGACCTCCTGGCTCGACGGCCGCCACGTCGGTGAGTGCCGCATGTCCGGCCATGCTCGCACAGTCTGCTCACGTCTCCGCAGTGTTCGGCCGCGTGCTGGAGGGCATGGATGTGGTGCAGTTCATCGAGAAGGTGCCCAAGGGCTCGGGCGACCGGCCGCGCGAGGCCGTCACCATCAAGAAGTCGGGCGAGCTGCCGGCGTCGGGCTCGGCGCCCAGTGCCGCGTCGGATGCCGCCGCGCCGGAGGCTGCTGCTCAGGTGAAGGACGAGCTCTGATCCCCTTCCTGGCTGCGCTCCTTCTTTCGCGTCCCTCGCGCGCATCATGCGTTGCGAAGGACGCCGAGAGCCGTGCTCGAGTCTTTGCAAGACGAGAGCCGCCTCGCTTCTGCCCTCCCTCTCCCTCTATCCTCTCCCCCTTCGCAATGAAAACACTGTTCTGAACTCTTTCCCTCTCGCAGGCCGTCGGTGCCGCCGTCTCCTCCGGCACGAGCGCGGTCGCCGTGGCCGTGCAGAGTGGCGCCGCCATCGCTGCTGCTGCTGCCTCCTCCGCCGCAAAGGCCGCCGCCACGTCTGCGGCCGCCGGCGGCCTCGGCTCGACGCTCTTCGTCGTGCTCGGCTCGTTTGCCGCATTCGCCGCCATCGCCTTTGCCGTGCACCGTCTCGGCGGCATCGACAACGTCCAGGCGCGCCTGCGCCTCCTCGTCGGCGCCGGCGCAAAGGGCTCGCGGAGAGGCGGCGACGGCCGCGGCGCGTACAGCAACCTGCCTCGCTAAGACTCCCTGGGCTCAGACACACACTCCCCTTTCACGCACATCCTAATGCATTCTGACGAGGGATGTGCAAAGTGCATGAGCGCGGCTGGCGAATGTGCAGCGGCGCCGCAGAGGGATCACAGAGAGCGCATGGGGACTGACAGGGAGAGGGAGACGGAGCTGCACGAGAGAATAGAGAGGGGAGGGGGTATCGCGCGTCACGGGCATTAAGAGTGAGGTCGTCGCGGCGGATTAGAGAAGGCGGGGGCTGGAGACCAGGGAGAGACGGCAGGCGCGATGGAGAAGAGAGAGGGAAGCAAGCGGGCACGGGTCTGCAGACGAAGAGGGACACCTTCGAGCCGAGACCCAGTGCAATGGGGAAGGGGAGCGACGACGAGCGCGCGACTCAGCGTGCCCACGACTGCACGCCGGGCTGCTTCTGCGCCATCGAGGCCTGGTGCGGCGGCATGTGGTGCATGTGTGCGCCGCCGGACATGCTCGCGCCGTGCTGCCACATGCCGCCGCCGGGCGCGCCCTGCTGCTGCGGATGTTGCTGCTGCTGCTGTGCGTGTTGCTGCTGCTGCTGTGCCTGCTGCTGCGCGTGCTGCTGCTGTGCGGCGTGCTGTTGTTGCTGGTGATGCTGCTGCTGTTGCTGTTGCTGGTGCGCATGGTGCGCCGCCTCGTTCGAGCCGTACAATTTCTGCTGCGCCAGCAGGCCTGCGCTGTGCGCGCTCGGGTTGCCGGCGCTGCTTGGTCTGCCGTCGAAGCCGTCGAAGGCCCATGCGGCGTTCTGCGGCGCCACGCCGCCGTCGTGGCCGTGCGCCATGTGCTGCTGCTGCTGTTGCGGGTGGTGCGGCTGCTGCTGTTGCTGCGGCGGCGGCGCGCCCATCAGGTCGTACGGCGACGGGCCGAAGTTGTAGTTGATGTTGGGCGGCAGGCCGTACGCGCCGCCGAGGTGCGGGCTCTGGCTGCTCTGGTGGTGGCCGCCGACGAGGCTCGGCATGCCCAGCTCGTCGTGGCCGCTGAGCGACGGCGCACTGCCATTGGCACTGCCGCCGCTGCCGCTGCCCTGCCTCGACATGTCGCCGGCACGCTTGCGCTTGCTGGCCGTCGGCAGGCGCGGCATCTGGTCGCCGCCCTTCTTGCGTGCCTCGCCCGCACTGAGCTCGTCGGCCGCGCCGCCCTCGTCCGACTCGAGACAGCGCCGGATCAGCTCCTTGCCCGCGTTCTCCTTGACCACCGGCGCCAGCTTGGGCGTGGTAAATGTGTACACCAGGCCCGTCTGCGAGACGACGAGCAGCAGCACCTGCGTGCCGGTCAATGTCGCGAGCTCGTACGCCTGCTTGCAGCGTCAGCAGGATGCATCGGAGGTGCGACGGCGCATCTCTGCCGCAGACACCGCGCGCCGCTCACCTTCTTCATGATGCCCGCCTTGCGCTTGCTGAACGTGATGTGCCGCCGGCTGTCGTCCTCGATGAACTCGATGCGGATCTTACGGCGGCCCGTAGCGTTGTCGCGCTCGCTCTTGCCGTCGGCGCCGTTGGCCGACGCGGCCGTGTTTGTGCGTGCCCGCTTGCGCTTGCTCTTGGCCGGCGCGTCGTCGTCCGAGTCGTCCTCCTCCTCCTCGCCCTCGACGTCATCCACACTCTCGCTCTTGCCGCTCTGCCGCTGCTGCTGCGCCGCACTGCTGCTCGCGCCGCCTCCGCCGCCGAGGAAGTCGTCGTCGTCGTACTCGTGCTCGTGCGAGTTGGCACTGCCCGTGCTGCCCATGACGAGCGCCGCGAGCTCTGGCGGCGCACGCACGAGCGTGCCGTACGGCACGCGGTGCACGGCGGCATTGGCGCCGTCGAGACTGCTGCCGCCCGACGAGGGGCGCGCGAGGAGGAGCGAGGGATCCATGGCGAGAGAAGAGGGAGATGGGAGACGGGATGCAGACGGAGTGGAGCAGCGAGCAGCAGGGAGAGACGATGCTCACTGCAGCGACGAGCGGGCGCGAGCTGGCCGAGACGCAGGGTCGCCAGCGGCGGACTGCACCAGACGGAGCCAGGCGCTGTTCTGGCCCGGATCGGCGTAGGGCACGATGCAGCGGCTAGCGGAGGAGCAGGGCTGCGAGAGCGGCGAGGCGGGCCAGGCGAGGTCGGGCCGCGAAAGGAGGTGAGAGGCGGAGCAGAGGTGAGGAGGGCTGCGTGCGCGCGCGAGAGAGAGAGAAGGTCAAGGCTAGAGGGCGACTAGCGAAGGATCGAGGGAAAGAGGAGAAGGATGAGAGGGCGCAGCAGGAGGCGAGAGGTAGGGCGAGGTGGTGTTGGGCTGCGGATCGCCGGCAGGCAGCGACTGACAGTGAGAGGCGTGGAGGGCGAGAGACAAGCAGCAGCAGCGGCGGCGGCGGCGGCTCAGCGATGATCAGCAGCGCAGCAGCAGGCAAGCGCCGGCTGGCTGGTCACTCGATGGACGCTGGGCATGCGTTGGCCGGCGGGAGCGAGAGCGAGCGAGTGCAACACCTCACTTCATGCGCCGCCTTCCTTCTGGCTGGCCTGCAGCCGCACCGCGCAGCGCAGCGGCCGGGCACGGCAGCGCACACCGCTGCGCTGGCCTGCCAGCTGTCGAGGCGTGCAGCGTGGCGCAGCGCAGCGCAGCGCAGGCGAGCGGTTGTCTGGTGCTGGTCGTGCGAGGTGCGGCGAGCGAGGTGTGCAAACACCACGCAGCAGCGCAGCCGAGCGGCGCTTGCTCCACAACGCACGCCGCATGCCGCGTCGAGCGCCGCGGCGGCGCGCACGTCTGACATGGCGCGTCGCTCGGACGCGTGCGCCTCGGCCGCGCAGGCACATCGCGGCTCCGCCTCGGCCGCCTTCCGTCGCCTGTTCCGCTGCGATGCGCACCTGCCTCGGCTCGCATCGCTCCAGCGCTCTCTTTCCGCCGCCGCGGGACGGCCGCTTGCCGCAGGCCGAGGCGGAAGCTGGGCAAGGTCATCATCCCACGTGCTGGCGGCTGCAGCATGCCCAAGGGCAGCGCTTGCTGCTGCGCGCCGCACGCAGCGGCCGCTCCCACGCTTCCTGCGCGTGCCGCTGCTGGGCCATGGCCGATGCCACGGCAGCGCCGAGCCGCCAGCCTCAGGTCAGGCGAGGGGCGCCAGCAGGGCCGATCGATGATGCTTCATGCTCTGCGGCTGGGCTGCTGGGTGTGTTCGCGAACAGCACATCCGCCCAGCCTCGGCCCGCCTCGGCGTCGATAGCCTCGGGCGGCGCTACTGCACGCCGACGCCGAGAGCGCTCGCCTCGCCCGCGCCGCATGCGCTCGTCGGCACGTCCGCCTCTGAGCAACGTCGCATCGTGAGCGCCCGCGGAGATCCTGCACGTCTTCATTCGTTGCGTGAGATCGACAGCTCCTAGCTGTTACAGCATGCAGGGTAAGCTCAGTAGCGCTCTGCCTAGGTGCTCGAGCATTCTAGACATGCTCCGCGCCCGACGTCAAAGCGACGGCGCCTCGGGAGTCAGAGTCGTCTCGCTAGACCCTGCCTGCCTGCTCCCGCGCAGCTCATGGGCGTTGTGCCGAGGCGGGTCGAGCGCCACGACGAGCGAGATGCGTGATTTGAAGCTGAGATTCAAGGAGCGCAGGAGCACGGGGGTGGGGATCGACGACTATGGGACAGGAGATGGGAATGAGAATGGGAATGAGAGAGGGAGAGACAGAGGCGCGCAACCTGCTGGCGTCGCGGCACCGTTGAGCGGAAGGCGTCAAGTGGAGGAAGAGTGATCGGCGGACTGCCCTGTCGGGCCCGTTCAAGAAGAGAGCGAGCGGCACAGCAGAGACCGAGCTGCACTCCGGCAGAACGCATCACCGCAGATGCACCTGCTCGTCGCGTTCGTCCATCGCACGCAAGGGTGCAGAGATAGAAGGAGAAATGGCCCGGAGAGAGGTATGTTTCGTTTCGAAGCGCGCGAGAAGCGCACGAGGCTGAGAGAGAAAGGCGCAGCTTGCGCCGGCTGCGCATCGCACTAGCCATCGAGGATGCACCGCCATCGATGGGACACGTGCGCGCAGAGCCGAAGTCTGATGCTCTTAGAAGAGCCAGATGCCGAGGAGCAGCGAGGCGAACATGAGCACGCCGACGACCTGCAGGCTGACGCCGTCGGCGGCCTGCTGCACCTGCTGGGCGCCCTTGCGGCCCGCCGCGTCGAGCTGGCTCTGCAGGCGCTTGATCTCGGCCTGCAGGTCTGCCGAGCTCTTCTCGCCGCCCACGGCCCGCGAGCCGGCGTTCTTCGTCGCCGCGAGCGCTGCGCCGCCGGCCGCGACAGTGGCGCCGCCGGCCGCGACGGCTGCGTTGCGCGTAGAGGCCAGCACGCCGCCGTCCGTGTTGGCGACGGCGTTTTGTGCGGCGGCAATGGGGTTCAGCGTCTGGCCGTTCTGCGCCGGCGAGGAGAAGCTGCCGTCGTCGTTGTTCGGCGATGTGCCGTTGGCGCGCGACGGCGTGCCGCGGACCGTCGAGTACTTCTGCAGAACGAGAGGGCACGGGTCAGCGCAACGGGCATCACAACGCAGCGCTGCTACGCACGTCGTCGCCGCCGTTGGTCATGCTCGAGCCGACCTCCTCGCCCTCCTCGGGCACCGGCGCGCTGGCCGCGGGCAGGAAGGCGCAGCGGATCTTCTGCTCGTGGATCTCGTTCTTGTTCTCCTTCTCCACGATGCCCCACAGGTCGTTGAGCGACGTCGTCTCGCGCTCGGGCGTGATGATCGTCGACTGCACGAGGAACTTGTCGCGGCACTTGGCGGCCGTCGGCGGCTCCTCCTTCATCGGCTGCAGCAGGACTGCAAAAGAGCTGTCAGCGCCGCGAGATAGAGCGCATGCCGCACAAACGGTGCCGTGATGCGCCTGCCCAAGCGCGCGACGAGCGAACGCTCTCCCCCGCACGGCTGCACCCTCCTCTCAAGGGCGCCCCTCTCATCAAATGACCAGCTGCAGCACTCACCCTGCACCTCCACCTTCTCTCCCGGCTCAATGCGGCCGGAGTTGGGGCGCACGCAGTACTGCTTCGGCGCCGTCGTCTTGACCTTGAAGGCCACGGGCTGCGAGTTGGGGTTCGAGACCTGCAGCGAGCGCTTCACGAGCTGCGTCAGGGGTCCTGCACGCAAGGGATGAGGTCAGTGGCTGTTGCTGCTCGCAGCTCCACCTCGCAGCAAGGACAGCAGAAACCGCAAAAGAGGCGTTGCGCCTCTCTGCTGCCCGTCACAGCTGTGCAACAGCACTGCACATGCGCGCAAGAGCGCTAGCCTCGATGGGGGCACTTCGTTGCGAGGCCGATCGCGCTCAGGCGCGCGGCAGAGCGCCAGGCCGTGCAGCCATTGTGATCTTCCTCCAAGCTCGGCGGTCGCGCGCCTGCGCAGCGCTGCCGCACAAGGCGCCAGCATCGCACGGAAAGCAACGATCGAGCTTCGCAGCTCCCAAACGGCGGCATCGCAAAGAGCTCGCAAGGCTCGCGAGTCGGCACGCTCCGTGCGCGCTCCATCATGGGCTGCAGCTTGGTTCTTCGCGCCACCTTGCGCGCGCTCCTGTCGAGCCTCCACGTTCCGCCGCGCAGGGCCGCGCAGCACTGGAACAGAGCGCCTCGCCAGAGAGCTATGCCCTGCAGCACAGCCAAAGCGCTGCAAAGCACCTCGCGGCTGCTCTGAGGGGCTCGCTGGCTGCGGCGATCGCTCCCTGGCTCGCTCGCTGCGAGCCAGGCTCTTGCGCAGCGCGTGAGGCATCTGCATCTGCACCGCGCCTGCGCCTCGCATCCACAGCCCATCGTTCCGTCCTTTTGCGTGACACCGGCACATCCGTGCGCATCGAGTTGCACAGAGCACGACTACTTACTCGGGAAGCCGAGCTGGACGTGCGGGTTGAGGCTGTGGCGGCAAGTGTGAGCGAGGCACGAAAGCTGGATAGGCCGCGGCGCAGGAGCGATCGCAGAGCGGCCGGCGCGTCGCTGCCATGAGTCCAGAGACAAAGCACCACAGCTTGGAGCCGTCTGCTCCCCCACCGCACAGCATGCTCAGCGAGCCAGTGTACTACTCACTCGACGGACATGACGGGCGAAGTGTCGTGGGACGGAAGGTCGGGCCAGGCTAGGGGTGCGTCAGGGGACTGCGCAGCAAAGAACAGAACGGAGGTGCGAAGATCGGCTTGTGCTGCGAAGAGCTGGAGGGTCGGCAGAGGTGGATGTGGGATGAGCTCGTGCTGGGAAGACGGGCTGCGATGGAGGAGGAGCGACAGGCCTCGCCGCGCGGCGGCGGCGACGACGACGGCGTGCGACTGGCCGCTCTGTGCTGCCGCTGCGCCCTCGCCGCACCCGCTGCCACGCCGCAGACGAGAGGCGGCACAGCGCGGGCAGGCGGCCCGCGCCCGTCCTGCCGCGCGCGCTGCCGTGCGTCACTCACGCTCTAACGGCGGGTCGCCGGCCCTGGGCGGACACAGGCGAGATGCCTCTTTGCTGTGCTCACGCAATGTGATGCGGGGGACCGAAGAAGGCGCACGGCCGGCACACTGCTCTCCTGCCTCTCTCGCACCACATCGCACGAGCCCGAGCCGAGGCCACCGCTTGCCTTGTCCCGGCACCGCGACCGCATGCCGGGTGCGGCACCAGACGAGCATCCCGCCCGGCGGCTGCGGCATCCCGCCTTCGCCTTGTGGAGCAAGCGAAGGCGGCTCGAGCGCGCACAGAACCGTCAAGCCTCAAGCTTGCGGCCGAGACTTGGACTTGGAGGCCAAGCTTGGCACGCTCGACAGGCGCTGCGACGTCGACGTGAGGCAGCGGCAGGAGTGAGGATGCATGCCGTGCAGCAGAGCGAGGCGCATGCGCTTCACCGGAGGCCGAGCTGGCGCGGCCTGGGCCGAGCATGTGAGGCTGCGAGGCGTGTGGAGCGATCGTTCCTGCGCCCGGGTGACGAGCGGCCGACAAGAACAAACGCGAAAGCAAGCGGGACAGCCGCCGCCGCTGCCGGAGGTCTCGTGCTGCGCTCTTTGTTTTGCAGGCTCCGCCAGAGTCGACTGCTCAGAAGTGTCATGCTCGGGCTCACAAACTTGGCGCAGGGCGCTCCTCCGACGGTGAGACACGCTCGCGGACGGAGTGCGCTGCGCCGCGGCACGCTAGAAGAAGCAGCAGGCGCGGCAGCGCGCGCGTGCGTGAATGCCATGCCGCCTTCTCCACACCACCGGCCGGATCGCTACTTACAGCTAGCTGGGAGTCAGTGACACTTTCATTTTGGGGACGACGGGAAGAGCGCGCGGCGGTGCTGGAGGGTGCGTGGGAGATGGGAGGTGGGGAGGGGGCGAGCGAGCAGACGGACACGGGAACGCGAGGAATCAAGGGTGTATGGGGAGGGGAGAGGGTGCGGACACTTGAGCCAGAGCGCAACACAACGCACGAAGGAGAGCTGCTGATGGAGGGCAAGACGCAGAGAGAGGGACCAGGACGTGACGCATGATCTTGAGGAGAGAGAAAGCGGCAATGCAGAGGCAGAGAGTGTGGGAGGACAGAAGACGAGAAGAATGCAGGTGCGCGGACGAATCGGCCACAATCACTTGCCCTCGCTGCTCTCCCGCACCTCGACGTTGGCGCCGCTCTCCGACGGCGTCGACGTCGCGTGCGCCTGCGGGCTCTCGACGATCTCCGGCTGATGTTGGATGGCCGGACGCTCGGCCTCGCCGGCCTCGGCGCGCGCCTCGCCCTCCGCTGCGCCGGCCGCCTCGAGCTCCTCGACGCGCGCGCTCGGCTCGCTGTCGCCCGACTCGTCGTCTTGGTCGACGACGTGTGCCTGGCGCAAAGGAGTCAGCGAGAGCTGTGCGCGCTACGGGCGCACAGTGCTCACCTCGTAGATCACATCGCCGTCCTCGTCCGTCTGCGATCCGGGCCGGAAGACAATGCCCGCGCCGCCGAGACTGCGAAGAGATGCGTCAGCTAGACAATACGCTCATGTTGTGGCGGGCTACTCACGCGCCTGCGAGGCCGCCTGGCAATCTCAGTGCACCGGCGCGCTCGTCGTCTTCCTCGCCCTGTGCCATGCCGCCGGCGAGGGCAGATAGCACCGAGCCGCCGCCGAGGGCACCGAGACGGCCGAGCGACAGGCCGCCGGGACCAGCACCGGCACCAGCGCTGCCGGCCGCCGCCTGCTTGAACACGGGCGCAATGTCCTCGGGCGTCTCCCAGCCGACCTTGTTGTCGACGCGCTCCTTGACCCACGCGTACCACTCCTCCTTTGTGCGCCCGCCCAGCAGCGCCACCACGCACACGGTCATCTGCGCAGCGCGTGTCAGCAGGCAACAAAACAGCGGCAGCAATGCAGCACTGCTCACGTTGTCGCAGCCCACGCCACCAATCTCCGAGTCGGGCGCCAGGCAGCGGTCCATGAGCTCCTCGCAGATCTCCTGCATCGCCTTGCCCATGGCCACGCGGCGCCGCACAAAGTCCGTCACCTGTTGGTTGCTCAGGCAGTCCCAGATGCCGTCGCACGCCAGCACGAGGAACTCCTCCTCGCCGTCGACGTCGTGCGAGATGATCTCCGGGTCGGCCGTGACGATCTGCGCCTCGGGCGAGAGGCTGTAGTTCTGCTTGAACTCAAAGTCGCCAATGGCGCGCGAGAGCGCCAGGTTGCCGTTGACACGGCCAAACTCGACGAAGCCGCCGGCGGAGACGATGCGCGCGTTCTCGCCTGCGCAGCGTCTGGGTGATGAGCACAGCTACGCGCGCAGACGGGCACGCCAGACTCACCCTTGTTCCCAGGCTTGTGGTCGTAGCTCATCGGCTTGGCCTCGCCGCGCACGCTCAGCACACTCCGCGAGTCGCCGGCGTTGGCGACGATGATGCGCCGCGCGACCTTCTGCTTCGCGCCGTCGGCGCCCTCGGCGGGCGGGCCGGCGACGAGCAGGGCGGCCACAGCCGTGCAGCCCGAGGGGTCGTTGGCAAACTCTGCGTCTGCGCCACGAGCATGATGAGCCGTCATCCGCGAACAGCTGCGGCTTCAGCGCGCGCGCAACTCACTCGCGCGCAGGTCCTCGTCCGTGCCGAGGAAGGCACGCTTCAGCGCCGCCTCGTACTCGCCGCGCCGGTACTCTTCCGTGGCCGCGAGGCGCGTGTGCACCGTCTCGCCGCTGAACTTGGCCACGTTGGAGCCGCCGTGGCCGTCGTACACGGCGAAGAAGCTCGCCTTCTCGTCGCCAGTCTTGGCTGCGTCGAGCGAGAGAATGGTTGCGTGCGCATCCTCCATGCCTGCGCGCGCGAGCAGCTCAGCACTGCCTCATCTGTGCGGAGCTGCGAAAGACGTACTGATGCGCCATCCCTGCATCTCCGAGACACCGTACACGAGTGTGTCATCTTCGCCAGCCGAAGTGTGCTGCAGAGTGGAGCAAGGGTCAGCATACAGGCGGTCGGTACAGGCATTTTGCCGGCAGCGCTCGGCAGCACAGCCCGTCCCAACCTCCGCGCGCGCAGTCCTCTCGCAACATCATGTGCACGAGGAGTCACAGTGTGTGCCACGAACACCACCTGTGCCCCGCTGCACTTCACCTGCCTCGGCGATAGAGTGCCCGGAGGCAGGCCCAGATGCACCCTGAGGTGTGCGCATGCCCGCAGGCTCGGTGCCGAACGACTGAGCATGCATGCGACGGCGCCCGCTGCGCAGCAATGCAGCCTTTGCTCTTGACAGTGCGCCGCAGCGTCAGCTGACGGGACTGTCCACCACGCTCCCTTCGCAGCTCGACAGCTTCCACCTTATCGTCCTCCATCCCCGGGCTTCAAGCGCGCGCGCGCGCCACGCAGCATCCTGCACCTGCCCACGGTCTACAGCCCAGACGACAGCCGACCAGCGAGCGAGCAGCGGCGACATGCGCACCTTGTCGATGACGGGCTCGCTGAGAGTCTGACCCATGATGAGTCAGGTGCGCGGCGCGAGGCGGCGAGAAAAGAGGGAGCGGAAGTCGGGCGCTGGCGCTGTCTCTCGAGAGGACAAGGCAGGCGGTCTAGCAAGATAGCCAAGAAGCGAGGTCGGGAGATAGAAGCAAGTCGAGGCGAGCTTGAGCTTGGATGGGTGCACGAAGGGTATGAGAGTGCGACGTGCAAGACGGACGGACGAGTGCGCGCGCAAGCGGAGAACGGCCGGCGTGGAGGAGCGGAGAGGCTAGAGACGCAAGACGCAAGGAAGTGCAGTCAGACGAGGGCCGCAGGAGCAGGTGGCAGCGGCGAGGGTGGAGGAGGAGAAGGACGGGCGATGCTCGGCCAGCAGACGTTGAGTGTGCCGCCCGGCGGCCGCGTGCGTGCGTGGCGCTGCCTCTGCTGCGCTGCTGCGTCTGCCCGGCGAGGCTGTCTGCCTGCGCCTGCCTGCCGCTCGCCGACGGGCCGCGCGGCGTGGCGCAGCGGAGGCGAAGGCGGTGACGCGCGCCCTCGCCGCGCGCAAAGGCGGCCGCTCTGCCTCTGCATGCAGACGCAGCAACAGCCTGCCCGCTGATACAGCTCGCTCTGCATGCGCAGGAAGCAGCGCATCAAGCATGTCGCTCAGCAGCAGCATCTCCGGCAGACAGACGCAGGGCCCAGACCGGCCGCGCCGGCGCGGGGCTGCGCGGCGGCCGGAGAGATCGTCCTCGCCGCGCGCCGTGGTCACGCGCCTCCGCGCCACGCTCAGCACCGAGCTCGCCATGGCGGGGCCATGCTCAGACGCAGCAACAGATGCAGGCCTGAGATGATCTGCAGGGACGATGCTGCCGATCACCCGCCTGGCCCATGCTGGCTGCGAGGTGGAGCGATTGGCGACGAAAAGGGCGCTGCGTCACGTGACTGAGCCGGGCTGGCTTTGTGCGGCCGAAAGCGTGGACAGCGCGTCTGGCAGAGAGAGCGGCGCTCCGCCGTCACGCCGAGCTTCGCACGCCTGGCGGGCCGGACAGGGCAGCGCCGGGCTGCTGCACACCACCACCCCTTTCCCTGCGTCTCCTCTCATCATGGTGAGCGCATCGCGGCACCTGCTGCGCACCACACTGCCGCAGCACTGCTGACGCTGCCGCTCCTGCTTGCCCCGCAGCGTCCGCTCCTTCTCTCGGGCCACGAGCGTGCGCTCAACCAGATCAAGTTCAACCGCGAGGGCGACCTGCTCTTCTCCTGCAGCAAGGACAACGTCGTCAATGTGTGGTACTCGCACAACGGCGAGCGCCTCGGCACGTACGAGGGCAACAACGGCAGTGTCTGGAGCATCGACCCGGACCGTGAGTGGGCGGCAGGCGGGGGTGGGGCAGACGGCAGCGTTGCGCGAGAGTGGCGTGCATAGCAGAGCGGCAGAGCAGCGGAGTGGCGCAGAGGGCACGGAGTGTGCGCTGGCGAAGCTGTCGATGAGCGCTGTTGGGCAGCTGGAGGGGTGCAGCCTGAGCAGGGAGTGACAGGCGCAAGTGAAAGGTGCAGTACTGCGGCTCGCTCGTCCAGCTGCGCATACAGGCGCGCGCGCTCCGAGACGCAGGCGAGGTAGCACACAGCGGCGCCCGTGCTCAATTCTCGTCGTTCTGGAGAGGAGCTGGCAAGGCACACAGAGAGAGATGCGCGTTGGCACGCAGGGCAACAGCGCGCGCGAGGATAGTAGAGGTGGCGTGCGAGAGGGCGGGCTGTCGCGACGCTGCACTTCCGCATCCCACAGCGGCTGACGCCAGTGCGCACAGACACGTCGTCGCTGCTCATCACGGGCTCCGCGGCGAACCAGATGAAGCTGTACGAGGTGGCGTCGGGCAAGTGCATCTTCACGTGGGAGTTCGACACGGCCGTCAAGCGCGTCGCCTTCTCCGAGGACGGCACGCAGGTGCTGGCCATCACCGAGCAGCGCATGGGCTTCCGCGGCACGCTGCAGGTCTTCCGCATCAACCGCGACCCGGCGTCGTGGACGACGCAGAGCCGCGAGCCGCTGCGCGTCATTACCTTCTCGGGCCCCAAGGCCACTGTCGCTGCCTGGGCACCGGCGGACCAGTACATCGTCACGGGCCACGACAACGGCAAGGTGGCGCTCTACTACCACGACGAGAAGGAGCCGGAGAGCGGTGTCGACGCTGAGCTGGAGGAGAACAGCGTCATGGCCCACCCCGACCACATTGTCACGGACCTGCAGATGAGCGCAGACAAGACGTACTGCATCACCAGCTCGAAGGACAAGACGAGCAAGGTGAGTGCTGCATGGCTGCGCGCGCGGGGTCTGGGCTGCAGGGTTTCGTGCGGGAAGGGCTGTGACCGCCCTTTGCGTGCGCGCAGCAGCGGATGGTGCTCTCTGGGCCACGCCGAGCGCATCCGCGCGGCTGCGGGACAGCCGTCGGCTTGCGTCTGGACGAGCCTATGCTGCTCTTGGGCGCCGCACATTGCCAGCCCTGTGCTCTCATCTTTACTGACACATCCGCACGCGCAGCTCATCGACACAAAATCGCTCTCGATTCTCAAGACGTACACCACCGCCACGCCTCTGAACAGCGCCGCCATCCACCCGACGCGGCCATACGTCATCATTGGCGGCGGCCAGGATGCCATGAACGTCACGACGACGTCGGCACGGCAGGGCCGCTTCGAGGCGCGCTTCTGGCACAAGGTGTTCGAGGAGGAGTGCTGTGCGTCTTGCTGCGCCGCTTTGCTGTCAGTCGTGCCGTTGCTGACCCGCTCCTGCGCGCAGCGACGATCGGACAACATTTCGGCCCCATCCACTCCATCATTGTGCACCCCAGCGGCAAGTGCTTTGCCAGCGGCGGCGAGGACGGCTACGGTGAGTGACGCGCGCAGCCGGTCGGCGCGGCCTTGGACCTGACGCCCTTCTGCAGTCCGCGTCAACTGGTTTGACCAGAGCTTCTTCAACGTCAAGCCGTACGGCCCGCAACTGGAGCTTGCCGCGGAGGACATCTGAGGGGTGGCTGGTTGCTGATGCTCAATGTACATGGCGTCTCTGATTGGGGTGTCGTTCCCACACAGGCCCGTCAACCGAAGTTTGCCGAAACCTTGCAAGAACCGCCCAGGTTCGTGGGTTTATGCACAAACTGTAGGTCTTCACTACGAGCCAGCGGCGGCACGCGTGCCTCGCCCCGTGTGGGGTGCAGGCGCCGCTATGCTCTCCGACTCTGCTCTGCGCAGCCTCCAGGCCCCTGTGTTGTACGCCAGCTCGTGCATGCCCGCAGCTCGGATGTTGAGCGCGCCCAGCACGTCTCGCGCAAAGACGCGGTCGCAGCAGGGGCAGTACTTGACGTCGCGCAGGCTAAGGAGGAGTCAGCACAGCACTTGATGCAAGGATGCCAGTGGCGACTCACGGAGTGTTGCCATAGCACTTGCGCAGCGCCGCCACCCGCTGAGACGTGCCCTGCGGATTAGCCTTGCCGTCAACGCGCGCGCCGTCCTTTGAGAGGCAGCCGGCCGGGCACACCGACGATGTGAGGTACTCGTCCTGCAGGCGCCACACGATGGGGAGGCCGTGGATCTCGGTGAGCGCCGTGCACCGCCGCAGAATCTCGCTGCTGCACTGCGCCGGGAGTCCGACGCGCCTGACGGACCTGCAGGATGGTCAGCGGCAGCAGGCAACACCGCGCGCGCTAGACTCACTGCCAGTTGCCAATGTTGACCACCACCAGCGCGCCGTCCCTGCTCCATCCCTGATGGCGTTCCGCCATCACTCCGCCCTCGCGCATCAGCAGCCACTCGAGAATGGCCATGACGGCAAGGTTGCGCTGCCGCACCTGCACCACCATCCGCAGGTCGCGCAGTGCGCTGACATCGGGCCGCTGGTTGAACGCCGCCTTGTGTCGCTCGCGCGTGCCGGGATCCGCCGTGTCGGGCAGCTCGTGCTCTGCCTCGAGCATCTGGATCTTGGCGCTGATCCGGTTGGCTTCTTCGTCGAGCGTGCCCTTGGTGAGTGCGATGGCTTGGATGCGCCCGTACTCCTCCGTGTCCGCCTGAGTTGCACGGAAGAGCGGGTCGCGCGTCGTGCGGCCGTTCTTGCTCGGGTCGAGCGCCGGCAGCCCGGCGTCCTGGCGCTCTGCGTCTGTGATGGGCTTGCGGCCGTCCGGGTGCGTCTGCTGACCGGGCAGCGTGTACAGCGTGCCCTCCTTGAGGTCAAAGACGCGCGCCGCCGTGATCACGTTGTTGATCCCGGGGTCCATGCCCACGTAGTGCACTGGGCGTCCGGCGGCCGTGGCCTCGGCGCTCTTCATCGACCATTGCGCAATGTTCACGCGCAGCGAGAGCGTGGCGTCGGGCGGCATTGGCCTGCTCGCACGCTGCAAGACGCCTCGATACGTCCGCGCTCGCGAGTGCGCGATCGCAACGTGGGTGTCCGACTCGGCCAGTCCTGCCGCCGTCGAGTTCCGTCGCGCCCACGAGACCGCCGACGAGCCGTGCTTCAGCATGCGTGATGCTGTGGCACTCTACGGGCGGGAGGTCACACTGCTCAGCCAGATGCGTGCGGTGGCACTGCTTTCGCTCGATGGGCAGCTGAATCTGGCCACATTCCGGGCGTACACGTCTCAGCAGAGTATAGATGGTAACGATGGAGAGAGAGAGACAAGAGTACAGCAAGAGAGAGAGCGAGAAAGTGGAAGTAGGGGGCACAGGAACTAGAGGTGGTCGTCGGGTCGGCGCGAGATGCCCTGCAGCGCCGCGGTGCTGCCGGCGTCGGACATCTCGTACTCCTCCTCGCCCGACTTCATGCGCGCGATGCTCGGGCGGCGCGCGCTGGAGTTGGAGGCATGCGACGAGCCGCTGCCGCGGTTGCCCGCCAGGCCCGTGACGCCCGCCGCGGCGTCCTCCTCGTCCTTCATGCGCCGCTTCCAGTCGTTGGCCACGGCACGCGCCTCCCAGTACCCCTTGGAGCCCGTGTCCCAGTCGGCTGTGGGCGCCGCGAGCCCGTTGCCTTGGTCGTCGGCGGGACCAATGACCTCTTCGGGCAGGCGGCCATTGAGGATGAGCAGCTCGCGCTGCGCCGCACGCTCCTTGGCCGAGACGTTTGGCGCCGTGAGGAACGGGTCGTCCGCCTCCTTTTCGCCGGGCCGACCTCCAGCGAGGGCGTTCCTGCGGGCGCGTCGCCGCTTGTAGAAGAGCACGACGGCGGCCATGACGAAGAGGATGGCCACGAGGCCGCACACGACGCCGATGGCAATGCGTGCGCCCGAGCTGAGGCCGCGGCCAGCAGCCTCGTCGGTGTTGTTGAGGCCGACGCCGGCCTCGATCTTCGAGTCGTCGCCGAGGCTGCGGCCCAGCACGCGCACCTGGTGGAACTGGTCGCGCGCCGCCGCGCGCGACGTGTCGTTCTCGTACGGCGAGAAGACGCCGATCTGTGGCCGGTCGCACGGCGTCGTGGCGACGCCCGGCGGCGGATTCTCCAGGATGGAGTCGCAGCTGTAGGCTGTCGGCACGCTGCGCATGAACGGCGCGCCAAGCACCAGGTCGGCCGGCGGATTGTCCGAGAGCAGCGGCTGAAAGCTGGCGAAGCAGCCGCTGGAGCTGGCGCCGGGGCCCTGCCCGCCGCGCAGGTTGTTGTCCAGCGGGTGCGTCCAGAGCGAGCGGCCATTGATCACAAGCGTGATCTGAATGAGCAGATCGCAGGGCACGTAGTAGCCGCGGCTGCCATCGTTCGACGGACCGATGCCATAGGCGCCGTAGAGCGCGTTGAGAATCGCGGGCGTGGCGTAGTTGAACGACGCGCCCGTGTCCCAGATGGCCTTAGGAAATGCGCCGCTCAGCGCCGGCGTGGTGATGGGCACGTCGGTGCCGTTGACAGTGACGAGCAGCTGCGTCAGCAGACTCGTCCACTTGCGCGTCACGCCGTCGCCGTCTGCGGTCGCGGCCTGCCACGAGAACTGCGCCGGCGTCGACATGTACGCCTGGTCCACGCCGCCAAACGTCAGCGACGACTCGCCGTTGCCGCCGTCGGACGGCAGTCGTTGCAAGCCGATGCTGAAGTATCTTTGCGGGAGCGTCAGCGCCAGTGCTGTCTGCCGCAAGGCATGCCGCTCACCGTGATCCGGCGATCGTGTTGTTCCACAGCCCCGGCAAGATGTTGCCCGTCATGCTCGGGTCCGTCTGGCTGTTGTTGCGGTTCGACGGACCCGCGCCCTCCAGCGTCTCCTGGATCAGACTGTTGGCGGGCAACGCCAGGCCGAGGACGCCGCTGACGCCCATCGACGCCAGCTGCTGCGACTGCACGTCGCTCGCAGCCGCAAAGGCCTGGTGCGAGACACTCGCGCCGCCAAAGTTGGTGTTGGTCGTGAGGATGGGGCCAGCGGCGCTGCCTGCCAGGTAGGTGATGGAGAGATCGCGGTTCTGCGGATGCGCGTGAGCAGGCAGCGGGCGAGGCCAGGCCAGCAGCACGCACCGTGCGCTGCGCTGTGCTGGTTCCAGCATTGTAGCGTGGCACATTGCCAGTCTTTGGCCGGCAGCTGGCGGTGTTGCACGCCGTCGAGGCGACCCACTGCGCAGGCGTGTCAGTCGTCATAAGCAACGAGATGCCACCTCATCGGCCTGGCGCTGCACGCATCCACCTCCTTCAGCGCGCGCTCCAGACCTCGCGTCGGGCCTTGCTCGCAGGCTGTCGGAGAGCGTCGCGAGTTGCCAGCCCATCCTGGCACCCTGCGCTCATCTGGCATCTACGCACCAAGTCACTGCTGCCCGTGTCGAGCTGCACATAGAAGCTCTGGTCGCCGAGCACGATGGGCGCGGCATACTGCAGCTGGCCGTTGGCGAAGCCGGGGCGCAGCACGATGCGTGCGCCGCGGGCGATGGTGCGGCGCTCGAGCGCCGGTGCCGACGAGGGGCCGGGCTCGCTGCGCAGCGCGACGTCGGCGCGGCGGCGCGGCATGGCGGGCGGGGCGACGCGACGAGGTGCGCGGAATCGGCAAGGTGAGAGCGCAGCAGAAGTGTGGCAGGCAAGTGCGAGCACGCGGTATGAGCAGGCGAAGGTGCAGGCGAAGGAGGTATAGGGTGAGGAGAGGCAAGGCCGGCAGGCGGGGCTGTGAGAGCAGCGCGGTGGCGGCGCGGCGAGAGGCGGCGCCGCGGCGGCTGTCCGATGCAGCACGGCAGCGCAGGCGCATGTCAGAGGCGGGTGCAGCGCGCCGCGGGCACTGCGCCAGTGTGCCGCGCACCATGCAGGTGCATGGCGCGGGGAGCGAGGCGCCGCGAGGCACGCTCGGCACCGGCGCGCTCGCGGCGTGCGTGATGGCGCTGCGCCTCGCGCCCGCCAAAGACAGCCGCAGATGCCGTGCGCCGCCGCTCTTGGCTCTCAGGAGCGTCGCCGCGCGTGCCTTTGATGGCCTGACGAGGGGCAAATTTTGAAGTCGCCTCGCCTTGTTCTCACGCGCGATGGGCCAGATGCCGACGCAGGGCATCTCGCAGAGCAGCATCTCATCACATGCGCAGAGGGGACGGACGAGCATCAATTCGATCGAGGTGCGTCTAGGCTACGCGCGCTCGAGAGACGGCGACGGAGCGGGTTGGGGGGATGCTGGGCGCTCAGCGCCGGGCACCGTCGAGATCGCGACGCAAGAGCCCTCTCCAGCATCGCATCGGCACCTCAACGCTCGCAGGCATGAAGGCCTGCGATGGCCTACTCATCGCAGCGTGGAGTCAGAGGTGGCGCGAGGCAGGTGAGAGGTGAGCGGCCGAGCCCGCAGTCGCGAGTGCCGGCAGCCGCTGCGCCGGAGGGCCGCGGCTCAGCGATGCCGGCGGCAGCAAGACGAGGCGGTGGGGTCGTGAGCGGCCGCAGCAGGCAGCCGACATCGATGAGCTGCTCAGGCCTAGCAAGCAGAAAGAGGGCTCCGAGTAGAGCAGCTGACCTCAGGGCGTCGTCGAGCGGGGAAGGCGGCAGTAACCTCTAGCTGTTCGCGCGGCGCAGCGCGGCGCAGCGGTGGCAGACAGGGGCGCAGGCGCGGCCCAAGGCGTGGGAACGGCACCGGGTGAGACACGGCCATGCGGTCCCGCGCGAGAGGGCGGCTTAGCGCCTGGGCTCGGTGCCCGATCGATTCGAGTTGTCTGCTCCTCGAGTGCATGACGGTGGCTCTGTTCCTAGTAAGAGTCGTCTCAGAGCTCGCCGCCGCCAGCTTCAGCTTTCAGCGTCAAGAGCGGGGCGAGGGACCTCTGATGCCCTCTTGAGTTGCCTAGACCCTGCCCCCTGCAGGCGGAGCGTCTCTTGATCCGCGAAATTTAGAGCGCGGTGCCGCGTCGAGCGGCGCCCGCGGGCTCTTTCTTCCGCTGCGCGCTGCGGCATGCGGCTGCGCCCGCACCGCCTGCCGACTTCGCTGCGGTGCCGGAGCCTTCCGAGGGCGGATGCCCGCTGCGAGCAAGTCGAATGCGAAGGGGCTGCCTCGCTTGCGCATCTTTGCTGGCGAAGCGCAAAGATGAAGGCTGCGGCGCCTCGCCAGCTTGAGCCGAAGCTTGCCCTCGTCTGGCCCCACCGGCGCGCTTGCGCTGCTGCATCGCTCACGCTCATGCTGCGCCCGCGGGTGCGAGGCCGTGCGGCGCCGCCCTCGACGTGCGCTGCCTTGCCATCATGCGGTTGGCCCGCCGGCGCCGCGTCCTCCCACGCCTCGCTTGGCCTTGGCCGGAGCGGCACCGGCAGACGACGCACCGCAAGCCGAGCCGAGGCAGCGGCGGTGCAGCACGCGCGGTGTGCGGTGCGGCTGCGAGGTGCGAGGTGCGCCTGCGATGCCGCCTGCTGCGCCAACTCTGCATCGTGCTGCAGCTCCTCTTCCGCTTCTGCATCCGCCTCCCAGCAGCTGCGCCGCAGCAAGCCGCACTCGCACCTTCCGGCTCGCAGCCGGCTGCAACCGACGGCATCGGGGCCCTTGCCTGGCCGTTGCGCTGGCGTCTCTGCGCTCCTCGCATTCCCGCACTAGTCGCAGCCGCAGTCAGAGTCGCGTGCTCGCAAGCACCGGCGCCGCGTCGTCTCGACCTTCTCGCTGCACACTCACCTTCTCGACGACCATCGCTCTCGGCCCTCTCCGAGCTCTCTCTCGCACCGCACCGCATCTCGTCACGCTCCGCTAGAGCACCCGCGCTTGGGCTTCAGCTCTTCTCTCTGAGCCTGACTGCTCAACCTTCAGGTGAGTGCTGTGCGCGCGTGTGGCTGGCGAGCAGAAGAGTGGCGCGGGAAAGGGAGATGGGAGAAGGTGGGATGCAGCGAGAGTGCAAGGCGCAGCGGCAAGGCAGAGGTCGTGACAGGAAGAACGCTCCTTTGACCACCCGCCGGCGGCCCGGGCGGCAACGAGGCGTGAAGCACGACAAAGGAGCAGCGGGCGGGCGAGCTTCTGCCAGGTCGCTGCGCAGAGGAGCTGCTGGACGGCTGTGGCTGCGCATCGGCCAGTCATGCTCTCACGAGTCGGCAGCTCTGCTTGCCGGTGGTCAGTGCACGATGAGGCAGCGAAGGGCCGCGGCGAGGCATCGGCTCGTGGACGCGCGCGAGGCGCGAGCGGCGAGCGCCTGACGCTTGGGCCTCGTGTCGGCTTCGCGTCGTCCCGTCGAGGCGCGGCGATGGTGTCTCGTCCTCATCCAGCAGCGTCACTGCGGCGGCAGTCGTGGCGCCCAGACTGCGATCCTGCTGCCGCCTCGCGTCCAGGAAAGAGGGCCGAGCGCAGCCAGCATCATCATTGGCTTCCTGCCCGCCTGCGGTGGCTGCGCTCGTGCCTGGCTCTGGACTTCGTCCTTGTCCATCGCGCAGCACAGCGCTGATGCCGCCTCGACGTCATGTCGTGTGCGCAGACACGCAGTCTTGCGCAAGGCGTCAGATCGCAGCGAGCCTCGGGCGTGCGCATCGCTTGACCTCGGCTTTCGCTGCGTACTCGCGCGTCTGTCCAGTCAGCAAGCAGCTGGAGGCTCGTGCGCCGCCGCTGGCATTCCTCTAAAGGTGCGTCGCTGCGATCGGCAGACGCTGCTTCCGTCCTCCGTCTTGCCTCTCGTCGTCCGAGTCGCAGCTCCGAGTCCGCGCCCTGCTTGCTCTCTATCTGCGCCCTCCAGCGCGCGACCGCAGCTGACGCCTGCTTCTCCTCACCACCACTTCTCACTCCTCGTGTCTCGTTCGTTCTCCTCTCCGTCCGCCGCCATGTCGCTGCAGTGAGTCCTGCGCCCGGGTGTTCGCACAGGATCAAGATGGGCAGTCGCGCGGCATGATGGGGGACGAGGAACAAATGGCCAATGTGGCGGGCACGGCCAAAGATAGCCCGCGTGCGACACGCTGCGCGCGTGCTGCGTGCCACTTGAGATCTACTTTGAGATCTGTCAGGGGTGCGACCCGCGAGTCGCAGTGCATCCTTGCCTCGCGGGGCGTGGGGCGGCATCGGCATGATGCGGTCACGTCCGGGCATGCAGCTCTGGGGCAGAGTGACAGGCGAGGTGCACCGAGGTCGGCAAATGCCGGGCTTGCGCCTGCCGTTGGTCGCCGGAAGACTGCCTCCCGACCCATGCGCCAGCGACCCTGAGCTGACGTCCGCTTCTTCCCACTCCTCTCCCTCCTCTCAGCTCTCGCACCGCACGCACTGCCGCCTGGCGTGTGTCGACGCTCGATCCCTCTCTCTTCGACCCGCCGCACGCGCCTCTCGAACGCCGCGGTGCGCCTTCGATCAAAAGCGTCTCGACCGGCTCGCTGGACGCGGCAGCCGACCACGGCCCAGCCTCGGTCTCGAGCGCGCCTCACCGCTGGTGCCAGTCGAGCGCGCACTCGGAGAGCTCGCACTCGCAGCCTGCAGCTCAGCAGCTCGATCGCAGCCAGAGCCTGAGCAGTGACGCTCGTCCGCCCGCGCATCTGGTCAGGCGTGAGCTTGCTGGTTCTGCCGCTTCGCAAGAGCTCGCAGAGCAGGCTTTCTACCGCTCGCGCACCTCCTCGCGCGCCGGCAGCAGCGCCGGCACCGAGCCGCACCGCGCACCTAGCGAGCCGGACAGGCGTCGCCTCTCAATCGGCGGCTCGCCGCTGCAGCAGCCGGGCGCACGGCCAGAGCCGCAGCCGCGCAGCAACAGCTTCGGCTTGCGCAAGTTCTTCGGCGCCTCCAAGAAGGAGAAGAAGCGCCAGCAGGAGCTCGAGGCGCAGCGTCACTTCCGCGACGACGAGCTTCCGCACAGGTACAACGACTCGCGCCAGCCGCAGAGTAGTGCTCGCATTGCGCATCCCGGCCGTCAGCCGTCGCAGAGCTCGACTGCCACCAGCACCTCGTCGGCACTAGGCGAGAGCAGCTTTCTGCGCCGTCTGCGCCCGAAGCGTCGCCGCCAGAAGTCGTTCGAGTCGGACGAGCCGGTTCAGCCGCACTACCACCCTCCGCAGCAGACGGCCGACAGCGGCCCCTTCTTCGCCGCTTCGCCTGCGCATTTGGCCACGCCTGCGCGTGCGTCCGAGCAAGCCAAGGGCAAGCCGAGAGCGGGCGGGCACCGTCGCACTTCCTCGGGTCTCCTCAGAGAGGCATCTGCGAGCGACGTCCGCTCGTATCCCACGGACGACAGCTCGGGCACCGAATCCGACTGGAGCCGCTCGACGCCGTCTGTGCGTCGTCTGCGCCCGCAGCGTAGCGACCGCCTCCTTCCTGGCGGCCTTGCGACAGTCGAGGCTTCGCCTCCAGACGAGCGTCCGCCGCCCGTCTCGAACGACATCATCCAGCGTCTGCAGGCCGCACGGCAGAAGCAGCACGACCCTTCGCGCACTGCGATCTCGCCCTTGCTCGAGGCCTCTCAGGAGTCGCCTCTCGCTCGACAGAAGCAGAGCGGCGAGCAGCCGCGAGACTACTTCGCGCCGCGTCCGCAGCCCGCTCCGCGCGCCAGCTCGACGACGATCACTGCGGCAAGGCAGCAGATCTCGCAAGACACAGTCCTCTCGGCTCAGCGCCCGCATTTGAGCGGCTCGGTTAGCGACACGGAGGTCGAGATGGTCAACTCAAACGGAGCGGACTCACAGGGCAGCAGCAGCAAGTGGAAGCTGCCCTTTGCGAAGCGCAGCGCATCGAGCGCATCGCAGTCGCACCAAGACCACGCGCCCACGGTGCAGGCTGTGCGCGACTATCCGAGCAGCGATAGCCTGCCCGGCCGTGGCAAGTCTCCCGGCTCGCAGCGCAGCGGCGGCGGTGTTGGCGAGTACAAGGAGGAGTGGGACAGCGCGGAGAATCGCGAGCGCGCAGAGCATCACGCAGCCTCGCAGCGTCCGTCTGACCCGCGGCTGGCTGGCGCCATCGGCCTGCTCGACGCACAGCCGCCGTCTGCCAGCTCGCACCGGTCCGATGCGTTCGACAGCATGCGCTCGCAGACGCAGCGCAGCGCCAGCGGGCCGTCCGACTACGGCTCCCTCAACACGAGTCCGGGTGCCTCGAGCAGCACGAACGGCGGCAATTCTCAGCGCGGCGGCAAGAGCAAGCTGGAGCGCATGATGGGCGAGGGCGCCGCCGCAATGTCGCGCTCGAGCAGCAACCCCATGCCGCGCACCGCACCGCAAGTCGAGCGGCTGCAGACGCAGTCCGCCACTGCGTCGTCGAACGGCGGCTTCTCGCCGGCGACGACCGCCAGCATGCTGCCAGACGACGCGTCGTGTCCAGTCTGCCTCGAGCTGCTCTCCTTCCGGCTTGCCGGCGAGAAGCCGCACGTCGTGCCGGTGTGCGGCCACTCGTTGCACCACGCCTGCTTCACGGCAGTGTACGGCGAACCAGAGGCGATCCTCGCACAGCAAGGCTCTCGCGGCGGCGAAGGCAGCGGCCGCCCGAACAACGCCGGACCGCCGGGCATGTGCGGCGTCTGTCGCCGACCCATTGTCCTCGGCGACGAGAGGGAGAACAAGCGTCAGAATAGTGAGTGTGCTGGTCAGAGCTGCGAGCGCTTCCGTCGCGGAAGAGGCTATTTGGCGGTACCGCGGCTGTGGGTCTCGATCGCCTGCTCTGGAAGGCGTGCGCGAGTTATGGCTTGTGATGGCGGTCGGCGCGCATGCTGCGAGGTGCAGCTTCGATGCATTTTCTTGCGACCGGAAAGCCCCTGAGCAGCGAGGCCACGCTAGAGGGGCTAGATTGGGTGGGATCTGCATGCAGGTGCGCGGGCACAAACGCTCAGCGCCGAGCTGCTTCTTCCCCTCCGAGGGCGTAGTAGTCCTTGGTCAGCAGCACAGCTGTGGCGCGCTGAAACATCCGTCGAGCTCATGCTCGGCGTCAGCATGGCCTCAGCGGCGCCTCTCAGGGGAGCCAGGCGCTGCACGCATATAAAGCCTGTTGTCCATGAGGGACCGATGCGAGCGACAGAGCGTTCCATCTTTCCCCTTGCACCGTCGTCCCTGCATGTGGTTGTGCTATGCTGCACAAAGCCGTCGAGGTCTATAATCAGCTTGTCGAGCGGCGCCGTCGGGGCGACGGCGGCGAGCTAGGCAGCCTGCCTGCCCGCCGCCGCTCTTCGTCTCTTTGGCGACGAGCGACGGTCGATGGTGGCTCGGCCGGCTCGCATCTGCACGCCGCGCCAGGGCTGCCGCAGCAGAGGGGTGCTGGGCGCGATCAATCGTGTCTCAGCGAGCCCGATCGCGGCGCGGCTCCGGCGGCGCCGCTGGGCGTGGCCACTCCTGGCTTCCATCGCCCACTTCCTTCCAGGCGGAGCGACGCGACCTCCTCTAGCACCGCGAGCTCACTAGCCTTCTCCTCTCCCCCACCCCGTCCTCCTCGCACCGCGCCCGGCCCGGATCGTCGCTCCGTCTCGCTTCTTTATCGGTCGCAAACGCTGCGCTCTTCTATTTCTACCTCGGGGCTGTCCGACCGCTCGCTTGCATTTCCGCCTGCACCCCGCCGCTCGACGACCGCTCTCACCACGCCCATCGTTCGTCGCCTCTATCGTCCGCCGGCAGAGCTGGCGGGAATGATGGGAGTGGAAGGCTCGCAATCTCGCACTCCTGCCGCTCCCGGATCCAGCGACAGCAACGCCGGCGGCGACGATCCGCTCGACACACTGCAGCCGTACCGCTCGCGCTCGCGCGAGCAGATGCGCGACGGCGGCTCGGCCTCACCGTACGGCTACAGCGGCAGTGCGCATGGCGGTGGAGGCGAGGCGCGCGGCATGGTGCAGCCCATCATCAAGGTGCGGCCCGAGTACGGCACCATCTACCGCAAGGACCCGACGGGCGCGCGCGGCAAGCAGAACGTCGTCTGCGTCCTCTCGGTCGAGATCCCGTCGCGGCGCCCACCGCCATCGCTGGGCGAGCAGGAAGAGCAGCAGCGCCAGCTGGCGCGCAATTGGTCGGCCGTGGGCGGGTCCGCGCTGGGCAGCATTGCCGACGCCGACGATGCGAGTGACACGCGCAGTGTGAGTGCCGTCTCGCGCTTCAACGGCGGCAGCACGGTCGACTCGCACCACATGGCGCCGAGCGAGGCGGGCGATGAGCAAGACGTCCGGGACGGCCATCGCCCTGTCACGCCGGACAATGGCCAGCGTCGCGGCGAGGCTCCGCGCTCGCCGGATGCCGACGAGGAGGGCTTCTCCTTCGGCGCCACGCCTGCTGCAGGCTCGATCGCGCACGAGGACCCGTTCAAGCCCGTGATGGACGATCTGCGCAATCGCATTGCCGACTGGAAGGGCCACTCGATCGAGCGCTTCGGCCAGCTCGTGCTCTACGACTACCTGGGTGTCCGGCAGGACGAGGTCGTGCGCGAGTTCTTCGTCTATCTCTTCCACGAGGCGCTGCTGTGCGTCGCCGAGGAGCGCAAGAAGGAGAAGGGTCTCTCGCGCTTCATGACCGGGCCGACCGAGCGCAGCGCCGGCGCGGCCACAGACTCGATCCGCCAGCCTGGCGCTGCGCCCGGGTCGGGCCCGAGGCCCGCTCTCAAGCTCAAGGGCCGCATCTGGCTGCGCCACATCCGGCGCGTGCAGGACACGTCGTCCAACGGCAACCTCAGCCTCAGCGTCAAGCTCGACGACGAGAGCCTGAACCACTTCATCCTCTGCTTCAAGGACCGCGGCACGCTCGAGACGTGGCGCGGCAAGCTCGTCGAGCTCGTGCAGGTGCACAAGCCGCAGGAGCCGCCTTCGACGCCCGTTAGCGACGCCTCGCGCAGCGCATTCTCGCAGCCCGACGCCACGCCGACGAGCCCCGCAGTCACGTCGGCCACGTCGCGGCGCGGTACCGCGACCTCGACCATCTCGGCCATGAGCGGCAAGACGAGCGGCACGTCGCCGACCAGCCGGATGCAGAAGTCGCCTGCCATGGCGCAGCACCGCTCGACGGAGTCGCTGCACCTCATGAACCGCTCCTCGAGCCAGCCGCTGGCGCACGCGCCGCATCAGCAGTGGTCGGCGTCCGGCGGGCTGGACCCGGGCCTGCCGCCGCCCGAGCTCCTGCCGCACACGCCGATGGACCTCGTGATCATCGTCTCCGTGCCGGCCGTTCCGCCGACGCAGCAGCACGGCTCGTCGGTGTCGTCCTCCGCCGCGCTCAAGCTGCGCCTCATCCGCTCCACGCTTGAGTTCGTTGTCTCGCATCTCGGGCCCAAGGACCGGCTGGCGATCGTCGCGTACAGCGTCGGCACTGAGGGCGAGGTGCGGCGCAGCGCGCTGCTCAACACGAACAAGGAGAAGAGCCGAGCGCGCCTCGAGCTTCTCATCGAGGGCATCGGCCAGCCGTGGTCGGGCGATGGCGAGGATCCGTTCCGCGAGTCGCTCGAGCGCCTCGGCGGCTCGACGGACCGCACCGACACGATCACCGCCGTCAACGTCGGCCTCGACATTGTGCTGCAGCGCAAGAGCCGCAACCCGGTCACTGGCATCTTGCTCATCAACGACACGGCCGATGCGCCGCGCCGCGGCCAGATGGATCTCGTCATGGCGCGAGCTGAGGCGGCGAACGTGCCGATCCACTCGTTCGGCTTCGGCAAGAGCCACGATCCATCGTCGCTCTGGCTGATCTCGAACCACACACGCGGATCGTACACGTGAGTCGCGCCGCAGGCATTGTCCTGCACATCGACTGACAACTTCCGCAGCTTCGTGCGCGAGTGGTACCAGCTGCGCGAATGCGTGTCCGGCTGCATCGGCTCGCTCATGTCCATCGCGCTCACCGAGGTGCGCCTGCACATCAACGTGCCGTCGGACAATCACTTCCGGGTGCGCAAGGTGGCAGGCCCGACGGGCGCCATCGTCTCGGCGACGGGCAAGGACGTGGACATCGAGCTGGGCGAGCTGCGCTTCGGCGAGTGCAAGGAGCTGCTCATCGAGCTGGAGCTCGAGTTCAACGCGCTCGTGCCGTTCATCATGGAGGAGTCTGCCGACGGGCGCCGGGCGCCGCGCAAGCTCGCTGGCGCCGCATACGAGTCCGGCAGCGCGACGGACGACTTCATGCAGCGCCTCGGCCTGCAGAACCTCAGCCTCACGAGCGGCGACTCGCAGTTCGACGCGCGTGGCTCGGACAACCTTATCGACGAGGTCGCCGTGTTCGGCGTCGACGCCGGCTTCCGCGACGTCGGCACGGGCCAGGCGCTCACGCGGCTGCCGAATCCGTGCGTGCTCACGCTCGAGGTCGACGCCAACTCGCCCGACCCCATCGCCGGCTCGAGCCTCAGCGGCGGCGGCGCTGCGGCGCTGGCGGACCCCGTCGTGACGCGCCGCCGCATCGAGATCCTCGTCAGCGACATGATCACGCGCAGCCTGCTCGTCGTCTCGCGCAAGAACCACGCGCAGGCGCTGCAGATCCTCTCAGAGACGCGCCGCATCGTCGAGACGGTGCTGCAGTCGACGCCGGCGCCGAGCGGCGGCGGCGTGGGCCCTTCGCGACGCGCCAGCCTCAGCTCGTCATCTGGCGTCGCCACGCCGCGCAGCACAGGCCCGAAGCGTCAGCGCGAGGCGCTCCACCGCCGCACGGCCGAGAGCCTGCTGGCGATCCTCGAGGATCTCGACATGCTCATCGATGGCCTCGAGCAGTCGCGCAGCTCGTTCGACCGCGACGGCCGCAACGCCGGCGCCCAGCAGGCCATGATCCTGCGCGACCAGCGAGCCTTTACGACGCGCTCCGACACCGAGTGGCTGCGCTTCGCGCTCGCCGGCGGCGACAATGGTCCGGCCTTTGCGGCGCGGGCTGCCGCCTTTGCCAGCCTGCGCGGCTAGTCTGGCTTCTCTCCTCTCTCTCATTTCCATGCCTCTCTACGCTCCCCACCCTCACTTGCCTTCTCATACCCCTGCCGTGCGCCATCTCTCTGCGGAAAATACGACTCTCATTGCCCGCTCTCCTGGCTGAGCAGGCTGTCGACCCAGGCAGCGAAGCTGTCGTGCAGCGCGTCTGGCGGCTTTGCGCCGCGCTTCTCGTCGCCGTCGCGGTACTTGCCCGTCTTGACGAGCACGCGCTCCAGGCCCAACGCCACGGCGCCGTCGCCGAGATCCGCATCCACGTCGTCGCCGATTACGATGTTGCGCTCGCCCTCGAGCGGCTCGGCGCCGCGCATCTCGCGCAGACAGCCCTGGAAGAACTCGGCCGTGGGCTTGCCGCAGACCTGCGTGCGCTTTGCGTCGATGCGCGCGGCCGTCTCGAGCGCCGTGATGAACGGCCCAGGGCCCATTGAGAGCGGCGCGTCGGGCGCTGGCCGGAAGTAGTTGGCTGCACAGAGCTCAGCGGCGGGCCTGTGGCCGCTGACCTTCTCTCGGACTCACCTCTGTGCGTCGCGATGATGCGCCGCTCCACGCTCGGCTCGCCCGGCCTGGCATACTCGCCGCTGAGCACGCGGAAGGCCTCGTCGAGCCACTCTGCGCGCATGAGCTCCGGCGCCAGGCCGACGACGACGGCCGTGCAGGCCTCCAGGCGGCGGCGCTCCTGTGCGTCGAGCTCCGCCGGCAGGCGCTTGGGACTGGGCCGGAAGTGCTCGGTGCCGGGCTCGTCGTGCACCACCTCCATGGCCGACGGCGAGAGGAGCAGCAGCGCCGGCTGCCGCAGCTGCGCCAGCGCACGCGCCGCGGCGCTGAGGCTCGTGTACAGCGCCGCCTCGGGCACGTCGTGCGGCGCAAAGCCGGCGGCCAGCAGCGTCTGGCGCAGCTTGGCCGGACTGGCCTTGGTCGTGTTGCTGCAGAAGCGCAGCGAGCCGCGCGCTGGTGTCGCGCTGCTGCCGCCCTGCTGCTGCGAGCCGCCGGCGAGCCAGGCGCGCAGGCGGCCCAGCGCCGCCACGGCGCCCGGCGTGGGCGTGTCGCCGATGTGCAGCGTGCCGCTGAGGTCGAGGAGGATGTGCAGCGGCCGCCGCAGCGGGGCTGCACTCATCTCTGCGGCGGGCGACGGGGTTGCGAGGCCGCGGTGATGAAGGAGCTGAAGATGCAGCGGCGCCGCGGCGCTCGAGCCGCCTCGGCAGCGTCTCCTGCCGACGCCGGCCGTGCGCGGCACCGCTCCTCTCTCGCCACCTTCGCGGTCCACGCAGATGCGCATGATGCCGAGCGCAGACGCCAGCCGGCGTGTGAGGACATGCTGGCCCAGCCAGGTGCAGGCCCGCCCGATCGATGCCCGCACGCAGGGCGCAGCACCCAGACCTCGAGGCCCTCGGCGCGCCGTCGACGAGGCGCACCTCCGGAAAGAGGCCGAACTGGAGAGCACTTGCGTCTGAGGGGCCGAGCCGTGGTGACAGCCCCTCGGGTGGCCCTGACGAGCCAGAAAAGCGGCACGGCATGACGAGCCGGCTTGCCCTGGCGAAGCATCGTGCATTCCGCTCGCCTCGAGCTCGCCTCGAGCTCGCCATCCTGGTGCTGCTGCGGCTGAGCGTATCTCGACATGCGGCTCATGCATCGGCGTTGGACGTGCGGGCATGCACGCTGCGCTCCAGCGCAGCCCTCGCGCGTGCGGCGAGAGCGCCGCCGGAGCGGTGCGGGCGGCATCCATGCGGCTGCGGAGCCAAGATGAAGGGTGCGGCTGCGGCTGCGGTGCCCCGCCGGCTGGCGTCCTGTGGCGCAGACGCAGGTGCAGCGCCGTGCAGCCGCGTGCTTCTCGCAGGCGAGCTGGCGGTGGATGCTCTTCATCTCCGCAGAGGGCAGGTGCAGCAGCACGCCAGCCACGGCGAACGGTCCGAAGCCGAGCGGCCGCGAGATCTGGCAGAACGCGCCTCCGCTGCCGCACCGAGGCGCCGAAGCACCTCAGCGCTTTGAGCGCAAGAGGGCGAAACCGTAACGCGCGCAACGTGCACGCGGCGCAACCGCCTCCTTGGCTTGCACCCTGATGCCTCGTCGCTTCCTCTGCACCACCACCACCGCCATCTCTTCGCACCGCGCACGTCTCGCACCGCCGCTGCGCTCAGCGCCTCGCACCTCTTGCCCCCTCGCTGTCGCCGCCTGGCGTGTGCCTCGCACCAATGTCGTCGCCCGCCGCCTCGTCGCCCGCGCCGTCGGCCAAGCTGCCGCACGAGGTGCGCGCGCGGCCCTGGTACCGCCGCCGCCGCTGGGTCGTCCTCATGGCCGCGCTGGCGCTGGCCTGCCTCCTCGCACTCGTGCTGCCCCTCGCCCTCATCCTGCCCAACCGCGGCGACGGCGCGCCGCAGGCAAACGGCCCGCGCGTCCGGCTGGGCAGCAACAACGCCACGTATGTGGCGAGCAACGCGTATGGCTTCGACGAGTGGAAGGGTGAGTGGCCGTCTGTGGCGAGCGCAGTGGAAAGAGAGGCAGAAATAGACAGGCGGCCGCGCGTGGCAGGAGCCAGAGTCTGGCAGGAGGCGAAGAGGTGCGGCAGAATGAGCAGGGCCTCTGCAACTCCTGCGAAGGCTGTGCTCTCACAATGCTCTGCATGGCGGTCCTCGCGATACTGCGAGGGCGGAGACATGCCTGTCTGCCTTGCGGCGTGGGTGTCCACGAGGTTGTGACGGAGCGTAGCACACGCGGTTTCTTGCCGCAGCAGAGATGCCGCAGCGGGCAAGGCTGCAGCCGCGCAGGCGTGGCCTGAGCTTCAGTCATCTCCTAGCCCCTGTCTGACCCCTTTCCCTCAGGTATCCGCTATGCCGCACCACCCGTGGGCAATCTGCGCTTCGCAGCGCCGCAGCCGCCGCCCAGCCCGCCGACTGTGGCGACGTCGGGCACCACGACCTCGTCGAAGCACATGCGCAACAACCGGCGTTCGCTCAGCGCGCCGATGCTGCGCCGCGCCGATGTTGTGGCAGCGTCGGACCAGGAGCTGCTGCTCAAGGCCGTGTACGCCGGCAGTCCGTGCCCGCAGCCCGGACAGGGCAAGAACGACGCCGAGGACTGCCTCTTCCTCTCCATCATCCGCCCCGAAGGCGAGCCAACGACGCCGCTGCCCGTCCTGCTCTTCGTCCACGGCGGCGGCTTCCAGGCCGGCTCGGGCTCGCAGTACATTGCCGGCATGCGCGGCTTCCTGAATGCCGGCATCCAGGCCGGTGCGCCGCCGGCTATGGTGGTTGTCATCAACTACCGCCTGGGCGCCTTTGGCTTCATGGGCGGCTCCATGATGGAGAGCCTTGCCAACCGCACGCAGCCTGATGCCGTGCTGAATGCCGGCACGCGCGACATCAAGGCGGCGACGGAGTGGGTGCGCGACAACATCGCGGACTTTGGCGGTGAGTGCTCAGCTTCGGCATTAGACTGGGACACTTGCTCACGCCTCGGCGCTCAGGTGACACGTCGAGGATCACGCTCTGGGGTCAGAGCGCCGGCGCGTTCAGCACGGGCGCGCAGATCCTGGGTCAGGCGGCGACTGGGCGGAACGCCTCGGACACGTCCAACTCGCCCTTCTCTGCCGCCATCCTGCAGTCCGGCAACCCCGGCGGTGTCCGTGAGTGTCGCTCGCTGTCGCCCGCCTGCACTTGCGCTGACACGCGCCTTCACAGCCTGCCCGCCGCAGCGCTTCAAGGACCCGCAGTTTGAGCGCATCCTGAGCGCTGCCAAGTGCCCCAACAGCTCGCCCGATGCTGCCGTTGCGTGTCTGCGCGCGCTGCCGTGGACGGAGCTGCGGCACATCTCCATTGCCGAGTCGGACCGCGCACTGCAGCCCGAGTCGTACATTCTCGGCTCGTACCCGTGGACTGCCGGCCTCGATGGCGGCCCCGAGAACGGCGGCTTCTTCGCCGATGAGCCGAGTGCCGTGCTGCAGGCCGGCGACTTTGCTCGCGTGCCGCTGCTGCTGGGCGACGTGGAGGATGAGGGCACGCAGTTTGCACCGCACAACTTCGAGGATACGGCGGCGCTTGAGCGCTGGATCCGCAGTGAGTCTTGCTGCGCGCGTGAGCTGGAGCTGCGAGCTGACCTTGGCTGTCAGCGATCTACTTTGCGGAGCCCGAGGCCGGCTCGTCCAAGCTCGTCATGGCCTCGCTGCTGGCGAGCTACCCGGACGACCCGAAGCTGGGCTCGCCGTACAACCTCAACGCCTCTGATCAAGACGACCGCTTTGTGAGATTGCCCCACGCGCTGCAACTCGCTGTCCCACCGCTGACCGTGTCCCGCGCTGCAGTTCGGCACGACCAACCAGTACCGCCGCGCCGCGTCGATCTACGGCGACATTCGCTTCCAGTCCAACCGGCGCTTCTTTGCGCAGATGGCGGCCGACCGCAACGTGCCCGTGCGCAGCTTCGTGTATGCGCAGCGCCCGCCGAACGAGCAGCTGGCGCTCGGCGTGCCGCACGGCGCGGACCTCGATGCGCGTGAGTCTGCGGTCTGGCTTGATGCTGCTGCCTCGGGATGAGAGACTGACCACGCCGCTCCGACAGTCATGTCGCAGCGCTCGCCGCTGGGCAGCATCATGGCCAAGCAGTGGATGACGTTCGCTGCGACGCGCAACCCAAATACCGATGGCGGTGAGTTGCGTCTCGCTTGCATGTCGCTGCGCACCTGCTCACTCCGTCCATCCCAATAGTGCCGCGCTGGCCGCTGTACGGCAACGGCAACGGCACGATTCTGCGCTACGAGAACGACACTGGCAGCAGCGTGCCCGACACGTTCCGCTATGCCGCCATGAATGCGCTCAACTCGCAGGCCGTGCACATCGCTACCAGCCGCTGAGCTCCGCCCCGCACACATTCTATAGACTTGCTGCCCCTTCTTCCGCTCTAGATCTGCCCTTGTCCCATCCCATCATGTCACGCGGCCCGTCACGTATCATCAACTTATAGCTACAGTATCGTCCATGTACAGGCGTCGAGCGACGATGCATCGCCCGGCGCAACCAATGCGGGATGAAGGGTCAGAGAAGGATGGTGCCGTCCTTGCAGTTGAGCATGCCCCAGCAGCACGAGTCGACGTCGGCCGTGCAGCCCGCCAGCTCGGTGGCGACTGTCGGCTGGTGGAAGCCGGCGACGCTCTCGGACGAAGGCGGTGGCACGGAGAGCGAGAGCAGCGGCGCGTCTGCCGGACTCGCGGCCTGGCTTGCGCCGCTGGACGACGTGTCGTCCGAGGCACGGCCGCTGCGGCCTGGTCGTTCCGACGAGCTGGACGCTGTTCGTTGCCGCTGCACGTGTGCAGCAGCAGGCTGAGCATGCTGCCCGTCCGCCGACGCATCACGCGGCAGCTCGCCGCGGGCACGCATCAGCGCCAGCAGCTGCTGCACACTGGCGGTGGGCGCAGACGACGAGACGCCGCTGCTGCTGCCGGGGCGCGAGTAGGGATCGCCGTGGCTGGTCGTGCGGCTGGGCGCTGCTGGGTCGTGCTGCCGACTCGCCAGCGGCACCGAAGGGCCGACGACGTGTGGAGCGAACGAAGGGCCAGTGGCCCACGCGTCCATGGACGTCGAGCCGGCGGCCAGACTCTGCGGCACGGCAAGCGGCGACTCGAGCAGGCTGGAGAAGTCGCTCGACGTGCGCTTGCGACTGCCCTGTCCCGACGCCAGCTCTGCGTAGCCGGGCGCTCTTGGACGCGAGGCGCTGCCGCTCGACGATGATGGTCGCTGGCCCCAGGCGCTCGGGTCGGGCATCATCCCTGAGCTCGGACCGGCAGTCTGGAAGCCACTGCCAAACATGCCCTGGCTGGCGTCGTACGCGTGCCGTCCCGTGCTGCTGCCCTCGCCGCGGTCCACGAGCTCGCTGCTGGCCTGCCCGATGGCCGTGTGCAGGTTGGACATGGCGTGTGCCAGCGTCACGAGCTGGAAGTCGACGCGCGCCATGCCTCCGGCCTTTTGCGACGGGGAGTCAGCTGCGCTCCCTCTGCGCCGACAGCTCCAGACTCACCACTGCGCTTCGCCGCTCGCGCGCATCGCGACACGACTCACAGGCGCCGCCGCCGGCCTGCTGCTCGTCGAGGCGCAGGCGCAGCGCCTCGTTCTCGGCGGTGAGCGTCTTGACGCTCTCCTCGAGGCCGCGCACGTGTGCCGCCTTGCGGTCGCGGAAGGCGCGCTGCGTCAGCAGCTGGCGCGACGGCGGCAGGTTGGGGTCTTGGCGGCGGCCGCGGGCCATGGCGAGGGCGAGGAGCGGGCGCTTTGGGCTGGAGGTGTGCTGCACGAACGCGACGGCAATGCGAGGAGTGAGAGTGGTGCAGAGGAGAGCTGGAGGAGCGAGCGCTGCGTGCTGAAGGGCCATCGCGATTCACAGCCTCGCAGCCACCGGCGATGCACCCTACACGGGTACGCTCTGAGGCTGCCCTGCTGCGCCTGAGTCGAGTGACGCCTCCGCATCGCGCGAATTGCGATTTCGCCTCCGCCTCCATCCGCAGAGTCAGAGGGCGCCGCCGGCACCTCGCCGCAGGAGAGGCAGCCGCGTCGACCGGCGGCCCATGGGCTGGCCGCTGCACTGCCCCCGCGCGGCGAGGCGCGGAGCCTCTCTGATTGCACCTCGACGCAGCAAGGAGCAGCAGAGCGGACTCCGAGGCGACGCTGCCACTCCGAGAGAGGCGCCAGACGCAGAGAGCAGAGGGCTCGCGCTGCGGTGCTGAGCCCTGCCTGCGCCCTGCCGCGCTGCCTGCAACCTGGGCCGCAGGCTGCTGACGGCCAAAGAGACAGCCGCGGCTAGCAAAGCGCAGGCAGCGGGGCAGAAAGGACATGCCATCGCAGCGAGGTGTTCCTCTGCGTGCTGCAGCAGGCTGCAGCTGCACGTTCACTGTGGCGCAGACGCTCCTCACCTGATCCTGATCGCAGCAGCTCGGCCCAGCGAGGCTCTCACTCTCCGGCGTCAGCGCATTGCGGCGCTACGCTGCGGGGGTGACACCGCGAGTGTGTCACAGGCGCACCGCCGCACTGCCCGCCTTTCCACCTTCATGTTCGCTCCTCGACTCGCTCCAACTCTGCCACTGCTGATGCTGCAGCTGGCGGATCCGCTGCGTCGCTGCACGCTGCAGCGGCCAGTCGAGTGGCGGCCCTACGTGCGGCTCCTGCGAGGCCTGCACTCTACTCCGGCCTGCGTCTGACGCTGCGGTAAGAGGCGTCCCGCCCCCCGTCAGCCACTATTTACCCGATGGGCGCAGCCATCTCTCCGAGGGCGGCCTCCCGAGAGTCACACCTCTGACGTGAATGCAACACTCGCGGCTCAAGCTGCCACCAAGGCAGCGTCTGCAGAGCGACGCACTTCCGAGGCAGCTCGAGCACAGCCCCACGACCTCCTCACCTGACGTCGAGGCGCCAGCCACTCAGCTGCAGGCGCACCCACAGGTGGCCGGCTGCGGCCGCTGTCATCTCACGCCGTAGCCTGCGTCGGTGCGTCGGCCACCGAGCTTAGGCGCGGCCACAGATGCCTCCGGGCCGCTCACAATCGCATGATGCCTGCGCGCTCCTACCACGTGCGAGTTGCGACCACTCTCGGTGCAACGCGGGCGCATCGACTTTACCCGGTGATGCGACAGTAGAGAGAGAGGGCAGAGGCAGGCTCGCATGGCATTCATCGAGCTACTGCATCGTCCTGGAGCGCTCCTCCGCCAGGCTGAGCTCAATGGCAAAGCGCAGCTCCTCGTCCTCGCGCTCCTCGACCGACTGACCGCGTCTCGCGGCCGCTGGCGCCGGCGGCGTTGGCGGAGCAAGAGCGGCGCGGAGAGAGGGAGAGCCCAGCGCCCAGGCTCCGCGCGGCGCACTGCGGCTGAGAGGCGAGGGCGAGGGCTGGGGCGAGAGGTCCGGCGAGAGGCGATCCTCTGCTTCGCTGCTGCCGCCATTGTGCCCATTGACGCCGACGCGCGCCGAGCGGGGCACGGCGATGGTGCGGATCTTGGCGTCGGGTCCGTGCGACGCCGGCGTCGTGAGGCGAGAGGAGGAGCCGGCCGACGCGAGAATGTCCCAGGCGCGACTGGGCGACGTGAGCGGCCGCAGCGAGGGCGAGGGCGTCGACGAGGAGCCGATGCGCTGCGCCGAGGGCCGGCGCGAGCGCGAGGCGATGGGTCGGGCCGTCGGAGAGAGCGAGAGGTGCTGCACGTCGTCGTCGAGATCGTGCGAGTCGAAGGACTCGTCCATGTCGTCGTGCGAATCAAGCGCCTCGAGGTGATCCACATCGTCGACAGGCGGACGTGTTGTCGTGCCGCTGGGACCTGCGGCATTGCGTTGCGCCTCCTGTGCTTCCGCCAGCTCAATGTCCCTCAGCGCACGCCGCAGCTCCTCTTCCTCCTCATCCAGCGGCTCTCCACGTCCGTTCGCCTCCGCCTCGTCCCTGCTGAGCATCAGCGCTAGTTCTAGCGCGTCCATCTCATCGAGACCGTCCACGTCGATCCCCTCTCTCCTGCGCGAGGCCCTCTCCCGCTTCTCCCGTCGCAGCTCCTCGTCCATCTGCTCCACATCCTCGCGCAGCTCCGTCGGGCGCACAAACTTGCCCTCCTTGGTGCGCGGCGGCTTCTGCGGCCGCTCCGCCTCGTTGGCAGACTGTGCTGCCAGCGCGTTTGCGCGGCGTCCCGAGCGGGCTGGAGGGCCGGAACGCCAGGCTAGCACATCAGCGCCGACCGCGGCCACGAGCGAGTCGGGGCCAATGCTGATCTGGCGCACGGCGAAGCGCGCTGCCGCCTCGACATCGAGCGCCTGCGAGGCCAAAGCGCGTGCAGCATGCCGCGTGGCAGTGCGCTCGTTGAAGACGCGTAGGAGCGAGCCAGTGAGAGGCGAGAAGACCTTGATGCTGCCGTCTACGCCGCCAATGGCGATGGCGTGGGGCGCAAAGTCGAGCGCGCTGATGCGCGTGTGGTGTGCTGCCAGCGAGAAGGCAGGATACACGATGCCGGTGCTGCTTTCGCCGTCTTGTGCTGCCGCTGCATGCGCCAGGGCGGGTGATGCCAGCCAGTCGAAGGCATACAGCCCGCCCGTGCTGCTGCCGACCCACACGCACGGCCGTTCTCTGAATGCCGCTTCGCCACGCCTCGAGCGCGCTTGCTGCAGCTGTTCGAGAGATGGCCCGATGCGAATGGCCGAGGGCAGTGTGCCGGACAGGCTGGGCGACTCGGAGCGCGAAGGCGCGGCAGAGGCAGTCATGCTCGTGACGACTCCGCTGCCGCTCGGCGTCTCGGCCGCGAGCGACTCGTGGTCGAAGTCGGGCAGAATGCACGAGATGACGCCGGTGTCGGACGCGGGGAGCGAGAAGGTGGTGCTGGTGGTCTGCGCCTGCGATGCACCGAGAGAGACGCCGTGTGAAGCCTCGGCGGCGGGCGTGGTGTCGATCTCGCATCGGTAGAGCTCGCGCGAGTTGGCGTGCTGCACCAGAATGCGAACGGGCGCTGCATCTGTCGTAGAGGAGGTCGATGCAGCAGAGCTGCGCTCAATGCAGATGCTCTCCACTGCCCGCTTGCCCATCTCGAGTGGGCAGGGGATGTCGACACGTCTGACGAGCCTCTCCAGCGCTAGCCGAGCAGCTCGCGCGTCCTCCTGCTTCGTCGTCGAGAGTGTCCTGCCTGCCTCAAAGGCAAGAGCTGGCAGAGCGAGGAGCTGGTCAAGCTGCAGCTCTCGCCACACCACCACATTGCCCTTCTCGTCGCCTGCACACAACATGCCCTGTTCGACATCGAGGTCGAGCGTCGTAATGGCCTGCGGCGGCCTCCGAGCTGTAGTAGCAGCGCCAGGCGCTGGCGGACGGAGCATGGAGGTGGCCCACAGCGGCAGTGTGCGTGACTCGGCATGCCAGATTTTGACTTCGCCCTCGGCATCTGCCGAGGCAAAGCACTCTCCCTTCTGGCCTGCGCGCTCCTTGCGGACGCGCATGCGCTCGGGCGCCTTTGCGCCGCTCCTGCAGCCCGTGCGCTGCGCAAAGAAGGCAGGCGCCAGCGCCGTGATGGGCGCTTGATGGCCCTGCGTGCCGGGCCCGCCACGGAGCGCGATGGACTGGATCAGGCCGCGTGGCCTCGATCCCTGCCGCCGCAGCAGCGTGACGCAGAGGTCGCCGGCCGAGTCGCCCCAAATGACGCGCCTTGCATCGCAGTCCAGCGCCGCAGCGGTGCTCTGCGTCTCTTGTGCGCGTACATGTGCATGCGTGAGCACGCCGCCGCCGGCGGAGAGGAAGCCGGAGGCGACCTTGCCGGCGAAGGGATCGGAGCGCGAGGCGACGCCGTACGCAGAGGAGACGCAGAGCAGGAAGGAGTGCGGGATGGAGAGGGCGAAGAGCGAGATGGCGGAGATGCGCGCGTCGAGGATGAGCGAGGGAGAGCGCGACTTGCGCCATTGGCTGAGAGGAGAGGATGAGGCAGTGATGAGCGAGAAGCGAGGCGAAGCCGCTGCTGCCTCTCTGCGACTCTGCACGGCCGCATCGCGAGGCGAGGCGAGGCCGCTGCTGCCTCTCTGCAACGCTGCAGGCAGCCGCATCGCTGCGCCATCCCGGTCTCTCGCCGCGACACTCACCGCTCGCGCTCCTCTCTCCTCACCACCTCCTCTCTCCACGCGCCTTCGACGCGCCGCAGCGCCACACAGCCGCCACTGGCGCCCTCTGCGCCGTCGGCGGCGGCGAAGCGGCGTGCAAAGAGGGCGCGCCACGTCTCGGGCGCGGCGACGAGCTGGGCATAGGCGCGGCTGACGCGCGCGATGCACGCCAGGTCGGGCGGCGAGAGGTAGGAGAGCACGTGCAGCTGCAGCTCGGGCGGCAGCGCCTGCATCGCGGCTGACCAGGGGGGGGGTGAGGGAGAGGGAGGAAGAGAAGGACCGTGTCGAGGTGGAGGCGCAGCAAGAGGCACGCACGACGCGTTGTAGTTGCCGACTACAAGCGCGCGCCCGGTCAGTTGTAGTCCCGCACGGACGCCGCCTCCCCGAGTGCAACTCGCGGCGCTCCCTCGCTCCTTCCTTTCTCTCCCTCTGCCTCTCCCACGAGGCGCCATGTCGCCGCCGTCGCGCGCCCCCTCACTCTCCCTCTCGCCGAGCAACGCCACGCCCGCCTCGCCGCTCACGTCGCTCGGCAACGTCTCGCTGCCGCCCTCCGCTGCGCCCGCGTCGGCCGCGGCGGCCGCGTCGCTCTTCAGCGCCAGCGGCAGCGGCTCGCAGGCCGACGCAGCAGGCGCGGCGGCGCCCACCGGCGGCTTGGCAGACACGCTGCGCAGACAGATCTTCGGCGCCACGCTGCCGCTGCACATCGAGCTGCATGCGCCCGACGTCGGCCGCACCGCGGGGTGGAGCACGCGCGGCAGCGAGGGCGGCGTCGAGGAGTACTGGGTGCGTGTGTGGGTGCTGGACAGCGTGCAACGGGACGCGCTGCTGATGTAGACTCGGTGTGTGCCGACAGATGCTCGCGCCGCGCATCTCGTACCTGCCGCTGCTGCTGCCGACGCTGCAGGCGCAGCTCGTCGAGCCGGCATGTGCGGCCCTCGCGCTGCCCGTGCCGCCGGCGTCGGACTACTACTTCAGCGACTCGCGCGGCGCACTCAAGTGGTGCGCATCTCGCGCTTGCCCATCCCTTGCTGCTGCTGACAGCATCCCAGGCATCATCCATTAGGCCTGCAGCACGACCTGCGGCCCTCGCCCACGCTGCCGTGGCGCATCACGCTGCACCTGCGCGGCGCCTCCGCCGAGCGGCTGGGCACCAGCGGCGAAGCCTCGGCGGCAAAGGCGGCGTTCATGGGCGCGCTCAAGTCGTCGGACTTTGTGCGGCATGGCAACACGCGCCGCGTGGGCAACTTGCGCAAGGAGGAGCAGGACCGGATGTGGGAGGGCGTCTGTGCTCGTGAGTGGGGGCCATCGTGCTGTGCAAAGAGGGCCCTCGCTGACGAGAGCGAGGCAGACGAGTGGGGCACGTATCAGGCCGTCGCCTCCAAGCTGCTCCCTGCCGTGCCGCACGACTTCACCCTCGCAGCTGCCTCAAGCACAGCGTCAAGCAGTGCGACTGAGCGCGCCTCTGTCGCCGGCTCTATCCACTCCGCTGCGCCCTCTGCATCAGCCGCACCAGGCGGCGCAACAGCAGGCAGTCTCGGCGCCAATGCGTGGGGCGCCAGCAGTACGAGTCTGTCGCCGAGCGTGGCGAGCACGGCGACGGGTGCCTCTCCCGCCGTCTCCTCGCCCGAAGCTGCGCCGCCAAGCAGTGGCAACGGCACGGCTGCGGCGCAGGGACAGCAGAAGGACCTGACGGCACGACGGACACCGTTGCGCATCCATCTGCCCGACGCGCCCGTGCTCATGGAGGCAGCAAAGGCGTGGTCTGAAGACGGTGCGTCCGCAGTGCACCACCACTCCACCCATTGCCGTACTGACGGATGCCGAACAGGTCGCGCCCTGCCGCTCAGCCACGCCCTCAGCGCCACGTTTCCCCTGCTCTTCCCGCCCACGAGCACCTTTGCGCCCGAGCGCACTGCGGCAAGAGCGAGGCCACTGGCGAGGGTATACGTGCACGGCGTGGAGATGCCGAGCGAGACGCCGCTGCCGTGGCTGGGCGGCGCGGCGGCGGGCGCGGATGGCTGGTGAGTTGCGTGCGAGTGCCAGAGAGACGTGAGAGCGAGGATGCTGATGGACTCGCTCGACGATAGGGTCAACATATGTGTGCGGCCCGAGGAGGAGTGAGCGCGAAGACGTAATGTATACCCCCCCCCCCTTTGCCCTCATTTGCGAGAGCTGCCGCGCGTTTCGGAGAGTGGACGTGGCCGGTCAGGCTCGTCGACCTGGTCCAGCTTGCAGCACAGGGCTGACAGCCTGAAGAGAGGCGCAGTGCGCTTGGACATGCACCTTGCCTGCCCGTTGTGGGTCCACATCGCTTCAGGCAGAGGCAGCGAGACAAGCTGCCCCTGCAGCACCCAGCTGCCCGCGGCATGCTCAGGGCCCCTTGACCTCTCCTGCCGGCTGGCTGGGCGCGCCCACCTCTTTGGCCATCTGTGGGCCTCTGGGGCACCCCAGAGACGCTAGCACACGTCATTCACTCAGACTCTCTCGGAGAATGGCGTATTAGATTTGAGGCACAGGTGCAGCCTTCGCCTCGCCGGCGTGGCCGCTCGTGGCTATCGGCATGCGGCATGCGGCGCTCGCCAGCACACCGCAGCGCCAGGCAGCGAGAGGCGCCGTGGGGGAGCAGCAAGCTCGGGCGGAGGCGCCGCACAGCCCGCCGCCGCGGCCGGCGCTTGCGGAGCCGCTGCGCCGTGGCGCATGGCCCCTCGAGGCGCCTCGGCTGCACACACTGCCCGCGTGCATGCGCCCGTACGTCGGTGGGCCGCAGGTTGCTGTGCTGTGCGTGCGTGCGGGCCGCGCGCTGCCGCATCTCGGCAGCGTGCGAGCCTGAGAGTGCTGCACTGCCGCCTGCACTTTGGCTCAGATGCAGCAGCAGGGGAAAAGTGGGACGCTGCTCTGGTGCCCGCCTGCGCCTGCCGGCCCGTGGCCCTCACGCCTCGTCGCCGCGCAGCACCCAGCAGCGCACGGAGACTGGCCCTAGGCGCGCGCCCAGCCAAGGTCCGCTCGTGCGCCTCGCAGGCGTCTCTCCACCTCGTCGAGCGCTCGCGGTCGCTGTCGCCGCACGCTGCACTTCCCACCTCGACTCGCCCGCACTTTGCTCTGCAGCCCCACAACCCACTCAGACTTGCACGCCCACACACCTTCCTTCTGCTCGAGCTTCTTCGCTTCTCGCCGTCTCGACACCGCTTCGCCTTCGACCCCTGCGTCGCTGAACACACGCGCGCGCCTCCGTGCCTCGACTTCGGCTCTCGTCGCAGCCATCGCCCAGCTCGCTGCTCGACGCTTTGCGCAGCTGTCGCTCTCGCCTCTCCTTTCCTGAGGCACAGCTTCTGCCTCTCTCGTGGCAGAGAGTCTTCGCCTGTCGGTGAGGCCTGCTCCTCGACGGCCCCAACGTCTACATCGCCGCAGCGTGCCCCCGCGCACTGCTCCGTCGCTCCGTCATGCTGCCCGCTCAGCGCAACAAGGTCGACATTGCTGTGAGTGCTGCGGCCCTGGCGCAAGCTTGAAAGAGAGAGGCCCGGGTGGACAGTAAGGGGTGCCTGCGTGGTGGTGAGGTGCTCAGAAGGTGGGCCAGGCTCCTGGCACGGACGTCGGTCAGGGCGCTGCACGAGGAAGCGACGTCTTTGTGCTCGGCGCCTGTCGCATGCGCACGCCTCGAGCTGCACGCGCCGCTCTGTTGCTCCGCTGCACGGCGGTGCGCTTGCTTGCTGGTGCGAGAGACGCCAGCGTCGCAGTCGGGCCCCCGGTCAGGCCGCCCTTTGGCTTCTGGCGGCCGAGGCCACGCCTGAGTGCCCGCAGCACGGGCGATCTAAGCCCTCGTCTGAGCTGCCGGCCGAAGGAACGGCACAGCGCTGGCTTGCTTGCCCGTTGCCCGTTCGTGGCCGTCCGCATGGTGGTGAGCGGTGGTGCGCGACGTGCTCAGAGGCGCACGCCCGTGCCTCTCGAGCCGAGGCACGCACACAGTCATGCTTCAGCCGAGCTGGCGGACCGACAGACGCTACTCGCATTCTCGATGTCGTGAATCAGAGGCGTCGGGACTGACCCTACGCTCGCCCTCTGCAGTCTCTGTCGGAGGAGGAGCAGAAGCTGTTCCGCCTCTACGGCAAGCTGCCGAACCGCAAGGACATTGTCGGCAACAAGCTCAAGGTGCGTCCCCACTTGCTGCTGCTCTTGCCGCTTCGACTGACTTGCCCTCAAACGCGCAGGAGCGCAAGTACTTTGACTCGGGCGACTATGCGCTGAGCAAGGCGGGCAAGGCGACGCCTCAGTCCGTGGGCACTGCCATTCCCAACCCCGAGACGATCCCGCATGCCTCGACCGTCTCCTCGCCTCCGTCCGGCGGCGCGCCCTCGTCGCTGGGCCCCGCGTCGGCGTCGCAGCCCGTCGCCGTGCCCGACCCGCGCGGCATGGGGCGCAACCAGCCGCAGGTGAGCGCCTTCCCCACGGCCACGGGCTTCAGCTCCAACGGCTCGCCCGGCAAGGACGGCTCGCCCGTCAACAGCAGCAACCTGGCACAGGCGGAGCTGGGCGTCGACGATCTGATGGAGGACTAAGCGTGCGCGCGTTTGCAAGGACGCAGGTGGGGCGTCGGAAGATACGGCTCCGACCGTCGGCTTCTAGACGCGCATCGCGGCGGCGGATGGAGCTTCGGTCCTGCGTCATCGAGCCAAGTCGCTATGCTCTCTCGGTACAGGAACGGCCGGCTTCTCTCGTTTTGCGACTCGTCTCTCTCTCTCCTGCCTCTCTTAGCCTCTAATAGTCGGGCTTCGAACGCTCTCCCTCGTCTTCCTCTTCGGCAAGGCTCTCCCCATCTCCACACACCCCACTTCACTCCCTCTTCACATCTCCAACGCACATCTTCAACCTCCTCGTCCATCCGATCGTCTCCCGCCGATCCGCCGCTCTTCCCGTGTACACTACTCGCGACCCCCAGAACTCGACGTGACTCAGCTTCCTCTTTCGGCCTCTCTCTCTCTCATCTCCTCTCGCGCGTCTCGCGTCTCAGAAATGCCTCATGATGAATCAAACTGACGTGGCCTGCGAGCCCGAGCCTCTCTGTGCGGCGCTAACGTCACGCACTGAGCTTGCCTCGCTCAGGAGGGTTGTGCTGGCGCCCTGGCGCGACGCAGCACATAACGAGCCGCAAGTGGCAGTGCTGAAGATATACGAGCTGCAGCTGCGTGAGGATAGGGGCCCCGTTCCCATCCGGATGCACAGCTGAACGCCCAGTCGACCCGCGCTTCCTTGCTGCGCTCTGCGACCGACGCCGACGAGCAGCCAAGACTGCAGTGAATGGGCCCGGACAGGGTGATGCGAGCAGCCGTCTAGTACCTGTACTTGCCGTCCCCAACGTCGCGAGCTTGGAGCCTTTCCCGATGCCCCAGCCTACCTCGGCATGTCGCCCGAGCGCACCCTCTGCCGAGCCTCGCACCTGCATCGTCCGCCATCTCCATGCCGCGCAATCACACTCGAGGCACCTCTCACACATCTCTCTCTCTCTCTCTCATTCATAGCCCGCAATGCCGGCGTGGCTGCCGCCCTTCTCGTGCATGACGTCGCGGATGCGCTGCATCAGGTCCTTCTGTGCTTGGCTGTTGTGGAGTAGAGTGTGAGCAGCCGCACAGCTGACGGAGCCGCCTCTCAGGCCCAACGCACATAGTCTCCTCATTCTCCCTCACGGCCCCGCTCAGCTCCTTGCGATCCTCGTCGCTCCACTCTTCCGTGCCCTCGCCCTGCACGGCCAGGCTGGCGTGCAGCTCGGCGTTGCTGCGCTGCAGATGCGCCACGCTGTGCTCGAGGCGCGCGTGCTCGGCCAGCAGCTGCTCGGCGGGCAGCGTGCGCAGCGTGGCGGCGCCGACGCTCTGGCTGCCGCCGGAGAGAAGCGAGGTGGTGGGCGTGGGGACGAGGAGCGGCATGGCTGATGGATGGTAGGGCGGGTGGGGAGAGGAGCGAGCGTGGCGCAGCGGCGCGTGCCATGCCATGTGGAGCAGCCGCTCGCTGCGCACCGCGCGCTCCGGCCTCGGCTGATGGCCCGGCGGCCGTGCGCGCGCCTCGGGCCTGCTTCGCTTCCGCGGCTGAACTCTGGCTCCTTCCTCTCTTGCTTCCTCGAGTCAGCTCCTCTCCTCCCACCACCCTCACCATCCATCTCAGCCCGCCATGTCGTCGCCCATTCCCGTTGCCATCCTCGGCTTCTCCTCCTCGGCGCGCACCTTCCACCTGCCGCTGCTGCTCGCCTCCTCCTCCTCCTTCTCCCTCCACACCATCCAGCAGCGCAGCACCTCGAGCTCCGCGCCCGCCTCTGCCTCCTTCCCCAACGCCCGCATCGTCGATGGCGTCGCCGAAGTCTTCGCCGGCGCAGACCGCCTGCCCGAGCGCGGCCTCGTCGTCATCACCACCGCCAACGCCACGCACTTTGACTTTGCCATGCAGGCCATCACGCACAAGTGCCACGTCGTCGTCGAGAAGCCGGCCGTGCTGAGCACGCGCGAGGCCGACGAGCTCATGGCCGCGGCAGAGCAGGCCGGCGTCGTGTGCACCGTGTTCCAAAGTGTGTCGTGTGGTCCACACTGTCCAAAGCTGCCGCTGACACCAGCGCCCGCAGATCGTCGCCTCGACGCCGACTTCCTCACGCTGCGCTCGCTCCTGGCGCCGCCGACGGGCGAGTCGCCGCTGGGCCAGCTGACGCGCCTCGAGAGCCGCTTCGATCGCTACCGTCCCTTTCCCAAGGGCGGCTGGCGCGAGGAGAAGGCGTGGCAGGAGGGCGGCGGCGTGCTGTGGGACCTGGGCAGTCATCTGGTCGATCAGGGTGCGTCACGACACTGAAGTGCAACCGGCAGGAGGACTGATCCCGCACGGAGCGCAGCTCTGCTCCTCTTCGGCCCGCCCGAGGCGATCAGCGCCCTTGTGCAGGCCACGCGGCGGCCCGAGTCGTCCGTCGAGGATGACTTCCTGCTGCACCTGCACTACCCCTCCACCTCCGTCGGCGGTCTGCGCATCACGCTAGGAGCTTCCTGCGTGTCGCCCTTCCTCGACGCCGAGCAGCCGCGCTTCATCGCACAGGGCCTCAAGGGCAGCTACCTCAAGCGCGGCCTCGACCCGCAGGAGAACCAGCTCAAGGCCGGCCTCTCGCCCACTTCCTCCAACTTTGGCTCCTACAGCGATTCAGAGCGCGCTTCGCTCCGCCTCGGTCGCCTTACCACCAGCGTGCCGCCCAAGCCCGCAAAGGAGGGCGAGGCGCCGAACCAGCCTCTCCTGGCGAGCGCAGACATCCCGACACTGCCCGGCGCATACGTGCGCTTCTATGAGGCCGTCGCTGCCGCGATTAGAGGCGAGGAGAAGCCGGACAGCTTCGTCACGCTGCAGCAGATGAAGGACAACACGCGCGCACTGCTGCTGTGCCGCAAGAGCGCAGAGGAAGGACGCAGCGTCAAGTGGACAGAGGAGGTGTAGACGCAGCAATGCATCGATGCTCTCTGCGCGAGAAAGCGTGAAAAAGGAGCGTGCCGTTTCATCATCTTCGTGCTGGAGAGAAGTACAGGCGGTAGGAGAGGGAGTGGGAGGCGACGAAGGGAGGCAGGAGGTCAGGTCCTTCACGAGCGCTCGCTGCGGTTGCGGAAGCGCAGCAGCGGCGCGAGCGACGACAGCGGGCAGGACTTGCGCAGGAACTCGTGCTGCCGGGGAGCATGTGCGTCAGCGCTCGCTCGAAGCCCCGCGCACAGGCAGGCCACACTCACCTGCAGCAGCTCGTCTGCGCTTGCGCGGCTCTTCACGTCTGCGCAGAGGCAGACGGCCAGGAAGCCCTTCAGCTCCTTGCTCAGCTTCTCGGGCTTCTTGAGCGTCGGCGTGCCGTTCGTCGCGATGAGGTAGAGGGCCTTGAGCGGCTCCTCGTCGAGGTACGGCGGCTCGTTTTCGATCATCTCGATGGCCATGATGCCGAGCGACCAGATGTCGACCTTGGCGCCATACTCCTTCTGCTTGACGACTTCGGGCGCCATCCAGTACGGCGTGCCGACCATGGTGGCGCGCTTCGACTTCTGGTCCGTCAGCTTGGCGCAGAAGCCGAAGTCGGCTGGGCAGGAGTGTCAGCGGCGAGAGGGAGAGCTGGAGAGGAGAGCACACGCACTGATCTTGACTTGGCCCGACGAGTTGAGGAGCACATTGTCCGACTTGATGTCGCGATGGATGATGCTCTGCGCGTGCAGGTGCTCCAGACCCTTGCACGTCTGCGAGGCGAAGCGACAAGTCAGCAAGCGCGCGCATCGCGACGACGTTTCGTCAACACATCTTGCCACGCACCTCGAAGCAGATGCTCGCGATCTGGTCCTCCTCGAGCGTGTTGTTGTCGATGATGTCGGTCAGCGCGCCGCCCTCCATGAACTCCATGATGACCCAGAGCTCGTTGTTGCGCACGAGATAGCTCTCGAGGAAGTTGACGATGTTGGGGTGCTGCGACTCCTTCATCACCAGGATCTCATTCACGATGAGCTCCTTGCGCGGCTGGTGCGACAGATCCATCGTCTTGATGGCGACGCGCTGCCCCGTCGCCAGCGTCTTGGCGACGTAGACGGAGCCCGATGCGCTGCGGTCCTCGCCGTCAGCTCCGCGCTCGCCTGCGCCTCACGCCCCCCACTTCACTCACCCCTGGCCGACCTTCTTGATCTTCGAGTACAGCGCATTCGGATCGTCCGGGTTCACCACCTGCCGCAGCTTCTCCATGATCTGTGCCTCGCTCATCGTCGAGATGCGCCGCTCGTTCTCCTTCTTGCCCGAGCCGGGCGTGTCGGGCTTCTTGGCCGTCTGCAGCGGCTTGACGCCCGTCGCCGTGCCGCTGCTCGCGGCCGGCGGCGGGCCCTTGGCGCTGCTCGAGGAAGACGCCGGACTGCTGGCCTTGTTCGCCGCCGACGGGTCCAGCTTCAGCTCCTTTGTCTTGACGTTGAGCGCCGCCACGCCACGCTGGGCCTGCTCCTCGCGCTCCCTCTCCCGCGCACGCTCCCGCTCGGCCGCAGCGGCACTCTGCTGCTGCTGCGCCTGCTGCTCGCGCGCCTGCTGCTGGGCGGCAGCCGCAGCGCTGGCAGTGGCAGCAGCCGACTTTGGCGGCGCCGGCGCCTGACGCGGCGGGCCGGGCGCAGCGGGCGCCTTGCGGCTCGGCACCAGATCGCTCTGCGCCTGAGCGGGCGACGGGCCTCGCTCGCGCGGCGTGGGTGTCGGTGCGTTTGTTGGCCGTGCGCCCGGCCCCGGGCTGGGTGCGCGCGCGCCGCCCGACGGCGCAGCAAGGCGCTCGTCGCGCTCGACGGACGGGCGCGCGGAGCTGCTGCCGCTGCTCGCGCCCTCGTGCGACGGCCGGTAGGCCTGTGCTGTGGAGCCGTGGTACGAGCCGTTGGAGTGCGCAGACGAGGAGCTGAAGCCCGAGTGCTGCTGCGTGAGCGGCGGCTTGCTGCTCGTGCTGCGCCCGTCGCCGCCGCTGCCGGACGACGCCGCGGCCTGGCTGCCCGCGAAGCCTGTGCCCGCGAAGCGACCAGGCGTGGCCTGCGCTGGCGAGTCGCGCGCCGGCGCTCCGCTCGGCCGCAGCCCTGCGGCAGGCGATGCAAGGCCAAAGTCGTCGCGCTCGCGCTTCTGAATGTCGGTGTAGAACTCGAGCACGTCCAGCACGGCCTGCGGGTTCTTGGCGTAGTCCTCCTTGGTGATGGCGCTCGTCGTCAGCAGGCGCGTCCACTGCTCAGGCAGGCCCGTGAACGCGCCCGACACTGGGTCGAAGCCGACGTGCACCTGGTGCACAAAGTTCGTCGGCGACGACACGCCCATGAGCGGCGAGCGCGAGTACACGTCGTCCATCCAGCCGTAGAGCTCCTCGTCGCTCTTGAGCTGCAGGTAGTACGTCTTGTCCTTCGTCTCGATCTCGATGCAGTACGGCTTCAGGTCGGTGCGCGTGACGTTTGTGATTTCCTTGAGGAAGACGAGCGCCACGGCCTGGTACGTCGTCTGTGCGCCAGCCAGCCGCTCAGCACAGGCCCCCTCTGCGCATGCCTGCTGCAACTCACCTCGTTCTTGTGGAAGGTGAGCGTCTGCTCGCGCAGCGCCAGCCAGCGCTTGCTCCAGATCCAGCTGCGGATGCCGTCCTCCTTGACGCCGACGTAGCCCTTGCGCACAATGCCGCCGCCGCCGCCGGGTGCCGCGGCGGGCGGCGTGCCGCTCCAGCCGGTGCCCTGCGCAAAGGAGCTGCCGCCGGACTGCTGCGGCCCAGCAGGGCGCAGCGAGCCCGTGTACGAGCCGCCGCCTGCGCCGCCGCCGGCGCCCATGGGCATGCCCGATGCGCCGGCGGACGCGGGCGACGTCGACGAGGCGCTGCTGCCGTAGTTGGACGCGAGCGGCGGCAGGAAGGGGTCGCTGTGCTGCGACGCGGGCACGGGCGGTGCGCGGCGCGTGGGCGTCAGCGAGGCGAAGCCGCCGCCGCCGCTGCCGCCGTTGCTGCTGCCGCCGCCGTTGCTGGCGCCGAAGCCGGACATGCTCGGCGGAGCAGGCGCGAGGGGCGAGGAGGGAGGGCTGAGGCGGCGCGAGGCGCAGGCGCGTCACGCGGCCGCGGAGAGGTGGGCGGCAGAGGTGCGCTGGGCAGACCGGCGAGCGGTGCGTGCGGCGAGGTCGGGTGGCGGTGGTGGTGGGTGCGAGGTGCTGTGGTGGCTCGACGACGACGACGACGAAGAGCAGGTGTGGAAGGCACGTCTCTGTCTGTCAGCGCCAGCGACAGCACCAGCCGCGAGGTCGAGCTGCTGCAAGGCGCACAAGCGCACAAAGGCGCACGGCGAGCGCGCCATGCGGAGCCGGCGCCCGGGCGCGCGAGGCGGGCGCAGCAGGCGCGCACGCAGCGGCAGCAGCATCAGCTGCGCCAGCGCGCGCAGGGCCAAAATCAGCCCGCCAGCGACGAGACTGCTCTCGTGCCCATGTGCTGCGCTGCGCCGGCGCGACCCCGACCAACTCCAGCGCATGCCGCTCCGCCGCCCCGACTTCGCGCCTCGACACGCCTGACAGGCAGCCAGACATGGATGTCTCGCCGCGCCGGCGTTTGTCGCTCGGCGAGAGGAGGGCTGAGGACATCAGCGAGCTCGAGCCTCGCAGTGATCTCATCGCCACCCGTGCCACGCCGCAGCCAGCAGCCACGCTCCTGCTCGGCGCTGCGGATTGGACGTCGCGCTGGGCGGAATGGGAGGAGGCCCAAGCGCGCCCGGCCGCGCGGCAAGGGGTGCAGGCGCGCCGCGCGTCGCGTGCTGCTGCCATGCCGCCGGCCTCCTCTCGCTGCATCTGCCTCCTCTCACGTCTGCAGCGCCTCACAGCTCTCACGGCGCCCTCGTCGTCGTCCTCGCCTGGCTGCGCTGACCGCGTGTGACCCCTTGGTCGGACACACGGGCGCTCCGAATGTCCGAGAAGAGTGGCCGCCGCACGTGCTCTTTCCCACGCGCTCAGCAGGCGTGGGAGCGCCCGCTCGCTAGATCGAAATCCGCTCCGCCGCCGCCGCCGCCGCCGCGAGCTCATCAGCGGCAGTGGGGTCGCTCTGCCGTGCCCGTGCGAGCGCAGCAAGAGGTCTTGGAGGGACGCTTATCGCGCTCACAATCTGCCAAAGACGTTGCTCGATCGAGATGTCTGCTCGGCAGGCTACAATAAGTTGGCAAAGTGTGGGGCATCGAGACGTTGGTGCCAATTGGCAGTGCTCGAAGGGCAGCCTCAACGTGCAACGCGCTCGTGTTCTCCTCACTGGCAGCGCCTCGACGCTCCAAGCTCATCAGCCTGCAAATTGGCGGGCCGCCTTTGTGTCCTTGCCAACTCGCGCCCCTATCACAAGCTTGCTCGCTCGGGAACGGCGGTCCGTTGGGAGAGAACACGCAGATTGTTCATCTCCCCGGCACGCTAGTCTACAAGGATGTGGGGCAAGCACGGAGGCCTGATTGCATTGCAGCCTGCTCCGTCGACAACGCTGCTCCGGCACGAAGGCATAAAAGGCTGAGCCTATCTGCCCTCCGTGCCTTGTCACCTCACGACCACCGCCAATCTCTCTCTCGCCACGCCATGGTCGGCCGTCCCACGCGCAAGCGCGCCCTCTCGCAGGCGGCGCTCGAGTCGCAGGCGTCCGAGGCGGCACTCAAGAAGCACAAGAACACCGGCCTGCTGAGCGACCTCAGCGACGACGAGGACGCCGGCGACTCTGACGACGACGGCTCCGAGCTGGAGGCGGAGGAGAAGGAGGCGGCAGCAAGCGGCGATGAAGCTGATGCTCAAGCAGAGGAGCCGAGCGCGGTCGTCAAGCACGTGCAGCAAGCCAAGGCGGCGGCAGCAGCGAAGACATCCAAGGACAAGGCAGCGAACGGCCGTGCCGCAAAGAAGCCGTCGCCCGTCGAGCCGGAGCCGGAGGAGGATAGCGACGACGCGCAGGCCGACGACAACGGCAGCGCCGACGAGGCGCCGGCGCCGCCTCCGAAGAAGGCCGCCGCACCCGCCAAGAGCGGCAAGCCTGCTTCGAAGCCCAAGTCCAAGTCTGCCTCGGTCGTAGCTGAGGACGAGGACGATGACGAGCCGGTTGCCGTCGAGAAGCCCACTTCGGCCGCGCAGAAGAAGAAGCAAGCGCCCAAGGCCAAGCCGGCGTCGGCCAAGGCTGCGACGCCGCCTGCGAGTGCGTCCAAGAAGGCGGCCAAGCCCGCAGCCGGCAAGAGCAATGGCAAGGCTTCCTCGCGCGCGGCGCCGGTGTCCGACGACGAGCACGATGGTGCCGAGCAGGCCGACGACGCTGCCGCAGTGGTGGAAGATGACGAGGAGGAAGCACCGGCTCCCCCGCCGCCGGCCAAGTCGGGCAAGGCAGCTGCGAAGAGCAAGCGTCCGGCCAGCGGCGCGTCGACTGCCGGCGGCAAGAAGCGCGCGGCGCCTGAGCCTGAGGCGAGCGACGTCGAGGAGCAGGCGCAGGAGCGCGGCGAGTCGCCGGCGGCACCTCCTAGCGCCAAGCACGGCAAGAGCACGAGCGACCGCAAGACGCGCGAGATCTCGTCGCCGCCGGCCAAGGCCGCTCGCGGACCCACTCCTTATCCGCGCAAGGACGCCGCCGTGGAGGAGGAAGAGGAGGGCGAGGAGGGCGAAGAGGAGGACGCGGCTCCGCCGCCGCCGGCCAAGAAGGCGAAGACGGCAGCCGGCGGCAAGAAGCGTCTCTCCCTCGAGGACACGCTGGAGGTCGACGACGACGAGCGCGCAGACGAGGCGCCGCAGCCGCCGTCGCCGAAGAAGAAGGGCAAGGTGCAGGGTGCCGCGCAGGCCGCTGCCAAGTCGACGTCCGCTGCCGCCGATGCGAGCCCTGATGGCGAAGGCTCCGGCTCAGGCTCGGCGCCGGCCAAGGAGAAGGGCGGCAAAGCCAAGGCGCACTGGAGCATGGCCGAGGACCGCGTGCTGGCGGCCGAGGTGCAGAAGGCGCTCAAGGAGTACAAGCCCAACTTTGCCGAGCTGCTCGCCGCCGTCAACGAGAAGGCGCCCGCGGGCGAGGAGAAGACGCAGCGCCAGCTCTACGACCGCTGGTTCGGCCGCTTCCGCAAGGCCGGCCTCAAGACGTTCGAGGAGTAGCTCGCGCGGCGAGCTTCTACGCCGGCGCGCCTCCACTCACTCACCAGGCTTCTCTGCGCCTCGCTTCCAACTACTGACCTCACAAGCTGCAATGACCCACGACTCGCTCCGCTTCCCAACGGTGCCGGCCGCTCGCGACGCGCGCAACCTCACCGTGCGCCAGAGAGCGCGCTCTCGCCTCCCCGTCCAGTCTCACAGCCGTCTGCTTTCGGCCCTAACGAAATGCCATCAGCTCCTGATTCCTCTTACAATTTGTGCATTGCGCTTGTGGCTCAGGCGCCGGCCTGGGCCTTGCCGTACACCTTATTCACCTGACGCAGTCGCGGTGTGAGCAGAGCAATTGTGGCGCGGCGCTGTGCCGAGGACTCACAATGAAGATGGACGTATCCAGGAAGCTACAAAGAGGGAAATTGAGAGGTTCAGAGGCAGTGCCGACAAGCTGCACCGCCCGAGCGCACTCACCGGTCGACGCAGTTGGCGAGGCAGGCCTCCTCGCCGCGCGCAAACGACGTGCCCGGTGCGCTCTTGACGCACTTGTCCCAGCAGCGCTACAGACATGCGTCAGCTTGGCTTACAATGAGCTGCCAAGGCGCAGACGCAGCTACGCACGTCGGTGTGGTCGTGGATGGTGCTCTGGATGCGTGCCTCGGCCTGCTTCGTCTCGAGGAACGAGTGCAGCTCCCTGCGGCGCGTAAGAGGTGATTAGAAGGCGGCGGAAACTGCGACGATGCCGTGCCGCCCAGGCGACGCACTTCTGGTCTGCCTCGTTGAGGCCGCTCTTGCTTTGTGCGGACATGTTGGGCGGGGGGTGAGGGTGGTCAGAGTGGAGGAGCGTGGCCGAGGCTGCGCACCCACAAAGGCTCGCGAGGCGCGCGGCGCTGCTCGGCCGACGGCGCCGAGCGGCGCGCCTCATCGAGCCAACCACGGCTGGCGCTGACAGATGCGTCGCCGCGCGCCGAGCGCGAGCTCGAGAGCCGCCGACGCACGAGCAGCTCGCAGTGGGCAGCGTCGCGCAGCCGGCTCTGGCGATCTTCCTTCCTCCGTCATCCCTCTCCACCACAGCCATGTCTCTCGCTCGCTCGCTCCTCCGCTCCGCCGCCGTCGCTGCGCGCGCGGGCACCGCCACCGCTGCGGCTGCGCCGCGCGCCGCCGTCGCCGTGGCGCCGCGCCGGACCTTCTCCAGCGCGCCCGTGTCGCGCTCCGATGCCCTCATGGTGCACCGCAACACCGACTACAAGTGAGGCCAGCAGGGAGCAGCAGCGCTGCCGCCCCACCGCGCATATCGCTGACCGCGCGCCGCAGCAACCCGTCGATCCCCTTCGAGTTCGACGAGCAGACGCTGGCGCAGGCCAAGGAGATCATCTCGCACTACCCGCCGCAGTACAAGAAGGCCGCCGTGATCCCGCTGCTCGACCTGGGCCAGCGGCAGAACAGCGGCTGGACGTCGATCAGCGTGATGAACTACGTGGCCGCGCTGCTCGAGATGCCGCCGATGCGCGTGTACGAGGTGGCCTCGTTCTACACGATGTTCAACCGCGAGCCCGTGGGCAAGTACTTCATCCAGATCTGCACCACGACGCCCTGCATGCTCGGCGGCTGCGGCAGCACAAAGATCCTCGACACCATCCAGGCGCACCTCGGCATCCACGCCGGCCAGACGACCGACGACAAGCTCTTCACGCTGCTCGAGGTCGAGTGCCTGGGGTGAGTCGGCGTGCGGTGCAAGCGAGGTTGTGGGAGCGCGGAAGGAGCGCAAGTGATGGCGCAACGGGTGTGCGAGCGAAGCGCTGGTACAGGCGGAGTCTTCTGAGCGGCTGGACGATGTCAAGACCTCGCGGCCGCTTTGCTGTGTCACAAAAGACGAAGCGGATTGTGGCCTGGATGCTGCGCCTGCCCAGTCTACATCCTACGCTTGCCGGCCCCGCGCGGAGAGACGCGCGGCGAACCCACGCTCACACTTGCCATGCAGCGCCTGCGCCAACGCACCAATGGTGCAGATCAACGACGACTACTTTGTGCGTAGCTCGCGGCTCCGATGCGCGCGCTCCATGCTGACGAGCTCTGCAGGAGGACCTGACGCCGGAGACGACGATCAAGATCCTCGACTCGCTGCGCGACGGCAAGGCCGTCAAGCCGGGCCCGCAGAGCGGCCGGCACTCGTCGGAGCCGGCAGAGGGCCGCACGGCGCTGACATCCGAGGTGAGTGACGCAGAGTTGCTGCATCGCGCGCGTTTGGCTCACGCGCTGCGGTCAGCCCTACGGCCCGGGCAAGTTCTGCGTGCCCGAGTTCGCCTAGACAGGCACACAGAGACAATCGAGCTGCGTTCACGGATCTGCGCGTGACGGCGGGGCACAAGGGCAATAGGTGCAGTGATGAGCCGGTATAAGAGACAAGAGGTATAGAAAGGAGGCGGGAAGTTGGGGAGCGCGGGCTAGCGCAGAGAGAGCGCAAAGCCGAAGCGCTGCTGCACGCGCGCATTGACGGCGTCGCGGGCAGCAGTGAAGGCGCTCCACCAGCGCTGCGCCGCCTCGTCGGCGCCAGTCGTCGACGGCGGCTCTGCGAAGCCGGCGGCTCGGAGGAGCTGCAGCCAGGCGCGCAGCACCGTGGCGGCCTTGTCGAGGTCGAGCGCCGGCGCGCCGGGCGTCGCCTCTGGATGCACGCATGCCAGCAGGAAGGCGCCGAAGCGCGCAGCATCGTTGGCGCGCGGGCCGGTCTGGCGCTGCCGAGCGAACCACGCCTGCAGCAGCGCCACGACGTCCTGCGTCGTGTGCTTGCCGCCGAGCGATGGCACACGCCCGGCCTCCTCATCGCGCTGGCGCGCCGAACGGGCCAGCACGAGAGGAGGAAAGGGCGCACCGCCCTCAGCAGCGACGCCGCCGGGATCAGCTGCCACGCGGGCGGCGCGCTCGGCGGCAGTGCGGCGTTCCTCGGCGCGCGTCTGTTCGGCGAGGTGCCGACGGCCCTTGAAGCGCGCCCGCTTGCTCTCGACGATGCGCGTCTGGCTGTGCAGCGTGTCGCGCTGCATGTCGAGCGGCAGCGCACGGAAGAAGGCCGGGTCGATCTCGAGCGCCTCGAGATCCGCAGCGCTGAGCTTGCTCGGGTCTGCCGCCTGCACGGCCACCTTGGCGCGCGGCTGGTCGGCAGGGACGATCGTCTTGCCCCAGGCCTTTGCCAGCGGCCGGCTCACCGTGCGCTGCTTCTTGCGTGGCGACTCTGACTTGGAGCGCGAGGCGCCGGCAGCGCTGCGCGAGCGGATGGCGGCGTCACGCAGCACCTCGTCGCGTACATCGTCGGGCAGTGCGGAGAGCACGCCAGGGTCGATCTGAGAGAAGGACGGCATGAAGGCCGCCCGGTCCTCTGCGGCGCGCCGCTTGGACGGCGTCGTCGACGCGGCACGAGCGTGCACCGAGGGCTGCGCCAGCGTTTCCCGGCCTCGCTGTACGGCCAGATCCGGCTCGGCAGATACGGCGCGAGCAGCAAGCCCGGACACAGCAAGAGCTGGCTCACTCGCACTGGCCAGTCGAGCTGCACGAGCGGCCCGCGCAGCAGCGACCTGCTCTTGCATGCGTGCCGGAAGCGCCGCGACGACGGCGTCGTCGATCTGCGAGGGGATGGCGAACTGTGTGCCCGGCGGAGGCGCAAATGGCCGCTGTGCGAGCGGGCCGGGCTGCCACATCCGTGGTGCTGGCGGCGCTGGCGGTGCCATGGCGCGCGGTGCGGGCGGAGGCAGCATCGGCGCGGGCGTCGCCAGCTTGCGAGGCGTCGGGGGTGCCGGGCTGGGCGAGCGGCGCGGGCGTGGCTCGGGTCCGGGTTGCAGAGGGTCAGGGTGCGGCGCCTCGTCCTCGTCTTCGTCGTCGTCAGCGGGTATTGAATCTCGCGAGGAGCCTGCTTCACGCAAAGACGGCGCTTCGAGCGCCGGTGCATTTGCAGCCACCGGCCGTGGCGCCTTGGCGAAGTTGAGCTGCGGCTGCCGCGGGAGAGCCTTTGGTTGCGCCACCGAGCCGTCGCTGGGCTCGAGCTTCTGCAGCGCGACACTTAGCCCGCGCTGCTGCGTGGCGTCGGGCGCCAGTTTGCGGATCATGGGCCACGCGACGCTGAAGATGACCTCGCCGTCGTCGACGGCCGTCGTGCCGGGAATGCCGCTGCTCTTGTTGTGCGTGTCGCAGACACCGTGGCCCATGAACTTGGGCGCCTCGACGGGCGCAGAGGCGGCACGCACCATGACCTGCACGGTGATGTGACGGCCGCGCAGCTTGGCCTTGCGCAGGCGCTCGGCGACTTCGTTGCACAGACGCCGCACGAAGGCCTCCGATTCGGCCATCGTCGTGAAGCGGATCGCGTAGTTGACGCTGGCGCCGAGGCTCTGGCGCAGCTTGCATGCCTCGAGGCGGTCGCGCTCGCGGCCGTGCAGTTTGTCCCACAGCACGAGGCCTTTCTTGGGCCCGAGCTCGGCCACGAGGCGCCCCTGCTTGGCCACCTTGCGCAGCTCGCCGACGTTGAAGGTCCCGAAAAGCTCCTTGAGCCGGCCGCGGATCGACCAGCCGACGCCGTGCAGATCGTCGACGTCGAGATCCGCGGTGAAATCGAGCATCTTCTCCGGGCTCAGGTGGAACGAGCCGCCCGGCTTGGCCTTGCGCGTGGCGAGACGAGCCTGCAGGACATTGGCGCCGATACCGATGCTGGCCTCGCAGCCAGTGCGCGTGCGGATGATGTCGCGCAGCGCCTCGGCCAGCTGCTTTTCCGCCGTGAAGACCTCGCCCTGACTGCTGACGTGGCCGCGGTACGAGGCGAGCAGCGCGCGGCGCTCTTCCATGTCAGCGCCCTCGGGCTCCTCGCCCTTGCGCATGCTCTCCAGCAGCAGGCTCACGTCCAGCAGTGCCTCGTCGATGCTCACGGACTCGAGCACGTCTGCGTGCGCCAGCAGGATGGAGTAGAACTGGATCGAGACGTCCATGTATGCCTCGAACTCGTACGGGATGGCCTGGATCTCTGGACAGTGCTTGCGTGCTTGCCCAAGACTCATGCCGTTGCGCACGCCGAAGCGTCGCGCCACGTAGTTGCACGAGGCGATCTCCGACGTGCTCGTCGCGTCGCCAGACGCACCCTCGCCACTGCCGTGACACACAGCGACTGGCTGCTCGCGCAGCTCGGGTCGCGAGCGAAGACCGACGGTGACGAAGAAGGAATCGAACTGTACGAGAGGCGTCAGCATCGTTCATGACCCCTGTGCTCAGCAATGGCTCACATCGACATGCATGATCACGCGTCCGACGCCAGGCGGCAGGTCTCGGCTGCCCTCCGCCCGGCCCGACTCTCGCATCGCCTGGCCGACCATGTCCTGCAGCTCGAGCTTCCACGTGGAGAGGTGGTGCAGGCGACTTTTGCCGTAGTAGCCGGCCAGAAAAGCCGTGCTCGTCGCTGTGTTCTCCTTGCGCCAGGATGGCGAGGACAAGAGTCGGGCGGCTGAAGCGTTGGAGGGCCTGGAGGCGTATGAGGAGAATACCTGCCGCGCGGTCTGCTCAGTCTGAGCCGCAGCGGTCTGCTTTGCTGCATTCGGCGACGGACGCGCGAGGAGCAACGTCGACGCTGCACTCGGTCTCGCCGGCGTCGTTGCAGTGTCGTGCGCACCCTTGCTCGGCGCCTGAGTCGCCTCGCCCTCTGCCAGCAGCGCCAGGCTTGAAGGCGGCGGCGTGCCACCTGGCATGGCATTACGACGCTCGACTCCGGCGCGTTCGATCGGCTGTCCTCTTTCGAGCGGCACTTGCGTCGGCTCGCCCTCCGCCAGCATGAGCGCGCTCGAAGGCGGCGGCGTGCCACCAAGCATCGCATTGCGGCTCTCTAGCCGCTCCGCCGTCGACGAGACTTCTTCAGCCGCTTTCTTCGGCGGCGTCTCGAGCTGTGCAAGCCAAGAGGCTGGCGAAAGATCTGCCTCCTTTGACTGCGATGAACGCGGCGGCGTCGTCGGCTCCCACTCGCCTGCGACGCTACTGGCGTCGCCAGACGCTGGCTGTTCGCTGGTCGGCGACGCTGGCGCTTGTGCCGCCACTTCTGCCGGTTCGGGCAAGGCATGCCGCTTGCCGCGGAGCACTGCCGCTGCGAGCGTAGTCTGGGCGCTCGCGCGGCCCCACGGATCGGCGTTGCCTGCACTCTGCACGTCCGAGCGCACCGAACGCGTGGCAGCAGCAACGGCATCAGACTGGCGCTGTTGATGCGATGAGCTGCTGGCCACCTGCGATGCAGCTGCGGCAGCGCCAGCGCTGCGCCAGCTTCCAGCGCCCTGCGGGGTAGGCGCGACACCACGTACAGATCCGGGCAGTCTGGAGCCAGCGGCCGCGCCAAAGTCCATCGCGCCTGCGGCGGTGGCATCGCAGCGAAAGCGGCGCCAGTCGAGCATGCGACCAGCGGCGATACTTGCTGTCACCCACTCGGGCCGCACAGTGCGGTAGTCGCGGAACTCGATGCGCTTCTTGGGCGTGAGCGACGAGGCGATGATGTGCGTGCACGGCGACTTGGTGTCGAGGTACACCATGTGCTCGCCGCCGTGCAGCAGCAGCAGGCGGCGCAGCTCGGCATATGGCGGATCCGTGTGGCCGTTGATGTAGCAATTTGTGCCCTCAAAGATGCGCGAGAGCAGACCGTCGGAAGAGCCAGCCTCGCCGTCGCCACTGCTGCTGCCCTGGCCGAGCATCGAGCTGCCCTGCACTTTGAGCTGTGTCGCGCAGTCAGTAGCTGCGGTCAGGCCACTGGCTTCATCTGACTCACCTTGCCGCGCTTGTTGTGTTTGTAGGTGCGCAAGTCTCCAAAGGCGCTGGGTGCGTACGTTGATGAGTTGAGATAGGCACGCTTTCGTGCCTCTGCGTCATCGTCGACGAGCTGCGAGTCGAAGCGCTCCTCGCCGGCGCGGATCTGCAGGTCGGCGTCTCGGGGCTGCGTCTTACTGCCCCGAGAGTCACTCGGGCCCTGACGCTCGGCTACATCTGGCAGCGCATCGAAAGACGGATCCATGGCAAAGCGTGCCCGCTTGGCCGTGCGTGGCGTGCTGCCGATGCCAGTCGCCGTGCTGCTGCGCGCACTGGCGAGCGCAGCTGGCGGCAGCCGTGGCGGGGGCATGATAGCACTGTCGGCACGCGCACGCCCCGGAGGCGTCAACTCGACGGTGGCGAGCGCCGCCAGAAAGCCCTCATCCTCGCCGAAGCTGCTGCTGCCCGAGACGGACGCGACGCTCTCCTGTGAGAGCGGCGCCTGGACTGCTGCGCCCAGCGCGCCCGGCGCCGCGGCGGGAGCGTCATGCGGAGGAGACATCACTGCACAAGCGCATGATGGAGACGCCGAGGACGTGGTGCAGGTGCGAAGTGCCCCAGCAGCGAGAGGGTGGGGTGCGCGAATGATGGAGAGGAGGCAGCCGACTCGGGCTGAGCGTGGAGGTGTGGAGGCCGGGCGGTGCGCGAGTGCGACTCCCGCGCCGGAGTCCGGCGTGGTCACACGGCCGGCCGACCCTATAAGCGCACATCCATCAAGCTCAGACAGGGCACATCAAGACGCGCCTCAGCCACGCGCAGCCAGCCGCTCCTTGCTCCTTCTCCTCACTCCACGCCAGCACTCTCTCCGTGCCACAGCCCGCCGGACTCACTTCCAGGTCGCGTGCACATATCGCACCCCACAACCAGGACCTCCCACTCCCGCCCTCTCGTGCCGCCGCCTGCTCCGCGTTCTCGGCGCGTCGCAGCTCGTCTGGCGCGTCGCGCGCCGTCTCCTCTGCGCTGTGCGCAGCCGGCATTCCTGCTGGGCACGCCACACGCATCAGAACAGCGCTGCACTGCGAGAGCCTGAGCAATGTCGCACGCTAGCTCTAGCCGCGCGGCGTCGCCTCTCGCTGCTGCCGCCGCCGGCTCCAGCCGCAGTGGCAGCGCAGACGTGGCCGCCGGGCCTTTGTCCGCCGCCGCAGTCAAGAGCGAGGCGTCGACGTCTGCACCTCGACGAGCCGCAGCCTCACCAGATGCAGCCGGCAAGGTCAAGCAATCGCCCTCATCTCCCCGTACTGGTGGCTCGCGCCGCTCCAACTCGCCGCTGCTCTCCTCGCCACGCGCGCCGGTCTCCTCCGCCAGCAGTCCGATGCACATGAGCGACGACGACGACGCAGCCGACGCAGCTGCTGGTCCATCAGTCAAGATGGAGCTGGAGCGCAAGCCGCCGCCGCCCACCTTCTCGCCCTCGCCCACGGCCTCTCCCTCTCCGCACTCGTCGCCGCGCGCGCGCAAAGACTCGGGCGGCGCCGACACGCGCACTTCTTCGCCCTTCTCCTCTGCCTCAGCCTCAGCGTCGGCACCCCAGCCGCTGCCGCCGAAGCGCGAGCGGCGTGGGCCGGCGGCGCGCAAGAAGCTCGAGCTGGGTCCGCCGCAGCTCATCCACCACCTGCCGCGTGCAGAAGAGGAGGCTCTGGCGCAGTTTGAGGAGCTGAAGCGCAACTGGTACCAGACCTCCAAGCTGGGCCGCAGCAAGGGCCAGGAGGAGGGCATGGTGTGCGAGTGCCGCTATACGTATGGTGAGTATGCGTGGCCCGTATCGAGTGATGTGAGCGTGACGGCGGCTTGTCTGTGCGGCGCGCGCTTCTCTGCAGCGCGTTCATCGCTAACAGTCGGGCGTCAGCGCGTTGCCTCGTCCCAACCGCGCGCAGAGTCGTTGCGCGCGCGCTGATGCGTGCGCAGTCGGGCATCCCAGTGCGATGCTCAAGCGAAGCGCTGTGCATCTCTGCGCGCTGCGGTTGGTGCTTCTCGGCGGCTCGAGCGGCGCGCTCACTGACGCGAAGCGCGTCTCTTCGCGCGTGACCCTGGCGACGCCCGCGACTGAGCTGACAGACTTTGCGCACATCAGGCGTCGACTCGCCGAGCGTTGCGTGCGGCGAGGAGGCAGGCTGCATCAATCGTCTGACGCAGGTCGAGTGTCTCGAGTCGGAGTGCAACTGCAAGGGACACTGCCAGAACCAAAGGTGAGCGCTGCGCGCTGCGCAAGGCGTCACGCAAACTCTGACGCTTCGTGCGCGCGCCTCAGGTTTCAGCGCTCGCAGTACGCCGACGTCGAGATCGTGCAGACAGAGAAGAAGGGCTTTGGCCTGCGCGCTGCCAGCGACCTGCCTGCGTGAGTGCAGCACTGAGTCGCGCGCGCACAATGGCGGTCCACTGACGCGCCCTGCAGCGAGGCGTTCATCTACGAATACGTCGGCGAGGTCGTGGAGCACAAGACGTTCATGAAGCGCATGCAGCAGTACGCCGCCGACGGGATACGGCACTTCTACTTTATGATGCTGCAGCGCGAAGAGGTGAGCGGCTCGGCGTGTGCTGCGCTTGCCAAAGCTGACACTGCCGCGCAGTACCTCGACGCGACGCTCAAGGGCGGGCGCGCGCGCTTCATCAATCACAGCTGCTTGCCCAACTGCTACGTGGCCAAGTGGCACGTCGGCAAGCACATGCGGATGGGCATCTTCGCGCAGCGCGACATTGCTGCCGGCGAGGAGCTCACGTTCAACTACAACGTCGACCGCTACGGGCACGACGCGCAGGAGTGCTTCTGCGGCGAGGCCAACTGCGTCGGCACGCTCGGCGGCAAGACGCAGACGGACATCGGCGGCATGGACCAGCTGTTCATCGATGGTGAGCAGGGTGTTGCTGGCGTCGCTGCGCTGCTGCTGACTTGCTTTCTGCAGCGCTTGGCATCACCGAGCAGGTCGACGACCTCGAAGCCAAGGGCACGCGCAAGAAGAAGAGCCGGCACCTGGACGAGGACTTCACAGTGAGTGTGGCGGATGCCGCGGCTGCGCCGCGGAGCTGACCGCCCCTGCCCTCAGCCGCTCATGCAGCCGATCGAGGAGCACGAGGTGGCCAAGGTCATCACTGCCGTGCGCCAGGCGACGTCGAGCCGGCAGCTGCTGCACAAGCTGCTGCAGCGCATCCGCATGACCAAGGGCCGCAGCGTGCAGCGCGCCCTCGTGCGGCTGCACGGCTTTCCGCTCATGGCCGGCGTGCTCGAGGAGTGGAGCGACGACAAGGAGATTCTGCTGCTGGCGATGGGCAGCCTGGCGCGCTGGCCGCTGATTGCGCGCAACAAGGTCGTCGATGCCGGCGTCGACTCGCTGGTGCGCGACCTCATGGAGCACGAAGACGCCGACATTGCCGCCATGGCGCGCGAGCTCATGGGCGCGTGGGACCAGCTCGAGTTGAGCTACCGCATTGCGCGCCGCGACGCTGCCGATGACGCAGGTCCGGACGGCGCCTCGACGCCCTCGTGGCTCGAGGCGCGCCGCGTGGCGGATGGCGACGACGTCGTCGTGCCTCTCGACTCGGCGCGCGCGCCCAACGCCGTGTCGGACAGCCTGAGCCGCATCGTGGCGCGCCCGCTCGGCACGTCGCGCGTGGCCATGGCTCGCCCGTTGCCTGGCCCGGGCATGCTTGGCCTGCCTGCCGCAATGGGCTCTGGCAGCACGCAGTGCTGGGGCCGCTTCGAGCCGCAGACGCCCAGCACGCCGCACACGCCCGACGGCAGCGCCCCGCCTAGCGGTCCGCTCGCTGGCATGCTGGTCGCAGCGCCGACGCCGAAGCCGCAGTCGATCGAGGAGATCATCCGGCGCGCCAACGAGGCTCAGGCACAGCGCGTGCGGCAGAAGGAGGAGCAGGACCGCAGCGAGCGTGAGCGTGCACGCGAGCTCGAGCGCGAAGGACGCAAGCAGCGCAAGCGTGCTGCCGCCAACGGCACGCGAGGCGGCGAGCGCGACAAACGGCGCAAGCCGTCTGCTACGACTGGCTCGAGCAGCAGTCGCGCGCCGAGCAGCAGTGCCCTTGCTGTCGACGCGGATGTGCCGATGGAGAAGCGCCTCAAGAAGCTCGTGGGCGAGGTCGTCGTGCGCTGCATGAGTCGGCACCAGGACGAGCTGGACCGCGACACCTTCAAGCGCCACGCCCGCGAGGTGCGTCCTGCGCTCCGACCTTGCCGCTGCCCTGCTGACCATCCACTCCACAGCTGACTGACCTGATCTGCGCCAAGGAGATGAAGAACTCCTCGTGGCCACCGCGCGACGACCGGCTCGAGGTCTTGCCGACCGAGAAGAAGGCCAAGATGAAGGCCTTTGCCAACGAGTACATCGGCAAGCTCGTCGCGCGCAAGGGCCTTCACGCTCAGCACCCACGGGCAGACAGCCTGGGCGCTGCGACTCCGCAGACGCCCGACGCCGACGGCCGGACGCGCGTCAATGGCCATGCCTCGCGCCTGTCGAGCACCCTGGCCTCGCCCGAGTCGTACAGTTCGCCGGCGCGAGCCTCGCATGCAAATGGCGAAGCCCAGGCGACGAACGGCAGCAGTGCGCCGGCGCCGCCAGCGCTGCCACTTGGCCTGCCGCCGGGCCTGTCGGCGATGCTCGGCGCATCGTCGGGAGGACTTGCCTCTTCGCCGCTTGCACAAGGCGCGAGCAGCACCCCGCTCAGTCTGCCGCCGGGACCGCCTCCGGGCCCGCCGCCGGGCCCGCCACCACCGCGTCCTCCGCCGTCCGGCCCAGCCGCACTGCGCGGCAGCTTCAAGCATGTCGCATCCTCCTCGCCGCCCGGTCCGCGGCCGCCGCAAGCTGCCCCGCCAACAGAACCGGCGGCCGACCGCCGAGCCTGGGCTGCAGCGCCGCCCATTGCCAGGTCGTCGCCTCCGCCCAACGCGCCGCGCGGCCCGCGAGGTGCCCGCACGCCGCCGCGTCCGCCGGCGCTGCAGCGATGAGAGCAGGCGATGAGCCACGCGCCCTCGTCGCTCTGAAGGCTCTCTCTACCTGTGCTGCATGTTAACCACCCACCCGTCACCTAAGCCTCCGTCATCTGCGGCCCTGCGCCCTCCGCTAATCGCATGTATCTGCGCGAGACCGTGTGTCGTCTTGACGTGCTCAGCGAGAGTCCCGTGACCGTGGCGCGCCACAGAAGGAGCACGGCGGTATATCGCACGAGAGAGTTGGACTGGTGTGCGCTTAGCTGCGTGGGACATTTCGTTCTCGCTGAGTGAGATGGTGGAGCCAGAGAAGAGAGCAGATGGTGGTCGGAACGGAGGCGCACACGCGGCGGGACAAGCGTCTTGGCCTGAGAGGCCGCGCCATTCTCAATTCCACGCGCCGCAGGCGGACGCTGGCCCAGCGCTGCCGTGCCGCGCGGCGCGCGGCACGCTTACGGCGCAGCCCGCGGCGCCACGGCAGCGCCCCTGGCGGTGGCCCAAGCCACGGAGGCCTCGCCCTGTGCCGCCGCCTCATCACCAGGAGGTTACTGAGGCATTCTGATTTGCTGCTGTCCTGCTGACGGCGCACGGCACGAGATGCGCTATGGCCCGCTGGGCCGCTGCACGCTGCGCGCCCGACTGCACCTCGTGCCTGTCGCGCGCGCGGCAGCGGGTGCGAGGGGTGTCAGGCCACAGCGCAGGGCGGACCTCAGCCCGGCGTCAGCCTCCACAGGCAGGCCAAGCACCCAGCCTGCTTGGTACAGTAGCTCTGGGCTGAACCAAGATTTTGACTGCAGAACGTAGAGCAGGTCCAGAGCGCAGGAAGCAGACAAAAGAGGCGTGGGCCAGCGCCGGCGTGTGTGTGGGCGCCGCGGCCGCCGCGGCGGGCACAGCCACGCGCGGCAGACGTGGCCCAGACCGTGGGAACAATCGCCTGGCGTGGCGCTCGCGGCGCGTGCGTCGCGCCCTGCTCAGCTCCACCATCCCCTCCCTTCCCGACTCCTCATCGCTCACGCATCTCTGTTCCACCCACTTTCTTCTGCCTCGCCTGCCGGAGGCCACTCTCACACGAGGCTGAGTCGCGCTCCCGCCCGTGTCGGCACGCGCGCGGCCCGCGCAGCGCCGCGGCCGTCGCCCATGCATCCTCTCCTCCGCCACCGTCTCGCGTCTCACTCGCTGGTCGCAACATGGCGCGCAGTGCGGGGGAAAACGGTGACATTTGCAGCGGTTCAAGGTGCGTGCGCATCGCTGCGACGGCCAAGAGAGTGTGGGCTGGGTCTAGAGTGCGAGCTAGCGCCGGAGCGCGGTCAGTGCCACGGGGTAACGGAAAAGGACAGTCTGTGGAGGGAGGCCGGTGCAGCGAGCAAGGACGGGCGGCGCACGCCACTCGGGAACCAGCGCTTAGTTGGGGGCCTCGAGGAAGAGGCGGATGTCCTTGGTCTGCGTTCCGTCCGTGTAGGGGTAGGCACGGCGGAAGGCGGCAGCGTCTGTGGTGCGGTGTCAGTAGGAGCTCTCGATGTGGCTGGCAGCGAGCTTGACGTACCGGGCGACGCGAACAAGTAATAGAAGGTTCCCTCCTTAAGGAGGGTCAGCCACGACGTCTTGGCGTACCGGCCCGTCGACTGAGTCCAGACGGGGGTGATCTCGAGACCACCGGCGGCGAGCGGGTGCACGTTGTAGATGTACGTCTCGTAGCCCTGCTGGTTGCCCTGGCCGACGCCGCTCGGCTGCTGCGGGCCCGTCTGGCTGGAGGGGCCGAGGTTGAGGAGGGCGTAGTCGGCCGAGTTGGGAGCGAAGTTGGCCGCGTCCTTGTTCTGCTCGCCGACGAGGAAGTTGCCGGCGAGGTCGGAGAAGGCGTACAGGCCCGAGGGTCCGTCGCGCACGAACATGTACTGCGAGTCCGTCGAGTCGATGCCCGGGAGGCCGTTGCCGTTGACGGTGCCGAGGCGGGCGTCCGTGCTGGCGTCCTTGGCGACGAGGCGGCCCGTGGGGGCAAGCGCGTAGATCGTGGTCGACGTAGCAGTGCCCTGGCTGAGCGTCGTCGTGGCGTAGAGGGTCGTAGTGACTACGGTCTCGACCTGTGCCGTGGAGGTGCTCGTCGTTGTGGCCGTGTTGGTGGCGGTGGCGGTGCTCAGGACCTCAACGACCTTGACGTCCTTGGCCATGGCGAGCAGGGCCGTCTGCGTGCGCACGCGGCGGTTGCGGCAGATGCACGAGAGCGAGTACTGGCCCTCGAGCTCGTTCTGGATCTTGCACACGCGGGTCCGGCTCACGGTGCCGACCTTCTTGCACTCGGTGTCGCACTGCGCGAGGTACAGGCCGCAGAACTCGGCGCCGTCGCGGCGGCTGAGGCTGGAGCCCGGCACGGCGGGGGCGATGACGTAGTCCGTGACCGGGTAGGTCTCGCCGCCCTCGCCGTTGCTCAGGAGCGTCGTAGTGACCGTAGCCGTAGGGACCGTCGCGGTGCTCGTGATGACGGACGTAGCAATCGAGGTCACGATCTGGGTAGCCGTGGCAAGAGCCTGCGTCGTGACGGTGCTGGAGGGAGTGCATGTAAGCATGATGTAGGTCTGCCGCCTCCGTCATGCCTTCGCTCGACTTACACGGGCACACCGTTGACCACCTTGGTCGCAGTGATCGTGGCACCGCTGCCGAGGTTGCGGAGGGCCTGGCTGTTGAGGTTCTTGCCGTTCGCGCTGCAGCCAAATACGTAGTTTATGTTGTTCACAGCCTTTTTACAGCTGAACTTGATGTCCACGGGACCAGACGCCTTTCCGTCCATCGCGGCGCCGACGCAAGCGGCCTGGTACTTGGCGCAGAACTGCGTGTAGCGGTTGGGTGCCTTCTGGACGACGGCGGCCTTCTTGGGGAGGACCTTGCTGCCGGGCAGGCGCGGGCGGGTCACGGCGCGCGGCTCGAGCTCGGCGCGGGCGCTGAGCGCCACGATGAGGAGTGCCAGAAGGCCGGAGAGGTGGAGGAGCTTCATGGCGAGCGGTAGTCGGTCGAGTGGAGAAGGAGGATGAGGAAAGGGCAGAGCAAGAGCGGCAGGCTCCGCCTTATGAGGGGCTTTCCGAGCTGCCCGTGGGCGGCGGAGGCCTGTCGCGGCGGGCACAGCGTACGTGTGTCGGCCTGTCAGGCAGCCACATCTCGTCGCTCCCTCGCCTCGGCCGCCTCAGCTGTGCGTGCCGGGAGCGAAAGAAGGATTCTCCAGGGCGCCTCGGCAGAGGCAGCGCAGCCGAGGCAGAGCTGGATGCTCATGGACGGCCCCTCCGACCCGCTCGCAGGTGCGTCGGACACCCAACGCCGCAGGCCGAGCAACGTGGCTGCAGCTGCATTCACCCCGCGGGAGGTTGCTCGGGAAGGCCTTGTCTGTCCCGAGAGCCACACGAGGGGCAGAGACGCAGCGTCTAGGCGCAAGGGCGGGAGAATGCTCGCTGTGCTGCGAGGTGCGTTGCGGCCGGCGGAGCGCCATGCACCCGTCCAGTGGGCCGGCGCGTTTTCGCGTGTTGGTGTATCGGCGAGCGCAGCGCTGCGGTTTATCCATGCTGCAGACGCCACTCGGGTGCTCGACTGGCCGCTGCGGGCCGGTGCGAGGCCGAGCATGAGGTGTGTTCCGTGCAGGTGCAGCGTGCGTGAGCGAGGGGCAGGGTGCGGCCGCCAGGGCGAGCGGAGGCAGCACGCACGCGGCGCACGCAGCGGCTGCAGCAGCGGCAGCGCAGGCTGCAGAGGCCCGCAGCCAGCAGCAGCAGCGAGGGCCAGGCTCGGTGCCTGCGGCGTGCTCTCGGCGGGTTCGCCGCGAGCGTCAGGGGGCACGGCACCTGGGCTTGACTCACGCCTGACGCAGCCGCAGCGAGGCACGAGCGCAGCACCCGCAAGCTCACAAGCCGGGTGCCGGCGTCCGAGGCGGAGCGCGCGTGCGCGGACAGAACGCGCCGGCACTGCCCGGCTGCGGCTGCTGCACGCTGCTCGAAGAGGCAGCTGCGGCGCAACTTGCTCTGACGCTGCTCCTGCGCCGCACCCAGAATAAGAGCAGAGGACATCGCTGGGTGCACCTTTCATGCAGCGAAGCAGCAAGCTGCAGGGGCGCGCAGGAGGGCAAGCGAGCCACCTGTCCCGCGCATGCGTGTCATGCGCGTGCTAGAGCTTGCTGCACGGCGCTGCACGCGGTGCGCCACAGCGAGCAAGGCGGCAGCAACGCCCGGCTCAAGATTGGGCCGCGCCGCAGACGTGCCCCTCGGGTGCAGGAGGGCTCGAGGCGCGTGCCTCGTCCATCACCACGCCTACTTTTCTGCGCGGAAGCTGCCTTCATGCGTGCCGTGCTGCGCGCTGCGGAGCCCCAACCTTCTCCGCTCCCGCGCGTGCATGCTCGCCTCGCCTTCGGCAGGGCTGCAGGCGCTGCCGGCAGCATGCAGATGCTCGGCGCCGCACCCGCTTCCATTCTCCGCGTGGCGCCTGCGGGCCGGCCTCTCGCTGTATGTCTGCAGGCTGCAGCGCGCAGCAGCGGCGATGCGGCTCCGGCCAGCGCACGCTCGATGCGGGCAAGGCGGGGCGCGCGCGGCCGAGCGCGCTCCTTGTATCTGAAACCTCAAAGTGACATGTACAGCACGTCGGCGCGAGCCTTGAGCTTCTTGAAACGCATTACAAGAGACAGGCTATAGGGCAAGGCGGAGCTGCTGCAGAGGCTCCGCACAGCACGCTGCCGGCGGCTCGTCGCCGCGAGCCAAGCCGGCCCTCTGTGCGCGCGAGTGCCGTCCTCCCAGGCCGTTGACAGCACGCATCACCGGTCATCTCACCCATGCTGCACACCTTCCAGGACGAGAAAACCGCACGGCCAAGACCTCGCCGAGCCTTTGCGGCGGAAAGAGGGTCCCGTGTGGCTTCGCGAGCCGCTCCCGTGGGTGGTCGGAGGGGTCCATCGCCCTCTCCGCCTGGGCCTCCGCCGGTGCCTGCACCGGGGACAGCTCCCGTAGCACTTGGCACCTGACATCGGCCGACACTCCTCTCCGCTGTACCGTCGGTCAGGGCCTGGTGGCGCCGTCGCCGAGCATCGAGCGAACCCGCAGGCGGTTGCGAGAGCATCCACGAGCAGCACGGGAAGGTTCGCTGCGCGCAAGGGACGGCTGATGGCCCGAAACCCTGTCCTGCACGTCTCACAGCTGCTCTCCGCCGCTGCCGAAGAAGGGAGCAGAGAAAAGCCGCACTCCCGCATGCGTGGGCGGCAAAGTAACGAAGGACATGACTCGGGCCGAGCGGGACGGCCTGTCTGACACACCAGCAACGGTACAGCCGGCCAGCCGCGGGCTGTCTCATGGCACCTACCGAGCGAAATGGCTCGAAATGGCACCCTTGTAATTTTGAGAGGCAGCTGTGACATTGAGTGCCTCAGGAAAGCCACTGTGCCGCGGTGCACTGAGGGATGGGCACCAATCCTCGAGGCGTTCAGGGCTACGCGCGTCGGACGCGCACGCGACGTTCGGAGGCCGCGCGAGGCCATCACGCGGCGTGCTGCGCGCCGCCGCAGCACACGCTCAAACTCAGACTTGGAGACATTGTGGGTCAGGCGCGTGTCATTATCAGTCGGAGGCTCGAGATCACGGTATATACAGCAAGGTGAAGGTGACGGATCAGTTTCCAGCGTAGCCAGGCGAGACGAAGGGCATGTAGGCGCAGTCCTGCACGACACCGCCCGTGATGGCAGCCTGGTTCGACTGCGACTTGAGCGCCGCGACGCCCTTCTCCGGGTCGGCCGCGAGGAAGACCTTGGATGCGGAGCCATCGACGTAGGTGCAGACGATGGGGAAGAAGTTGCCGCCCAGCGTGTCGACGGCCTGGTACACGCCGGACGACTGGCCCGGCACGGCCAGCGGCGCGAGCGTGACGAGCTGAGCGCCCTTGGGCACAAAGTCGGGGTCAACGATGCGGATGCGCGAGACGCCCAGCGACTTCATCGTGGCGGGCCAGTAGACGAAGATGTTGCCCTGGTCGTCCTGTGCCACAATGTTGTCGACCGCCTGCAGCACGACACCTGCGCCCGCCGAGCCGACGGCACCGACGGCAAAGTTGCCGTTGCCGCCCGCCGCGAGGATGAGCTTGCCGTCCTGAGTCTGGATCTGCGAGTACTTGACGCCCTGCAGGTCCACCGGCTTGAAGACGGTGGGGTCATCGACCGTCGGCTCGAGGCCCGCGTCGTACTGGGAGATGGCCTGGCCCGAGGCGGCCTGCAGCGCGGCAAACGTCTGTGCGCTCAGGCCCTGGCCGCGGTCGAACGACGTGGGGTCGTCGAACGGCACGACGATCGACTTGGCCGACACGCCGGGCAGGTTCGGCGGCGTCGTGGCGCCGCCGGAGCTGCTGCTGCCGCTGCTCGAGCCCGGCAGCGCGGGCGCCTGGCGCTCGCTGATGTTCTCGGAGGCCGCCGCCGAGGCGATGGAGCCCGCGACGAGGAGCGACGTGAGGAAGGCGAAGTGCATGGTGGCCTTGACGTCTGGAGAGGGCTTGAGAGGTGGTGGAGAGAAGGCAAAGACTGCCGCCTGCTTCGCGCGATTTGCCTTTGTACTCCAGGGGACGCGTGCTGCGCGTCCCGCAGGCGTCGTGCCGCGGTCTGCGGAGGGGCGCTTGCGGCCTTGCGCTGCTCTCCGGTGTGGCTTCATCGCTCTTCCCGTCTTTGCAGTACCCTCGACACTGTCTCTCCCATCCCTCGCTCGGTGTGTCGGGCAGGACGTCGGAGCGGCGCGGCCGCACGAGGGACCGAGGTGCAAGCCACGCGTCGGGACCGGCCCCGGCGCCGAGTGCATCCACGGGGCGCCACGGTGCTGCGCAGCGCAACCCGGCGCTGTCTCGCGGCGGGCACGCCCTGAGCGCTGGCCCAGACGCTCCTCTGCGTTTTGCTGCGTGCACTCGGCGCTGCGGATGCATGTGCAGGGTGCGCGATGCGTTGCGCCCGCGGGGCGCGGCCTGCGAATGAGGCTGCAGCATGCGCCATGCACGCGCACGCATCGCGCATGCTGCACCCTGCACGAGCGGAGGCAAGGCTGCGCGCCACAGGCAGCAGGCGCGGACAAACGAGCATCTGCCGCCCAGCGCTTCAGGCTGAGCGCTGAGCCCGTGCCGTCGACTGCTGTCCTGCGCGTGCGATCGTGTTGGGCCGCTGCAGCACGTTGCGGCTGCATCCTGCTGGCGGCGTTGCACGGCCGCGGCCTGGTGCTCGTGCCGCAGCCGCGCCAGCGGCAGCCGCAGACCGTCGCCTGCTGCTGCGCGCCCGCGCGGCCGGCGCGTGTCCCGAGATCTCGTGCCGCCGCCGCCGCCAGCACCCGCACCAGGTGGGCCGGCTGCCCGCTCACCACATGCACCCGCAAGCACCCGTCGCCCACACACCAGCACCCTTACCCGGTGCCGCTCCCGAAGCGGCACATGCACATGCACGCCGGCTCGCCGCTCCAACGCTCCCGTGCCCGCACCGGTGCAGCGCTGCACGGAACACCCGCACACACGCATGCGCCACATCCTCGGCGAGCGCCTGTCCCCGGGCTGCTGGCAGCTGCACCCTGAGCGGGTGTGCCTTGCACCTCGGGATGCACGGAAGGGTACAGAGTGGCGCCGCGGCCGCCTCCGACGCTCCTCCAGGAGCAGCGCGCGGCGCTCCGCCGTCGGCGAGGCACCTGCGCCCGCGAGCGCCGCATTGCTTCCCGCTCGGCCCGACCTTAGGTTATCCCTGTCACTGCATGCTGCTGCACGTTTGTTCCAGCGGGACGGTCAAGGAGAGGCTCCAGGCTCCGCCTCCCGCGGCTCCAAGCCACCCGTGAAGGGTGCATGCGAGGTGTGCTTCACGCTCAGCTGCATTGCAGGCTCGGCGAGCCCTCCGACAGACCACCGCACCCGGGAAAGGCCTGCGGAGATGTGGCTGATGGACGGATGAGCCATTCGGTGCTCGGGACCGGCGCTGCATCCCGTCCAATGTGCAGCTGTCCGCAGTGTGCGCGAACGAGAGACGCACGGCAGCACGCAGATCCGCCGCACAGCGGGAAGTCGGCCCACCTTCCTGTGGCTTGCGCCTGCCAGCACGTAGCGGGCAGTGCCAGGGCGCAGAGCACACCGCTGCGCTGGCCGGAAGCTCGTACGCCTCATATAGCTGAGCATGCCGCTCGTCGAGCCCCACTGTCTCCTCACAAGCAACACTCGTCCTCCTCCACCATGCGGTCTTTCTTCAAGGGATCCGCACTCGCGGCGCTTGCGCTGGCGGCGATCGTCGGCCAGAGCTCGGCGGCGCCTACTCCGGCCCTCCTCGTGACTCGCTCGCACGTCAAGATGGAGCACCGCGCCCAGAAGGCCTTCCTCTACGAGGCGTGCGAGGCGGACGTGAGTGGTGTGGCCTGCATCTGCGACGGGCTCCGCTGACCTGATGCCTCTGCAGAGCGACTGTCTCGGCCGCACCTGCGACTATGAGAGCAAGACGTGCGCCTCGACGTTCCTCTCCAACGGCTCGCAGTGCTCGTCGAGCATCGTCTGCGAGAGCGGCAACTGCCAGTTCGGCAAGTGCACGGCCAAGGTGCAGCCGGGCGCCTTCTGCGAGAAGGACCAGAACTGCGGCTCGGGCCGCTGCTCGCAGCGCCTTAGCCGCTGCCTGCCGGCGCCGACCACCGAGGCCGTCGTCAACTCGCTGCAGTCGACGATGCCGTGGGGCAAGGACACCGAGGCGCTGCACAACCTCGAGCCCATCCCCGCCGTCGACCTCTACTACTCTGACCACGGCATCCACCGCTCCGAGGCCAGCGCCATGCTCGTCAACATGACCTCGAATGCAAACTACGACGCCGTCGTCCTGACGCACACGTCGCTCGTCGGCCACATCACCTGCCCCGACAGCGGCCACCTCCAGATTCCCTTTACGACGTCGGAGGCCTACGAGCTCGCAGCCCAGTCGTGGGACCGCAAGCACGGCTTCCTCCTCGTCACCCACACGCACGGCTGCGGCTCGAGCCAGAGCGAGGACGAGCGCACCTTCTGGCTGGCCTCGCAGCTGCACTTCGACGACCACACGCACTCCGTCTTCGCCAAGGCCTCCGAGCTCGCCATCGAGCACGCCCTCGACGAGATCCACCTCGACTTCGGACAGAAGGACCCCGACTACCAGGTCGACTTCGAGCACATCCACCCCAACCCCGTCGCGCGCAGCCTCGAGGAGGTCGTCGCTCTCAACCAGCTCAACGAGACGGACAGCTGGGCCGAGCCGGCCCACTTCGTCAAGCGTGCCGGCCCGTCGATGCCCGGCAGCTGCGGCACGACGCCCGCCGGCGTGTCGTGCGGCCCCAACTTCGACGCGCAGCTCGACGCCATCAACGGCTTCCTGGACTTCGAGGGTGACTTTGAGAACTCGCTCAAGTCCCTGGCCCCCGGTCTCGGAAGCTTTGCCGCCTCGGACTACATCGACCCCGACACGCTGGCCGACCTCAACCTCGAGACGCCCACGCGCCGCAGCCTCAGCGTCGAGGAGCTTCAGCGCCGCGGCTGGTCGCTCAAGAAGATCGGTGCCGCCCTCCAGAAGGTCACCAAGGTCGTTGCAAAGGTGGTCAACACCGTCGCTCCCAAGGGCTCGGTGAGTCATGGGCCGGGAGGCGAGCCGGGCGATCATGCGAATGCTGACTCTGTACGCAGATCCTTGGTAAGGCAGTCAACCTCCTAGCGAAGACCCCTTTAGGCAAGGTAGTTAAGCTCCTAGTTACTGGCGAGTGGACCGAGACGATCTCGGGCAAGATCCAGCTCGGCTGGAAGTACGGCGGCGCCAAGGAGGACACGCCGTGGGGCCGCCAGCCCGTCATCTGGAGCGCCGAGAAGCAGAAGGCCACGTCGAAGAACTCGGGCAAGGACGCCGCCACCTCGGCTCGTCTGCGCAAGGCCAAGGGCTCGCCCCGTGCCCGTGCCCGCGCCAGCGGCTCGGTCAGCCTGTACTGCGTCGACTGCCAGATCCTCGGCACGTTCACGTACCGCGGCAGCGTCTCGTTCAAGCTGCTCAAGGCCTCGATCAGCCGCCTTTCGGCCGACTTCACCGGCGCGCTCGACGCCGGCGCGCAGTTCGGTGTCGTCGTGCAGGCCGAGCTCGTCGCCACGTACCGCAAGACGATCGTGACGTTCCCGCTGCCGGGTGGCTTTGCGATCAAGGACGTCGTCACCATCGGCCCCGCCGCGCTCGTCGAGGCTTCGTTCCGCTTCGTCGCCAACGCCGAGGCCGACCTGCTCCTCGGCGCCAAGGTCAAGCACCGTGTGGCACACCACATCGACCTGCTCGACTCGTCGAAGAGCAAGACGACCGGCTCCGGCCTGCAGTTCACGGCCTCCAAGGACCTGCAGGGCGCCGCCTCGGCCTCGCTGCAGGCCGGCCTGCCGCTCTCGATCACGCTCGGCGTCTCGATGAAGCCCATCAAGCTGAAGCGCGACCTCTCCGTCACCGCCGAGCCGTCCGTCACCGCCTCGATCATGACGGCCACCTCGGAGGACGCCTTCGAGGACTCGAAGCTGCCCGCCTGCCCGCTGGGTCTCGCATGGGGAATCAACTCGGGAATCGCGTTCTCGATGAACCTGCTCAACCTGGCAAAGTTCAAGCTGGGTGCTTTCAATGCGAACCTCGGAAAGGGATGCATTGACTTCGGCCTGGGCGGCCCCGTCGTCCAGAAGTACTCGGACCAGGCGACGGACTACTGCGCCGATGGAAAGTGCACGGTCGCAGTCGACGACTCGAAGGCGACGATCTCGTACCTGCTGAAGGACCAGAACGCCAACGATGGCAAGTCCAGCACGTTCAAGAGCCCCTGCGACGGAAGCATGATCGTCACGATGAACGGTGGAATGGCGGGTCCGAGCGGCTTCCAGGGCTACCGCCGCTCGGGCGCCAAGATCTCGCGCCAGATCAGCGACCTCAAGAAGGACGACCAGTACACGGTGCAGATCGGCGGCACGGGCAACTCGCAGTACTACAACGGCAACACCAAGGGCGGCTGGCCGAACGGCGGCGGTGGTGGCGGCGGCGACTCCAGCGGCGGCGGTGGTTCGACGGAGCTCATCACGAGCAGCGGCGAGCGCCTCATGGTCGCCGGCGGAGCTGGAGGCAACGGCCGCGGAAACGCGAACAACTACGCCGGCTACTTTGCCGAGGACAACCACAAGGCCGACGATGCCCGTGGTGGCCCCGGAATCAACAACGGTGGCGGCGGAGGCGGCGGTGTGATCGGCGGTGCCGGAGGCAACGCGCAGGGCGGCTACGCCGGCCACAGCAGCGACGAGCCCGAGGGCTACCCGGACTGGACCGACGGCCGCATGATCATCGAGCTCACCTGCAACTAATCGGCCGCGCGCGGCTTCTCCCTTCCCCACTGACCCCTGATCGAGTGTGCCCCCCATGTTACCGGCGCGGCGAAATGTTACCTATGACCCTTGAGCAGCGTGTGACGTGTGGCTCTGGCGCGTGTGGGCGAGTGAGCTGCCGCTGAGCGGCGATGCGGGTAAGACGATGTGCGAGGGGGCAGCGCTGTGCCAAGGAGCCACGACGGCGGCTGACGTGAGGACAAGGTGGAGATGAGGTGCGGGACGCACGAGCTCGCGCTGCAGCTTCAACGGCCCATCCAGCGACGCGGTCGAGGCGCGTGGGAACAGCGCCCCGCCTCGCTGTCGCACGGCAGCACGTGACGCGCCGCGCGGACCGTGCAGCCTGACTCGTGCAGCCTGACTCGGGCTGCTGGCCGAGAAGATCCGCGGCGGCGCCTGCCTCCGCTCCACAACCCCAATCCCAGGCAGCCATGGCCGACACTGTGAGCCGCGCATCCGCCGGCGCAGGGCATCAGCAGCTAACGCCGCGCTCCTGCAGCTGCGTCCGAGTCTCGAGGAAGCACAGGCGCTGCTGCTCGGCAGTGCCTCGGGCAGCTCGGCGGCCGCAGCGGCGGCGCCGCCGGCCGGCAACACGCTGCCCGTGTATGCCACGCTGCCCGCCGACCTGCTCACGCCCGTCATGGCCTACCTGCGCCTCTCGCACGGCGCCGACACGCAGCGCCGCAGCTTCCTGTGCGAGAGCGTCGTGGGCGGAGAGAAGGTGGCGCGCTACAGCTTTGCCGGCGTCGGTGAGTGCAGAGTGCATGGCGCTCGGCCGGCAATCTAGAGGTGCTGTCTGTGCGTGTGCTCACGCACGCTCGCAGACCCGTACAAGGTCATCCGCACCGGGCCCTCGCTGCCCATCAGCGGCGACCCTCTGCGCGCCGTCGAGGCCGAGCTGGCGCCGTACCGCTACATTGCGCTGCCGGCGCTGCCGCGCTTCACTGGCGGCGCCATGGGCTACATCGCCTACGACTGCGTGGCGCACTTCGAGCCGCGCACCGCACGGCCGCTCTCGGACCCGCTCGGCATCCCCGAGGCCGTGTTCCTGCTCTGCGACTCGCTCGTCGTCTTCGACCACATGTACCAGACGCTCAAGGTCGTCTCGCACGTGCACGTGCCCGACGGCTCGCTGCCGGCCGAGCGCGCCGAGGCCGAGAAGCACATCGCCTCGCTGTACGAGGCCGCCGGCCGCAAGGTCGCCGCCATGGTGGCCGAGCTCTCGCGGCCCGACACGCCCGTGCCGCGCCAGATGCGCGTCTCGCCGGGCGCCGAGGCGGTGAGCAACGTGGGGCGCGAGGGCTACAAGAGCTTCGTGCGCAGCCTGCGCAAGCACATCGTCGCCGGCGACATCATCCAGGCTGTGCCGTCGCAGCGCCTGGCGCGCCCCACCGACGTGCACCCGTTCAACATTTACCGCACGCTGCGCACCGTCAACCCCTCGCCGTACATGTTCTACCTCGACGTCGGCGATGCGCGCATTGTTGGCGCCAGTCCGGAGACGCTGTGCAAGGTGGAGAAGGGCAAGGTGGCTGTGCACGCCATTGCAGGGACAGTGAAGCGCGGCGGCACCGACGAGGGTGAGTGGTGCTGCTTCACCTGTGCTCGCTTTGCTGCTGACAGCGGCATGCGCAGAGGACGAGGCGCTGGCCGACTCGCTGCTTGCGTCGACAAAAGACCGCGCCGAGCATGTCATGCTGGTCGATCTCGCGCGTAACGACATTTCGCGTGTGTGCGACCCGCACACGACCGTCGTCGAGAGCTTCATGAAGGTGGAGAAGTTCAGCCACGTCATGCATCTCACCAGCCGCGTGACGGGCATGCTGCGCGCCGGCAAGAGCCGGTGAGTGTGGAGCGACACGTGCGCAGCGCAGCCTTCTCATGCGCCTCGGCAGGTTCGACGCCCTGCGCTCCATCTTCCCGGCCGGCACCGTCTCGGGCGCGCCCAAGATCCGCGCCATCGAGCTCATCTCTGAGCTTGAGGGCGAGCGGCGAGGCGTGTATGCGGGTGCTGTGGGCCACATTGAGTGAGTGCGCCCGGCTCATATGCGTGGCGCACTTGTCGCTGACTCGCCGCAGCTTCTCCGACGACATGGACGTGTGCATTGCGATCCGCACCATGACGTTTGTGCAAAAGGAGGGCTCCGAGGCGCACACTGCGTACCTGCAGGCAGGTGAGTTGTGTCGCCGAGTGATGAACGCGAATCGCCGGCTGACTTCCGTCACGCAGGCGGCGGCATCGTGTACGACAGCGTCGAGGAGGACGAGTACATCGAGACGATCAACAAGCTCGGCGCCAACGTGCGCTGTCTGCAGCAGGCCGAGGGTGCGTATGGCTGCTGCTCGTACTGCTGCTGCTCGCAGCGCAGTGCGTCTGCTGACCCATGCTTCTCCCGAGCAGACTTCTGGATCGCGCAGCAGCGGGCGCAGGACATGGCCGTGCAGAGCGATGAGCGATGAGCGTGTGCGCTGTCGTGGGCATGCCGCAAGCGGCGCTAATCTATCAAATGCCATTGTCGCGGCGCGGATGGTCTGAGGCGTCTCTGGAAGTGACCGCGGCGTCTGGTGTGTCCAGCTTGACGCGCCAGCCCTGGAGCCGGAGGCTGTGCTTGCGGCCGTGGACCAGCTGGGTGATGAGAGTGAGCTTGTCGGCGCCAGTCGTTACGCGATGACGCTTGTGGAGCAAGCAAGGATCAGCATGTCCACAAGAGGATGCTGTCTTGGACAGAGACGCGCAACGAAGCGCCCGCGTCGTCCAGCGACGAGACTGCATCAGGACTTGGCTGATGGCATCACCAGCGCACAGGCTTGCACGTAGCAGAGTGGCAGCCGCACGGTGCAGGGTGCAGTCTGAAGCCGAGCGGCGCAGAAGGCGAGCCCTGCTGTGCGTCGCACGGGCAAGCATGCAGCCGCCCCGCGCGACGCCGCACGCGTTGGGTTGGGGCGATGCCGTCACTCAGGGGGCTTGCCGCTCTTGCCAAGGATCAGCCGCCGGGCTGCCGCACGGGAGCCAGCGTACGGCTGCTGAGCCGGGACTGCCGCTGCGGTGGGCCTGCTGCGTGCTGGCGAGCGTCGGCTCCCTCGCCTGCTGCGTCCGTGCCTGTTTGCGCTGCGCAGGGAGCTGCTATAAAGCGGCCGCACCCTGCTCGGGCCTGCTCCCCTTCCACCACGCACACGCCATCCACACACGCCCATCCTCTGCCCCTTCAACACTACCCTTCCACCCACTCCACGCACATTTCACTCGGCAAGCATGTCGCACGACTCCCCTATCGCGGCGCGCGCCACGGGCGCCCCCACCGCCGGCGCCTCCGACATCTCTCCTCCTTCACCCACCCTCTCTGACTCGTCACTCTCGACGCAGTCGTCGATGCTCATCTCCGTCGAAGAGCTCACGCGCGGCAGTGGCATGTCCAAGGCTGCCGCCTCGCTCGAGCTGGCCAACGCTCGCCATGCCCTTTCGGCCCGCGACCCCGACCACAAGCTCCCGCTGCAGTTCTACCAGGCCGGCGTTGCAGCTGCAAAGAACGTGCTCGACCACCCAAACTCTGCCGCCGTCGGCGAGCCGCTGCTGCAGCGGCTGCGCAAGTTCGTGGCTGAGCACCCCGAGGCGCACTGAGAGTGACCGCCGGTGCGTGCCCAGCTTTGGCCTTGCTCGACGTCTTTGCTCACACGCGTCCTCGGCAGGAGCCGCCCACAGTGTGTGCAGCAGTCTCAACCTTGCTGGAGTGCCTCGCTGACACTCGTCTTCTACAGTGCCGACCGTCGCTGGCCGTGGTGCACGGCAGCATGAGTCTGGGTGTCGTCGCACGCACGTAGTCACGCTGAAGAGGGATGACGCGGGCACCAAGCGTGAGGCTGGGGCTGAGTGGGGGCTGTCCAGCATCGAGCGCGGTCTCATGAATGCCATGCTTGCACTCTGTCTCTCCCAGGTCCTTACTGCTTGCTGGCGTGCTGCCTGTCGCCCCTAGTCCGCGCACGCCGTCCGCCGCGTGGCGTGCTTGCAACTCATCAAGGCAGAATCGTGTGTATCTCAGGCAATCCCGTGTGAAGGAAGGCAGCCTCGTCGTTGTTCGTGAGGAAGCAAAGGTCGGGAATCGTCTGGCCACGCCTACGTGCCGCGGCCGTGCCGTCACGCATCCGCAGTCACGTTTCGCAGGCGCATTGCAGGCGACATGCAGCCGTCCCATGCGCTTCTCGCGACCCCGGTGCGACGTGGCTCCCGCCATCATGAGGGCATTGAAGATCCGGCTGACCTGTGAGCGACCAGACGCAGCCTGCCAGTCGCTCGCAGCATCGCCACAGTCGGGGTCACAGCCCGCACGTCAGCTCGAGGCGGCGGCGCGCGCCCTCGGCCCACACGCACTTCGTCGCCCGCATCGGCCCTTGAGCGGTCTCTAAGCAATTCACATTGACAGACGGTGAAAATAAGGCCACCACGAGCGTCCAAGATCCGTGTCTCTAGTTCTGGTCCGTGCTGAAGCGGCGCACCTCCTCCTCGTCGGTCGGCAGCGGGTTGTACGCGCTGGGCACACGGCTGCGGCTGCGGCTGCGGTGCAGGATGCGGCTGCGACTGCGGCTGCGCAGCCGCGCCAGCGCCGGCCGGCCGGGACGCAGCCAGCGCGGCAGGTAGCGCGGGCCAATGACGCCGTTGAAGAGCAGCGTGGCGCCGCAGAGCAGCGCGAAGCCGAGCAGCTGCAGCGAGCCGGTGAGCGGACGGAACACCTCCCAGCCCTGTGAAGCAGTGTGAGCATAGAGCGTGCGGCAGCGGCGATCGAGCACGCACCAGGACGAGGGAAACGGCCCAGATGCCCAGCGTACGGCACGTGTCGATGGTGCTGCGTGCCGTGGCCGAGACGGTCCGCGTGACTGTGAAGAGGTCAGCGCTGCTCTGCCACTGGCAGCGCACAGCTCAAACCCACCAGACAGGCCGAAGAAGTTGAAGAGCGCAATGCTCAGGCAGATGGCGACGCCGCCGAGCAGCACCTTGGGGCTCTGGATCATCTGGTGCCAGCCGGTGACCATGTCAAAGTAGCCGCCGCGGCCGGCGGGCGTCTTGCCGTAGAAGTAGTGCAGCGCGACCTGCGCAATGAGCGTCGCGATGAAGCCGAACAGGCCCTCGTAGCCGACCGCCAGCCTGAGAAGCAGAGTCAGCATGCAGCGAAATGAAGTCTCCTCGATCTGACGTACAGTGGCTCGACGCTGTAGCGGCTCATGATCTTCTCCTCGAGCACAAACTGGCCAGCAGTGAAGAGCTGCGCGAAGAGAATGAGGAGCACGCCGATGAACGCCTTTGCCGTGTCCGGCACGTCCTCGCCCGTCGTGTGTGCCGTGGCGCGGCTGACGATGGCGCCGCCGACGGTGACGAACGTGCCCTGCAGCGACGCCGGCGCGCCCGGCTGCAGCAGCGTGCCGGAGAGGCCGACGATGCAGACGCCCAGCATGACGGTGAGCAGCGAGAGCCACTGGAAGAGGAAGAGCTGGCGCTGCAGGAAGATGACGCTGAACACGCCGACCCAGAGCACGAGGGCGCCGCGGGTCATCTGGTAGATGGACACGGGCGTGAAGAGCAGGCCAACGTTCATCTGCGAAAGAGTCAGCGCAGAGCGGCAGCGAGCAGGCACGCAAAGCTCACCAGCGTGGTGCCGCAGATGTCGCACGCCGCCGGCATCACAAAGAGAAAGATGGCCTTGCCCTTGAGCTTCGTGCCGTCGTCCTCCTCGGGCTCGTCGACGATCTGGTGCGGCTCCGGGATGGCAGCAGCGGCCTGCGCCTCGCCGCCGGCGGGCGCGGCGCGCGCGCTGGCCGTGGCGTTGGCGGGCACGCGCTCGCCCCAGACGTTGTTCGAGTTGCCCTGGCCGGGGCGGAAGGAGTTGCCGCGGCCGAGCGTCGGCGCCGGCGCGGGCGCCTTCCACACGGGCCAGAAGGCGGGCACGAGGCGGGAGAAGGCCGAGGAGCTGCCCTCCTCGCCGAGCCAGTGGCTCGGCATCAGGAAGCTGAACGCCGAGCTGTTGGCGTGCGGGTCGTCGTCGGCGCCCAGCGCGCTGAAGCCGCTGTCGCCCGCCGCGTCGTCGAGGCCCTCGAGGTCGTCGTGCATCGCCGGCGACTGCCCCAGCGCCTCGTACTCGCCGCCGCTGCCGTTGCCCTTGAAGAAGCCCGGCCGCGGCCGCGTGATCCACGCCCACAGCGCCATCATCATGGGCGGGATGAGGCAGAGGCACTCGCCGAGGAACATTTGCGCCGTCTGCGGGGTGGAGCGTGAGCAAAGAGAACAGTGTGGCCGAGCGTAACAGAGCTGCATCGCAGATCCTCGGCAGCCAGGCGACGCACGCTGGGGGCCGATGTACAGCCAGAGCACGTCTTTGCATGCAGTCTCTGTATGTACTGCTCTGCAGGACCGCGCTCGCAGGGCTCGCTGCGTAGCACTCCAGTCCGACTTCACGCGAGCTCCTGGCCTTATGCGCCTCAAGCATCGCCTGCACCACATCATTGTCGCCGCACCTGCCCTTCGTCCGGCCTGCACACCACAGCCGCACTCACCTGCCACACGGGCTGGCTAAAGTCGACGCGGCGCGCCTCGTCGCCGGGCGCACAGTGCTCGACGCACTGCATGTCCTGCCACTTGGAGAAGATGCTGTTGCCGATGCCCGTCACCAGCATGCCGGCGACGAGGAGCGGAATCGAGGCGCGCGGCGCCATGGCTGCGCGCGTGGGTGCGCTGGACGGCGCGAAGGGGAAGAGTGAGAGAGGCGGCGCAGAGAGGGCCAGGTGAGATGCACAAGTGGAGAGGAGAGAGCCACGGCCGTTGCAGAGGAGACAGGCGCCAGAGAGAGCGTGGGCGCAGCTGAGCCGCAGCTGCCGGAGAGAGCCTTGCGCGAGGCCAGGCGTGCGTGAGTGAGCGACGAGGAGCCGAGAGACGAGACCGAAGCACGGGAGTGGGTGGAGAGAGGCAAGCTGCAGAGACGCGGCGGCGGCGTGGCTGCGAGGCGCGTGACCTCGCAGGCGCCAGCAGCCCGCCCGCATCTCGGCTGTGCCCTCTGCGCCGGCGGCTGCCTCCTCTCCGCCCGCCGCGCCGCGCTCCCAGCGCTAAATTCACCCTCGGCGCCGGCCCCGCAGGCACTTCATCTGTCTTGGGTGCCATGAGCTGCGCCGCACTAAAGCTGCACCGCTGCGCCTGCCCCTGCGCATGACGGCTCCGATAGCCGTGGCGTGGAGCCGGCAGCACAAGGGGAAGACGAAGAGGTGCGCTGTCGCTGCCGCTGCTGCTGCGGCTGCAACGCCATCCTCGCGGCCCGCGCAGAGGAAGACGCAGGTGCAGGCAGGCAGGCGTCAGCGGCGCCTGCGTCTGCATGCTGTGCAGCCGAGCGCGAAGCAGAGCGGAGAGCGGCAAGCAGCAATTTCGGGCCTCCCGGCTCAACTCTGCCTCTCTTCTAGGCCGAGAGGATCCGCAGCGGCCTGAACGGCGGAGAAGAAGCTCAGCAAGCTGCTGCTGCAAAGGGAGCAGCCTCGCTCAAGAAGCATCGCTTTGGCGGCAAGAAGCGAGGGGAAGGCAGCCGCACCTTTTCTCCCGCTCTGCCGAGCCATGGGCGCTGCTGTTCCGTGCCGTCACGCATGAGCCTTCTCTTCCTTCATCCTTGCGCTGCCGAGCAACGATCTGATGCAGTGGATTGGTGACTCTTCAAGGCTGCTGTCTTGCTCACAGGTCCGTGCCGCAGAGGCACTTCCACTCCTGCACCTGCCCGTTGGTATCCCACAACTCGACGCGCCCAAGGCTGAGCGTCTTGAGCTTCTCGCTTCCAAACTCGATGCCGTCGCCCTGCGTGCTCCACACGCCGTCCTTGCGCAGCTGCTCGATGCGCTCCTCGGCCTCGGCGGCCGAGAGCGGCGCATAGAGCAGCGAGGCGTGCGGGAAGAACGGCGGCTGGTCTTGCTTGCCGAGCGCTGAGCGCATCGCGGCGTTGAGCGCCAGAAGCGAGGCCTCTTCCTGCAGCGCAAGTAGCACGCACTGCGGAGACAGTGAACGCTGATCAGCAGCCTTCCAGCCTGGGCCTGTGATGGAGCATACCTGGAAGAAGGCGCCGCGCGTCGTGCAAGCCTTGAGACCAGCCTCGATCGGTCCCTTGCCATGCTCTTTCCGCCATTCATCAATCGCCTCGCACGTCGTCTTCCACAGCGCCTCTACGCCCGACTTGTCATCCGGAGCAGGCGCTAGACCGGACAGCAGCGTGACGTGAGCGTCAAACGGCGCTGAGGCGCGCGGCTCGGCTTGCCGCAGTGCATCCATCATGGGCGTCAGCACGGCCTGCTCTGCTGCCGCCGGACGCAGCCAGAGGGAGTAGCCTGCGAAGAAGCCGGCCGATTGAGCTGCGTGAGATGTGAGCAGGACAAAGCGGCGCAGGCAGAGAGACGCACCCATCGTCGCAGCTGCTCGCTCGAGGAGGTAGTTGTGGGGAGCAGAGCACGTCGGGCGAGCGTGGGAGCGAGGCAAGCGTCGCGCTTGTATTCGTGACTTGAGCTGGGCGTGCGTTTTTGTACTGTCCGCGGCCGGTGGCCCGTGCAGCGACCTCCACTCCGGCCCGCTCGCCTCCACCCTTCCGAGCGCCTACTTCTCGCTTCTCTCCCTCACACCACCATCCACAGCAACCATGGCGAGCGTTGACAAGTCGATCCATAGCGCTGCCTCTGGCGTCGCGGCCGAGACGGCGGCCAAGCACTCGAAGCCGGCGAGCAACGGCCTTGTGTTCTAGTGCGTCGCCTCGTCGTCCCGAGAGCGAGCGGGCCGCTCACGCCTCGCTGCAGCTCAGGCTGGTTCTGCCCGTTCGTGGCGCGCGTCTGGATTGCACTCGAGGAGAAGGGCATCGACTACGAGTATCGCGAGATCAACCGTGAGCTCACCGTGCTCTCTGCATGCCAGATGGTGGCTAACCGGCGCGGCTGCAGCATACAAGAAGGAGGCGCACTTCCTCGCTGTGAGCACCTTGCCGCGGACACGTGAGCATTGCTGACAGTTCGCCGCAGATCAACCCAAAGGGTGCTTGCGTCTTTCTCACAGCGCGATGATCACTGCTGACGTTGGGGTGCAGGTCTCGTGCCCGCGGTCGAGCACGACGGCGCAGCGATGTACGAGTCGCTGGTGCTGCTTGAGTATCTCGAGGAGACCTTCCCTTCCACGGCTCCACTCTTCCCCTCCAAGAATACAGCGCGCGCACACGTGCGCATGCATATCGACCAAGTCGTCAAGAAGATCATGCCGTCGTTCTACAAGACGCTGCAGGCGCAGCAGGAGGAGGAGCAGAAGGAGGCACGCAAGACGCTCACTGCGGCGTTCAAGGAATACGCCGAGGCGTTCCCGAACAGCTCTAAGCCGTTCCACGGCGGTGACAAGCCAGATGCTGTCGACGTCGCGCTGGCACCATGGGCCTGCCGCCTCTTCTGTGAGTCCTGCCCGGCTGGCCTGGAGACGAGTCGCTGATGCAGCACATCAGTGCTTGAGGAGCACCGTGGCGGGCCATTCCAGGCAGCCGAGGTCGGCGAGGCGTTCATCAAGTGGCGCAAGGCGATTCAAGACTGGCCCTCGGTCAAGGCCGTGCTATCCACGCCGGAGAAGTACACCGAGGTGTACCAGCGCTACTTGAGTGAGTCGACGCGAGCGAGACGCAGCGCCAAGCCTTGGCTGACACGCACTGCAGATGACGAGGCGATGAGCGAGGCAGCCAAGGCTACACGAAGCGGCGGCGTGATCCCGTAGAGCCTGTCGTCTCTCAGATCGTCGTCAAGCCATCATCTTGCCTCCACCATGTGTGTCCTCCACTCGTTTTGCCTCCAGCTGTCCCGCTGCGTTTCGTTACTCGATGCACTCGGTCGCCGAAAGAGAGAGACCTCCCTGGGTGCCCCTCCCTTGAGGAGATCAATCGAGCGCTCGCTGCGCCGAGATGGGCGCCTCGAAGCGGCGGCTTTGTGCCTGAGCAGCAGGCGAGATGACGCGCGCCGCCAGATCTTCTATTCTGCGCTCGGCGCTCGTAGGTCCTTCCGCAGAGAGAAAGGCAAGAGGGGTGTTTCCCTTTGTTCTGAGATGTCAGCCAGAGGGAGATAGTATGGAGAGAGAAGCTGGAGCGAGATGCTGCCTGACGCCAGAAGGTGCAGCACCTGAGCTGGCGGTGTGATGCTCTTGTCCGGCCTCGGGCGGCCTGCGCTGCTGCCGGCCGAGTGAGCGCGCCGCCCAAGAGGTCACGCGCAAGCTCTGCGGCCACGCTAGCGCCGCTGGCAGGGGGCCGCCCCGACCTCGGCTGCGCGTGCTTGTTTGACCTGCGTCATCTCGGGCCAGCAGCTCTCGTCTCGTCCTCCTGTCACTCTCCACCTCTGGCTCACAGCTCTCTTCGCCGAGCGTCGCGCGCATCCTCGCCCACCCTTCTCGCCCACGAGCGCAAGCGCCCCGGCACTTTTTGGCGCTCTGCTGCGCACGCGCCAGCCTGCCACCGACCTCGCGCCCCTTTCCCTCGCGGCCGGCCGCGCCACAGACTGGAGCCTGCGCAAAGCTACCTGAGCAGTGCTATCGCACTTGTGCGTGCGCAGGCAAGTTTGCTGTCGAGCCTGCAGCTGCGGCACCAGTCCTCGTGGGGAGCAGCCTGGCAGTCCGTGCACTTGCGGTCGAGCGCCACGCCTGACACAGCCGACGCCATGCCGGACACGAGCACGGGCGAGGGCTCCAAGGGCGCTGCGGCAAATGCTGCATCGTCTTCGTCTGCCACGAGTGCGTCGATGAAGCGCAGCGCCAGCGCCGCGACGCCCTCTGCGCCCGGAGCTGCGCCCGCTCTGCCAGCTGCCGCTGCGGGCAGCGCATCGGGCGGACCCAAGGGCAGCCACAACTCGTCGCGCCGGGCCTCGAGTCCTGGCCGCAGACATGCGCAGGCAGCTTCTCTGCAGGCTGGTCTACAGGCGCCCTCGCAGCAGCCTTCGCACGCGGGGCAGAAGCACGCCGCAGGTGCTCCTGGCACCTCTCCATCTGGCTCTGCGCCGCCGCAGCGGAGAGGCTCGCAGGGCATCACCGCCGGCGGCAGCAGCAGCGGCGCGGGCAATCGGAGAGGCTCGCACGGCGCACGCTCGGCCTCGGGCCGCTCGTCGCAGCAGCAGCGACACGACGGCGCCGGGGAAGTGCCCAGCGGCGCAGGCCAGCGCAGGAACACTGGGCCGACGCATGGCGGCAGCCAGAAGGGCCGGAGCGATTCGATCGCCGAGCCGACATCTCATCACGCCGGCACAGCCAGTGCCACTGGGAGTCACTCGTCACCTTCGGCCTACCATGCAGGGCGCGCGGCGTCCTTGCCAGGGAGTGCTGCTGGCGGCGCCAATGGCCGAATGCGGGCGAGCACAGCTGGCTTCCAGCGAGGTGGTGGCGGCGGCGCGAGCAGCGCCTACGGCGGCGGCATGAGCAACATGGGTAACTCGTCCGCTGCCGCCGCCGCTGCATCGCTGGCCGCCGCCATGGCGCAGAACGGACAGCTGGCGCAGCACCTCGCAGCCGTCGGTGGCTACATGCGCAACGCCGCCAACTCGCATACGTCGCCCTCATCAAGCATGTCGAACGCACAAATGCATCATTCCGGTGGCTACGCCTCGTCGCCGTACATGTCGGCAGCCGCAGCCGCAGCTGCGGCGACGCAGAACCTCAGCTACGAGCGGCACACTGCCGAGCTGACGAACTGCATCATCGCCTTTCTGAGCCCGATCCTGCCGACGGAGGAGGAGTACCGCATCAAGGAGGCCACGCGCCGCCAGCTCGAGCGGCTCGCGGGCAAGGTCAGCCCAGGCGCCAAGCTGCTGGCGTTTGGCAGCATGGCGAATGGCTTTGCGCTGCGGAACTCCGGTGAGTGAAAACGTTCAGGCGCCAGCGAAGCCCCTCCCGGCACGAACAAGCAGAGCGGCTGCGTCACGATCGCTGCTGACTGCTTGCGGCGGCCCGCGCAGACATGGACCTCTGCTGCCTCATCGGCAAGGCGGCCGACGGCTCGACGCCGCCCTTCAGCGCGTCTGCGTTGGTCGAAGAGCTTGGTCAACTGATTCGCGAAGGTGAGTAGCCAGTGTCACACCGCATCCGAGCCTTGTGATGCTCATCTGTGCCTGCAGAGACGGACTTCAACGTCATGCCGCTGCCAAAGGCGCGCATTCCCATCATCAAGATCAGCCGGCGTGAGTGGAGCGAGCATGCACTGTACATGCGCAGCTGCTGACGCTGCTCGCCGCAGCACCGACCGCCGAGCTGCCGTATGAGATCTCGTGCGACATTGGCTTCGAGAATCGCCTCGCTCTCGAGAACACTCGATTGCTGCTTAGCTACGCGATGGTCGATCCGCCGCGGTTACGCACGCTTGTCCTCTTCCGTGAGTGGCCACGTTGAAGAGCCGTTGGCGCCAGCAGCAGCTCACATCGATGCACTGCATAGTCAAGGTGTGGACGAAGAGGCGAAAGCTCAACTCGCCGTACACGGGCACGCTGTCGTCGTACGGCTACACGCTCCTTGCGCTGTTCTTCCTCACGCACGTCAAGCGTGAGTGTCGTGCTGAGGTCTGCCGTCTGCCGCTGCTCATCTACCATCACCAGGCCCCGCGGTGCTGCCCAACCTCCAGCGCATCCCGCCCGCGCGGACGCTGTCGCAGGAAGAGGTGCTGCTCAACGGGCACAACATCTACTTCTACGACGACGTCGCCACGCTGCGGCAGGAATGGGCCTCGCAGAACACCGAGAACGTCGGCGAGCTCCTCATCGACTTCTTCCGCTACTTCAGCAAGGAGTTCACGTACTCGCGCGACGTCATCAGCCTGCGCACCGAGGGCGGCCTCATGTCCAAGGACAACGAGACGTGGACAGCAGAGGTGCGTGTGCGCAGGCAGCTGCACGAGATAGAGTCTGCGGCTGACGCTTTGACACTGTCGCCAGCTCTGCATCGAGGACCCGTTCCAGCTCGGCTACAATGTCTCCCGCACCGTCACGAAGGACGGCCTCTACACGGTGAGCCGTGCGTCTCAGATCTATGGCTGGCGTGCGCTGACACTGCGCAGATTCGCGGCGAGTTCATGCGCGCCGCTCGCATCCTCACGAGCAAGGCCGACCACGTGGCACGCGCGCTTGCCGAGCTGTGCGAAGAGCGCGAGGACGGTCTCTCCCGTGCGCCCGACTTTCCCTCGCGCTCGCGGGGCGGTAGCGTTCCTGGGCATTCAGGTGCGGCAGACGCACGCCTCATGCGCGACCTCTACTACCGCGAGACGCCACGGCGGTACGATGCGCCCGGCGCCAGCATGTTTGGCGGCAGCTTCGCTTTCGAGGAGATGGCGCGCGGCCTTGGGCAGGCGCAGGGCGGCCAGCGCGTGGCCATGGCACGTCCGACGGCCGCAATGCTGGCGCCGCTGAGCCAGAACAATGGCCTCAGCCCGCGTGTCGGCCGCGCCGCTCGTGTCGCTTCGCGCTTCGAGCCGCCTGGGCGCTCGTCGAGGAGCGCGCAGCCGCAGGCTGGCTTCAGCGCCAGGAGCGAAGATGGGTCGGGAGCAAACGGCTACGATGCCCACCTCCGGGCCTCGCCGCAAGGCCTGCGGCCGCATGAGCTGCCCGGGACTTCGACTGCCGAGCACCCGACGAGCCTCGACGCACACCTCGCCGTGCCCGACTCGTCGCAGCCGCTCAATCGCTCGCTCAGCCTGCAGCACGGCAAGGAAGGCGTCTCGCCGGCGCTGGACATACCGAAGGGCAAGCAGCGCGTGCAGCTTCCGCTGCGCTCTGAGCCAGGCTCTCCATCCCTGGGCAGCCCGGCGCCGTACGGCGACTTCGACGCCATCGCTGCGCTGAACGGCATGACGCTGGACGTCTCGGGCCGCGCTGGGCCGCGCAGCACCTCGGGCTGCTCCTCGTCGGGCGCTGGCGGACGCGCGTCGCCGCTGCCACCGCTGCCTCCCAGCTCTGACGTGGGTGCCTCGACATTCCTGGCGAGCCGTCACGCCGGATGGAGCTTCCTGCAGCCGGCTCTGCGAGCCGGCGGCGGCGCCGGCCGGCCGAGCGACGCGCGCTCGTTCGGCGGAGAGAGTGCCTCGGGCCACTCGTACGCGCCGCTGGAGGACGACGACGAGGGCGGCGAGGTGCACGATGACTCGAGCAGCATCAGCGAGGGCACACTCGACGAGCTGGCGCGCGTCTCGGCGCTGCAGGACATCGACGACCGGCACGACGACGTCGATGACCGCGCCTCGCCGGCACTGATGCCGCCGGGTGCGGCGAGCCGCATCCGCTCGTGGGCCCGCACATCAAGCGCGCCGCGCGTCGAGGGCTTCGATGGCGGCATGGTGCCGCCGTCGCCGGATCTGGAGCAGCATCTGGAGGACGTTGAGCCGGAGCTGGAGGACGATGAGGAGGAGGTCGACGTGCGCAGTGCCCGCGGCCTGGCACACCTGCGCGCCGAGGAGCTGGCCACGCCGACGAAGGCGACGCGCTGAGCGCGGACCAATATGATGCACTCCGGCGCAGCACAGTATATGACTGAAAGAGCCTTGCTTGGTTGCAGAGGAAGAAGCAGTGCGCTGCGCCAGGGCGAGGCTAGAGAGGCAGGAGCAGGAGAAGGGCGGGCGCGGCCAGCAGGCTGGGCGCAGCGCGTGGGAACACAGCCCGCTCTGCTGGCCGCCGCCCCGGCTCAGAAGCGCAACAGCAAGCGCTGCGATGCCTGTGCGCGCCTCTTCCTTCCCCACCACTCGCACCGCCTCGCCCAATCTTCACTCACTGCCCACCCATGTCCTCCGCCACACCAGCCCGCGCGCCCTCGCCCGCCACGCTCGCGCGCGAGCTGCACAGTCCCGCGCTGCTCGCCTTCGCCAGCACGCTCGTGCCCGCGTCCACCTCCTCCCCCTCGTCCTGCTCGGAGACCGACGTCGCCGCCGCCGCCGCGCTCGACGCACACACCGGCACGGCCGCACGCCTGCGCCGCCTGGCGTACGGCGAGGCGCAGAGCCCGGGCGGCGCGCTCGAGGGCCTGCAGGAGAAGGTGGCGGCGGCGCAGGCGCGCGAGGAGCGCCGACTGCAGACGCTCGAGAAGGCCAGTGCGCTGCTGCAGGCGCAGATGGACGCAGCATCGCAGCAGGCATCCTGAGCGCGATACATGCAAGTCCAGCTGGCCTTGCTCGGGCAAGCATGGCTCTGCCGTCGCATCACGGTGCCGAGCCTAACCTACGACGAGCTACGCCGGCGCCCTACGCGTCGCACCCGGCGGGGTGCAGAGTGTCAAGCAAGTCGATCGCGCGTCCTGCCGCGTGCGGTGCGCTCGCTGCACCATCATCGCGAGCACGCTCTACTCGCCCAGCGCTCAAGCCACGCCGCTCATCGCATTCCTGGCCGCCCGCTGTGCCTCGAGGCGCGGCACTGCAGCACGCCCTGCATTGCGGACGACTCAGCTGGCCACGTCTCTCGCACCGGCCGGATCTACACCGATGCATTGTCTATTGTACAATTGTATACACAAGTAGCGTGACACGGGAGCGGAAGCAAAGCAAGCAGCAAAGCGAGGCGACCCCAGAGCAGCGGCGGTGCGGCCTCACGCCCACTTGCCGATGAGGCTCATGGCCGCCGCGCCGGCGCTGAGCCAGAAGACGGCAAGCACGCACTGCTTTGTGCTGGCGTCGCGCAGCGGGCCGAAGATGAAGTCGCCGGCGAGCAGCTCGACGAGGGACTGCGCGGATGGGCAAGCACGCGTCAGCGCAAGGAGTGCCGCAGGGACGAAGGGCGCGGAGTGACGCACCGTGTAGAGCAAGATGCCAGCACTCATGCTGTTCAGCACGCCGATGGCCAATGCAGTACGTCCGTCGTTCTCATCGAACGAAGCGCGCGCGCCGATGCCGATAGCGATGCCAATCGGCGTGGTGAGGGCATAGCTGAGCGCCATGCACGTCTTGGCGAGCGCCGAAGTGCTCAGTGACGGCAGTAGCGCAATGCGGCCGCCGAGCGCCAGGCCCTCGAAGAGCTGGTGGAACGCCATGGCGATGAGCAGCGTCACGAAGCTCTCGCTGGACGTGGCGCCGAGCGTGACGCCGATGATGACGGAGCTGCGAGGCTGGACTCAGCATGGACGGTGGCGGAGGAACGAGGCGCGACTCACTGGAAGATGATGCCGCTCTCGAGTGCGACGACCTCCATCTTCTGCACCACTGCCTGCGCCATGAGCAGCTGCTTGTTCTCCTGCACGCTGCTTGCGCGACTCGGCGGCGGGGAAGGTCGTTCCTCTGCCTCCTCCGCCTCCGTCTGCGTTCTCCGTCTCGCAGCCACAGCCGCGTCCGCCGCCTGCGTCGGCGTCTCGCTCTCCTCGAGGCGTGCGCCGCCGAGCGCGCTGAGCTCTGGCGGCGCACAGCACCCAGTGCGGGCAGGCGCGTCACAGTGCCCGCCGGCCGCCTTGCGCCGCAGGCTGCGCAGCATGAAGAAGTCGAGCAGGAACATGAGCCAGAGCGCGCCCATTGCGATGGCGGGACTTGTGGGCTCGAAGGCGAGCTCGCTGTGAGAGGCAGGGTCAGCATGGCGCTGAGGGAAGCGTGGAGGTGGCACGCACGGCAGGCAGGGGTTCTGGAACGTGGAGAAGGCCTCCCAGAGCAGGTGGATGAAGGCCGTGGCTGCACAGACAGTCAGCATGGCGCCAGCTCTCACGTCTCCCCGCCTCACGCACCCAGGATGATGCCCGTGCCAAAGTGCCGCAGCGCAAAGAAGATGCGCGCCAGCCAGCCGTCGGCGTCCGTCTCATGCTGCGCCGGTGTGTCCCGCTTGCCCTTTGCGTTGCGCAGCTGGATCGCGCGGCTGAGCAGCGGCACGGCCGTGCCCACGAGCGACGTGGCGAGGATGATGAACAGGCCGCCGACGGTCAGGCCAAGTGCGGCCGGCTCGGTGCGCGCCTCGAGCTGCGCCGCACAGAGCTCGGCGTTGGCGGCGACGAGCCGGCGGAGCAGCTGCTGCGTCTCGGCATGGGCGGAGGCGCGCGTCTGGTGTGCGAGCGCCGGAGAGGCGAGCAGCGCGAACGCGAGCAGCAGCCGGGAGCGTGATGGCGGCATGCCGGACGCTCAGGAGGTGGTTGCGGGGAGTGCGAGAGGGGTGAGAGAGGCAGACCCGGTGGAGAGGTGAGGGGGCCGGTGCGGTCCTCAGCCGATCCGGCCGCCCCACGTGAGCTCGGCCATGCTCCTCTGCCGGCGCCCTGCGCCCCTTCCGGCAGTGTCGCCGCACCTCCTCTCTTTGCGGAGAGCGTCACCATCGGACGATTGTGCAGCGTTGGCTGTGCTCCTGCCCCGGAGCCGCCGAGCGGAGGCAGCGGCAGCGGCAGGCACGCCGAAAGGCTTGGCGCGCCTTGACAGGCGTGAGGCCTCCGGCTGCCTCCGCAAGGCGCGCGCACGTGATTCGGCGCAGCTGTTCCCACGGCATCCGCTTCTCCTATCTCCCTCCAGCGCATCACTTCACGCGCTCGGGCAAGAGCTCGAGTCACCGGCACCATCAGGGGGCCTGTTGCATCGCCGTCATCATCGCAGCAGTGCCCCGATACGCAGGTCCAGTGAACGGTTTCAATTATGACACGCGCGCCCATGCGCACACGCGCTCATCTGGCACAGCGCAGAGATGGGGCAGAGACGCAACAGCCGAGGCGCATCGGGCGCTCAGAGCTGGCCGGCGGAGAGCAGGTCCTCGAAGGCAATCTTGCAGCGCTTCGACATCGTCTTCTCGCCCTCGCGCACCCACACGCGCGGGTCGTACTGCTTCTTGTTGGGCTTGTCGGCGCCCTCGGGGTTGCCGACCTGGCTCATGAGGTAGTCCTTCTTGTTCAGCACAAAGTCGCGGATGCCCTCGAGGTACGCGAACTGCGTGTCCGTGTCGACTGGCGCGGCACGGTGAGCACAGGCGTGAGAGCTCAAGGGGCGCGCGCAATTGCTCACCGTTCATCTTCACGACGCCGTTCTTGACAGCCGTCGTGATCTCGTGCTTCTCCGAGCCCGAGCCGCCGTGGAAGACCAGGAAGCTGCGACAGGTCAGCGCGCGTCCTCTGCGCGCACGCAGGCCGGGCGCCTACTCACACCGGGAGCTCCTTGTCGCTCTTGAGCTGCTCGCGCACGTAGTCCTGGTGCTTGCGCAGCAGGTCGGGCTGCAGCGAGACGTTTCCGGGCTTGTACACACCCTGCAGGACCGCGCGTGTCAGTGCCTGGCTTCGCGCTCCACTTGCGCGCAATCTCCACTCACGTGCACGTTGCCGAAGCCGGCCGCGATGGAGAAGTTGGGCGTCACCTCGCTGAACTGGCGGTAGATGTCCCAGATGTCCTCGGGCTGCGTGTAGAGCGAGGCGTTGTCGACGTTCTCGTTGTTCACGCCGTCCTCCTCGCCGCCGGTGATGCCGATCTCCATCTCGAGCCACACGCCGATCTTGGCCATGCGCGGCAGGTACTTGAGGCACGTCTCGATGTTCTCCTCCTTGGTCTCCTCGGACAGGTCGAGCATGTGCGAGCTGCAGAGCAGTCAGCGCGCGGCACTGGCGCGAGCCACACGCGGCAGCGCTCACCTGAACAGCGGCTTGCCCTCCTTGGCGAAGTTGGCCTCGTCAGCCTCGAGCATTCCTGCGTGCGCGCGTCAGCACTGCTGCGTCGGTTGCCCCCACACTGCGTTCACGCACCGTCGAACCACGGGAGCAGCTTCTTGGCGCAGTGGTCCGAGTGCAGCACAACGGGGATGCCGTACGACTCGGCGACGGCGCGCACGTGGTTGGCGGCAGCGACGGCGCCGGCGATGGACGCCTGCTGCTTGTCGTTGGCGAGGCCCTTGCCGGCGAAGAAGGCGGCGCCGCCCTGCGAGACCTGCAGAATGACGGGCGACTTGGCATCGCGCGCCGCCTCCATGGCGGCGTTGGCGACCGACGACGACGTCACGTTGAAGGCGGGGATGGCGAAGTGCTGCAGAGAGCATGAGCGAGAGAAGCGGGAGGGACGCATCGATGCGGCTCACGTTCTCGCGGCAGTAGTCGAACAGCTGGGCAGGGGGTCAGCGCATGCGTGCGAAGTGGTGCAGCTCGCAGTGCTCACCTTGTAGACGTCCTTGCCGTCAACAACGCTGAGCACAAGGATCAGCTGCTGAGCACCAAGCAACGCAGAGCTGGCCGTGCACGCAGCGGCGCGAAGCCGGAGCAGGAGCAGGCCGAGCGCGGCATGCGATGCGGCACTCACCCAGCGGGGACAACATCGAGGACACCCATGATGAGTATGTGAGGTGGTGGGGTAGGCGGTGCGTGTGGTGTGGGGTGGTGGTGAGGAGGCAGGAGCGGCGCCCGGTGGAGTTGGGCCTTCTCGGAGCGGCGCCAGCAGAGCGGCCGTGCTCGGCTGCAGCTCTTCGCGCTCGGCCACCCGCACGGCGGCAGGAGCAGGCACGGCGCCTGTGTCCGACGGCCCCGCCCGCCACGGCCGCACAGCCGCTATGCGCGCCACCGCCGCAACCCGCACACTGCTCCCGTGCCTGCATCCCGGCTGCTCGGTGCGCCGTGCGCAGCGTGCGCGCCTCGCCTCCATCTCGCTGCCGCCGCGCGCTGTGAGTTGGGGCAAAAATGTCGCTCTGCCTGCGAAGGGCCAGCTTCGCTCCTCGACGATCCTCAGCCAGCGAGCATGCAGGGTGCACGCTGCGGAGTCCTTGTCGCCCAGACACTCTTGCACATGCGGGCGCAGCGGAGCACAGTGAGCGAGAAGGAGGTCAAGCGACACCTCGCGCGCGCGCGCGCCTCGGGTGGTGCCGTGACGTGAAGCGCCGATCATCTGCGCAGAACCCGAGCGGCTCCGAGGGCGCCTGGCACACGCTTGCACCCTGCAGCGCCGCGCTGCCGCTTCTTTGGACAAGCGAGAGGGACAGCGAGCTGCTCGAGATGGAGTAGGTTGGGCTCGCTCGCTCGCTGCGACGGCCCCGGCGGCTCGGAGGGATGCAAGGTCAATCGCGCCGCTCCTCTGGCGCAGCGCCGCGAGTTCGTCCGCCCGCATCCGCCCCTTGAGGCGCACGGCGAGACTTGGACCCCTCTCGCTTTTGCTCACCGGCAGATAGCCTTCTCTCTGCACACTGACGGCCTTGCACATGATGCAGGCGATGCGTCATCTCGCAAGCCATGCAGCATGGACGCATATAGATGCCGGGACCGAGCGGCGAGCGAGGCGGCAGCGAGACGACCCCAGGGGCCTCAGGGGGTCATGGACGCGCCGAGAGTCTCAGATTGTTCCAGGCGAAGCATCATCACCCTCTCGCAGGAGCGGTCACAGATCTCTCGAGGCTCTATTTCGTTTTGGCAGCTTGCCGTCTAAGCACCGTGCTGCTCCGCCTCCTTGAGGTGCTTCTTGAACAGCTCCTCGGCGCGCGTCCACACGGCGCCCTTGCCCTCCTCTGCGCCGGCGCCGGCCTCCTTGGCCTGTGCGTTGCCGGCCAGCACGTACGGCAGCTGCAGCAGCGACGGCAGCAGGTCCGTCGAGAAGCCCTCGCTCGCCTCGCGCGGCAGCAGCGTCGGCAGGTGGTCAATCGAGATGACAGTCAGCGGCGGGTTGCCCGCGCTGCAAGCACATGGTCTATCAGCTCGCGATCTGCGCAGGGGTGCTCGCTCCACTCACCCAGTCTCGACGTCAACAGTCGGCTCCTCAAACGTCGTGTTGATGTCGTAGATCGGCAGCGGGTTGTTCGGGTTCGTCGTGTCGCAGCTGACATCGACGACGCAGCCCAGGCGGCGCTCCTTGCCGGCCTGCGAGATAAAGTCGCGCGACAGGAACGGCGGGATGGGCTGGTTGAGGTAGATGCAGTTGACAAAGATGTCGACTGGCGAGGAAGGGATGAGCAGCAGTCACGCATGCACGCGCAGAGTCAGACGCACCGTCGAGCATCTCCTGGTACGGCCCCGGCTTGGCGCTCGTCTCCTTCATGTCCCAGCGCACAATGTCCTCGCTGGGCAAGCAGGGTGAGCACAGCTCCGACCAGCATGACAGATCGCTACTCACGGGGCAACGCCGGCCTTCTCGAGGAAGTCAATCGCGCCGCGGCCGCAGCGGCCCAGCGCACCCACCACGAGCGCCTTGACCTTGCCGTCGGGGCGCTTGCTGCGGATGAGCTCGACCTTCTGCTTCGAGTGCTCGATGAGCTCGCCCTCGTTGGGGTAGCGCGTCTGCTTGCCGAGGCGGCCCTTCTCCGGGTCGTGCAGCTGCTCCGCCAGCGCCAGCACGCCGAGCGCCGCGCCCGCGAAGCCGGCGTGCCAGCCGAACGCGGCCACGCGCCGGCCGTTCTTGTCCTCGAGGAACTCAAGATCGTACAGCTTGCCGCCGCCCTGCTTGAAGCGCGACAGCACGTCGACCCAGCCCGCCTGATGCTTGTAGCAGTGGGCAAACTGGATGTGCGTGTGCGGCAGCGGCGGGCCCGGCGCCGGCAGCTCCTTGAGGCCGATGATGGGGATGTCGGCCGGGATCGAGTCCCAGGTGTTGTGCGGTGCCAGCTTGCATCCGACCCTGGGAGCCACGTCAGTGGCCAGCTCGAGCGACGATGCGACCTCTGCCAGCGCCCGCGCCCAGCGCCTCGCCTGCCTTCGGCTTCTCCTGCGTCTCCGCTAGCTCATGCCTCCCGACGCTGTCCAAGCTGCGCGCCCACCTTCCGCAGCCGCAGCTCCTCGCCCTCGTCACCTCGCGCGCCGCACTCACTTCTCGTACTCCTCGTCGTCGAAGATGCGCTGCGGGTCGCGCTCGACGGTGATGTCGAAGCCGGCGTCGATGAGCTGGCGCGCCGTGGCGGGCGTGAGGGCGGCGCGGTGCTCGAACGGCTTCATCTCGCAGCGCAGGTAGAGCTGCTGGCGGGGCGCGGACATGCTGGGCAGGGCGAGGGGGATGATGGGTGAGGTGGTGGTGAGAGAGGCCTCGGAGCTTCCAGGAAGACTCGACTGCCGGCCCCACCGGCAAGAAAGTGTAGTCGGCGCGCGTGAGTTTGTAATGCCGACATTGCGCCCAAGCACGGGCGCAATACAACCTCGGCGCGCGCCCGAGTCACCTGGGCGGAGGGCGCACGTGCCGCGCTCCGAGGTGGAGCAGCTGGCCGAGCGGGGGAGTGGGGCCGCGGCACAACGCTGCCTCCCTCTCGACCGCATCCTCACCCCCGCCTTCCCGTCGCCTGCCCCCCGTCTCGCTCCCTCACTCGTCGGCCACGGAGCGCAGCGCAGCCGCGATGAATACTGCCGACGACTTCGACGACCTCTCACGCGTGCGCATGCCTCAGTCCTGGCCGCGGCGGCGCAGTCGCTGATCCTCCAACCCAGGCATGCTTCACGATCCCGTGCGGACCCGTGCCGACGCAGGCCGCATCGTCCAGCAGCGCCTCCGCCTCGCTGCCAGCGGGAGCTTTCCCATGTCTGTCCGGCTATGAGACCTCGCCACTGCCGGCACAGCTGCGGCGACAGGCGCATGCACTGGCTGCCGCCGCGCTGGATGCAGCACTCGAGGTGAGACGCCGCGCGTGTATCGCATAGCTGCGGCCCTGCTCACAGTCGCGACCAGCGCACACTCGACGCTCTGTATGCGCCGCTTCTGGCCGGGCTCAAGACATGGGCTGCGCCAGCAGCCGAGACGTTCTGGCTGCCCGGCGCAGCGCCGCTGCCGGCTGCTGCGCTGCTCGGTAGCGCACGGCATGCCTCTCTCCCCGCACGCTTGAGCACGGCGCTGCTCGGCAAGAGCAAAAACAACGTCTTCGTCGAGCTGGCTGCAAGCGAGTACGACTCGCTGCACTCGGCACAGAGCCTGTTGCTGCGCCGCGCTCGGCGAGACATCACGCTGCGGCGCAACGAGAGCGTCGCTCAGGGGAAGCGCAAGGAGGAGGGAATCGATGACCTGCTGCAGCTCGGCAGTGAGTGAGCGCGGCGCAAGCTGCAGCAGCCTAGCTGATTCCTTGCTCTAGTCGAGACGCTCTTCGTCTCTCTACCTGCGCTGCCCTCGCATCCGCCAGCTGCGCTACAAGATCTTCTCACGTCGCTGGCGTCCGCTTCGCGCGGCTCAGGCACACGCGTCTGCCTGCTCTTCTGGCTGCCCTCGGCTCCTGCACTGTCGCAACGCGGCTCGACGAAGGCGAGCGGCATCGGCAGCCTGGGTGAGGCGCTCCCCCTGCCGGCTGCTGTGCGCAAGCTGTGCGAGATCCAGTCGTTCACCCTGCCGACGACGAGTGAGACGTGGGACAGCATCACGCTGCAGGTGAGGCATCAGTCGATCATTTGAGCCTGCCCGCCCAACTGACGACTCGCGTAGCTGCACATGAACAAGCATCACGTCCCGCCAATATGGCTGGGTCCGACGCTGTGGGAGCAGATCGAGCGAGGCTTCCACGACGTTGACGGCCGCGTCGAGAGCGTCTGGCGGGCTCTGCAGGTCAGTACCCGCTGTGCGCAGCCCAGCTTGTACGTCGCTGACCCCCTGTGTAGCTTGCTGTCTTGGATCACTTTTCGGCCGATCCGTTCTCAACTCTGCTCTGTAAAAGCATCCCGCCAGCCGACGCCTTCACGCCTTCATTCTATGCTCGGCTGCGCCAGCTACTCCTCAGCGCTGTGGAGAGCCACGGACGCGTGCCGCCGCGGCCAAGCTCTGCGGTAGACTTGCATCCTCGCGCACACTTCGAGCTGCTGCTCACTTCGGACGAGCATTTGCTGGCGACGATGAGCGAGGTAGCTCAGGCGCAGAGAAGCGCGACGCGCACCCGTAATCTCGGTCTACAAGCTATCGCAGCGCTGGACTCGAAGCTCGAGCTCGGGCAGGCCGCTCGTCCGAGGCCTGGACAGCTCTGGAGCGCTCTGCTGAGCGGCAGCATCGCCAGTCTCATCTCAACATTGTGCTCTGCCCTGCATGCCGCCCCTCTCGCGCGGCTGCTCTCGGCGCTGGACGAGCTGGATGGCCTGATCCATCGCGAGCATGGCCCGGCATGGCTTTCGCAAGAGGCAAAGGAGTGGCAGGCCAAGCTGGGCGAGCAAAAGGACGAGGCGATGGACGTTGATGGCGAAGAGGGGCGCGTTGAGCGCGTTCATCGCCAGCTCGTACGCGAAGAGAGCCTTTCGGACGCCAAGAAGGAGCTCGTGGCTTGGCTCCGACGCTCGTTGCAGTGAGTCCGGCCTGTTCTACCTTCGAGGAGTTGTGCTGACTCTCTCTCCGCAGCACCCTGTGTGTTGCCCCACACGAGCTGGCGTTCGCTGAGATCTTCGTATACGACGATGCAGGCGCCATCGCCTCGCTGCTTGAGCCGGCGCCTCGGGCGATCTTGCTCGCGGCACTCAATGATCCGTGGGCGTTTCTCGAGTCCGGCCTCTCTTCAGCGGACGACGCGCAGGATGACGAGGACGAGGATCGCGCTGCCCTGCAAAGAGCGCAGGCTGTCGCAGACGTGCCCGACGTCTGTCGCGCTTACGTGCTGTACCGCGATGCCGGCCGGCTGCTGAACCTGGCAGACTGGTACAATGCCTTCGCGCAGGGCATCGAGGCACAAGCGCGGCAGCGCGACGGCGCACACGCCGAGGTCGACGAGGACGAGACGCAGGCGCGCTTCGCACAGAGCGTCTCGGAGCTGGCGGCGCTCGGCTTTCTGCGGCGCACAGGACGCAAGCCGGAGCACGTCAGCAAGACGGTCTTCGATCTGCCGCCGAGCAAAGTCAAGGCCAAGGCTGGCGGCGCTGCGAAGTCACGCGAGGCCTCTGTGCATGCCTGATGGAGAATGTCACCATTTCGAGAGAGCAGGAGAAGCAGCAGATGCACAGTCCGAGGATACATGTGATGGAGACGAGAGTAGCAAAGGAAGCAGGGCAAAAGCGGACGCGCCGCTGGCTAGCCTCGGACAGCGCGAGGCGTGTCGCAGGGCGAGCCGAAGAAGTCGAAAGGTGTTGAGGTGCGATCAGGGAGACAGCTCCTCCTCGTCCTCGTGGTCCTGCTCGGCGACAGCCGACGAGCTGGAGCCCCAGGACTCGCCGCGGCCGTCGACGGAGCTGAGGCTCTTTGGGCTGTCCTGGCCGATGCCGTGGCCGAGCTCGGTGGACGGCGCGCGGTTGAAGCGGCCGCCGCCGATGGCGCCCGAGGCCGTGTCCGGGCGCAGCGAGAAGCCCTCCGCCGTCGAGGCGAAGCCCGGGCTGGCCGGATGCGCGGCAAGCGGCAGACTGAGGCGCTTGAGCTTCTTGCCGCTGCCGTTGATGGTCGACGAGCGCGAACTCGGCGCATACGAGGTGGAGGGCGATGCGGCGTCCATGCTGCTCATCGAGCCGGAGTGCGGAATGCCGGTGGCACCTGCGAGGTAGCTCAGGCTGGCGTTGTGGCGCTTGCGGTCCGACGACTGGGCCGACTGGATCTTACGCAGCTCGTCGCGCGCCTGCTTGTACGCCGAGCGGATCTGCGTCTCGCGTGCGCGCTGCTCGGCCAGCTGCGTCATCAGCGCCGAGACCTGCGTCTCGCGGCCCACGTTGGCCGAACGCTGCAGCGGGTCGCTCGTCTTGAGCTCGCTAGGGCTGTTGGCCGACAGCGCGATGGCGGCGCGCAGCTCGGCGATGTCCTTCTCCTGCTGCTGCATGCGGCGCAGCATGTCGTCGCGCTCGCGCTCGACCTCGGCGAGCCTCTGCGCGGCACCGTCGTTTGGCGGGCTTGAGGATGTCGACGTGTCGCCGACGTCCTTCTCGTCCGCGCGCTTGCTCGCGTCGGCTTGCGACGCGGCCGCTTCCTTCAAAGCGTTGAGGTCGGCGAGCGCTTTCTGCAGGTCCTGTTCGGCCTGCTTCTGCGCCGCGCGCGCCTCGTCGTGCTGCCGCCGGGCGACGACGAGCTGCTTGGCGGTCTGGCCGTCAGCCCCGTTGACAAAGGAGGTGAGCTGCAGCGTCTTCTGCATGTCGGCGCGCGAGATCTCGTGCGCGCGCTGCGCCTCCTTGAGCTGCTTGTGCAGCTCGTTGCTGCGTGCCTCGTGCCGCTGCTGCGCCTCGAGGAACTGGCGCTTCAGCAGGCCAATGTCGCCGCGCCCGCGGATCTGGTCCTCGAGCTCGGCAATGCGCTTGCGCGCGAGCACATTGTCCGACATGGCGTCGGCCATCTCATCGTACACGCGCTCGAGCTGCGCAGCCTGAGCCTTGATCTGCTCGTCGCGCGGGTCGATGACCTTGGCGCCTTCGGTGTAGCCGGCGACGCGAGCCTTGTCGAGCTCCTTCTCGGCAGCGGCGAGGCGCTCTTGCAGCTCCGAGTACTGCGTCTCGTGCTCCTCGGTGAGCTCCTTGATGTGCTGCGCGTGCTCCTCCTCGAGCTCGTCACGCAGGCCGACATTGCTGAGGTTGCGCTGCACCGTGTCCGAGTCGAGGCGGTTCGTCGCGAGCGTGAGCTGCTCCTGCAGCGAGCTGAGCATGCTGCGCGCGTGCGAGGCCTCCTGCTCCGAGTTGAGGTGGCGCTGCTGCGCCTCCTTGCGCTCGCGCTCGGCTTTCTGCAGCTCGTCGCGCGCAGCTCGCAGCAGCGTAACAGCGCGCTCGCGCTGGTTCTCCTCGTCGGCAAGGCGCGTGCGGACCTTCTGCGCGTCTGTGCGCGCACTCTGTGCCGCGAGGTTGGCCTGCTCGAGCTCTTCGCCAAGCCTGCGCGCAGAGTCCTCGTGCGTCTCGGCGTGCTCGAGGGCGACGGCGAGCGCATCGCGCAGATCGTCATTGTCGTCGTCGGCCGTGTCGAGCTCGAGCTGGTGCGTGTCGAGCATGTAGTCCATGACCGTGCGCTGCTGGTCGAGCAGGTCGAGCAGCTTGCGGATCTCGGCGGAGCTGAGCTCGAGCTTCTGCGACATCGTGGAGAGGTAGCGGCCCAGGCCCTCGCCGTCGTTGATGCCCGCGAGGGGCGTCGTCTCGCGGACAATGACCTCAAGCGCGCGCTTCTCCGACTGCAGCTGCTTGAAGGCAGTGGCGATTTCTGAGAGCCACACGTGGTCAGCGGATGCGCATCCTCTGCGCGCTGCAGCCACACTCACCGCCAAAGGCGCCCGAGAAGCGGCCCTCCGCGCGCTTGATCCGTTCAAGGCTCCCGGGCTTGGAGGCGCTGCGCTCCGCCTCCATCTCGCCGCGACGAGACTGCATAGAGGTCTGCCGCTGGTCCTCAGAGCTGAGGTACGAGAGGCGCGCCTCGCTGACCTCCGAGCTGGGCGTGTAGAGCGAGCTTGCAGCGTGAGACAGCGAGCTGTCGCCCTTGCTGCTGCTCGCGGGCAGGGCCGAGCCTGCCGGTGCTGGCGCCTCGTCGGCTGTCGGCACAGCGAGAGCTGTGTCTGTAGACGCCGCGGCCTCGTCAACCGTCGACGCAGGCATGACGGAGGAGGACGTCGTGTCTACCGAGGTCAAGTCGACCGAGGCGCTCTGCTCGTCCGGAGCAGCCGCGCGCGCTTCCTGTCCAGGCGTAGGCGTCGTGCCGGGCGTGGCGAACGCCTCTGCAGCGTCGCCTTCAGCAGGCGAAGCCTTCGAAGCTGCTGCCGCAGACGGAGAAGTCTTGCCTTGCTCCGCTGTTGAGGCCGCACGACCGGGCGAGAGTGTACGCGACGCGGCCACCTTTGCGGCCTTGAGCAACACGGGCGCAGAGTCGACGCGCACTGCCGACAGACGCTGCGGCGAGCTAGTGGGCCCGCTGGAGCCGGCTGCCGGGGCCGCCGGGGGATCATGGCGCGTGGCAGTCTTGAGCACAGCAGTCTCCTCCTCCTCGTCCTCAGCCTCCTCGCGCACATGTCCGAGCTCCTCGGCATCCTGGCCAGCGCCAACAGCGGCCGACTCGGTAGAGTAGGTACTGCCTGCGCTGATGCGGCGCTCGTCGTCCCGGCTCGGCTCCTCCAGCATAATCTCCTGAGAGGGCGACACCTGCTGCGGTTGCTGCTGCTTGGCGGCGGCACGCAGCGAGGCGCGGCGGTCGTTGTATGACATCTCGGGCTCGATACGCTTCAGCAGTGCCTCAGCGTGCTCTGCGCCAGCGTGCGTCTGCATGTGGTGTGCAGCGACGAAGCTCGCGGTGGCGGTAGATGCCTTGCTCTTCATTGAGCCGGTCGCGCGCGACAGCGCCGCTGAGGAGGATGAAGGCGTCGCTTCTGAGGGCGAGTTGCCGGCCGAGGAGGACAGAACGGGCGGAGAGCGCAGGCCGGCAGCAGCAGCAGCAGGGGCAGACGTGGTGCTGTCGCCGGAGCTGCGCTTGCCCGCGCCATGTGATGGGTCAGAGGCATCGCTGGAGAGACGTAGTCGGTGCAGCGAGTTGCTGCGCGACTGGCTCGTGAAGGAGCCCTTGCTGAGACGCGCGCTCGACACGCCCGAGGGCGTCGTCGGCAGCGGCGGTAGCGGCTCCATGGGCGGGTTTGTCGGCGGCGGAGTCTTGCCGCGTGCGATCGGGCTGGGCAGGCCGCGAGAGATGCCGGGCGAGTTCGAGTAGGAGTGGCTGGCGGGGCTCGCATCCAGTGCGAGTGCGGCCGGCCGACTCTTCTTGCCAATGCTGCCGATTGGCGAGGCTAGCTTGGCAGTGATCTCGCTCGTCAGCGCCGGCGTCTGCGGCGACGCTGGAGACGTCACAGAGCGGCTGCTGGGTCCAGGCGCGTCCTCGTGCGCAGTCTGGAAGCTCGAGATGCTGGCCAACGATGCGCTGTTGGGCATGCCGGATGCGACCTTCGACTGCGCCGGCATGATGTTGCTGGCGCCGCCGATGCCGAGGCCAGCAAGCGACGACACCGAGGCAGGCGAGGCGAGCTGCTCCTTCTCCTCGCGCATGTAGGCGACCTGTGCCGAGTCGTTCGAGGCAGCAGAGCTGCGCTTGCTCGGCTCGTGCGACTCAGAGTCGTGGAAGACGAGCTTGGGCGTGCTGAAGTGCGACGCATGGCTGTGCGCCGAGCCGCTCATGCGCTCGGATGTCGACTCGCTAGGCACGTCGGCGTCCGGGCGCATCGTCTCCATGCCCGACTCGTTCTCGTCCTCCGGCAGGATGCCGCTGAAGTCGACGTGGCTGGTGAGGTGGCCAAAGTCGGCCAGCTCGCTGCGGCTCCAGCGCGAGCTGTCCTGCGACAGCACGCTGTCTCTCTGCCGTGCCGCGTTGCCGGTGCTCAGCGAGGGCAGCAGCGCCGGCGCTGCGGCCTCCTGCAGCGGCAGCGTCGTTGCGCGCGGCGTGCTCGCAGCCTCGGACACTGAAGCCTGCGACACGGCATCTTGCGAGGCGAGCGGAGACGCCGCGTCGCTCTCCGCCGGCGGCTGCGGGTCTGCCGCAGCCAGCGCCGCGAGCCGCTCGGCCTCTGCACGCTTCGCTGCGTTCTCGGCCGCGACGAGCGTGGCACGCGCCGCGATGGCCGAGGCAATCGACTGGATATTCGACTTCTTCTCCAGGGGCGACGAGCTGCCGCCGTCGGTGCCGCTCTGCTGCGCCTCGTTGCTCGAGGCGCGGCGCGTCGGGATCGTGGGCATGAGCAGCTTGCGCGGCGTTTTGCTGGGCGAGGGTGCGCCCATGCTGGCCAGATCGCTGGCAGAGCCGCGCGGCGCCGTCATGTCGCTGTCGATGGACGAGGAGGCGCTGGGCAGGTCGAAGGAGCGCTTGGTGCGCGGCGCGCGTGCGTTCGTCCACACGCCCGCCGTCGGCGGCGAGGCGTCGAGCGAGGCAGACTCCTGTCCGAGACTCTCGCTGCTGCGGCGCGGCGCACCGAGCTTGGCGCCGAGGCCGCTGGCACCGCTGCGCCGGCCGCCGCTGGGCTTGAGCGGGCGGCGCTTGGAGGCGCCCGCAGACTCGGCGGTGGGCGAGCGCGGCGACTTGGCGCTCATGAGAGTGCGCTCGCAGGGCCCGTGGGACAGCTCCGAGCGGCACAGACGACGGCGGCGCGAGAGAGAGCGAGGTGTCGGCGCAGCAGCAGGTGCGACGGGCCGAGCCAAGTCACGCGAAGGGAGGGCAGGGATGGTGGTGAGAGGCGGAGCGGAAGCAGCTCGGCGACGTCTGGAGTCTGAGTGCCGCCTCGTCGTCAGCCAGCAGCGTCACCTCGACTCGACTGGACTGCCGCTGCTGCGTGCGCGGGCCGCGCTTGCGAGGCCAATCTCGGCCGGAAGGTTCGTGTCTCAAGCGGAGCAAGGCGGTGAAGCAGCGTGCAGCGCTGCAGGATGCGGCACCGGCAACGCGGAGTGCGGCACGCGGGCAGTCGCCGAGAGGGGAAGAGGCCGCACCGCGCAACCGAGACATCGGCGCCGCGCACCTTTAAGCTCGGCTTGCCGGATGCAGACGCGGCGCCGCCCCCTCGGCGGCACCAGCGCCGTGTGCGGCGTTTGCACCTCACGGCATGCACCTCTCAACGCTGCAGATGCAGGCACATGGGCGCCGGCGGCGCGGGGACGCGGGAAGCTCGTGCTGTGTCTTGCTCTCGCACATGTCTGGGATCTCGTTCTGTGGCTTCCGTACGCCTGATGCTGCTCTGCTGCTCGCTCCCTTCACCCTCATCGTCCAGCGCCGTGCCTGGTGTGCTTGTGAGAGCGTTTCACAGCATCCAGCTGCGCATGCTGCATGACGATGCTTCTGGCGCCTCGGCTGGACCCGTGGTCTCATTGCGCCGGCGGGAGGAGCATGCTGCCGGTGTGTACCGCTTGGCACCGTTCACACCGGCTCCGTCGGCGCAGCCAGCGGATAGCACCCCATGCGTCACAGCGTGTCCTGGTCCCGGTGCAGGTCCTGTAATTGCAAGCACATGCGTCTCACAGGAAGCGCCAGATGGAGTCGGCGCCCTTGCTGCTCTTCCAGCGCCCGTACGCCGAGCACGCAAACCACATCAGCACCATCAGGCCCTGCATCGCCAAGCGATGTCAGCGCACCGCCGGAACGAGGGCGGCCAGAAGGGTTCGCGACTCACAGCATACGTGCAGTAGTACACGGCGCCCAGGCCGATGCCGCGGCCCTCGCGCGCCCATGGCGGCAGCTGGTGTGCCAGCGGCGAGGGGATGATGACGAAGCTAGAGAGAGGGACAGAAGGACGTCAGCTCTGCCCGGTCTGACCAGCCACATATCTGACCCACGCGAGCAGCTGAATGACGATCTGGTGCGCCGCGTAGTAGAAGAGCGGCGTCTGGCCGAATGGCAGCAGCGCGGCCGAGAACAGCGCCGGAACCGGCAGCGAGAAGAGCGCCAGCAGCAGAAAGCAAGCCGAAAGCGTCAGGAAGGCATACGCCGGCGATGGCGGGTACTGCGACAGAGGAAATGAGTGATACAGCGTAGTGGTGGCGGCGATGAGAGCGCACCTTGGTCACGTAGAGGAAGCTGCGCCAGCTCGCCAGGTACTGGTTGGCGCCGGCCGGCAGACCCAGCTGGTCGGGCGTGCGCAGGCAGTCCGTCGAGAGGTTGCCAAACTGCAGCAGGCGCGTCGCAGCGAAGAGGCCGCCGAAGATGACCGCCAGGCTGGCGTTGAAGACGCCCACGGTGTGGCGTGCCCAGCGCGCGCGCACCAGCACGCGGCCGTACAGCAGGCCAAAGAGGACAAAGGAGAGCCAGCCGATGGGCGGAAAGGCAGACATGACGTGGATGTTGACGCACTGCACGACGCCAAAGGCCAGCTTGTACCAGAAGCGCGGCGCATCGAGGCGACACCACTCGGCGGACGCGGGCCAGCCGGCCGTGGTGTGCGCCTCGGCGGCGGTGCAGGCGCCTTGGTTGTCGCTCGTCCACACGTTCGCCCAGAGACTGACGGCCGAGAGAAGCAGCAGTACGGCGTCGACGAACATCGATGCGTGCCGCTCGCCGTCGGCCTTGGCCTTGCTGGCCTCGGACGGCAGCGGCTCCGGCGGCGGACGGGCGAAGCGCAGGCCCAGCGTCGGCTGCAGCCAGTGCTCGATGGCAATTGTCATGCCGCCGACGCAGACGTAGTCGATGGCCAGCGCCCACAGCACGGCGTTGAAGACGATAAAGTACGGCGGGCGCACCGAGAGCAGCAGGAACGTCACCTGGTTGACGAGCAGCAGCGCAAGACCACGCTTGAGCAGGTGCGAGACTTGCTCCCGCGGAGGCGTGCCGCGCGCGTTGCGGCTGGCGCTCCAGTAGGCCAGACCCATGCCCATCAGCATGGCAAAGCCCGGCGCGCAGAGGTGCGTGAGGGTGCGCAGCAGGAACGGCTCCGTGTCGCTCCACTGCGTCACGACCGTGCTTGCTGCCTCAGATGCCACGGCCGTGCCGTGCGGGTAAGCGCCCAGAATCACGGCAATGTGGTCTGCGCTCGCAGTCCGTCAGCGTTGCCGAGCGCCAAACTAAGCATGGCCGCTCACCGGAGGCCATGGCGACCATGAGGAAGCCGCGCAGCAGGTCGGGCGCCAGCTGGCGAGCCGGTGCCGCGCGTGCAGACCCCTGCGGCGCGAGATCCGTCTCCTGCACGTCGGTCTGCCCCGCCAGGCGCTGCAGCAGCGGCGAGCGCTCCGAGGGCGCCGCCGCGGCGGCGGCTGGTGTGTCTCTCATGTGTGCGTTGCGAGGAGGGGCGTCGACGGTCGTGGAGAGGACACAAGAAGCGCTGCAGCTCCACCTCGCGCCCGTTGCCGCCGGTCGGCGAGGCGCGTCCCCTTTTCCCCGCGCCGGCGCTTTCGGCGGCGGCGCTGCTGCCGAGCCGCGATCGCTGCTGCGTCAGCCCGCGCGTAACGTCGTGCCCCGGACATAAGGCAAGGCGAGGGTCCAGAGCACAGCGCAGCCTCCCGCCGCTCAGCATGCCTCGCCTCAGAGGCAGCGCAGGCAGACCGCTCGACGCAGGGCAGGCGCAGCGAGTGGTCGGCGCCCGTGCTTTGCGCAAGCAGCCTGCCCTCAAGTCTGGTCGCGCCTCTTGCCTTGCTGCTGCACGATGTGCTGCTTGCCGTGATCCTCCAGACAGGCGATGTGGGCCAGGACTCCTACCGCTTGACGTCGGCGTTGCTGAGGCGGATCATGAGCGTTGAGCGCCGCTTCGCGGCGTCGTGGGTACATTGTACATGTCGTCGCTACATCCCTCGACCGACGGCCACGTCTTGAGCCCAGCCCCTCGGCTCTCGCGACGCCGCCCGCCGCCTCCCGAATGGGTCTCCAGCTCGACGGTGCACGTGCCACATGAAGCGTCAACGCCCGGCGTTGCAGCCGTCGTGCCGCCGGCTCCAGGATTGCTCAAGACGAGCCTTTTGGTCGAGAATGAGGCGCGCAGCAGCCGCGCAACCTCGTCTCCAAGAGACGGCCAAGCCGAGCTCCCCGCGCCCACGCTTGCAGCGTTCATGCCCCTCACGCACCACCTGCACGCACCGCGCACACGCTTCGGGCACGTCGCCGGCGCCAGGCATCCCAGCGCGAGCGACGACGCATGGGAGCATCGGAACGCAGCAGGGTGCAGGAGATGTCAAGACGCGCTAAGAGAGCTCCCGTGGTGCGCGCGCGAGGCGGCTGCGGAACCGACGGGACGGCGAAGCGCGCCTCGGCCAGGTGCAGCGTCAGCGTTGCTGCTCGGCTCGCTGCTCGGAAGGGGCAGACTATCTCGGATCTGATGCTGCACGGCCATCGCAGCGTCGCGGAAGCGGCCAGCGTCGAGAGACGCAAGCGAGCCTTGCTCTTGAGCCGTACGGGTGCGGAAGAGGCGGGAGACAGGGTCCAGAGGATCAGCCGCGGCACGAGGCGAGCGCCTCCTCCTCCGTCTCCGATCGACCGGAGGCTGCTCTCGCCAGCGCCTCTCGGGTCTCGGTGCCCGAGCCTCGACTGCTCGAGCCCTCGTCGATCCTCAGGATGCAGCAGCTGCTGAAACGCCGCTGCGGCACGCAGACGCAGAGCTGGGCGCGGCTGCGTGTCGGGCAAAGCAGAGAGGCTCGGATGCAGCGACGCAGGTACGGCGGAGGGCGGAGCAGAAGCGAGGGCCGTGGCACACGACCTGGCCCGGCACGGCTTGCAGATTCTGCCGCTTGCCTTTGGGCGCTGTTTGAAGGCTGTGCTTCAAGGGATGCTTCCGGGCGCCTGGATGGCGTGCCGGGCGTAGGCGGAGATGGCGGCGCGCAGGCGGAGCGGGGGCAGGAGAGGGCGGCCAAGACCTGCACGCTGCAGCGCGGCTGCAGCGCCCGCCGGCGAGACGCCCTTCTCTCGGCGTAGGCGCCGACGCTGCAACGCCTGCGCCGCCGGCTCGTGAGCGTCAGAGCACGGATCAACCCGCTGCCGAGCACAGCTGCAGCACGCCGACTGCTCTCCAGCCCCTCTGGAGCGCGCTGCCGCGTGAGCGCGAGGAGGCCTCGTGACGAGGCTGCGCTACAAACAGACCGCAGACGGCCTGCCGCGCCTCCCGGGCGTCTCTGCTGTCTGTGCACGAGGTTGCGCGCAGCGGCCAACTTGCTCCGCGCGCAGCACAGGAAAGAGAGAGCGGACGCGGTGCAGAGGCGGTGCGGCGGCGGCACCGAGAGATCCCAGCGGCGGCGCGCGTCATGCTCCAGGCACGCAGGAGCGCCGGTGCCCCTCCTCTCTGGCTCGGCACCTTTCAGCGCTGGCATGGAGGCGCTGCCAGCGCATCTCTCCTCTTCACCACCATCTCCAGCTCCCTGTGCGCCGCTCGCCGGCCTTCGCGCCCTCTCACTTCCCTCTGCCGCCGCTGGCATGGGCGGCGCTCCCACTCCGGCAGCTCCGGCGTCCAGCTCCTCCTCCTCTTCTGCCGCAGCCGCCGGCGTCGCCTCGCTCTCCCTCAGCGCGCCCGGCCCCTCGCGGCGCACCTCGCGCTCGCGCACGCCGCCGCGCCTCTACCTCGCCGTCGACTGCGGCGGCACCAAGGCGGCCGCCGTCGTCTGCGATGGCAGCGGGCGCGTGCGCGGCCGCGGCTTCGGCGGGCCGGCCAACTACACCGACGTCGGCCTGGCGGCCTTTCTGCGCAGCGTCGACTGCGCCGTGCGTGCGGCCCTCGCCAACGTCGCAGATGCCACGCCGTCGGCAAGTGCGGCACCACGCAGCGCCAGCCGCTCGCCGCAGGACGCCTCGCCGTACTTTACGCCTTCGCCCGTGCGCGCGCCAGCACCGGCAGAGCAGCTGGACGCCGCGCGGCTGTCTCCGCCCACGGGCGTGGCGCCGGCCGATGGCTCGCCGGCGCCGTTCGAGGCGGCGTGGTTCGGCATTGCGGGCGTCGACAGTGCGGCAGACGTCACTGCGCTCTCGCCGCACCTGGCCGCGCTGCTGGGCCTGCCATACCCCTCGCCGCGCCTCATCGTCGCAAACGACACCTCGCTGCTCGCGGCGCCCGTGACGGACCCGGCGCACGCGCACATTCGCTCCGGCGTCGTCGTGATTGCCGGCACGGGGAGCATTGTGATGAGCTTTGGGCAGAGCGACACGGGCCTGCTCAAGACGCTCGGCCGCGTGGGCGGCTTTGGCTGGCTGCTGGGCGACGAGGGCAGCGGCTATGCAGTGGGGCGCGATGCAGTGCGGCTGGTGCTCGACCAGGCCGATCGGGAACGTCTGCTTGCCGAGCCTGGCACGTCGAGTTGCTCGCCTGTGCGCTGTGGGGAAGAGCAGGTCGAGACGGCCGAGCATCGCCTGCGCGACCGCATCCTCAAGCACTGGGGCCTGTCCTCCACAGACGACCTCCTCAACGCCGTCTATTCCAACGACACGCCGCCGTCGTTCCCCGCCATTGGCGCCTCTGCCGCGCCGTCCGTCGCCTCGTCGTCGCCGTCGCCCGCGACGAGCCGGCGCGGCAGCGTGCACTCCGACTCGCCCAGCGAGGACGATGACGAGGAAGATGCCGCCGGCGGACACACGATGATCGCCTATGATCGCTCGACCAGCTCGGCGCGCCCTGCACTGCACGAGTCGCACGCGACTGTGCGAGGGCGCAGCAGTCCACGCACCGCCGAGGCCGTGAGCGCTGCGGCTGATGCAACGGCAGAGCCATCAGCCTCGCTCCTGCCGCCCTCTGCGCCGCTCGTCGACACGCAGGCACTCGGGTCACCCATTCCCAGTCTGTGTCCCAGCCCGAGTGCGCCGACTGTGGAGCTCCCGACGGGCGAGAGCAGCAGCGCTGCACCGCAAAGGGAGCGGCGACCATCCCTCTCGCTGCCCCTGGGTGCCGGCTCCTCTGAAGGGGCCGCCGCCGTCTCGCCCGGCGCCGTCGCCACAGCCGCAGCGCACGCCGTAGGGGAGCGCAAGCACCGCCTCGCCTCGCTCGCGCCGCTCGTCTTCCATCTCGCCTTTGCGCACACCGACGCGACATGCCTTGCCATTCTTCGTCGACAAGCACGAGCAATCGCAGAGCAAGTGTGCGAAGTGCTCCGTCCCGGCCCGAGCTCGGCCGCACATCTGCGCGCCGACCGCAGCGTGCTGTGCTGCGGCGGCAGTCTCGTCGGCGTGGCGCGCTACCGCGCCGTGCTCGAGGAGGAGCTGGCGCGCCTGGGCGTCGTCTTTGCGCGCGTCGAGTACGTCGGCGATCCGGCTATGCGCGGCGCTGCGGCACTGGCGGGCGTGTGGGAGGCGAAGCAGACGGCGCCGTAGGAGGAGGAGACGACACAACACCTAGATGCTTACTCGACCGCCAGATCGTCTCGTCACACTATTAATCAACTCATTGCACATTACAGCCGCCGCCGTTTGAGAAGCGGCCGGTACGACAAGGTGACCGATGCGGGGTATGTGACAGGCAAGGGCTAGCAGAGCGGCAGCACCTCTTGGAAGAAGGCTGCTACTCCTTCTCCAGCGCCGTGCCCACAAGACGATACTTGACGCGCGCCCCGCTGCGGCTGACGCGCACGCCAATCGTCATGGGCCGCGCCGGCGTCGTCTGCGTCTCGGCGCCAGGCTCGCGCTTGACGCTCGCCGCGGATGCTGCCTCGGCCAGCGTCGAGCCGAGGATGGGCAGCAGACGGCGACGCAGACGATGCAGCTTGTCCGGCCGCTCGCGCACTTGTTGAGGATCCATGCCGCAGAGAAACTTGGCCTGCAGCAGCGTGAGATCGTCTGTCAGCTGGCAGGGCTCTGCACGTCCGGGGCGATGGCTGCTCACCGCCTGCTCGCCAGAGACGACGATGGGAACACGCGCACGCTTGACGCCCGGCGCACCCGATGCCTCCTCGACCAGCAGGCCAAAGTTGAACGTAAAGCGCACCGACTGGCCATCGTCGTCGCCGCACCGCACGCAAAAGTTGTGCTCGCGCGGCAGTCTGGAGGCGCAGAAGAGTCAGACGTCTATCGCTCTGCTCCGGTGGGCTAGGGCTGCGCCGCAACTCACGTCGCATCGCACTGTGCACAAACGGCGCACGCCCACTCGTCAATGTCTCGAGGCAGACAATCGACGACGCGCACGCGCACACGCCACGTCGTGTCTTCCTGCACGGTGCGGGCCGCCAGCGCAGCCAGCGTCAAGGAGCAGCTCTCGGGCACCTCGCACTTGGTGCGTGCGTCACGCGAGGCACACGGCGCCTCGACTGCGACTTCTTCGTCGCTCGCCGGCCGTGGCACAGCTTGGGCTACCTGTCGTGGCGCAGCTCGAGCGACCGGCGCAGCTGGGGCCACTGGCGCAGCTCGGACCACAGACCCAGCAGCGCGGGGACGAGGCACCTCGCGCTCTGGGCTGGGACTTGGAGGGCTGGCGCTCCGCGACGGCGATGGCTTGCGGATGACAGGCTTGACCTCGGGCGGGCTCGGCTGTGGCGGGCTTGGCTCCGGCGCGCTTGGCTCTGGCGACTCAGCCGACGGAATGGGCGGAGCTGTTGGGGCTGGAATGAGCCGAAGACGTACGAGCACCCGTCCCACGCGACGCTCACCACTCTCGGAAGCTCCCTGTGCTCCCGCCAGCCGCTGTGCATGCGCTTCTTCTAGCTCGCGCGCTGCCGCCTCGGCCTCCTCGTCGTGCTCGCCCAGCATGGCCTCCATGCGTGCCGTCTCCTGCGCCGCGCGTGCCAGCCGCCGAGCTTCCTTGCTCCTGAGACGTCATCGTCAGTGCTGCAGGCCAGCGAGACACCTGTCTTGGCCCTCACCGAAGCAGGTTCTGCACCTCCTTGATGTCCTTGTGCTGATCTTGGCGGATTAACGAGATAGTGAGACGCCCACCGAGCCGGCCCTGCAGGATGTTGTTGGGCTGCACGCGCGGCTGGAAGTTCGAAATGGTGACGATGTCGCCCGTCGAGAGAAAGTCGAGCGCCTCGACCTGCTGATCCCACAGCGACGTTCCGCAGACGAAGCCTCCGAACTCGCCGTGCTGGCGTCGCTGCTCATCCAGCTCGTCCTGCGAGATGTCGCCAAGCTTGAAGTCGTTGGCACGGGCGAACGCAGCGTGGAAGGTGTAGTCTGTGATGTAGAGCTCCGGCGGCATGTTGTCGCCCTTGTTGCGCGTGAACGTCTTGACTACCTCGGCGGTGATGTCGCAGAAGACACTGCCCTGCAGCTGGTCGAGCGTCACCTGCGGCCGACTGCGATTGGAGGTGAGGACGTTGAAGTGCGCCGCGCCCCACGCGGCCATCTCGCGCATGGCGTCCTCCTCGGCGCCGCTGATGGGATGCATCAGGCGCGGCGAGCGCTGCAGCGCATCGTTGCGCGCCGTCAGCAGCGCCCAGTCGGGCCGGTCCTTGTACTGCACGCCGGCAAGACGCTGGATGTACACCTTGCGCAGCAGCAGCACGTTGCCCGCCACGGGCGTCGGAAGCTCGAGCATGCTGGGCGAGAAGATGTTGACGCTGAAGTGCTTTCCTGGCGTTGAGGGGTCGCAGAGGCCGAGACTGAGCATCGGATCTGTACACCGAGGTCAGCTCGTCGCTCGGCACTTTGCTTGCGACCGTCTCACCTCCGGTGCCGCCGGCGCTGAAGCGTGCCTCGCGCTTCCATGCCACGACCGCGATGACATTGGCGATCTGGCCATTGCGCACACACATCGACAGCGGCGGATACTGCAGCTGCAGGGCGCGTGGTCTCAGCACAAGGAGAGCGCGCGGCATGCTCTCTTTGCACTCACTCCACCGAGAGTGCGCGTCGTGGGCACCGCAGGCACCGCAGCTGCCGCAATCGCCGCTGCCTTGCCCTTGCCTGTGCGTGGCACGATGTACGTCGGCGTGCCCTGCGCCGCCGCTGGTGTCGCTTTCGCCTTCTTGCTCGCACTGCCGCTCCCGCTACTGCGCGCCGAGCCCGCCGAGCTGCCAGCTGCATCATCATGCGCTCGTTCCTTGCCCTTCCCACTCGTGCTTGTGCGCGGGCGCTTTGCGGGAGCAGCAGCGCCGGGTGCCGCGCGAGCCTTCTCGTCGACATCGCACCACTCTCCCGCATCCCACAGCGCACGCATCGCGACGCGCCCCTCTCGCCACTCAACGACCGGCTCGTTCGTCCCGGGAAAGACGTGCGGAGCGAGTTGTGCGCCGTATGCCGAGAGCAAGAGCGGGGCGTTGCGGCCGCTGGCGGCGCGTTGGCGCAGGAGAGCCGAGACGGAGGCGCAGAGGCCGCCGTGGAAGGCGAAGTGGATGCGCTGGCCGCGGGCGGCCGTGGCGTCGACCTGGATATGTGGCATCAGCCCTGCTGTGGCAGAGCCTCCGTGCCGCCTGCGTTGCATGCTTCCGCCGCCGACTCACCAGGCACAGCGCCTCGTACTTCTCATTGAAAGCCTCCTTGAGCTGCTCGACGGAGCGCATGAGGATGCAGACGCCCACGTCGTGTCCGCTCGCCACTCTGCCGAGCCAGCTGTCGAAGGAGGTGAGCGTGCCGAGGCGGTGCAGCTCCTCGTCGTCGAGCGTCAGCGTCTCCGCACTGCGCGGCGCCAGCGGCTGTGCGGCTGGTGCGGCAGAGGGCGTAGGGAAGGGCGGCGGCAGCGCGGCACTTTCGGCGCGCTCGCTGGTGCCGGTGCGCTTGAGCGACTTCTTGAGGCGCGTCATGGCATGTGCGTGGACGAGGTGCAGTGCGAGGTGTTGGGGTTGGTGTGGTGGAGAGGTGGAGAGGCACACCGCACCGCACTCGACTCTACGCGTCGCCGTCCAACACCTTACGCGTCGCGCGCCGCTGCAGGCGAGGTGCCTGGAGTGGCTTGGGCTGCGCTGGCTGGCGCTGCGCTGGCTGCGCGCGCGCGGCGCACTCCTTCCTTTCGCACCACACGCTCCACGGACCGCACCTCGCCGCTCTTTCACTCCTCCTCGCATCGCCACACAGCCACCTCTCTTCCGCCCGTATGCCGTCCGCCAGCCGTTCGCGGCGCCGCGCCGACTCGGCCGAGCGGCGCGAGCTGGCGTCTGCCGAGGACCTCTCGCGTGCGTCGCCCGACGACGAGGAGCTGGACGGGCCCGAGGAGCCCCTCTCCGACGCCGAGCCCGAGGATCTCGACGATGATGACGACGACGACGACGATGTCGGCGCTGCAGCGCCGCAGCGCAAGCGCATCTCGGCCGCCGACATCGCACGCGCAAAGGGCGACCAGCCGCTCGATGCCGTCGTCGCCGACACGCGCCTGCGCGCCATCGCCACCGACTGGGGCTCGGCGAGCAGGAACCTGGCGCTGGCCATCGAGGCGCTCACGACGAGCGCGGAGCAGGTGGCCGAGTTCATCGGCTGCGATGAGGAGAGCTTGGGCGGTGGGCTGACGCAGGTGAGTGGGGCGCGGAGCAGCGAGGGGTGTCAGATGAGCGGTGCGCGCCGGCGCAGATGCAAGGGCGGGCATACTCTGACTAGAGGCGCAATCCGTGGTCATTGAAGATGCGTGACGGAGCATTTCTCGGGCGAGCTTTAGCTCGGGGAGAGGGCCTCGGGGAGAGGGCGACACTGCTCGACGGGCGAGCTTTACGGCTATTTCGCGGCAGCCATGTGCCTGTCATTCAGGACTGACGCTTTCCACCTTCTGTCCCGCACCCTTTCTTCATCGCAGAGCACGGCGACCCTGGAAGCCGGCATGCGTGCTCTTCTCGACGCCGAGGCAGAAGTCAAGCTGCGCGTGCGCATCCTGCACGAGCTGCGTGGACAGCTGACGCGCGGCGACAAGATTGTGCGTCTGCCACTCCTCCATGCTCCACTCCGCTCTCGAGTCGCTGACAATCATCGCATGATGTGCAGTACAACGCGCCGCAGAGCTACGAAGCGGCAGTGCAGGCCGAGCTGGAGAAGTACACGCAGCAGACGTCGCGCCAGAAGTACGCTTCGCAGAAGACATATGAGCAGTTCCGCGAGAAGATCTGGGTGCGTGCCCTTTCCTGGTGATGAAGCCGAGAGGCAGTCACTGATGTGCGTCTTCCTCTCCTCTCACAGCAAGCGGGAAGCGAAGACCCTATGCCGCCGATGCTCGATCTCATCGCTGCCGGTGAGTGGGCTGAGGCTCCGTCAAGCAGTGTCAAGCTGACCGCTGACGCGTGCTACCTGCGCGCAGAGGAGGGAGATGACGACGACGACGGCGACGACATCGTCATGGGCGGCGTGACGCAGGACTACAAGTGCCCGCTCTCGCTGCGTCTCATGACCGACCCGCTCTCCTCGTGCGTCGCATCGCGCATCCGAGCCTCTTCCCTCACTGACCCCTTCACCATCCCAGCTCCACCTGCTCGCACTCCTACGAGCGCAGCGTGATCCTCGACTATCTCTCCTCTCAGGCAGGGCACAACGCAGGACGCGGCGGTCGCGGTGCGAGCGTCGAGTGTCCAGTCAGCGGCTGCAGGGCACAGCTCTCCAAGGCGTCACTCAAGGAGAACGCCAAGCTCAAGAAGGACGTCCGAGCCTTTGCGCGCCGCCAGGAGGAGCGTGAGCTGCGCAGACGCGCCACGCAGAACGCTGAGGCGGTGCTCGACTAGAGCGGCGGCAGACCTGGGCCGGAGCCGACGACAGCTCCTTCGTCCCGGTTCTGCTCTCCTCGCTGCGCCTCTACACTGGCTCGACACCTCTGTGTCCTCCCATCCCACCCTTCCTTGCTTCGACTCGTCCTGTCCACTCTCTCAAGCGTCACTTCTTCATACCTTCATCCTGTGTACCACCACCACCTCACCAAGCCGCGAACTCATCACCGACGTGTCTAGCAATATGTGCAGTGTACTTGCAGAAGCGGTTGCAGCGAGGACTGAGGATCACAAGAGAAGGGTGACGTGCAGAGACCGGGAACCGGGATCAAGGCGAGAGAGGGCAGAATGGCGCTGCTGATGCTTCACCAGCTGCCGCCGCGCAACCCCTCCTCCTGATCGCCCAGCACCAGCTCAAAGGACCACACCGTCAGTGCCGTGCCGACGGCGAGGAAGCGGTGGATCGTCATGTGCGACTGATCCAGCACTGCGCAAGAGGATCGTCAGATGACGTCTGAGGCGGCTGTAGGAGGGCAAGCACGTACGCAGCAGATGCGAATAGACTGCGATGAGCAGCAGGCGCGAATAGGAGACGATGATGGAGATGACTGGAGAGAAGGGTACAGAGGCAAGGATCAGCCGCAACGTTCAAGCAACTGAGGGCCCGCAGCAACGCAGCAGCACCCCTTTACTCACAAGCGCCTACCGGCTCCTCTCTCTCCTCCTTCTTCGCCGCCGCTCTCCTCTTGCCATCTCTCGGTTTTTGCGCTCTCGGTGTCCGCTCCTTCTCCTTGCCCTTGACCAAGCCGTCCATGACTTCCGTGCGCTCCTCCTCCTCCTCCACGCGCTCCTCTTCCTGCTCGCGCCACTTGCCCTCTGCGGCCTTGAGCACGGGCAGGATCCGACTGGCGGCGTACAGCACCATGAGGCGGTAGACGAGACTGACGACGACGGAAGGCGGCAGTGCTGCACCTGCTGCGGCAAGGAAGCGCGCCGAGTGTCCGAGCGTGTGGGAGAGAAGATCGAGCAGCGCAGTTGCCGAGGCGAGGATGAGAGGCGGCAAGGGCGCCCCGGCGGCGAGCGGCGAAGGGTTGAAAGACCGAATGATGGAGAGGGGATCGGAGAAGGGCAGCACATCAGCCAGCTGCCAGACATTCCAGCAGACGTAGCCGAACTGCGCAGGGGCCAGACACAAGGTGAGCATCGGACTGAGAGCGGAGATGAAGGCCACACAGCACTCACCATCAAGCTTGTCTCAATGACATTGCCCTTGCGCACCGCAAATGCAATGGCAGTCAGCCAGAGCGTGCTACTGACCGCGACGCCCGTCGCAGCCGCCGCGCCTGGCCGGTTGCGCGTCGCAGGCTCAAAGGCAACCCAGAGCGCCACGGTGCCCGACACGTAGACGAAGGCGGAGAGCAGCAGGAAGAGCAGCTGCCAGCCCTCGGCGCCGCCGAGGCCGAAGGAGGGCAGGTAGGAGAGCAGCCGACGACGTGAGGGAGGCGGTGGTGGGGACGAGAGAGAGGCGGCGATGATGTAGCGCGAGAGGGAGCCGAGCACCTGCCGAAGAGGAGTAGAGATCAGCTGCGGCCTCAGTGCCTGCTGCCTTGCCTCTCTCTCGCCGCCTCTCATTGCCGCTCTGCGCCCTTGCCCGCACGCACCTGGATGACGAGCAGCGTGGCGATGCCCTCGAGCAGGCTGAACACGGGGCTGCTGAGGCGCAGCAGCGTGAACCACCACGGCGGCACGGCGCGCGCCAGCCAGTAGACGCCCTCCATGCAGCGCGCCACGAGCTCGCCGAGGCGCGCGCCAAAGAGGCCCTCGGCCAGGCCGCGCGCGCCCAGCGCCTCGGCGTCGGCGGAGCGCAGGCGCGGCGCAAAGTACGACTCGCTCGGCGGCGAGTAGACGTTGAAGACGACGAGCAGGCAGGCGGGCACGACGAGGCACTGGAAGGTGGCGAAGAAGGTGCCGAGCCAGCGGAAGCGCGTGTGGTGCACGCAGACGCGCAGCGAGGAGAGGAGAAAGTAGTAGGAGGCGAGCGAGGCGGAGAGCGCCAGGAACGCATCCTGCCCGGCGACGTCGAGCGTGAGGGGCAGGTAGAGGATGACCTGCAGCAGCGTGGTGATGCGCCCAAAGGTGATGAGCAGCGCCCACAGCAGCGTCATGCTGGCAGCGAGGAGGAGGTGGAGGGCGAGAAGGAAGCCTGTTGCTCTGGCTTGGACGCGTCCCAGGCGGGGCGCGTGCGTGGGAGCAGCGATGGAAGCGCGACTGGGCGCATCGTGCAGAGCCCAGGCCAGCTTTCTCTGCACGGCTGCCCCCAGCTCGCCATCCTCCCATCCTCATCCATCCCTCTCCCTCTGGCGCATGTCGACCCGCTCCCGCGCCCGCGGCCATGCGCCGCGCCAGGCGTCCGAGCCGTGCATCAGCACCAGCGCGCTCGGCGAGGGCGAGACGGAGCGCACGCCCTTGCTCGCAGCCTCCACATCTGCCTCGCACCCGGGCCTCACCGCCTCCAGCAGCGCCACCAGCACGGCGGCCAACAGCGCCAATGACCTCGAGGCACGCTGGTCGCGCTGGAAGAGCAAGGTGGCACGCTTTGCACAGGGCAAGCGCCGCGCTCGAGAGGACGAGGAGCAGCTCGAGCCGCGCCTGCTCGTCTCCGTCTTCGACGGCGCGGGCGCAGATGAGGCGCAGCAGGAGGAGCAGGGAGAGGACGGCATCTCGGAGAAGGAGCTGTGGCAGTGAGTGGCCGCCCGCTCTTGTCTGGCAAGCGCGCGTGCTGATTCGCGACGCCAGCCAAGTGTCGCAGGTGCGCGCCGCCATAGCGCAGGGCCTCTATCCCAAGATGATCACCACCGGCTCGTCGGGCTCGTACTTTGCGCGCGCCCGCATCGCCGTGCCGCGCCACGGCAGCAGCAGCAAGACCGACGCGGTCGTCACGACGCTGGCCGTGTTCAAGCCCAAGGACGAAGAGCCGTACGGCAATCTCAAGTGCGTCCCACGCCTTGCGCGCTCCCTTCCGGACTGACGCTCGCTCCCACGCAGTCCCAAGCGTCTCTTCCTGCGCCGCTACTTTTCCTGGGCCATGGGCCGCCCGTGCTTGATCCCCAACTTCTCCGCCTATTCAGAAGTAGGCGCCTCCTACCTCGATGCGCGCCTCGCATTGCATCTCGTGCCGCGCACAGAGCTCGTCTCGCTCGCCAGTCCCAGCTTCCACTACGACTACAAGGACCGCATGGCGCATGAGAGACAGGGCAAGGAGCTGCCGGAGAAGGTGTGTCTGCTCGCTATGCTTGCGCGTCCGCGTCAAGCCCCGTCCGACTGACGCTCGCGCCGCTTCCCGTGCTAGCTCGGCTCGTGGCAGACCTTCCTGCCAGGCTACACCAACGCCTCCGACTTTCTGCGCGCGCATCCCTGGCCTTCGCGCCCGCGTGCACTCCTCGAGCGTGATCTCGTAGCCGAGGCACGCGCACATCGCAAGTCGCGCAAGAAGCAGGGCAAGCGGGTGCGCACGTGCCTGGTGGGCGCCAAGCATTTGCTGCTTTGCAGACAGGGCTGGCAGCCTGATGAGGAGGAAGAGGAAGAGGAACGGCAGCAGCAGGTCTTGCCGACGATCTCAGAGGCGCCGACGACGGCACCGCCGATGCAGCAGCCGGGCTGCGTGGAGGTGGCGGGCGCAAGGGACGTCGTGGCTTCGTTCCAGTGGAACAGCGAGAACATGCAGAGCTTCCGTCTCGAGCTCGAGAAGGTGCGTCTCATTGCCAAAGCGCAAGCCGCAGCGGATTGGCTGACTGTGCCTTCCCTTGGCGCCAGCTCGTCTGCCTCGACTATCTGCAGCGCAACACCGACCGCGGGCTCGACAACTTCATGCTGCGCCCGTACATCGACGAGGCCACAGGCGAGAGCCGTGTGGCACTCGGCGCGATTGACAATTCGCTTGCCTTTCCGCACAAGCATCCCGTAGGCATCCGCAGCTATCCGATGGGCTGGCTGTATCTGCCCGTCGACCTCATCGGGCACCCGTTCGCGCCGGCGACGCGCACAAGACTCATCCCTCTGCTGGCGGATCCGAAGTGGTGGAGCGAGACGATCGAGGGCCTCAGAGCCATCTTCTCGCGCGACGAGATGTTCGACGTGAAGCTCTTTGAGCGGCAGATGAACGTGATGCGCGGACAGGGCTGGAATCTGCTGCAGGCGCTGCGCAACCCTGCTGAGGGTGAGTCTACACGTGTAGCTGCCGCAGATGCCGGGCGCTCATCGTTTCCCCTCGTGCGCAGGCCCGCTGGAGCTGTGCGCACGCCAGAAGCACGTCGTCAAGCAGGAAGTGCTGCGCCTCAGCGAGGCCGAGCTGGCGCGACGCTCGGGCACGCTCTATCAGCTGCGGCCCGATGGCCGGCCGATTCCCATGCATCCAGCAGCCACACAGCCGCAGCAGCCTGGAGCTGGCGGTGCACCCACAACAGCAGCCAAAGCTGTGCCGCTCGACGTCAAGCCGCGCCCCTCAGCGTCGGGCAGCAGCTCGCCGGCCGGCGCGCATCCGCGCTCGCTTCCCGAGACGATGGAGGGCGTCACTGCAGCATGGCACAGCGCGCTCGGACAGGACGGCGCGTTCGGCAGCGGCAAGCAGACGCCCGCGTACGAAGGCACGCTGGGCATCGACGTCGTGGCGCAGGCGGACAAGGTGGCACGCAAGGCTCGCCGGCCGTCGCTGCGCAAGACGCTCACTGGCGCCGTGACGCCTTCGTTCGAGCGCACTCTCTCCTCCTCTTCCATCCCTGAGGAGGGGAGCGTGCGTGCGCTCAAGCGCATTCCCGACAACGAGCCGCAGTCGCTCGACGCCGTGGTGCTCGAGGCGGCGCTCGAGGAGGATCCGATGGCCTCGTCTACGCCCGCCCTGCCGAGCACGGGCGGTGCTCGCGCTGCTCGTCGCGCACGCTCCAGAGGCATGAGCGTCAGTGGCTGGAGCATCACGAGCGAGCGCGTCGGCGCTGCTGGCGCACCTGCGCCGCCATCAGAGGAGGCAGGCGCCGAGGAAGTCAAGGTCAAGGTCGTCGTCGAGGTGAGTCGTGCCTTGGCACGTCGTTCAGAGCGTGGCTGAGCGCTGACATCTCGCCGCTGCTCGCACCTGCAGCGTCTCGAGGCAGACGACGGCATCGCATGGCAGGCCTGGCTCGGCCTCGGAGCCTAGCAGTCACACCTCGCCTCTCATCTCACCGCACATCCGCCGAGTCACCGTCTCATACCCCGTCCCGTCACGCCCTCGAAGTGTGGATGCCCGCAATGGCAGCATTTGTCTAGATTGCAGTGCGCCTTGACATGCTCTACTTCGCTTTGCTTGTGACGATTCCTTGCGGCTGGCTCACGACCAGCACTCCTCCTGCCAGCGCTCCTGCGCCTCCATCTGCTCGACGTACGTCTGTGCCTCTGCCTCCTGCATCGCCCCGTGCGCCACGCACACCTCGACGACGGCCGCGCGCACTGCCTCGGGCATCTTACCCGACGAGCTGCAGAGAGGGGGGCCAGGGGGGACTCGTCAGTACTAGCGCAGCACTGGCAGTGAGCTCGCTCGCGCAACTCACCCAGAGATGTACAGCACCGCTCCTCGTCGCAGCATGTCCCACACGCGTGCGCCTTCGTCGCGCAGCACATGCTGCACGTACACCTTATCCTGCTGGTCTCGGCTCGCCGCGAGGCGATACTCGAGTCGTCTCTGCGTGCCGTCCTTCTCGCCCGCCAGCGTGCGCCACTCATCGCCGAAGAGAAAGTCGCGCGCGCGATTGCGGCAGCCGAGCAGCACCAGCACATCGTCGGGCGCCGGTGCCGGCGAGCGCGAGAGACGCTCGTGAACCAGCGCACGAATGGGCGCGACGCCCGTGCCGGGCCCGACGAGAATCATCGGCGTTGAGGGCGCCGCCGGCAGGCGCAGCGTGCCGGACACGATGGAGAAGGCGAAGCGCGTGCCGACGGGCAGCTGGCCCAGCCAGCGCGAACAGACGCCGCGGCGCATCTCCTTGATGCGTGTCTTGTACTCGACCATCGCTACGGCCAGCTGCACGCCGTTGGGCCGTTCCTAGCAGGAGGATGTGTAAGGTTGGGAGGCGATAGCTGCCACCAGGCGGCGACTCACCGCAGGACAGCTGGCGATGCTGAACTGCCGCTCTCGCAGCAGCGGCAGCACTTCGCAGACGTATTCAAGTGGCACGCGCACGCTCTCGAACTCGGCCAGCACTTCGGCGATGTTGCGCCGGACGCGCTGCGCATACTCGTACATGTCGTCGGCGCCCTCGCCGGGCGTGCAGAACTCGTCGAGCTTCTCGCGCTGCATGTGGCCCGGCGGAGAGAAGTGGCGGATGAGCTCGAAGAAGGATTGCCGGGGTACCGAGAAGGGATCGAGATGCTGCGTGAGCAGATCGCGCAGGGTGGTGCGAGCGGGCAGAAGCGAGGGCAGTGGCCGAGCTACAGACAAGGAGAGTGTGAGCGACTAAGAGGCGCGCGGCGCAGTGCTGCGACTGACTGCGATCTCGACAGCTGAGCTCTAGCTCGTAGTCGGCATACTGCGCCCACCCGACGATCTCCATGAAGCGCTCTATGTCCTGCGGCAGGTTCTGTGGCCGGATCGACGCGATGTCGCCTGCAGAGTGTCTGTGCGCAAGCGGCGTCAGCCGCTGTTGTGGGCGAGCGAGAGGCAGCACACTCACCTCATAGGCTCTCCATCTTCCGTCTCCCACTCCACCAGCCGCACATCTTGCCAGTGCTCCTGCGGCGTGACGCGCTCATTACGCTTCAGCACGCCCCATCGTCGCCCCTGTCTCAGCCGCTGTGTGGTCGGCGCACTGCTGCTTGGCTCAGCACCGCTAGAGGAAGGGCCGATGCGCCGCACAATGATGCGTGGCGGCAGTGGCTCGGTGTCCAGAAGTGGCTCCACGCCAGCTGGCAACGGCAGGAGAGTGTCGAGCGTGTTGAAGAACGTGTCGAGCCAGGGATGCAGTGTGCCGTCGATACTACACATTACCAGTGCGGGGCAAGAAAGATAGCGAGAACAGAACGTGAGCCCCTACGCTGCCGTTCGCCTCCTTGCCTGTGACTCACCCCAGGTAGTGCTGATCATCGCCCTCGCCCGCCTCGCATACCTCATGCGCGCCGAGCGCCTTGAGACGCTTGTTGATCTTGCGCGTCGGCCAGCAGTACTTGGCATAGCTCGAGTCGCCGAGGCCAAACGTGGCGAACGTCACGTCCTCCAGCACGTCGGGCGGCAGCGTGGCACGCAGCAGGAAGTGCCAGAAGGGCAGCGCCGCGCTGGGAAAGTCGCCGGCGCCCGTGGTGGAGACGATGAAGAGCACGAGGGGCGTTTCGGGCAGCGAGAGCTGCAGCGTGAGGAGCAGAATCTGAGCCAGATGTACAGGAGCGCTGTGCGGCCCCGGCGACGCACCATGTCCCACTCGTCGACACTCAGCACGTCGGCGTGCCACCTTCGCCGTGCCGCCACGCGCGCCACACGCTCGGCCGTGTCCTGCGCCGTGCCCGTCGTGGTGGCGTAGAGGATGAGCAGGCGGCGCGCCGCGAGGTCGGCACCGGGCGCAGACGAGGAGGCCTCTGCCTCGGTGTGCGGCGGCGGAGAGACGCGTGAGGGCGCCATGGCGGAGGATGGTGGGCGAGAGGCAAGGCGCGAGCGGGCGGAGTGGAGGCACGGTCATCAGATGCGCGTGCTTAGTCAGCAGCCATGGCCGGCGCCGGAGGCTCGGCCTCCGAGATGCATCGTCGCGGACGGGTGCCATTCGTGGCCTGCCTCTTGCGTATGTGCTCGGGCGACGAACAGGTGAGGGCAGCAGGAGACTGCCACAAGACGCAGGCAGGCGGCGTCTTGCGTGCAGCAGCGGCCGCTGGCTCAGGTGCAGGTGCAGCTGGATCGTCTGGCAACGCGCGCCCAACGGCCGGCGCGCCTGCGTCCCGACTGCGAGGCCCCAACGGCTCCATCTTCGCTTCTTGCCAGCTGGGCTTCAGACCAAGTCTACTTCTTGTGTGGCTCAAAATCAAGCTCTGCTTTCTCTCCATCATCTCTCCTCCCTCTCTTTGACGTGGCCTTACACTCGTTTCCGTCTCCGTTCCTCGCAGGTCGAGCCCTCTCCTTCACCCAACCGCCGGCCGGTCCCCCTCACGTTCCTTTCACCATGCTCTCCGGTGGTGGCAACCTCACGGCCGTGGCAGCCAACAGCAGCAGCGCCTCAGTGCTTGCTCTGCTGCTCGGCAGTGCTGCTGTCGCCCTTCCTTCTTCCTCGCGCGACGCCGGCTCGCTCGTCGCCGCTGCGCTCCCCTCGCAGCCGGCCGCCTCACGCAGTGTGCTGGCGCTCAGTCTTGCCCTCGTGCTGCTCGCTGCACTGCTTGCGCTGTGCGACTGTCTCTTCGGCAGTGTGCGCTCGGTGAAGTACTATCTCTCCACGGCAGGACAGTCCTCCTACCTGCGCCGCTCGCTGTTCAGCGGCTGGCGTCCGCTCTACTCGCTGCTCGCCACCGTGGCGCTGGCGGCCCAAGGCGCCTCTCTGCTCTGCGTGCTCGGAAGCAGCAGTCTGCTGCTCGGCGAGCTGCTCGACGTCCTCGCCTTCGCCGCCAGCATCCTCGCCGCGCTCTTGCTCTGCCTCACCGTCGTGCGTCGCGGCACAGCAAGTACGTCGGCCGTGTGGAACTACCTGCAACGGCCATTGCTCTTCGCCGCCGTCGCCGTGAGCGCCTCGGGCGGCCTGGCGCTGCTAGGCTTCGCGTACGCCGCAAAGCAGCGCAGCGTCTCTGCGCTCCTGCCGCATCTCGACGCTCTTGTCGCTGCAGCACCGCAGCCCTGCGCCGCAGACGATGCAGGCTGTGGAGCAGTGGCGCTCGGCTCCTCACTGCAGAGCATTGCCGCGGCAACGTGGGGCCTCAACGCCATGCGCGCAGCCATGCTCCTGCTCCTTGCTGCTCTCATGCTCGCAACAAGCCTCACGGCACAGAGCGAGATCGGCGCCGCCGCACGGCAAGCCGAAGCGGAAACAGCGGCGCAGAGCGCCTCTCGCTACCCCTCGAACGGCCTGGAGGAGAAGCGCGCCTCCTCCTCCGGCTTCCGCATCTTCCACCGCGAGCCTCGCCGAGCCAAGCTGCAAGAGATTGACGAGCATGCCGTGCGGCGAGGCAGCGTGCCGGATGCCATCGACGAGTGGGGCGCCTCGGTGCACATGCTCGACTACGCCGGCTCCTGGCACGCCGACAGCCTCTCCTCGCACGACCTCGCCGCCAAGCAGCGCCACGAGCGTCGCGGCAGTGCCGTGTCGGCCTTCTCGTCGGTGCAGGGCCTGAAGCTGGACGTGTCCGACGAGATGGGCGCAAGCCTGGTGCGCAAGTACGGCAGTGCCGAAGACTACGGCGCCAGTGTGCCCGTCGGCGCCTACTACAACCACTTCCACCGCGCGTCAGAGACGCGACGAGGCAGCACGACGAGCAGTGCAGCTCGCAGCGCCTCGACGCGCTCGAAGACCTCGGCGGCATCGCGGAGCAAGAAGCACGGCGGACCACTGGCTGGCATTCCGCTCGTCGACGCCAGCGAGGCGACGCGCGACGTGGTAGCGCCGCAGACTGGTACTGCTGCGCTGCTACGCGCCGAGCGTCGACGCCTGCGTCTGGACCTGCTCTTCGGGCTCGTCGTCGTGGGACTCCTGGCGCTGCTGCTTGCACTGCGCTTCGCAGCAGGCGATGCACTGGCGCTCGGCATGCGTCCGCAGCTGCGGCTGCTCGACGAGGCCGCACAGGCACTGCTGCTGGGCGTCGCGCATGCGGCCACACTCACAGGCCTCATGGTGCGCGGCTCGGGTGGCTGGGCAAAAGAGGCCCTGCCGGAGGTGCAGGGCGGCGGAGACGAGGAGTGCGGAGAGAAGCGCTGGCGGACGCGCCGGCCTTGGGATCGCGCTTGAGGGGACCACTCGAGACGCCCCCTTCTGCTCACCTCCCTGCTCCCACCCTACTGTCTCCCTGGTCCCTCTAGTCTGCTCTGCACGCCTGCCTCACCCTGATACCGCAATCTTGTGACCGGGCGCTGAGGCTCCGTGAGCTAGGCCGTCAAGGGCCGGCTGAGGATGAGAGAGGTTGGGCCGAGCCGTCGAGTGCGGCGCGCTTCGGCACTCGGGCGAGCGTTGCGCGCGCCGCGGCTTTGTCTGGCTCACCGTTCCGTACGTGCTCAAGCCAAGCATCCCTCTGCTCCACCTTTTCCCTCCCTCGTCGCCATGTCTCTGCTCGGCAGCGGCAGCACCAGCAGTGCATTCCTGCGGCAGCTGTACCGCCAGCCGCCGCGCGTGGCGCACTGCTTCTCGCACAGCTCTCGCGCTGCGCTCAACGCACGCGGCGAGCGCCTCGTGCTGGGCATCGAGACGAGCTGCGACGACTCGTGCGTGTCGCTGGTGCGCGCGCCGCTCGACTATGGCGCCAGCCTGGCACAGGGGAAAGCGCTGCCTGAGGGCGGCGAAGCACACGTCGTCGCCTCCGTCGTGCTGCGCCAGGACCACGGCGCCACGGGCGGCATCGAGCCGCTGCAGGCGGCACACGAGCATGCCGCACGCCTGCCGTCGGCGCTGCTCCAGGCGCTCGAGCAGGCTCGCTACACGGGCGACCTGTCTAGTGGCGCCTCGCAGGTGCCGAGCGAGATCGACGCGATTGCCGTGACGCAGGGGCCAGGCATGTCCGGCTGTCTCTCTAGCGGCCTGGCGATGGCAAAGACGCTCTCGGCGCTCTGGAAGCGCCCGCTGCTCTACGTGCACCACATGGCCGCACACGCCCTCACGCCCTTTCTCACCTCGCCGAGCTTGCGCTTTCCATATCTCTCGCTCCTCCTCTCCGGCGGGCATTCGCAGCTCGTGCTGGTGCTCGGGCTCGACGACTACGAGATCCTCGCCGACGCCACAGACGGCGCCATCGGCAATGCATTCGACAAGGTCGCACGCAATCTCGACGCCATCGACGAGTGGGGCACCAAGCCTCCCGGACTGCAGCTCGAGGAGCTGGCGGCGCAGGGCATTGCGCACGAGCACTGGGCGCAGGTGCAGCGCGCCCGGCGAGGCCTGCCGCTGGATCCGAGTGTCCCAACACCCAAGCAGGTCGCGGCACAGCGGCTGCGCGAAAGGAAAACGGAAGGCAGGGAAGAAATGCTCCAGCAGAGAGAGACGGGTGTGAAGGAGGACGAGACCGGACAGGAGAAGAATGAGCCAAAGGAGAAGGGCGCAATGGAGGGTCCGAAGGAGCAGGAGGACGTTGAGCTGCCGCCGCCGATCCCGCCGCTCATGCGCGGCCTGCCGATTCCTTTCCGCGGCGTGCCGGCCTTCTCCTTGTGAGTGCGCTGTCCAGCTGCTTACACCACAGTGTGCCACTAACAGCGCCTCTCTGTGGCCAGCGGCGGTCTGAAGGAAGCTGCCTGCGCCGAGATCCGCAATGCGCAAGCCCAGGGACACTACGACGTCCGCTGGCGCTGTCGCATGGCGCGCGAGTTCCAAAAGGCCGCCTTCGCCCAGCTGTGCGACAAGCTGCACATGGCGCTCGAGCCCGAGACGGTACGCAGTCGCACTGTGCCGCCATTTGCGCGCCGCGAGCCCGAGACGAACAAGAGTGCGCCGAGGGTCCGGATCTCGGATCGCCGCTTGGATCTCGGCATGCCGAGAGAGAACATCAAGCACCTCGTCGTGGCGGGAGGCGTGGCGAGCAACAGGTCACTGCGCTATGTGTGAGTGCAGAGCGCCGGCTGCTGCAAGGGCCGGGGCTGGGCGAGAAGCTGACGTGTGCCTTTGCAACTCCCTTCAGGCTGCGAGACGCCCTGGACTCGATGAAGCGCAAAGACGTGCACCTCTGCTTTCCTCCGTGCGTCAGCTGCATCGTCCTTCTCGCGGCTCCACTGACCCGTCTCGCCACTGCAGCATTCAGTTCTGCACCGACAACGCCGCCATGATCGCGCATGCCGGGCTGCTGCAGTGGAGCCAGCGCACGACCGACATGCGCCGCTTCCCGCGCGCCAAGTGGAGTCTGGCGGACCTGCGTGTGCAGGAGCACGAGGCGGCGCAGGCCGAGGCAAAGGCGCAGGAGGCACAAATGGAGCAGCGAGTCGAGGGAAGAGCGGCGCGGGCGCTCAGGAATCTGGACCTCGGCCCGGGACTGGCAGGCGCAATGTGATGCCTTGCGTCATCTACCTCGTGATGCTCTCGGTGTCCGAGATCCTCAGCCAGCGATGGCTCGCTGTTCCTTGCGAAAGAGAAATGCTGGGCCTTGGTGAGGATGCAGGCTGGACCACGCACTGTGCAGGCGGAGGCCTACAAGTCGACACGCGAGAGGCGAGGCAACCGAGCCCTCCAGAGGGCGCTCTGAGGGCACGAAGCTGCACCCATAGCCTCCAGCCGTTGGCCCGCTCGGCCTGATGCCGTACGTTCTCCCCTCTGTCGCATCCCTCGCCACGACGATGCATCACAGAGATGTCCCCTTGCGCTTGGAGGAGGAAGAGGCTGACCACGCTGGCTTGGGGTGCACCGGTGACCGACACGCGTCGGCGCCCGCTGTCGCGCGCTCGGTGAGCGAGGCAGCCGCGAAGACGGCCTCAAGGGTACGCAGACGTGTGGCGTCTCGCAAGGCGGTCCAACCTGCCTCGTTCTCGCTCCGAATGCGAATGTGATGCCCTGCAGCGCGAAGCCAGGTCGGTGTTGGGGGGTGAGGCCGCTTGGTCGGCGCAGAGGCTGCCCAGAGCGCTCGTCGAAGGCAGAGAAGAGATGTCGCCAGCGCGCAGGGCGCGAGAGGCTACACCGTGTGAAGAGCATGGAGGCGCCGTCCTGCAGCACGGGCTTGCTTGCGCAGCATCTGGCACAAGTCAGAGGCAGTGGGCGCCTGCAGCATGCGGATGCAGGGTGCAGATTGCCGGAGTGCGTCCAGACTTGCAGATGCTCAGTCTCGGACTCGGACTCCGTCCGAGGTCGTCTGAAGAGGTGCAGCAGCACCAAAAATGTCGCCGACGCGCCGCAGGGAAGAAAGACGGGGTGCGAATCTCAACCTCTCCCGGTCCGGCTCGGAGCGGATTGGATGTCAGCAGCGCTGGCTCGCTCTTCTGTGCTGCGTGAGAGGCGCTGGGATGGTGTGATCTGGCGCTGAAGCCGGGGCCAAGAGGCAGTGACGTTTTTGCCCGCCTCGTGCCTCCTTCTCGCGTTTCTCACAGGCTGCGCGCCACACGCGCTTCTCAGAGGGTTCGCCTGCGACTCCGCCAAGGCGCGCGTACCACGACGACGCCCAGCCACTGCTCGTCCTTCAAAAAGGCGGCTGCGCCCCGCCGCATACCCTCCTCCTCCATACCCCTCGCACACCCTCACGAACCATGTCTTCCTCCGCCCCCGCGGCGCCGTCGCTGACGCGCGGCCTGCGCGTGCAGCGCGACCTGCTGCTCATGCCGCTCCTCATCCTCGGCTACGGCATGCAGTTCTGGGACAAGGCCGTGCTCGGCTCGGCGGCGCTCTTCCAGATCATCCCGGACCTCGGCCTGCAGGGCAAGCGCTTCAGTACCGCCAGCAGCATCTTCTACCTCGGCTACCTCGCCGGCGCGCCGCCCATGGCCTTTCTCGCCGGGCGCATGCGCCTCAACGTCTTTCTCGGCGCCAGCATCGCCGCGTGGGGCGCCGTGCTGATGCTCACGCCCGCCGTGCACAACTGGCAGGGCATGTATGCGCAGCGCTTCTTCCTCGGGTGAGTGGGTTGGGCGAGGCGGCAGGATGAGCGGCGCAGAGGTGTGGAGGGGTGGGCGGGCGGGACGGCGGCGGCGGGCAGACGCTGGAATGAGTCCACGGAAGGTAGCAGGAGTCTTGCGCAGGCCATGACCGCGGCACAGAAGCTGCAGTGGGCTTGAGGTGGCTCAGATGCTTGGGGGCTGCCCTGATCATCAGCCGTGTGCTTGTCCGCGGCGCTGCTCGCCGCCACTACCGCGCCCCTCGGATCCCTCACTGACATTTTCTCGCCCCCTGCACAGCTTCATCGAGGCCAGCGTGTCGCCCGGCTTTGTGGCCGTGACGCGCAAGTGGTACACGCGCGAGGAGCAGACGGTGCGGCTGGGCGTGTGGTAGTGAGTGTTGACTGCGTGTCTCGATGCTCCAGAGGACACGCGCGCTGACGCGTGCGACGCGCTGCAGCTCGGCGACGGGCCTCTTCTCCATCGTGTCCGGCCTGACGAACTTCGGGCTGGGGCAGACCAACACGTCGCTGCGGCCGTGGATGATCCTCTTCCTCGTGCCGGGCGCCTTCACCATCGTGCTCGGCCTGCTCTTCCTCGTGCTGCTGCCGCCTTCGCCCAGCGAGGCGCCCGTGCTGCGCCTGCGCGGCTACAACGTCTTCACCGACGAGCGCCGCAACGCCCTCGTCCACGCCGTGCGCACCAACCTCACCGGCGAGGGCAAGGCGAGCCTCTCGGCACACGAGGTACGCAAGGCGCTGCTCGACCCCAAGATGTGGCTCTTCTTCCTCATCGCCACCGCCATCTACGGTGAGCGGCGCGTCGTGCTGCTGCCGACGCCTTCACTGACCATCCTACGACTATCCTGCGACAGTTTGCAATGGTGCGGTCACAGTATTCGGCCCACAAATAGTCAAGCTCGTGTGGGGAGCGACTTCGGCTCGTGCACTGGCGCTGCAGGGTGCGTTGACGTCTGACTTGCACACCTTCTCGACGCGTCTCGGCTGACACCATCTTTCGACAGCTCCGGGCGGCGCCATGACGGCCGTGGCGATCTACATCTGCATCGTGATCGCTCGTCGGGTGCGCAACACCCGCATTCTGCTCCTCGTGCTGTCCTGCCTGCCGGTCATTGCCGGCGCGGCCATGATCTGGCGCGGCAACTGGCAGACGCGTACGCCGTACGTCGGCTACCTTCTGCTGCCCATCTTCGGCGCGCCGTTCGTCATGCTCCTCGCCGTGGCGTCGGCCAATGTCGTCGGCCCGACGCAGCAGGCCATCGCTACCGCCGTCATGTGAGTCGCTCTCGCCGCCCATCGCCCCTCACTTGCTCACGCTTCGTGCCACCAGCTTCGTCGGCTACTGCTGCGGCAACTTTGCCTCGGGCTACATTCTCATTCCCGCCGAGGCGCCCGCGCACTACCCGACGACGTGGAAGATCGTCATCGGCGTCATGTGCGCCACGATTGGCCTTGCGCTGCTGCTGCTCGCCGTGCTGGTGCGCGAGAACAAGGTGTACGCGGCGGAGCAGCAGGCTGCGGGCCCCGTCAAGGGCGCTGCGCACGACGACGCTGCCTCGGCGACGGAGGGCTACGAGACGCGCGAGAAGAACGACGCCGACACCGACTCGCAATTGAGCGCCGCCGCATGGGAGGAGAAGCACCGCCTCTCGTTCCGCAACCAGTACTAGACTAGATCCGCGGCCTATCCTCGCAACGGGCTCGCAAGTAATCCTCGCAACGTATTTGCCGTCATCTTGCCAGATCTGCTCAGCGCCGTCGATCCCACGAGCCAAGCGTGCGCTGGAACGCGCCAAATGCCTCGTCGCTCTCGTGCAGCGCCAGACCGTCGGCGTACAGCGTCTGCAAGGAAAAGGAACGGTGACATTGTGACACAGCGAGGGTAAGGGGTCAGTGAAGCCGAGTGATAGGGGGTGCGTGGGTTGCAAGCGCGGCACATCGCGCATGCCCAGCTACGCCCGCACGACGAGGAAGACCTCGGGAAAGCGCGCCGAGGACATGTCCAGCGGGCGCAGCACGGGCACGGCAGCGGCGGCGGAGGCGCGCAGACGGCTGCTCACGTCGTCATCGTCGTCGGCGGCCTCTGCGGCTGCAGCGTCGTCGAGGCCAGCGTCGGCCGGCCGCACGCCCGTGGTGTGGCGGTCGATGCCAGGCGGCGCGATGGGATCGCCGGAGCGCGTCCAAGGCACGCGATCCACCTGTGGAGGCGAGGCTTGGTGAGCACGGGCAGGCGCCATCGCCCTCCGGGCTTGTACGCACGTCCCACACGCGATTGCGGAAGCCGAGCTGCGCGAGATTCGGACAGGCGCGCGCCAGGCGCAGCAGGCAGGCGCTGTCCAGCAGCGTGCCTTCGGACGTGTCGGCGAGGAGGTGCAGCTCGCGGAGCTGCGGCAGCTGTGCAAAGATCTCGGGCAGCAGCTCCTGTATCCGAACGTCAGACTGATGCAGCACGCGCAGAGCCACACGTGGACGCACTGGGTTGTCGACGTTGCTGAGATGCACCACCAGACTCTCGACGTGCGAAAGCAGGCGCACCATAGCCTGCAGCTCGGGCACAGCGACGCCCACACGATGGATGCGCAGCTTCTTGAGGCGGCCGTTGCAAGCTGCCGTCAGCGCGCGCACCTCTCCACGGCGGCTGCGCGTGCGTCGAATGCCCGGCGCCTCCTCGTCGAGCATCTCCTCATCAGTGAGCGAGAGTGCCGGCTGCGGCACATTGACTGCCTCATCGTCCGAGTCGTCCTCATCCGCGTCGCCTGGCGTGTTGTTGCTGCTCACGTATACTGTCAACTCGCTCAGAAGCGGCAGCCGAGCACAGACAGCCGTCAGCTCGCGGAAGAAGTCGTGTCGCGGGGCCGTCCGTGCGGCGGGCACGGTGAGGGAAAGAGCGTGCAGGTCTTGCAGGGACGGCACGAAGCTCTCGAGACTGTTCGGGTCCTGTGGGCTACATCAGACGGCTGTGAGGCGCTCCAGCTTCGCCCTGTGCTCACAATGTTCAGGCCCTCCAGTGCGAGCTGCTTCAGCTTCCCATGCTTCAGGATTGGCAGCACGCCTTCGGCTGTGACACGGCGTGCTCCCATCAGATGCAGACGCGTCAGAGAGGCCAAGTGCGGCGCCAGGCGTTGCAGATGCTCGTCGAGGAGCAGCGCCGAGTGCTAAGCGAGAAGCGTGTCAGTCTAGCCGCGGACTCTGCGAGCGGCACACGACACACGCACCTGCATGAGCAGACTCAGGCTCTGCAGTCGAGGGCAGCGCGTCACGACTGCCTCAAGCGCTTCGATAAGGCTGCGATCGGGCAGCACGACAGAAAACGCCTCCAGCTCGACGGGCAGCGAGCTGACGAGGAGCGCGGGCGACCAGGTGCGCGCGTCACCCGTGAGCTCGAGGTGCCGCAGCGCCGGCATCTTGCCGAGCGTCGGCAGCACGCGGTCGTTGCTAAAGAGACTCTGAGTCAGAGGCGCTAAGCTGCCGCAGCCTCGGCGTGCTACGCACAGACTGCCGGTGCGCGTCCATGCCAGCTGGCGCAGGTTCGTGGCGCGCGTGAGGATGGTGCAGAGCTCCGCCTCGAGCTGCTCGAGTGCCTCGGCCGGCCAGCCGAAGGGGTATACACGGATCTCTGGTGTGCCATGAGCAGATCAGCAAACGGCAAGTCACTGCACCGCCATGTCACTACTTCACTGCTCGGGCTGCACCGGCGCGCATGTATTCAATTGCCGGTCACTCACCCAGCACCTGCAGCAGCTTGCACAGCTCTGGCGTCTCCGTCAGACATCTCACCAGCCTGCGCAGGCGCGTCTGGTCGCGCAGCGCAATGTGGCGGTAGAGGCGCGGCGTGGCATAGTGGCGCCAGGTGCGCGAGACGCGCGCACAGGCGGCCAGCGTGTGCGGCAGCCACGCCAGCGGCGCAAGCAGCAGCGGCACGAGCTCGGCGGGCAGCGCCGCCGGCGACGCATGGAGGTAGGACATGCGGCGGTCGGCGGCGAGCGCTGTTGCTGTGAGCTGGGTGGATTGGTGGTCAGGAGGCAAGTGCGACGGTGCCCGCCGCAGCCGAGCGAATGTAACACAAAGTGCATCACGGGAGAGGAGGCCGAGGTGGAGGCGGGTTAGGGAACAGCTGGTCACGTGCAGCGGGGCGTGGGAAGCGCTCGAGCCAGGCGACGCGCGGCACCTGGAGATCTCGGTGACGCCGCGCATCGCTCCTTCCAGCCTCACCATCATCCCACCCACCGCTGCACTTGCCACGCACACGCCGAAGCTGACTGATAGCAGCACACTCACTTTCGCCGCACTCTCCTCTCCTGCCGCTTTCCTGGGCGTGGCCTTCTGCCAGCATGGCCGACTCGAGCTCCAGCATGGACGTGGACTCCTCCTTCCTCTCCAGCGCCGCCGCCTCGGCGCCCGCGTCGCTGGCGCCGTACTACCGGCGCTTCGGAGAGCTGCACGCCAAGAAGCTCTGGTACCAGCTCACGCTCGCCGTCGAGGAATTCCTCGCGCACCCCGACAGCGCCGAGCCGCCGCGGCGCATCGACGTCTTCGAGCACTTTGTCAAGGGCTTCAAGGACAAAATCAACCAGCTGCGCCTCGTCGGCATGGCCGTGCGCGCGGCCAGACAACTGCAGGGTGAGTGGCAGTGTGCTACAATGTGCTGCGCGATGCGGCGTGCGAGGCAGTGTGCTCCTTAGTGGAGGAACGAGTGGCACTGCAGCGAGGAGCCACATGGGGTCTCATGCGAAGCAGCCCTCTCGCCAAGCGGGCGGTCTGGCGAGCGCCTGCCTCTCATCGATGCCGGACGCATTGTCCTGTCGTTGCCTCTTGCTCGAGTACTGATCTGCGCTGGGCTGACATGCTGGCACGCACAGACCCGTCAGAGGCGCGCGCCTTCCTGGAGCCGCTCATCCCGCTCGTCGACACGCCGGCAACCCAGGAGGCCTTTGTGACGGCCAAGATGGAGCTGGCGCACTTCCAGCTGCTGCTCGGCGAGCTCGACGCGACAAAAGAGAGCATGTACAGCTGCGCCAAGATCCTGGAGCGCTTCGACGCGGTTGAGCCGCTCACGCACGCGGCGTACTACCGCGTGTGCGGAGACTATTACAAGGTGAGCCTGGTAAAGAGATGAGAGGGCGGCTGCCACGCAGCAGGCGCATGCAGGATCGCTGGCGCGTTTGTGTAACGATGTTCCTGACGCTGCTTCTAGGCCAAGGCGGACTACGCGCCGTACTACCGCTCGTCGCTCCTCTACCTCGCGTGCATCGACATCACGAAGGACCTGACTGCCGAGGAGCGCACCGGCCGCGCGCACGATCTTGCCATCAGTGCTCTGCTCGGCGACACGATCTACAACTTCGGCGAGCTGGTGAGCGCTGCTCTGCTCCGGTCCTGCGCTTGCGCTGTGTTCACGCTTTCCTGCAGCTGCTGCATCCCATCCTTGCGTCGCTGGACGGCACGCCGCACGCCTACCTCTCGACGCTGCTCAACTCCTTCAACTCGGGCTCGATCGGCTCGTTCGAGTCGCTCATCCCCAATCTCTCCGCCGAGCCGATCCTGGCCGAGAACCAGCCGTTCCTGCGGCAGAAGATCTGCCTCATGGCGCTCATTGAGAGCGTGTTCCGGCGCAACGCCGACGAGCGGACACTGCCATTTGCCACGATTGCGCAGGAGACGCGGCTGCCCGAGGGCGAGGTGGAGCATCTCGTCATGAAGGCGCTGAGGTGCGTGCACTTGCTGTGCTGTGCGAGGCGTGCAGCCGCTGACCGTCGATCCACTCCCGCAGCCTGAAGCTCATCAAGGGCACGCTGGACCAGCACGCGCAGCTGGCTCGCATCACATGGGTGCAGCCGCGCGTCCTCGACCGCACGCAGCTCAAGGCGCTGCAGGAGCGCCTCGACCAGTGGGTCGACCGGGTAGGCAAGACGGCCGAGTTCGTCAAGACGGAGACGCGTGAGTGACCCGCTGCTGGCTCTGCGCCCGACAGCGCGCGCTGACTAGGCATCCATCCGCAGCCGAGCTTTTCGTCTCGGCCTAATCGGGGCCGACCGTTGCGGCGCAATGACACACACTCAGCCCAAGGCGGACGGTCTGTGTAGCTGTGTCTCATTGATCTACGTAACGGTTGGAAGCGGAAGCAGGCGAGCACGGAGTGCAGAGGGGTGCACGCTGTGCCGATGCAAGAGCTGGGCTGCCAGCTGCTTTTGGCACAACAGAGAGGGAGAGAGTGTGATGCCGGGCTCATGCGACCTGCAGCGCCGCGAACGTCGTCTGCGCACTGACGAGCTGAGGCGGAGATGTGTGAGCGAAGAGCAGGTGCAGAAACGCGGCGGGCGCTGCTCACCTCCAGTGCTTGTTGTGCCTCGAGGCGGGCGCGTGCTGCATCGAGCCAGTCCTCGGCGAGAATCTTGGGCCAGCCCTTGAGGCTGTTGACTTCCCGAGCCGCGGCGTCGAGCTCCTGCCGCTCGAGCCAGTAGTGGGCGCGCGCCAGCGTGCTGGGCGTGTCCTCGCCGGCGACGTAGCCGCGGCGCGCGTAGAAGATGGGCGACACGACGGCGGAGCCGATGTGCGAGAGAATGCCGGCGTGGTCGGGCACCAGGGCGGCACGCTGGCACGCCGGCGCCACGCGGTCGGCGAACCAGCGGTGCAGCTCGGTGAAGGAGGCCAGGCCCGAGTCGACGGCCGGGTTGCGCTCCAGAATGCCCACGGCCGTGCGGATCAGCTCGTCGTCCTTGGCGCGCGGCGAGGCACGCAGCACGTTGAGCTCGTCGCGGAAGGCGCGCTTGCGCGGCGCGCCCGACTCGGCGTCGGCGCGCTCCTCGTCGGAGAGCACGGCCGTCTTGGCGGCACGCACGGCGGCCCAGAGCGTGTGCACGTTGCTGCCCTCGTCGAGCTGCGAGCTATTCTCCATCGTCACCTCCTCAAGGTGCTTGAGGTCCGACGCCAGCTCGTCGAGGCGCGCCAGACGGCCGCCGCGCTCCTCCTCGACGCGCTTCTTGATGTCGCGCATCCAGCGGCGCTGCATCTCGATGCCCTGCGCCACAACCTCCTCGCGCAGCCGCTCGTTGATGATCTCGCTCTGAGTCGCCAGCTCGGCGCGCAGCTGGTTCTCGTACTCCTGGCGCTGCTTCTTGCGCTCCTCGGCGTCGCGCTTCTTCCACGCCGCGTCGACCTCGCCGACCTGCTTGCCGGCCTCCTCCCGCGCGGCCGCCAGCTGCTTGTCGTACTTGCTCGCCGCGTCGGCGAGGCCCTTCTCGACACGCGCCGCCTCGTTGCGCTTGATCGTCTCGAGGCGCGCCGCCAGCTGCTCCAGGTCCGCCTTTGCGTCGTCGAGCACGCCGCGCGCCTGGAAGCCCGAGTTGGGCGTGTCGCGCAGGAAGGCCGCCAGCTCGTCGATGGTGCCGGCGAGCTGCGAGACCATGGGCTCGGAGCCCGAGAGGCTCGAGAGCGCCGGCGCCAGCTTGGGCAGCTTGGGCGCCTCGGGGTTCTCGCGCAGCCGCGCGTTGGGGTGCTTCTCTGCCGAGAGGCCGCGGTCGGTGCGCGGCGTCGCGAAGCCGGCGGGCGCCTCGTGCTGCAGCGGCAGCGGCTGGCCGTACGGCGCCGGCTTGGCCTCCTCGAGCGCCGCCTTGCCGCGGTTCAGCAGGCCGCGGCCCTGCTCCTCGACCTTGGCGCCGGCACGCCTGGCCTGCTGCTCGGCCTCGCCGGCGGCCTCCTTGCCGCGGCCCACCAGCTCCTGCAGCTTGGCCTTGGCCTCCTCGCCGAGCTCCTTGGCCGACTCGCCTGCGCTGCTCAGGGCGTTCTGCACCGACTGCGACGCGCTGGCGGCGCCGTCCTTGGCGTGCTGCGCCACGGCGTCGGCCTTCTTCTGGATCTTGTAGTTCATGTCCTTGGCCTTGCCGCGCGCCTCGGCCAGCTGCGCGCGGCCGTCGCGCAGCGTCGTGTCGGCGGCCTTTGCGCCCGAGTCGGACACGTCCTCGATCTTGTCCTTTGCCGTGTTCCACGCGCGGCCGGCGGCGTTGGCGCCGCTCTGCGCCAGCGAGCCGAGGCCGTACGAGGCGTTGATGGCCGAGCGGATGACGGGCTGCTTGGCCTTCTCGGCGAAGTCGGTGCCCTCGACCTGGTCGAGGATGCGGTCGCCCAGCGGCACCGACTCGGCGAAGAAGTCGGCGTAGCGGTCCGAGTTGAGCGCGAGGAGCGTCGAGACGCCGTAGAAGAGCGTGAGGGAGAGCGTCGAGTAGAGGAGGAAGCGCGGCATGAAGCGGCGGCGGCGCGGCGGCGGCAGCAGCGGCACGGGGTCGCCGGCCTGCGTCATGACCTGGGAGTGCGCGTCAGCGGGATGCGCGCCGTGCGGGAGCAGCGTACGGCCCTGCGCTGCATGCACTCGGCCAGACCGGCGACGAGCACTCACGGAGCGGGCGAGGGCCATGTGTGCGGCACGCATGCGCAGCGGGCCCGCCGCGACGGCGGGCACGGCCATGCGCATCGGCGCCGCAGCGGCCGTGCGGAGGCCGCGGGCAGCCGGCGCGGCGGCGAGCACGGCGCGGCGCGACGACGCAGCAGCAGCCAGACGGTTCATGGCCATGGCTGGCAGCAGCGGCGGGGCGAGGGAGAGGGCAAGGGAGCGGGGAGCGGGGAGCGGGAGAGGCGGTGGAGAGACGAGGTGGAGATCGCAGCGCGGCCGTCGAGCTGCGCCAGGGCCACGCCGGCCGCCTGCCTTGGCAGCAGCGCGGCTCGCACCGGGCCAGGAAGATCCGCTGCGAGCGCGACGCCGGCGATGCTGCGCCGCGCGCCGCTCTTTGGATTTTGCGCATCTTCACGCCCGGCTCATCCCGCGCGACGTCTCGAAGCCGGCCGCGCCGCACCGTGGACGCCCACAGCGGCAGGCTCGCGGCGTGGAAGCGCCCGCCTGTCCTGCAGCAGCATCATCATCGCCCAGCATCGTCGAGCGTGCAGATGCAGCTGCGATGCGCGCTCTGCACGCTGATGCGCTGCAGCGAGCCGCCCACCCGAGGGTCTGGCACGGGTCGCGTACCGCGCGCGCATGCGACACCTACGTCACCGCAAGACGCCGCGCCGCGCCCGCGTGACGGTCCCACGCCTCCACGCCTCCCAGCGCGATGCCTCCGCCTCCCTTCGTAAGCATCAGCGCGGGCGATGACGCCGCACCCCGACGCTGGACAGCGCATGCTGTCAGCGCAGCCATGCTCGCGGCGCATATGAAGGCACAGGTGCGCCGCCGTGCCTCTCCACGCACCACCAACCAGACGCATCCACCATGGCGCCGCGCAACGTCCTCCTCGCGCTGCTGCGCAACGACCTGCGCCTGCACGACCACCCCATCTTCCACCTCGCCGCCGACCCGACGCCGGCGGGCGCCGGCTTTGCGCAGCCCGTGACGCACGTGCTGCCCGTCTTTGTCATCGACCAGGCGCACGTCGAGGTCGGCGGCCTGCCCGGCATCCAGAAGGGCGGCCGCAGCAAGCTGGCGCAGACGCGCACGGCCAAGTTCTGGCGCACGGGCGAGCGCAAGCTCGAGTGAGTGGGAAGCAGTGGGGCACAGGAGGACAGCAGGACAGGTGCGGCAGAGTCAGCCGGCGTCAGCGCGGTGGACGAGCGAGGCTACATGCGTACTTCGGTGCATGTTCTGCTCCTCCACGTCTGACGCACCTGCCGCTGCACAGATACCTCGTGAACAGCCTCTTCGACCTCAAGTCCTCGCTGCGCGCCCGCAACTCGGACCTCTCGCTCTGGGCCGGCCTGCCCGAAGTGGTGGTGCCGCAGCTCGTGCGCCAGCTGCAGGCCGGTGGCGACCGCGTCGAGGGCGTGTGGTTCGGCAAGGAGGTGAGTCGAGTGCGGTGCCGCCTGCCGCCTGCTTGCTCTGCTCTTGAAGCTGCTGGTGCTCATCGCTACGCCGCAGGTCAACACTGAGGAGGTCAACACTGAGAAGCGTCTCGCCGCCGCGCTCTCCGACCTCTCCGTGCGCCTCGTGCAGCCCTTCGACCGCACGCTGGTGCATCTCGACGATCTCGGCTTCCCCATCAAGGATCTGCCCGACGTTTTTACCTCCTTCCGCAAGCGCGTCGAGGGGCCGGAGATGTACCGGCTGCCCGTCGATCCACCGGAGAAGTTCAAGCCGTTCCCGCAGGTCCAGCTGGAGGATGGACCGGGCTGCTATGCCCTCGAAGGCAAGGAGGGGCTGGGAGAGGCAAAGAGCACCTTCGAGAAGCTGGTCGCGCCGCTGCGCGAGAATCCGGGCCCCATCAAGAGCCCACGAGCACGCGAGCCGCCGCAGCAGAGCGCCTTCCCCTTCACGGGCGGCGAGACGGAGGCGCTCAAGCGTCTCGACCACTACCTGGGCGCCGGACGCCCGGGCCAGAAGTACAAGGAGACGCGCAACGGCATGCTTGGCGTCGACTACTCGACCAAGGTGCGTCTCCTGAGCTCTCGGCTGGCTGCGCCCTGCTGACATGGTGCAGTTCTCCGCGGCGCTGGCGCACGGCACCATCTCGCCGCGCCTCATCGCCAAGCGCGCCGAGGACATGGACAATGGCGGTCGTGGCGGCGGCTACTGGGTCGTGTTCGAGCTGCTGTGGCGCGACTACTTCCAGTTCGTCGGGCTCAAGTACGGCTCTGCGCTCTTCACGCTCGAGGGCATCGAGGAGGAGCTCGACTCCAAGGCGGCCAAGCAGAAGACGCAGCAGTGGCTCGCGCCGGACAGCTTTGACAATCAGGACGACGCATATGTGCGCTGGACGCAGGGCCGCACAGGCGTGCCGCTCATCGATGCAAACATGCTCGAGCTGGCCGAGACTGGGTGAGTGGCAGGAAGGAGGCATCCCGCGAGGATGAGCGGCTGACCCCCCCCCCCCCCAGCTTCATGTCGAACCGCGGCCGGCAGAACGTCGCGAGCTTCCTGACCAAGGACCTCTACTACGACTGGCGCCTCGGCGCCGAGTGGTTCGAGTCGATGGTGCGCAGCAAGCGGGCGCCTGTACCGGACCTTCTCGCTGACTCTCTCCGCGCAGCTCTCTGACTACGACCCGAACTCGAACTGGGGCAACGTGCGTCCTTCGTGCCCCCAATCTGCCATTGGCGCGCTGCTGATGCCTCTCTCCTCCTCCAGTGGCAATATGTCGCCGGCGTCGGCAACGACCCGCGCTCGAGCCGGCAGTTCAACCCGATCAAGCAGGCCAACGACTACGACCCCACGGGCTCCTACGTGCGCGCCTGGCTGCCGCAGCTGCGCGAGCTGCCGGACAACGTGGTGCAGCACCCCTGGACGGCCGAGCAGAAGCCACAGGACTACCCCGCGACGCCCGTCGTGGAGACGCCCAGCTGGAAGGCACACTACGGCGGCGGCCGCGGCGGCGGCCGGGGGCGCGGCCGGGGCAGAGGCGGGCGCGGCGGACGCGGCGGAGGCGGCGGCCGCGGCGCACGAGGCCAGAACAAGGGCCGGCCGGCATAGAGCGCCTCGCATGCCGCGCAGCGCACCCAAACTAGAAGCATACACCTAATAGATTAACCCAGGGAAAGCAGAGGGTGTCTGTCGCGCTGCTGTTGGGTCTTGGACGTGTGAGGAGATCTCATGGCCGCATGAGAGGAGCTGACAGGGTCTGGGGCGCAAGCGCGTCGTGTGCTTCGTTGTGGCGGCGCCGCGCACCGCCGCGCGCGAAATTTGGCCTTGGCGGAGCGGCGGCGGAGTTCCTCCACATCTGTTGCGGCTTGAGCAGCCACCGCCTCCGCTCGCTTGCTTCTCTTCTCCCACAACGCCAGCGCTCTCCATCCAGCATAGCTGGACCGCCGCCTTCGCCATGGCCATCGAGCTCGAGCTGACGCCGCTCAACGTCATCGCGGCCAGCTTCGGCAGTGCGTAGGCGCCGAAGCCACACCCCTGCCGCGGCGCGTGGCTCACGCATGGCCTCGCAGCGTTCCTGCTGGCGTACGGCGCGCTGTCGCACTTCATCAAGGAGCGCCTCTACCTCGGCGAGGCGCCCTTTGCGCTGCTCTTTGGCATCGCGCTGCAGCACTACGGCGTGCCCGGCGAGCTCAAGGGCGCGCCGGGCCACGGCGCAGACCCGCTCGACGCCTTTGGGCTCGGCCTGAGCCGCTTCATCATTGGTGCGTTGCTGCGCTGTCCGGCGGACGTGCCAGTGGTGCTGATGCAGGACGCTCTGGCAGGCACCCAGCTCGTGCTCGTGGGCGTGCAGCTGCCGTACAAGTGTGCGTGCCGCGCTGCAGCCCCTCGATGATGCCCCTAGCTCACGCTTACGCACTCGCACAGACCCCAAGACGGAATGGCGCAGTCTTGCCGTGCTGCTGCTGCGTGAGTCGTGCCTGCATGCACATCTGCCCGCATCTCCTTACTCACGCGCACGCAGCCGTGATGACGCTGATGTGGGGCATGACGACGCTCGTCACCTGGCTGGCGCTGCCCGACGTGCCCGTGCTGGTTGCGCTCGTCATCGCGGCGGCCGTGACGCCGACGGACCCGGTGCTCTCCAGCGCCATTGTCAAGGGCTCCTTTGCGGACCAGTACGTCTCGCCGCGCATCCGCAACCTCATCTCGGCGGAGAGCGGCGCCAATGTGAGTGTCGTGAGCTGGTGGCGGAGGCAAAGGCTGATGCTCGAACCCGCAGGATGGCTTTGCGCTGCCCTTCATGTGGGTGCAGCGACAGGCGGACTTGGCGACAGACTGCTGATGCCCTGCGCAGGTTCATTGCGGCCTCGCTGCTCAAGGAGGAGACGCCCGCGGCAGCGCTCAAGTCCTGGGTGCTGGAGACGTGCCTCTGGTCTGTCTTCGTGAGTGGTGCGCTGTTCTCCGCGCACGCAGACAATCGCTGATGCTGTGCGCAGGGCTCGGTGGTCTTTGGCGCGGCACTCGGCTATGGCGCGAACCGACTGCTTCAGCTTGCTGCCGACAAGCATCTCATCGGTGAGCACGTGGCGCCGGTCCGACCGCCGATGACTTGCTGACCTTGGTGACCACCCCAGACAAGGAGTCATTCCTTCTCTACGCCGTGGCGCTTGGCGTGCTAATCGTCGGCCTTGGAGGGATCCTTGCGACAGTGAGCTGGGCGCGATACCGCCGGCTTGGCCACTGCTGACCTCTGACGGCCGAGCAGGACGACCTGCTCGCGTGCTTCGTGGCCGGCAATGCCCTGACGTGGGACGACTGGTACCGCCGCGAGACAGAGGAGGACGAGCTGCAGAACGTGACCGATCTGATGTGAGGCACAACCCGCCTACACGACGCCGCATCGCTCTTACGCTCTTCCGCACGCGCAGCTGCAATTCGGTCTTCTTCACCTTCGTCGGCGTTACCGTGCCCTGGTCTGCCTTCAACGACCCGGCCCTCGGGCTCACGTACGGCAACCTGACGCTGCTCTGCGTCGGCGTGCTCTTCCTGCGCCGCGTGCCCGCCATGATGCTCTTCTACCGCGCCATCCCTCAGATTGCCGACTCGGGCGAGGCGCTCTTCATGGGTTGGATGGCGCCCATTGGCGCAGGATCGATCTTCTACACCTTCGTAAGCTATGTGCTGGGTTTGTCCCGTTCTCTGTTGACACGTCCCGCGCAGCTCATCCTGGAGGAGTTCAAGGCCGAGTCGGAGAACGCCGACGATCTTCGCATCCGCGCGTGAGTGTCGGCGGGGCCGCAACGGCGAGGCACGAGACTGACGCGCATGACCCCTCCCTCAGCCTCGTCAAGCCTGTCATGTGATTCGCTTGGCCGGGCTCTCTAGTTGCAGTACTGACGCTCGAGAACCCAGCTACGCGCTCGTGCTCTCCTCGATCGTGGCGCACACCCTCATGGTGCCAGTGGTGAGTAGGCGGCAAAGCCCTTCGCTCCACACATCGCGCTGACTCCGCGGCAGATCAAGCTGGGCTTCGAGTGGCTCGGCATCGACTCGATCAAGATGTACGAGCCCGCGCCCGGCGAGGGCTCGCTGGCCGGCGGCAACGAGTCGATCGAGCAGGCCGAGGACGACGCGTACGAGGCGGGCGCCGGCCCCGCGCCCGGCTCGCACCACGCCGGTAGCCGTCTGTCGCAGCTCTCCGAGGGCGCACAGCAGCGCGCAGTGGAGGAGCACGGCGCGTACCTGTCGTCGGGCAAGTACGACCCGCACCCGAGCTGGCGCATCTCGAGTGGCCACAAGTGCGTGCGCCGTCCCTCTCTTGGCGATCTGGCCACTGACATGCCCCCTTGCACCCTTCATCAGGCTCGGCCCGCACGTCGTCACGCGCGGCCACGACGGCACCGACGTGCAGCAGCACGACTTCCAGCCGAGCGCCTGGCAGCGCAACCGCATGTCGCGTGCGTCGCGCGGCTCGCTGCGTGGTGCGCCTCGCGGCGCCGACTACGGCTCGCTGGAGCAGGGCGGTGGCGGCGGCGGCCACTGAGCCCCTCGGCAGGCAAGAGGGAGACAGAAGCATGGTCACGCATGACAAGCGACTCGGCATTCAAGATCAACCAAGCACCTGAGCACTAGACCTTCGGCATCGAGCTCGTCGGGCACCATCACGCATGTACACTCTGCCACCTGGGCCTGCGCGCCCGCCTTCATCGTCACTGTGAACCGCTTCACGATGTATGAGCAGGACAGTCGAGACGTGGAGGCGAAGTGTGAGCTCGACGTCGGGTGCAGCGAGCCTGGGGCGGAGGTTGCCGCGGCTCATGCGGGGCGGCGCATGACCGAGGCGGTGCCAAAATTCGAGCTGGGCAAGAGGATGCGGCGCCGCGCCGCGCGCCGCCCTGCCAGCACGCTTCACTCCTCACACCGCCGTCCTCGCCGCCACCTCACGCTTCGCAGCAGCCTCGACTGCGCCTCGCTGCGCTGCCATGAGCGGCCACTGCAGCGCTAGCGGCAGCGGCAGCACCATGCCTCTCGCGCCGCAGCCGCCGCAGCCGCGCGTGCTCATCGTCGACCACCACGACTCGTACACGCTCAACCTGCTGCCGCTGCTGCTGCGTGCCCTCGAGCTCGACGGCGCCGACAGCACCTCGCTCGCCTCGCACGTGCTCGTGCTGCCGCACACGCATCCGCTGCTGGCGCCGGCCCTCTTCGCCACGCATCTGGCGCCGCACGTCGAGCTGCTCATCCTCTCGCCCGGGCCCGGCGCGCCGCAGCACCGCCGCGACTTTGGCGCCGCCCGCGAGCTGCTGCGCTCGCAGCCGTCGTTGCCCACGCTCGGCGTCTGCCTGGGCCACCAGGGCCTCGCGACGGCCAATGGCGGCGCTGTGCGTGCTGCGGCGGCCCCGCGGCATGGCACGCGCAGCGTGCTGCAGCTTGTGCCGCGCGGCGACATGGAGCTGTTCGAGGGCGTCGGGGAGGGCACGCAAGTGGTGCGATACAACAGCCTGGTCGTCGATGAGAAGAGTGAGTCGCAGAGCCTTGGCCGCCGGTGTCCCTTGCGGCGCGCCGCTGCTGATGCACAGCCGCAGCTCTGCCTCCCTGTCTCGAGGTCACTGCCTATGCGACAGACGCACCCAGTTCTGCAACAGGAGCTCCTGAGCCTTCCACACACCACGAGCTCTCCGCCAGCGCGTTGCCCACCGGCGAGCTGCTCTGCTCGGCGCAGCCCGGCGCCTCCACCTCTGCAGAGCGCGTCATTCTCGCCCTGCGACACCGCACGCTGCCGCAGTGGGGCGTGCAGTTCCACCCCGAGTCCATCGAGAGCGACGGCGGCGTCGCCATGATGCGCAACTTTGTGCGCCTCGGCGAGCAGCACTGGGCGCAGGCGGCACGCAGCAGCAGCGAAGCGGACGCTCACCTGCAGAGCTGGCAGCAGCGCGCGCCGCTGCCGCCGCATCTCCAGGCGCTTGCCGGGCAGTGCGTTGCCAGACCGCTGGTGCCGCGCCTCTTGCCGCAGCGCAAGTGCTTCCGCATTCTTGAGCGCCGCTTGGTCTGCAGTGGACTTGGCGCCGACTCTGCGCCACGCGTCTTTGATGCCCTCTTTCGACGACAGAATGCGGCTGCGGTGTGGCTCGATAGTGCCAGGGTGAGCTTCTGTGAACGCGGTCGGTACAGGTCATCAGCTGACTCCGCTCTGCTTAGCCACGCAACCCTGCCAACAACTTCTCCTACATGAGCTCGCCGGCGTTCTCAGTGTCGTACGACGCGGCACGGCGCTGCGTTCTGCTGCGCAGCAACTGCAGGTCAGCCGCCTCCGCCGAGGTTCCGCTCGCGGCGCCCAGCATGGCGGAGCAAACACCAGCGCCCTCTCGCACCGCCTCGCCCGACTTTGGCCCGACGCTGCCAGACGACGTCGGCCCTACCTTTTGGTCCTGGCTCGATGCCATCCACGAGGAGCTGCGCTCGCAGACTCAGGCGCATGCTCAGCCGCACTTTGCCGCTGGCTGGGCGGGATACTGGGGCTACGAGATGGGAGGCGAGGCATTGCAAGGCGTCGGCGCCAACGCGGACCGCAGCGCAGGCAACGAGACGCCGCCGCTGGACACGCACAGAATGCCCGACGCGCACTTCGGTTGGTGCGATGCGGTGCTGCGCTTCGAACATGGCACGTCCGAGTGGGTCGCTAGCGCGCTCATTGAGGAGGCGCAGGCTCCGGCAGACGGAGCGCAGCTGCGCAGCTTGCAGCGTGCTCTGGCGAGTGTCGGCCTGCAGAGACTTGGACGTAGCGAGGCGCAAGCGACAAGCTGGTTCGACCACATGCAGGCGCGGCTCGATGAGCTTGCGGATGCCGCCGCAGAGCAGGCGCACTGCGCGAGCACGTCCCTCGCGCCACTGTCCAAGCTGCAAGCGCGCGACTCTGCGCCGCTCTACAAGGCCAAGGTCGAGGCCGCTCGGCAACATATTCTCCACGGCGAGAGCTACGAGCTGTGCCTCACGACGCAGTTCCTCGGCACGCTCGAGCCGCTCTCTGACGCGTCGCACAAGGACAGCGACCACTTCTCTCTCTACTGCGCGTTGCGGAAGCGCAACCCGGCGCCGTACGCCGCCTACATGCTGATGGCGCCGCCCGCACGAGGCCAACGCGCACAGGCGCTGCTCAGCACGAGCCCGGAACGCTTCATGAGCATCGACGCCGCGGGCAATGTCGAGATGAAGCCGATCAAGGGCACGCTGTCGCGCGCTGGCTGGGCGGACGGCGAGGAGCAGCTTCGTGGCGCTGCCTCTGCGCAGTGGAGGGTGGAGGAAGACGAACGACGCAAGCTCAGACTCGCCGCCGACGCCAAGGAACGGGCTGAGAATCTCATGGTGCGTCGAGTGCGCTAATCGCAATGGCGCTTCGGCTGCTGACGTCGCGACGCAGATCGTCGACCTCATCCGCGCCGACCTGCTCTCCTTCTGCGCGCCCGCCTCGGTGCAGGTGCCGAAGCTGATGCAGGTCGAGACGTACGAGACGGTGCTGCAGCTCGTCACCACGGTGCGCGGGCGCATCGCCGCTGGCGACTCCCAGCAACAAGCACGCACGGGCAGCATCGAGGCGCTGCAGCGCTGCTTCCCGCCCGGCAGCATGACGGGCGCGCCCAAGCGCCGCAGCGTGCGCATTCTGCAGCAGCTCGAGGCCGAGCGCGGCGCGGCGAGTGCGCCGTGCAAGTCGCCGCGAGGCCCCTACGCCGGCGCCCTCGGCTGGCTCGACGTCGGCAGCGGCGCGGCGAGCTTCAGCGTCATCATTCGCACCGTCGTCGCCAATGGCGATGCGCTGTCGCTCGGCGCTGGAGGCGCAGTCACGTTCCTCTCCGATGCGGCACGCGAGTGGGCAGAGGTGCTCGACAAGGCCGCTGCGCTGGGCGTTGGGCGCGCCCCGTGAGCACTGCTCTGATCCTCTTCTCTCGCCAAAGCTCGCACTTCCTCTGCCCGCTCCTCGGTGTTCCCAGCTCGTCGCCCGTCACCTACTGCTTCACACGTCACTGTCCCCCTCTGCACTTAATATGTAATAGCACGCCCTGCCTCGGCGCCGCGCTCCCTCCCTTCTTCTCATCGTGAAGTGATGGTCTCTGGCTCGGCAAAGATGTCGCGCCCGGCCTTGAAGTTGGAGTAGTAGCGCAGATAGGCCTCGTTGGCCATGAGCGTGAGCACCTGTGAGAGAGGCACGGGGGTGGGTCAGCATGCTGGGGGGTGAGCAAGTCTGCGGGGATGCAGGCGCAGGCTCACGGTATGTGGCGCGATGCGCGCGAGGTGCGCCGTCGTGCCCTTGTACCACGCCAATGGACCCTCGGTCTTGGCAGTGAGGTAGAGACAGTGAATCGGACCTATGAGCAGCGCACGCATCAGTCTCCCTGCGCTCCTCGCCGAGGCTTTTCACGCAGCTGGCTCACCGCGGTAAAGCGTGCCCACGGAGCGTCCGCGCGAGTCGATGCGCGTCGGCTGGTTGTACACGCGGCTGAGCGCCGTGTCGGCGGGCTGCATGACGGTGCAGACGCAGAGGCCCGAGAACGTCGAGGCGCCGAGATACGTCCAGAAGGAGTTTGGCTGCCCGGAGATGAGGAGCAACGGGTTGTACTCCCACGTGTTGGAGGGCGAGAGCTTGACGAGGTAGGACTTGAACCTGCGTGGGAGCGTCAGCTTGGGCGGCAACAGCAGCAGAGTATGGAGAGGGCGACGCACCAATTGTACGCTGGTAATTGTACCTGTGCGGGAGACGCTGTGAGCTACCATCCGGAGTGGCACCTGACCATGGACGCTTGACAGCGGCGCAGTCCAAGCACAAGCCTCACATACAGCTGGCACATCTACGCGCCGCGCAGCGCTGGCCAACACTGTACATCTTCCTGGCCGCCAGCCGCGCTCTGCCAGCCGTCTGGGCCTCTCGTGGCAGCATCTTCGGCCTCGCCTCGCCGCGGCCCACTGCCCCCGCCCCGCCGCCTCGCCTCTTCGGCCTCGCCTCGCCGCGGCCCACTGCCCCCGCCCCGCCGCCTCGCCTCTCGCGGTGCACAACTCACCGAGCTGCCCATCGCCGTGCGCAGCATCGCCGCGTCGACGCCGCGCGCCAGGCCGCCCCATCCGTCGGAGCGCACAATGCTGCGCAGGCCGTCCCACGTGCCGGCGTAGTTGAAGGAGGAGCGCCCGATTTGGTGCTGCGGCGAGTAGGCCTGCAGCCGCGCCTTGACCAGGAAGAGGGGATTGCCGAGGACCGCTGTGGAACGGGAGAGAGAGCCGAGAAGAGAAGGGATAAGGGGAGAGGGGACGAGGGTCAGTCGATGCCCCTGCTCGCACACAAGCCTCCTGTTCGCACTCACCGCCCACCACTCCCGAGCTGGCGCCAGCGGCCAGCGCAGCCGGCGCATACACCTCGCCCGGGTCGCGCCCCAGCGCGTTGTTGTACATCTTGCGGAACGGCTCGTAGAAGCCGAGGCGCGAGCCATTCAGGCAGACCTGAGAGCGGCGCAAGGCAAGAAGGCGGCGTCAGCGATACTCATCGCAGCGCACGCACGCACACGTGGCAGCGCTCTGCCAGCGTGCACTGCGACCTGCACCCTCGCTGCTCGTGAAGCCAGGACGTGACGCCCCCCTTCCCCCGCTTGAAGCCAAAGCAGCGCTCCGTGCCCCTTCAACGCCCTCAAGCGCCCCCTATGCGCTACGCGCCAGGCTGCCGAGCTTGTCCTTGCATGCTGTCTCTGCTCTGCGTTGTCGGCAGTGTACAGCAGCTGCCTGCTCGGCTCTGCCCGATCGGCTTTTCTCCCAGTCTTTCCTCGCCGCGCGCCGGCCCGCCTCTTCCCCTCCGCTGTCGATCCACTCGCTCCCTGCCGCCCGGCTCTTCCCTCTCGCTGTCGCTCCACTCGCTCCCCTGCTGCCACTCACCTGGTACCCGAGCGCGGCGCCCAGGCCGCGCTGCACGCCCTTGACGCCCTCGCCGCGCAGCGTCTTTGTGAAGCAGTCGAGCGCGCCCTTGTACAGGCGCGGCGCGCCCGTGCCCTTGCTCAGCAGCTCGCCCTGCAGCTGCATGCGCGTCTTGACGACTTCGGACGGGTTGGAGCTGTGTGCGGAGGCGCAAGGAGAGGTGGGCGTGGGGGCGCGCGCAAGAAAGGATGTACGTCAGTGCCCGAGTTCGAGCTCATTCATGCTGCCAGCAAGCAAGCAGCGCAAGCGGGCCGGCCAGGCGAGGGCAGCAGCAGAGCGTCGCAGGCGCAAGACCCCCTGCCGCTGCGGCTCACGGCCACGCTCACTTGCTGCGTTGCTGCCGCCTCGTGGTGCACCGCCAGCGCGCCGTCGCGCCGCAGCAGGCCAAGCGAGCGCAGCGTCCCTCTCCTCGCAGCAAGGCGAGCGCAGAGGCAGCATGTCGCTGGCGCAAGACGCGCCGCAGCATGTCGTCGGCGAAGCGCCGCGCCTTCTCGCCGCCCAGCCGGCCGCACGCAAGGCGCAGCCGCACGACGCCGCGTGCAGGCCGCACTGACCCCGAGTGGCCTTGCTGTCTGGCCGCTCTGCCCGCGCCCTTGGAGCTCTGCCTCTGCACGCCTCTGCCCGCCCATGGCCGGCCACTCACATCAGCACCGCCGTCATGGCGGCGACACTGCCGACGGCAAACGTCTCGCCCATGCCGAGGCTGGTGGCGCCTTGCGCCATCTTGAACGACAGATGCGCTGAAGGGGTAAGGGAAAATGAAGGGGTGGAGGAGGCACGAAGGAAAGAGGAGAAGACGCGCGGCGCCGCCAGCAGCATGGCGCGCGCCCCGCAAGCGAGCGGCAGACGAAGCCGAGACGCCGGCGGCGGGCGAGCCGCTGCGCCCAGCCGCTGCGCCCAGCCGCCTCGCGCGAGCCACGCGCCGGTGAGCGCAGCGCCTCTTGGCTCCAGTAAGAGTAAGAGTGAGCTGCTCAGGCAGCAAGCTCACAGCTCACAATTCTCGCACGATGAGCGCCACGATGAGAGGGCGAAGGAACAGAGCATCAGGCACATCAGACGCAGACGCTGCTGCGCGCGGCGGGGCACGCGCCGGCAGGCACCGAGGCGTGCTCACACACGCGCGCGCCGACGACGGCGGCGTCAGCTTGCCTCTCTCTGTGCAGATCAATGCGTCGTCATTCTCTGCCCTGTCATGTCAAGCCGGCCAGCGCACGTACTCCGGGCGAAGCACCGTCAAGCGCCGACCTCAAGTCGCCACGTCGGCTCGACGTCGTCGCATGACGCTGCTTCAACTTGTCAGCGTGCGCCGTCCGGGCTTTCGCTCGCGCGAACTCGGGCCCACACACGACACCTTGACGCACGCGGAGCTCGAGCATGATCACCTCGTCTCGACAGCGCCAGCGGCCAGACACAACTTGAGCTCGAGATGGCGATCCGGCCAACATGGCGGCTGCGCCAGCCGCCATGAGGACAGGTCGCTGGCTCAAGAACAAGCTGTATCATCGATCTTGCGCTGTCGAGGCGGGCGTGTGCGCAAATGAGATACACTCTGCAGCAGCGACGAGACTGAGGGGTGATGACCGAAGCCCAACAGGGGACGAGGCAATTTGGAGGTCACGGCAAGAGATGTGGCGCAGGCTGCTGTTCATTTCTGAAGGCGCGCGCGGGACGGTACATGCGGGAGGTCGACATGACTACATGACTGCGAGAGACAGAGAAGAGGGGAGAGCACACTCGTCTGCGGACAGAGGACGTGCGAGTGCTCTAGCCCGAGTGGTACAGCGCCGGGCCGGCAACAACGTGGGCGTTGATGAGGCTCAGGTTGAGCGGCGTGAGGAACGGGTTGTCGTCGGTGATGGCAATGTAGATGGTGTTGTTGAAGATCTCCGTCGTCGTGAGCTGCGGGAGCACGATGCCGCCGGGCTGCGTGGCCGTGGCGCTCTTGTTGCTGCTGCTGCCGTCGAGGTCGGCGAGCGGCACGTAGGTGACGTTGTACTGCGACACGAAGGCGGCGTACTTGGCCGTGCCGTTGGCGGGCTTGTAGGTCGTCTGGTTGTACGGGCCCGCGGTCCTGTCAAGGCCAAGAAGAGGTCAGCAGATGCAAGTGTGGTGGCACGTGCCGGCAGCGCAACGCACTTGCCCGGCTCATCCCAGCTCAGCTCGATGCTGCGGCCCGGCGCCGAGAGCGCCGTGACGTTGGTGTAGATGGCGGGCCCGCTGGTGAGCGCCGTCTGGTTGGGGTCGTTGCCGATGCGCAGCTGCGGGTAGATGTCCCACTGCACGGGCGCATTGCTGGCCGGGCAGCTCTCGATGTACTCCGAGAGCAGCGTCCAGGCCCACGTTTGCGGCTGTGGCACGTGGTGTCAGTACGAGGCCTAGACGCAAGGATACGCTGAAACCACTCACAAGGCCCGTCTCGAAGCTCTCGACCATGCTGGGCAGGCCGAGCAGCTGGCGGAACTGCAGCTGCTGGCGCGACTCGGTCGTGATGCTCTGCAGCAGGATCTGCGCCACGGCGCGGTTGTCGAGCGAGGGCAGGAAGCCCAGCACGCCGTCCTCGCCGAAGCGCGTAATGTCGACGTTGACGTCGATGAACTGGCGCGGCGTCGAGAAGGGGTACTTGTAGTTGCACGGCTTGCTGAGGAGGAAGGTGGTGAGCCAGGCGAAGACTCAGGCTGCTACTTGTCGCGGAAGCCACCTTCGCAAAGGCAGCCTCCACAGTCTCCGCGATTTGCACACTCACGGAGCAGACTCGCCGAGCATGTTGCTGAGCACGAGCGCATGGCCGACCTCCTGCTTGGCGAAGAACTCGATGAGGCTCTTGAGCTCGGCATCGAGGCCGGCCTCGGCGAGCTGCGCGTCGGTGAAGCGCGCCAGGCCGTTGCTGAAGTAGTCGAGCTCGATGTACTCCTGGTGCACGCTAGGGGGAAGCGTCAGCCGCAGCGCAGAGGAGGACAGCGTTGGCAGGCACAGTCGGGCGTCGAGTGCGACTCGCGCGCGTCCGTCTCTGCTCCCGATGGCACGGCTGGCGCCGCCGAGATGCTCTACTCACCCCAATGCGATGCTCTGATAATCGAAGGCGCTGAACGTGGCGTACGTCGGCTTCTCGACGAACTCGGCCGGGCGCGGGAAGTGGCCAATGGTGCGGTTGCGGCTCGCGGTGCTGGGGTCGGCGCCGGCGCCCAGCTTCACGGCCGGCACGAGGGGCTTGGTGTCGTAGGGCGACGAGTCGTTGCTTGCGCGAGCGGCAAGCAGCGGCGCTGGAAGCACGGCGGGCAGTGCGGCCGCGAGCGGCGCGGCCAGCAGGCTGGCGGAGAGGAGAGAGAGATGCATGATGCTGCGCGGGGTGGTGGTGGTGGGGCGAGTCGGGCGGGGCGAGACCAGCGCCGCTTCTTATACGTCTTGCGAGCGCCGCCTGCGCTGTCTTCCTTGTGCTTGGCCAGCCGGACAGCACAAGCATCAGCGGCAGGAGCGGCAGGGCAGCAGCGGGCAGGGCAAGCAAGAGGTCAGCATCGCGCACGCAGCCGCAGCACGCCGCCAGCCGCAGCCTTCGCAGCGGCCGCCTCCGGCCGCAGCCGATCGTCGCTCTGCGCCGCCGCTGACGTTGCAAGTGGACCCTGCGCTATTTTGCGACGCTCTCGGCGCCCTTTGAGCGGCTGCCCGAGGCGCCATAGGGGCGCTTTGTCGCTGTCCGCGGAGGAGGGCCAAGGCAGGGCGCCACGAACGCGACGCTGCTCCCACGCTTCCGCGTGCCTGTCACCGCCACAGGGTCGGGCGCGGCCGCGCACCTCCACCTCGCTGACGCCGCCCGTTTCGCGCTTTGGCTGCGCCGGCACCGAATGCGGCGCTGCGGCCGGAGTTTTGTCGGCCGCGGCGTGCGGAGGCCCGAGATCATCAGATGCGGCAGCGGCCGTTGAGATGCCTGCAGGCCGATCATCGGCAGCGGCTGAGCAGCTGGCGGCGAGCGCAAATTCGGGTCGGCGCTCCTATGCGCGCGCGTGCCGCCGGCTGCCATCGCGGCATCGCATGGTACCGTGCCGTCAAAGCGCGTCATGCCCGCCGCCGAGCCCGAGCGTCTAGGCCGGTCACAGCGCGGTCCTGCAGCCGATGCAGCGGCAGCTGCGTGCTGATGATGCGGCCGCGCTGCCTACGGCGCCGCTGCCGCGCCAGCTGCGGACCAAGCTTGGCCATGCTGAGGCAGACGCTGCCGCTTCGCTGCGTCCTTGCCCCGCCCCGACCCCCGAGGCTGCGACGCGCTCGCCCGCTCCAGCGTCCAGGGCAGACGACTCTTACTGCAAGCGCCGCTCAAGACAGCCGCTCAGACGAGGCATGCTCGCTGTGCAGCGTTGCACTCTGACTGCGCACGCTCTCGATGCCGCGGCCCACGCTGCTCTCTCATGTCGGCCTGGCGTGCGCCTCTCGCTCACATTGGCTTCGCGGAGCATGGTGCCCTCAGAAGCTGCATTGCCCCAGCAGCTCTCTCTGCGCGCCCAGCTCCAGCCTGAGCCCTCTGCCGCGCCAGCTCTGTGGGCCCAGCACGCCTTCTGCGAACAGCTCGTAGGACGGCATATACCTGTGTGCCGCGTCAGTCAGCCCGACTTGGCACGCAGCACAGGCTGTGGGGGTGGGTGGGGCAATGACTCACCGGCGGACAAACGTGCGCACCTCCTCCGGACTCATGCCTTGCCCACATGCCGCCTTCATCTTCACCTCCGCCTCGCCGCGCCATGCAAAGATGGTCTCGAGCGCCTCGCGCTGCTCGGCCGCCGGCGCCAGCTGCACAAAGGCATCGAGCAGCGCCCACCACGCCTGCTGGTACGCCGCCAGGCGCTGGTTCAGGTCCTCGATATGCTCCAGCGCGTGATCGAGGAAGTACGGCGGCGTGTCGCCGGCTTTGCTGCGCTTCACGGCGGCGGCATAGCGCTCTCGAAGAAGCGAAGGCTCGAGAGGCGCAAAGCCGAGGCACCATCCCTCGAAGAGCACCACGTCCACCGGCGAGCGCACCTCGACCGTCTGCGCTGCCCGGTCGCCCGCGCCGTTGAACGCGGCCTTGTCATACACCGGCAGCGCAAGCGGCGTGCCGGCGGCGGCGTTGAGCGAGCGCAGCGCATGCAGCACCGCGGTGCCCAGCGCAACGTCGTGCGTGCCCGGCTGGCCGCGCCCCGCGAGGAGCTTGTTGTGCGGCGCCGAGGCGGCCAGCGCCAGCTGGTCGGCGTGGGTGAGGTAAAGATCTGTGTCGCGCACACTCAGCATGCTGCGGCTGGCTGGCGGGCGGGCGCTGCCTCACCGTCCAAGCTGAACACGACGACGTGCAGCGCCTCGTCGGCCAGCTGGCCCTGCAGCTGTCGAGTGAGTGTCGTCTTGCCTGGTCACGCGAGACACTCAGCACAAGACGCAGCAGCTGCGGAGCAGGCGCACGCACCACTGCCCTGCGGGCCCTGCACGCCCACCAGCAGCGGCGGCCGTGGCGCCGTGGAGGCGTGCTGCTGGCGGTGCCGCGCCAGCTGCGCCCGCACATGCGCCGCCGCGGCCACGGCAGAGGCGCTGGGCGAGGCGCGGCTGGCCATGCGCGACAGGGGAGTGACGAGAATGGAAGTGCGGAGAAGGAGGCAGGCCCTGGCGGACGCTTGGTGCTGTGGAGAGGAGCGGAGTTGCAGCGTCGGATGCGGGGAAGGGGCGCGCATCACGGCTCCCGCTCGGGGCGCGCTCGGCGTGCTGGCTGGCGTGGGCGAGAGCGACTGCGTGCATCGCGTCGGTCCGGGCTGGTCCGCGAGGCGGCTCAGGTGGCCCGCGATGTTGCTCTGGCGCCGTGAGGCGCATCCTTCGCACGCCCAACGGCTTCTCTCCACCTCTCCACCACCCCCGCAACCACTGCCCAGCATGCTCCGCCGCATGGCCTCCGCCCCCGCCCTGCGCGCCGCCCTCGGCGCCAGCACGCCCGCCGTGCGCGCGGCGCCCGCGCGCGGCATGGTCAGCACCGTGCTGCTCAGCGTGCGTGCGCCGGCATGCATGGCACAAACACGCGCCGCCTGCTGACCCCACCCTCCCTCCCTTGTGCGTTGCAGCGCGGCAGCTACGACTCCGCAAAGAGCGCCGAGCTCAAGAGCGAGCTCAAGCAGCGCGGCCTCGCCACCAGCGGCCGCCGCGCCGAGCTCATCCAGCGCCTGCTCGACAACGACGGCCGCCGCGCCGCCGGCCACGGCAACGTGCCGCCGCCGCTGCCCAGCAGCACGCCGGCGCCCTCGTCGTCGCGCTCCGTCTCCTCCTCGACCACCGCCAAGGCACGCCCCGTCGCGCGCGCCACGGCCACCAACGCCAGCAGCGGCGCGCCGCCGCCGCCGACCGAGGGCGCCGTCGGCGTGGCGGCGCCGGGCGGCGGCGCGGCGGGCGCCAGCATCAGCCAGCCGCCCAACATGGAGCCGGGCACGGTGAGCAACACCAAGGACGCCGTCAGCGACCTCGACCTCGCCGCGCCCGACACGAACCCTCCGGGCCTGCCGCCGCAGAAGAACCCGAGCCCGCCGATCACCTTTGACGTCAAGATTCCCTACTACCCCGAGCCGCCGCTGGCCGGCCCGGAGATCGTGAGTGACACGCGCATGCATGCATGCAACGCAGCGCCGTGTGCCGAGACTGATCTCTCCCGCAGCCGCTCTTTACGTCATACCTCGACCCCTCGCACCGCGCCGCCATCGACGAGAACGCGCCGCGCCCCTACATTCCGCGCGTTATGGCCGTGGCGGGCGAGACGGTGTCGCACGCCGCAGCCGAGGTCAACGACGTGGTGGTGGAGGAGGGCGACGCCACGGCCGACGGGCAGGGCAAGAAGAAGGAGGCGGCGCCGCGGGGCGTCGTGGGCGACCTCTTTGCGCAGCTGAAGCGCGACCTGGGCATCGAGGAGGAGACGGCCAAGAAGGTCGAGCAGAAGGCGGAGGAGGGCGCCAGCTCTCTCGCCGCCGGCGCAGACGCGGCTCGCTCGGCGCTTGACTCGGCGAAGAAGGGCCTTGCCGAGGCCGTCAAGTCGGACGACAAGAGCGGCTCGTCCTCGTCTGGCTCGTCCGGCTCCTCTTCGAGCTCGTCGAGCGGTGCTGCCGAGGCATCGGGCCTCTATGTCTTCCTCGGCGTCGTGGGCGCCGGCTGGCTGGCGGGCAGCCTGGGCAAGCCGAGCAAGAAGGCCCAGCACAAGGTGGAGGATGAGCTGCGCAAGATCCGTGCCGAGGGTGCCGTTGCGCGCGCGATCATCGATGCCAAGGACGGCCGGCAGTGGAGCGACGCCGACGTCGCCGACCTCGTGGCGCGTGCGGAGGCGGCGCTGAAGAAGTGAAGTGATGAGACTGCGCGCGGGGCGTATGCAACAGACACGGGTAATGCCAACGAATGATCACGACGCACGAGGCACGTGTTCAATAGACGGTGACGTATGATGATGAGATGAGTATCGGTGAATGTGGATGTGTGTTTCGCGAACGCTCGAGCCGCTTTCTTCTGCTCCTCGCCCTCTCCGCCCTTCTCCCGCACTCTCACTTGTCCCGGATCTTGCCGCACTGCGAGCACATCCAGAACACGGCCGCCTCGCCCTGCATCGCAAAGCCACAGCGGCCGCACTGCCACCCGGCCTCGGCAGCCGGCGCAGGCGCCACCTGGGCGCTGGCGCCGGGCCGTGCCTGCTGGCAGACGTCGCAGGCGAAGCGCGCCGTTGCGGGATTGTGGAACGTGCAGGCTTGGCATGTCCATGGCCTGGGTGCTGGCCGCGACGAAGAGGCGACGGCCGGTGGCGCGCGGTGCGCTGATGTCGAGGGCGTGGAAGCCGACTTGGACGTCTCGCCACGCCTGGCAGGCGCAATCGGCGCGGACGGCCTTGGCTCCTTCTTGACGACGCTCGTGATCTCCATGCTCTCCTCATCGCTGCTCTCGCCCAGCAGCGACACGACCTCGACGCCATTGATCGTCTCGCGCAGCTGTTGGATCTCCTGCTCTGCTGCAGCATCGTCATGCGCCGCTTGCGAGGCCGGACAGCCGCCGTGCTGCGTGAGCGTCTTCTGACGCTGCGCCGTGGCCTCGCGCGCTCGACGCTCCGCAGCCTGAGCGTGCCACGATCGATCAGCTGAAGCCGCCGCGCATTGGAGAGGAAGCCACACTCACCTCAGCTGCAGCGCGACGCAGATCCCGATCCGCGTTGCTGCCACTCGAAGGCCCAGCGCCTCCCAATCGACCTCCGCCGCCTCTCTGTGCTCTCAGCTCGGCGTTGCGCGCTGCGATCTCGCGAGCACGCCGCGGGTCCACGTCGGGCACCTGTCCCATCCCAACTCGCATGCCCGGCGTGAAGAAGCCCTCGCCCTCGGCTCGCCCGGTGCGCCGCAGTTCGTACCACTCCTCTGTGAGCTCTTTGAGCTGCGCATCGAAGATGGCGTCGTGTGGTCCGCGCACGTTGTGTCTGCGCCAGCAGCATCAGCCATAATGCCACGTCAGGCACTGCTAGCACGCACGTCAGCTCGTGAAGCAATCTGCAAGGCCGCGAGGCGTCAGTGCACATGCGCAGGAGGCAGGCCGGGCACGACGCACGTCTCCATCAGCATGTCCTCGCCGAACAGGTCGCCGTCGCGTGTCTGGCGCATGCGCAGCGAGATCTTCTGTCCGCGATTGTGGTTCAGGCCTGGACCGGTAGGAGGGTGAGCGGCAAGACGAGCAGTGCGCACGCACCGCACCCACCAAGCAGCGCCGGGTTGCTCGGCAGCATCTCGATGAGCAGCGGCAGATCTGCTCGGCAGGGCACGTCAGCACCCAGCTTGGTGCTCCGTGCTCTCTCTCTCCCTTGACGCACGCCAGCCGTGCTTCAGCATGATGGGCCGCACAATGCTGCCGATGCGGCGCAGCAGCGCGAGGGCCTTGTCGGCGTCGCGCATGCCGCGCAGCACGCGGTACTCGTGGATGCGCGCGCCGGCGCTGTCGTCGAGCCAGGTGCTCGGCACGGCGGCCTTGGGGAATGCGCCGCGGCCGTGCTGCGGCATGCTGGGCGCCGTTGTTGCGGCCGAGACTGGAGGCTGCTCGCGGGTGGTGGGGAGCAGAGCAGAGCGCCGCCGTGATGAGGCGGCACGGCCTGCGCAGTCAGCCTGCTCCACCTTGTGCTTGTTCCCACGCGGCGCGTCACGCGCGTAAAGTGCGGCCGGCACGTGTGTCGGTTGCGCTGTGCGTGTTGCGCCTGGGCCGCCGCACGTCTTCCTGCCCGCCCACCACCACTTCACCCTGCCCGCCATGCCCGACAAGTGGGTCTGCTCCTCCAATGACGCCCTGCGCCTCAGCCTCGTGCGCGGCGGCGCCGACGACGAGCCGCTCGTCTTCGCGCCGACGTTCACCTACCCCATCTTCGGCGAGGCCGAGGCCATCTACGGCTACGCCAACCTCGCCATCGCCCTCTCCTTCGCCGCCGCATCCCTCACGCCCTGCCTGCGCGTCTCTTACGACGCCAAGAACGAGCGCACCACGACCGAGATCGATGACGTCGCTGCCAAGATGCGCGAGATCCTCCCCGAGGACGATGTGCTCGACGACGCTGCCGCGCTTGCCGAGCTGGCGCGCCGCGAGCGCTGCGAGGGCGCCTTCAAGCCGCTCGGAGAGCTCGTGCACAGCTACACTCGGCCCGCAGCCGAGCCCAAGAGCGCAGCGGCGGGCAAGGGAAAGGGCAAGGGCAAGGGCCGTGCGCGCGGCCAGGGCGAGAGCAGCAGTGCCGGCGCCTCTTCGTCCGCCGCAGCGCCGGCCGAGGAGCGGCACTTTGAGATCTACCATGCCACGTGGGCCACGCCCGGCTTCCGCGAGCTGCATCGTCGCATGCAGGTCTTCACGCTGCTCTTCATCGAGGGCGCCTCGTACATCCAGGAGGACGAAGCCGCGTGGGAGTGGTACGTGCTGTACGAGCGTCTGCCGCCCGTCTCTCCCGCTGGGCCGCCGGGCTACGCGTTCGCCGGCTACACGAGCCTCTATCGCTTCTGGTGCTACCCGGCCAGCTCGCGCGTGCGCCTCAGCCAGTTCGTCGTGCTGCCGCCGTTCCAGGGCGCAGGACACGGCTCGGCGCTCTACACGCACGTGCTCGACTCCGTCATTGCCGCGTCCGACGTGCAGGAGCTCACCGTCGAAGATCCAAGCGAGGCGTTCGACCGCGTGCGCGACGGCTCGGATCTGCGCCGCCTCTTCTCGCAGGCCGATGGCTTTGCCAACGACGCCAAGAAGCACGGCCGTCTGCTGGCGCCCGTCGATGCCAAGTGGAGCGAGGAGCAGCGCCTGAAACGCAAGATTGCGCCGAGACAGTGGGGCCGACTCGTGGAGATGGTCATGCTGCTCAACCTGGATCAGGAGGACGTGGCGCAGTGCAAGAAGTACCGCCTGCAGGTGAGTCGAGCATGGCGCGGCGGTCGGACAGGGCATAAAGGGACAAGAGCAGAGGTGGCCGCTGCGCCACGGCAGCTGTGGCAACATCCTGGCTGACGGCTGCGCACTCACGCAGGTCAAGGCGCGCCTCTACCGCCACAACCGCGACGTGCTGAAGCAGATGACGCGCGCCGAGCGCATCTCGAAGCTGCACCAGACGTTTGAGAGCGTCGTGGACGAGTACGCCGGCCTGACGGGCGTGGATGTCGACGATCTGCTCGACTCGTACAACATCATTGAGGAGGAGGAGGAGGAGGAGGGCGAAGAGACCGGCGGCTCTTCTTCAAAGGCGTACGGCAACGGCGGCCCCAGCCGCAAGATGGCTCGCCTCGGGTAGAGCACACTGTCACGCCGCAAATGTCACGCAATGGTCTGTGGCGTGAGAGGTATCGATAAGATAGAGACGGCCCGGGACGCGGCGGTACAGAGGCAGATAATAGCGGAGCGAGGGTGCATGAGTGGGCAGCAGGCAAAGGAGGTACAAACAGTGACAGACGGAGCACGTGAGGGGGCAGCGACACATAACAGAGGAAGCGGCGATCAGTCGCGGCATGCCCGCTCGGCGGCGTCGGAGAGCGTGGCGACGGCGCGCAGCGTCGACTCCTTCATGCTCACGAGCTCGCCGGCGACGAGCTCGACCTCCTTTGCCAGCTTGTCGCGGTAGAGCTTGTCGTTCTCCTGCGCCAGCTTGAATCTGCGGGAAGCGAGTCAGCAGGGACAAGCGCTGTGTCTGCGAAGCGAACACGCACTGCCGGTGGAGAGCGGCCAGCTTGGCCTCGGCGTACTGCACGGCACGGTAGCCGGCCTGCTCGGCGTCTTGCACGGCACGCTCCTGCTCCATGATGTCGGCGGCAAAGAGGCGAGCCTCGTCGGCGCTCACCTGTGTGCCAGGCGTCAGCACATGGCGCAAGGGTTGCAGCCGGGCCAGACTCACGTTCTGCGTCTCCTCGAGCGACTTCTTCTGGCGCGTCGTGTGTGCCTCGAGCTGCGTCACCTCCTCGCTGAGGGCGCCCAGCACCTCATCGACGCCCGTCATGTCCTCCTCCACCTCGAGCTTCTTGTCCGAGAGCTCGCGGAAGCGCTGCTGCGCATGGTTGCGCACGTCGTTGATGCGCGGCTTGACGACGTGCTTCATGTCGACGCCGCTGCGCAGCATCGTGGAGGGGTTGCGCGGCACAATCTCGAGCTCGTCGAGCTCCTCGCCGTTGGAGAGGCGCAGCGGCAGCACGTCGACCGTCGTGGCGAGAAGGTTGAAGTTCTTGAAGCGCTCCTCGACGCCCTCCTGCCACTTGGTCACCTCCATCTCGAGCTTCCACGCCTCGCGCGCCGCCTGCTCGTTGGTCGTGGCAATCTCCTGCAGCTGACGCTGCAGCGTGTCGCGCTCGGCACTCATGCGGTCAAACTCCTCGCTCGACATCTCCTGCGCCGAGACCTGCCCGTCGAGCTCCTTGCGCTCCGTCTCGAGGCGCCGCAGCTCGTCGCGTGACTCGACGATCGTGGCGCGTAGCCGCTCAAGGCCCTTCTTGCTCTTGGCAAGCTTGGGGTTGAGGATGTCGTCGCGGTACTTGATGAACTTGGAAATGTCGCCCTCGAGCGTCTCCTTCTCCTTGGTCTGCACCACAAGGGGAGACTGCGCGCGAGCGTGGTCAGCAAGAGGGAAGCACCACGGCTCAGAAGCGCGCTCACGTCCGTGTCGGTGTACTCCCGCAGCTCGGCAGCCAGCTTCATCTGCTCCGCCTCGAGCGTCTCCACCTCCTGCGTCAAGCCGTGGTTGCGCTCGGCTGCCACCAGCAAGTCAGCAATCGTGCGCACACCGGCTCAGCTGGCGCGCTCACCGAATATTTGGTCGAGCTCGGCGATCTGGTCCGGGTATGTGTCCTGGTTGTCCCAGAAGCGGTCATAGCACTTCCACAGGAAGCTGAAGAAGAGGTGCTGGTCGCTCTCGTCGTCCTCGTCAACCTCGCGCTCCAGCGGGCCGGCGCCGACGTACGTCGTGCCGTCGTCGAAGTTGTTCTGCAGGAGCCGTGAGCGCGCAGTCCGGCGGCGCTGCTCAGTTGCGCTACTCACTGCCATGCACACCATCCAGTCAATCATGGCCACCACGGCCGGCCAGTTCTGCGCACTGCCCGCGGCGCTGAGCTTCGTCTTGCTCAGCTCGCCGACGAGCGGGTACTTGATGTCGGTCATGAGGCTGATGATCTCGTCTGCCTCCTTCTTCGTCTCCTGTGTCCAGCGGTACTGCGCGTCGACGGTGGTATTGTAGACGTGGCGGAACATGGCAATGACGTGGGCCTGCGTCGGGTTGCTCATGCTCTTCTGGCTGAAGTTGGGCGCCTGGAAGCCCGAGCGCGAGAGATACGTGAAGACGCGCTCCTTGAGCGAGTCCATGAAGGCCTTTTGGCGCAGCGGCCGCAGCTCGGACAGCGCCCGAGCGCCGAAGCCGCCCGGGCCGACGCCTGCCGCCATAGACTGTCGCCCAACCGACCGCCGGCCGCTGCATGCGTGTGTCAGCCCAGGGCGCTCCTTGCGTGCACCACTGCTGCCACTCACGTCGGCGTCGGCGCGACGCTCTGCCGCGCAAGCATGGCGCCGTTGACGCTGGCGCGGCTGACGGAGCCGTAGCCCTGGCCACTGCGCGCGCCCTGCGAGCCGTGCGGCGTCGAGTGCACCGAGGGCCCGCCGGCGTCGGCGTCCTGCGCCTGGCTCTGGCGCTGGAAGCCGGCGGCGGCGATACTGGCGCGCGGGCCCGACACGCTGCGCGCGGCGGCGTCGGGCACGGGCGCATAGACGCGCGGCGCGAGCGAGGGGCGCGCGACGCTCTGGCGCGGCAGCATGCTCGACGACGCGGCGGCGTACTTGGCCTTGATGGCCGACTGCGGCAGCGGCAGTGCCGAGCCGACGACGGGGTTGGGGTCGACGGGCCCGAGCGTGGAGCGGCGGGCGCCCTGCGACATGGCGGGCAGGTGTGTGTGAGGGGATGGAGAGGGACGGGAGGGGATGGAGGTGCGGAGCAGTAAGACGCGCGCGGCGTGGAGTTGATCTCGGCGCGGCGGACGCGTGTTTCCCAGGCGGTGCGGCCGCGGCCCGGTGCGCGTCTCGGCGGGCGTCACGTGATGCGCGACGACTGTCACTTCCGCCCGCCGCACAGCCGCCGCACAGCCAGCGGCTCCTTCTCCTCTTCCTGCCTCCACCATCCTGCAAGACACAGCATGTTCGGCGCATTCCGCGCATCGCAGCCGTCGCTCGGTGGCCTTCTCTGGTGCGTGCGGCTCTTGCACCATCGCACCTCGCCTCGCTCACCCCCCTTGTGCTCCGCAGGAAGGTCCCTTACCGCCTCAGCACGCCGCGCAAGGCGCGCGTGCGCAGCCGGCTGCAGGCCGTCGACGAGGTCATTGCCGCCGTGCAGCGCTCGGGCGTCGAGTGCGCCGCCCTCGACCGCGCCCTGCTGCTGCCGACGGAGCAGGAGATGGCGCCGCGCGACAAGTACACGACGTTCTCGCGCACCGCCCGCGACTACCGCAAGGGCGTGCACAAGGTGAGTGCGGCGAGCGGGCATGGCATGAGTCGAGGGCGCTGGGGCACGCGCTGCAGGCAGTGGGCTGCAGTGACAGGGATCAGGCTGCGCGTGCTGCGTTGCGCCGGGCGGGTCAGACGTAGCTTTGCCGTGGAAGGCAGCGCAGAAGGACTCCGGTGGCGATGTTCAGCCAGGAGGCTGGCAGCCCATTCGCATCTGCGTTGGCAAGAGCTCTGCACCGACATCGTGCATGCGAGTCAGTCGACGGGTGCCCTTGCGACGGCGGCACGAGATTTGCCCTCATGCTCGTGTGCGCAACAGACGCACGGCGACAGTTGCTTCTCCGTCTCCGCCGCCCAAGCGCCCCCTTGCTGACGCCGTCGCTGCGCCACAGGTGCCAAAATGGACCCGCCTCACTCTGCGCGAGAACCCGCGGGGCTTCTAGACAGCCCTCTCTTCTGTCTGCGCTCCGTGCCGTGACCTGTCCGCACCTCCACTCTGTACTTCTAATCTGCATGCTCTAGATCTCCCTTGCGCGCTGTGAATGGACACCGAAGCTAACTTCTGCTCTGTTCGACTGCTCTGAAGTGCTAGAGGCTACGGCTCCGAGTCCTGCATGCAGCTGACGACGCTGCTCATTGACATGCGCGCCTTGTCCAAGCGCTGGCTCGAGCAGGCAGAAGTGGAGAGCATGTGTAGTGTGTATTTTGCAGGCTGTGGCTGCCAAAGCAAGGGGTGTAGCACGTTCACATGAAGTCCAGGTCGTCGCCGTCGTCGAGCGCCTCGTCGCCGTCTGAGTAGGAAGGCATCAGTACCTGCACGTCGGGCAGGAGCAGAGTGGGACGACTTACAAGCGCGCGTGTCGATGCTGAGAGAAGAGAATGGCATACGCCGTCAGTCAATGTATCGAGCTTTGACATCGCCGCACTTACACGTTCTTCGCGCTGCTCGTGCCCACGCTCTTCGGCTTGGCCGCGGCAGCCGCCGGCTTCTTGCCGCCGAGCCGCTTGGCCTCCTTGTCATTCTTGACCTTCTCGTCGGCCAGCTCCTTCCAGCGCGTGCTGAGCTTGCGCATGTCGACGTCGCGCAGGCCCTCCGAGGCCAGCAGGCCGCAGAGGAAGGGCACAAAGTGCTTGTCGAACCCGGGGCGCGAGGCCTGCTTGCGGATCATCGTCGTGTACAGCTCAGAGGCAAACGACTCCCAGTCCTCCTTGCTCGCGGGCTTGGCGTTGCGCAGCGAGGACGAGTCGTCTGTGACTGGCGTGAGCTGTGGCTGCGATGCGAGAGCCGGGACAGCAGACTTACCGGCAATCTTGGCTGTGCCAAGCAGGTTCGCGGCGTTGTCCAGGTCGGCCTTGATCTGAGCATCGCGCTCGGCGCGCCGCCGTGCGGCGGCATCCTCCTCCGGCACGTCCTCATCAGACTGCTCGAGCAGGCAACCGTCAGCGTCTGAGCTGCGCTGTTGATGCACGGCGCGCAGCTAGCGTCATACAGCCCCGACGCTCCCGCCACGCCGCAGTCCGGCCCCTGGCTGTCCTGCCCGCCCGCACGCCCCTTTCCAGACGCAAAGCCAATCAGATCCTCACGCAAGCCAGGCTTCGTCGTCTCGCCCTGGCCCGCTCCTCCGAATCGCTGCTGCCACTCACCTCGACGCCCAGCTCGGCCCTCCGCCGCTCCTCGGCCTCCTTCTCTGCAATCTTCTGCTTGACGGTGCCCTTCTTCTTGGGCGGCGCCACGACGGGTGCCGGTGCCGGCGCCTCGTCCTCTTCCTCCCAGTCGTCCTGCCAGCGCAGGCATCAGCAGTGCAGTGCGGCACACGATCTTGTGCTGCGCGCTCACCTTGACCTCCTCCTCGACGTCCTCGTCGTCGAACTTGCCGCCGCGGCGCGGGGGCAGCACGACGGGCTTGGCCGGCGCGGCGGGCGCCACGCCGTCGTCGGAGTCTTGGTCTGCGCGCGGAGCCGCTCAGTGCCGGCTCTCATGCGCTGTCTGTGCAGCACGTACCCCAGTCACTCATGGCGTGCGAGGCAGGTGCGGGCGATGGATGGGTGTGAGAGAGAACCAGGAGCTGCTGGTCGGCGTGGGAAGCATGCGCCGCGCCGCGCCCACGTGACGCGCGCGCCCGCCAGATTTTTGTCAGGGCGCGGCCGGCACAAGCGCCGGTGGCCTTGCGGGCATCTTCCAGCCTAAGCCAGCCGGCCAGCCTGCCTCGTCACCTCTCCCACACACCCCACACGCTCACCCATGCTGCGCACCTCCAAGCCGCGCAACGCCCGCTCCAAGCGCGCCCTCGAGGCACGCGCGCCGCGCGAGCACGAGGCGGCCAAGAAGGCCATCTTCGTGCGCGGCCCGCACAGCAGCGACAAGGTGGCGCTGGCGTTCCGCGACCTCGCCGCACTCAAGAAGCCCGACGCCATCCAGTTTGCCAAGAAGAACGACTGCCTGCCCTTCGAGGAGGCCGGCGCCTCGAGCCTCGAGTTCTGGGCGGGCAAGAACGACACCAGCCTCTTCGTCGTGGGCAACACGCAGAAGAAGCGCAAGGACAACCTCGCCTTTGCGCGCATCTTCGACGGCCACGTGCTCGACATCATCGAGATGGGCGTACTGGAGGGCAAGGGCATCTCCGAGTTCAAGGTGAGTCAAGGCGTGACGCCTCGCGAGGCAGCAGAGCATTGCTGTGAGGAGGCCAGAGGGGCTCGGCAGGGCGTCTGCGCAGGAGCACGTCTCTCAGGAGGGCTTGCCTGCCTGGGCCCTGCCCGTCACGAGCGTCGCCTGCCTCGCACAGCATGCATCTCTGCAGAGCTGCGCTGACACTCTCGCTGCAGTCTCCCTTCGCTCCGTCGCTCGGTGCCCGGCCACTGTTCCACTTCTCCGGGCCGCACTTCTCGCCCGATGCCTCGGCTGCCGACAGCGACGCCTCCTTCAGCGGCGCGCTGGCGATGTGCAACCACGGCGTGCACGCGTCGTTCCAGCACCTCAAGTCCATGTTCCTTGACTTCTACCGCGGCGAGGAGTCGCCGCCGGGCTCGGGCCCCGGCGCTGTGCCTGGCGCGTCGGGCAACCAGGTCTCGCTGCGCGATGGCCTGCAGCACATTGTCTGCGTGACCGAGGGCCCGGAGCCGGCGGCGCAGGTACCCGTCTCGGACAACAGGGAGCTGGCAGAGCTGTACGCCGCCGGCGCCGCACAGACGCGCGAGGGCTCCTCGTCGATCGACAACAGCGCTGCGGGGCGCACCGTCTACTTCCGCGTGTACGCGCCGCGTCCGTCGGGGCGAGGCGCCGGCGGCGCACCCACGATGGAGCTGGTGGAGGTGGGCCCGTCCTTCGACTTTGTGCTGCGGCGACGCCAGCCGGCCGACTCTGCGCGGCTGGCCGCGTCGCTCAAGCGGCCCAAGACGGCGGCGGAGAAGAACACGCAGGGCAAGACGAAGCGCAAGAACGTCGAGACGGACGACATGGGCGACATGATTGGCCGCGTGCACATGGAGAAGCAGGACCTCGGCAAGCTGCAGACGCGCAAGATGAAGGGCCTCAAGCCGGGCCGCGACCCTGCGGCGGCGGGTGGGGACGAGGAGATGGAGGGCGACGATGACGACGACAGCGAGCTGGGCTTCTTGGAGGACAGCGACGAGGAGCTCATCTTTGAGGGCAGCGAGGGCGACGAGGGCCTCGATGCAGACGACGACGACGAGCACCTCGACGACGAGATGGCCGACATGCTCGAGACGGCCGGCGAGGTCGAGGCGCCGAAGAAGAAGGCGCGCAAGTAGAGCTGCCCTCTCGTTCCTGCCCTCGCACGCTCCCTTCACGCATAGGTCCATCTGTTCACCTGCTTCTCAACCCTGTAATCTAGCATTCTTGCCTCTAACATCTGCCGCATCTGCTGCGCTGCGTGACTTTGCGTGCGTGACTCGGCTGGGCCGGGCGTCTCATGTGGCATTACGGTGCAGGGCAGAAAGAGCAGACCGAGGGGATCATGCGCGGTGCCAGTGCAGCGGCGCGAGGGCGAGGATGTGGTTGAAGGCGAGATCGCGGTTCGCCACGCTGGAGAAGGAGTGGGTCTAGCCAGACTGGTCAGCCTTGGTCTGCGTTCGCTCAGCCGCGAGGAGCTCACCTTTGCGCGCACGCCAATGTCGAGGCCGTCGAGCGTCACCTTCGAGAAGCGCAGGTTGACGGTAGCCGTCTTCTTGAGCACGAGCAGGCTCTCGAGGTGCACGTCCAGCAGCACGCGAATCTTTGCCGTAGCAATCTCGGCCGGCACGCCCTGGCCCGTCTCGTCGACGACGGGCGCGTCGGCTGCGGCGCCGGCCTTCTGCGTGAAGAGAGAGACGAAGAGCAAGCGCGGCGTCGGCGAGGCGCGCACGATGACATGGCCGCAGACACCGTTGTAAATGCTCCAGTGCACGCTGTCCGTCGGCAGCGTGTCGCCCAGTGCCACGAGCTGGCGCTCGACGAGCGCCCGGCTCGTCTGCTGAGAGACCTGCTCCAGGCCCCAGTTGGCACCGCGGGCGAGGCCACTGCCAATTGCAGCCATCTTGCCGGCGCCCGGTGCACTCGAGGCGCCCGTGTCGAAGCGGGGCAGCTGCAGTGCTCGCTGGCCAGCCAGCACCTCGGAGCCCGTGACGAGCAGGTCGCGTCCGTACGTGGCGCGGTTCTTCCACTTGGCCCAATCGACCTTGCGGTTCTTCAGCTCGGCCGTGGTCGCTGCCGAAGTGGCTACGCTCGAGCTGCTGCCGACGGCACTACTGCCGACCACGCTGCCATCGACCGTGCTGCCAATGGTGCTGCCAGCCTCGCTCTGCTCGTCCATCGCTGCGTCGATCAGCGGCGCGTCGTCCTCAATGTCGCTGCCGCCCGCAAGCGCAATCTGCATGTCGCGGTCGCCAAGCAGCGGCTTGCCCTCGGCAGCACGGCGGCGCAGGATGGACATGGCGATCTGGGCGTCGTTCGGCACGCCAGCCAACAAGAGATCGACGGCATCCAGGTTCCACTCCATCGCGAGCCACTGTGGCCGGTGCTCGACGATGGGCCCCAGCACGAAGAGCAGTGCGCCAATCGTGAGGCCAGGCAGACGTGCCAGCATCCACGGCGTGGCGAGGAGCGTGAAGAAGCCCGAAATGATGATCAGTGCGACGACTCGCATGCTGCCCCAGAGACGTCAGCCTATGTGTAGTGAGCGATGCGCGTCGCACTCACGTGGCAGGCGGCGAGCGCCAGTCGGCACAGTTGCGCATGCGCTCGTGCAGGTCGGCTACGGAGCCGGACACGACGGTCAAGGCGCGGCCATAGCGGCGCATAGCATCGGCAGCCAGGCCATACTTGCTCTCCTTTGCGTTGGCCTCGGCGCCTTCCTTGACATTGGCGCTGAGCTTGCTCTTCTGCTCGGCCTCCCGGACTACGTCTGCCGAGTTGGCATTGCGCGCCTGCGCGAGCTCGGCGCTGCGGCGCTGCTGCTCGGCGAGCATGCGCGAGAGCGCCTCGGCCTTGGGCGGGAAGAAGCGGCGGCGTAGAAGGTAGAGCACAAGCAGGGCGTGCATCGCCGGCAGCAGCAGGCCGCGCCACCAGCAGATGGTGTAGCCAAGGCACCACACGCCCGTTCGCAGCTTGCTGTCCCAGCGCCACAGATGCCGCAGCGAGGCGTACAGGCCCTCGTACATCGGCACGGCCATGTACAGCCGCGCGCCGTTGGCCTTGAGCGACGCGAGGCGGAAGTCGCTCGAGCTGCCGAGCGCCTCCATGTTGTCTTCGTCGGCTGCGCCGCCGGCCTGCACATCGACGAAGCGCGCCGGCGAGAGATACGAGACGAGCGCAAAGGCGAATGAGAAGACGTAGCCGACGTAGTTGGCCTGGCCAGTGCTCGGATCGCGAAAGTCTCTCAGAGACGGCAGCACCACATCGTGCGACGTCGGCTCGAGCACGCCGCCGCTGCGCACCTCATGCACATTCTTGCCGAAGTCGTTGAGGAAACGCTGCACCTCCAGATCCTCGCGGTCCGCAAGCGCCACCTTGCGCTCGCGCGCCTCTCGCCGCTTGCGACTCTCCGAGCGGCGCTCGTTGGCCTGAGCGATGCGCGCATCAAGCTTCTCCTGCTCCTTGCGATCCTTCTCTGCCTGCTTCTCCTCTCGCTGCCGCACTTTCGTCGCCTCCTTCTCCTCGGCGACGCGCACCTTTTCCGCAGCAGCAGCCTGCTTCTCCTCCGCCTTGCGCAGCTTCTCTGCTTCTTTGGCGGCTGCCTTTTGCTCCTGTGCAGTCATCGCTGGCACGGTCTCTGGACGCACGGGCAGGGTCGGCGGCACGGCAGATGCGTGCACGTCTGTGCCCCGTGCTGGCAAGGCGGGACCTGCGGCGGAGAAGAGCGGCGAGAAGGTGTTGTTCGCCTCGTCGTCGATCGTGTAGAGCGACGCGCGATCCATGTCAAACACGCTGGCGTCGTCCGACACGATGCCGTGCGAGTCACCCTCGGCTCTGAGCGGCCCCCCGCCTGACACGGAGAGTGGAGAGCCACCGTCTGCCTCGGCGAATGCATCAATCGAGCTGCCCTCCAGCGAGTCCGCGTGGCTGTCGTGCGTGTAGTCCGAGTGCATCGTGGCAGGCGTGTGCGTGCCTGAGCGCGGCTGGTGGCTAATTGACAGCGACTCTGGGTCTTCCTCCTCGCTCTCGGCCTCGTAGAGCGCGACGGGGGTGATGGCGCGGCTCACGCGCGGCGAGCCGCCGGGGCTAGTGGCGTGCACGAGAGATGACCCGGCCGACTGAGGCGTCGAAGCATCATCGCGGCTCTGCAGCGAAGCTTCAGACGTGCTGTCACGTCGGATGGTTGGCGGGCTCGTCTCCGGTGATGCAGGTCCGAAGACGGACGACGGCGTCGTCTCACCGGCAGAACCGCGGGAGCTGCTCTGTGGCGGACGCACCGGCACGCGAGGCGGTGGCGTTCGTTGCACACTCTGCAATGGCGAGCTCTGCTCAGGCGAAGGGAAGCCATCTTGCGTCGGCAGTGATGCGTCCTCAGCCGCCGCCTGCAGATAGCTGCCGCTCGCATCCTCTGCGGCAGACGGACTCGTTGGAGGACTGCTGATCGAGTCGTCCAGGCCTGACTTCGAGCTGGAGCTGCGCGGCACGCTCTTGCGTCCAAAGGCCTTGCGCAAGAGCGTGTTCTTCTCCTTGGCTGCGTTCTTGTCCTCGACGGCGAGACCGTACTCTTCCAAGAAGGAGCGCGACAGGCTCGCTGCATCCTCACTGTCCTCTGCCACGTCGGCATGCAGCAGTGCGGTCGGCCGCTCAGGCAGCGCAGGCGGCGGCGCACGCTTGCTGCCGCTGCTCGAGCGGGCAGACTTGGCCGAGGCGTCGGACTTGGTGCGTGCCATGCCTGAGCCTCCACGCGGCGACACAGGCGGCGATGCGGGCTCAACGATGGAGCTGGACGCCGACGCAATCGACGAGCGTCTGCGGCTGCGCGACGTGTGCGGCAGCGGACTGGCGGCGTACGTCTTGGGCTCGGAGTACAGCGGTGCCGGCTCGCCGCTGAGCGCCGACGTGGCGCCGCTGATGATGCGGCTCGCCGACGAGTTGCGATGACGCGGGCGTGGCGAGAGTGGCGGCGGCGAGGCTGGCTGCGCGGCCGCACCCGGCAGCGGCGACGCGGCGACGCCGACGATGGAGGGCGCATCTGCGAACGTCACCGAGAGGCGGCGCCGTTGCGAGGGCGATGTGGCGAGGGCGCTGGCCGCAGCCGGGCGCGGGCTCATCTCGGGTGCCGCATCGTCTGTGCTGGTTGCGTCCATGCTGCGGTTGGGGCACAGGGATGGAGCAAAGGTGGCGGCCAGGCGAAGCGTGGATGTGGTGCGAAGGGAAGCCAGGGCGCCAGGCGCGGCAGCGAAGAGGCCGGTGCGCAGTGCCGCTCCAGCAAGCGAGCTGTGAAGTTGCTGCCTGCAGCAGAGCTGGCGTATCGCAGGAAGAGACGGGTGCAGTGACAGGCAGGGCGGAGCCACGACGTTGTGGGGCAGAAGAAGGAGCGGCAAGCGTCACCGCGTCACCGGACGGCCTGGGCCCGCTGCAGGCCGCCTGCACGCCGTACCGCAGTGCACGACACTCCGCCCGTGCCCCGAACTCCCTGTGCCTGGATTTGATGCACGCTCGGCGTTAGCGCGGCGGAGTCGGGGTGGAGGCTGCGGCTGTGCAGCGGCGGCGGCGCGTGCGTCGCTGCCAAGGCTCCCAGGATCGCCAGTGCAGCAGCTGCACTTGGCTCTTCTCATAGGTGCAGCTTGCTGCTGCTGTCCTGCTTGCCCCTCGTGAGGGAGGAAATAATGAGACGCACCGGCTGGCTGCAGAGCACATTCGAACGGACCAGGACAGCGCATCGAGCGAGGTACACTTTCCTCAGCAGCAGGCGTCGCACCGCATCTTCAGTTCTTCACCGCACGGAGACTCGGAGGCAGCATGCGACGTGCGCAGGCATCTCACGCTTCGCGGACTGGTCGTCATGCTATGATTATATGCAGAGCTCTAAGGAATCACACGTGGGAACGCGGGTAGCAGCCAGTTCAGCGACCTCTATGGAGGCACTTCTACTCCTCGCCCTTCTTGGCCTTCTTCTGCTTGCGCTTGAAGAGGCCCGTGAGGCGGTCGATGCCGAGGCCGTAGCCCGCGACGCGGAACCACCAGTACAGGGCGAAGCAGGCGAGGCCGTTGAAGACGACGAAGCCGAGGAGGATGCCCCACGCCTGCCAGCGGAAGTTGTAGTCGGCGCCGAGCGTCTGCGCGAACTGCGCGCCCGTGGCGTACCGGCACAGGCCGCAGTTGCTCGTGGCGTCGGGATTGACGAGCGTGGCGCCGGCGGAGGCGGCCCACTCGCCGGCGTAGGCGCCGCACGTCTGGCCGCCGGGCGGATTGAAGCGCGCGAGGTCGACGTCGTCGCACACGACCGTGATGTCTTGCAGGATCGTCGAGACTTGCGCCTGCACGAAGTACGACATCGGGTTGGCGTAGTAGACGGCGCTGCGGAACGGCTGCGGCATCTGTGCGCGAGGCACCAGCACGCCGTTGACGATCGCCAGGATGGGCAGCATGAAGGGCAGCAGGTTGGCGGCCATCGACGGCGTCGCGCAGGCCGCAGCCAGCATGAACGAGAAGAGGAACCAGAAGCACACGAGCGTGAGAGTGCAGAGGTACCAGAAGCCGGCGATGTGCGACGGCTGCGCGCCGAATGCGATGAAGAAGGCGGGCAGGCCGTAGAGCACCGAGCTGAGGAGCGCGATCGGCAGTGTCGAGATGATGAAGCTGGCGACGAGCGCCCACCATGCGTAGATCTTCGACGGCGACTCGCGGACCTCGAAGAGGATGCGCAGCTCGAAGAACTTGGCGATGATGCTGTTGACGATGGCGGGCACGTTGAGCAGGTACAGGAATGCCGCCTGGAAGACGTAGAGCTGCAGGTCGGACGACGATCGTCCGACCGAAGCGAAGTATGCGCCGCTCAACAGCCCCACGAGAAGGTGCGACCAAAGCACGCCGTAGGAGAAGGAAGCATCGCGCCAGACGTCGCGGAACTGGCGCAGCGTCACCTGGCGGACCTGCTCAACAGACGAGGCCGAGTACTCGCGCAGGGCGCGGGGGTCCTTGCTCGCCGGGCGCTTGCTGCGCTCGGCGACGAGCTGGTCGACATGCTGCACCACCTCCTTGCACTCCTGCGACTCGCGCCACTTGGCGCCCCAGTCGATGCCGCGGCTCTTGCCGCCCGAGACGACCTCGAGAATGTACTCGGCAGCGTTCTCTTCGGGCGGGCAGGCCTCAGCGCCGTTGGCCTCGAAGTACGTGCGGATGCGCTCGGAGCCCTGGCCGGGCTTGGCGCCAATCTGGCCGAAGAAGCACAACTGGCCGCCAGGACGAAGCAAGGCGGCCGAATCGAAGCTTTCGAACAGGAGCGCACTCGGCTGGTGGATTGTGCAGCTGCGGTCGCGGTCAGCTGGGCTGTGATAGCCGATGGCCGCTCGTCGCACTTACAGGATGGTCATGCCCTCGTCGGCAAGGCGGCGCAGCAGGCGGATGATAGAAGCCGCGCCGGCAGAGTCGAGGCCGGAGGTCGGCTCGTCAAGGAAGAGCAGAAGGTCGGGCTTGGCCGCGAGCTCCACGCCGATCGTCACGCGCTTACGCTTCTCCACGCTCAGCCCGGCGCCGGGCACGCCGATGAGGGCGTCAGCGAGCGAGTTGAGCTCGAGGAGGTCGATGCAGTGCTGTGCGTAGCGCAGCTTCTCCTCTCGAGATGTCTCCTTGGACTGGCGCAGAAGAGCGCTGAACTCAATTGCCTCTCGAACAGTGGAAGTTCCGAGATGAACGTCGCCCTGCAGCACGAGGCCTGTGCCCTTCTGGAAGCCGCGGTCGAGAGACTTGCCGTCGACGAGAATGTCTCCGGAGAGATCGCCGGCGACGCCACGCTGGCTCAGGGCCGTCATCAGCGTCGTCTTGCCCGCACCCGAGGCGCCCATAAGCGCTGTCATGCTGCCGGGCTTGCAGTAGCCTGTGACATTGTGCAGCAGCTCGCGTCCGTTGCCGAGCGTGAGGTTGACGTCCTTCCACGTGAAAACTGCACGATCGTCGAAGCTGGCGCTGCCGTGGCTCGGCTTCTTCTCGACCGGGGCCGGGGAGTTGGCGCGCGTCGAGTCGTCGCTGCGAGGCGGGGTGGTGTTGCCAGAGGCCGCGGCCTCGACGTCACCGGACGCGGCCGCCGGGGTCTCGGTCTCGGCAAGCTGCTGCTTCGCGGACGCGGTGCGCGCGAAGACCGTGACTCCGCCCCCGCCGCCGCCCCAATGCATGTTCTCGGCTGCCCATACGGTAACGAGCAAGTATAGGATCGTGAAGGCGAGGACGACGGCCCAGTCGTACGACATCGACGAGCGGCTGTAGCCGAAACTGGCTTCCAGATAGGCCTCCGACGGCACGGCGAGCTGGCCGGGTGTGCTGCCCAGCAGCGTGCACGTCTGGTACTGCGTGTCGATGACGTCGCTGAACGGCACGATCTGCTGCGGGTTGCACTGGATCGGATAGTTGAACTCGTTGACCATGAGAGCGGTGAAGGCATAGCTGATGCCGTTTGCGTAGCTGAGCCAGATGAGCCTGGAGGAGGATAGGTCTGAGCGACAGTGATCATTGTGCGCCTGCGAGCGGGCCACTTACCAGTTCATCTTCGTGCGCGGTAACACATAGCCACTCGCAATAATCAGCAAATTTAGGCTGAGAACACTGAAGCGGATGGCCTCGTTGAAGGTCGGGGAGAAAGCGGCCAGCGCGCGGTACAGGTACGTGAGGTTGAGGGCGCACAAGAACACCACGAGCCAGAAGTAGAAGAAGGCGCCTGCGTCTACTCTCAGATTCGCCATGAAGTAGAAGATCACGCTGAAGAGCAGCGTCTGGAAGAGGAGCAGCGGAATGTCGATGAGGGCACGTGCGATCGTCACGGCCGACTGGCGGTGGAAGGCAAACGTCTCGTGGCGCGCGAGCATCGGCCGGCCGGCGACCGCCTCGTAGCCTTCGCTGAGCTGCAGCCAGCCATTGAAGAGGGTCGCGAGCAGCAGAGCACCGCCGCGGCTGAAGGCGCCAGTCGAGTCCGTCGACTGGCCGAAGAAGAGGCCGCCGATGACCAGAGCAATAGCCTGGAGAGAGCGCGTGTGAGCGAAAGAGCGGTCGGGGCAGCGTCATGCGGCACTCACCACGATGGTGAAAATCTTGACGTAGAAGTCCTGGCGGGCGCCCCAGCGGATGAGCAGCTGGCGCCACATGCACGCCTTGACCTGGTTCCAGAACGAGACGGTGTACGGCGTCGAGGACTTGACGCGCTTGTTCTTCTCCGACGCCGCAACCTGGGCGAGCTTCTCCGTCGGCGCCTTGTCACGGCATGCCTCGTCGTACGCGCGGATCTCCTGCTGCAGCTGCTCGTACAGCTCGCTCTGCAGCCAGGCGCGCTCGCGCTCCTCGGGCGTGCGTGGCGCACGCTTCTCGAAGCCCTCGCGGAACTGCACCTGCTTCGGGTCGACGAGCGCAGTGCAGAAGTCGGCCGTCGTCTGGCGCTCCGGCGTTGCGAATCCCAGCTTTTCGAAGTACCCCCGGCACCGGTCGCGCGGGCCGTAGTAGATGCAACGGCCCTCGTCTTCCACCAAGACTGGAGGAGGAGGAGGCATCAGCGGGCACTCAACTGCGTACCCAGGGCTAGCGGTCACTCACTCTTGTCGAAAAGGTCAAAGATCGACTCGCTGACCTGGTAGAGCGTGGCGAACGTCGTGCGGCGCGAGAGGTCGGTGATGATCCGAAGCGAGCGCGCGTAGTCGAGCGCAGTGGACGCGTCAAGGCCACGGGTCGCGTTGTCAAACGCAATCACGGATGACCTTGTGATCAACGCTTCTCCGAGTGTGACTCGCTTGCGCTCGCCGCCGCTGACGCCGCGAATGGCCGCATCGCCGACGATGGTGTCGCGCACGTGGGAGATCGAGAAGAGCTTGAGCACGCAGGTGACTGCAGTCTGGATGAAGTCCGAGCGTGTCTCGCCCGCCAGACGGGCGCGGCTGTGCGGCACCTTCTGGCTCAGGGCAAACTCGAGCGTCTGGCCGACGGTCAGCGTCGGGAAATGCTGGTCGTCCTCGTCGGAGAAGATGACCTCGCCGCGGTAGTTGCGCTCGATCTCGGCAGGCGAGAGGCCGGCAAAGGAGATCGTGCCGTCGACGGTGAGGTTGCCGTCGCTGCTCGTGGTGAGCGCCTTGAGCAGCGTCGTGCAGCCGCTGCCTGGTCTGCCGAGCACGAGTGCCATCTCGCCGGCGCGCAGCACGCCAGAGTGGGCGTGGATGAGCTTCTTGGTGCCCGACGAGCCCGCGAAGAGACGGCCAAACGCAGGGACAAACTTGCTGACGACCGCGATCGGGTCTTGCCAGGCCGTCCGCATGATCGAGTGCGGCAGGTCCTTGACGAAGACGCCGCCGCCTGCGCCGGCCGGGGCCGACACCTCGACGTCGCGCCACGAGACGCCGAGCGGCTTGTCGTTGTCGACGCCGTCGCGCTGCGCCTGCGCCTGGCGCGAGAGAATCCATGCGCCGAGGTCAAAGTCGCCGTCGTCGGCCTGCAGGTGCTTCTCGGCGTCGAGGTGTGCCGGACCCTGGCCCGTCTGGCCCTCCTCGGCGATGCGGTCGCTCGGCGGGCTGCGGCGCGAGCTGCCGCTGAGGATCTGGCTCATGCGCGAGCCGCCGGCGAAGCCGCTCTGGCTGCTGGCCTCGGCCTGCTGCTGCTGCTTTTGCCGGCTCGAGTTGCGGGCCAGCTCAAAGTCGGTGCGCGCCCGCTCCACGTCGACGCCCTCGCCGCGCGCCGTCTCGCCCCAGGTGCCCGTCGAGCCGGTGCGATTGATGCTGCTAAACGCCGGGGCAGGCGCGGCCATCGTCGACGACGGGCTCGCGTCGTGCTGCTGTGTGTCCGCCATGGCGACGGCGGTGTGAGGATGCTGTGCTGCACTGGCTGCGGAGGCCAGGAGCGGATGCTTGAGGAGGGTGAGAGGGGATGCCGTGCGCCGGTGCAGCGGCCTGCCTGCCTTATGAGCGACGCCGACGGCGTGGAGGCGCGGGCAAAGCGAGGCCCTCGCTCCGATCTTACGGGCGAAGGAGGCCAAGAGGGCTCAAATCGCAGCAAAGCAGCTGGCCCCGGCAGCCACGGCACACCCTACCCTGACGCTGCCCTGCACGTTCGGCGTCGGCGTCCACGGGCGGATCTCACAACCGCTTGCACTGCTCAGGTGCCTGCGCTGCGCGATGAGGCGCGAGGGCGCGGTTCGGAGTTAACGTTGGCAGCACGGCAGCAGCGCAGCGGGCGGCGTCTGCGATTTCGCCGGCAAGCTGCATGCTGCTGCATGACGCTGCATCTCGCGGCGCGGCGCCGACGCGTCAAGATGACTCTTGTGCAGCGCAGCCGCGGCTCCGCTGCGCCATGCCGTGCTGTCGTGCCTGCGCCGCGCCGAACGCGATCGCCGAAAGCAAGCCGTGGCAGCCGGCGCCTCCACCCTCTCGCACGCATCGTCGGCAATGTGCGGCAGCGGGCATCGGAGCAGCGGACGGAGCGCGGGAAGAGCACTGCAGCCGGCTTGCTGCTGCGACGTGCAGGCGGCGGCCTTGGCGCTCACGGCCGTCGGCGCCGCGCAGCGACGACTTTCGCGTTTTTCGCAGGCGTCCAGAGTGCCCCCTGAGGGGCGAGTCAAGCCGAGTCAGCGCCGCGGGCCGACGACGAGCAAGCGGGCTAGCAGGCAGAGATAGGTGACGGGAAGCCAGTCAGCTCACGCCTGCTGCCACACCTTGCAGCGGTAATCAGCGTTCCGCCCGCTGTGCCGGCGCATCGGGTGCCGCCTCGTCCGCGCAGAACTTCTGTCGCGTCCGCGGAGCGAGGTCTTTCGGCCGTTACGCGCGGTGCAAACGCCTTTCGCGAAGTGGAGCGGCGAGCGGCGAGCGGCCACGACGAGCCGCAAACGCAACAGCAAGGCACACGCACGCCAAAGCTTCAACGAGTGGAATTGAACGAGGAAGAGGGGAGCGACAGAGTGAGAGTGTATGGACGTTCGAGCGCGGGGGTTTGCGCTCGTGGTATGCTGAGGCGGTGGCCAGAGAGCCCAGCGTGAGGTGCTGGCCTGCAGATCACTTGGTATGCCGGAGCAGAGGCGCGAGATATCAAGGGGATGGGGGGTACTCGTGGAAAGGATTGGCGCTGAGAGGCAAGCTGGCGTCGCACGATCAGGCGGTAGTAGCAGCCGGCACAGACGCAGCAGGAGCAGTCGTCTCAGCAGCAGGGGCCGCGTCCGAGGACTCGACGGCTGCAGGCTCGGCAGTGACCGTCTCGGTAGCGACTGCGGCAGGCGCGTCGTCGGCGCTGATGACCGGAGCCGTCTCCGTCGGGGCAGGAGCGTCCGTCGGTGCATCGCTGGCCACGATAGCCGTAGGCGCGGCGTCGGCGTCCTTGGCGTGCTCGGAGCTCGCGCCGGCAGCGGGCACGGCAGCATCGCTGGGCTGACGACGGGCCGTGAAGAGGCCCGAGATGCGCTTGACGGCGTTGCCGGCCGTCGAGCTCTCGCGGCGCTTCGGCGACGTGTGGCCGGCAATGGGCGCGGCGGCGCTCTCGGTGCTCTGAGCAGGAACGGCAGGAGCGGCGCTCTCGGCCGGCGTGGCCTCGACGGCGCTCCTCTCCTTCTCCGCCTCCGTCTTGCTCTCGCCCTTGCCGCCGTGCAGCTGCTGGTTGACACGGTCCTTGATGACGGCGAAGATGCCGGCCGGTCCGGCGGCGGCAGCGGGAGCATCGCTCGTCTTGGACTCGTCCTTCGCCTCCGACGCGGCAGGCGCCGCAGACGTCGACGGTGCGACCTCGGCGGCGGGCGCCGTGCTCGGTGCAGCCTTGTCCTCTGTGCTGCTGCTCTTGCCAGCAGCCGAGGCGCCGAAGCGCTGCTGGAGCTTCTCGACGAACGTGGGCGACTTGGCCTTCTCGCCGTCGTCGGCCTTCTTGTCGGGCACGGCGGGGGCAGCAGGCTCAGCAGCCGGCTCCGTAGAGGCCGCGACGGCAGCATCGGCAGGCGCTGCAGCCTCCGGAGCCTTCGAGCCGTCAACCGGACCGTGCGACGAGGAGCGCTTGGTGCTGGCGGCGCCGGGTGAGACGATCAGGCGGCGGATACCGTCGACGAGGCTAGTGCGGCGCTTCTCGCGCTCGCTCAGGCCGGCAGCGGGCGGAGCATGCTCCGTTGTCGTCTCGGTAGCCGAAGCGTCGGTAGCGGGCGCGGCCGCTTCGCCCTCGGCAGCCGAGACGGGCTCGGTGGCGCCGGTGGCTGGCTCCGGAGCCTTGCCGGTGCCGGGTGTGCCGTGGCTGGACATGCGGCCGCGCAGCTTGGCGAGGAACGGCGGGCTCGACGGGCGGCTCTTGTCCTTGACGGGCGCGGCCTCGACGGGCGCAGCGGCCGGCATCTCCTCGTCGAGCTTGGCGGCGCTGACCTCGCCTGCCGGTGCCGCATCGGTCGACTCGGGCGCGGCGGCAGACGTCTCCTCCTTGCCGTCGGCGCCCTTGCTGCCGGTGAAGCGGCGGCGCAGGCCGGCGATGAAGGGCGCGTGCTTCTCCTTGTCCTCGGCTGGCGAGAGGGCCGCGGGGCTGGTGGTGCCGGGCGACGTGGCACCGGCGCCGCGCTTGAACGGGAAGCTGGTGAAGAGGCCGGCCTTGGGCGACTTGGCGGCAACAGCCTCGGGCGCCTCGTCGGTGGCGGCGCTGACCGCCGGCGCGTCCGCAACGACGGCGGGCACGTCGGCTGCGGCAGACGGCGCGTCGGTGTGCGTGGCGGCGACGGGCGTGGCGAGCGCGGCCTCGGCGTCGTGCGAGTTCTGGATGGCGGCGACGAGGGCAGCGTCTGTGGGCAGAGGGTCAGCATGTATGCGGCGCGTGTGCGGCTACAGTGTGCTGCGAAACGCACCGGCAGGCTCGGAGGAGGGCGCGCTCATGGCTGCGTGTGGTGCGTGTGGAGAGGTGCGGAGTGCAAGAGGTGCGAAAGTCAGGAGGAGGGCGGGCTCGAGGCCTCTTTATGGTCTGGCCCTCTCGATGGCGCTGGCGGTTGCCTGCCCTGTTCCTTCCACCTCCTTCGCCAGCAAGGAAGCGACGGCCCGACGGCAGCGCTCCTCTCACCCGCCTAGCTTGCTGCGCCCAAACGAGATGCGCCTTGCCGACTGCGGATGCTGCTGCTGTGCTGCCGCCGGGCGGTGTTGATTGCTCGCCGAGCATCAGGCAAAGTGCAGCGCCACACAAAGTGGCCCGGAAACAAGCATCGCAAGCTCTCCGTGCGTGCAAGTGGTGTGCTTCATCTTGCTGCTGCGTCTGCTGCGTCCGCAGCCGGCTCTCTGCGTGCTGCGGCTCTCCCTCTCGCGTCTCCTAGGCCCCTCCGCTGCGCTTGCTGCTTCTTGCTCGGATGCACCCGGCCCCGCTCCTCGCACGGACTTCTCCTCGCGCGGCGCTTCGTCTTGCTCCTCGGCGCGGCGGCGCCGCTTATGCGCCCGCACGGCAGCGGCAGCCGCTCAGAGCGGCGCCGTGTGTTGATCTGTGATCTTGCTTCTTGGCACCTCGGCCCGATTCAGCACCAAGCCCGCAGCTGCTGATGCGGCGCTGGGGCTGCGCAGCAAGACACCGCGCAACGGCGGAAGCTATCGCAGGCGCAGCGCCGCCGCGTAACCCCTTGACAGACGCACCAGAAGCACGCGAGACGAGAGGAGGCCATGCCGCCATCGCGCGTGCTGCGCTTCCCCTCTGAAGGGCCCAAAGCATTTGCCTCTTGCTACGGTCACAGCTGCCCTCGCAGGTCGAGCGAGAGGAGTGCTTTGCTCGTATGATGGCGAGTCGCCGATTCACCGCAGCAGCGAGCGTGATGTGCCGTTGCTTGGTCGTCCATACGGCGGCGAGACCCCTGAGAACGCGCCCTGATCGACGTCCAGGCACCTCACACTTGCGCCACGGACATCGCCTGCGTCTGCGGCAGGGGCGCGTCCTTCGCGCCCTTTGGCGCACAATCGTGACCGGTGAGCTGGCGCAGCAGCAGGGGCAGGAGGCCGACGAGCCGCACCTGCGTTCGTTGTTGATGCTGCGACCGAGCTGATGGTCCTCTGGTCTTGCTACCCTCCGCCTTGAACCACTCGCATGGGTCGCTGTCGCTTGACATCAAGCCGTCGCCATAAGAGTCTCGCCTTCACCGCGCTGGAGAGCATTGATGCTGCCCTCGGCTCGGGCGAGAGAGAGTGGAAGGAAACAAGTGCGCGTGTGGTGCCACGTGGGCGATGCCGGGGTGCAGTAGGCGCTCCTTGTGCTCTAAAGCTTGCAGCCGAGTGCCCAGCTCCGCTGTACTCGAGCTTCTGGTGGCTTGGTCTGACTATTGTGGCTAGCCGCCGCTTTTTGAGCCCATCTACTGCCATTGCGATGACCGAGGTGCTGAGAGTCGTCCGTCGAAGGTGTTGCCACGAGAACGCAGCTCCTCGAAAGGCGCGCGCGGCGAGGCGGTGTTGCGAGCCGGCGGCCCACCAAAAGACGCCGCCGTGCAGCGGCACCGCGCCGCATCTCTCTGTCTCATGCGTGCCGAGGCGCAAGGGGCGCAGAGAGGACGCGGCGCAGCATCAGAGCGGCAGGAGCGGCGAGAGAGCGTGTGCCGCCTCGCCCACTCTCTCTCCGCACGCCACGCGTGCCGAGCGCGCCGGCCTCATGCAGGGGCGCAAGGCGGTGCAGCAGCAGCAGCGTGGCGTCTCGCAGCAGAACGGCGGCGCTCGACAAAAGAGAGGCCCGCGCCGCATCCGCACGCCGCTGGGCCGTCTCTGCCGCACGTTGGCACGTCTGTCACGCAGCGGCTGCAGGCGTGCTGTATTCTCACTCAGACTTGCGCCTGTTGAAATGAGCTCGCAAGTCAGCCGAGGTCTGGTGCGGCAGAGGCGGCCAGGAAAGGCACGCGGCGGCGACGCGTTGATGTGCACGCGCCGCGGCCGTAGCGCCGGAGGATGGAGGCGGCGTCTCGTCAGCGGGCTGCAGGCTGCCGCGCTGCACCGCCCGCTTCCTCTTGCATCTGCTCTCTCACCTCCATCCTCAACCTGCGCTCGCCGTCATGGCGAACCCCTTCTATCCGCCGCGCGCCAACCGCACCTCGGCCGGCAGTGGCCTCGGCGCCAGCGGCGAGGCGGGCTACGGCGACGAGCCGCCGCGCCCCTTTGACCCGCACCGCGCGGCCACCTTTGCGCGAGGCGCGGGCAGCAGTGGGACGGCAGCGTCGCAGCAGCAGTACTATCATCCACCACCACAGGCGCCGCAGCAGCAGCGCCAGGAGGACTACTACGCCGGTGCAGCACCCGCAGGCGGCGCGCGCTACGCCGACCCATACGAGACGGCGCCGTCGCCCGGCGGCTACTACGCCTACCCGCCGGCGCCCAACCAGCCGCTGCACGAGTACCTCTCTACGCCGACCACGGGTCCCACACCCACCTCCGCCGCGCCCTTTCTCGGCCGCGCAGACTCAGACGACCCGACGCGCCGGCCTGACACGCCCGGCATCTACCCGGACCGCGCACCGACGCGCGACAAGCTCACGCCGGCGCAGCTCAAGATCGCAGACTCGTTCCCCAAGGACCTGGACCGCGATGGCGGCACCATGTTTGGAGACATGAAGAGCATGGTGCGCGACTGGCGCAGCTGGGTCAAGTGGAAGTACACGCGTGAGTGTGCGCGAGCTGCGAGAGGCCGCGGCGGGGCATGCCGGACGTGAGGAGGAGAGGGAGGCGCGATGGGCGCTGGCAGCACGTGCCTTCGAGACGCATGCTGCGCTGCTCGTGCGCTGACAGCAGTCCTCGTGCAGACTACTATGTGGGCTGTATCATCATCATCGTAGTGGTCGCCTTGATGACGCTCTACCACAAGCAGTGAGTGCTCCTTGCCGCGCCTTGCTACTCTCCGCAGCACACTCACGCGCACGCGCAGAATCGTGGACTGGCTCACGCCGCTCTCGCTCAAGGTCAAGTCCGTCTCGTGGGGCTGGATCATAGTCGTGGCCATCCTCTTCGTCATTTCCTTCCCGCCGTGAGCCGCTGAGCCGCGAGCCGCTCCCTGCCCCGCTCTTTGTGACTGACATCGCGCGCGCAGACTGTTCGGGCACGAGATTGTCGGCGTGCTCTGCGGCGTCGTGTACGGCCTCTGGGTCGGCTTTGGCATTTTCTCGCTGGGCACGGTTCTCGGCGAGTTGGGCAACTTCGTGGCGTTCAAGTGGTGCTTCAAGCGCCAGGCGGAGAAGGTGGAGCGTAAGAGCATCGTGAGTGGGCGCATGCAGCAGCTCGGCAGTGGTGCGCGACGCTGAGCGCCGCTTTGTAGACCTACGCCTGCATGGCGCACATCACGCGTGAGGGCGGCTTCGGCGTCATTCTGCTGGCGCGTCTCTGTGAGTGGAGCTCCAGCCCGGGCAAGCCGTGCACTCTCACTGACAGCTGTGTCGCAGCGGCTATCCCCGGCCACGTGAGCACAGCTATTTTTGCCACTGTGTGTGATCAGGATTCCCGCGTGATCCCCAACCGCAGTACTGACTTGCTCAACTTCGCAGATCGGCATGAACATCTGGGTCTTTACGGCGGCAGCGGTAATCACCTTGCCCAAGCAGTTGGCAGTGGTGTGTGAGTGCACCTGAACCTATGCGCGCGCACATGCGCTGATGGTGCGCGCTGCAGATCTCGGTGTTGCGCTCGGCACGTCGTCGGCCGGCGGCGAGAGCACGCAGAGCAAGATTGTCAAGGTACGCAGCGTGTGGCCATTGCTCTGGCGCCGCGCTGATCTTCTTCGCAGTGGGCGGTCATCGTCATCACCGTGATCGTGACCATTCTGGCCGCTTTGTGTGAGTCTTGCGCATACATCTGCCAGCGCGCATGTGCTCACGCGCACGCCAGACCTACATCGCAAGATGGACCAGGCGCGGCCACAAGTGCAGAAGGCGCTGCGGCAACGGCGCTTCACGATGCTGACCGAGGCGCGCGCAAGCGAGGCGGCCGACGGCGGCGTGTGGGGCTACGGCGACACGGCCTCGCCGCTCGGCTCCGCGACGAAGCTATACGGCGCCGGTGCTGCGGGCGTGTACAGCCGCGATGACTTCTCGGAGCGCATCGACATGCCGCCGCAGCAAGTGCAGGGCGCACCGCGCGCGGGCCAGCAGCAGCGCAGCTCGGGAGGCTGGAGCCGCTGGGCCAACAAGGGCAGCGCGCAGGAGTACGAAGGCGACTCGCGCGACGGCGGCGCAAACGGCATCAGCATGAGCATGCTGCACTCGGCCGCGCCGCTGGGCCGCGCTCCGAGCCAGGACACGCTGAGCTCGGATGCGGCGCACGAGTCGCGTCCAGCTCTTGCACCGGTGCCGGCAGCTTCGTACGGGCGCAGCAACCCCGAGGGATACGCATACTCGCCGGAGGACGAGCGCGTCGAGTACATGCACTCGCCGCAGCCGCAGCGCGAGGAGCAGAGACAGGAGGTCATGCAGCAGCAACAGCAGCGGGGCGCACGCCCGCCTCCGGCTCCGAGCTCGGCGGCAGCGGCAGCGCTGAAGCTGGCGCCGCCGGACACGCGCCAGCACTACCAGCAGGTCAGCAACGTGGGCAGCGTGTACTCCCTGCCGGCCGGCTCTGAGGACCTGGGACGAGGGAACGCGCATGCAGCGACGCAGCAGGCTGCGCCGCATGCCGCACAGCAGCAGCAGCACTACGCCGACTCGCGCTCCACGACACCAGGCGCTCCGCCTAGCTACGCCAGCGACGAGCCGTGGGGCGCTGAGCGGCCACAGCAGCGAGCGGCACCGACGGATCAGCGCTGGTCGCTGCACGACGGCCAAGCATTCTGAGAAGCTGCCGCCGATCATGCTCTCTCCTGCTGCGCTCCTCTATCTCTCGCTGTCCTGCTACAGGTGCTCCCGTCACCCGAGACTGTATACTGTGTGCTTCATCTATTTGCTCGCTCGTGAATGTGACGCATAAACCCGTGGATGGAGTCTTGTCCTTTTCCTTTTGTTGTACAGCAGCGCGGTGTCTAGCACGGCTGGATGCTGCAGGTGACCGGTCAGCCACCGTCAAGTCGCCGTCTAGTGCAGTCGAGCACTCACCGGCTGAGCAGCACACGCTCCCACTCGGCCAGGCCGTTCTCGTCGCGCACGACGCGGTCCGCCTCGAGGTCGGCCAGCGCCTCGGCAAAGACGCTCCACTCGATGCAGTTGCCCGGCAGCGCCACCTCGTCGGGCACTGTCGCTGGTGCGCTCGCCGGCGCCTCGGTGCCGGTGACCGCCGCCGCCGCCGCTTCTTCCTTCGGTACTTCCGCGTCACCGGCAGACACTGCAGCCTCGGCGCCAGACACTGGCGTCTCAGCGCCAGATGCTGGTGCTTCGCTCGCTGCGTCCGCGGCCGCAGCTGGTGCCTTTTCATCGACCTTCTCAGCCGGCTGAGCATCCTCTGTCGGCAGCACAGCGCCGCCAGCGGCACCGAGCTCGCCGATGCTGAACTCTCCCTGCCGCGAGCGCGTGAGGCGCACGACGTGGGCCGCACTGCCGACGGCCGCGCCGAGGTCGTGCACGATGCTGCGCACGTACGTGCCCGACGTGACGGTCATGTCGAGCGTGAAGGCCGCCGGTGGCGCATCGGCTGGCTCAGTCTCATCTGTTGTGGCACCTGATGGAGGCGCCTCGGTGGGTGCGGGGTCGAGGCCAGCCAGCTGCCGCACACGCCCGACCAGGCCCTTTTCCGTCTCATCGCACTCCTGCTCCGGCTCGCGCCACTGGTGCTCGCCCGCCTTGTGCCAGCCAACAAGCGCCAGCTCCTTGACCTCAACGCTGCGAGCGGGGATCGGGCGCGGCAGCTGCAGGCCCTCGCGCGCGTACTCAAAGAGCCGCTTGCCGTCGATCTTGATGGCCGAGTACAGCGGCGGCAGCTGCTGCTGCGGACCCGTGAAGCGCGGGATGGAGGAGCGCAGCAGCTCAGGGGTGACGTGCGTGTGCGGAGCACGCAGCAGGATCGGGTCCTGTGAGTCGTACGACGTCGTCGCTGTGCCCAGCAGGCCGGTCGTGCGGTATGTCTGCGCGCGACCGCCGTCAGCATGTCGCAGCGCCATGACTGCGCCTAGCTGCTCACCTTGGTGCAGTCGAGGAAGCGCTGCAGCTGCTTCGTGCCCGAACCGACACCGATGACTGCACGGCACAGCGCATGTGTGAGCTGCGCTGCTCTGACCGACGGCGCGGACACGTGCTCTCGCCTCGATGACCAGCTCGTTTCGGGCTTGATGCCAAGCACGCAAGGTCTGCCTGTGCACTGCGCCCTGCACCTTCTCATCTGGCTCGTCTGCAGCCTCCACTCACCAAGCACGCCGTCAGCGAGCGGGTCGAGCGTGCCGCCCTGGCCGATCTTGGGCGGCGCCGGCGCGCCGGGAGCCTTTCTGCCCTTGCCGCGGCCGCGCTTGCCGCCGCGCCAGCCCTTGCCGCCGCTGCTCGCCGGCACGCTGCCGTCGGCGTTGCGGAAGAGGCTCGAGTGCGCCAGCAGCTCCTTGAGGTCCTCGAGCAGCGCCATCGACGTCGGGCCCGACGGCTTGTTGACGCCGAAGATCCCCGAGAGCGGGCGCGCGGCGAGCGCGGAGCCCGAGGCGCCGCTGGACGTGGCGCGCGTGGAGGACATGCGGCACAGTGGGGCGAGGGGGCCGAGCGGAGGGAGGAGGCGCAGCAGGCGCGGCATGGGATGGGGGCCGAGAGGCAAGAAGCACACGCGGCGCATGATCTTGCGCAGTGGAGGCGTGACGCTGACTAAGCACCAGGGCTCCTCAACACCCGACACGCGGCCCAGACGCAGTCACAAGCGAGGCCGACACACGAGAGCATCCAGAGAGGTAGAGAGCAGATGCAGAGCACAGACACACGCTGGCGCACCCCGCCGGGTTCGCGCCGCATCCGCACGTCACACGCAGCAGAGTCACAAATGCCAGAGTGAAATTTTGGCCCTCCCCGCGAAGAACAAGTACAACACAACGGTGCGGCGGCGACAACCATTAGATGTACGTGTCGTAGGCAATGGGCGCCAGCGTCTCCGGTGCGTTCTCCTTGGTCGAGATGGTGCGTGCCTCGCGCGGCTGTGCCGGCTGGCGCTTCAGGTTCACCTTCTCTGTGGGCGGCAAGAGGGTCAGTGCGATGCGCAGAGGTCGATGTGGACGGCTACGGCAGCGAGTGGGCAGGTTGGCAGCGACGGCAAGCATCGACGGCGCACTACGTGCAGCGCTCCGGCCCGACGATGGCACGGCCCAGCGAGAGAGTTCGCTCCTGCTACGTTTCCAGCGCACCACCTCTGTGCGTCACCCGCCGACGCTCTCCTGCCGCCATATCCTTGTCTACGCCTTCTGCTCCACCACTGCCTGCCCACCATGCCACACGATACGCACCGCCCTTCTCCTTCGCCGCAATCTTCTTGGCCGCGTTCTCCTTGACGCGGTTCAGGAACTCGTCGCGGCACTTGCTGTGCTTGACGTGCTCGACACGCAGGTTGACGCGCTTCTCAATCTTGCGGTTGCCGACCGTCTTGTAGATGAGCACCTGCACGGCACGCGGCTGCACGCCGAACACGACGCCGGTGCGGCCGTGGTAGTACTGGGGCGGACGTGTGAGCATGGATCGGCCGGGCGAGACGCTGTAGCAAGCGGGGGCGCCATGCGAGCCGGCGCGCTCTGTCGGCGAGCTCTCGCATGCGCTGCACTGCTATGCCTGCCCCTCTGCTCTCCCTCCGTCGCGTGGTACACACCTTGTGCGGCATGCCCTTCTGCTCGGCGGCGTTGGCCTTGATGTCGACAATGTCTCCGACATGGTAGGGGCGCAGGTACGTGCTCAGCTTGATGGGGCCGTGCTTGCGGAAGTCGCGCTTGAACAGGTCACGCGTGCGCGCGCGGTATCCGAAGGAGTTCGGCCTAGGGGGGTGAGAGATTGTCAGTCCAGAGCCCGAGGGACGGCATACCGAGAGTGCGAGCGGGGAACGGCTACTGCTCTGAGGCGTCCGCTACGCGCAGCGCCACCGATCCGAACCCATCTCCGCCCATGGCCATGCCACGCCCGGCGACTGCAGGGCGCAGTGGCAGTCGGCAGCCTACAGCTCGCAGTGGCACATGCTCACGCGCCAATGAGCGCCAAGGCACCGCCGTCAAGCAGCACGAGCGCGACCCGCATGGCTGGCCAGCGGGAGCCGCGCGACGGCAGCTGCGGCCGCTTTGGCGCCAGCAGACGCCTCGATGCTTCGTGCGAGACGCACGCCGGACGGCGTGGCGAGATGATGCAGCGAGCGGGCAGCGCTGCCGGTGCGGCACGGATGGTGCAGAGATGCGACGACGAAGGAGACGCGTGCGGCATACGAACATTGTGAGAGGCTGCTTGAGGAGGGTGAGGGAGGTGGCAGGTGGGCGGAGAGAGGGAGCGACGAGCCGCGCTGTGTGAGCCGGCAGCGGCGCCGAGCCGAGGCAGCGCCAGAGGCAGCGCCCACAGCAGGCGCAGGCGGCGGGCGGCGGCGGCGGCGGCTTCCTGGCGCAGGGGAGCCCGCGCGTGCGACTCCGCGACGCGCTGCGGCGCTGCGCCGCGGCTGGGCGGAAGAGACGCGTCACGTGCGCCCGCCCTGCCTCGCCCTCCTTCGCGCCGCTGCGCCGCTCCCGCCTGCGCCTGGCCGCCGCCGCGCGCCGACTGCTGTGCCTGGCGCGGCCGCCTCGCTTCGCACCCACGACATCCCTCCCCCTCCTCCCCCTCAAGCTCGTCAAGGTGAGCTCGCCCGCCCGCTGGACACGCGGCCTCGCACGACCTGTGCATGCCGCTGCTGAGGATGCGGCGCATGTGCGGCCGCAGCAGAGGCAGCGCAGCGAGACGGAGAGAGGAGGCAGGGCGCATGCTGTCCGCCGCAGCCGCGCATGCTGGCGGCAGCACTCTCCTCTCTCCACTCTCGTCGCTGCACAGCAGACGTATCTCTCGTGCAGTCCTCACCACTGGTCCTCCCGCAGATGCCTCGCGCTCCCCGCAGCACCAGCAAGACCTACAAGGTCCCGCGTCGCCCCTTTGAGAGCGCGCGCCTCGACGCCGAGCTCAAGCTCGCCGGCGAGTACGGCCTGCGCAACAAGCGCGAGATCTGGCGCATTGCTGTGAGTGTCGCGTGCGGGCAGGGGAGACGATGGGAAGATGGCAATTGAGGGAGGAGAGGGCACGGACAACGGCGCCAGAGCAGGAGTGGGACAGAGACGGAAGGCTGCGCGAGGAAAGCGATGGAGACGGATGCAGGGACTGCTGTAGACGGGCAGGAGGTCGGATCAGGCTTGCCGCTCGGAGGTGCATCGTATATTCTGTGAGGGCAAGCGCTCATCTCCGCGCGTTCTACAGCTTGTGCTCTCCAAGATCCGTCGTGCTGCCCGTGAGCTGCTGAAGCTCGACGAGAAGGACCCCAAGCGTCTCTTCGAGGGTAACGCCATCATTCGCCGCCTGGTTCGCATTGGTGTGCTGGACGAGACGCGCATGCGGTGAGTACTTGGCAGGAGAAGAGAGGGCCAAGCATGAGTGAGAGAAGGGCGCAGGAGGAAGGCGTCGTGTGCTGCAGTTGGAGGGAACGAGAGGGCTGGCAGGGCACGCCACGGGCAGGAGGACACTACTACAAGGGCAGACCGCTCACACGCCGTGCAGTCTCGACTACGTGCTCGCCCTCAAGATCGAGGACTTCCTCGAGCGCCGCCTGCAGACGCAGGTGTTCAAGAGCGGCCTCGCCAAGTCGATCCACCACGCCCGCGTGCTCATCCGCCAGCGCCACATCCGCGTCGGCAAGCAGATTGTCAACGTGCCCAGCTTCACCGTGCGCCTCGACAGCCAGAAGCACATCGACTTCGCCCTCACCAGCCCCTACGGCGGTGCGCGCGCCGGCCGTGTCAAGCGGAAGCGCGCTGCCGCTGCCGCCGCCAAGGAGGGCGAGGCTGGCGGCGACGCCGAGGAGGAGGAGGAGGAGTAAATGCACAATCCCGTGTTGCACCCTCTACGCTCTCTCTCTCGCCCGTCGCTGTTCCTCTTCTGCATCACCATGGTTCACTCTCTCTCATCGGCGGTCCGGCGTGGCGCGCAGGCCTGCGCTCCACTGCTGGCCTATGACACGGGAGCGGCATGACGGTCGTGTGTGCCGTCGCGTCGTCTCTCTCTCTTCCTCATCCACGCACACTCCACGCATACACACACACACACTTTTCCTGGAGCGCCGCGCACCCGCGACGCCTCCACGTCCCACACTCTGTACTTTGAACGGTGCCAGCGCACCACCACCCAAAACCCCGAGAATGCTTCATGGCCTTGGCTCAGCCTGTGCCGCGCGAGTGTGACGGTCCGCAACAGAACCAGAGGGGACGGCAGGACGATGACATTGTTGTACAGATGAGATGCAGCGAGCGAGCGAGACGGGCAATACGGGCAGTTGACGACCCTGCAGTGGAGAAGGAGTCGTCAGCATCGGCTTGCTCCGCCAGCCTTGCACTGCAGCCGACTCACGCTCTACTTGTTCTTGGTCATGCGGTAGCTGAAGCGCTTGCGCGTCGCCGCAAACTCGCCCAGCTTGTGCCCGACCATCTCGTCGGTGATGGCCACGGGAATGTGGTGCTTGCCGTTGTGGATCAGGAACTTAAGCCTGCCGAGAGCGGGTGTGAGCGGACGGGAGGAGCGACACGGTGGAGTGGAGGCTGAGAAGGATGCTGCAGCAGCTCAACTGTCGCAGAGCATCTGAAGGCGGGAGTGACGTCGATGCAGCAGCTGGAGGGACGAACGCGCCGCGTCGTCCGACACATGAGCCGCAACAAAGCCAGAGGTCGCCCGCAAGAGGTGCCCAGGATGCGCCTGCAGACGGCCAGTAACGAGCGGTGCGCAGTGCGAGATTTCTCTAGCAAGGCTGCACTGGCCTCATAGCAGGTCTATGGCACTCTCTGCGCTTGCTCCTTTGCCGCACCCTCAGCCACGCTCAGCCCGCTGTGTAGACTGCTCCTGCCAAAGCGACGGCTCTGAGCCGCAAGGGCGGCGCCAGAAGAGCAGCGCAGCGCCACCTCAGTGACAGGCCTTGTGCGCCAGACTTTCTAGCGCTGCGGCGGCCCAGCAGTGCGCTTCGGAGCTTCCATCACCTGGCCTGCCCTGGCCCGGCCTGATGCATCGCGGCGTCGACTCGCCATCCTCACGCCCGCTGGCCTCGCACCGCGTCTCGCCCCCCTCGCCTCCACGGCGCTCCCGCTCGCCGGCGTGACTGACCCGACAAAGTTGGGCAGGATGGTGCAGCTGCGCGCGTTTGTGCGGATGGGCGTGTTGTTCTTGAGGGCCTGCGCCATGTTGGGGAAGGGCACGAAGAAGGGGCCCTTCCACGCCGAGCGAGCGGCGAGGGCTAATGAGGGACGCATGTGCGGCGCGGCGAGAGAGGCGCGGACGAGAGGAGAGGGCGCGCTGCTGGCGATGAGCACGGAGAAGTAGGAGAGCGAGGAAGGAGAGGCAGAGGCGGCAGCGAGAGAGGGCGAGGTGCAGTGGAGGGCGATGAGACCAGCTGGTGCCGAGGAGGCGGAGGCACTTCTGGCCGGCGCTGGGAGTCGCACGCGCCCTCCGCCAGCAGGCAGCGGGTCGGCGCTGCTCGGCCGCGCACGGCGGCGTCAGCAGCGCGCACCGACCACCGCGCGCCGCCAGCGCGACCTTCCCGAGCCGCCCGCCCACGGCCTGCTTCCTGCCTCTCCACCTCCTCTCTCACGCAGCATCCCAGCATGCGCTCTCTCCTCAGCGCACTCCTGGCGCTCCTGCTGCTGCCGCTGGCGCTGGCCCTCTCGTCGACGGGCCCGCGTGTGCTCGTCGTGCTCGACGAGCCGGCGCACGAGGCGCGCTACAGCCGCTTCTTTGGCGCCCTGCGCAGCGACCTCGGCCTCGAGCTCGCCGTGCGCGGCGCCCGGGACGACAAGCCGCGCCTGACCGAGTTTGGGCAGCGCAGCTTCGACCACCTGCTTCTGCTGGCGCCTGCAGCCAAGGGTGAGTGCGGCGAGTGGATCCGATGCGCGGGAGTGCGGAGCGCGTTGCCGGTGCTGTTGTGGAGCTGCAAAGGCGACACTGCAGGAAGGCCTGAAGCTCCATGCGCGATGCCTGTGCAGCAAGGCTTCCGGCTTTGGCCACCTCCGACCGTGTGTCTGACCCCTCCCTCCCATCAGCACTCAGCGCCGACCTCTCGCCGCAGGAGCTCGTCTCCTTCCTCAAGAACGGCGGTAACGTGCTCTTCGGCCTGGCGCCCTCGTTTGCCGAGTCGTACCGCGACCTGGCGCGCGAGTTCGCGCTCGAGGTCGAGCCGCGCTCCTCGCTCGTCGTCGACCACTTCCGCGCGCTCGCCGGCAGCAGCGACGGCGCCAGCAACGACTCGAGCATCCTGCTTGGCCCCGCGGCGCAGAACGGCGGCCTTGTCCGGAGCGCGCAGGTCTTCAGTGCCGAGGCACTGCAGGCGGCACAGCAGCACCCGCTGCTCTTCAGCGGCGTCGCCCACCGCGTCGGGCCGAACCCGATGGCCTTCCCGCTCATCCGTGCGGCGAGCTCTAGCTACTCCAAGACGGGCCTGCGCGCCGAGGGTGACGAGCCGCCAGCCGCCCCGCTCACCGGCGCCGATGCCGACGCGGCGCTGGTCAGCGGCTTTCAGCTGAAGGACAACAGTGCCCGGGCCATCTGGAGCGGCAGCGTCGACCTCTTTGCCGACGAGAGCTTGCAGGAGCAGAAGCGGCGGACACGGGATGGCGAGAGGTGAGTGGCTGTGCTGGGTGCCGAGCTGCCCTCGTGCAGGCCACTGGCGCTCCAGCGTGCTGACACCAACCCGAGCAGCTACACCTCCACCGCCAACCTGCCCGTGAGCCTGGCGCTCGTCTCGTGGCTGACGCAGTCGCACGGCGTGCTGCGCGTGGCGCAGACCTCGCACGAGCGCGTGCGTGCCGGCCCGCACGACGAGCGGCCAGACTACGAGGAGTGGGTCGACGAGGCGGGCGGCGCCGTGCAGCGCATGTACCGCGTCAAGGACCACGTTGTGAGTCGAGGGATGCTGCTGGCGTAGCGGCGGTAGGTGCTCACGCTCTGGCCACAGACGTTCAACCTCGACCTCTCGCTCCACGACCCCGTCAAGGGCTGGGTGCCGGCGCCGCGCGACCTGGACCTGCAGGTCTCGCTCGTCATGATCGACCCCTTCATCACTGCGCCCCTGGTGGCGATCGACCCTGCGGCGTCATCTTCAAGCGGCGCACTGGCCGAGGCAGAGCGCAGCAGCGCCGCGCACACGCGCTACAGCTCCACGTTCCAGGTGCCGGACCGGCACGGCGTCTACACGTTCCGCGTCGAGTGGGCGCGCCACGGCTGGTCCTACATCTCGACGCGCGACGTGGCGCCTGTGCGACCCTTCAACCACGACGAGCACCCGCGCGGCCTCAGCGCGGCCTGGCCGTACGTCGGCGGCGCGTTCAGCACCATGCTCTCCTTTGCCGTCTTTGTCGTGCTCTGGACGCTCACGACCGAGAAGAGCAGGCCGCGGGCAGGCAAGGAGGAGTAGATAGAGGCGCCACACGCAACGCCCAGACGCGGCTGCTGCGGCTCGACAAATGCATTGTTGATTCCTACGTTGTACACATGAGCTGCGCCGGCAACGGCGCAATCGAGAGCGAGAGGGCGAGACGGCGTCTAGAGTGGTGGTATGGAGCGGCCGCAGCCGCACGATTAGGTCTAGGAGAAGAAGTAGAGCGAGCGCTTGATCTCGGCGACGTCGAAGGCGCCGCGCGACGGCGTGGCGGGCAGCAGGTCGGCCAGCCGGACGTAGCCTGTGCGGGGCAGCGAGTTGTAGTGCAGCACGGAGCGCGACGCCGCATCGTCAACAGACATGTCCGTCTGGAGACGCCAGTCGGAGTCCGGACCCAGCATGTTGCGGCCAAAGACATCGCTCTCGGGCGCGTCCGCGTCGTTCGCCGCCTCGTTCGCCGCCTCGTTCGCCGCCTCGTTCGCAGCCTCGTTCGCAGCCATCTTGCGCCGGAATCTCTTCGGCAGCCTCGCCGGCTTGTGGCGATCCATCATCATCTCTGACACCTCCGTTGGGCTTGGCTCCGACGGATCGTCATCCTTGTCATCGATCGCCTCCGCCTCTTCGGACAAGTTCGTCTCGGCCAACGCCTCTGCGACCTTGGACATGTCGGTGGCGCCCATCTGGTCCACCGGCTGGGCAGCCAGCGCCCGCAGTTTCTTGGTCCGGATCTCCCGCCGCGCCACCTGGCGCGCGACATTGCGGGCCTCATTCGCAGGAATGAGGAAGTCCTTGTAGCGGTCCAGGAACTGTGCATGGCGCGTCAGCGGGCACGTCTCGCGAGAGCGGCGGCAGGGCGCGGACAGGGACTTACCTCGGCGCGCAGCCGACCGAGAATGTCCTCCGAGTGCAGCCGGACGAATGTGTCGCGGATGACGTCGCTCATCGTGTCGATGTCGCACGCGTGCGTCCAGTACGAGTCGTGCACACTGGCAAAGGTGAGCTGCTTGGCGTGGCACTCGATGGCGGTGAGGAACATGTGCGTGGCGTCGAGCGAGTGGATGAAGTTGGGCGCGAAGGCCGAGGCCTGCTTCGTCGGGTCCACCTCGGCCAGGCGGTTGGGGTCGGTGATGTAGACGCTCTGCATGGCGGTGTTGATCTGCTTCTTCTGCGTCCGGCGGTACGGCTGCACCACGGGCAGGCCGAGCGGCGTCGTCCAGATGACCGATGTCATCTGCTCCTTGGCCAGGCGGGCCCCCGCCAGGTACAGCACAGCGGGCGCCTCCGGCTCCAGACCTTCGTTGGCAGCACGAGGGCGCCCTGGCAGCCGGGGACCGGCCATTTCGCGCGGAGCGGCGATGTCGCGCGTGTATTCGCGATCGGCCTCGGGGATGCGGCGTGGCGGGATGCTGCGCGCGATGAGGCGTGCGCTCTGCGTCAGCCACCTCTGGATGGCGCCGGCGCCGGAGAACAGGTCGCCGATGCACATGAGCACGCAGTGCGCCAAGTACGTGGCGCAGTAGTACTCGGCCTCGAGGGGAATGTCGCCGCGGTCCTGCAGCTGGCGGTAGATCTGGTTCTTGGCGCCGATGAATGTCACGCCGTAGACGGTCGTCATCACCGTCTGCTTGACGACCTTGCGCGTGATCTTGCCGCGCACAAGGTTTGCCAAATCCTGCTGTGGGTGGTCCGGATTCGCCGCCTGGCGCTCGATGATCTCGATGACGAGATCGGCCACCTTGGTGTACACGTCCGAGGGCCGGTCGCCGCCGACGAGATTCACCTGCTGCGCACCGTTCGTGTCGCCTCCGAGCGCGGCGTAGTGCTGCAGACCGTTGCAGGTGCCGTCCTGGTGGACCGGCAGGCGGGACTCGTACGCCTCGGGCCCTTCGGGGTGGTCGTAGGCCTGCTGCAGCTCAATGCACGTGGCCAGGCACTGCCACGGGTCGTCGGCCTTTCGCCACCACTGCTCGTCTTCGCTCTCGCCGAGCGGGTTTGCAGCGCTGGCGCGGATCTGCTTCTCGTGCTGCTCTGCGAAGAGCTGCCGGTCGTGGAAGTTGGCCTTGTCGAAGCCGTGCAAGTTGGCCAGGTGGATTTGCAACCAGCGCAGGCCGCGCGCGCCGAGCGGCTTGGCGTCGTCGAAGAGGAGCAGGCCACGGCACAGGTCGTCGCCCAGGTGGTTCAGGTGCGGCGGGATCGGATATGCGCGCCCGCGGAAGTCCATGTTGTGCGGGAAGAACATGCGCTCGCCCATGAATGCGCGTGCGACCTCGAGCTTGTAGTTGAGGTCGCATCGCCGCGAGTGCGCGTTGGCCTTGTCGAGCGACCAGACCTTCAGCCGGCGCACATAGTCTGACTTGGCCTGCAGGTCCGTGTCGTAGTCCACCGGGCGTTCCGGCTCGGGCTCGGCAAAGGGCGACGCGGGGATCTTGAGAAACTCAGCGCCGCTGTTCCACACCTCGGAGATCACATCGTACACGCGCCGATTGACGCGCCAAGGCGTCTGGCCAAGCACATCCAGCGCGGAGAGCACCACGTCGAGCTCGGCATTGTCCGACGCAGCCTGCATGTACTGCGCCTGCTCGAGGCTGTCCTTGTAGCGCATGGCCGTCGTCCGCGTCGTCTGGTAGCCGCCCTGGTCGTGCGCCATCCACGGGCGAGGCGCGACGAGCATCGGCAGCATGCGCGCGTCGACGGAGCCGATGTTCTCCTTGTCGAGGCGCTCACCCACCACCTCGTTGACGCGGATGATGCCCAGCTTGCGCCCCTGGACGTACTGGTACGCCGCATAGAACGCCGGGTGCTCCTCGACGTGCAGCTTGCCGTCGGCGTCGCGCGCCGAGCGCGTCACGGTGGCCTCTTGCATGAGCAGCTGGATCAGGAAGCTGCCGACGCGCGCGCGGATCGGCTGCGTCCACGGCTCCAACTCGCCGGCGATGTCGTTGGCACCCTCCGCCTCGGCCTCGGCGCGGAGTCGGGCGCGGAGGCCCTGGTCGAGAACACGCTCGCCGCGCAGGTTGAGACTGAGCTTGCGCGCGAGTTTGCGGAGGTGCGGCTTCTTGCGCAGCAGATTCATGTGGTGCTCGTTCTCGACGGCGCGTCCGATGTGGATCAGCGCGCGCGTGGCCTTTGTGCCGTCCGGCACGCCGGATGTGCCGTGCAGCCGCATGATCTCGACGATGGTGAGCAGGCCGAGCGAGTTGGGACTGAGCAGCCCCAGGAAGGGCAAGAGGTCCTCTTCGTGGGGCATGCTGGCAGACGTCTGGCTCTCGGCGTCGAGTCCGTCGTTGGAGCTGCTGGCCGTCTGTGACGTGCGCTTACGCCGAGCATTCGCCTGGTCGATGCTCATGCGCTCAACCTCCTTCGCGATGCGCGCTTCCAGCTTCTGCAGCCACTCCCACATCCAAAGGCGCAGCTGGCGGCCCTTGAGCCCGCTGTCGTTGCGCGCAGAGACGCCCGCCATCTGCTTCGCCTCCATTTCGAGGCGCTGACGCGCCGCCTTGAGCGCGCTGCGTTCCAGAATCTCTTGCCGCATGTAAGGATCCGCCTCCGTCTGCCGGCCCTCGACCACGGCGACCAGGCTGTCGCGCAGAATGTCGAGGTTCGGCACCACCCTGTTCAGCCCATCCGAGGACATCTTGGTCGTAGGGTTCAGAGGCTCCGGAGACTCGAGATCTGCTGCCAAGTCGAACTCGTCGTGCTCTGCGCTCGCGCCCGAGGCGATGCTCTGCGCGACCGTCTGCAGCTCGGTCTGAGCGAGCATGTCGCCTGCCTCGGACGTCGCGTCGATGAGCATGGCGATGGCGTGTGCGGCGTCGGGCTCCTGATCGCGATGGCGCGAAAGAGTCGAGGCGTCGTCTGGAGCCGAGTCAGTGAAGATGTGGGAGTTGAAGATGCGCTCGAGCGGGATGTCGAAGCGGCGTGCCGCGCTGACTAGGGTGTACAGAGACGGGGAGCCGGCCGGATAGCTTCCGGAGCTCTGCAATCTGTCACGCGAATGCCCAGCGTCAGCGCCCTCGCGCTCGCAGCCCTTACGAGCCGGCCACTCACCTGACTACGCCCTTCAGCATGATGGCCAACGTCGAGTGCCCGGGCCGAGGCCGCAAGATACGCGACTCTGGCGTGCTCTCCGACATCTCTTCGAACATTGCCCAGGCGCGCCTGAGCCACTCGTTGTCTCGGTTGCTCTTCGTCGCCCACGCCTTGCGCAGGAAAGCGCCGAGCATCAGGTTGTAGAGCGGCTCGTCGAGCAGAAAGTGGTGACCCGAGGCTACTCGGTCATGCTCCGTCTCCTTGCTCCGCGCGTCCTCTTCGGCCTGCAGCTGCTGGAAGAGCTTCGTGGCGCGGTCGACGAGACCGGTGGTGAGGCATGCCCGCAGGATCGAGAGGTTCTCGCGCGGGCGAGAGGGCAGAAAGAATCTGCGGTCGAGCTCGAGGTCGCGCAGCTCATCAGCCGTCGGAGGCGTGGCAGAAGGGTCTCTCACGCCGCGCGCCTTGCCCCTTCCTAGAATCTTCTTGCCGTCCGTGACACGAAAGAACTCGGCCTCGCCCACGTGTGACGGCAGCGGAATCGGCAGGCGGGTCTTGAACTGCTGGAAGAACGGCTTTGGCGCAGAGAGTATCTCTGACTGCATCGGCGCCGTCGTGTCTGCGTCTGGCGGTGCAGACCGACGGAGCGAGGCGCGCAGTCTGCTCGGCGCCGACGTGTGCAGCGCAGCGGCGGCACGGGCAGCGGTCCGTCGTGGCGCCACGCGCAGACGCGGCAGCGTGGCGGCCGAGGCGCCGGGCGTCGCACTGGCCGCGAGCGCAGCGCTGCCGGAGCGCCCGAGCATGCGGCTGCGCTGCAGCATGGTCATGGAAGGCATGGCCAGGCAGCGGCGAAGGCCTCGCCGAGTCGCAGAGCGGAGCTGCGCAGCAGGCGTGTGGCAAGCAGGCCGCAGCAGGCTCGGGGTGGAGGCACCGCCCAGCGGCAGAGGAGCCGGCGAGGAAGGGAGGCGGTGGTGAAGCTGTGCGGCGGTCGCGACAGACGCAGAACACGCAGCAGCTCGAGGTGACGAGCTGGCGGAGGTGAAGGTGGTAGAGGTGAGGGCGAGAGGAGGGAGCTGCTGACTGCTGCATGTCAGGCCTGCCTTTCTTCCGCCGCGCGGCGGCCCCGGCACGAGATCCGACGCCGCCAAAATCTGGGTGGTCCGTCACGTGACGCGGGTCCGTGCTGATGACCTCTCCGGAGCTGCGTACGTGTGTACCCTGATCGCAGCTCAGTCCTCTCGCTTTCCGTCACTCTCAGCGCTGTTGTCGCCGTCTTGGACCAGTGATGCCCAGACGCGCACAGCAGCGTTCCAAGCACATAGCAAGCAGATGCACGAGCAGCACACGGGCAGCACAGTCCACGACAATGCATTCCGCTGATGTCGGGTCTCATCACAGTAGCAAGACGATCTCAATGGCAGCGCGAAACGGACAGGCGAGAGGTCAGGTGCCGCCGGGCGGCGGCTGCGCAGAGGCGCCAGCGGAGGGCTCAGCGCCGGCGACACTGCCCAGCTTCTGCTCCTGCTTCGGAGCGACGAGCGGCGTGCTCTTGAAGCGAGCGCCGCGCGCTGCGGCGGGGATCGGCGTCGAGGTGCCCGACGCGGGCGATGCCACGACCGGGAGCGGCGAGAGGTTCGCGGCGCTGCTGCTGCGGGCCACGCCAGGTGCCGGCGACTCCTCTCCGGCCGCACTAGCAGCACCTGCGGTCGCTCGACGCAGCAGCGAGCGACCGCGCTGCGAGCGGCGCTGGCGTGCGGCAGGTGCAGCAGCAGCAAGAGTACGAGGGCCAGGCTCGGCACTCGAGGCGCGTCTGGCCTTCTCCGGCCCAGAGGCACGCGGCGGAAGCTCCGACGACTGCGCCAGATCCTGCGCTGCCGGAGCATCCGAGTCGTCCGCCGTGTCCTCATCGTCTCCGTCAGAGGCCGCTTCGCGCTCCGTGTCCGAGACGGCGGCACGGCGACGCTGCGAGATGCGGCGAGGCGCACTAAGCGCCAGCGCGGCACTAAGACGGCCCGGCGCGGTGCTGACGACCTCCGAGGGGAAGGTGAGAGAGCGAAGCGGAGGTGTGCGAGCCTCGCCGGCGAGGGCGTCGTTCGCGGCGAGGGCCACTTTCTCGCTGGCCTCGGCGGGGGTGACTTCGCTTGCTGCCGTGGCTTGCCGCGAGGGCGAGGCCGGCGGCGAGAAGTCCCGTAGGCCCGAGCCAGCACCTTCCTTGTCGTGCTCGTCGTAGATCTCCTCGGCGAGCAGCTCCTCGAGCAAGTCCTCAAGTGTGATGATGCCGATGGGAGCGTCTGCTACAGCCTCGAGGGCATGTTGCTCCTCGGCTGCGCTCGGACGGGAGGCCATGCGGCGCGGCCGTGCGGCAGGCTCCGAGCCTCGGACCAGACGACGCATCCAGCTGCGCTTCGAGGATGCCTTCTCCTCAGCAAGATCTTCTTCGTCTCCGCGGTGCAGGCTCGCCGTATCACTGTGGCTGCCGCTGCCGCTGCTGGCCGCATCGCCGCCCAGCTGCTTCTCCTCGTCGATGGCGCCCAGATGCTTGCGTGCACGAGGCCACGAGTGTCCTTCGTGTGCGTCCGACACGGCCGTCGCATCGGTCGAGCTGTCGCGGTCGTCCTCGTCGTCTCCGTCGGCGTCGCGCTGGCGCCGCTGGCTCGAGACGATGGCCATGTGCGAGCGGCCCTCTTGGAAAGCATTGAGAATGTTGAGCAGCGGCTGGAAAAAGTCAGTGCGGTGCTCAGATGAGGCGACTAGTGCTGACTCACCTCGTCGGCAGCGACCGTCGGCAGCGCGTTCAGCACCAGATCCGAGATCGGCGTCGCGTCCTCGGGATCCAGCAGCACCGTCTGCTTGACGAGCAGCATGCCGAGGATCTTCTTGCGGCGCACCGTGGCGACGCTGCCGCTCTGCCCCTCGGCCAGCTCTTCCGGAGCAGGCGACGAGGGCCGCGAGTTCTCCGTTGAGTTGGGCGCTCCAGAATGCAGGCCGAAGCTGGCCTTGCGCGCCAGTGCAGAGAAGAGGCCCTTGCGCCCCGGCGTGACGTTGCCGCTCTGCGGGCCAGCCGCGCCACGGCCGGCCGGCACGTCGACCTCGGCATAGATGGGAATGCGCGAGTGTCCGCTGCGCACGATGCGCTCGAGCGTGGCGTAGTCGAGACGCGCAGTGATCGGCAGCATCAGCACGTTGGCGATGGGCGTCATGGCCTGCTGTGCGACCTTCTCCTGCAGGTCGAGCGCACCGCCGACCAGCGTGACCACGTCGCGCTTCAAATCTCCGCCGTGCGCTCCGCCGTGTGCCCGCGCCAGGTGCATATTGACGAGCTCCTTGAGCTCGGCGCGGCGGTAGATGGTGCCGTGGTGCGGGCCGAGGGCGTAGTTGAGCACGCGCGAGATGGGCCAGGCGATCGGGTACAGCAGGAAGATGATCATGCGCGTCGGCGTGGCCATGCGTGCGCCAACCTGCAGGCCGTAGCGCGAGCAGAACGACTGCGGGATCAGCTCGGCGAAGATGATGACGAGCACGATGGAGATGATCACGGCGGCGAATCCAGGAATGACCTCATCGATGATAATGGGCAGCGTCTCGTTGGTACTGCGAGCGGTGTGAGTGATCTGCGGAGGCAGCCGCAGCCAGACGAGCCACTCACATCATGTTGGCGACCAGCAGCGTCGTCAGCAGCAGATGGCCGTCCTTGCGGATGGGCAGGATCTTCTCGGCCTCCATGCGCTGCTGCGGCGTGCCCGTCGTGGCGAGCACCTGCAGTTGCGTCTCGTCGAGCGACATGTAGCCGAGCGTGAGGCCGGCAAAGATGCCGGAGAGAATGACGAGCACGGGAATGAGGATGCCGGCGAGCGCCTGCAGCTTGGCCGACGTGTGGTGCGGCTCGGACGTGGCGGAACAGGCGGCAGGCGCAGCTTCCTGGCGTCGGACGGATTGTGTGCGTTGCTCGGTGGGCGCGGCGAGCAGCGCCTCGAGCTGGCGGGCGAGCGACGCATCGTCGCTGTGTGGAGTGAGAGGCTGCGCGAGGAGCAGCTGCTGCACGGCCTCTCTCAGGGCGGGCCGCTGCGCCAGCAGAGGCGCAGGTGGCGCGCCGGCGGGTTGAGCAGCGGCATCGAGGCGCGTGGCGGATGTTGCGCCCGGCGCGGGCTGCACGGCCGGGATGGCATGGGCGAAGGTGGAGGTGGCGCAGAGGAGTAGGACTAGTATGGCGAGTGGCAGGCGCGAGACCCAGCGGCGGCGGCGGCGGCTTATGGGAAGACGCCAGCCATGGGTGTGGACTGGCGAGAAGGCGGGCGAGAGGCTTCGTATATCAGGATCGTCCATTCACGTGGAGTGCGAGGTGCGGGGTGGAAGTTGGAGGTCAGGGGTGGTGGAGGACGGGACGAAGGGGAAAGTGCGGGACGCGGCGCTCTTTGGGGCCCGCCGGCCGCGACACGACGCGCAGCAGCGCCACGGTCAGCAGCAGCACCGCCTCGGCCCGGGTGCGCTTGCACGCCGGCAGCACCGCACGCACAGCCGTGATACGCATGAGCCGCCGCCTCGCATCGCAGCAGGCCTCCACGCTCCCTTGCCCCTCAGCAGGGCCCTCATGTTCCATCTCACCCTGCTGGCGGCTCTGCGACGCGCCCGCAGCCCACTGGTGCGAGCACGCAAGCGCAGCCGGGCTTGGCCAGATCTCAGATCTCGCGAGCGAGGGTCGCGTGAGCGGGCTCCCCGCGCTGTGACGCTGCTCTGCGCGCTGCATGCTGCACCGCTGCGCTCCCGCCGAGCCGCCGGCGGGCGGCGGCATCTCGCATGCTTTGCCCGCCCGCCCGGCGGCTTGTGGCCGGGCCCTGCCGCGGCAAGCCTAGCGCAGGCGGAGGGTGGTACACGCGAACATTCTGTGCGTCCCTCGCGCCGCGCGCGCGGCGTCTTGCGAGATGCGCGCCGACCGCTCCGCTCGGCGCTGCGAAAGTGGAGCAAGCGAAGGCTCACGCTCACAGGGGGCAGGACGCCGGCGAGATACGCGTGCCTCGATTGCGCCCGAGGCTGCGACGGCCCATGCGTCCAGACTGCCGTCAAACCACCACACCGACCATGTCCGCAAGCACGCCGCTCCTGCCGCAGTCGACGGCGCCCGTCGCCGCGGCCCCGCCGGCGCCCGCCATGCCCGCCGCGCCCGTGCCGGCCTCGCTGCCCACGCCGACGCACCGCGCGCGCTGGGCCGGCTATGCGGGCAAGCAGCACCGCCTCTGGCGGGCGCGTGCGGCGCTGCGAGAGGAGCTGGCAGAGTTTGCGGGCACGGCGATGATTGTGAGTGGCAGATGTGCGCCTGCTGCGGCGGATGCGCCGCCGAGGCATCCACAGTGCAGGCGAAGGGTCCGGGCGGATGCTGCTCTGCAAATGTGCACCGAAGCTGCGATGCGTGCCCGCGAGAGCTGCGTCTGCGGCCACTGCCCGAGAGAGAAGCGTCAGCGTCCACTGTGCCCCTCAGTCTTGAGCTGATCTCCTGCTGCGCCAGATCATCTTTGGCGTAGGCGTCGAGTGCGAGGTGGAGCTGCACATGGCGGTGCACTCGGGCCCGGACGCGGCCAAGAGCCTCATGTCGCGCTTTGCGTGGGCGACGGGCGTGGCGATTGGCATCTGGGTTGCCGGCGGCATCAGCGGCGGTGAGGACTTGCCGTGCCAAGCGTCAGACCAGGTGCTGACTGGCTGTGTGTGTCCGTACAGCGCACCTCAACCCAAGTGCGTGTCAGCCCTCGGACGATCGCGCAGAGCTCTGCTGACAGCTGCTCACAGCCGTGACGATCTCGCTGGCCATGTTCCGCGGCTTCCCGATGCGCAAGGTTGGCCGCTACATCCTGGCGCAGATCCTAGGCGCCTGCTTCGGCGCGTTCCTCATCTACGCCAACTACCACCACTCGATCGAGCGCGTCGAGGGCGGCGCGCAGCGCACCGTCTACGGCCCCGACGCGACGGCCTCGCTCTTCTTCACCTTCCCGCAGCCGTACCTGCCGTGGACCGCCTCGTTCTACAGCGAGTTCCTGGCGTCGGGCGTGCTCCTGTGCGCCGTCTTTGCGCTCTCGGACAGCCGCAACGTGAGTGTGCACGTGGCGGCGATGCACTCAGTTGCTCATCCGTGCCCCTCTCACAGCTGGCGCCGCCGCTTGGTCTCATGCCGCTCGCGATGTGGATGCTGCTCGTCGGCATCGGAGCATCGCTCGGCATTAACACTGGGTGAGCAAGTTGCGTGCGCGTCTCGGCCTCAGTTGCTCATACACTCACTCTGCACAGATACGCCATGGTGCGCAGAGTGTGCCGTCTGCTCACCACTTATCTGACTTGAGTCCCTTCTGCAGAACTTCGCGCGCGACACTGGACCGCGTATCGCGTGAGCCCTGCAGTCTCGCCAGGCACACTCGCCGCAGCTCACATCGCGATCCAGATGCTGGCTGCTCGGCTACGGCAACGAGGTGTGGACGGACCACGGCTACTACTTCGCCTGGGGCCCAGGCATTGCGTCTGTGTTCGGCGGTCTAGCCGGCAGTGCCTTCTACGGTGCGTTCCGAGCTCACCACATCGCGGCCCTGCTCATGAATGCTGCTCGCAGACCTGCTCATCTCTGGGCCGCGCGAAGACTCGCCGATCAACCGTCCGCGCGGACGCCGCGCGCAGGGCGCTGCGGACGACAGTGACGAGGAGCAGGAACTGGCCTAGTCTGTCTCTTCCTGCCAAACGCGCATCCGTTCCTCTTTTTGGCCCACGACTCCCTGACGACACTTGTAGCCTCACGAGCCCGACGACAATAGACTAAACTGAGCAGCGCGCATGTGTGAGACTGCCAATCGGAGGCTGGGCTGAGGCTGGCTGTCTTGCGTGACGCGAGGAGAGACCGGAGGCTGTCACAGCAGGCAGCAGCAAGAGTTGGTACACACGTCTCATTCGGTGGCTCGTGAGTGAGCACCGCAGCCGTAAGGTCAATGTAGGGTCGCGAACATGCAAGCGCGTCGCAGGCAGAGCCTGGACCGGAGGTATGGGGGGTTGGAGGCGAGAGAGGGGAGCAGAGCGGCGGCGGGCAGAGCAGGGCAGCAAAGGGGCCGAGGTGGAACAGCGTAGTAGAGGCGCTAGATTTTGGCTAAGGACGGAGAGGTGCGCAGTTTAGGCGTCCTCCATCGCAAGCTTCGTAGCGTGGGCCTTCTTGTTGTGCTCGCTCTCCATCTCGCTGCGGTCCTGCGCGAACGAAATGCCCTCGACCTTGGCGAGGTTGTAGCCCTTCCACTGGCGTGTCGGGACATTGAGTGTGATGAGAACTTGGATCTCCTCAAGAGACTTTAGAAGAGAAGGGAGGGCGTCAGTTGATGCCGAGACAGCAGTGCCCAAGAAGCACTCACCCGGCCGAGGGTCTCGGGGATGAAGAAGTACACGAATGCCATGGCGACCGCGTTGAGGGCGCCGTAGATGTAGCCGACCTGCGGGCCGAGGCCGGCCTGGGCGTCGTCGAAGAGGTACGGCAGCGTGAAGGTGACGAGGAAGGCGATGATCCAGAAGCCGGCGGTGCCGACGGCCATCACGCGCGTCTTCTGGCCGCCCGACGAGAGCTCGGAGGCGCAAACCCAGGCGAGCGGGCCCCAGGCGAGGTTGAAGAAGAAGACTACAACAAGGTCAGCTGCGGCAAAGCCGACGAGACGCGCCGCAACTCACCAAACAGGATGATTTGAGCTGCAATCGCCTTGCCAATGGCTGCGTTCTCGTTGTTGGGGTCGATAGAGCCGAGGATGCCGCAGATGAAGAGGTTGAGGATCATGGGCACCGAGGTCCAGAGCAGCAGCGGGCGGCGGCCGAAGCGGTTGACGAGCAGGAAAGAAACGAGCACACCGACGACCTCGACAACGGCCACGACCATCGAAATGGTGAAGCTTGCGTCGATTCCGATGGCAGCGAAGAACGTCGTCGCGTAGCTGAAGATGAACTGCACGCCACTAAAGGGGGTGAGAGAGGGTGTTAGCATGTGCGTTGCCAGCCAGCCTTGCCGAAGTCGCCCGGCACGCACCCAATCTGCTGGCTGACGAGCACACCAAAGACCATGAGAAGGCGGCGACGATCCTGCTTGGTGGCGAAGAGCGCCTTCCAGCCGCCCTCGCCCTGCGTGGCAAGCTCGTCGTCGCGCGCCTGGGCAAAGGACTTGAACTCAAGGTCGACGACCTCGTTGGGGTCCTCCTGGCCGGCGTTGATCTTGCGCAGACTGGCAATGGCCTGCTCGTCGCGGCCCTTGCTCATCAGCCAGCGCGGGCTCTCGGGGCAGAGCAGCAGCACGCCGGCGACCATGATGCCGGCGATGGCGAGGTTGAGGATGATCGGGATGCCTGCGCGCAGTGTCAGCACTGGCAGCAGAGATGCGCAGCGCTGCACTCACCGTATGCCCAGGTGGAGTCGAGGTTGCGCGTGCCCTGCGCCACGCCGTTGCCGATGACCTGGCCGATGGCCAGCAGTAGCTGCCAGCTCGAGACGACGGGGCCACGGATCGCGGAAGGCGCCACTTCGGAGAGGTAGGGCGTGCACGTGGCGGAGATGACACCGACGCCCATGCCGAGGATCGCACGGCCGCCGGCCAGCGCACCGAGGCTGCCGGGCGCCATCTGGATGGCCGTGCCGATCATGACGAGCGCGCCGGCGCCGGCGAAGCCGCCCTTGCGGCCAAAGTAGTCGCCGATGAAGGCGCTCGTGAGCGCACCGACGAGCTCGCCGGCCTGCACGATGGAGGCGAGCAGCGAACGCTCGCCACTGGTAATGTCGTAGCCGATGGAGCCGTTTGGCCGCTCGCGCAGTGCGCCGCTGTGGGGTGTGTCAGGATGTGCAGCAAGATGAGTGGCGCAGCAGACTGACTAGTCACGGCGGAAGCGCTCCATCTCGAGGATGCCGGCGAAGTAGGTGCCTGCAGCGCGAGGAGATCAGCTGGAGTCCAGTGCGGCGCACACTGTCGCACGCACCGTCGTAGCCGTAAAGCACGGCGCCCATGACTGCGATGGCGCAGTAGATCTGGCGCAGGAGTCAGCACGCGGCGCAGACGACGAGCAGCACGGACGCCTCACCATGGGACGGCGGTTCGCCTTGGAGAGGACATTCTTGTCGCCGGCGACGGGGCCGGACGAGATGACTGCGCCGCCTGCCATTGTTGGAGCGGTGCGGGGTGGGGTGTTGAGGGAGAAGGGGGTGGGGTTGTGGCGAGTGGGCGCTGTCCCCGTGGGGAGCGCTGCCTTTTGAGCACAACGCGCACCGGTGCCGGACCCGTGCGGGCAATGCTCGTGTGGTGCACCCCGCCTGCACTTGGAGCGCTCTGCACCGCCAGGCACACCGGAATGCTCGCTTGCTGGGCCGAGGCAGAGGCAGGCCGCGAGCGGGCGCCGGCGGTGGAGCGGCTCACGAGGCACCGGCGCTACGCAGCGAGAGCGAAGGAGCGCCGCGCGTTAGCGCGCCTTACGCACCGAACCCTCGCCGCCGCCTGCCCGCGCCGCAACTTGCTCGTGCCGCCCGCACCGCTGCCGTCATGCTGCTGCTGCCAGGCGCTCGATGAGCCTTGATCTGCCGCTCTCGGCTCGCCTGCTGTTGTTCCATGCACCGCGTGCAGCTCGTGTGCGCCGGCCAGACTCCTGTGCGGGCCCGGCGCGTCCGGTCCGGAGCCGCGAGGAGCGCCAACATCGCCTCGTCTTGCCTCCAGCTGCTCTTTTTTTCTTCCTCTTGCCTCCGGTGCCGTCACATGCCGCACTTTGCGCCCCTCGGCCACCGCCACGGGGCGTCGAGAATAGCATCGCAAGTGGCACTCGCCGCGCCCTCAGGACCCTCCGCGGGGCGAGAGTGGCCACTGTCGGCCGCACCCCTGGCAGCCTCGGCGACCTCGCTCGATCTTCCTCCTGTTTGAGCTCTGCCCTCTCTCCTGCAGAAACCGTTCATGCCAAGGCAGCGGCACCCTCGCTCCGCCTGCTGCTCATGCGCGACCCAGCAAATGTTGGCGGCGTTTCGGGCTCGGTGCGGCGTCGCGCGAGCACGGCAGGACAGGCGTGGGACGCTCTCTCTGCACGGGCACCTCGCCCCAGCGGGCGCACCTCGGAGGATCGTAGGGCGCGCGTCGGTGAATCTCGCGGCTGGCAGCGCAAGCGTGCGCCTGCGGCACCTTGATCTGCCGCCGCGGCCGCCGTGCCGCAAGGCCCGCAGCCGCCAGGCGCCTCGCACCGCCGCCGGCTCGCTCTCGGCGGGCGCCTCGCCTGTGACGTAGGGCGCGGCATGCCTCCTGGGCTGTGCCGGCCACACGCGAGATGCGCACCCGCGGCTGCACTCGCCTCGCTCGACCTCTCCGGCCCTCGCTGCTGCTGCAGGAAGGCACAAAGCAGCACTCCTGCGGCGGGGTCTTGCAGCAAGCAAACGAGGCACTTCGGGCGCCCATTTCCCCTCGGTCGCCGAGGGGGGGCTATGGGCGCCAAATCTGGCACGATGATGCTCAAAGTGCGCCCCTGAGGGCACCTCGGCTCCGCGACGCGCTCATAAGTGCCTGTGCGAGAGCGCCCCAGGGGCCAGCCGAGCGAGTCTAGGGGCCATTCAGGGCCTCGTGGCGCTCGATTCAGTACCTGCAGCCTGCCCCTGAGGTGCCTTGAGGAGGCTGCGAGAAGATGCGGAGCAGCAGCGGAGGGTCTTCGTGAGGCTCGAGATGATCTGATTGCTCTAGCGTGGGGTAGCCAGGCGAGCGTGGGGTGCATAGCGCAAGCGGGGAAGCGAATGAGGAGCCCCAACGCATGCAGCAGAGTGCGCATGAGCAGTGCTCTTTCCTTGCTGCGCCGTTCCAGCAGGAAGTGCGGGGAGAGAGGAGCATGAGGGGAACGCGGCCAAGCGTCTCCGTGGAGCATCGCATGATGTTGGAGATGCGCCGAGCTGCTCGCAGCACCGCCAGAGGCAGCTGCACAGCATGCAGACCTCCCGGCAGCATCTCTCCGGACGCACTCAAGCACGGACTGCCTTGCATCGCCAAGAAGGAACGCTGCGAACGGCATCTGGACCCGCTTGTCACACCGGCCGAACTGTGACACGCGGTGCATGACCGCAACCGGCACCCGGCGATGCTACACCCTTGGCTTGACCCCTCGCGAGGTCGCACGCCTGCATCGACTGCGGTGCTGCGCAGACTTGCAGCCGGCCTGTGAGCGCTTCCCCGCTCCCCGCAATGGCGAGGCGCAGTTCAAGACAGGCTAGTCTGGGCTTGGCTGACCGTGCCGGACGGCGCACCGCTTCTAGCAACTGGCCAGCAGGAGGCGCCCGCGGGCGCGCTGCTGGGCAGCTGCTCATGGACGCGCGACAGCGAGCTAGTGATCGCTCGTCCACCCGTGCGCATCTCGCTTGACGAGATAGAGAGCGCTCAGCCTCGGCCGGCAGGGCGTGCTGTTGCTGCGGTGGGCAGCGCCCCAGCACGGGGGACAGCCGCCCGCCCAGCACGCCTTGTGCGTCGGCATCCCTATCCGAGTCGAGCCCGCGCCTCCAACGCGTCCGCGTCCTCATCCCTTCAACCACCACAGTCTGCCACGCCTGATGCCAGACACGGCAGTCGGCTCCTCCAGTCTTCGCGCCGCAACTTACGCACTGACGCCACATAGCAAGCAACAGGTATCCAGTGCGCCTCAGGCGATGCGGCACATCTCATCCCCACCCGCGCTGCCCAGGCTCTGCAGCGCCTCCTTTGTGTTCTCCTTCTCTTGGCGCTGCGACCAGATGCGCATCAGCAGAGGCCGGGCAGTCGCCGCTCGTGTGCACTCACGATGATCGTCGAGACCTCCTTGAACTTGGGGTTCATGGCGTCGCCCATCAGCTCGAAGAGGATCGACTCGCTCGTGGCGATCTGGGCACCGGCCTGACGCATGCGCTGCGAGACACGGGGTGAGCGATGTACGCAGCCTGCAGCTACCCTTCACCTCTGCCTGAGGCCATGCATGGCATGCCCTGTCCTGCCAGTACTCACCGCCAGCGCAATGGGCACCTCTGCAGCGTTGCAGCTGCTCACGCCGTCGGCCACCACCCACACGCCGACGCCCTGCTCGAGCAGGTCGAGCGTCGTCTGCAGCACACAGACGTGCGCCTCGATGCCGCAGAGCACGACGCTCTTGATCTCGCCGTTCGGCCCGCCGGCAAGCCACTTCTCCGTCGTGTCGGGCAGCACCATGCTGAAGCGCGTCTTTGGCACGGTGGCCGAGTGCGGGTGGCGCGGCAGCGACGCCAGCGACGGCACCGTGGGGCCGAGCGAGTTGGGCGCCTGCTCGGTCGTGTACACAGGCACGGCGAGCAGCTGCGAGGCACGCAGCAGCTTGCTGGCGGAGAAGTGCACGGCGTCAAAGGCGTGGATGGCCTTGACGAAGCGCTCCTGCATGTCGCAGAGGAAGAGCGCCGTCGTCGACGGGTCGAGACGGCGCAGGTGGCGCGCGGCAGAGGCGCCCGTTGCTGCCATTATGCGTGTGCTTCGTGGGCGAGGAGAGGGGAGCGTGGTGGGTGATGAGGCGGAGTGGAGGCCGGCGCGCGGCACGAGGTGTGCGGGGCAGCGCCAGGGCACCGCATCTCGCTCTGCCGCGCCTCGCCGCGGCGCTGCAGGCGTCCACCAGCGTGACCTTCTCGACGCAGGGAGCGCACCGCCGTACCCTACCGTCTTCCTTTTGGCCACAAAATCCCCTTTGTCCCTTCAGGCGTGCTGTGCCTCTCGAGCTCCATCACTATACTGCTCGCGAGGCAGCCTATTGCCCGGATGTCCGCTTTGGGGCAACTGGTTGCATGCGCTTGCTCTCAACAGTCTGCACAGACGCTCCAGTCATCGACTGTCCACAGCCGGCCCTGGCGTCACCGCTGGGCATGACTGACACTTCTCGAAGCAGGTACCGGTCTCAGACCCTCAGCTGACGAGGAATGAGAGCATGCAGCGCGAAACAGGCATTGGAGAGGCCTGAGCAAGGAGAGCAGACAGGTGTTCCCACGGAGTCGAGGATGCACGGACCTCGTCTGTCGTGCCGCACTCTCTCGTGCGATAGACTCTGGCTGCTTCCTCTCGCGGCACGTGCTGGCGCGGAGGCAACCCCTCTGTCCTCTTTTGCGCGGCTCGCGGCGCCTGACATGGTGCGATTGAACGCCTGCAGAGAGAGAGCCAGCTGCAGCAGAGCGCAGCAGAGCAGCGCACGGCAGCACGGTGCGCCGCTTGGCGGGCAGCGGCGCGCTGGGCCATGAACCCGCGTTTGCGGGCGGGGCCTGTTGCTGCGCCTGCTCGGCAGCGCGGCGCGGCGCTCATGCGCGCGCGGCGGGCAGCAGCGCTGGCGCAGGCCCGCCTCCTTTGCTGCCGCCAGCGCTGCCCTTCGCCGCCGCCCGCCGCGCCTTCTTCACCACGCCGCCAGCTCACGTCTGCCTTATTCGATTCAAGCTGAGCTGTGAATCTGCTGCTCGCTCTGATCCTGCGATGTCAAACAGAAAATGCAGAGGTGCGGCGCCGGCTGGGCAGGACAGCAGGGCTGCAGGCGCAGGCGCACGGAGGCACGGCCGCGCGCAGGCGGGCTGTCACGCGGCCTGGTGCAGGCGCAGAGCTGCCGCCACCGCGCCGCGCACGGCAGGCGGTCGCCGCCCGCAACCGCGGCGGGCAGCAGGCGCAGGCGCAGGCGCAGCGCAGCGCTGCGAGCGGTGCCCGCTGCGCGGTGCGCGGAGGCCTTGACGGGCGCGCGCGCAGGCGGGGTGCCTCTGCGCGGGCCGGCCTGGCGGGCGAGCAGTGAGGCGTGCGCCTGGCGCGCGGCGCGCGCTGGGTAGGCGGGCGCCTGGCAGCGCGCCGCGCACAGCGCCCACCTCTGCGCCAAAACGCGCGCTGGGCGCACAGGCGAGGCCATCGTCCGCACCGCTACCACCACCGCCCATCCCCACCCACCCCACACCCCAGCACACTCTACACCATGGCCAAGGCAGCAGCAGCACCCAAGGCGGCCCCGGCCAAGAAGGCCAGCAAGAAGGCCAAGGACACGGGCGCGCCCAAGCGGCCGCTGTCGTGAGTGCCTCGCGTCGCGCGCGCCGCGCCGGCCGAGCCAGCCGCACCGCACCGCCTGGCGGGCGATGCGCGCCTGCGCCGCCGGCGCTGCCCGCTGCTGCCCGTGATGCAGCCTGCTGACCTCGCTGCACAGCGCCTACATGTTCATGAGCCAGGACTGGCGTGAGCGCATCAAGGCCGCCAACCCGGACGCCAGCTTCGGTGAGTGACGCGTCCGCGTGCGCGGTGGGCGGCACCGGCTGGGCTCGTGGCTGGACACGTGGGCTCGCGGCATGCGGCATGGGGGCATTCGCTGCGTTGGCGTCGCTGCGGCGACGGCATGCGTACCTTCTGCCTCTTCGCCATCTTTCGCCGTCGTCGTCGTTGCCGGCGCGGAATATGTGGAGCAAAGCGCTCCGCCTGCACGACGCGTCTCGATGCGCACGGACGCGTTCTTCCCGCAAGCGCGCCGGCGCCGACGCCGCGCCGCCTGCTGCGCTTCTCGCCGGGCGTGGTGGACACCGTCGCGCGTGCGGATGGCGCGCACGCTGTAAGCCCGGCGCAGTGGCGCCCCTCTCACAGCACATCCGCCTGCGCCACGCACAGCTGGAGCACTGCGCTGACACGCTCCATCCCGCAGGCGAGGTCGGCCGCCTTCTCGGTGCCAAGTGGCAGGAGATGAACGACGCCCAGAAGAAGGTACGTGGCGACGGGGCCGCATGTACGCGCTTGCTGACGCTGCTCTGCCCGCAGCCCTACGTCGACATGGCCGAGCGCGACAAGCTGCGTGCCGCCAAGGAGAAGGCCGACTACGTGCGTGGCCTGCGAGACTGACCTGCCTGCTCAGCGCACTGACCCACCTCCACACACAGGACAAGAAGGGCGGCGCCGGCGGCAGCACGGCGGCCAAGAAGTCGTCGAAGAAGGCTGCGCCCGTCGAGTCGGAGGAGGAGTCGGACTAAGCGTCTCGCCCTCACCTCCCGCGACCGGCCTCCTCTCGTTGCCTCTCAGCTGCGGCTCGCGTCCAGCCACTCGTGCCGCGAGCGTCACTTTCTGCTCGCCGTACCAGCCACGTCGTCCATGCCCGGCGCGCCCGCTCGCCTGTTACCCACGTCCTCACGGTCTCGCTCCCTCGATGCGCCCCTGCCTTCTCCCGTTCTCCTGTATGTGTACTCGTCGCGCGCTCCCTATCCACACTTTGCTGCTTCCGTGAATGTCGTGTGATTGCGTGTGGCCCGTGCCTCTTCATCATGAGACGAGCTTCTTGCTCGCCGCCGCTATGCTCACGGCGCCCCAGTCGGGGCCCTTGCCCTCGGCCGTCAGCGCCGCCTCCTTGCGGTTGCGGATGTGCAGCAGCTGCGCGCGGAAGTGGCGCTGGCAGGCCTCGGGGCCCGAGACACCCTCGATGAAGCCCGTGGCCGACGTCGTCGGGTGCAGGTCCTCGCTCGCCAGCGCGTCGAGGCCGTTGGAGATGAGCTCGACGAGCGAGTTGATGTACTTTGGCGTCACGGCCTCCACCTCGCGCTCGAACTGGAGGCAGGCGTGAGCAACGGAGGCCCGTGCGGCGCGCTCTCGGCCGACTCACGTAGTACAGGTACTGGTCCAGCGCGCTGCAGAAGATCTCGACGGTGCTGCGCTCGTCGATGCAGCTGTTGGCGATGCGCAGCGCCTTCTGCAGGCACTCGAGCACGCGCTTGCCGTCCTGCAGTAGCGGCTGGCGGGCAAACAGAGCGTCAGCGTGGCCTATCGGCCCTCTTTCTGGCTCCTCACCTTGTCCTTGGGCGCCGGCCGGCCGGGCGTCTCGACCTGCCACCAGAGATGGCTGGCCATCAGCACGGCGGCGGCCTGGTGCGGCTTCTTGAGCAGCTTGGCGCCGTGCAGCGCCGCCTTTGTGATGAGCGTGTCGTAGTTGTCCGTCGAGAAGACGCGCGCCGTCTGCAGCGTCGAGATGACGAGGCCGATGGCCTGCAGCTGCGCACGGCTCTCGGAGATGGACTCCTCGTAGATCGTAAAGGCCTGCACGTAGAACTCGTACGCCAGCTCCTCGAAGCCCGTCTCGTCGGCCGACTGCGCGGCAAGCAGGAAGAGGCGCAGACACGTGTCCGACGACTCGACCTTGTTGTAGAGAATGGAGATGACCTGGTGCACAAACTTGTACAGCGTGAGCATCTTGGTCTCCCAGTCGCTCTCGAGCTTCTCGCGCAGCTTGTAGCGCCGCGCCAGCTTGATGCCCGACACGATGAGCGGCGGCAGCGTGTGCCGGATGCGCTCGCCGCCGGCGACAAAGTGCCGCCGCGCCGTCTGGATGAGGCTGAACTGCGTCTCGAGGTTGTCCGAGCGGAAGAGGTGCACCATGCGTGCGATCCAGCCCTGCTCCTCGGCCATCTCCTCGAGGTCGTACTGCGCCATGTGCCGCGCGTTCATGGCGCGGCCCATGCCGCCGCCGTACAGCGGCGCTCCGCCGGCCGCCATGTGCGCATAGCGCGGATCTTGCGGGTGCACATGCTGGCCGTGAGCGCCCGACGGGTAGCCAGGCGCCCCCGGTCCGAGGCCGTGATGCATCGAGCCCGGCATCATCACGTCCTTCTGGTCGAGCACGAGCGTGCTGCACAGCTCCAGCACGCCGTTGACATCCTCGGGCGTCGCCATGACCGTCTCATTCTTGAGCACGGACATGACGACGGCGTGCGCGATGCTCTTGCGCGTCGAGTACGGCTGCGCATTCAGCAGCGCGTTGTAGTTCGGCAGTGCCAGCAGCGTCAGCACCGTGAGGTACGAATTGATCGGCGAGAGCAGCAGCGCGTTGAGGTTGCCCATCGTCACTTGCGAGTGCAGATCGGCCGTCTGGTCCGCCTGCGCCACCTTCTCGCGCGCAAAGCCGAGCACCTGGTCGACATACTCGAGCTGGTCCGGGTAGCAGCTCAGCGAGAGATTGACGAGCGACACGAGCAGCGCGGTGATGTCCATGATGGACAAGTCGGGCCGCGCCTGGATGAGCTGCACCACCTGCGCCCAGAAGACCTCGAACAGCTTGACGTCCTCGGGAATGCCGCGGAACTTGCGTGGCGGTGCCGGCGCGGCCGGCGGCGCGGCCGGCGGCGCCTCTGCGCTAGCTGCGGCGGCCTCCTGTGCAGGGACCTGCTCTGCCGGTGCGTCTGCGGCCTGTGGCGGCTGCGCGGGTGCCTCGGCCTTGGCTGGCTCAGCAGGAGCAGTCGAAGGAAAGGCGTCGGACCGCATCTCGCGGCCGGACCCCTCAGCAGCCTCCGAGGTCGCATCCGTGCTGGCGCGCACGCTCGAAGCCGAGTCGGTGGCTGAAGCGGCGCTGCCCCAAGCGTTGGCGCTGCCGGCCGCGCCGCCCCATGCGTCGTCTTCCATGCCCTCCGGCACGCCCGAGAAGCCGCCTGCGTCGACGGAGCTGTGCGTTGCGACATTTGGCGCAGCGGCGTCTGCCGGGTCGATGGCAAAGCCTGACCGCTCGACTGGCGGCGCTGCGGCTACGGCGCTGGCAGAGGTGGATGCCTGCGGCGCCATCGTGTCCTCTGCCACTCCGCGCGGCTCGCCCTCGGCGCGCACCTCGTCCCACACGCTGCTCGGGCCCGCGCTCTGGCCCGTCATGCGCATGTCGCGCGTCTTCTCGGCCAGGCGGCGCCCGGCCTCTTCCTCCTGCCTTCGGATCTCCTCTGGACTGTCGTTCTCTGCCTCGCGCGCGGCATACGCGGCCAGCCGGTCGATGAGCGAGATGACGATCTGCTTGATGTTGACCTTTGGGTGCAGCTGTGCGCACGCGGAGAGGAAGGGCCCCAGCGTGCGCAGGTGGAACTCATCGGGAAAGACCTGCAGCACCGCGGTCAGAGTGCCGCCGCCAACCCGCTCTCGGTTCTGGTCTCACCTGAATGACCACCTCCATCAGGTACTCCTGCGCGATCACATCCTTGCAGTTGACCACCTGCTCCAGGATCGATGGCAAGATGATGCGCCGGTACATCTCCAGGTCGACGCCGTCGAGCTGGCTCAGGCGCACCAGGTTCGTGCCGACGAGGATGCGCAGCTCCTTGCGCTCCATCTCGCGCTTCTCGCGCTCGCGCGAGTGGCCCTGGTGCTGCAGGCGCACCCACAGCTTGTTCATCTCGATGAAGTTGGTCAGCACGAAGCCGATGCTGTCCTGCAGGTTGCCTCCCGGTCTGCCGCACTGTCAGCGTAAGCAGCCAATGGCCTGCGCTGCAGCGACTTACCCCATATCGGCGCCGATGGGCAGGTAGTCGCGCGTCGCACCGCTCAGGTAGTGCCGCAGGAAGAGGCCGCGCGTGGGGTGCTGCACGCCGCGGCTCATCTCCATGATGTCCTTCATGATCTCCTTGATGGGCGCATCGGGGATGGACATGTACACGCTGCCGACGGTGATCATGAGGTAGAGCTGCAGCGAGGCGTCAGCCAGCTGTTCGTGCGGCCCTGCGCGCTGCAGCACGCACCCGCGGCACAATGTTCCCGCAGTACTGCACGAGCTCGTACAGGTCGGCCAGGTGGTGCTTGCCCGTCGTGTGGGCGTCGAAGAGGTAGATGGAGAGATGCCGCAGCGCATCGAAGACCGCCATGTCTGAGAGGCCGGGCGTGAGACGCCCATTGCAGCAGCACACCTGCTCGGCGCGCACTCACAGAGCTCGTAGTAGTTCTTTGGCGAGAGCGACGACGTGCGCAGCTCGCCGAGCATCGTCGACGCGGCCTTGAGCGCATCCATCAGGAGCTCAGAGTCCTGCGCGGCGTGTCAGCTGCGCGCTGAAGGAGCTTGCTCCGCAGGGCTGTGCACAGCCATCCGGCAAGCGCCAGAGGGCCTTGCTTCTCGCAGCATGTGCAGTACGCGGCCCGGCGGTACTCACAAGACAGCGCTTCATCTGCACGAGCTGCACCTTGACGGCGGCGAGCGCCTCGCTGAGCACCTTTGCCGAGTCGTCCATCGTGCCGGCGCGGGGTGTGCGAGCGGCGGCAGGGACGGGCGACGGCGCAGCAGCGCACGGAGGAGCGGCGCGCGGCGGGCGTGGACGGGTGCCGCCGGCGCAGACGAGGAGAGAGGAGCAGGCGGTGCTGAGCCGCGAGAGAGTGTCGTGCCGAGAGTGGCAGTGGAGGGTGCAGAGCAGAGGATGCGGTCGGGAGGCTGAGACGGCGAAGCGTCGCATGTCGCGGCTGAGCGGCTGTCCGCCGCGGCCGCCGCCTCGCGCACGGTGCCTCCTGACGCGCCTCGCCGCCCGGCCCCGCCAGCACCGGCTCCGCTCGGCCGCACCCAACGCTGCAGCTGCTTCCGCTGCGCATCCCGCTGCGCAGCCAGCGCTGCTCCTGCCCGATGTGCAGCAAAGCGAGCAGCTACACATCGACTCGTACAGAGCAACGTCTTCTCGCCGCGATCGCGGATACACGGTCGTAGCAGCAGTCGCTCTATCGGATCCAGGAGGTGCCGGGCAGGCAAGCAGCCGTGCGAGCGCTGCGACGTGCGTCTCTCCAGCTCTCTACTCCTGCGCCTGAGCATCTGGGATGTCTACCTCTGGTGCAAGGCAGCCTGCTGCGGATCAGCAGTCGCCGCCGAGGTCGCTGCTGCGCGCCGTCGTCGGTGACAAGGGTCTCGCTGCGCTGGTGTCTCTCCTCGCCGGCGGATAAACTGCGGCAGCGTCACTGGGTCGCCACACCCTCGATGCTGTGCTCTGATGGACAGGGATGCGCAGACTGATCTGAGCCTTTTGAACGTCCCTGTGCTGGTTGCTGTGTGCGAGCCGAGGCAGCGTGCCACACGGAAGGCCGCACCGCTGCAGCTTCAGGGTGTTGCGGGTGACGTGGAGGCGCAGCAGCCCGCGGCACAAGGTCAGCACACGCCACGCTCGCGCCCCGCACACGACGCGCGCGGGGCAGCATCAGGGGCCGCTCCTCCGCTCCCGACCACATCCTCCACCCATCCTTCTTCGCGCATCACCCTCCGCTTCTCTCGCTCGCTCCCGCCCTCTGCCGGCGCCGAGCATGTCGGGCCCCAGCCGGCCCACGCTGCAGGAGACGCTGCGGCAGCGCCTGCCCGGGCAGCGCGCGCCGCCCGACCCCGCCGTCGCCACCGCCAACGCCGCCGACCTCACCTACGGCTGGCATGCCGATGCCTCGTCCGACGCCTCCTCTTCTTCGAACTCATTGCACAGCGATGCAGAAGGCGAGCCAGCTGAGCCTCTCGCGCCGCCCGACTGGCGCGCCGAGCGCATGGCCCGCCTCAAGGCGCACGGCGTGGACCTCGACGAGCCGGAGGGCGCGCACGAGCGCATAGCCAGCAGCGACAGCGACGATGCGCGGCAGGCAGAGCGGCAGGCCGATGCAGAGCCAGCGCCTCGCATCCGGCGGCGGCGTCGCAGCTCGTCCGCTGCCTCCTCGGCCTGCTCCTCGGCGAACAGCGCGCATGCGCAGGCAGAAGCAGAGGCGAGAGAGGCCAAGGCGGGAGAGGGATCTGGCGCTGCGCAGCAGGCTGCACCGGAGCAGCCGGCCGCGGAGCAAGCCGAGGCTCGCCCCGACGAAGATCTCATCTGCCGCATCTGCTTCGACGGCCCTTCTGCGAACGTGGCTGGCGGCGAGAGGCTGGGCAAGCTCATTGCGCCGTGCAGGTGTCGCGGCACTATGAAGGTAAGTGCTCGTCGGCGGGACCTCTCAGCCACCAGAGCTGACCTTTGCCCAGTTCGTGCACACCTCGTGCCTCACCTCGTGGCGCATGGCCTCGCGGCGCTCGACGTCGGCCATGCAGTGCGACCAGTGCGGGCAGCCATATCGCTTCCGCCAGTCGCGCTTCGTCGGCTTCGCACAGTCGCCCATTCTGCTCTTCATCGTCTCTGTGCCGCTCTTTCTGATGCTCATCTGGGCCATCGGCCTGACCACCGACGTCGCACTGCGGTCATTCGGGGGCGGCGTCGCGACGGAGCCCGCCTCCTCCCGCTGGAACCTTGTCCCCGGCGGCGACTATCATTCCAACACGTGGATCGACGACCTCGGCGAGGAGAACAGCTACTTCGAGCTGGGCTACGATTCTTGGGCGCAGAGCCGTGCCTTCTTGAAAATGGCCAAGGCCGGCCTTACGCACGTCAAAAAGGGCGGCGTCATCACCGCGCTGGCCGAACTGCAGGGCGACGAGGAGCGCCGGGAGGCTAGGCGCCTCACGCAGAGACAGGCGGAGCGCAGCAAGGTGGCCAAGCGTGGCTGGTGGAGTGAGCTCAAGTGGGTGTGGGCGAATGGCGAAGACGAAGAGGACGAGGTGGATGAGCGCTACGAGGACAGGCATTCGGGCAGCAAGAACCGAGAAGCGCAGGAGGACGAGGACGACTTCACCTCGAGCTCGTGGGCCCAGAGGATTGCACTGCAGTGTAAGTCACTCCTCTTCCTCCATCAAAACGCCTCCGCTCACTCCATCGCTCAGTCAGCTTGGGCTTCTCCGTCGTGGGCGTCAGCTCGTTTCTGACCATGCTGCTGTCGATGCCTCTGCTGCATCTGGGCAACTTCGGTCTCGGGCGCGGCTTTGTGCGCATGACTGGCGGTCGGCGACGCGGCAACGGGCGCGGTGGCGGACAGAACGGCCAGGGTGGCGATGTCGGAGCCATCGCGACAGCCGTGCTGCTCTTCCTCGTCTTCCTCGGCGTCATGCGGGCGCTGCACCTCGTCTACCGCGGCGTGCGCGCCTACACGCGCCGCATGCTCTCGCGCATCGAAGACATTATCATCGACCGAGGCGAGACGGAGGCGGAGAAGGAGGAGCGCAGAGCACACGAGGCGCAACGGGCGCCGCAGCCGGGCCTGCGCGAGCGCCTCGCCAACGTCGACGTCAAGGCCAAGCTGCTCTCCAGCTGGCAGGCGCTGCGAGAGCGCATGGCGCCGGCGCAGGTCCCGCCTGCCGCTGCTGCCGGCGCGGCCGAGTAGCCGCCTGTAGCCGCCTCCTCATGTATTCTAGTCACCAGTCTTAGTGTCACCTGCTTGTTCTGTGATCTGCTGTCGTGTCCTCTCGCAGCCTGAGCATGGTGGAGGAGCGGATAGAGAGCGGCTCACGGAGCGAGTGCGGCGGCAGCACGGCGCGCCGCCGCGCCTCTCTGCTGCACGCCGCGCGCCGCGCGCATCGCCGCGGGGCCCAGCCCAGGCGCTCCCGATCTGCGTGGCCGTGCCTGCATCTCACCACCATCCCCCGCTGTCCTCTTCGCCCACTCGTGTCCACACCTGCGCTCGCCCTCGCGCACGTCTCTTGCACGCTGCAGCGCCGCATGGCTGCGCAGTGTAGCCGCAGACTGCTGATCTAGGGCGCCTCGTCGTCCAGCGCGGCTCTCTCGCAGGGACCGTCCGTGCTCCACCTGGCGTCGGACACGTCGGACACCATGGCCGAGCCTCAGGCGCAAAGCGTCGAGGGCGCCGCGCCGGCGCTACGTCTCGCCCGTCCGACGCTTCCACACCTCAACAAGTCGCTGCCATCGCCTGGCGGTGCGTCTGACCTGCCCGAGCAGCCGCGCACGCCCGTGCTTCGCTTCGACGCGGCGCAGGGCACGCCGTCCGAGGGCAGCGAGACGAATGCGCCTGTGCCGCGCCGGCCCTTCCATCGCAGCTTGACGGCGCCGCTGAGCGCGCGGCTCGGCGCACTCAAGCATCCGGGCGGAGGCGTGGGCTCTGAGCGGCGATCGGAGCGGGCACGCGGCAAGCAGCCGGAGCGGGACCCTGCGGCAGGAGGCTCTGCCACCGGCCCGAGTCAGGGCAGCAGCACGCCTACGAACCGAGGCAGCGAGACCGGCGCAGCAGAGACTGGCGTGCCTCTGCCCGCCGTCGCTGCCGAGCATGCTGCCTCGCCCGGCGCGCAGCCCGATAATTCCCTGCGGCACGCAATGTCTGCGCCGGCTCATCTCGGCACTGGCCAGCCGAGCACCAGCACCGACACCGAGCGCCTGACGACGATGGCGAGCTACTCCAGTCTCGTTGCCGACACTCTGCAGCTGCCGATCACGACGCTGCTGCAGGTCATACCTCCGCACCTGCTCGATCCCTCGCACGAGCGGCTCAGCGCCATGAGCCTGCAGGTGCCTGTCGCCAGCGTGGAGGCGCTGCTGGAGGCGTGCCGCACCCTCAACTGGCTCTGCGCACGGATGGGCGGGCCAGATACGGGACCGAACGTCCGGGCTGATGCGCTCTCCGGCGAGGCGCCCGGCGTCACTGCTGCTCAGAGCTTTGCTGGTGCCGCTGGCCTGGCGCAGCGCGCCGCTGTGGCTGCCGCGAACGTCGGCGGGGTTGCGCCGGAGGAAGTACCGAGTGCTACCGTCGAAGCGCAAGTCGCCAGCTCGAGCAGCGGCTCGCTGCAGCTCTCGAGCACCTCGCTGGCCTCGCTGAGTCTGCCGGCCGACTTTGACATCCTCGAGATGGGCCAGCGCGTCGCCGACGTCGTCTCGGGCCAGGCGGCAGAGAACGGGGTGCATCTCGTCCTCTACCAGGGCGGGAATGTGCTGGAGTCGACTGGCTCAGAGGCAGCCGCAGTGCGAGCAGGGATGAGCGTGAGAGGCGACGAAGGGGCGGTGCGCTTCGCCATGGTTCATGTGAGTGCAGGACCTGCCAGACGTGCCCGTGCGGCCAGGCTGATGCGATATCGCCCAGGTACTCTCTCGCACAATAGCCTCCGCTCTCACTGGAGCCACGATCGAGGTCGGCATCCACATCGACAGGGCCGAGTCGGCAGAGACGTCAGATGGCAGCGAGACGCATCGCTATTCCCTGCATGTGACGCTCAGCCAGCCGCATGCTGCCGGCGCAACCTCGGCATCGGCCACACTGCGCCACCCGCCGTCTGCACAGCTGCTGCACGACACCGGCGCTGGCGTCGAAGTCGAAGAGCTTCAGCTGGGCCCAGACGACGTCTTATCAAGCAGGATACGCCAAGTCATCCGACTGCCTCTTGTCGCCGGTGCCGCACTCGTCGAAGCGGCGCATCGAGATTCGGCAGAGACTGAGGCTCGGCAGCGCTTTCTGCCAGCCCTTGAGCTGGCCGAGGAGCCGTCTGCCTCGGAGCTGGCGACCTTTGCCGCCAAGGAGCTCCGCGGCAAGAAGATCGCACTGCACGCTTCTCCGACCAGTGTCTTTGCTCGGCACCTCTCCGAGACGCTCGCGAGCTTCGGCTGTGAGACTGCGCGGTTGCCACTGGAAGGGGCGCTCCACGACTCGGAAGAGCGGCTTTGGACGGGCCCGGGCTCTGGCGAGGAGACGAACGCGCCGCGGACAGCTATCGCACTGTCCGGCAACAAGCCGAGCCTCGTGCACTATCCCAGCGACGTCGGCATGGGATCGCAGATCACAAGTGCGCCAGGCGGCCGCAGTGCCGCGCGCTCGGGGTCCGAGACCGCGGTGCTGGACCCGGTCACGGGCGTGCCCGTTGTGGTGCGCTCTGATGCCGCGCCGAAGGGCGATAGCGCATCAGAAGGACCTAGCGCGCTAACAGCACCGCCGATGACCCGCAGCGGCAGTCAGATTGTGCCGTTCAGCTTCATCATGATCGACGACGACATCGACACGCTGCAGCGCGAGCTCCTGCGCATGCGCTCTGCCATCTCGCTGCTGCACTCCGCGATGGACTCGAGTCAGCGCGGCGCAAGACCAGCACTCCGACGCGGCCCGCCGTCGTCGAACCGCCAGGTGAGGCGGCTCGTTGACGAGGACATCGCCCTCAGCGGGCGGAAAGCAGATGCCGCACCGGCGGCGGAGCGACCGAACGAGGACGAGGACGACTCGACGCATGCGATCATCTACTTTACTAGCCTGCGCAACTTCCGCATGGTGCGCGATGCCATCCAGCCCATCGTCGAGTCCGCGTCGACGCAGGTGGCGCCGCTGCCCGAGGTCATCGTTATTCCGCAGCCTGCCGGCGTGCGGCGGCTGCTGACGGCGATGCACACGGCAGTGTACAAGCCGCTCGTGGATCCCTTCTTCTCGCCCATCGCTACGAGCCCGCTGTCTCCAGTCACCGCCTCGCGCGCGGCGGGCGGTGCCGGCTGGCAGACGAGCGGAATGCCCTCTCCGGGCATGGTGCCTGGACGATCGCTTGGCGCCGACGCACCGCACATAGCGGCGCCGGCACCGCTCCGCAAGGGATCGAAATCGCCGGACCGCAAGCACGGTCTGCGTCTTGAGCTCCCTCCGCCGCCAACGATGATCAGTGCGCCTCTGCTTGCAGCAGCCCAGCAGGAGCCCACACCACGACAGGTCAAGCCCGCCGCCGCCGCCGCTGCCGCCACAGCTCCTGCTCCTGCTGAGCGCAAGCTGGCGTCTGCTCCGTCAGATTCCGTCAGCCACGGCAGCCAGCCGGTCGCCTCGGAAGGCTCGCAGCCGGCCAGCATGCCGGCTGTCGTCGCGCCTGGAGCTGCATCCGCTGCTGGCGGGATCGCCGCGGGCGCGCCGGCGAGCCCCATGCCCTTCGACGCGCTCGGCTACTTCAGCGAGACAGCGGCACGCATGGGCAGCCGCGGTGCGTCGGGCATGGTGATCCAGAGTCCCGACGGCCGGCCTGCCGGCATCTTCTTCCAGCCTGCCACGACATCCTCGCACGGTAGCCGCACGCCGGCCTCGCAGCGCAGAGGCAGCGGCGAGAACGTCAGCCAGGCCGGCGTGTCTTCCAACGGCGGTGGCGCGGCTTCAGATGGCGGCAGGCGAAAGTCCGAGTCGAGACGAGGCACCGGCGATGCCACCGACGTCACTGCGACACCCCGTACGACACGCGAGACACACGCGTCGTCTGGCCGAGGCTCTCGTCGGAAGACGCAGGGCGCCGGCACGGACGGCGGCGCGGCGGCGAGTGATTGGGCCTACCCTGCTGGCAGCCTCTTCTCGCCGCAGGTCGGCATCGAGAGTGTGCTGGCTGGCTCCAAGCCGCCGCTCGCGACCCCGCTCGACGAAGTCGCCCGCTCCAGCGCGGTGTGGGACCCCAAGCACGTCGGCATCGTGCCGTCTTCGCGTCTCTCGGGGGCCTCTGCCAAGGCTCCAAGTGTGGCAGAGGCCGGCAGTGCGCCGCAGCCGAGCGTCCACGCAGCCGAGGCTGCCAGCAGTGCTCCTGCATCGGCGCCGGCCCCGGCTCGCGAGGCCGCTCCGGAGCCCAAGTCGCCACCCAGGATCAAGCTGCCGCGCCGCGAAGGCGTCAGCGTCGCCCCGCCGCGCAAGACTGCCAAGGCTACTGCCCCGCAGGCGACATTAGCTGAGCCTGCAGGCCAGCATGCTAAACTGTCGCCCACGTCGGCCACCTCGCCGGGCTCGCCGACACTGCCCCTGGAGGCGGCAGCGCACGCGCGGCAGTCCTTTGCGTTGCCAACGCAGCCCGTGCCTCGCAGGCCGTCCGCGCAGCCGCAGTCTGGTCTGCTGATCGGAGCTGGCTTCGCGCCTACCGTGAAGAAGGGCGGTGGTCCAAAGCGGGCGCCCGTGCGCGAGAAGGTGCTGCCGCCCATCAAAGTGCTGATCGTCGAAGGTGCGTGACGTCGGGGCCAGGCCTGCGCGACGCTCAGCTGACACTCTTAGCACACAGACAACCCCATCAACTTGCGCATTCTGACCAAGTTCATGACACGCAAGGAGATTGCCTTCGATGTCGCGCGCGACGGTCGCGAGGCGGTGAACAAGTGGCAGAGCGGCGGCTTCCATCTCATTCTCGTGAGTGCCTTGGGAGCTGCCTGGTGCACAGCAGCTCACGCGCCGGGCTCCTCAGATGGACATTCAGCTGCCCGTCATGGATGGCATCGAGGCGACGAAAGAGATCCGCAAGCTCGAGCGTGCCGAGAACATCGGTGTGGTGCCGTCGACGCCGCCAGCGTCGCAGGCCGGCTCGCAGAGCAACCGCGAGCTCGACGCGCCGCCGCCGCTGATTGCCACACCGATGTCGCCGAACATGGCGGCGCAGACGCCCTTCCGCGCCTCGGTCATCATCGTCGCCCTCACGGCCTCGGTGCTCAACTCGGACAGGGTCGCAGCGCTCGCGGCCGGCTGCAACGACTTCCTTAACAAGCCGGTCAACCTCAACTGGTGCGTGCCAGCGTGCTGCCGAGTGACATGTCAGCTGACGCCACTCTACCCTCAGGCTCGAGCGCAAGCTGTGGGAGTGGGGCAGCATCCAGTACATTGTGCTGTCTGGTCAGCTGCGCACCAGTGCTGCGCTGCCGCCCGGCGCTGCGGCACGCGGCCAGTCGGCGCTGGCGGCGGCGCGCGAGAGCAGCGAGGTGCGGCGAGGCTTTGGATCGGGGCCCGATGCGCTGGCGAAGCGCGTCGCCTCGTCGCTGCACATCAACCGCCGCTCGTCGCCGGCGCTGCCCAGTCCGAAGAAGTCGGTCAAGCTGGCTGCAGCGGAGCCAGCTCCGGCTGCGGCGCCTGTCATCAACGTCAAGGACATCGACACGCAGCAGGTCTCCGAGGCCACGCCGACGGTCGCGTCCGTCCGACAGGGCTTGGCGGAACAGGCTGCGCTCGCCGTTACGGAGCCCGACGCTGTCGCGCCTGAGCTCGCTGATGCTACTGCCGAGCCGTCTTCCGAGAGCTGAGCGGCGAGCGGTTGTCCTTCCCCCGTCACACATGCAAGCAGCCCCTGTGCACCGGCGTGTTCTGCTGCAGCGCTCTGAGCGCGGAGCGTGCCTGGCAGCGGGAGTGACACATCTCGCGAGCTCGCCAGGGCAGCCCGAGCGGCAGCCTGCACTCCAGTCGCTCTTCTCAGATTCGCCTGTCGACGACATTTCTCTTTCGCCGAGCCGCAGCGGAGCCGTTCGGGGCGTGCTGGCAGACGCCGGTGGCCGCAGCGTGCCTGCTGCTGCGGCTAATCAGCGGAGGCGGGGAAATGCACGCCGCAGCAGAGGCGGCGCCGCCGAGCTGCGCTCCGCATGTCCCATCCTTTGAGCTTCGCGGAGCTCGCGATGTAGCGCCACCATGCCGGCTGTGCTTCCGCCGCTTTGGCGCAGGAGAGACAGACGGTTCAATCAAGAGGATTCAGGCTTGCGCACGTTGGTGCGTGACTGCGGGAGAGTGGTGAGGCTCACACGCCAGCCGCTGCTGGCCTGCGTCTCACCAGCAGCGCCGGTGATGAGCGAGAGAAACAGCCGCTGCTTCTTGCAGCCGGTAGCATGGGCACGAGGCCAACGCAAGATCTGCAGTATCCGGGTCATCTCCAGGTGGCGCTTGCATGCTCGAGCAGGTGGCGCCAGGTGGGCTTTGCGGCCAGGACCCCAGGGTAGCCTGCATGTGCGAGGGCAGGCAGGCAATCCTCGGCTACCGGCGAGGCGTCTCAGAGGCAAGTGAATGCTCCGTCGAGGGAGAGCAAGCCGGGCAAGACAAGCGAGGCGGAGAGACGTGTGCTCAGAGACACGGGCTGCCCGGAGCGCCACCATGCCGCATGGTGCGACGGCTGCTTCTGCTGCAGCGCGGCAGGCGCAGGTGTGCCGGCAGCGGACGCGGCGTCTCCTCCTTCTCGCGCTTCTCTTCGGCCGCCGCAGTCTGCGCTTATGTCTGTCTGCAACGGCCGTGCCTGGCAGCACGCACCTGTCGCCCGTTCCCCGCTTCAGGCGGCGCCTTTGCATGAGCAGCGAGCGAGCGGACGGCCATGCGGCATCCTGCGGTGGCTGCAGCGTGCAGGTGCAGCCGCGGCAGCGGTGCAGAGGGGCGTGCTCATGGGCTCACCGCAGCGCCGGCACCGGCTTCGGCACCGACAAGGACCGCTGCGTCCTGCGTGCAGCCGCCAGGTGCAGCCGCAGCCGCAGCAGGCTGTGCGTCTGCTCTGCTGCGGCAGCCGGAGTAAGCGGATGACCGGCGCGTCACGCATCCTGCACGCAGGCCGCGTGCCTGTCACACCCGCCTCCGACCGACGGCGCCGCGTCCCTCCGACTCGCCTTGCCTGCCGCCGCAAAACTGCCTCAGCCAGCGCAGAGGCTCGGACTCGGACAGGAGATTTCCGCAGGCAGTTTCTCCAATCTCTGGCCAGTTGGCGGGGCCGTCAGAGCGCAGCAAAGCCGCACGGCGGCGGTGTTGCGGCCGACCCTCGCAGAAGTCACGCGAAGGTCAGCCCGCTGTGGCGCGGTGCCGCGCGAGGCACCAGAGCGCAGCAAGAGCTCGGCGAGACCAACACCGCGAGACCAACACCCGCTGCCGCCCGAGACCAACACCTGGCGCCTCGCCGCGTGCCGCGCACCGCCGCTGACGTGCCCAGGCCCGTCCTCCGCCTTGCGCCCAAGACCGGGCCGCGCGCGTCGCCCTCGTCTCGCCGCGACGTCAGCGTGCTCGCAGGCAGATCGTCGATCTCGGCGCTCGCCAGACCCATCGCCAGCCGTCCCGAGATTCGCCATGACCCGCTCGCGCAGGTTTGGCGTTCCTCGGCGCTCGCTGTGGACGCTCGTTGAGCACGTCGCGGCTCCTCTTGCTCGCTGGCGAGAGGTGACACGGAAAAGGAGAGGATCTGCAAGCTGCCGCGAATGTCCGCCATGCCGCTCTGCATGCTGCTCGCCTGGGCGGCGAGCGTGCGACCGGGACAGTGGGGCGGGCGTGGGAGAGGTGCAGCTTGCAGGTGGCTGCTGCTTGCTGCAGCTCGCAGCCCTGCAGCGCATGGCCTCGCAGCGGCATGGAGCGACCACGAGGCGGGAGCTTGAGCCCAGCACGGCGGAGGCAGCAGCAAGCAGCGAGACAGCAGCAAGCAGCGGGCCCGCTGCCGCAGCTTGCCCGGCGCTGCTGCATGCACCTCAAAGCTATCTCTGCTGCCTCGTCCTCGTCTTCTGCCGAGCCGCGCCCTCCCGCAGCTGCGAGCTGCGAGCTGCATGCACACGTCTTTGCCCGACTCCGGCTGCGCTGGCGTGCGGGCCGAGCCGTCGGCGCGGCGGGCGCGGCGGGAGACGCACGCGCAGCGCGGCACGCCCTTCGCACAAGCCATGTCGCCCGATTCGCGCCCGCAGAGGAGATGTCTCGTCCAAAAAGCCAGCACCTTTCCGCTCATGGGCCCCTCATTCAGGCGCGCAAGCCTCGCCTCGGCGCAACTTTGGCCTGGACCGTGGGCTCTGAGCAACGTTCTTCCCCCTCGAGAGCGCAGTCGCACGAAAGCAAGCGGCGGTGGCTTGCGCCTGAAGAGGCTCCGACATACGCGCGCCATGCTTCATGCTCGCCGAGGCTCCGGGACACTCAAATTCATCCTTCCCGGCCGGAGCACGCACATTTCTCGCTGCGAGCATGTCCGTCGCCCGTCGGCTAGCGGACAGCAGCCGCACGCCCCAGCACCAGACCGCGGCGCTCCGCGCTGGCGGGCCGGGCGTGTGAGGTGATCTATCGTGGCACGATGGCCGCCGCCGCCGGCTGTCTGGGATGGTGTGCGAGAGCGAGGTGCAGCGGGCGTGCGCTGGCACTAGTCGTGCTTCCGCCGTCACAGTGTCGCAACCGTCGGGGACGTGCGTTGCCAAGCGAGGTGCAGGCCCGGCGTCCCGCCATGCTCCACCGCCGTTGCATGACGCCTCCGAGCTGTCCAACCGCCGTGCGGAGAAGATCCCACCTGAACGCTGGCTGGCAGCGACCAGATATTCGGATTTCTCCTCTGCTGCGGCGTCGGCTGCGCGAGAGCCGCTGCGGCGAGCCGCGGCTCGCTGTTCGACGGATGCTCGGCCAGCGGTCGGCCCGGGGGGCGTGGCGGCACACGCGCTTCCGCTGTGCCGCCGCCGCTGCCATGCTGCCATGCGTGCGAGCTGCGCCTTGCTGCCCAGCCTGCGGTGGATCTGCCCGCTCTGCGTCGCTTCCGGCACCGGCCGCACCGCTCGAGCGCCGCGTGTGCTGCGGCTGTGCTGCAAGCTGCTGCATCTCCCGCAGCCGAGTGACGAGCCCGAGAGGCTCTCCCGTGCCGCTTCCGTGTAGCGCGGCCGTTGGCGGCGCAGCCGCTGCAGCGTTGCGTTGTGTTGCGTGCTGCAGCGCGAGGCGTGCTCCTCCTGCACTGCCCACGCGCTGGCAGCCCACGCATCCACCCGCTCGGCCCTCCGGCGCCAGCGCCGAGCGGCGAGCGCCATCTTGGGGCCCACGAGGGCGGCGATCAGCGCGGGAGCGGCTCCGCATCGCCTGATCGTGCCGGAGGGGGCACGGGCGTGCGGCTGCGCATGCCTCGGCGCGTCACGCCTGCGCCCGCGACGATCAGGCGCCGCTGCCTCAACAGGCACGGCGTGTTGCGCCTGCTGCCGCGCGCGGCCGGGAGAAGCAGGATCGACGCTGCAGCGGCCCGCTGTCGCTGCACCGTGACACGCTCTGGCCCTCCGCCTTGCTCTGCGCGGGCGGAGCAGGCGCGGCGAGAGCAAGAGGGTCCGCCGAGGTGTTGGTGTGTTGCTCTCCTGCGCGCGCGGCGCGTGGGCCCGCCGCCCGCGGCGGCGCGCCCTTCTCGCCCTTCTCTCCTCGGCTGCGGGCCTGTCCGCTGCAAATGCAACACCACCGCCGTGCGCGCGCGCGTGTCCCGTCTGATGGGCCGCCGCGCCCAGAAGCGGACGCATGTGTCCTGATGCAGGAAGGTGCAGCTGCGTGCAGCAGGGTGCAGCTCACAGCACGCAGCGCCGCCCGCCGGCGCCCTGCCGCAGCCGCACGCTACCTCAACAGCGGGTGATGCGATGTGGCGGCGGGCGGGCGAGGACGCTCCATCGGGCAGCGCGCGGCTGCGAGAGGGCGGCGGTGTTGGAGGCGGCGCCTTGCGCGTGTGCCTGAGGCCAAGGTGCAACATGCGGGAAGCAGCACACACGCACGCCGCCCGCATCCGCGTCCGCATCACGCAGGTGGCTGCGACAGAGTGCGGCCGCTGGCTGCGCGCGCGGCACCTTGCTGTGCCGCGGCCTGCTGCTGTGCTCTCTCTGCGATCAAGTCACTTCCGCTGCAGCCTCACCTCACTGCTCCCTCTCGCACCGGCCGCCTCCCTTTGTCGATCCATACTTGACGCTGGCCCTCTCTGCTCCTCCTCCACCACCTCCTCCTCGCATCCACCTGCGTCTCCCTTTATCCTCGTCCGCGCCCCGCCGCCCACTCCCCTCCACCCTCCTTTGTGCCTCGTGCATCGCTAGCGCGCCAAGTGGCTCCTTTCTCCTCCACGCGACACCGCCCACTGCCCACCGCCCACCGCCCACCGCCATCCGCCATCCGCCCAACGCACAGCTCTCTCCCTGCGCCGCGCGCGAGGGCCCATCGCCCAGCCGCACCTCATAAGCGCAACCCCACACCCTCTCCTCCATGACCGCCCTCCTCTCCTCACCCATGGAGCCCCGCATGCGCTTCGACTCGCTCTTCCAGGCGCAGGCGTCGCCCAGCTACGCGCACGACGAGCTGCCCGCCGAGTTCGGCGACCGCTCCTTCGGCTCGTCGATGAGCCTCGGCTCCTCCTTCGAGCTCTCGACGGCCGGCAGCGCGCACGACCTCGCCGCCCGCGTCTCGCCGTCCACCTCGTTCACCACGCAGATGCGCCTCGTCGCCGCCGCCGGCAGCAGCAGCGCCCGGCGCGGCGAGCAGGGCCGCCTCGGCGCCGCGCTCGGCACCGTGCTCAACACCAAGTCGCCGCACCTCGCCGCCAAGCTCAGCTCGCCGTACTACATGGACATCTCGCCGCAGCTGGCCGCATCGTCGTCGGCGCTGCGCAGCGAGACGCCCGTGCGCCGCTCCAAGGGCTCGTCGGGCAGCAGCGGCGGCCGCCGCACGCGCGAGTCGTCGCCGGTGCTCGGCGCCCTGCCGCCGGGCAGCGCCATGAAGGAGGACACGCCGCACGGCGACGCCCGCAAGCCGGCGTCCGGTGCCTTTGCGCCGCCCAGCGCCGGCGGCTCGCTCGGCCGCCTCTTCGGCACCGAGCTCTCGCTGAGCAACGCGCTCAGCGACACGGACAGCAGCCCGGACAAGGAGCCGCCGATGAAGCGGCGGCCAGCGTCGCTGCCTCTCGGCGGCGGCGAGAACCACTCGCGTCCGAGCATCCGCTCCGCACTGGCTCCGTCGGGCTCGTCCATCGGGTATGTCGCTGACGAAGTGTCGCTGGCTCGCGCTCTTGCTCATCCCTTTGTCCACTCAGGCGGCGGCCGAACCTCATGAAGAGCATGACGCAGCAGCCCGCCTCCTCATCAGGCGTGCCGGCGCGGAAACGCGCCAGCCTCGAGGCCCTGCAGCGCAACGTGAGTTCAGCAGCCCATGTCGCTCAGCGCAGGCGCTGATGCCTCTCTTCACGCACAGTCCGACTCGCTTGTGCACACCCTCGGCGGCGTCCACGCCCGCAGCCGCTCGCACTCCGCGGAGTCGACCTCCTCTGAGCTCAAGCCATCCACGTTCAACGACCAGCGCCCCATGCACAGCCCGATCCTGGAGTCCCCACCAACTTCCGCCATGGAGCAGGGCCTCGGCTCGTACTTCTTCGACCCGCACTCGCCCGAGCACGCGCCGGCCGCACCTTGCAGCACCGCACGGCGGCCGAACCTCTCGTTGCATCTCTCGTCCTCGCCCAACAGCTCGCCTGTCAAGCAGCAGCCGCGACCGGCTCCGCGCAACGCCCTCGGCAGCCGCGTCTTCGAGAAGACGGCGTCCTCAGCGGTGCTGCCGACGTTCAGCCAGGCGCTCGGCATGAGCGGCGCAGGCCCGGCCAAGTCCTCGCTCGGCAAGCGCGCCAACCCATACGCTCGCCGGCCGGCTCTGGCGCCCATCGTCAGCGCCACCATGGGCGACTGCGACCGCGCCCTCAAGTCCGCCTACCCCGTGCTCGGCAGCAGCCAGGCGTCGCGCCTGACTGCGCCGGCACCTCGCCGGTCTATGTCCGCCGCCGACCACTCCGGCGTGCTCGGTCACGACCGCCGAGCCAGCAACGGCAGCGGTGGCGAGCGGATGATGATGCTCGCCGCCGACATGTCCTCTCCCGACGGCGAGCGGCGCTTCCCGCCCGGCTTCGATGCGAGCGGCTCGCCCATCGCCTCGTCGGCTCGCCCGCGCGCACGCCCCGCGCTGCTGCGCCAGACCAGCAAGGACGACACCTCGCCGCTCGGCTACGGCAGCAAGCGCGCCGCCGAGGACCGCGGCATCAGCCTCAACGAGCCGTCCATGGCTGGCTCGCCGAGCTACGGCGCCGAGTGCATGCCTGGCTTCGGCGCGTCGGAGCGCGAGGGCAAGGTGCTGCCGTGCTTCACGGCCAAGGCCGACGGCCTCATGCGCATCTCGCCCGCCACGCTCGTCGACGTGCTCGAGGGCCGCTACCAGGATGAGATCAAGGACTATCACGTCATCGACTGCCGCTTCGGCTACGAGTACGACGGCGGCCACGTGCCCGGCGCCATCAACCTCAGCACCATCGAGCGCGTCAAGGCGCACATCCTCACCGCCGGCCAGGGCCTGCACGCCAACCAGCCGCTGCCGCTGCGCACGCAGAGCGGACGCTGCGACGGGGATGGCAACCGGCGCAAGACGGTGCTCATCTTCCACTGCGAATTCTCCTGCAAGCGTGCGCCCTCGCTGGCGCTGGCGCTGCGCCACGCCGACCGCGCGCTGCAGCAGGACTACCCGTCGTGCCACTTCCCCGAGCTCTACATCCTCGAGGGCGGCTACTGCGCCTTCTTCAAGGCGTTCCCGACGGTGTGCCAGCCGCAGCGCTACGTCGAGATGGACGACCCGACGTACTGCGACCAGCGCTCGTCGGAGATCAGCGGCTTCCGCAAGCAGTTTGCGCCCAAGCAGCCCTTCAACCGCCACCGCTCCTTTACGTTTGGCGAGCGCGTCGTCAGCACCGAGGGCATCCCACTCGGCGCGCCCGGCTTCGGCCAGACACACACGATCTGCGAGGAGGAGAGCTCCTTTGAGGACTCGCCGAGCGCTGCTCAGGCACATGCGGCCCGCAACAAGCGCCCGCTGCTGCAGCCGGCGTCGAAGCCGGCGCCCTTTGGCTCGTCGCAGCCCGCGTCCTTTGGCGCCGCCAACGTCGGCGACACGAGCTTCGGCAGCTCGGTCGGCGACTCGTCCTTCGAGGAGGGCCCGAGCGACAGCCCCTGCGCGGTGGCTGCTCGCCGTCCGACTGCCTTCAACGTCGGCGCCCTCGCCGACTCGCTCGACACGCCGCGCCAGACGCTCTCTCGCGGCCTCGGCGGCCGCGTGATGCAGCGCGCCAACACCTCGGCCAACGTCCTTGGCCGCTGAACAGCCGCCTCCTTCTCCTTCTCCTCATTCCCTGGCTTCATCTCATGATACCCACCCCAACTGCATTGGCTCCTACATTCATTCGCTACCCACCGTGCCTCATCTTGTCGCCCGCTCCGCCGCGCCCCTGCGCGGGTCTATTGGCGGACGTGCTCTCTGCGCCGTCCTGTGCTGCACCTACATTGTCTACACTGTGAATCAACGCCGCTATTGCAACCTGCCTCTGCAGTGTTTGGGACTCTTTGGCGACGCCGACCGCCGGGTAGAGGAGCTTCCGCGACGGCCGCCCGGCTGTCCTGCGCCGTCTGCACCCGCTTCTCCCGCCCTTCCCGTGCGGCGCCATGGAGTGTTTGTGCCGCTCGGCGCAGTCTTGATGCAGCTTCTCCCTGAGCCTCGGGCCATGCTCGAGCCGCCGCTGAGCTGGAATACCCGCGTTCGCTGTCCTCGAGCGGCGCGCAACGGCGGAGCACGGGCGGGCTCGGCGCGCGACATGCGCCATCCCATGGCACCGCGAGCAAGCAACACGCGCGCATCCCCCACCCAGCGCCTGCCTTCCTGCAAGCCCGCCCACGCCGGCAGCAAGCAGGGGGCAGCTCAGCTCAAGATGATGTACCGGCCGAGCTTGAGCGCTGCCCGAGCACAAGACGGAGCTTCATGCGCCTGCGATATACGACATGCGGCTCCGCTGCTTCCGCAGGACACGGCGGCCGGACGTTTGATGCGGGGCCAGCCCTCTGCGTGCCGAGGACGCAAGACAAGCAGGACCCTGCTCCGCCTCCCATGCTCCCTCACCCCACAGGCCACCCCTCCGACTGCACCCCGCAAGCACCTCTCATACCTCGATGCGTGCACCTCTCGCATGTGCGCAGGCGGCACTGCTGCTCGCCGCATTCTGTCTGGCGCATCAGCAGCAGTCGGGCGCCGAGCTCGACGCCGATGCCGACGTCGATGCTGGCGCACCTCCGCTGCTGCTTGGCCACGAGGCGCTCTCGGCGCGCATCTCCGCCGAGCGCGAGGCCCGGCGCATGATGCCGCAGACGAGCAGCGCCGGGAGCAGCAGCCTGAGCAGTGCACGGCACCAGCGGCGCAGCTTCATCGCTGCGTCACTTGATAGCGTCGATGGCCCGCTCGTAGGTACCTCGGCCGCCTGGCATGTGCCCGGCGAGCTCGGCCACGGCCACACGCACGCACGCCGAGCTGCGGCCCGCAGGCGCGCCCTCCTGGCGCAAGCCACAGCCGCCGCCGCAGCCGCCGATGCCGCACAGCCGCGCTCCCTCGCCGCCGGCGCCGTGCCGCCGCTGCCGCCGCTCCTCTTTGCCCGCCATCTGCTCGACGAGCATGGCGCCTTGGCGTGGCACGACGACGACGCCGCGTTGGCCGAGCGCGATGTTGATCCGGCCGCATCGTGGCTGCTCAACGCCGTCGTCAAGGAGGCCCAGCCGCTGGCCGAGGGCAGTGCTGCCATGCAGCAGCAGTCCGATGCAGCGCGCCAGCTGTGGGACAAACACAACAACCAGCCGCAAGCACAGCCTGAGCAGCAGGACACCGACTGGGATGAGCAGCCCGAGAAGCAGGATGCCTCGCCGCCGCCGGATCAGCACAGTGCGGCGCCCGAGCCCGAGCTCGACCCTCCGACTGATGCGCCAGACGCTCCTCCGGCGGAGAGCAGCCAGCCACCGGCCGGTGCCTCGAGCGCGCCTCCGCCGCTGCAGACCACAAGCGTGTCGGCCTCGAACAAGCCAGCTGCGCCGGCCATTCTGATCGCGCAGGAGGATGACGATGACTCAGAGGCTGATGCAGAGGGAGAAGACGAGGACGGCGATACCGTGAACGGCCAAGATGGGTCAGCGGAAGACGGGCAGGACGGCCAGGATGCCTCAGGGGAAGACGGAGGGAACGCCAATGGCGAGGACGCGACTGGAGCTGACGGCGAGGACACGGAGGACCAGGATGACGACCAGCAGGACTCAGATGGAGAAGTCGGTACTGAGCTGCCGGTGGCTGTGCGAGTCATCAGCATGGACCAGCAGCGTGTCGCTGCGTCCACAGCCGCGTCCAGTTCGCGCACGGCGGCGCCGACTGCCAAGGCCTCGTCTTGGCCACGCGGCTCGAAGGACGCAGGCAAGACGTGGAAGCTCTCGCCCGATTTCAAGGACTTCTCAGAGTTCAAGATCCTGCGCTGGTCGAGCGGACAAAGCAACAGCCAGGTCCTGCGCAAGGGGCTACCTCCTTATGCGTACGCCAAGCCGGCAAAGACCGGAGGAACAAAGGCACAGGGAGTCAGTGGTGCCACAGGTCCCACCACAAACAGCACACCAGATCAAGACGGCGGTGAAGTGTGCGCCGCTGGCGGAGAAGACGACGAGGAGGAAGAGGAAGAGGAGCCAGAGGAGCCTCAGACCACGAGCCCCGCTACTGCGACAGGATTGGTCGGCGATCTGCTCGGCGGTGTGCTGGGCTCGATCTTGACGCTGCGACACGAGTTCAGTCCGGCACCGCAGCGACGACAGATCGAGGCGCTGGACCGGCCCATCGGCTCCGTCTTTGGCGTGACTGTGGCGCAGGGCAAGAGCGTCATCGAGACGTTCTATCCTGCAGGTGCGTCGAGCTTGCATCAGCGATCTCCTGCAACTGTCACTCACTGCTCGCTCTGCGCGCTGCAGGCTCGTCCAACCCCGGAGGCACGCCTGTTGGCGGCTCGCAGTTCTACGCGTTGACGCCCTTTGACCTGCGTCGGTGCCCAGCCAGCCGCCTTTGCAGCACGTCGCTGACCCTCGTGTCACAGGTCCTGCGCTGACGGTGACGCTGGCGTATGACGTCTTTGTGCCTGCGTCGTTCGAGTACGTACAGGGCGGCAAGCTGCCGGGCCTGTACGGCGGGCGCGAAGAGTGCTCGGGCGGCGACGAGGCGGCCGACTGCTGGAGTGCACGCTTCATGTGGCGCACCGACGTGAGTGCCAGCGCTTCGCTTCACAGGGAGCTCATCTGACGCTGCTGCGGCATAGGGCGAGGGCGAGGTGTACCTCTACGTGCCGCAGGATCGCCAGGATCCGTCCATCTGCGACGTGCCGCCAAAGTCGGTCTGCGACGTGAGTTCTGCCACGCAAGCACGGCAGCGCCGCATCTGATCCCCCTTTTGCAGTCCTCCTACGGCGTCTCGCTCGGCCGTGGGTCGTTCCACTTCACCCGCGGGGCGTGGACCAGTCTCTCACAGACAATCTTCCTCGGTGCGCGAGATCGTGCGGGTCGAGTGTGCATGTAGACGCTGACGCCACATCGGACCAGGCTCGGGCACCAAGCCCGACGGCTCGATCCGCGTCAGCGCCAATGGCAAGCAGGTGCTGTCGTTCAACAAGGTCCTCTACCCGTCAGCGCACAAGGGTCTCTTCTTCTCCACGTGAGGCAGCTGAGGTGTGATCATGGCACGATGCTGACACGCGAGGCATCGCAGCTTCTTCGGCGGCCACGGCCCGTGAGTACACCTGGCGCACGACTTAGAGCCGTGACTCACCGTTCGCCAACTACTCACAGGGACTGGGCCACGAAGAAGAATCAGGCGCTGTACTTCCGGTGTGTCGAGTGCCGCTGCTTGCCTGCTCTGCGCGTGCTCATCCTCTCCGCACGCCGCAGCAACTTCTCCGTCAAGGTCGTCAAGTAATGCCCCGTTCTCACCCTGCCGCAGACGTCCGTATCTCTGCTATAGATACATTCGGCACGGTCGCGCTCAGTCCCAAAGATATATACCCAGCCAACCCCCCTCATGCCTGGCTCCTCCGTGCGCGCTTGCTTCTCCGCTCGCCCGCGGCACCGACGCTAGACTCGCGCTTGAGCTGATCCTCTGCGTCCGGCTTCTCCTCCGTCTCCTCCTCCTTGGCCTCCTCTTTGGCCTCAGCCTTGACCTTGCGCGCCTTGCCCTTGGAGAGCAGCCCAGCGTTGCGCAGTGCACAGCCATTGAGCGCTGGCCGTCCGTCGCGCAGCGCGCGGGCATCCTTCGTCTCGCTCTCCTCGTCGCCGCTGTCTGCCTCCTCCTTCTTCACGCCCTCCTCCTGCTTGACGCCGTTCTCCTGCTTGGCGGCAGGCTCCGGGGAGGTCGAGGGAGTGCGAATCTCGTCCTTGACCGTGGCGAAGCCCTTGGCGGAGCAGTTCGGGCAGCGCTTGCCGTGCGAAATGAGCAGCACATGCAGGCCGTACTTGAGGTCGTCGGGCACACGCGACGAGAGGTGGTAGCTATGCGTGGCATCAGCACCGCAAGTGGAGTAAGTCGCAGCAGGACACTCACTACGTCTGGTCGCGCGTCGCCTTGTCCGGCACCCAGCCGAGCGCCTTGCAGAGGCGCCACACGTGCGTGTCGACGGCCATCTCGTCGTTGCCGATGCAGAAGGCCGAGCAGCAGCTGGCCACCTTGGGGCCCACGCCGTTGAAGGCGACGAGCTCTTCCATCACTTGCCGCGATGGCGCGCCGTGCAGGTGGTCGAGCGAGAGCTTGCCGTGCAGCTCGAGGGTGCGGGAGAGGATCTGGGAGAGGCGCGAGAACGACATCAGCTGCTGCGTGGAGCGAACACCACGAGTACCACTCACGCCTTGGATGATGCCGGCCTTGCGGTCGTGCAGGCCGCCGCAGCGGATCGTCGCGGCGAGCTCGGCGTGCGGCGCATCGAGCAGCGCCTGGAAGTTGTTCTTGCCGTACGCCTCGACCATGGCCTTGTGCGCGGCAGTGCTGTTGCGCGACGAGGTGTTGCACGAGAGGACGGTGCGGATCAGCGCATCAAGCACGTTGGAGCTGCACGGCGCGCGTGTCAGCAGGCAGCGAGGCACAGCGTCTCCAGCAAGGCCTCACACATTGCCGCAGCCGCCGAAGCTCTCCTCCTTCTTCTGCGCCTTCTTGCCCGTCGGAATGGCGCGGTAGCCGTGCGCGTCGGCGAGCAGCTGCGCCACTTCCTGGCAGTCCTGCGGCGTGGGGCGCGCCCACGTGGGGAAGGGCCCCTCGTCGAGCGAGGCGCGCAGCGAGGCAATCTTCTTCTCGGCCGCCTTTGCCTGCGACGCCGGCGTCGAGGCGGGCGTCTTCTTGGACGGCGACGGCGTGCTGGGCTGCTCGGCCTTGACCTCGCGCTTGACGCTGCTGCGCGTGGCCGAGCGCGGCGCGGCCGGCGGCGGCGAGGCTGATGAGCCGGCCTTGGTGGGCGTGGCGGCGGCAGCGGCGCCGCGTGTGGAGGTGCGCGAGGCGCGGGGCATGGCGGCAGCGGCGACGGCCTGGAGCGCGGGGCGGAGCGGCGTGAGGCGGAATATGGTGGTGCTGCGGATGCGTGGGTGCGTGTGCAGCTGCGTGTGTTGCTTGTGGTGGTTGTCGAGAAGCAGGGAGGAGCAGCAGCAGCGGCCGGCGGCGCGGTGCGGCAACGCCTCGACGTCATGCTGCGCGTTTGGTCAGCGGCGCGGCTGCGAGATGCGGGCGGGCGGGTGACTGCTGGAGAGCGTGGGAACAGCGGCGCACCCGCCTCGTGCGCTCCCCTGGCCTCACGTCAGGGCCCACGCAGCGTGCTGCGCGCTGCGCCGGGCCATGCTCAGCTCCTCCACCACCCACCTGCACCCACCATGGCGCGCACCCACGCCCGTCTCGGCCTCGCGCTCCTCGTCGCGCCGCTCGTGCTGCTGCTGCTCGGCGTCGGCCTGCTGGCGCACCAGCCCGCCGCGGCCCCGCGCCTCGCCGCCCTCTGGCCGCTGCGCACTGCTCAGCCGGCGCGCCACAGCGGCGCCGCCGTGCACACCTTCACCCTCGCCTCGTCGCACGTCCACGAGCTCGGCGGCCGCCGCTCCGCCTCCTTCAACGCCTCGGCCGCGCCGCTCGCCGCACTCGCCGCGCTGCCGCAGCGCCCCGAGCCGCTGACGCTGCGCTCCTACCGCGCCGACATTACGCGCCCGCGCAACGCCCGCGCCCACACGGCCGCGCGCCTGGCCGCTGCAGCCCACGTGCCCGAGCTTGAGTGGGAGACGCTCTCGATGCCGCACCCCAACATCAGCGACCGGCACACGCTGCGCACGCTGGCGCGCATGGCCGAGATTGCCTACTACGCGCCCAACGACACGAGTCTGCCGCACGGCGGCTGGGTGCCCGACGCCGGCTGGAACATCAGCCAGAGCTTCGGCTGGGCCGACGACGGCATGCGCGGACACGTCTTCATCGACCCCAAGGCGGACCCGCACGGCAAGGACATCGTCGTGCTCGCCATCAAGGGCACCAGCGCCAGCGTGCTGCCCGGCGGCGGCGACACGGCCAAGCGCGACAAGGTCAATGTGAGTGGCCGGAGGAGCGGGGGGCAGGGGAGAGAGGGGGGCATGGCAGCGAACGTGGTCGAGTGCAAGGCTGGAGCGCAGCGTCTGCTGTGTCCCTGGCTCGGAGCTCACGCCGGCATCTCACAGGACAACCTGCTCTTCTCGTGCTGCTGCGCGCACGTCGGCTGGACATGGCGCTCCGTCTGCGACTGCTTCGGCTCGTCGGACCCGCCGCCGTCGCACACGACGGACGTGCCGGAGCCGACCGACGGGCCCTGGGGCGCATCGGCGGCGCGCAAGCGTGCGCAGGTGGCGTGGGGCGCCGACCCCAAGGCGCCGACGTGCTCCAAGCCGTGCCTCAGCACCGCGCTCGTGCAGAAGTCCCTCTACTACCCCGCCGCGACCGATCTCTTCAACAACGTGTCGTATGCGTTCCCGGACGCAGACATCTGGGTGCGTCGAGTGTAGCGCCGTGGCACTTGCTACATGCTTATCGCCCGCTCATGCTCACAGATCACCGGTCACTCGCTCGGCGGCGCCATTGCCTCGCTGCTCGGTCACACGTTTGGCGTGCCCGTCGTGACGTTCGAGGCGCCGGCTGAGCGCATGGCGGCGCAGCGTCTGCACCTGCCCATGCTGAGCAAGCACGCGTCGTCGGAGCACATCACCAACGTGTACCACAGCGGCGACCCCATCCCCAGTACGTCGCCTCCGTTTCCTGGCCCTGCAGCACCGACTGACGGCGTTCTGCAGTGGGCGAATGCGTCGGTGCAGCCTCGTGGTGCGCCACGGCCGGCTTCGCAATGGAGTCGCGCTGCCACACGGGCCGCACGGTCCTCTACGACACGACGCGTCTGCTCGGCTGGAGCTCCAACATCCTGACGCATCGCATCGCCAATCTCATCGACGATCTCTTCGCCACCGACTGGGACGAGCTGGTGCGCGGGCGCCAGAAGGACAAGAATCCGCCGCCGATTCTGGACGATGAGCTGGAGAAGCTCAAGGCGGTGCCCAAGACGATTAGCGAGAAGAAATGCACCGGTGCGTAGAGCAGTCTAGACGTAGACGCGCAAGTGGCTGACCCGCTCCACTTGCTCAGACTGCACCGGCTGGAAGTTCACCGACGACGAGCCGGACAGCATGCGGCCCAGCCGCACGCGTCTAGGCCTGCACGAGGACGACTTCTGATGGCCCAGCCGACGCTCCCTTATTCGCCTGCGGACCCTACTACCTGTCTCCAGCGACTCCTATCTGTACACCACACTACCTGTCACATACCCATTGGACCGCACACCGCTCGAGCGACAACGCACGCTATGATTGCGCCGCTTCTGCCTCCTTCTGTCCCGCGCCCTCAGTGTGTGCTGCCAGCTCAGCAAGCCAGCTCTCGCAGACATGGTCGCCAAGCGTATCGCTGGCGATGCGTCGTCGCGCCGCCGCACGCTCCTCGTCCGTTGCGTCGGCGTCGAGAGCGCGTGCGAGCTGTCGCCCCAGCGTTGTGGGTGCGGCGTCGAAGGTGGCAGCCGAGGAGAGGTAGGAGAGCTTGACTTCGAGTGCGGCTATTGTGCGCGCCTTGCTGGGCCGCACTGTCGTCAGGGTAGGAGAGACGTCTGGCGAAGGTGGAGTCAGTCTTTCGGCGGAGACGGCTGCCTCTGCTGCACGTACCGAGCCGATCACACAAGTCCATCAGCCGTCGCTGCACGAAGTCAAGCGCTCCGAAGCGGCCCACGTCCTCCCACTCCGTGTCCTCATCCACCAGCTCGACGTCCATCTGCCGCGACTTGTCTTTCTGTCGTGCCGAGGCCTCCTTCATCGAGGCGTTGTGCTGCCGTGCCAGCTCGGCGCCGCAGAGAGAGGCACAGCGCTCGAAGAGATCGTCTGGCGGCAGGTAGGGCAGCTCGCTCCACTGCAGCGCGGGTCAGTGGCCTGACAGCACGAGAGAGCCGAAGAGGTGCTCACGGGCTGTAATGTTGAGAGAATGGGCAGCAGGAGGAAGAGTGGGTCGATGGGCGCAAGCAGATGCAGTGCGCCGTCTGGACAAGAGCAAGTCAGCCACGCCGCGGCGCAGCACCGCGACGGCTACACGCACCGCGCACCACCTCTCCCTCGCCCAGCAATGCCGTTGCAGGCGTCTCAGCCTCCTCGTCGGGCGTGAGGAACCAGCTGCGCGCGCCGCTGCTGGGTGCGATCTTGAGCAGCTCGAGCAGCTGCGGCGTGCCGGGTGCGGCAGGGTGCGGCAGGTAGTAGGCTGGCTGCGAGTGTCGCGGGTGCGGCAGCAGCAGAAAGGTGGCATGCGATGAGCCTGCTTCTGCCAGCTCGCACAGCGGAGGTGCGGCGAGGAGGATGCGGCGCGACATGATAGCTGGGAGATGGAGGTGGGAAGGACGGACGTGGGGAACGCGAAGAGGCTCGACGCGTGAAGCCTTCGCGGCACGGCGCGTTGGCCGAGTGCCGAGCGTGGAGCAACGGCCGCGCTAAGCTCTTGCCTCGCTGCTCTCCTTCTCACCTCCACCATCTCCGCCTCCTCGTCTCCTCGACACACAGCAATCATGTCATCACATCAGCTGTCGATGATCTCCTCGCTCCCGTTCTTCTCGCTTCCATCTCTCCTGCCGCTGCTCCTGGCCGCCAGCTCGCTCTCCTCTCGCGCCCCACGCGCCTTCGCACAGCGCATCTGCGTCGCCACGAGACTGGACGATGAGGCTACGCGCGAGGTCGAGGAGGGCGATGCGAGATGGAGCAGGACGCGGAGAGCGAGGATGGAGAGGCTGGAGGTGTGTGAGGAGGACGGAGAATGGTGAGTCGCGCTTGAGCTCGCACTGCGGGCGCAGGAGCCAGCCTGCTCGATATCGCGAGGAACACCGGCGAGAGCGCAGGCCATGCTCGTCCCTTCAGGCGTACTCATCACTGTTCTCTCGCACGCCAGTACTCTGCAACTTCCTTCTCTGCCACTTCCTGCACGCCAAGGCGCTGGACCTTCTGCCTCGACCTCCACATCCGCTTCCTCAAGCAACAGCAGTGCCGGCTTCGGCGGCGCCGACGCGCGCGCCGCAGTGACGATTCGGCAGACGACGAACGTGACCCTTCTATCTGCTTCTGATGCTGCGGCGCTGGAAGACGAGGACGGAGATTGGGCCGCGTGGGAGAAGGAAGGGACGAGCGATGCTTTTGGGGTCGAGGCATCGAGGAAAGAGAGGCATGAGACGCGGGAACAAGAGGCGAAGGAGCATTCGACTGAGGCATTGTTTGCGCTCGGCTGGCGGTGAGTCGTTGGATCGAAGAAAGGCTGAGCGAAGCGGGAGCAGCAGAGGCCCGCAGGTCGGCAAGGTCGACATGAGCTGAGTTGAACGACTTGCTGATACGCCCTCCTCGCGCATCACAGGCCATTGCACACCTATCGGCGACACGGTCTGCGCTTCCTGCTTCGAGACGACGGCGCGAAAGGGCGGTTCGAAGTTTGCGTCTATCGACTCTACGTGCGTACAATCTTGATCCTTTGCGGTTCCCCACACTGATACGACTCGGCTCGAGCAGCACGAAGACCTCTCTCTCCCCTCACCAGCGCCCAACACTCTGATCGTGCATGCTCGAGTCCTGCACTCCGTAGCTGCTGCCGCGACTGGCAATGCAGGGACAGCGACGCCTACGCCGGCTGGCGCAACGGCAGCGACGGGCGCAGCTACTGCGACTGCAGCGGTTCTGGACTCGGGCATGCGGGAGCTAGAAGGGCTGGCCAGGAGGTGTGCGGGTGTTTGTGTGTTTGTGAGAGATGAATGATAGGTCATCTCTGCTCTTGATTGTGCTGCGCAGGGATGTGAGTGGGAAGGATGCGACATGTCGACGCTGGAGAAGGCGGAACAGCAGGTGAGCCTCGCTCGCTCGAGCCAGAAACGGTAAGGCCAGCAGGGTGATGCCTCTGGGCTTGCGCGAGCGAGGCACATGGGCCAAGCGGGTGGTCGATCGGCAGCGCGAACTCCGCAAGGCTGTGCGTGGCAATATGAGAGTACCCTGCCGAGGAGCGCCATCCCAGAGTCCCGAGAAGGAGCCAGACATTGATCTCTCCGGGCTGGCGAGTGCAGATGCCGGGCCTCTGCCTGCGCTCTGACAGCGCAAGAGCAGCACGAGCTCCCGTGCTCGAGCGAGCGAGCCGTACAAGTAAATCAAGAGGAATCATGAAGGAAGTCTGCAGAGGCTGGCCAACGGCCAAGGAGACAGACGCTGAAAGCTGGGCAGTCGACTTGAGATGCACAGCACGAGGAGCTCGCCTGCGCGCGGCGTTTCGGCGCGTTTAGAAGCAAGATTGTGCGTCGCTGAACGCTTGAGAGCATCTTGACCGAGGCACGCTCGCCAGATGGCAGACAAATGAATGGATGAGAGCCGGAGATGCGTCGCTACTTGTGCGTTGCGAGAGCGGGCGTCAAGTCTCGGTGGGCTGGGTGGAGGCATGGGTCAGTGCACGTGACCTCCAAGCATCGGGGCCTGATCTCGGAGGGGCCTCCGCGTGCCTCCGCACTCCGCGGTGTGGCTTGCTCGACGGGGCTCGGCGACGGCGGCTGTGCCTTCACGCTTGGCTGCAGATCCCTGCAGCGTGACGATCAGATGCGCGAGAGGTGCAGCTGCGCTGCCAACGTGCGCCGAGCCGTCGAGACGAAGCATGAAGCGAAGAAGCGGGCCAGAAGACATGCCTCGCGCCTTCAAGGGTTCAGAGAGAGATATGGCCGACGAACTGAACGGGCCTCGGCACTCAGCCACACTGCGGTTCTAGCGCTGCCTGGCCAACCTTGATGCCAGCGAAGCAGCGCGGAGCGTATCGGGGCTGTCCGTCGAAAGAGCCCGTGCGCTGCTGGCGGTGCGAGGGCTCGGGCGGCCCGCCTCCTGTCTGTCGAGGCGACAGCGCGGCGCGCGCGGCACCGAGCGCTCTCGCCGCCGCGGCGCTTCATCACTTGTCCCTCTTGCTCTTTCCACCAACACACACCTCTCTCGACCCCAGACACACACGCAACCATGTCTCGCTCCGCTGCTGCCAACCGGCACGAAGAGCCTGTGCGTCATGCGGAGCAAGCTCGCCGATGCGCGCGCCGCTCGTACTCCTTCTGACGCGCCCCTCTAATCGCGCCGCAGTCCAAGAAGGCACCCGGTACGTAGCCATGCTCTGCGTCCGGCGAAGTGAAGCTGATCTCTCTACAAGTTCTACTGCAGGCGTACGAGTGGAACACACCAGGCGGTGGCAACCACTGGAAGTGGCTGCGTGACAACGCCGAGCGCTTCGCGGACATGGGCATCACGGCCTGCTGGCTGCCGCCGGCGACCAAGGGCGCGGGACAGGAGAGCACGGGCTACGACATGTACGACCTGTGGGACATGGGCGAGTTCAAGCGCACCCCAGAGGCTGAGGAGCGCACCAAGGTGAGTGAGGAGGTCGGCACTTGCGGCGCGGCGCGCTGAGGAGGTGTGTCTTGGACGCGCAGTACGGTACGCGCGAGGAGCTCGAGGAGTGCATGGCTGCGCTCAAGAAGAACGGCATTGTTGTGATGCTCGACGGCGTCTACAACCACAAGGACGGCGCCGAGGAGGCGGAGACGTTCAAGGCCATCATGGTCGACCAGGAAGACCGCAACAAGTGAGTCGCGTGCCCTCCCACTCTCTCCTCCTCGAACTCCTCCTGTTCATGGCGCTGTGCCCTGACACTCTTGTACAGGGACATTGGAGAGCCGCGCGACATCGAGGGCTGGACCAAGTTCACGTTTCCCGGCCGCAAGGGCAAGTACAGCGAGTTCCAGTGGAACTTGTGAGTCTTCGCACCTTTTCCCGAGATTCCCACCTCTACTGATGCCAACTCCTTGGTAGCAACCACTTTACAGGGGTGGACTTTGACCAGAAGACGGGAACAAACGCCATTTTCCGCATCCTGGGAGAGGGAAAGACGTGGGCGCCGGACACGGACAGCGAGAAGGGTGAGGACGCGTCCCCCCCTGCCTTCTGCGCTTGCCAGCGCCTCTCTGCTTACTCTCGCTTGACCCTCGCTCTTTAAGGCTCGTTCGACTACCTCAGTGAGCACTGCCATCAATGAGAGAGAGAGAGAGGCAGGAGACTGACAGGCATAATCGCAAAGTGGCTTCGGACATCGACCATGCGCACCCCGACGTGCGGTGCGTGTCTACCCTGTTGCGTGCAGCCACCGACTCGTACTCACAAGCCTCTGCCCTGCAGCGAGGAGTTCTTCCGCTACGCAAAGTGGCGTGAGTCGTCGCCGTTGTCGCCGTCATCGGCGGCGGCGCGCGGAGGTGTGCGGGACGCGTCATGCTCATGCGTTCCGCTCCCTCAGTGGTCCGCACCTTCCCCATCACGGGCATGCGCTTCGATGCTGTCAAGCACATGAGCCGCGACTTCCTCGCCGAGTTCGTCAAGGTCATGCGCGACGAGCACCGTCTCCTCCGCAAGGAACAGGGCAAGCCGGACGTCGACGAGAGCGAGGGACCCCTGTGAGCGCCGACCTCCTTCCTCGTCCCTTCCAGCGTGCTCACAGCGTCCCTGATCAAGGTTCTTCTGCGTGGGGGAGCTATGGAGTCTCTGGCCAGCGTCCTGTGGAGCCCTGTGATGCTGCTGCTGACCATCGACGTCCTGCAGAGGATGATGTCAAGACGTGCACCGACTACATCAACAAATTTGCCTTCGAGCAACAATTTAGCCTCTTCGACTGCCCCCTGCACTACAACTTTGCAGAGGCTGGCAATGCGGGCAAGGACTACGACCTGCGCAAGATCTGGGACGGCACGCTCGTGCAGGCTCAGCCCATCGACGCCGTCACGCTCGTGGAGAACCACGACACTCAGGCCGGCCAGGTGAGAGTCCAGCTGTTGCGTTCGTCGTCGTCGTCCTGACGAAGCCTTGCTCCTAGTCGCTTGCCAGCCCCGTCGCGGCGTCCTTCAAGCCGCTCGCCTACGCCATGATCCTGCTTCGCGAGGCCGGCTACCCGTGCGTCTTCCTGGGCGACCTCGACGGCTGCCACGCCGAGAACGACGAGCAGCCCTCGGTGCCTCCGATGTCTAGCCTCGACAAGTTCATCCGCGCTCGCAAGCTCTGGGGCTTCGGAGACACGAGGGACTACTGGGATCACCCCCAGGCAGTCGGGTGGGTGCGTACGGGTGAAGGACAAGGCGAAGAGCGCCTCGAAGGCTGCGCCGTCGTCATGTGCATTGGAGAGGCCGAGGGCAAGAAGCGCATGGAGGTCGGCAAGGAGCACGCCGGCAAGAAGTACATCGACGTGCTGGGCTGGCACCAGGGCGAGATTGAGATTGGCGAGGACGGCTGGGCCGGTGAGTGGACTTGCTGAGCTGCGAGGAGAGGTCCTTCGCGTGCTGACAAGCCTTGACGCGCGCAGAGTTCGTCTGCCACCCCTCCAGTGTGTCGATCTACGCATGGTCGGAAGCGCGCGGCATCGATGAGTTCAAGTAGGGAACGACGTCGTGGGCATCAAGCTCAAGTAGACGCTGCCTCTGCGTCCTTCTCGGCGCGAGCAGAGGCATGAGTCGCCGCAAACGACGCGCGACCGAATGTAGAAGCACACAGGGTGATCCGTCACGCGTTAGCCACCGAATACATAGATAGCTGCGAGCCGGAAGATGAGAGCTGCTACTGAACGTGTGTGCGAGAGCAGCTGGCAGTGCTGTGCACGTCTGGAGGGGCTCGGAGGGGTGCGGCGTGGCGGAGCTGGCGGCGCGGCGGCCGCGGCGCGTTTGCCGGCCGAGTCAGGCGCTCAGCGGCTTCTTCCCCGCGCCGTGCCGCGCCGCACGGCTTTCTTCCCACCCCTCACACCCCGCACCGGCATCATGGCCGCCTTCGCACCGTCCGCTTCCACCAGCAGCTGGACGCCGTCCTCGTGGCGCACGCGCCCCGTGGCGCAGGATGTGGCCTATCCGGACGCAGCGGCGCTCGAGGCTGTCACGCAGCGCCTGGCTGTGCTGCCGGGGCTCGTGACGCCGAATGAGGTGGACCGGCTGAGGAAGCAGCTGGCGGATGTTGCGCAGGGAAAGGTGAGTCGTGAATATCAGACGACGCGAACGAGAGATGTACAAGACAGCGACCGTGCTGGTCGCACGTCTTGCAGCGTGACAGGCCGGAGATCTACCGCACCGCTGCTCGATTGGGCCTTCGAGCAATGGCCTGCTGCAGTTCTGACCATGCTTCTCTAGGCCTTTCTGCTGCAGTCCGGTGACTGTGCCGAGCTCTTCAGCGACTGCGAGCCACGCAAGATCGACGCCAAGCTCAAGCTGAGCCTGCTCATGTCGCTCGTGCTCATCTGGGGCGCGCGTCTGCCCGTCGTGCGCGTCGGCCGCATCGCTGGACAGTATGCCAAGCCGCGGAGCAAGGCGACGGAGATGGTCAAGACGGCAGAGGGAGAGCAGGAGGTGCTGACGTTCAGGTGAGTGCGGGCGGGAGAGCGTGGCTGTGCAGCGCCCCTGACGTAGGCTACGCAGAGGCGACAACGTCAATGCCTTTGCTGCCGACCCAGCTGCGCGCCAGCCTGATCCACAGCGACTGCTGCTGGCGTACTTTCACTCCAGCACGACGCTCAACCACATCCGCGGCGCGCTGGGCAGTGGCATTGCCGGTGCGTCTGATTACACTGCTTTGCCCGCATTGTGCCTCTGCTCACACTTGCTCCGCAGACCTGCATGCGCCCCACTCCTGGTCGCTCGCCCACGTCCGCTCTCCAGCGCTGCAGCGCGAATTCTCCAGCGTCGTCGACTCGCTGGGCGATGCGCTGCACTTCATGAAGGTCGTTGGCGCAGACCGCGCCGATGGCGTGCGCGGTAGTCTCGAGAGCGTCGACTACTTCACCAGGTGAGGCGCAGTACGCCTGAGTATGAGGCGGCTCGTACTGACGCTGCGACCTGCTAGCCATGAGGGCCTCATGCTGGAGTACGAAGAGGCCTTGACGCGGCGCGCAGCCGGCGTGCCGGGCGCCTCGTACCAGACCTCCGAGTCCCCTTCCTCAAGCGAAGGTGCCTCGAGCGGCGCGCACTACACGCTCTCTGCGCACACGATCTGGCTCGGCGACCGGACGCGGCAGTTGGACGGCGCGCACGTCGAGTACTTCCGTGGCCTGGCAAACCCCATCGGCATCAAGGTCGGGCCCAGCATGAAGCCGGCTGAGCTGGTCGAGCTCCTTGCGCTGCTGGACCCAAAGGCTGAGGTCGGCCGCTGCACGCTCATCTGCCGCTTCGGCGCTGGCAAGGTGCGTGCTTGAAGGATGCGCGACTGAAGCAGTGGCTGATCAATTCTCACAGGCGCCTTCGCTGCTTCCACCGCTCATCCGTGCCGTCCGCGCCTCTGCCCATGCTGACTCCGTCATCTGGTGCTGTGACCCAATGCACGGCAACACGCGTACCTCGCCTCTCGACGCATCTATCAAGACGCGCGCGTTCGGCGACATCGTCACCGAAGTGGTTGAGAGTCTGGCGGTGCATGCTCAAGAAGGCTCGCGCCTGGGAGGCGTCCACCTTGAGCTCACTGGCGAGGTGGACGCGCGTGGAGAGAGCGTGACGGAATGTGTGGGAGGCAGCATGGAGCTGAGCGCAGAGGACCTTAGCAGACGCTACATGGTGAGCCGCCAAGCTTGTCAGCATGCCACAATGCGCTCACACGATGTCCTAGACGCACTGCGACCCACGCCTCAACTACGAGCAATCCCTCGACATCGCCTTCCTGCTCTCCCACTCGCTGCGAGCTCGGAGACTGGGTCGGGCTCCTTCACAGAGCCGCCTGCGACCTACAGCGCTGGACCGCCAGCCGTCGCCCGTGCCACCGCCGCAGCAACACCAGACAGCGGCGAATGGAGCAGCGGAGGGGCAAGAGACGGAGGAAAGGATCTTGGCCGAGCTCGTGCGCGGCATTGCCAACCGGCCGTGAGCGTGCGCAAAGGGAATGCAAATGTGTCTTGCTCATGGTGCGCTGGCATGCCCGCTCGGCTCGCCAGGCTCAGGCGAGTCCGCCCTGTACTCTGCCAGCATGGCCGATCAGGCCGCCTGCGTGGAAGCGTCGTCCTTGTGATCCTCGCGGTGCTGAGCGAGAATGCGTAGCTGAGCTGCTGTCTCAGCGGCGAGAGGCGCCACTTCGCCCTGGAGATGGTCCAGTATCGCGGCCGTGTCGTTGTAGAACTTCAGTTGCGCGAGGTGAAATCCGGCCGCATCGTCGCGTCACCCTGCCACTCACTGCCCGGAGAGCTAATCGACTACACTCGCTGTCTTGCTCACTCTCTCGCTCAAGGGAAGGAAGTCATGCTGCGAAGTCGTGGAAAGCAGCGATGAGGTGTGCTGAGGTCCAGGCCGCTTTTCGCGCCGCTCTCTCAGCCTCGACTCTACTGCCCGGACCTCACCGTCTGCGAGCGCCTCAGTCTTGAGCGCTCGCACCTCAAACCCTGCGCTGCTGACGGCTCTCGTCTGCTCACAGCATCAGCGCAGGGAGGTAGACACGACGCGCGAGTGGAGGGCAGAGGCGAAGACTGTGAGAGCATCGCCGCGGCCTCCGCATCCGCTCCGAGAAGGCGTGGGCGAGACGCCCGCCGGCGAGACCGCAGCGGGCTCAGATGCAGCCTCAGCAGATGCAGCCTGAGCATGCGCTATGCAGCGGCAGGCAGCCCTCTCTCGCCCCCGAGCGCAGCGGTTGCAGCAACCTCGCGCCCACGCTTGCTTCTTGCGGACACGACAACGGCATCTCGGGACGCCTGCGCCATCCGCATGCTGCGCTTTGCTCGTGCATGTTGCATCGCGGGAGCCGCGACGCCGCGCGCCGCAGCACGCCTCAAGCATCAGCGATGACTCGAGCCCTCTCGCTGAGCGGCTGCGCTGAAGTGAGCGTTTTCGGCCGTACGCCGCAGCTGCGCAGCTCTACTTCTCTCGGCACCTGCCCGAGGCCCGCGTCGACCCTCGGGCGACGGCTTGAACCATTTTGGGCTGTGAAAGGAGCTCAGAGGGGCTGAGGCGTGGGAGCTCCGCACAGCAGCTTGCAGCCCGCGGCCGCACCGCAGGCCATCTCTCGAGGAGGGAGTGCCGCCCTCGGTGCTCTCTCTCGAGCAAAGCTCGGCAGAGAGCTGTTGACAGCGCATAGGAGCTCCTCGACGCTGCGGTTGCAAATCTGCTCTCTCTCTTCAGCTTGATGCCTCTGCCTCGTCTGCGGCGTTCCATGCTGGGAAGGCGGCGGGACGGCGGCGCTCCAACGGCTGCGGCGAGCAAGCGCGAGGGACCTTGCGCTGGCGTGCAGCCGCAGCGCAGGGACGCCACCATCAGACGGCTCGCGGACCGCTCGCCGGTACCGCCGACAGCCGCAGCACCTCCGCCTGCTCTCGCCTCAAGCATCAGATGAACTTGAAGGCGCAGCACAGCACGCAGACCCTCGACACGTTCAGCTTCATGCTTGTGCTCGCGGCGGACAAGGCCAACGATTGGGCATGAGACGGCGCCGCGGCTGAGCTGGGATGCAGCTGCAGGGACGATAGAGCGTGTGAAGCAGCGAACGCAGACGGGCGAGGTGCGCTGCTGCGCCGCCACGCTGTCAGATCGCGCGCATCGGGCGCCCGAGCTTGTTCCGCGAACTTGCCGTGCGCGCTTGGAGCGCGTGGAGGCGCCGTGCGCATCTTGCTTCATGCTTGCGCTGCTTCTTGCCGAGCGAGAGGGTGACTGCTCGCCTGCCGTGCTTCTCGGCTGGGCCATGTGCATGAACGCGCAAGAGCAACACCTTGCCACGGCGCTGCGGCGCAGGACGCGCACGCGCAGCACGCCAAACCCTCAGGCTGCTGCTGGAGGCAAGGGTGCGGCGTCCTGTGCCCGCCGGTGCCGGAGCGGCGGCCCTGCGCAGCTCGCTGGCAGCCCGGACGCGGGCAGCCCGGCTATACCTCAGGCCAGGCGTCTCACGCACAGCGCCAGAGCGGCGGCTCGCCAGCAGCAGCGCGGGCCGCCTCGCCCCGCCGCGAGAAGCTCGCAGCTCCTCGTCGGGCCGTCGGCGCCCGTGCCGCCGCCAGCGCGCCAGGTACTTCTTGCCCGCCTCGCCGCCCTCCTCATCCTCTTCTCCCACCACCACCTCACCTGCTCGGGCCTGCCTGCCTGTCTGCACCTCTTCCTCAACCTCACGACCCTGCCTTCTCTCTCTCACGACCGCCTCTCTTGCCCTGCCTCTCGCCTCTCACCTGCCGCCGCCGCCGCTCAGCCTCGCTCGGACCGCCGCAGCGCCCGGTGCAGGAGCCGCCGCTCTCGCCTCTCACGCTCGCTCGGACCGCCCGCTGCTCGGCGCACGGCGCTTCTTCCTGGCAAGTGTGCCCGGCGGCTCCTGCGGTGAGGCCCTCTCGAGGGCACTCGGCCCGGCGCGCCGCTCACACCTCTGCACCCTGCCAGCGCAGCCAGTTCCGTACACTGCGCCTCTCCACCCTCATCCTCGCGTCTGCATACATTCGTGTGCTTCTGCCTCGCTCGCCTCTCTGCCTCTTTCTCGCCGGAGCCAGGTGCCTGCTCGGTCGCTCTCCTCTGCCCCTCTTCCGGATCCTTCTTCCTTATCGCACCCATGGCCGTGTCGTCGATGCCGGCGCCGCACACACACGCCGACGCCAGCGGCCGCGAGCGCGACGACGTGCGCTCCGTCGTCATCTCGAACCTGCCGCGCGAGGGTGAGTTGCGCATGCACGGGCTCGCGGCGCTGCCGAGCTGATGCATCCTCCGCAGCAACCGACGCGTGGCTCAAGCTGCTCTTCGACCCCGTCGCCGCCGTCGAGCGCGTCGACTTCACCCGCGGCGAGGGCCCGGCGTCGGCCGTCATCACGTTCCGCACACCCGAGGAGGCGCAGTGTGCCGTGCAGTTTGACGGCTACGTCGCGCTGGGCAATGCTCTGTGAGTACGTCGAGAGGCAGGCCGGACGGACTCTGCTGGACCCGTGGGACGCGCCGCCGCCGGCACGCTATCTGTCCCGCTTGCGTCCCACGCCACCACGTCAGCCGGCTTATCCGCTCCCGTCCACAGGCACGTCAAGCCGCTGCTCGCGTCGACGGCGCCGTCGAAGCTGCCGCTCAACACGACGATGGCCAACCTGAGCCGTCTCGACATGCAGCCGCAGCACCAGGTCAGCCCGCTGCACCAGCACTCCGTCGCGCTCAACGCGGCCGGCGGCGTGCCGCGCTTCCGCGGCGCCGCCGCCGACGCGCCTCCGACGCACAAGAACCTCTACGTGCTCAACCTGCCGCTCGACGCCACGACGGACCAGCTGACGGCGCTGTTCAGCTCGTACGGCCTCGTCGTCCACTGCGTCATCCTCGCCATGCTCGACGCCCAGGCACGCCGCCGCGGCTTCATCGACATGGGCGGGCCGGCGGACGCCAAGTGCGCCATCGAGGGCCTCAACGGCTTCGTCTGGCACGGCTACCCCATCGAGGTCTCGTACGCCATCGTCCAGCGCAGCGGCGGACCCTTCGACCACGGCGCGCCCGGCCGCAACGTCATCAAGCGCAACGTGCCGCGCAACCGCTTCAACACCGGCCCGCGCCGCGTGCCCGAGGATCCCGGCCTGGACATTGGCGGCGGTGCCTCGTCGCTCTTCATGGCGCACAACTCGAGCTACCCGCCGTCGTTCTACGGTCGCATCGGCGGCATGAACTCTTCCGGCACGTCGAGCCCTTCTGAGGCATCGGGCGGCAGCAGCGGCAGCCGTGGCGGCAGCATCAGCTACCCGGGCGGCGCGTCCAACATCGCTACGGACCCGTGCACGCTCTTCATCTCTGGCCTCGACCCGGTCGCCATCCTCGACGACGACGACCTGCGTCACGCGCTCGAGCCCTACGGCACCATCACGGCCGCCTCGCTCTCGCGTGACCAGAGCGGCATCTCGCGCGGCTACGGCGTCATCACCTTCAGCGCCGAGCACGAGGCGTCGCGCGCACGCGACGGCATCGACGGCAAGGTCATCAACGGCCGCCGTCTTACGGCGCACAACCTCGTGTACCAGCGCACGCCGTCGGACGTTCCGCGCGTCGCCTCGCTGCCCGTGCCTCTGGCGCCCACCGCCCGCGATGTCCACCCGGCCGGCATGACGCCGTACATGCACGCCTTTCCCGAGCTCAGCCCGATGTCGGCCGGCGCAGCAAGCCTGCTCGGTGCCTCACCGGTGCCGGCGCATGTGCGCTTCGCTGCGCCGTTGCCTCAGCAGCTTCCTACAGCTAGTCCTCTGCCGCTGCCTGCGCAGAGCTACGCGCTGCCTCCCGCCGCGGGCTTCTCCTCGCACATGGGCCGCTCGCCTCACTCCGGAGGCTTCACCGACGCCGCTGGCCATCGCCGTCTCGATCTGATGCCCATGGGTTCCATCGGCGCCGTCACTCCGCCGACCGAGTCGTGGGGCGCTCGCGACGCACTTCGTCCGACGGGTCTGCCCGAGGCTTACTCGCCGTACGCCACCACCCGCTCGCTCGCCCTCGGCGGCAACGAGTTCGACGGTGTGCCGCTGCTGCGCACCGACAACGTCAGTCGACCCATCGAGATCAAGCCAGACCTGCGCGCTTCGACGCCGCAGAGCACGCAGCACATGGCGTCACCCTTCCACGGTCTCGGCACGGCCTTCACGCCGGCCAACACTCCCGTGCGTCCCGGCCACCGTGGAAGCGGCGCCTCGCTCGACTTGTCGTCGTCCACGACAGCCCTACCGCAGCAGACGCCGCCTCGCAACGTCCGTGGCAATGGCGGCTCGGAGCGCACGCCTGGCATGTCGCCGCTTGACACTCGCCGCGAGGGTCTACAGCCTCTGTCCTTCGACTCGCCGTCGCAGACGCGCACGCCCGGCGCCATCGGCGGCACGTGGGGCTCGGGCGCCGTGCTCGGCCTCGAGGATCTCAGTCCGCAGAGCACAATGTCGACGGGCAGCACGACTTCGCGCCTCTCGACGCCCGGCGTCGGCGATCCTACCGACAGTGCAATCTGGTCCGCGTCGCCTACGAACAGCAAGGCCTTCGGTGCTGGCGGCTGGTATGCTTCGGCGCCCAAGACGCTGCAGCAGACGTACGACAGCTCGGCGCTTCAGGCGCTGCAGCAGGACAGCCCTCCGCACACGGTGAGCCCATCGTCTCATCACAGAACTTGCGTCTACCGCTGACCTGCGTCTTTTCCGCTGCTCAGGGCAGCAAGCGCAACACTGCACTGCACCCCGTCGGCCACGAAAAGTCGTCTTCGCTGAACTCGTCGACGACGCATAGCTCGTCGCCTCTGCGTCCTGCCTTCTCGCAGGCTCCTCACGAGGCGCGCGCCAGCAAGACGCCCGAACTCGACGACATCGGCCTCGATCTCACGGCGCTGCATCTCTCCGGCGTCTGATTGCTATCTCCGACCGCCCGTCTCTCTGCGGTCATCCTCCGCTTGCTGCTTGCACGTTGCATACACGTCTTTTGCCTTCTGCCTGCCGCTTCTCCATCTCCCTTCTGCTCGTCCTAGACCATCTTCATGCCGCTTCCTTCCCTCTTCGGCCAGCGTTCCTGCGCTGCCACACCACGACTCTTCGCTCCTCCTCTCCGGTCCTCAAGTTCTGCTCTCCAGCTCCGCGCGCGGTCTCTCAAAGTGCTACCTCTCTGCTCCCCTCTCCACCTCGACTCCACTCTGCAACATGCCTCCGTCATCGTCCCGTCCCAACTCGCATCACCCATAGCATTCTCGATCACCCGACCACATCCACATCTCAGTCTCGGCCACGTCATTATCACGACCCCCCTCTCATGCCCTTTCCGCTCACACGTGCTACCCCTCGCTGCCACACCACTTGCCTCACACGCCTCGTCCACATCCGCCTGTCTCATACACCCACACTCCATCGACTCAACACATCCTTACGAGCGCCATGCCCCTGCCTCTTCCCCTTCTCCCTTGCGCCGCAATGTGCATCGCCCTTCCTCAGTGTCACGCGCAAGTGAAGGCGATAGATGAAGTGACATGCAGTGCGAGACCAAAGCGAGGGTATGAGAAGGCTACGCTACAATAGGAGGACGGCGCTGGAGCAAGCATGCGAGCGGCACGATGACGAGGGAAGCAGAAGGTGATCAAGGTGAGGATCGGGCGGTCGCCGGATCAGGAGATGAAGCTAGGCGGCTGTTCCGGCGGCCTCGACAGGAGCCGCAGCAGCGGTTGCAGAGCCGCCGCCGCCAGGGCGCCAAGCTTCGAGCGAGCGGGCAAGGCCTCAAGGAGCGCCTCGGCGCCACTGAGCACGTTGGAGTCGTGCGATGGAGGAAAGAGAGGCGGGTAGAACGGGTCGTAGTACGTCGTGTGGAAGCGATGCGAGGCACCTGCCTCTGCGAGATAGAGCACGAGGAGAAGGAAGAGCGAGTGGCCGAGGATGAAGAGCGCCGTTCGCAGCCGAGAGTTGCGCGATGGAGGAATGAAGAAGGCGTAGGAAGGCGGCACGATGACGCCGCTGTCGACGTGCTCGCGTGTCGTGCGAACCGCCTCGGCCAATGCTCCGAGCTTGGCTCTCGTCGTCGAGAGCGCCTTGCTCTCCTCTTCATCCTTCTCCCTCGTCTCGGCGCGTCTGCGCTCCGCGTCCGTCTCATCGCGCCGCAGCTGCGCAAGACGCTCAGTGGTGGCCAGCAGGGCCGAAGTGTCCAGCTGCAGCTCGGGCAGCGGCTGCGTCGAGGGTGACACGGAGACGGGACGCTGTGAGAGCACGCGAAGGAGCTGTTCCAGCGTCGCGTGCAGACTTGGATCATTCTCGTCCGCTGCTTCGTGCGCCGACGTCGCCGTCGGGGCAGCCTGCTTCAGTGTCGCAGAGGCGCGCGTGAGGGGCGGAGTGGACTGTCTCGGCGGACCTGCCATCGTGGCAATCTCATCATCCGACGCCTCCTGCAGCGGCGCAAGCTCCGCACTGATCGAGTCCTCGTGCGTGGCGTCGATGAGAGAGTCTCGTGATCTCTGGGGTCGCAGAGATGAGCCTCCGAGCCGCCGCACCGAGGGAGAGGCAGATGCAGCGCCCACGCCGAAGAAGCCGGGAGGATGAGGCGTGCCGGGCGAGCCAAAGAGGGAGAGATTGGCGGCTCGAGCACCAAGCGCCAAGGGTGGAGAGGTGCTGCGCGTCGCTGTTGAGCGAGGGCTGCGAGCGGGACGCGAAGGTGTCGAAGGCATGAAGATGTGGCGAGAGACTGGCCGTGCTGGTGAAGAGGCGGAGAGACGCAGAGGCGGCGGTGGCGTGTCGGAAGATGAAGGAGCCAAGGCGTCGCTTGAGGAGTCGCGCTGCTGGGCCTCCGATGGCAGCTCGCGCAGCTCCTCTTCCTCCTCTTCTGGCTCTTCTTCCTCCTCCAGCACTGCTCCCCAGTCCTCCTCATGCTCCTCCCTCACGGGACTCGACTCGCGATAGCTCGGCGTCGGGCTGAAGCGCACCGTCCGTCGTTCTCTCGTCGATTCGCTACTGATTTCCATCTGCTCCTCCTCTCTCTCCTCTCCTTGCCTCCCTGCTTCCGGCTCGGGCGTGCTAGTCGTGCCCAGCGCCCTATTCAGACGCTCCATCGCCTCACTGGAAGGCGCACGAGCCGAGACGCTCAGTGTCGGGCTGTTTGGATTCGAGCGTCGATGCGCGCCTCTTCGCGGCGACGAAGCACCAGAGTTGCTCTCGCTGCTCCCGCCTCCGTTGGCGCCGGCGCCGCTGCCGTGAGCGAAGGAAGTGCCGTTGGCGTGTCCTGCATTCCCGCTCCAATGCGCAAAGAGTGGCGAAGAAGGAGGAAGCGGAGAAGCTGGTCGTTGGGCGGGAAAGGCGAAGGCCTGAGAAAGGACTGCTTCGCTTGCTCGTGCGGGTGCTCGAGGTGTAGCGTCCCCGTTCGAGATGAAGGAGTTCGACACCGTCGTTGTGGAAGAGAGACGCTTGCTCGTCAAGCCAGTGCGCTGTCGTCGAGGCGAGACAGAAGCAGGTCGTGCCGCCTGTTGCGCCTCCATTGCAACGCGTTCACGTTCCATCTCCGCCTCGAAGTCACTCTCTGCTTCCGCATCCGCTTCCGCCTCTGCCTCGCTTGTCGACCCTGGCTCTTGCGCATGCGAGACGTCGGCTTCATCATCCGCCTCAGCATCCCTCCCATTCGGCGTGCCCACCGCACCCACATTCTCCTTCTCTGCGCGCGAGGCCCTCAGGTCCTCCCTGCGCGGTTCCGCCTTGGGCGTCGCTCCCTCCGCACTGCGCGGACTCTCGCTCCTGCCCCTCCTCAGCGCCTTCAATCGTGCCGCATAGTCCGCGGCGCCTTTCGGCGTCTGCTCCTCCACCTGCTCCTGCACGCCGACGCTGGCGCCCGCAATGCGCGCCCGCGGCGTCTGCGTCTGCGACTGCGCGTGCGGCGTGCTGCGCGCCAGACTGTGCAGGCGCTGCGCATCGTCTCTGCGCGCCGTTCTTGGCTGCTCGGATCGTTGCGGCTCATACAGCAACGCAGACGCAGGCGCGGGCGTGGCGACGTGCGCGCCAGGCTGCGGCGCAGGCGTGACGACGTGCGCGGTGGGCTGCCCTGGCCTTGCAGGCGTGCGCCGCGCCGCCTCATCGGCCATGAGGCGTTCAAAGACATCTGCGATGGACCGCCTTGAGCCTCCCGCGCTGCGTGCGCCCGAGGAAGAGGAGGAGAGCGGCGGCGAAGAGGAAGGCGGAGGATGTGTGCCGTTGGCGCGCCTAGGAGGCGCGGCGTCGGAGTCGCTCGAGTCGGATGCGCTGGTGGGGGCGCCGCCGCTGAAGGGCCGCGGGCCAGACGAGGCCCGCGCGAAGAGCCGTGCTTGCGCAGCGGGCCGCGCAGAGGAGTTCATGCTGTGTCGCGCCACGCCGAACGGCGTGACGACGGCCCTGACTCTGCGTCGCGGCGCACGCTCTTCGCTGCTGGCGCTGGCGCTGGCGCTGCCGCGCCGTGCCGCTGCTGCCTCGCCGCCGGAGCTGCCGCTGCCACTGCCGCTGCCGCTGGGGCTGCCGAGCGCACAGGCACAGAGCGTGCCGCGGCAGTTGTCGGGGCAGGACTCCGTCACTGCCTTTGCCGCCGCGCGTGTGCTCTTGCTGCTGGCGGCGAGGCGCGAGGCACGCGGCGGCGAGACGAGGGTGCTGCTGGTGCCCGTGCTGGTGCTCGGGGACGAGGCAGAGGAGATGCGCGACATGGGATGGACCGCGCGCACGCCCAGAGTGGCGAAGGTGCGCAACTGCGGTGGGAGCGCAGGGAGATGGAGGGCAGAGGCAAGCGGCGGGAGACGGGCAAAGCGTCGCCGGGAGCGTGAGATCGAGGGGCGCGTCGGCACGAGCGCGTGACGCGTTGCGTGGGGGCGAGGGAGGGACACTCGAACAATCGGCTGTGTGCCTTGGCGCACCCGCGAGCCGCCGGCAGCGCGGCAGCGTTAGCGTGAGGCACCGCACGCCTCCGCCGAGCAGAGGGCGTTCCTGCATCTGCTGCATGAGAGGCGCAGCAGTTGCCGCGTGCGGTGCTGCCGCATGCCGTGCCGTGCCGAGAGGGCCGTGAGGGTGGAGTTGGACGAGTTGCAGCTCCGCCGCCTGCGAGGTGTGCATCTCGCCGTGCGCGCGACGGCACGCGGGGCCCAACGCGCACCCCCTCGACGCAGTGCGGCAACTCAGACGGCACAGAGCTGCCAGCGCATGACACAGCAGCACGAGGCGAGAGAGAGAGGCAAAGGAGGCGCGGCCCGGCTGGCAGACGAGGCAGCGCGCTCCTCGCGCTCGAGGCCGCACATCGCCGTCCTGGCGAGCACAAGGCGGCTCGGCACCTTCGCTGGCCGCGCCGAGGAGGACGATGCTGCAGCCAAGGCGGTGTGTGAGCTCATCGGGCCGCATGCCGGTCGTGCGGCGTGGTAGGGAGCGGCAGCGTGACATGTCGCCTGCGCCGGCGCCGGCATGCGGCGTCTCTGCGCGATGCCTTCTCGCCCCGCCAGGCAGGGCGCAGCAGCTTGCCTCCCTACCCCATCCATCCCCACCATCCCATCCCTTCCATCCCTGTACTTCCCCATCCGCTCCACGCACCAACAGGACTGCAGGCAGTTCCTATTCGCGTGCACGCTCTCCCTCCTCTCCTGTCTCTCGCCGCCCGCCGCCCGCCCTCGGCGCTCCGGCCCCTGACGGCCTTCTCTCTCGCACTCTCGCATCATCGAACAACAAGGCCAGGCTCGATCTGCCTCATCTCGCCCACCTCGCCTCCTCGCTCCTCTCCTCATCGACTCTCTCTCTCCCATCCCATCTCTCGCCTCTCCTCTCTCCCCCCACGCTCCCCCCACATCGCCAGCAGCCATGGCGCGTCTCTCCTTCCTCCTGCTCCTGCTCGCCTTCTTCGCCTACTCCGCTCACGCCGCCAGTGTGGTCAAGTGCCCCACCAAGGAGGTGGCGCGGCACTCCAAGCACGCGGCAAAGGTGCGCAAGGCGTGCATCGCAAAGAAGCACCGGCACAAGACGAGCAACTCGGGCAGCAGCAGCTCGAGCACGAGCGCCGCACAGCAGACGTCGAGCAGCGCCAGCGAGGCTGCCGCATCGTCCAGCTCGAGCGCCAGCTCGCCCGCATCGACGCCGGCAAACCGTGCGGCACTGACGCCTGCAGGCGGCAAGGTGCGTCGCTCCTCCGCTCCTTCTCCTCTCCCAGCATCCGATGCTCATGCTCGCTCCTGCCAGGCCGGCGTCGGCGGCGGCCAGTCGCTGCGCTTTATGAACGGCCTGTATGCGTGGATGTGTGAGTCGGCGGCGCTGCGGCGCGGCGCCTTCCTCCACTGACGTTGCTGCAGATGACTGGGGTCCGGACCCTCGCACATCGAACGATCGGGCGAAGAGCATGCCTGCCGTGTCCATGTGTGAGTGCCGCGCGCAGCGAGGCGCACCCAGAGGCGCGCTGCTGAGGCCTCGACGACAGTGTGGGGCGTCGGAGAGCGCAACCACGACAACGATGCCGCGCGCTTCGCCGCGTTCCAGCAAGTGCCCGCCGGCGCGTACCCCTACGTGGCCGGCTTCAACGAGATGGACTTTGTCGGCGAAGGCTCGTCGGGCGGCTCGGCGTTCAGCAAATACGTCGATGTGTGGAACAACATCATTGTGCCAAAGGCGACGGGCGACACGCTGCTCATCTCGCCCAGCTCGGCGTACCAGGCGTACGAAAAGCAGGTCGGCTGGTTCATCGGCAACGTGACGCGCAAGCCCGACATTCTCAGCGTGCACATCTTCCAGGACACGGCGGAGAAGGCGCTCAAGGTGAGTTGCAGGGGATGGGTGGGGGGGCGGGGCACTTGCGCAAGAGGAGGCAGAGCACACCATGCTGACGCAACACGCCTGCTCCCCCAGATCCTCGAGCACTACCGCAAGTACAAGATGCCCATGTGGATCACCGAGCTGGCGTGCATCAACTACGAGGGCCCGACGCGCTACTGCTCGCAGGACGAGACCAACACCTTCTGGCAGACGATCATCCCGAAGCTCGAGGCCGACAAGGATGTGTACGGTGCGTGCCCTCCCCC